TCGATTCGGATCTCATGAACAGCTCGAGCCCGTCAACCATTATCAATTCAACCCCTCCGAGCCGGAGCCCGCTCCTCTGAGTGCGCCTCTTCCTACTTATCGAGATTCTCCCAAGAATCGCGCCGGTCGCAAGACTTCTCTTCAGGACGGCGCTCGACGACAGAACCCTTACCCAGGTCGAGCAGGTCACGGACGCGCGGTCAGCCAAGACGATATTTTTGCACCAGAGCCAAAGCTCAGTGTCATCACTACCCCTGGAGAGACCTATGCAAACGCCAACGCGTACACTATGTCTATGCCCCGTTCAGCTGTCTCGTGGGGTGGTCAATCAGCAACTCCAGGTCTCTTCAACCAAGGCTACAGCTATCCTGGAAGCATGGATCCAAGTGTGATCGATAGGTGAGCTTTGAAAAATGTGCAATCACCTGATAACTCAGCCCCGAAACCCCCGCTATGCCGGTGGAAGATACATTCAAGCGACAGAAGCGACGGGAGTGTCACAATCAAGTCGAGAAACGAAGACGAGAGCATATCAATGGCAAGATTGAGGAGCTCGGGAAGCTCTTGCCCGCCCGATACGCCGAAGAGGCAGCGCAGGCTGAAGAGGATGAGGAGGAGAACAGGGGAAGTTCAAAGAAGAAGGTGAGTGTCGAAATTGGTCAACTTACTAGACACTGACCCGTACACAGAAGAAGAGACCCAACCCTAACACCAAGCAGCCCCGGGATGCTGCTCAGTGCAAAGGTCGTATTTTGTCGCAGAGTGTCAAATACATCTAGTGAGTGAAGGTCACGTCACTCTGGCTGACCAACGTCAGTGAGCTTCAACACATCCAGGACATGCAAAACGCTCGTATCCGCCAGCTAGAATCTATTCTTGCCTCATCCGGGCAGATCGCTCCATCCGCTCCACCCCAATATCAACACTACATCTGGAATCAGCCCACTCACTCCACGCCCATCCGTCGTGATTCAGTGGCGGCATCGCCTCTCGCTCCTGCACCGACCTACTTTCAGCCATACCCTGGGATGCCTCGACCCATGATGCATCATATCCCCAAGACCACCGAGGACCACCACCTTGAGGTGATGCAACCGTCACCTGACCCCGATGCCACGACCCGATCAAACAACTCATCATGGTCGGGTGGCAACATTCATCCGGCGTCGTTGACGACCAGCACAAGTACTAGTTTCTCCGAAGGCAGCGGTCCCCATCACATCTACTCGCCTGAGGACGCTGGACTCATCTCTGGGTCATCAGGTTCTTCACCTGAACAGCACCTTGCTCATATGGTGCAAAAAACGGGACCGACCAACCAGCAACCTACCGAAGGCCTTGGACTCGAAGTCGGACTTGGACCCCTGGATATCGAAGGCCACACTGTGTGCTGGCAAAATTGACAGTCATCAAGAGCTCGGAGCTGGCTGAAGGGCTACGATGGACTTTCATGTTCTTTCACGACAAATTACGTTTTAAGACGGCGATACATTTGGGACACAGACTTGTGATTCACGACCTATACAATTTTTATACATGTCTTTGGCGCATTTTTTGGGTGTTCTTCTTGATTAGATTAAGATCTTAGACCAGCAGTACCTTGTCGTTTTTTGTTGACGAAACTCTTGATGTCACAACCATGCCTCTCATGTGTATGCATTTGAAACCATTTATTGTCTTGAAGACGACCCAGGACGACGGCGGAGCGGATATTTCGTCGACAGTGGCGGCAGGTCAAGGGTTGGAGTAGCCGGAAATTGCCACAATAGAACTATGGGGCTTGCGACGCCTGTTGAGTTCGAACGAGTCCAATGACAAGAGACTTACTTCCCTCTAAGATATCATGCTTCTGAAGGACCAAATTCATGCCCTATTTCTGCAGACTCTTTCACGCTATGAACTTGATTCACAGAACACACACAGATCACAAGACTGACCATCCATGTGTCATTTTTTTCTCTTCAGCTTTTGCTTCCGCCTCTGCTCTTTCCCCCCTTCGTGCCTGCGCCTTATTCACGGTCATCCCGAGCGTATCGATCGTCATCCCTTCTCCTGGGTGGACTTCTAGCTCTGTCCCGATCGTAATCACGATCTCGAGGAGGTCGATCTCCACCGCCTCCTCGATACCCGTCCCTGTCTTCTCTTCGCCCATATCCGTCCCTGTCATCCCGACGATCGTCATATCGTCTGTCATCATATCGCCTGTCATCATATCTGGGTCGATCGTCGTACCTGGATGGTCCTCGTCGATCGTAGTCATCGTATCCTCCTCGGGGAGGTCGATCGTAATAGTCCCGAGGGGGAGGTCGACGATCATACCCTCCTGGACCACCACGGTCAATGTCTCGTCGTTCATATGTTCGATCCATGCTCTCGTCACCAAGACCCTCATTCTGCGGGTGTGATTTCAGCATGTGCAAAACTTTCGAAATCAATAGACATACGGGGGCGAGCTCGAGCTTGACGGGTTGACCGTTAATATCGACACCAGAGAGCTTTCTCAAAGCCTCCTCGGCGTCTTCCATGTTGGGGAAGGCAATCACCCTGACATGTCAGCGAATTGCGAATTGAAGGTATCACTCACCCGCTGGTAGGATCGTTTCGGTCGATATCAGCGTAGAGGATATTGGGTGATCCCATTCGACCGTAGTCTTTAAGGTCCTATGCAAAGAGAGGCCAAAGCCATGAATGTCAGGACCAGTCAAATCAGATTTCTGAGCCATCTCGATGGGACCATGGGATGTGATGAGAAGAGGGGTACGGGACCAGTCAAGAAGGATCAAGATTGATGTCATGCCGAAAGCCACGCGCTTCGCCATACTTCTAGCCATCACAGTTCCAGACCATCATGGATCCCGAGGCAGCCCCGTGGTGGAGGACGGACGAAAAGCATGATAGGACACCCGAACGAAGAGCCATCGAGTGAAGACAGCGACATTGGATAGTGACCTTTCACGACAGACTCCTGGACCAAACCAAGTTCCAAGGCAAGGGAGGGATATAAAAGAAATTTCACCGCACCTGCCAACTTGTAGACGTGGGAATACTCGAGACATTGATCTTGATTCCTCGCTTGGGGAGCCCAATCCGAGAGGCAGGGGGAGGTGGACGAGAGTATCTAGGATTTATTAGGGATGTCCTGCCGCTCGAACAGCTCACGGGTCTCGTTCACCATATCCTTCTCGTCGTCGCGAGTCTCTCGCGGGCTCGACGATGATTCTGGGCGGGCGTCAGAGGGATCTAAATGCTGTTCACATACTGCTCCCCGAGGAGGTCCTTGCCATTCAATTCACGAGACGCATCTTCGACATCCTGAGAGGGTAAGTGAGAAGCGATTGAGAGGTACTCACTCGGCTCGACTCGAGCTCGACAAAGGCAAAGTTGCCCATGGTACGAATGTCGACAGGCTTGTAGTTTTTGAAGAGCTATGGTGGAGGTCAGTCTCGAAAATGACTTCTACACCAACATCCTCGATGTCATTCTTGTTTGTGCCTTAGTTCGGGTCAGCGAGACAGAGCATGAGGTACTCACTAGGGTTGAGCCTTCCCAAATAGAGTCGTCGTGACATAGTGACGATGCTTCGCTGCAAGTTGGAGCAAGCAACAAGCAAGTAAAGATGAACACTGGGCGAATGTTCGACGGGAGTGGCTGTAGACCCTGAACCATTAAATATATCTAGATATTTTTGTTGGTTTTATCCCAGGTCGTCTGGGCATGACGTTTTGAGTGGTCGTCAATGGATATGGTGGCGACTGAAGTCAATATAGGATGGAGATCAGCTTCAGGAGTCAAACACGATGACGGTAAACGAGCCCACGGGTGGCTCACTCCCGATGCACTCGCAAGCACGGTCGTCTAGCTCCTCCAATATCCCAAAATCTGAGAAGAAGCGGCGGAAATGGTTTGGGACTTCTGAGCGGCGATCTGGCCAAGGCTTCATGACGAGGTATGGACCCTCGAGGTCAGACCCGTGGCCACAGAGATACATAGCTGTGTTGTGAGTCTCTGAAGCTGAGGAGCAAGGGATGCTCATCCCTGGCAGTGTTCTATGCGCTCTGATCATTTGGTCATTCTACGTCGTTGTTGGTCGAGTGTGCACGCCAATGATCAGGAATGACTCTTCGGTGGGGTTTGGAAGGGCGATTGGAAGTGGGTGTTCATTCCTGGAACTATCTAACGATGTCTCAGTTGGGACCATGATAACTTTCATCATCCTATGGCTCGTTTTCGTCTGGTCTTACATGATGGTAGGTCTACTGATCAGGGGTTGGACCCTGACGCAATGCTCAGATTCTGATTGTCGGTCCCGGCTTGGCGCGAGACGTAAGTGGGATACTTAGGAATGACACTGATCGGTGCAGCATTGTCCGAAGATGCCAGCTCCCCCTTCGGATTTTGTTTCCGGCCAAGCGCCGACCGAATCCGGACCATCCGCTGCAGAGACCGCATCCGCTCAGATGGTCGACTCACACTCCACCCTTGTCCATGGTCCAGCTTTGGTCGACACTGAAGCGCCTGAGCCATCTCAATTGGTACCGATATCGCACTTGGTCTCGGATTTCGTACGGGGTTCGGAGACGGAGGCACCAGGGTCTGCAGCATTGAGCCGCGAAGCAAAGACACGAGGTCCGAAAGATGAAATATACGTCGAGAGACCAGTGCCGTTACCGCAAACGGGCCCCAGATGGTGTCGATATTGCGAGATCAACAAACCCGATCGGGCACACCATTGCCGTCATTGCGGGACCTGTGTCATGCAGTTTGATCGTGAGTATGGCGGATGAGACGTACTAAACGAGTAGACCATTGCCCATGGATCGGACAGTGCGTCGGATGGAGAAATCACACAGTGAGTGGTACAGTGGAGTAGCGCCAACTGAACCATGTCAGTATTTCATCATTTTCACCTTACAAGCCTCCATCTTCTGCTCGTACCTGGTCATCTGGCTCGTAATCGTCTTGACCAAGATGCCAGAGATCGATGGTCAAGTGATGGGGTTGCTTATTGCGTGAGCTCAACAATGATTGATGCCGCTGACGTCTCAGCGCGGCCATCTTTGGTCTCTTTGCCGGCATGATGTACTCAAGTCATGTCTATCTCATCATCAAGGGAGTATCAACGGTCGAATCGTACAAAAGCAGAGATCAGAGAGAGCACGAAGATCACGCCTTGCAAGCTGAGTTCGGGACACTGTGGAAGAACCATGAAAAGCGAAAGGTCAGAAAGCGGTGGAAGGAAGAGTGGGGAGGAGTTGAAGTCGACGCAAGGTGGAAATGGGGCAATAGCATGGAAATGTGGGAGCAGGAAATGGGCACGAAGTGGATAGGATGGTTCTGTGAGCATCCTGTACTTGCTCCTCGCGTAGCTGGTGCTGACCGTCTTCTTAGTGCCTCTTGGACGACCGCAAGGAGACGGCATACATTTCAAGTCGAACCCTCGTTTTGGACCCAATGGCGAATGGCTCAAGAAGAAAGATTGGCCAAAGGAATTGCAATGAGTCGCATGAGTCGCGCCTAGGCATGCCATTGAGTGTATAACAGGGGCTTTGTTGTAGTCAGTACCATCATACATGTATCGCTAGCCCAATGCCTTGCTTCAAAGGACGCGAGGCGCTCAGCCTCGCGAGTCTCTTGATCCTTTGGTCCAAGGTGTCGCCGGTGAAAGACAAAGGAGTATTCTCAGTATCTGCGTATGGCTCTGTCATCTCGATCGTGTATCATCACTCTTCGGCTCATCTCTATCTCTGCTGACCGGGTCAAACTCGCTCTCATCCACACCAATCGCCACGATACACCCAATCATTTGATCCCGTTTGCCACCCCGGCGCACAGACCTCCACTTGGACCTCTCCGCGACTGATCTTTTGATTTTTTGATTTTCGGTCATCCTTCGGACATTTGTATTGTGTCCTCCCAACATCTGCAACTGGCTCTCTTCCGGCGACGGGCTGAACAAGGAGTTGATCAAGCTCATACCACAGCCTGCAGACCAGTTTCCTTCATTCTTAGATTCACACACCGAGATTTTCGACGCTCGGAACTGAAACCCTAAAGGCTGGAGCAGTGTCCTCCCACTATGAAGGCAATCAACGCGGTAATGTTTGCTGTTGCGGTGACGAGCTTAGGTGAAGGACTAGACCTAGATGTTGGAAGTGAGTCAACCAATCATTGCTGCCCATTTGTTGGTCTGGAACATGAAACATGGCCACTTCTGCCTCTGAGTCCTACTTGACTTGTAGCCCTACTGACACCTTACCTCAGATCCGAGCGGCCCGATAGCCCAAGGACGTGCAATCGAGGATCTAGGTCAGCGCAGCCGAATGATACTAGATGAAGATTGACACGACTAGATGCGCTGTCCATCATGAACCATGGCGAATGTCAGACAGAGATAGCTTCAAGACTACAGATACGATGTGGCAGTTCAGCCATTGAGCCAATATTGAGCGAGAGGGATCGGCGATCAAGTAGGTGCCTTGATCATCATACCAATTATCGCTTATGTTCACTCAGTCGCCATCTCTTTTACACTCTGTTCCATGTTGTCAGCCTCCCAACCCCTGCCATCAGAGTGCATCTACTGGGCACCAGGCGCCGGTCAAAACGGGTGGACAGTGGAGATGGAGATGAATCTATCTCCATGCATAGCGTGAGGGAGTTTGAGCGATCGCAATTGATGCAATAGTGCCATCAGACGAAGTACGCAGGACTGGACAAGCTACGAAGGATACCTGAACAAAGCTAGTCAGTTGAGTTGATGAGATATCAGCTGAAAGTCTCTCAGCTCAGCTTTGCCTCGCATTGGACGGCAAAGTACAAGCAGGTCAGCATCGCCGATGAGCGCCTAGCCAGTGGCTGCTGATAGGTCACCAGAGACTGCTCGTCGCGCGTACATCGATCTCACTCAGTATTCGATCAGGGTCTTCCAGGAGATGCAGGAACGCTTCGAGGCGGAGAAGACCAACGCCTCTCACATGCAAGATGGGCTCAGAGATGTCATTATGGTCAGCTCATCCGTGGTATCGGAGCTGATCATCTCCAGGAAATGAATCGAGTCATGACCGACACGTTCTCGACCTTGTCCCTGTTGATGTCTCATGAGCAGCGGCAGGATTCGGCTTTGTTCCGATTTGAGGAGGCTATCAAAAGCTTCGAAGGGGCAGGCGATGCGATGTGGGAAGACGTTCGAACGGAAGGACACAGTGTTATCCAGGCGATGATCTTGCGAGCGGAAGAAGGGTATACTCAGAGACGTGACGGCATGCTATCAGCGGTAAGTCATGAAGCTGCTTCACATAATACACAGCTGATTCTCCAAGCTCGATTTGTCTCTGAGACAATCTGCTGCACAGGTGAGAGTCATGCAAAGAGACAGCTTGTGATGCTTTACTCCAGCACATCAATCAGATGGATCAGCAATCTCGAGAGGTCATGAAATTTGTCAAAGACTCTCTCCAGCAAGCGCAAGACGAGTCACACGCTCTATCAGCGGACCGGATGGCACAATCAGTGAGTTTTCCGGATCCCATCGCGATCAATGAGCTCACAGATGGAAGGCTGCTGCAAACGTGGCTTGGCAAGAACTCACCCTTCAGATGAACTCTCTCGGGCTGGTAAGTAATTGCCCCCGTCTAGCGATAGGATTGACATTTTTCAGGGAGTCAATGACCTCAGCAGCACCCTGCAGGAGCTCACACCAGCGATAGTGGGATCTGTCGCGGGTGCTTCCCGTCTTCAGGTAAGCTGCTATTGTGCAGCAGACTATACTCAATTGGTAAGGGCATACACGAAGAGCTCCTGTTCAGCTTGACCAACATCCATGATGTATCTCGAGGGCTTCAATCCGAGCTGTCGAACTCTCTGGGTAAAATAAACGAAACATTGGTATCCATCTCGGGTTGGAGTGGGCCTCCACGATCTTGGTGGAAGCCGCAAGGAGTTACGATCTTCTCGGGTGAGCGTCTCATCACAAAATATGTATGTACTGTAAGCTCACTCTCGGTTGTAGGTCCAAGTCTTTTCCGGGGTTCGCCGTTTGATCTGATCAAAAGCCATGGCGTCTCAGTATCGTTCCTGCAGATCCTCCTCGCCTTTGTCGCCCTCGTTAGCAATGTACTCGTGAACGCCTTTTGGGTTGTAGTAGGTCGAGATCTCGTATTGACTGTCAATGACCACCAAGGTATCCGCTATCGCCTTCCTTTGGATCATCACGTTTAAACGGGTCGGAGCCTTGATCCGGATCTCGCGAGTGCTGGAATCCACCGAGATTACTGTGCGAGACGAAGAAGAGAGAGTGTAAGTAGTTCTGGACACCTTAAGGCTAATCTGTCGTAGTGTTAGAGACCCTATCATAGTTCGAGAGCGCTCTGCCACTCTCACTCGATCTCCTCCCGCCTACAGTCCTCAGGTCCCTGATATTAGGCCCCAAGTGACAGTTCAATCGCCCAAATCTTGCACAGTGCAAGAGAGATTGACAAGGGCCCCAGCTCCTCGCAGGAAAGAGGGAGCTCTCTCACCGGTGAGAGAGGACGACTTCAGTGCATTGAATGAGTATCAACTTCGGCCGAAAAAGCCCACGAGAGAGGACAGACTTGAAGAAAGGATTGTGCAAGGCAGCAGAGCGAAGAGGGCGGTATCGTGTCCATTGTGAATCGAGACGGATTCTTCAACTGAAAGTTGTAAAAGTGACACTTCATGCAAGATATAATGATTGATAGACCATGGTGACATTGTTGAGCCTCATCAATGAAGACCCGCAGCTTGCTCTCTGGCTTTTGCAAGACCACCTTGCTGTAATCCATGAATCCATAGGCCCATCTTTACGATGCGGGCTCGGACATCCATACCCCATTCTGCCACTCCAAGAGTCATGCTCCAATATGCGTGAGACCAGAAAGCCGAGACAAAGTTGCTGACGAGATTGAGTGTGAAACCTGTCCTTCGCCAAGCTTGACGTATTCTGATGAGATCATCTCGCCAGACTAGGAGAAGTGGGTCAGGAGGGAAGGCAAAGGTGAGGACTCACCGGCATCTGCGCAGTATCTCGCTACGATCAAGAAGATTCGGCTTTGACCGTGGGTCGTAGCGAGCGATTGGTCGAGTGATCTGAGTCGCGTCAGTTCAAAACCGTCCAGTATTCCGGCTCACCTTTGAAGATCTGACAGTTTCAGGATCATGAGAAGACGTCTTTTCTGGTCAGCCTGAGCCCAACTCGTCATGACCCACCTCGGCACTGTCCGAAGCAATTCGAAGATGGAGACGATCAGACCGTCGCGTTCCATCACGGCGGCTCTCAGCTTTGCGATCTCTTTATCATCCATATGCTTCTCATCCAAGAGAGACGATGGCCTGGATCCGGCCATGCTGTCATGCTCGTTACCAGCATCCGACATGTTGATACGACCAGTGATGGCAGATTCTAGTATCGGATACTGTCTGTCAGCTTCGCTCAACGCCGATCCAATTCACCATATCATCATCGATATTCCCTACTAGCTTGGCGTACTTTTTCCGCTCTGCTGTCGTGGACTCTGACGTGCGTTGAATCAAGCTCAGCCAAAATCTGGCATAATTGACTCTCAAGTCGTCCGGAACGTCAAAGTACTGCCCGTGATCCAAGAGACAGATATCGAAATTGTATGGAGACTTGGAGCCTTTCGCTTTAGATCGAATTAAGAGGTTACCGTGGTGTGGATCGGCGTGAAAATATCCATCCATATAAACCATTTGAGAGAATATCCTGGAGAGTTCCTGCGAGACTTGGTTCCTGTCAATGTTGTGATCCTTCAAGTAGGCCAAATCGTCCACTCGGGCACCCTCGATGAATTCCATGACCATACATCTCCTCTCGGCCCAGAGGATCTCAGGAAAGTAAACGCTGGTCTTGCCTTCGAGATGCTTGAAATTTCCACGGGCCCGTCGGCTGTTGGATGCTTCGTGTCTGAAGTCCATCTCCAGCGGAAGCATGACATTCATCTCCTCTCCCAGCCATGAGAATTCAAAGTCTGGGAAGATGCGTTTGACGAGCGCGATGGCAAAGTTGACGGTCTTCATATCGACTTTGGCGAATTCCTGAAGATCAGGATGCTGAACCTTTATTGCGACTCGCTTGCCCGTCTCTCTGTCCGTCGCTCTGTGCACTTGGGCCAACGATGCCACACCAATGGGGACAGGGTCAATGTCGATGAAAAGATCGTCTAAACGGGTTCCGAGGTCGTTCACTAGCATCTCATTGATCTTTTCGATAGGAGTGGGAAAACATTGATCTTGCAATGGGCGCATGGTAGAGGTCCATTCCTGAGGAAGAAGCTGAACAGCCGCGACATGCTGTCCAATCTTGACGTAGATTCCAGAGTTGGTCTTGAGAGCCTCGAGCATTCGATTCGCGCTTCTCAAATGGCATTCTTTCCGTCTCGCTCGTCTGGTGGCTCTGTCTTCGTCTGAATCCGTCAAGAGTTCCTCTTTGGCAAAGACAGATTTATAGTCCCACACAGCGAGCAGCACAGCCTTCATCAATCGCGCGCATCGCACAGATGCGATAACGATGTGTCGGAAGGGGGGAAGGGTCTGGTAGAAGATCAGAAGGGCAGAGAGAAGGGCCAGCAACGCGAGCAGCCGTCTTAGTCGGTGGGAGCGAAGTCGGCGGACACTCGAGACAGGTGATCCAGGCGAAGAAATTTTAGCCTGTGTATGTGTGCCAGGCTCTGGCCCATCGGGGTGCGAATGTGACGTCGTAGCGTACCTTCTTTGTGCAATTGAAGGGGGTATCCGCACGGCATGCTGAGGCAAGCGATGCTGGAACGATGTGAATGAGTGCTTCCGCAGAGGGGCAGCAACAGGTAAGCTCTGCAGACATCTTTGACGAGCCACAGAGCGTTCAACAGCCCTCAGCAGGGTTCTGCCTGGTGACATGGCGAGCAATGGATGAGGATGAAATGACGACAGTGTTGAATACGGAAAATTTAGGTCGATCAAAAATATCAGATACGACTATCAGGATCGTGTCATTTAGGTGCAGAATGCATAGGGAGCGCATGCCATGCTATGCTATGAGGACGATGACAGCTGCTCAGCGGCTCTAGCGATTAAAGACTGCGCAAGAATGGCGTGTGTGCTCTTGGAAGCCTGAACACCTGTATCGATCAGCTGGAGAGCATGTCAGCACTCTTTTCTGCAGGGATGATGACCCTCACAGAACATGCTTGATCCAACGACATTTCCCCTGTCATCCAGATCCCACTGATCCTCCCCAGAGCCGGCATAACTCCCATAGAGATCGTGCCGCCCGAGTCGTGCACCTCGATGTCCGATTGATTTCGATCTCCCGATCCTTCAGAATCAATCATCACGCCTACGCCCAGACCGTTCATCGGTATCCCAGCATCTGCTACAGCCATGGAGGCGACGGTCAGAGCAGCAGATAGAACGTTGGGCACTGAGTCCGATTCGATGACCAGAATCTGGATGTCCAGTGCGGACTTTGGTAGCAAATGCAATTGTAGCGCCGGGAGGAGGTGTGAGTGGATGAGAGAGGAAAGGGCTGCGGGCTCAGTATCCTGAAAGAGTGATTCAGTCTCAGCTGTAGGGCTTGGGGACATACCCTGAGAGGAGCTCGACGGGAATGAGAAGCAAATGGAGCAAATTTCACTTCCAGATTGAGGGTACCCTGTGGAGAGTATGGTGGTTGCTTTGGCCGGGGTCCGTACCTGCCGGCAATCAGCACATGATAGCGAGCGGCAATGACGGCGTAGCAGCTCACACTGAACAGGCTATCTTCACTCGTCCACTCTCGATATAGCCACTGCCATTGGCCTGACTGATGAGACCAGCTTTGAGGTCTGTAGCCCGTTCAGCTAATTGTTGCTCTGAGAAAACCCTTCAACTTACAGATGGGTTTTGTCGACTTTGATCTGGCTGCATGATTTGATGGACCCGCCTCTATGCCGGAGTGAGAGAGTTCAGGTGGATAGGAGTCTTCTGGCGCCGGAATGCGCCGTCTGTCAAAAGCAGTGGTCATGGTGATGGTGGGATTGCAAGATGAGATTGAGATTCAAAGTCAAAGTTTGCATATTAATCCATCTCTCTACAACGGCGCGTTGACAGGCTCAGATCGAGCCAGACCGCAGGCAGGCGATGCAACGAGACGTGATCCTGGATGGCAGACGGCTACAACGATGCATATGATCAATCACTAAAAATACGATTGTAGGCAGAACCCAGGCCGACGGAAAGACCACATTCAAAGATTGCCCTTCAAAGGTCGTGTCGGCAAATAATCCTGTCTTTAACGCATTGAGTCTAGGTTATCGGATAGAGGGCAGATGAGGTTGAGATTGACACTCTGAACACCCTACAATAAAGACACCATAAGTACATTTCTTGATTGATAGAAGAAAAAGAAAAGAGACGAGCTCGAGCAATGGATTTTTAGGGCGAAAGTTTGGTCATTGGATGGCATGTGGCAGTCGGCAATTGGCGGTTGGCAGTTGGCTCACAAGAATGGAAGATACATAACGATCTGACCTACTAAGGGAATCTCAAATCAGTCCACTGGCATCCGTCATACACGCCTAGCTTCGACATCTACAATTACTCTGACTCGAGAGCTCCTTCTGGTCGTCTTGGCAGAGCTGTCACCGATCATGCCATCAGCCTTGCCTCCAATCATGGATTCCGCCTCGCTAATAAGAGACCTGCACACTTGTCTCATTTCCCAAGGTGTGAGCTCAGGACATGAAATGACAAGCTTGCGTCTTGATTCTCTCTTGAGTTCCTGATTGAGGAAGGCGTGAACGTGCGGGTATGCTTCCGCCGTAAGCCAGGCGATTTTGCGTTCGGCATCGTCTTCAGGCTTGAGGGGGGCGATAGGGATATAAGGTGCTTTGGGAGTCTTGGATGCTTGAAGAGCGCTATAGTGGAGCTTGCTGTCGTAAATTCCTCGCCAGACTATCTGCTTCACCAGCTTCTTAGAATTGGGGTGTATGTATGGGTGTACGCGATGATATTGACCGAAGATAACCAGGCTTTCCAAAGCTTCTTTCAGCCACGAGCTGACCAACTTATCTACCAATTCGTAGGCTGTCGGCGACCATGAGGATCGAGAGGGCCGCTTACGTCTCGTGTCGAGCAAGTTGTCAATGCTGGCAACTTCCACTCTGTCAGGGCTAGCAATGGTCGAGAGGCCTTCGAGCGAGGTAGATAATTCGCAGCGATACTCGGAGGAACTCAACAGGAGGGAGTGAAGCGCTTGCTCAGTGACAATGACCGTCCGGCATTGTGTCAACAGCTCGACCCCAGAATCGGCAGTGTAGTCGCCAATCTTGTTGCAGAGAAGCGGAGAGGGAATATGATTTAGAACGAGCGTAATGATTCGAGGCAGTGAAGGGGTGTCACTGGTGTCGTCTCGGGTCAGATAATGATGAATGAGCTCGACAAAGTCGAGATCAGTAGAGAGGGTGAGCGTCTCGTAGCTGATCAGTGGTGTGATGTGATTGAGGTCAAGAAGGGGTGAGGATTGCGAGTCGGTCATCGCACGAGGTGGTCAAGTAAGAGGATTGTTTTGATACAGCGCTGGCAAGAAACAAAGCCTAAGAAAGAGTGAAGAGGGAAGAGAATGGATGCATGCCCGATACTCGGCACTTACTAGACCTCGCTCTGAGAGTGGCCCGTGCTTTCGAGTCTCAAGGTTGGCAGCTCCGTGCGATCTGTGGCGGTTTCCGATGTTCACAATTGCCATCTCCACCACCTATTCACGCAGCCCTCGCGCATTTGAGACCTGTCCACCTGTAAGCTCATGAGGGCTTACAGATTCATCGTCAAAGCATCGGTGGATCATTGAAGATGCGGAGAATAGTGGTCAGAGACACAGCATGAGGGCTCGGGCAAGCCAGAATGAACGCCTCTTCTCGAGTGCGACTCCATGCGCTGGGATTGACCATATCAGAGTAGTTTTCGCCTCCGGACTGTTTGCAGAGCCAGGCCATGCTTTTCAAAGCACGCATCAAGTTGCGTTCAGGCCTCAAATGCGTCTCAAGTGTCATTCCTCCCCTGATCGTTCCTTTGTCCAGGCTAGCCATCGTCCACTCGCTCTTCGGGCATCTGAGAAAACGATCGTCTGCTCAATCGCCAAAAAAGTAATCCACAGCGGGGTTCGAACCCACGGCCTTCAGCGAGTTCCACCCTTGAGTCTCAAGCCGGAAACTGACTGCGAGGATGAGCAATGAGAACGGTGGGTTTTCAATAAGAAGAACGTACCACGCTACCACTGCGCCATGCGGACGTCGAAAACCAAATTCGACGGCGATTGTGCTTATATCCTCAGCGTAGGGTTGGATTTTGATTGATATACACTGTGAATGATCAACGTCCATTCAGCCACATGTGATGAGCGTCCGTCTCATTCAACTGGTACCCGTACTCAGGCTCGGCACCTCGCTCTTAGACCTTGCCTGGCCAAGTCTCGGGTGGCGTTTACCCCAGACGTTTGCCCCGGGCAACCGCCACAAACTCCATGTTTTTACGTCAACAATTGAGAAAAATCTTTGTCCCATTCGCCGCGTCGCGGCCAATTGGTAACGCCAGCGCGTGTTGACTTGACCTGACATTGTCTCGTATTGTTGGAAGTATCGGACAAGGGCGGCGTCCAAGACTCTACCAGTTAAGAACATCGGTAACGAAGACGTCGACCCTCTAAAACAACTCTCTAGCCAAGGTTGAAACGGTTCTCTGCCGAATCGCACGGTCCCGTTACTCGCCTCGTGTGAGCACTATCAAGCTGAAAATCGCCGCACCATGCCTCGTGACCAGAGCTGATACGTCGTATGTCCGTCACCAAACTCGAGAACATTATGTGGGCGCTGATGTCCTGAACCAACAGAAATCGAATCCGTTGACCTCGCAACCTGAGTCAAAGGAGGCAGTCTTGTCCCCAAACACATACCTCGACTTGCGCGCCTCCCGCCTCCTACCATGTCGACCATGACTGCATCTCCTCTACCATCACATATGACGAACAATGTGACCTCCACGCCGACGTCCTCTCGGAACCGTTCTGCTCCTGGTCCACCAGAGTCTTCGCCACAGCATGGCAGTCCAAGGAGCAGCTCGTCAAAAGATGGAACGCTCGCTACGGATGTTGAAACGGTGTTGAGATCGCATGGTGGAGACACTCGAAAGGCCCTCGAAGGGTTATTGACCGACCGCAGCAGCCTAGTGAGCCCCTTAAATAGACAGAGCTGACCCGCAGCAATCTCAAAACTCTCAATTGTGGAAGCTCATCGAGAAACAGCGAGGGCAATGCGCGTCCCTGCTATCTGATAATGATCGTTTACGGACGGAGAGAGATAGAGCCAACGGCAAGCTTCTGGCGGCAGGCTTGGAGCCCATCAGCTCGAAGAAGATGTCCAACAGCTCAAGTGTCACAGGTCTAGGCATCAGAGCAGAGGCTCCACCCATCAGAAGACAATTATCGGATCGCGAGGAAAGACCGAAGGATATTCAGTCGAGCAGCATCATCACCCGACCTAGTCCCGAATTGCAGGACAAATCGTCAAAGCCGAGTCTCACAGTCCCTTCACCCATCGCCTCCTCTCATGGCTCGCCGGTGGAGCGCTCTCCTATTGAGCGCACGGCTTCTCCAACCGAAAAAACATACTCCTCACCCCTTCTGCCCTCACCCATGGTCATCCAGGAGACCAAATTGCGTCCGCAAAGCCGCATGGTGTTTCCTTCCGAAGTATCGTCGTGGCTTTCACTCGCCGACTCGCCGCAGTCCAGACAGAAAGATGCAAAGCAGACCCCACCATCTGGTCTGTCAAATATGATTGTGAGCCCCTCGACCCAAACAAATCCAGATAGACCGGAACCGGGCAATGGCGCACTATCTAGGACTCTTCAGCTTTCCGCAGATGACTCACAACCACAATCAGACGCAGAGACCTCACTGCAGAATATCCCGCCGCGTGGATCAAGCATCCAATCACCCAGAATACAGGACAGTCCGGCATCTCCCGTACAATCTACACATGAATCCTTCAGATCGACCTTGGCAGAGGAGACGGTGCCACAGCAAGCGGTGCAAGAGATGCCGCAGCCGCATCCCCATCTGATTCAGAAGTCTGATACTCCTCAATCCGTCGAGATGGAGGCTACTCAAGAGCTTGTCGATAGCAAGGCCGACGAGGACACACCTAGACGTCACCCTGCTCCACCGGCCCCTTCCTCGAGTCAGACGCTCCCTCGTATTTCCTCTTCCCTCCTGCCTCACGCTCGCATATCTATCCCTACAAGCACTGTATACCCCAATGCCTCTGGGCGAGACGTGCTTTGCTTCATCATCTCCGTTGTCATTCGCCCGCCAAACTCGCAGCCCATCGCTTGGAATGTATCCAAGCTGTTCAGCGCGTTTGTCGATCTGGATGCCAAGATCAAAGCTAGATGTGGCAAGGGTCGAAAGGAGTGGAAAAGCATGGTGGCACCTCTTCCAGATAGCAAGGCGTGGAAGGATTTCGCCCCGAGTAAAATAGACCAACGAAAGGCAGCGCTCGAAGCGTACCTCCAAAGTCTGCTTGTCGCTCCTATCTCGGATAAGACCGACTTGTGCGATTTCCTCTGCACAGATCCCGTTCAGGCCCGACCCACTGCAGCAAGGAAGGAGGGGTATCTGACCAAGAAAGGCAAGAATTTTGGCGGTTGGAAAACGAGGTACTTCGTCCTGTCTGGGCCAGTCATGGAGTATTACGAATCGGTGAGTCGCGTCAGTTCGGGGTCAAGCTGACATTGAACAGCGTGGAGGTCCCCACCTCGGATCCATCGCCATTACGAATGCGCAGATCGGCCGACAGAACCGGCCAACAGAGTCAAGCGACGATCGAGACTTTCGACACGCCTTCCTGATCATTGAGCAGACGCGACGTGGGGCTTCAAATCGGCATGTTTTATGTGCAGAGAGTGATGCTGAGCGCGACGCTTGGATCGAAGTCCTCGTCCGCTATGTTGAGCCAGAGTCCACGCAGCCGCCTCCCCCACCACCAACCCATCAGACAAATCCCGGTCCGGTCGCACAGACTCTCAGTAGGCGCAAAAGCGGTTCACGGAAGAACAGCAAGGACGTGGTCATCACCGCCGCGGCACCTATGGGAACCTTATCGGCAGGAGGCAGCAAATTCAGCGGGGCGCCGTCTCCCACGATCTTCAATGCCATGGAGCAGAAGCGTACAGTGGGCGAGGCGTCGAGTCACAACACCCTGAATTCTCAGGGCCACCTCAACATCGCCCAAAGCTCCTCGAGTGACCAGCTCTCGACCTCGCCATCTAGTCAATCCGGGATGGACCCCGTATCACGTTCCTCAAAGCGCCAAAGCATCATGCCTTCTCGCGGTCCACCGAGTGCTCCATCTGCAGCCTATCTCAGCAAAGTGGCGAATGACGGACTACAACTACCGCCAGGATATGACCGAGATCGGGATCGGAAAGCCAAATCAGGCCGTTTCTGGCACAGCTTTGGAAAGACAAATGACAAGGTTCATCGGCCCGTCTTCGGCGTTGCATTGTCGGACTCGCTGCAAGTAGCGTCCAAAGCGAATCTTCCGGCTATCGTCTACCGCTGTATCGAGTATCTGGAGGCTAAGAAAGCTGAGACCGAGGAAGGAATCTATCGGCTCAGTGGCTCCTCTGCAGTCATCAAAGGTCTCAAAGATAGATTCGATGCTGAAGGCGACGTCAATCTGCTCAAGATTGATGACCGATGGGATCCACACGCTATTGCCGGTTTGCTCAAAGCGTTCCTACGTGAACTACCAATGAGCCTGTTGACTCTTGATCTGCATCCTCGTTTTTTGGCCGTCATGGGTGAGTGTTCCTGTGGAGAATATTGCTGAGCCAAAAGATATCATTGAATCATCCGGCAGGGTGTCAGAGTTATCGCGGTTGGTGTCCGAACTCCCTCCACCGAACTATGCTCTGCTGCGAGCACTCACCGCCCATCTGATTCTCATTGTGCGAAACTCTGCCGTCAACAAGATGACTTTGCGCAATATTGGAATAGTCTTCTCCCCGACGTTGGGCATTCCCGCCGGTATCTTTTCTGAGATGGTCACCAGCTTCGGAGCGATCTTTGACGATGAGGGCTTGGAGCCAGATGTCGCTCCTTCTGATCCGCCAGATGAGTCTATGGACCAGGAACACGGCACGAGGAAGCGAAATAGTATGCTATATCAGGCTGGCGGTGCGGATGCTCTTCTAGGGCTGGGTGGCCGCTCACTCGAACCTGGTAAGTCAAGCTCTCGAAGCGAGGCTGACGCCTTTATAGCCCTCGAGGATTCTTCTTCGGAGGTTTCGACCGATAACGAGATAGAGTCAGAAACGCCTTCTGCCCGATCGGAGGAGAGTCTAAATGAGAGCATCACCACACCTCGCGCCGAGGCATACCCATCTCCTCCGACTGTCCGCAGGCCTAAAGCGTCCTCTCGGACCATAGATCTCAGTGTATCAGTGGAACCTTCCGGCCCAATGACCGAACTTGGAGGTCGCAGTCCGACTCATGGCCATCATGGACTGCCCACAGGACCTCGTCCACCTGACTCGGCGGGACTCGCACAGGGAGCCATCAATCCCGTTTAACAAGCTGTATAAAATGTCTGTCACTGCATATCGATTGTGCTATGGGTCCACCGTGTCGATCTGCAACTCAAGATGTATTCGGTCGCGGTATCACTATATTATCCTCGTCAGAGTCTGGCGTCATGGCGTAATTCTGGGGGTTATGATCTGATATTGACTGACAGGACTCACCTTCACGCACGTGGACCGGGGCACAAACGAGAATCTTTTGTACAGACTCTGGATGCGTTCTGAGGAGGTCTCCAGCTTCTCTCCCTCGTTGCCCAACGGCTCAACTCCTCGCTGCTCTGACTCCGATCCCGAATCCATCTGTCGAGTGGAAGTTGTCGCTTGTCGGTTTTGCGATGGGCAGGGATCTGGAATCTGAGGCGGGTCACCACTGATTGGTTCAGCAATCTCCACTTCAGGGGCGGCGTTGAGCACCACGGAGGGAAGCACGGCCTCTCTGCCTGCTAGACGTAACTCCAAGAGACACATTGCGCCTTGAAAATCTTCAAGCGAGTATAGCAATGGCTCATTTCCGGTCACGACCTTCCTTCGCTTCGAGATCGGAGTGTCCTTGCGATGGTCGGTCGCTTGCTTGCGTTTCGGACGCGACGAAGGGCTAATCGCCACTGATGCGTTCTCGCTCTCCGGCAGCCGGGCGCTTTGCGGATTTTTCAGGATTGAGCTGAGAACTTGCGGAATCATCACATCTCCTCCCTCTTGGAATCTGACTGACGGTCTTGCGGTCTCGTGAGTCGATGCAGGTTGTGGCTCAAAGGAGAGCCCGTCCTCTTGACCTGAGTGTCCAAGTTGGTGCTCCTCTTGTGTGTGTGTGCCAAGTGCTTGAGCCGGAGCGGGGCTGGAGTCGGCCAATACGGTCTCTAGGGATATATGTTCTGCCTTGAGAGGCTTGGAGGAAACTCCTGGCTCCTCCTGCGATGTGATCGTTCTCGCACTGGCGGCAATCATCGGGATCTCTAGCTCGTTCTCCGACTGACTCGCCATGGACCGGTCATCCTCCGTCAAGTTACTACTAATGTCATCAAGAAGAATAGCCTTCTTCGATGATGGATGTGTATTTCGAGAGATCTGACGAGCCTCATCAGCTTTGACGGGCGGGAGTCGAGCTCAGCTCACGTTGTCCTCAGGTAGTGGCTTTGAATTGGTAGATACGGCCTCTGTTGGATCTCTATTCACAGCCCATCCTGCGCTCTGCGATCTCGTCCTCACACGCACATTCAGCTTCACCGGGCCCGAAAGGTCCATTGCTGACCCCGAGCTCTTCTTGGATCTGCATGACCTTGACCTTCTCGTCCCTTGACCTTCCTTGACCCTGCCTTTGCCCCTGAACTTACCGCTTCTGCCACCTCGTTCCTCGTCCATGGAAACAACAGAGGTGATGGTGGATCCGGATCGGAGTCGCATCGTCATGAGCTTCCAAGGAGACTCTCAAGATGGACTCGACAAGTGACAAGGAGATTCTCAAGGCTCAAGATCCAGATTCGAAGCGATGAGCTACCGGGCGACTGGAGAGAGAGTGGGACGTCCAGTCTAGGACCTTGATCTGCCCAACGACACCTAACCCCCGCTCGGACCTTCTGGCAAAACAAATCTGCATGAGTTACGCCACATGGGCGCCACTGCCTTCGTTCTGATACTGATACTTGCGAGTGCATCGCCGCTGGACTCTAGACGAAGAGGTCGAAGAAAAGAATGGCGCACTGTGAAACCGACGGTCCGGGCAACAGCCTGGTCTCTGGGGGCTGTTGGCGTTACTACGGCAAACGATGGATAATCCTCAATGAAATTGCGCCTCAAACTTGTTCAGTGGACCACACGGGCGATTACGGCAAGAGAAGCGTTCTCCCACAGCTCCTTCCATCCGTTCCAGCACACTTCAAGCCGTGGATACCACTTTTGAAAGTCCGCCCACACGGTATAGATAGGACCATCCATGTCTCCGCCGCCACCGCCGCCCGGTCCTCTTCGATCCTTCACCTATCCTGCGAGATTATATCAGATCTCTTCAGCTTACACACTGCAAACTTCCCTGCCAGCATCGACGCATCCTTCAACCTTCAACTGAAATCATGGGCAATCAATCGGCTGTACCCATGAGGATCGCTCCGCCTGGGTCTGGCTATTGCGCCTCGAATCACGATTCTGAACAGGAGGACAATCTCGGCGAGCTCCCGACAGACATCAGAGATCCTATCACCGGGCCAGAGCCGACCGGCCCCAGTAAGTATATGATGAGCGGCGCTCTGTTAGACTTCAAGGACACGTCTAATGCAACGCACGAAGAGGAATGGAACCGAATCATGGCACAACGAGCGCAAGAGAGGGATCGCCAGTTGACTGAATTGAGCGTACAATTCCTGAGCAAGTATACAAGGGAAGAAGCAGGCGAGACTTATATTGACCTCTGTCGCGATCTCACGCTATGGACAAGAGCTCGGAGTCTAGACCCAGAGACAGAGAGCAAGCAACGCGAATCCCTCCGCTCCAGACTGGACGCAGCTGTCGCCGGTGTGACTGAGAGAGGTGACTTACCGACTGATCAGATCGGCTCGCTCATGTATTTTTCTCAGCGAGAACCACCTTACAGAGTAGCGCATATGCTCCCTCTCAAGAACGTCGGCAGAATGTCTTTAACAATATCTTCAACGCCGGTCTAGGGGACGATAAAGATCGGACATTGGCCTCCGAACTGATGTGTCTCGAGGACGAGCAGTGGACTCAAGCTGACTCTGATGACTCTGAAGAGTTCGACAATCTGCAGCGTGCGTACTGCAAGCTAAAAACGAGGGGACTTCGGTATTCGACGCGAAAGTTACCGTCGCCTGAGCCAGACTCCCCCTCAGGTGAGCGGTTTCGATCCGCGTCACAAGCGTATTAACAGCCTTTGACCTCCTACAGATGATGAAAGCGATGTCAAGTATCCTTCATGGCTGAATCGTCACTATGGCTGGCAAACGGAAGCATATGATGTTCCATCCAGAATCAGAAGGAGATACGGGGATTATTAAGTCGCTGTTCCTTCAAGTGAGTACACACGATGGAGGGGACTCAAGGATCGTATACGAGTAGACGCGTTCATGAATGATCAGTGACTGAGACAGTCGGGAGACCAGGTCGTGTGACATAGGGAAAACGAGCGGGCCCCGCCAACTCTTGTCCAAAACTCATTCTCCCCCCTCGTTTCGGTACTTAAACCCGTGAGAAGCTGACTAGGACTCCCTTCAGTACGCTGACTGAAAGTCTGAGGACGAAGTTAAGCCCTCACGCCGAGCTCGCTGGACAGGAGTGTGGGCAACGCAGATGACAGATGGTCCCTCTCCAGATCAGCCACAGGACCATCCGCTTCCAAACTTTGCTGATGCTGATGCTTCCCCAGTAACCGTGCTTCGGTCTCGTATCTGTGCTTTTGCTCCTGTGTCTCATGACCTTGCTAACTTATTCACATCTCGAGCTACTGCCTCTACCATTCACAAGTCTGGGTCACTATTGCCGAAACCCGCTCGCGGCGTTCCACATCGTAAACCTTGCTCGATAAAGATTAGATTGATGGGTCTTCACAACTCGTGGCGCCCCAATGTATACGATGAACAATGATCTTTTCGCTTCAAGGCCTAGTCCACATGTTTGGCATTGTCAAATCAGCCTCGAAGGAGGCGGTGGAAAAGTCCTCGGCAGTTACTGGCCATTCTGCATAGGGCTACACATAGATTGGACATGCTAAGGTGACAAACGGACTGACTGTTGGACCTGATCACGCCATCGATTGCCATCTACTCAAACTGATTGAACACTTTTGCCCATGCCTCCTTGCCTCCTGTCTCAATGACGTCGCCGTGACATGGGATGATCCTGTCCCACTCGAGCTTGTTGATAGGCTCCAACTCTCTTTTGGCCAGGCTGACGCACAAGATCAGAACGAATGACGATGGAGACTCACGCCTTGTCCTTGACTAATTTGCTGATAGTTGAAGCGTGAAAATGTTCCTCTGGACTCATCTTATGACCGGCGGTCTTGACAAAGAAAGGCATTCCAACGCGAGAATACTGCTCCTTTGGAGGCAGATTGAAAAGCATATCGCCTTGTATGAGAGTCTTAGACGGGTGGTGAACAGCCATGAGCTCATGGTTGGGATGAGCGGTGAATTGAAGTAGTGTGATCTGGAGACATTGCAAGGTCAGACGGGGATCATCATGCCTCATTCAGTCATAAATTTCAACTGACGTGAGGCTCAAATCCGTACTGCTTGGTCTCTCCGCCAGCTCCAAAAAGTCCAGCCCATTGGATCTGAGGTTTGCTCTTGGCAAATCGTTCGACGCCAATAGGTCTGCAATGCATTAGCGAGTTCGAGGATTTTTGACTGCCTCAAGCTCCCTACTCACTGAGCCTTGGGATACGCCTTGGTATACTCCTCGATGTACATGCCATGCTCTCCATCCGGAGTTACTAGCCATTTGACCTCTCCGCCCATATTGCGGATCGTCTCTGCAGTGGCTGGTGAATGAGGCGTCGAGACATAAATGAAGATATCCGTGCTGGGCAGGCGAATGGCCGTCGACCGTCCTCCAATGGCAATCATCCCGAATCGACTCTACGATCCCGATCAGATGTATTCAAGATTAAAGCTCACGAAGGGTTTCGAGAAGGTGACAATGTCGGGGGTCACTTGACGAATGACCAATTCCTTGTCTGTTGAATCTGTCGACTTGCTAATGTCGGGTATTGAGATTGGGGTGGACATGGTGGACGATTGACAGGCCTGTGGTATGCAGCAGAATGATGGCCGGATGTGAACACGTATATACAGGCGATTAAAGGCCGCTATGGTAGACAACAGGATGGGACACAGTCGAGAATTGGAAAGGTGTGCGGACTCGATGCAAGAACGCAAGGATATGGATGCCTCCTCCTCGGAGCATTTCGATCATCAACAGGATGACGCAATAATCATTTGCCGCTTTATCCGGAGAAAAATGCAGCCACTTCCATTTCCTCATTTCATGCTACTGTCTACTCCGTCGTGTCCATGGACTCCAGCAGGGATACTCCTGCTCGCCGTTTCCATGTGTATGCTTCGACAGCGCACAAGACTCCTGCCTCACCGTCTAATCTGACCAGCAGCCCGTCCTTAGTCCAGCTGAGATCATCCGGGGATCGAGATTCGGCGAGTGTTGCTTTCTTTGCCGAGACAGATCCATTGCTCTTGACAAAGCGACCAGGACGGTCGGAATGCTCGATACGGATTTTGGGAGCCACAGATGCCCGAGCATCATCTTCGAGACTAACAGTGTAGCTGAGAAATCATGAACAAATGTTCCCTTCGGAGATCCAGCGCCACCCACACGTCATCCTCGCTCTCCATGTGAAGGTCGTGCGTCCAAAGACTACGCGCGTCCATCTCGTCGGCGTCGGGAATCTCCAAGTAGTCTCGAAGGTCGGAGATGTTGTACTTGATCCTGCAGCAGTGTAAGAATCGAGCCCAGGGCTCAAAATTACTACTTACAAAGGCGCATCGCGAACAAACACGACGCTTGGCAGGACTCCATTTAGGTACCGTGGAGCCTCTTTTAAGGGCTCGGCTACGCGCATGACAGACGCTCTCTGAATAGCCATCTCAGCCATTCTCAATTTTCGGTTTGCTCGCGAGTTTGGAGCCTTTCTCGACGCCTGATCGCAAGTCAGCTCTGGTATCTGACAATAGCGAGCTCACCTTGTATCTTTGCACACCTTCAACGACTATGCTCAGACCATCATGCCCGTTGCCCCAGCCGCGAGAAGCGATACCGTTCCGCAACGTCGACACGTACCGTACCAAACGTGGAGCCAGCCGGACGCTGACAAGGATAGAGTCTTGATCCGAGGGCTTGGCTTTGCTTTCGGTCTTTTCGACTTCCATCGCTGCTTCATGCTTCCATTTGAGCCATCCAGCGTGAATGAGAATGAGACCAAGATCCGAGTCATCGGTATAGACATCTGTACCGAAGATCTGCCGTTGATTCAAGCCCTCGGATAGTTCGAGATCTTCAGGCGTTTCTGGATCCGCAGTGTCCCATCCGTCTTCACCTCTCAGGACCCAAGAGGGTCCCAGGAATGCCGCGTTGATTTGAATGACCATAAGATCGCCGAGTGTGGCATCACCAGGGAGGTCGCCTGCCAGACGCCAATCGGCTCCCCCATAGATATGCCTTGATCTCACAGCTGTCAAATCCGGGATGGTCTTGAGCCAGCTTTCAATCTGGGCCGAGGTGACTTCGGGATACTCTTTGATCTCTCGAGTCAGATTGGCAAGATGAGGTAACGGACGAGTCGGTGCAGGTGCTTGATATGCTGAGGGTGGAGATCTAGCCCGCTCATCCTCTTTCCGACGTTTCGTCTTGTTCGATGATCCACGTCGATGGGCCTGTTCTTCGATCGCCGCGTCCATTCTCGATCGCTTGTCCCTTGGCGTATAATGGTATTCTCGATCTTTCACGCTTGCAGCGTTGGCCGCGGGTATTCCGGGCTCGTTCTTGCCAGCGTAAGAGTACGGTCGAGACTCTCGAGATGTGGGGATTTGATTTGACCCAGGTTCCCCTGGTCGAGCAGCTGCTTGCGGATCGGCATTCGGTGCGTTCAAGACTTCGATACGTGACTGATTTGTCGAGGAGGACTGCCCTACGCGCTCGTAAGGCATACGGTAAAGACCTCCAGGATTGTAGAGGCCAAACTGTCGAGATTCGGTCGGCGGCGGTGGATTCGCCAAACGCTGCTGCTTTTCCCGCTCGGCTCGATCCTTTTCTAGCTTCTCCAATCTCTCTCGTTCTCGGATCCTCTCCTGCTCCCTCTCTCTCTGATCGCGATCTCTTTGTCTCTGACGCTCCCGCTCAAGCCACGAGTTGCCATATGCTCCTCCGTACGAGTTACCACCGAATCCAAATGGGGCCGAATAGCCGTAAGCTGAGAAATGACGGGACTGACCCTGCGCGTTGCTGCCTGCAGTATTCATAGTGCTCGAAGCCGTGACAGGAGGTTTGTTCGAAATGGTGGGTGAAGCCAACGGAGATCTCTCTGGCTGCTGCGGTGGAGCTGCACCCTGCTGCTGCTGCTGCTGAGGCTGAGGCTGCGACAGCTGGTCGGACCTTCGCTGATCACCGGGATAACCCTTCCAAGCTGATCCAGTCTCGGAGCCACCGGATTTCCGGGGAGAGATCACGCCAGGTTGAGGTGGTTTGGTCTCGGTCGTTGACGAGTTGGACAGAGTTCGATTATGCTTGACTTGACCCGCTTGGTCTGATGCACCTGCGGTCGATGAGGAACGATCCCTGTTCTCCCGTTCGAAAGGGGATGGGAGCGCTCGTTTCCCAAGGGAGCTGAAACCGGGCAAGGTAATACTCGTTCGGGCGGTGGATGAGCTTGTGACGCCTGGAGTAGCCACTGGAGAAATGCTAGATTGACCGGACTGCGTTGGGTTTGGCGCGGGGAGAGACCGAGAGACGGTCGGTGAGGGCGGCAATGAAGGTCGAGGGTACGGATTGGGACCGGATGTCGGACCGACATTGGGAGACGTTTGGGTCTCTTTTCTCCTTCGCTCGCTCTCTGCTGCTTGGTCTCTCAACCGCTCCCTTTCCACTCTCTGCCTGTCCAATTCTCTCTCCCTATCTCTTTCTCTCTCTCTCTCCCTCTCCCTAGCAGCCCGGATTTCCCTTTCTCGCTGTATTTGACGCTCCGCTTCACGATTAGGGTTGAAGAATGGATATGCTGAACCCCAACGAGTTCCCAATCCTGCAGGATTGGGAGTGGTATTTTCTGGTCGACGAGCACCTGGTGCTCCGGCTGCGGTAGCCGAGGATGATCCGGCTGTACCGACTGCTGAGGGGGTCGACGCGGCTGATGCTCCAGCAGCTGGTGTAGAGCCTGCGGAGCCAGGAGTCTGTGCGGAATGCGTGTGAACATGGTGATGGTGATGATGGTGATGATGTGATGCAGAAGGCGTCCGATTGGCCGGATCGCCCGACGTTGTTTCTTTCGCGCCCGCGTCATTAGAGGACGGAGTTCGGGATACACGGAACTGAGCGTCGTTCGCGTCTGCAGAGGCGCCTACATAGGTCATTAGCTTTCTAGACCCAAGGGTCTTGACCCACCATCCTTTTGCTTCAGATAGTACTGTCTCTCTCGCTGGATCCGTACTTCCCAAGGATACGGAGACCAGGCGGGATATTTGTCCGACTTGGAGTCTGAAGAAGCAGACGGAGCTCTGTTGATCGACGACCCAGCAGCGGCGTTACCATTGTTACCCTTGGAGGTTGAAGGAGCTGCTTGTGTTGTGGACGGGGCTGGCGTAGGCGGTTTCGTACTCGATGGATTCGATGTTGTCGAACCGGGCCGGTCAAGAGGTGACATTGAGGCCGATACAGCGGACTGATTCGGGGAACGATTGAGCGCGGGTTGCGGCATGAGCTGAGTGTAGATGGGAAGGGAATGAGATGCTGGCTAACACCCTCGACCGCAGCGAGGGGGGCTCGATGGTGTATCGCTTGATTGATAGGATGGTCTGGACAGTATTCGTTGACAGACGTCAGGGAGGGGAGGAAGGAAAGACAGCAGAGCGAGCGGGGGAAAAGGAGAAGGTAGTTAGTCCCTCAGGTACGTCGTGGCGGCAGGGACCGTCCCAACTGATCATCCCATTATTACGTGATTTATTCAGAACCGCAGGCGGGGGGGGCGAGACTTGGTGATATCGGCATTATCATTGATGTCTCTGATGTGGCACTTTATTACGGCATGGGTGACCCCCCAGCCAAAGCTACGTGACTTGTTTTGATCTTTGACCGGGTTGAAACAGGGTTGAAAAATGGGATTTCATTAATTGGATACGGTATATGGGGCAGCCAAGGTGGTCAACATTGGACTCGACACACTGAACAGACTATCGAACAACGTCCCTTGACCATGACAGCTTCTAGTCTGCATGGAATATCTGGCTGAATAGCATGTCTGCACGACCTACCTCATACCTCACGCTGTCGAGCTACCTGCTGCCGTCACTCTCATCAAGGCACGCACACAATTGACCCCCTCGACACACTTTTTGGACTATAAGAACGCTCTGGCGCTTGAAGCTTCATTTCTTCTCTTTCCATCATGGCGAGAGAGGTATCTGTCGAGTCCATCTTTGCGCATCCTCGACCTTCCACGGGAAGCTCTCGGATACCCGTCCCGATTCCCTCGGGGTCAACATCAAAATTACCGGTAGCTTCGCAACCGAGAGTCAGGGCCAGGGTTGCTCGAGCAGCTTTAGGAGAGATACATGATCCTTCGAACCTCGGTACCAGGATGAGTGCGACACCGTCGACCAAGAGGAAGTTCATCAAGCCTCGTGGGACGCCAAGGCCTGGCAAGCTCGACCCAACTTCGTCAGCCGCTCAATCCAACTCACCCCGTCCTGTCGCCACCTCGTCAAGCCGATTTCATCATCAGACAACGCATTCCTTTCAATTGGAAGATGGAGAGGAGACAATGCTGATGGATGTCCAACCTCCTTCATCCTTCAGCGGGATCTCCTCGCCGGAGCCTTTCCCCATGCCAGATCAATCATCCGTCACAGAGCGCTCTTTTGTTCGCTCGAGTCGCGTGGGACCAGGAAAACTAATGACACCGTTGAACAGTCAACAAAGCAACGTGAGATTCTGATTCGATGTGGAGACTGATTCTTGTCAGGCTGATCACTCGCTACTCGAGACCACCTCGATACCTCATCCTGCACTCCGACGTCTCCCAACACCTCCTTCATCACAGTCTGGGCCCTCCTCTCCACCTTCCAAGCCCAGCCACAAGGTCCGCTCGAGAGCCATTTATTCCCCACCGCGCCCCCAACAACATGTGCACTCCCCTTCCGAACCATCTCCCAATCCTCGGAGCAAGAAGTCGCCCAAGTTAGACTCCGCTTCCACCTTCATCACTGCTGGCAAGCCAATCAGTCGATTCTCAGCTACCCCCGCCCATGCGTCAGGACTTCTGAGCACCCCACAAACCGCCTCCCAGGTTTCCGCCACAGCTCGAGCTAGTGCGACAGCACAGAACAAGAGACGCCAATCGGCTCGACCTACAATGTCACCTGTCAGTACTCCCCAGGAGGTAAAAGGCAGCAGAAAAGGCCCCATACCATCTACCGCTCCAGCTGCGATACGTAAACCTCGGCAGTCGGCAGCAAACAGTTCATACACTAAGCATACTGCCAAGACAGTCAAGCGACGTGAATCTTTGCCTGTAGCGAGCGGCCGGCGAAAGTCCACGACTCCGCTATCCGTTTCATCGTCCTGTGCTAGGCGAAAATCCGCCATTCTACCCCAGAGGATCCCCATCGAACCTGGAGAGGACCCTTTACTCTTACGAGGACCTGATGGGGATGAGACGGCCAGATGGTTGGAGCTTTCTGAAAGAAGCAGAATGGAGTTGATGACCACCAGTCGCGAGAGACTAGGTAGCCAACAACCCTCAGAGATCCTCTCAGCATCGCTTCGCGGATCGAGCGCTTCAAGGCAGTCGGAAACTCGATCGTGGTCAAAACCGCGATCACTACTTCGACGGTCCGCTACGCCTCGTCCCATCCTTTTCCCAAGTCCTCCTCATGAGGTAGACACAAATCCGAAGACAAGAATTGAAGACTCGATGGACGAGGCTCCTGAATTCGACATGCCGTTATTCGATACTGCTGATGGTTGGGACTCTGGCGCTTCGGACAATGAGGTTGATGACCGTTGCGTTGGAGAAGACACATTCTTGCACGCTCTTGGAAAGAATGGAAAGACTTCGACACCGGTGAGGCTCTCAGGGCCACCGGTACGCATGTCTTCGACATCGCCTGCCATCGGATCCACTCAGGTCGAATCTGCTGTCAGCGTCGGAACACACGGACTCCTTCCTTCATCCGTGGACACTGTAGCCTTAGTCTCCGAGCTCAGCGAAAGAGACGGGAGCGAAACACCTCGAAGCATCAGTGGTCCAGTGGAACTCCCCAATTCCCCGAGCTTCCGTGTACAAGCTGATCAAGGTTCAGAATCAGCACCTATGGAACAAGGTCACTCTCTGGAAAGCGTGGACGATGTCGAGACCAGCATCATTGTTCAAGACAATTCGGACGATGATAATCCAGGGTATAGAATATCAAGATCCCTGATTGGTGTTGAAGAGGACAACTTCAGCGAGAAGCACGCTTGTCCTGGTTCCGAGCATTCACCGAAAGACCAGAACATCGAGGACATCATTGCTGCTCATCTGACACCAGAAGCCAAAAGGGCTTGGCCTACGACCGATCCGAGCTCGCCCGTTGTGACGCCCATCCTCAAAGTGGCGACACCCATGTTGTCTTTCAAGCGTCAGTACGTAACTCGACGAGATCTTGCCAAATCCACGTTCACGTTCGAGCTGGCCACCAAGACTTCTGACCGAATAAATGAGCAGCAAGAAATCTGCAACGATAGCGCAAGCGATGACGGTATTCAGAATGCCATCGACCGATCTCTGCTGGCAGAAGATATCGATGGGATTGGCATTGAGGAGCCTGAAGCATCTTCTAAGCTTCGAGAGATGCCAGACTCTGCAATCGTTCGTGATGCGGCTTCAGATGGTCAGGATGGTTCCGAGCCCTCAGGCAGTATATCTGGAGACGTGACCATGGAAGCGAATAGTGACGAATGGGATATCTCAGTCGGACAGGCAAAACCCGATTTTGGCTCACCAAACGTCGACCCATCCGCCATCCTTCCGAGTGCCCATTCAATTGCGGGATCGATTGCGGGCAGTGACGAAGATGATACGGATGAGCCGGCACGATATTCTCGGCGCACAGTTGCTTCTCTCATCGACGCCATCCGCTTCAAACTTCCGCCAGCGGCTGATCCCACGAAATCCGATGCACTTGGATATCAGGAGCTTGAGATTGAGGACAATCTTATGTCTCGGAAAGAAGAGGAGATTGATGCGCAGCAGCATGTGCCAGAAGATATCGTAGAAGAAGCCACGCGAGAGCAGGAGGAGATGACTCAGGAGAAAGAAGGAGAGGAGACGGATGTGGTTGCTGTGGTGGACGCGTCGGCTGTCAATCAGCACGAAGAATCACGGGGTGTGGAGGACCGGGACAGTGTCGCCAGCCACATCCCTGAACCTACTCAAGCCGCCTTCGAGTCCGAGTTGTCCAAAAAGTCACCGACCAGGCCTGCCTCGCCTTTTAGACTGACTCCTCTCGAGACGAACCCTCCGGTCCAGACTGGTCGGAAGCTGCCAGAATCAGGCCCAGAACCCGCTGATATCTTATTGCAAGTTACGGAAACGCCTGCATCGCTACCTGAAATTGTGTCCAATGTTACGGATAGAGGCGATTCGAATCCACCTACTGCCCAGGCGAAGACACACAGGATATGCCTAACATTGGTCCCAAAAGGAGTAATCAAAGTCGAGCCCGTTTCGCAGACAATCAGCTTGCTGGGAGGCGCAGCGTTTGCTGAGACGGCTCTCCCTGCTTCGTCTGGCATGTTCACCGATCCGCAAGATGGAGGTCCACATCTGGATCCCACATTGCATCATGACCCTTTGCCTGACGTTGCAGCCGAGTCCCCCGTTGTTCCGCTATCGTCCGCCGAGGCAGACGGCGTGGCAACGAACGATGTCAGCTCCGGGGATGCGACAATCAGCTGTCCAGACGAGTCTGGCGCGTCAATAGGGCCAATGGATACTCCCTCGCCCTTCATGCCTCCCAGCCAATCTGGTCGAGAAAGACCTCTTCCTCCGGTCTTGAGGTTTCCTCGAAACAACTCTCCGAAAGGTCCATCCCTCGAGCTGGTGCTGGCCAGTCGAGTCAAGCACCCTTCTCGACTGTCCAATTACATCACTGCGTCAGCTAGCTCATCTCCGGAGAAGCTCACGGTTGAAGCGGGGAGCAGACTTCCGTCAGATCCGATACGGGATGTCGTCGGAGTGTCAATGCTCGAGGAATGTCAGACTGCACGGTCTGCAGTAGCAGAAATTGCCACTCAACCAGAGGATGTCAACGAGGGGGATGTTCTCGCCGCATGTGGCTCCGCATCTGCCTCAGCATTGGGTCTGTCTGGACTAAGTGGACGCTCGGCATCTTTGTCAGCTCCTGGGCCGTCCTCAGCTGGTGAAAGATCCCCCGGTTCCCGGTCTTTCCGTTCTTTGGCCGATGAGATGGCCACATCGTCTCAGGGCGATATGTCCACTTGGAGCCAGGTTCACGGCTCACTGGTCGAAGTGTCTTCCCTTGATCCAAGGGCAGCTGCTAGAGCGGCAGCCATTCTGAAAATGGTGGGTCAGATCTTGAGCTGTACTTGTGGACTGATGCATCTCTAGAACCACGCCTACATCCAGGACGGGATTCTTCCAGTCACACCTTCTGCCGCCTCTATCCCGCTGCCTCTTACACCATCAACCTCTACAACGCGACGTATACATCGGACTCCGAGACCGTTTGAATCACCCTATTTTGAGAGTATCGAGTTATCACGTCACTTGAGCGAAGAAGAACTCCTTCACGAAGCCGAATTGGAGATTGTTGCCAACAGCCGACACCGGTCCAGAGGCCTCAGCATGGCTAGGGATATGGACAATGGGTACTCGAGCGATGCTAGCGAGATGCTATTACCTGGAGGATGGGCCAGGACACCTCGCAAGCGCAAAATGTCAGAAGCGATGCCTGAGGCTGATCGGATCGTTGCAAAGACGTCCCTTCGATCTACAATGGGATCCGACCGGCCCTGGGGAGTGAAGGAGTGGAAGCGGCTGGAAAAGGTGTATCGAGCGGAGAAATTGGCGTGGTCTCAGGATCAAGGTGGTGCTAATGTGTCACCACCCGGCTGGCTAGGCTGGGCTGCTGCCAAGTTTGGTGCGCCATCTGCAAAGAACAAGGAATGGGACATTGGAAGAGTTGTTCAACGCTTTCTAGAACTCGAGTGCGCTGAAGGATCTGACGGGGATTGGTCATCGTGAGTCAGCAGCTCTATGGCTGGATGAAAGGCTGATCGATGTCAGGACCCTCATCCGACTCAGAGTCGAGGCGATCGAGAGGCGACAGTCACGACGCAAAGGCGGCGGTGCCGATGCTAGGCTTGACGCTCACTCCAGTAAGCGACAGCGAACGAACCTGGAGACCCCAAGACGGCAAGAGGCGACAGACAACTCAATCGCGATCGTTCCGCCCAGCACGATCCGCAGACTCTTCGGTTCCATCTGGGGTTCATCGTTCACAGTCGCCCGTTCGGAGAAGAGCGCTGGAGTCAAGGAGGACAATGCAACTACTCCTGTGTCATCTAGTCTGACCCTACAGCAAGCCGTCGGAGAGCAATCTGTCGACCCGCCTTCGATCACGGCTCCATCCCAAGTGCAACCCGTGAAGCAAGTCAGGACTTCAACAATCACCGACTCGACACCGAGTCGGTTCCAACCTGCTCATCCTTCTTCACCCGCTTGGTCGCCTGCGTTGCCTGTGCCGGGAGCCATGCCTCGCTCGCCAAAGCCAAAGCCCCCGCCTCTGCACCTTCAGAAGCCATCTGTCGCTACCGACTCCACCGGACCCAATGACCCAGCAGGCATATATGGATCCTCCCCTGTCACTTTGTCTGCTACGTCATCAACACCTACCATAAGAACCAAATCACTGTACCCACCACTTTATCCCGATTTGTCAAAACGGGCTGAACCCATTCGTAATCTGTTCGAGACGCCCTCTACAACTAGATTATCGCCTTCTTCTTCTGTTTCTGTGCCCATATCTATCCCCAGAGGTCGTATTCCGAGTCCTAGTGTCAAAGAGCTCGCAAAATCCTTTGAGGACGAAGGTGTCTTGAGTAAAATGTACAAAGGAAAAGCCAAAGAGAGGGAGAAGAATGCTCTGCGCCGAGTGCAGAATAGAGGTGGGTAGACTCTCCAGTTGCCGTATTTTATAATCTATGCATACGTATAGACCTCGAGCAATCTGCTTTTGGCTGAGTCGGCGTTCAATGTATCCGCACTAGGTTCAGGGATAGTCATGTATTCACTTCCGTGTACTACATCGCTTATCAATAGCACAAACTCTTGGCAGCAATCTCTGTACGAGCACCTCAATGTACGAATCTGTAGACGCCGTCAGCTGATGACTCGAGTGACGCAAGATTGACTGACTTGAACAGAAGACTCCTGCTTCCCTCCAGCTCTGCTCTCTGAGCCACCTCTTGCTTTTCCATCGGTGGCAGACTCTGCCACCTTTGTACTCGTTTCCTATTGGTTCGTTTATAATCGAGCTTGATGAGTATCCACAGGATGATGGCCGCGCCACAAAAGGCAATGTTGATATCGTTTCCTCTTTTGTACTGAGGCGAGTCGTCTGCACGATAGATCTGAACGGTATGAGAATCTTGTCCTGGCACGCAGATACAGAGCTCCACCGGCTCACCTGACTGGCCCAGACGGCATAAATGTTAGCTGCGCCAATGATGGCTCCACTGGCGACCGTCCGTTTCGCCACGCCTGCGGTGTTTTCCGTCATCCAGCCTGAGACCCATCAGCAGTGATCTTACGGCTAGCTGGAGATAGAGCCTAGCGTACCAATGTTCAAGCTGTGAGTCTGAGGCCAGCTGCCAGCGATAAGTGCTCCGGCGTATTTTGCACCTCGGGGTGCATCCTCAGGTAAGACGCGAAGAATGACGAATCCCACCAAGAACCAAGTGGCGCCGAACAATCCATGTAGACCTCTCTCCTTGGTCTTATCAGAGTGCCAGCCCATGAGAACCATGGATATACATTGAAGAATGTACACAGGCGCGGTGAGAGCATTGGCAGCAAAGACGGAATATTTGAAACTTTTGATGACGGTGGGCAGATATGTTCCTAGAGGTGCTCCGGGAGTCAGACCGATCACTTTGAAGAGCGTCAGGGGGGAGCCTCTTCATGATAAACTCACTGGTAAGGATCAAGTGCGCCCAGACATGACGATCCGTCAAGGCATCTTTAATATCGTACAATGTCACTCGAGTGGTCAAGTACTTGAGTTTGTTCGGATCATCTCGAATAGTCCGAGTGACAGCGATGCTCTGTTGACGTTCATCGAACCAACCCTCTGTCCTGCTAATTGTCCGTAGTCCCCCTGCTGTAGTGGCAACACTTCCAGGAAGGTAAAACCATAGCCACACAGCCACAGTCAACGTCAAAGCTCCGTCAACAAGGAAGAGCCACCTGCCACAAATGGATCAATGGCTTGTGGAAATGTTCAGTGCGAGTTGACACCCACTTCCAGCCATACAGGCCTCTGACACCGTGCAGCCTCAGTAATCCACTCGCCATGATACCGCTAACTGCCGATGCTACCGCTTGGATCCCCCAAAACCAGGACAATCGAGTGACCAGTTCATCTGATTTGTAAAATGTTCCCAGGTAGACCAATGTGGCGGGGATGACACCTCCTTCGGTCAGTGCCTGCGAGATCGTCAGATTTACATATTACAGTCGGCTTCGTGACTCACAATAAAGGATCTGACGAGAAAGTATCCAGCCTCATTCGTGATTGCTGCGTGTGCGAGTGTGACGCTAGACCAGGAGGTCAACAAGATTTCAAACAAGGCTCACTCGCATGTCACCTACATTCCCCATGAGAACATGGCTAATGGTCTGAAGCGTGGACAGCATTAGTGGCGGTCTTTTGCATGAAAAATGCTCACATGTATCGGTGGGGGCCGACGAACTTCCCAACAACGGCTCCAAAGAGGGTCGCGATGGTGAATATCACAGCATACACCTGACTGTGGAAAGTGTCAGCGACGTGCAGTTCTTGGCGAAATGTTTTGACTCGCTTAGCAGTGTTGACAGTGTTGATCGTGAAGCCGAGGTCCTGAGGTAGACCCGCAGAAATAGCATTCGAGATATTGGTGCGGTCCTGAGTGATTGTCAAAATAGGAAGGGCTTCACTATGTACAGAGACACTCACGATGTTCAGGACAAAAGTCGACAGTAGGACCGCTGTGAAAAGCCTTGTATCCAGCTTTCGAATGACTTTACCCTCCTCTTCCTTGGTATATACCAGTTCCTCTATGAATAAATCCTGTTCTGATGCCGAACGATCTCTCAACACTTGTCTGTAGAGCTGTTGCAAGTCTTCGCCCTCATCCTCACTACTGGAGGTATCTGTAAATACGTCCTTGCCGTCATCAGAGGGGGCCGCGCGGGTGGCAGAAAGATTGACCAACTCTCCTTCCTTTGACATGGTAAATTGGAATACAGTAGCACTGAGCTACGGAACAACACCCTGAGACTCATATACGTCAGTCTGAGAGCACTTTACACATCGAAAGAACAAGCCGAGTCGGTAACAATGATGGAATGCCCCGGGCATTCACGATGGCGACAGACATACGACATACTGTACGTGATCCGACAAAACCAAATGTTCTTCGAAAGCTTCACAAGTACCCCTCCGTCTCGGATTCTGAAGGCGGATAGCAGATCTATGTATTTCTGACCGCTCTCCTCCTTGCAGATGAGTACTGCGGCTCACAGTATCGCTCTCTAGTCCGAGATCCCGCAGATGCTACAGGACACATTCCGTGCATGATCAGAATGGCGTGCGCATTGCTCCATTCCACCCGCCACTAGTCTGTTGAGTAAAATGATACAGTAGTGCGTAAATCCGCCACTTTGCCGATAAGATAATACACCGGAAGCGAAAATGAAGGCGTGATGATGGGTGATGGGGGAAATGGAGGTGAATGTGGACGGTAGGAGCGAGATCTCAGAGCATGTAACGCTTAGCCCAGCATGAGCAATGATCACGTCACAATGCCTTCGGCTTCGTCCTACGAGTTGCTGAACACCGATGAGGCTCGGGTATAAAAGACTCTTGAGGTAGAAGGAGCTGCCAGCATCTACTCCAGCAAAGCCGTGAAAATGACTGCCACACAAGCTCAGACACAGACGCGGCACGACTCGCATGTCAAGGGATCCATCGCTCTTCGAGCCCATCCTACTCCTCTACAAAGGAACGGTTCGCTGAACAAGTACGAGTCATTTGACGTGACTCCGGTCATTGGTTCAGAATACAAGGACATCCAGTTGTCTGATATCCTAAATTCGGCCGACAAGGATGTGTTGTTGAAGGATTTGGCTGTACAAGGTCAGTAACTTTGTGCTTTTTTAGACTGCCTTGCTTACCGAGCTCAGTCTCTCAACGAGGGGTAGTGTTTTTCCGGGGTCAAGACATAACTGCAGAGCAAGAGAAGGAACTGGTCGATGCTCTCGGTGTAGTGAGCAGATCACTTTCTACGTCACGCCGAGATTGATGCAATATGCCACAGTTAACCGGAAAACCAAGTACATCCACCTTGCATATCCACCCTACAACAGAAGATACATCCCCCAAAGGCGATCAGATCAGCATGTGAGTCGAGTCAGGCATCTCAGCTGAGATGCCACAGCATCACTAGCAAGAGGCAGTCTGAGTACAGTCGTGGGGATCGCTCAAAGCTAGCGTCCGTTGGCTGGCACGCGGATATCACCTTCGAACCTGTCCCGAGCGATTATGCGATATTGAAGGTAAGGAATCTCGCATGCCACTCATTCGCTCGCTCCCCTGCTTATGCCTTGCCAAGATTCACACAAACCCCGACGCGGGTGGCGGAGACACACTCTGGGCAAGCGGATACGAAGTCTACTCACGCCTTTCACCCCCCTTCGCAAAGTACCTTGAAGGTCTCGAGGCCCTGCATGAGGCTTCTTTCTTCAAAGACGCAGCCAAGAACTACGGCATAGACTTACGAGAGGGTGAAAGAGGCAGTCCTGCAAACAAGGGCGGAGACCTGTCAGCTGTACACCCTGTCATTCGTGTCAGTGAGTGGATCTGAGACCAAGTCAGAAGGCACCGCTAACAAGATAAGACCCCGTCACTGGCCTGAAGAGCGTTTTCGTGAACAAAGGATTCACCCGTCGGATCTTGGGCATCACCAAAGACGAATCGGATCTCGTCCTGAACTACCTCTTTGTGAGTCATCTTGAAGTCGACTTTATTACCAGAGCTAACAATGATCTTAGAGCCTGGTATCAGAGAATCATGATCTTCAAGTGCGATTCCGCTGGTCAACCAACAACAAGCCGGGAATAGGTGATGTTGCCATCTGGGACAATAGATCCAATTATCACACTGTCGGTCCTTGATCAATCAGAAGTCATTGCAGATACTGATGAATTTAGGCCACCTTTGACTATGGCAGGTCATTGCGCGTTGGCGACCGCGCGGTCTCCATTGGTGAGAAGCCGTACTTTGCCCACGACGGAAAGGAGCGTCGAGAGTCTTTGGGTCTGCCGTCGTGGCACCAATAAAGGGGTCCCGGTCAGAAGTTGTAATGGCTTAAACAGAACTGTCGATCGAGCCAGATGCATCAGATCTGAAGCATCTTCACTCCCTCCGGTACCGGTAGAGGACGGAGCTCGGTGGCATCGGCGTGTAGCCACACATGGGCGACGGACCTGCTGACCGTCAAGAGCCTCTCATCATGGAACCTGAGGGGATCAGTTGATAGATAGACTACATACGAGTTTTCACGCATGACTCACCTCGGTCCCACCAGTGTCAAACCCACAGGCATACCGTTCTCTCCCGCAAAACCTGGCACATTGACACAAGGAACATGCAGAACGGTCCACATGGCGTTGAAGATGTGTGTTCCGGTTTTAGTCCCCTGTGGTGCTTCCCCGGGTACTGAAGGGGTCACGATAGCATCATACTGCTCTGCGATCGCATCAAATCGTGGTCTTAGGGCTGGGATACTGTCCAAAGCGTGCAGATATTGTTTCTGGCTGATGGCCGATCTAGCTTCAACCTTTTCCACGAGCATCTGAGCGAGGTGTCGACGGTTGACGGGATCCTCATACTCGTTGTAAAAGTTTAGACCGGCATCCCAAGACATGATATCGGCGTGCCTCCCGTTCACGATATTCTCGAAGTCTTGTCCCAGATCGAGGTCTTCCACATGAGCGCCTGCCTCTTCCAGGAGCTGACGAGATTTTGCCCAAGCTCGTTCAACCTCTCTGGAGGGTTGGCCTTCGCTATCCCATACTACAGTCTTTACGTATGCGAACCGGCAGTCAGAGAGCGGCTTTGGGAGCATCGGTGGTGGAACGTCGTCGTGCACATTGAGAACCTTCAGCAATAGCTGAAGGTCCGTGAGTGATCGAGCGTAGAGCCCCGGTGTATCGAGAATCAATGAAGACACCTTGATTCCGTCCCTCGATATAGAGTTCCAGCTAGCCCCAGGCTCAGCCAGACTCACGACAATTACTCACGTAGGCTTGATGCAGAAGATTCCGTTGAAAGAGGCAGGGCGAACCATGCTACCTTGGTTTTGCTCAGCACTTCGAACTACGCTATGATTTGCCTAATGAGCCTCGGGCTCACCTCCGGTCTGTGTACCTAAGGCTAGCTGGCACTGAAAATCCCTGACAGCGGCTCCTGATCCAGAAGATGATCCTCCTGGTGTACGTGAGGCATCGTACGGATTCAAGGTAGGTACATTGTCCATTGTACTGGCGAACTCGGTAGTCACCTATCATCCAGCTCAGCTTGTATCTCCCGGTCTTCTTCCATTTGGCTCACCGTCTTGCCCAGTATCAAGACTCCAGCATTCCGTAAGACGTGGACCAATGGCGCGTCGGATCCAGGTCGATGGCCTTGATATGCCTTTGACCCATATGTGGTGGGCATATCTGCACCTTCAGCGGAGCGGAGAGTTGACACGCACCCAACGTATCTGTCCCGGTTAGCCACAAGTCATGCAGGACATACGACATCGAGCTCACTCATGACATCTTTGACACCCAGCGTCGCACCAAAAAGAGGACCCCTCTTCTCCTTTGGGAGACTATCAAGTCGAGCCGCTTCTTTTAGTATTCTCTCGCGATCATAATGTTCCCATGCGCGGACTGCTGGATCTCGTTGCTCGAACCTTGCAATGTGATCTCGAGCAAGCTGAAGAATGCTCAATTCATCTTTGGCGGCCAGAGCGATCGTCTCTGAGGCTGTTAGATAGCTGGAGGATATTGGCATTTCGAGGCTCTGTCGCAGACATCTCGACAATCAACTGGCTACAGAATGGAACATCTTGGCAATCGCTTTTCGGCAACTCGGAACGAGGTTCCGGTCGATCGAGGTTGCAACGGGTATTGGATGATAAGTATGTACAAAATGATTGACTATACAAAGGGCATGAGAACACGCAAAGGATCCAACGGTCTGGCATCATGTGAATGGGGTTTGAGTCTAGAGCTGAGGAGGGAAAGGTGACTCCGTTATCGCTATGGAGGCGCTCCTGCGAAGGCTTGTTCAGCATACTCAGATACCAAGCGCGGGGATACAGACCTTATGTGATTGACCCAGCCCTGGAATTTGTTAGCTATGGACGGAAAAGGATCGCTGCACAAGAGGCTTACCGGAAACTGTGCTCTTGCCCAGAGCACAACTCTATCACCGGGCTTGGCCATGGCAAGAAGCTTGTGATCGGGTTCAAAGGTGTTGACGTGTTCCTTAAAATACTGTCCGGCTGCCGCAAATGTTGAGCTTCACGAAGCCACCTCGCACGACACTCTACTGACCGTGTACGTTGTGTTGAAAGTCTATTCTTGAACCTTCAACGTCCTTGCCGTTCCGCAGTAATGATAGCTCAAACCAGGTATAGGACTGCTCATACGTGCCTATATGGGAGCGGAGTGAGATCCCAACTCTGAAACTTAAAACTCACCATAGTGCTCTTGACTCGAGCTGGACCATCCTTGATCTTTAGACATCGTGTGAACCACAATTTTTCTGATCCAAGACTTGGAAGCACCGCCTGCGTCTCCGCCAGATGAGTCTGACACCAATTCTAGATCTGAAGGCGGATCTTCTGCCCTCAGGCGATCCTCCTCCTGTCGATAGCCGATAGGCTGCGAGACGAGGTACCAAAGCGCACCAGGTTCGTCGGTCAGGCCCGCGTCCTCGACGTCAATCTCTTCTTGAAGATCCAGCTCTTGCCCGTTCCTCCACTGACCACCCAGGCCTGGTCTCACTCTCGGATTCCGTGCTCCAGCAGCTAAGGCTACGTTTCTTGCCAAACTGACGTTTGACTCCGAGTAATATGCCGCGTATTCGAGAATCAAAGGGATGAGTTCGGGTGGCAATCCTGTTCCCAGGAGGAGGTCGTGAGTTTCCAAGATATCCTGGCGCGACGGCACATAGGCGTCTGACTTGCTATTGTATAGCAGATCCGAGACTGCAGAGACAAACTTCGGTGGGAAAAGCGAGCGTGCAATGGATGGTAGGGAGGGCGTAGTGGGTGGAACACGCGGAGGCCGAGTGACCGGAGTGGTCGGTGACGGCGCTGACGCTGGCGATGGTACTGGAGCTTGGACGGCATTTGCGGCGGTCGGAGGCTGCGTGGAGGCATCTGAATTGATCAAGGTCTCATTGGCATTGGGGGGATCCTGCAGAGATAGGGACTGCATCGAGCCCATGATGAGTCAAGTCTAATGCCCGGTGGCAAGGAGGTGCAGCGGGGAATGCGAGAAGATGTAGAAAGTCAAAAATGACGTTGAGTACTACTATTCATTCCAAAATTACAACTGGCCTTTGTGGACTTCGTCTCTCTTTTTGTTACGTGTCTGACACTCAAAGAGCTGGCAGACGAGCTGCTCGGGGCTCAAGATGAGTGATAGTAGAGGTCCCAATGAGCATGGGGAGTATGATATCTGTGCGTGATCATACTTATAACGCTGTAGGCTAACATGACGATAGCTAAACCTCGTTTTGACTTATCCACCTATGGTATGTCTATATCCTCTACAGCTGTTTTCAGCCCAACCTGTGGTAGCCTGTGCTGACATCCTACAGCTGGAAGACTGCGATACTTTTACTCCTCTACTTCCCCCTTGACCCTTCTTGCGTCCTCGCAGCAACTCGCTCAAGCTCAAGCCGATGTCCAGAAGTATGAGGGGTTGATTAAGGAGCGTAGTCCAAAGGCTCTCTGGGTCAATGGAAAGGTGAAGGAACAATATGACCATGCGAAACAACGTGAGGCGGATGTACACGGTGGAAAGATTTAGCATTACTGACCTATCGCAGTGGTCAATTCGTCCATTCATCCTGATACTGGCAAACCCGTCCCTCTCCCGTTCAGAATGTCTGCATTTGTACCCACCAATCTAATGTGAGTGTGGTAACAGACATGAGCGCGTGATGCCTGTATTCTGACATTCCTCAGTATATGTGTGAGTTACAAATGCCGACCGTACGTCAAGGCAATCTGACCAGTGCATAGGCCGGTATGCTCATGCCAAATCCGAGCTTGAAAAGCGTCATTTTCTGGCAGTGGGCGAACCAGACTCTGAACGTAGCAGTCAGTACTCCGGGATTCACGCAGGCCATTTAGCATCTGATCCTGGCTACAGGTGAACTTCAGCAATGCGAACAAATCCATTCAAATGACGCCTACAGAGATCGGCACCGGTGAGCAGGGAAACGGGGAACAAATCCAACAAGGACTCACGACCTATCAGCGTATGCCGCCGCCACTGCAACATCCGTACTCATTACTGTCGCTCTCACTCGAGTCGTCCCTCATCTCCCTCTATCACATGCCACTAAAGATATTGTTGGTCGACTGGTGCCTTTCGTATCCGTGGCAAGCGCTGGAATAGTGAAGTGGGTGTCGATCGAGCTGATCCATTCTCTACACGCTGTGCTGATCTTTTTGCAGTATCTCATGTATCAGATGGAAAGAAATGCGAGACGGAGTGAGCGTATTCAAGCTTCACAAAGACCCAGAGTCGGGTCTGGAGCAGAAGGATGATCTTGGAAAGAGTCCAAAAGCTGGCCAAATGGCCGTCATGCAATCTGCTGCAAGTCGAGTCATGACGAACATGTAAGCGCGTCGTCTTTTGTGGACCCCCTCCAGCTACTAACCATCTTTTCACTCAGGCCGACACTTGTCATTCCGCCTTTACTCATGACCATGCTGGAGAGACGTGGAGTGTTTGGCGGGCCAAGGGGAAAACTTATCTCCAACATCACGAATCTCACCCTGAGTCAGTTGTGCCGAAGTCCCCAAAGACTATGTGCTAACTTTCCTGCTCTCAGTCGGAGTGGCCCTCGGAGTCTTCCTGCCACCAGCCATCGCTTATTTCCCACAGACCGCGCAGACTGAACCCAAGAAGCTAGAGGAGCGCTTTCACTCCGAAACTGGACCCGTATACTTTAATAAGGGCTTATAGATCATCCCCTAGGATCGATGAATATAACCATGCCCTGGCTCCCAGCTGTTCTACAGAGGCACCTGACCTGTAAATCCGGAAGTTGTCGAGCAGCTCGCACCAGTCTATCTTCAAGAGCTCACACATGACTCGAAATTGCCATGCATGATCTGTCGATGGTAGTCTATAGGTGCTTAACCAGAAATATTATGCTGCTCTAGCGCTCAGATTCGGCGAGCAATTCGTTCGTGTATTTTGACCAGATCAGACTGATCTCAGTCAGACATCTATCCAGGTGCAGACTCACAGTACATCCCATGGCAGTCACGTCGGCACCAGCGCCAGCGCCTTGGATAATTAGGGGTCTGGGAGAGTATCTGTAGGGTGTTCTCAGCCTGCGGCTAGAAACCTGTGTGATTGATCCCGGACTCACCGCTTGGTGTGGAATGAGATGATGTTGTCAGATCCCTGCAAAGCAGTAGCGAAAGCATGGTCATGAGGATACCTGATGGTCTGTCAGAACTAGACGCCTCGCTCTCGGGGTGACGTGCCTCTCCAGCTTGGCTTCGACTTTGCCAGCCTTCAAATCGATGACTCCGACATAACGCACGACCTTGCCTTCTTTCGCGGCTTCCTCCCTCAAGTTCGAGAAGTACGCATCGCCTTCTTCCAGACGGGAGAGATAGTCTTCCTTTGAGCTTGCGTCCGCCAACACGTCTGGTACAAGCGACTGAGTCGGGACAGAGGCATAGCCTTCGGGTAATGGAGCAGACGACGGGATCAGTCGGGACAGTATGGTGAGTTTTCGAGCCACATCCGTGCCCGACAAATCATCACGAGGATCGGGCTCCTGTTGGCCCATGTCAGTCAAGATCTGAGATGGGTCATGAGCTATGAGATTTTTCTCACAGTGTAACCCTTGTCCTTTGCGATTTTGACGACCTCCGAAAACTTGACGTCTCCCCCTCCAACCTTGCTGAATTCGTTAAAGATGTAGCTTAAAGTCCCAGAAAAGACTCCCTCAATCTTCTCCACTTCATCTCCAGTAGCAATCAGATCTTTGAGTGTCGACAGGATCGGAAGTCCAGCGCCAACTGTACTCTCGCCGTAAACCAAGGCATTTCCGTGCGGAAAGCTTGCACTTTGAATGCGGCTGTAGAGCTCTAAGGAGCCCGAGAAGCCCTTTTTGTTGGGTGTGACTAAGTGAACGCCCATCGACAAGATTTGAGAATAGAGAGCAGGGACGACATCAGAGCCTGTTGCGTCTATCAAGATACCAGGAGCGTCTGGATGGGTTGAAAGGACTGAAATGACGGAGGGAATATCGAGCTGTGTACCGTGAGCTTCGAGTATCGGCAAGTAGTTGTTTGGGGTGATTGGTGATGCAGGAAGAGGTAAAGAGAGAGACAGCCGAGAGTTGGCGATGAGTATGAGCTGGAATCGAGACGACAATGGTGGCGATAAAAGTTGGGTGAGAATAGCACGACCCACTCCTCCGAGTCCAATGAGAGCAACCGGAACAGGCCTCAGAATGACGGACATGATGAATGTGAGGTGAGAAAGAGATCGCTATGCCAAGGGCACAGAGGTCACTTCCAAAAGCTTTGATCAGGTAGGTTGGCGGCGCAGCTCACGAAGACGAGGTATGACGATAACGGTACAATGGATCATCCAACTGAACATTTTTCGGTGTCATTTCGGACTCGTCGGAAATTTGCTACAATCTCTGCGCTACATTCTCTGCACTCTATATCGTCAATGCGAGACCTCTGACAGAGGGGAAGGCTATGCCGCGGTGTATGTGACTCGGCAACTTGATACATCGCTCCGGTGCTTCTCGAGTCTCGACTGGAAGATGCGCTCTGATGGGTCTACCGCATCTTACGCGCCTGGAACGCTTTCTCGTTTCCCCCCGTCCTATCGGTTCGCCATGGCTTAATGGCCCCTCAGCGGGGTTTCACTGGACGCCACGGGCAGACCGATCCAAACACAGGGGGTCACTGGATGTGTATAGCAGGTATAGAGCTTCTGTGAGGCCTCCTATCGCTGGGACAGATATCTTCGAGACGGCATCGACAGTTCCGGCAGGAACGTCATTACAGGAGATCCCGAAGGACGCCTCAACGCGATGGCAAGCACCCATACCAGCGATGAAAAGCGTGCCGCCAATTGTAGCTCAGGAGATTTCCTCCTCTACTTCTGAAGGCATCACGATTGAGGGTATTCACGTCCCAGTCAAACCTCGCAGACCGGGCGAAGAAGGTTAGGTTGCTCCTGACTTAGTGAAGAAAAGACTCTGATGCGACCTTCTCCTTCTTCAGAATGCTGCATGTCTGGTTGTGCTTATTGCGTGTACGATATCTATGCCGAAGAGCTCGAAGCGTACAATGAAGCTGTCAGAGAGACGAGAAGCAAGCTCGAAGCTAAGTCAGTCCCTCCGTCCGACTGGCCCCAAGCAGTCCGGCCGAGCGAGACGGGGTCTGGCCGAGTCGCCGTGGAGGAAGAAGTCGTGGACCCGAGTATGTCTGCATTCCTTGCGTGAGTATCTTGCATCAGACCGCAGACGATGCTAATTCCGCGATCAGACTGGAAATGAAGCTTCGGAAGAAGCAAGCACCAACAGGCAACGGTGCAGCTTTATAGCTTTGTATATCCGATCTAAGCCTCACTGTTGTCACACTGTATCACCATCATCATCGCTCTAATAGACAATTGAATGCATCAAGGAGATATCATGAACCCATCCAAACACCATCTAAGCAGTCACCTTGTCAATAATAGCTTTCGTCATGTCGTTGGTGGAATTTGTTCCTGTCGATTTGTCAGCGTAGAGTTCGTGCATCGACAATGCTTCTCACCCTTCATGTCTGGTGTCCTGACCTTGCCCTCAGCGATGACTTGGTAAACAGCATCAGCAATGAGGTTAGCCTGGGTGTCGAGTCCGAGGTGTCGCAACATCATGGTTGCGGACAGGATCAAGGCACTTGGGTTGGCTTTGGCGGTTCCCATAATATCCTATCCAACACGTCAGCTGATGGCGGCGGGCGGTAGAAGAGGTCTCAGCCTCACCTTTCCAACGTGTCTGCAACCTGGTTCAAAGAGAGCGTATTCCTGTTGGCCCGTCAGTTCTGAGGTATTGTGATTCGATTAGCCTTTGCACTGACTCTGCCGAAGTTGCATCCAGGCACAATTCCTGGGCCTCCGACGAGGGCAGCACCGACGTTACCGACGATGGATCCGTAGAGCTAGAATAAGGTCAGACTTAAGGTTCATGTATCACGAGAGATTCTCACATTTGGCTGAGGCAAAATCAGCTCCATCATCTTGTACCTTGTAAAGAGCTAAACTCACCATGACCATGACATCGAACTGCTGAGGTTTCGAAACGAGCTGCATGGCAGTGTTGTCGACGATCATACTGTCGAACTGAATGCCAGTGTGTCCGTACTCCTTCTCGGCAACCCGCTTGCAGGTGTTAAGGAAGAGACCATCACCAAGCTTCATAATGTTGGCTTTGTGAATACAGGTGACTTTCTGCGATGAAGGTGAGCAAACCTAATGATTTCGCCACGAGTGAGAACTCGTCGGCTCACCTTTCGGTTGTTTTTGATGGCAAAGTCAAAGGCGAACCTTGCGATTCTCTCCGCCTTAGCCCTGGTGGACACCTTCAAACTCTCTACCACGCCTGGGAAACTCTGGTGCTCCAGACCAGAGTACTCTCCCTCCGTGTTCTCTCTGATGATCGCAAAGTCGACATCCTTGTGTCGAGTTGGGAATCCAGGAAGAGTCTTGCAGACCACGACTGAGGCATAGATGTCCAAAGTCTGTCTCATGGCCACATTCCACGAGTTGTGACCGGTCTGGTCGATGGGGGTGTAGAGAATTCCTGAAAACGCATTAGACCTGTGACTGTAAGGCAAAGGTGCATCAGCTCACCCTTGAGTCCAACTTTGTTCCTCTTCAGTGACTCCATAGCCTGCCTGAACAAATCATCTCCTCCGGTGGTCTCTCCAGAAACGTCATATTGCTCCCACTCGACTGGCACTTTGATAGACTCGAAAATCTCCTTGACGGAATCGGCGACTTCCTTCCCAATACCGTCTCCAGGGATCAATGTGACAGTGTACTTGCCTCCGATTTTTGAAGGCAGCTAGCCATTGCATGCGAGTCAACAGGCTGCTACAGTAATTCAAACGTGACACTCACTCTGGCGTCATCGAGAACAGTAGCCATGGTTCGCATGGGTATGTTGGTGCGAGAGGCATTGACAGCTGCCCTTAAAGCAGAACTGCTGGAGGCCCGGACGGATGCCAGCATTTTGAGACTCGAGATTGGAGTGTGGAAGTGTGAGGACCGTAGAAGTGAAGATGCAGGACTGATGCAATGTAAGTCACAGGAGATGATTTTCGTCCGTCCCCCCTCTTCTGGGCTGTTTTGGCTGTTCGGTCATTCCCGGCCGACCAATTCCGATCCCTCAAAGAAATAATTTTGCATCGCTGATGGCTGTTCGACGACGAGCACAAGGGGTCTGATGGCGAGTAGACTGACTAGAGTCATCAGACAGCTCAATACGGCCAGCAGATCCATGATGGAAGCGTCTCAGTCGTCTCTAGAAGCTGGACCTTCTCGCCCGACGGTGTCAGCAGCAGACAAATGGGTCAAGCCGAATGGTCCGCCAGTCGGAGTGACTTTTGGCGCAAGGACATTGGGTGAGGATCAAGATGTATGGGAGCATAACACATGGTGAGAGTGATCAGAACAGGTCTTGCTAGATCTAATAGAGCTCACCATCATACTAGGGACCACGTAGAGCTTCCTGCGGATTTTCAAACTCGAGCCGCTGAAGCGATTGAAAGGCAGCTGGCCAATCCAGTAGCGCAGGATAAAAGGGGTATGTCGCTCTCGCGCAGACTCTGTTTGCTCATGATTCTGACGATATCTTAGACGCCTACAATGAGGACCCAGAGAGATACTGGAATGCATTTTACGCCAATCACAAAGATCAGTGAGCTACAACTGGGTGGGCCAAGTTCTTACAGTTGCAGGTTCTTCAAAGACCGGTCATGGCTTCGATCAGAGTTTCCCGAATTGATAGAATGTAGCGAAGCAAATGTGAGCTCAGAGTTGCAAAATGTCCTCCAAGTCAAGCTGACCCACGTCTTGTCGCAGGCTGGTCCTAAAGTTGTCCTGGAAGTAGGCTGTGTGAGTCGATTCTACTTGTGCCCGAGGACGCTCGGTTCACTCTCCTGGCCAGGGCGCGGGGAACAGTATCTTCACCCTCATGAAGTACAACGAGAATCCGGAACTAGAAGTCTACGCTACAGACTATTCTTCCACGGCTGTCGAAGTGGTGAAAGTGAGATCGCAAAGAGATCACGCATACTGACGACTGTCCTCAGAACAATCCAATGTTCCCCTGTCCTGACCATGGCAAAGGCAAGATTAGAGCCTCAGTGTGGGACATCACTTCGGAACCGTCTTCAACCTCCCCTTATGGCCTTCCCGATGGTATAGAGCCTGGAAGCGTTGACGTCCTGACTGTCATCTACGTCTTGTCGGCTCTCCATCCATCAGAATGGGAGAGAGCGATACATAATCTGTACACTGTGAGACAGCCGTTTGCGCTACATCGTGGAGAGCGCTCAACCCATCCTAGGCTCTCAAGCCCGGTGGTCTGCTGCTGTTGCGCGATTATGGCAGACACGACCTTACTCAACTACGCATCAAAAAGGACAGACTCTTGGACCCAAACGTGCCGAACCTGTACATTCGCGGAGACGGAACGAGAGTGTACTACTTTGACCAAGACGATCTCACACGGCTGTTGAAGAGGCCTTCAGAAGATGGAGCGATGCAAGAGATGTTTGAGATCACTCAGCTGGGTGAAGACCGGCGAATGGTGAGGAGCATCAGCCGGCATCTGCCTGTGGCGTTTCTAATGCAGCTCGCTAGATCGTCAACCGAAAGCTCAAGCTGCAAATGTTCAGAATATGGATGCAAGTCAAAGCGAGGAAGAGAGCCGAAGACGATGCGCCTAAAACTTGATCGCTCTACAATGCATTGATAGGGTGTGGATGATCTTATCAAGAGCTTCATGGGGGATCCCCAAGTCGTGTCTTTTTGGCCGGACGATGGTCGTCTGAGGCGCCAGACGTAGATTCGGAATCGCCATGCTGCGATGCACCATCTTCTGAATTGCCATCTTCAGGTGGTTCATCCTGTTCATTTTCAGGAGAGTCCTCGGCCGAGCCAGTGGAAGGTGTATCGTCATCCGAACCATCGGAACCTGGTAGGCGCATAGAGGTCTGATCCAGGCGTATTTGTGCATCACCACGGGCGGCCAAATCAGCTTTTGAAGTCAGCAGATGAATATGAGCGCTGCTTCCGATTCAGCTGGGATACCAAAGACTGCGCTCGAAGCACCTACAGATCTTCTGATCCACTGATCCAAGCGACATCCTCCGGATCGAGGGGTTCTCTCGTAGGTAATCTTATCGCATCATGCTGCACGTCTGGCTTGCCATCGGCTTTTGGAGAATGGAGAACCGCTGTGGGGGGAGGTAAGTCCCAGCCCAGCTGGTGAGACAGGTAAGTAACGATGCTGTCTGCATCGCCGATGAGACATATCTGCAGTAGTGGATGAGCCACAGTGGTTCGGGTGACCCATACACAGCGCACTCACGTCTGGCTTGACATGGTTGACAGGTGTGAGATTGATGAATATTTGAGGCACAGAATGAGGAATGTGAGCTGCTCCTCATTGTCAGCGGGAAGAAATCTCGCCTGCAATGCGCAACGACTGACTCAAAACCTCCGCCACCGGTGCCACTTTGAGGCTCGTCCCGATGATTACTAGTAGATCCACCTCATCTCGATCCAAGAAGAGCAGCTCGTCAAATTCCGAATCAAGAGCTTGTCCGAAGAACACTATGTCAGGCTGCAAGGCATCAACTCGAATTCACGCCGGTCCATTCCACCCACTTTGATAATACCCGGCTCTCCGCCCCCCATTCTGAGATTTCACTGCTGTCCGAGTCGTCGTCCCATTCTGTCGCTTTTACTTTGCCTTTCCCCTTGCCCCTTTTCTTTGCCTCTTTTCGTTCTTGCCGAGCAGCGATCTCAACATCTCTGGCTTGACGGCATGTACCGCAAAATGGTATTTGCTGCGACATGATGTAAGGCTCGATAGTCTTGCCCGGCACGCGCGTTTTGCACCTCTAAAGGCGGGCGAGCAAGATCAGTCGTCGGCATTGACTGAGCTCGGTAGCCCAATGTTTTTACGTACGAGGCAGGAGGCCGTGGAGAAAGAGCCTGAAGAGATGAGCTATTGGATGCACGAATGAGACAATCACCATGGCACTGTAAGACGCGCTTCACTCCAGCGCTAGACTCTAAAGTATCTATGTTTTGGGTATAGTTGCGCAAAAGCTGTATCAAAGTCAGAGTGTGCAGGTGCTCCAACGACTCACGATGCCTCTGTCCTCTAATGATCTGATCCATCGATGACACGGGCTAGGTGTAAAGTTACTCGGGTAAATCTGCTTGGCGAAGGAGCTTCGACTTTCAGTCCAATCTACTGCTTCCCACCACGCAGTCTGGACTCACTAGAAGATTTCCGGTCGCTCCCGGAAGACTCGGATGTCAAACATGTCCTGAGGCTCATCCAGGTCGTACTTTCCTTCCGCTTGTAGCTGAGCGTATAGTCCACTCGCCGATCTGAAGTCTGGTATCCCGCAGGAAGTGGAGATCCCTGCACCTGACAGTACGATGACCTTTTTGGCGTCTCGTAGTAGGTTCACGGCATCTTGGACAGTGTTGATATGCAGGAGTTTTTGCCGATGCCGCAGCATGCGGGAGAGTGCGAGCTTTGCGTAGGGCAGCCAGGCAACATTGGAGGTGGTATGCAGGAGGTGAGAGGGCTATAAAGGTTTCGAATGTCAGTCGAACTCAACCCAAGATGGGAGCGGTCAACTTCTGCTCACCGGGAAGAAACCAAAGCTCAAGAGCAATTTACGAAGAGATGGTTGAGGTGCATCAGGTTCAGTCGGCGTAAGGTAATCTCGGAGGAAATTGACCAGACCTCTCTCCTTGAGCTTTGTCGTCAACTCAGCTACTTGCTCCTCAGAAAACCCATGTTCAGCTGCAGAAAGGTGCATCAGACGCATTGTTCCCCCTCATCCAGCTCACCTTCCTCGATCACACTATTATAAAGCTCATCCGTGACGTTTTCTTTATCTTCGTCTGATTCAAATTCGTCGCTATCTATCTGATAGCTCTCCGAAGGCTCGATAGCCGGGGCTGATTCTTCGCCTCGCTCCATTGTGATCCACCACAAGTGTTCAAGAGGTCCCAGTCGTGCAACGTTAGAATGGATTCTTAGCCGGGTATTTCAACTCGGGCGATCATCTCCCGAAGCTAGGAGGGGTTGACGTAATTCCATTTGGTGCGACTGATTTCTTTTGCCTCGAACGTTGCATTCCTCATCGCATCCATTCCAACCCACCATCTCTTGGACCTTGACAAATTATGCTGAACGATCAACATGTCACCCAAGCCACCCATCCATCGTATAGCTCCTCAGGAGAATGACCCGGCTGGCCAAATTACTCGATACCTACGATCCATCACACCATACCAAGCTGACTTTGCCACTGCTGGAGTCGAAGAAGCAAAAGTGGATGAAGTTGAGGAAGGAGGCATGCGTGCACCGACACCGAGAAGTTATCACTCTCCAAAACGCTCCAGTCTGGAAATGTTTCCACTGGACCAAGAAGATGCGCTGCGTGAGACTTCTCTATCCCCCTTCCCGCCAACACGATCTGACGAAGGATTTCAGGTCGAGAAGAGAGAAAGATGAAGCGTCGAGCCCAAGCAGAAATCGTGAAACCCAAAGTCGATCCCAAAACTCAGTTAGGTACTGTCGTACGAGAAACCGTCAAAGCATACGGTGGTCGTCGCCAGAAACAAATGGCGTACAGGGGGAGGAGTAGGTTCCCACCTCGTCCTCCTCCTTGGCGAGCGCATGAGGCGGCATCGAGAGCGAAGCAAGAGTCGCAAAGTGATGACGAGGAACCGCCAAGGAAGCGTCGAAAGAGTGTTGTCAGCGGATCCTCAGAGTCCATTGCAGCCCGAGAGGCCCTTGAACGTGCGAATCATCCACAAGTGTTCATCAAACCAGAACAAAGGCTTACAGTGAGTTTGTCTCTATCTTTGCGACCCGGCCAAGCTGAGATCAACCTTCAGCTTCCGCTCGAAAGTGCTCGAGTACAAGTAGCCGCCGACAGGAGAAAAGAAGGAGGTTTGAGAAGCAATGGAGAGATCGTCAAAGGTGAGTACGACAGTGGTGCACTGACACAAGGCTTGACTGATGTGCTTGTCAGGCAATGAGCCGGGGCCTTCCACACGACCGCAAATCAGCAGTGACTACTTCGCACATGCCCCCGTTCCTCTCAGCATTTCCCACAGTCACAGTCGTCAACGTCCCGATCCTTCGGAATCCTGCTCAGCACACGATCGTTCGATTCAGAGCTTCATCAACGAGCACCACCTTCCTTCACCTGGCATCACAGGCTCACCAAGCTGGCCGAGCTTCTCATCCGCCTCAATGGCTTCCCCTTACCAGCCTAGAGGTCCCGCGCGGCCGTTTCAAAGAACTCCTGGCCTAGACACCTGTCATCATCCAGGCTGTTCCATCGTCTACTCCACTCCACGCCCTCTCTCTCACTCTACACCCGGTCAGCCTCAGTCAGTTGATAACCGAGCCTATCTTCACAGGCCCGCCACACCCCTACGTCCACCGCAGGTAGCATCTGATATTCAGCACGCGCCAAGATCCCAATCGGGACCATACATCGGCGATGCGCTTATCTCTATTATACCAGGACCATACTCCCGAGGACCCTCCTCAGGATCGCCCCATCATGCACAGGTGGCCACAAGCAGCTCCTCATCCCGACCCATGTACTCGATGTGGCAGACCTCCCGCCAACAGGCTCAGCCTCATTCGGCTCAATACGCACAATCTCCAGCCTATCAGCCTGTGCTTCACCCGGAAATGTATAGGTCTTCGGAGCTGCAGCCTCCGCTGCACCTCGCGTACCCCGAAGAACAGCAAAGTTTCTACCATGAGAACCATGGTCAAGTACCTCAGATCAACCTCAGCGGGGGACATGCTACGAACATCCGAGAAGGATATGCAGCTTTCCAAGATTCGATCGCCCAAGCGGAACTCGCAGAAATGCAATACCAGCAGCATCTTGCCGCCACGATGCACTGTCAACCACCCATAATGCACTATGATCAAGGAAGTCCTTCAGCTTGGCCTGCCGTCCTTATGTTTCCCGAAGCAAATCAAGCGACCTTCTATCCCGGTTTTCATTATGATATGCGATACGTTAATCGGATGAGGATGCCCGAATACCCACAGGGAAGGATGGATAATCCCTTTTTGGTGCAGCAATCGAGTGACAGGAATGCGTCTGGCGGCCGGAATCAATCAGCGCCTGCACATGTACGGGAAGCAGCAGTCGAGGATGACGGTGATGCGTCCGATGACTCGGACAAGGTCTCAAAATGCAGTTCGTATGTCTAGTCAAATTCGTCTCCACACCGCGTTCTTGGCCCATGTTGTTGTCACACAGTACTTGTGGATCCCAATATATACACATACGTATATACAGTATACAGTCATAGAGTCAGTTTCCCAATCATGTAGTCTCTTGATGTACTGTTTTCATCACCAAAGCAGAACCATTACATTCTTGATCAATGACTCAATACAATACAACCTAACCTATAAAGCCCAAAGATTGGATCTTCGATTCCGTTCAAACACACACACACTATATGGCGCTGAGGGTTATCCTCGTGATTTCCGCTTTGATATCTGTCAAGGCCTGAGACAGCGCTTTTCCATCTTCATACTTGCGTTGAGCATGAGCATCGGCAATCATGACCCTGGCACAGGACGTGAGTCTCCGGCGCCAGGCGGTATTCTGGGCGAAATCAAAACTCACTCTAGTTGAGCTTCTTGCTCCAACAGTGGTTGAAGCATCAGAGCGGGATCATTGACCCCGTTCGGCTGCCCATTCCCGTTCAAGTCTGTCAAAGTAGTCTGTACAATTGCAGCATTGAGGTCTTGTCGTTTTCGCTCCGCGATCCGCTTTTGATATCGTGGCAAGGCCTGTAAAAAGCTCAGCCCAGTCTAAAGAGTTTTCATAACGACTCGCTCACCTGCAGTTTTACCATTTGCATAGCCAGAAAAGTTGCCGAACTCCTCGCGATCGCTGACTGAACAGTTGACTGTGAGGAACCTTCTTCACTTGGAGCACCAGACAGTCGCTTGGACAAGTGTTCGTACTGAGCCAGGAGGTCGAGAAGCTGCTTGTGAAGTTTGATCACTTGTTTGCCCGGCTCTGCAGACTCGTCTCCAGAACTGTAAACGGGGTAATATTAGATCCAGGCTAAAAACAGCCCACTCACGACAAAATCCCCATGTGCTCCTCAAAATCTGGAATGAGATCCTCAATGTCCGATTGCAAGCTCCTCAGGGCTTTGTAGACTCGGGAAAATCCAGAAACGCGTTCACGATCGGCTATACGTTGCTTGCGCCTGAGCAAGAGTCAGAGGACGATTCGTTCTTCCCCAAACGATGGCGACTTACGAGACGGTGCCCCAGCACTCTCGGCAGACTCTCACACCCTTTATCTGTACTTCTTTTGGCTGTTGCGGGACAGGTCCACCGTTTCCATTGAATTTTCTCGGTGATGTCGAACTTGAAGACGCGGTGCGAATGGAGTTGATGCTGCCTCGCCTCTCAGATACTGGACTCCCGTTCTGACTCGATTCCTTGTCCTTGATCTTCATCCACCCTACAAAGCCCTCATCCACCTCTTCACCCCGACCAGTCTTCCAGTCGGCGACTAATAATAAGGAACACTTCTCCTTCCGCATGCCGGGTGGTAATGATGGAATGGGCGACGTGAGCGTAGCTGGCTGACCAGATAGTTGGGACTGGACTGCTAAAAGGGCGGGCGGAGTCGGTTGAAGGGAACAAACGACACGGCCACACAGTCGACAATGATGCTTGCGATTAGACAGAGAGAATGACGACCTAAAAATCGATCAGCTGCTGCGAGCCTTGCCAACGTTGGAATTATTCACAGGCAAATGAAGCATTTCTTAGCCTCTGCATCGTCCTGCCACTTGACAATAGTCTGCTCGGCGGCTGAGAGTCGATCGTCAGGTTCGCCAACATCTTGTTATCAGACTCAACTCACCTCGCTTGCGGATATCTTCCGCTGCGGGACCACCCCTCGGATCGAGATTGTTCTTGACGCCCTTCCAAACCTCTTTGGGACCTCTCAGCGCGTCCAGAGCTCCATCGATAGACATCAAAGAGCGCCTCTTGTCGGATACTGAAGACAAGGAGAACGTGGATGACCCGGACCGCGGCAGCGTCGGAGCAGTCCCCGGAGCCATCTCCGGGGGAGCAGTGGTCGGATTGAAATGTAAATCGACAAGCTAATCGTGAGTTGGCACTGTGCAGACATGGGATGAGAGGGTGTGAACCCACCTTGACCCATCGCCGACCTAACCTGCCTTCATCCTTCTCTCTCTCTTCACATAGAGTCTTGCGTTCCGTGAAATACTCTTCGGTCCTGTCATATCTTACTCCTGCCGGCTGAAATCCAATCTTATAAGGCATTCCGACCCCCTTTCCAGTCATGGATAATCCGCCTGTAATCTGGGAATCGGACCTTGTGAGACCACCTGAACCCGCTCCATAGACAGCACTAGGACTGCCAGGACTGTGTGCTCCGAAACTTGATGTCCTGCCATGTAAGAGATTGCTCCCGGATGAGTTCGCCCTGATCTGAGGATTTGGATTGAGGTGAGAACGTCCATGGACAGCGAGGGACGGTTGGGGATGGTTGATAGATGGGAGTGTCGAAGATGAAGAGGGATTTGACATGGATGGTCTCAAGATATATCCATTGGATCCCGGAGGTGGAGGTGAAGCAGGTGAAGAAGTACCTAGACGGGACATATTGGCGGGCTGTAAAACCCTTTTGGTAGTTGGAATAGTGGGTGTAGAGGAAGTATGCGTAGGACCAGGAGGAGATCGAGCTACCATTGGGTCAGAAGGTGAGGTCCCAAGATCCGACGAGGAGGTCTGGAGTAAAGGCGGAGGGGAAGCACTAGAACTTGGACTCGGTCCACGCTGTTGACCTGGAAGTTGACCAGGAGGAGCGGTAGACCCTCCTGCTGACGCGCTAGGACTTCCCACATGAAAGTTGCCAAAGGCTCCATGAAGTTCTTGTCCTACTTGACTCGCGACACCCGCCACTCCATTCAAGGTACTGTTGACAAAGGCTCTTCCTCTGCCTTCACCCCTTGGCGCCCAGGTGGATAACCAAGCTTGAGCCTTGTTCACGCCATCGACTGTGAAACTAGCGGAACGTCGATGGCTTGAGCCTGCTCCAAAAGGACTCATCCCCGTGACATCGTATTGATCTGGCGGTGAGGAAGGCAGCGCAGAGGCAGAGGACGTAGAAGGTATTTGAAGACCACCGCTTCCTACTCCTCCTACTGCCGCTGCCGCTGCCGGAGTAGGAGATCGGATGGACGATGCGGATGAGCTTTGAGATGAAGGTCGACCATTATTAGGCTTTGGAGGGGGTACTGGTGGTACAGGGACAGTGGAAGCAGAAGACAAGGTCAATGTAGAGTTTGTAGGTGATACGACGTGCCCTCTGGCTTGAGCTTGAGCGCCAAAAGCTCGACGTCGAGGTGCGACCACGCCTCCTTCATAAGACCCATTCGACACTCCCACAGCGCCAGCACTGCCAGCTGTGCTTCCTGTCACTCCAGGCCTAGATGGACCAGCCACAGAGGATGTCATGTTGAGGTCGTCCCCGCTGTCCTCATGGAGGCCATGTTGTGAAGAAGGAGATGACCGAGTATCAAGTAAAAAGACGAGTCCCGGGCGAGTGAGGTGGGTTTGAGGGCAGGTTCAATTACGTAGTGGCGTTTAATATAAGAAGGCGGCAGATTTTGCGAGTCCCGCTGGCGACCTTCCCCCATCAAATTTGGGGAACATGTTCTCTCCTGTAAGTGAGCAGCGAGCAACCCATTGCATACATTGTTGGAAATGAAATCTCATTCTACCCCATCTATAAGACGTTCTGACAAAATCGATGTATATACTGTGAAACCTCATACACAGATGATGATGCTCCTCTGTCTAACCCCGCATTTCCCCTCTTTATAAGAGCACTTTTGATTGAAAAGAACCGATAGGACAACACTTGTGCTTTCGATCCAGGATGTTTCGACATTATGAATTCCAGAGATTGGGTGGGGAGTCGACATCGCCGTACATTGTTCCTTTCTTCTTATCATCACTCTAGATCCGTGAAGTCGTGTCCGTACACCATCATTCGTCCCTCGAGGTCTTTTTCCTTTTCCTCAGCGTGTCGTAATTGTAACACACGTTCTGCCGAGCCCACCGCGGTCTACGCAGCGACCGAAACTTGCTCTGTCGTATCGACGCTCGCACCGTCCTTGATCAATTCCGGCACTGGCTCAATCAGACCCTTGGAAATCTTCGGAGCGACCCATGATCGTTTAGGAATACCACCTTGGAATGGCAGTCGGGTAGATCCTTCGAGCCAGGCATCGACCTCTTCGGCGCATTGTCGACCCTCTCGAATACCATGGACGACGAGGGACTGACCAGTATGGCAGTCTCCCGAGGCGAACACTCCGTCCACGTTGGTCGAGAATCGCTGATATACCTGTCAGTGAATAATCCTTTCTCCACGAGTATTGTATCCCATTCGCACTCACACCTCGCGGGGTCTTGATGTTCGACCTTGGGTCCTGCTCCAAAGCCAGAGCCTTGATACACTCGTTTTGAGGTCCCAAGAATCCGAGCGCGAGCAGGACCAATTGACCTGGGTAGAACTTTTCACTGCCCTTGACTTCCTCCATGCTCCACTTGCCACCGACTTCGGTCCATTCGACTAAGACAGTGTCCAATCCTTTCAGTTTGCCCTCATCATCAAGAACGAATTTCTTGGTAGAGATGCAGTACTGTCGAGGATCCTTGCCTCCAAAGTTGGCCATGACTTCGGAATGACCATAGTCAGTCTTCTTGACTCGGGCGAATTGAGGCCAGGGGTTGTTGACAGCTCGTTGGGCTGGAGGTTCAGGCAAGAGTTCAAAGTTGGTAACGGATTTGGCTCCATGTCGAACACTGGTTCCGATACAGTCGTTTCCGGTATCTCCACCACCGATCACAATGACGTCCTTGCCTCGGGCTGAGATGAACGACCCGTCCTCGTGGTTAGAGTCAAGCAAGCTCTTGGTGTTGGGCTGCAGGAAGTCCATGGCGAAGTGGATGCCATCGGTTTCTCGGTTCGGCAGTTTGAGGTCACGGGGCCATGTGGCACCAGTCGCAACAATGACAGCATCGTTCTCCGACCTGATCTGTGCGGCATCGGTATTGACACCGACATGAGCGCCAGTGATGAATTTGATGCCTTCAGCAGCCATGAGGTCGGTTCGTCGCTGCACGACAGCCTTGTCAAGCTTCATATTGGGAATACTACATCGAAACGTTAGCCCAAGATCCTCTCATGCCCGCCTCTGACTTACCCGTACATGAGCAGACCTCCAATTCGGTCAGCGCGCTCGTAGACAGTGATCAAGTGGCCAGCCTTGTTGAGTTGATCAGCAGCGGCAAGACCAGCAGGCCCAGATCCAATGATGGCGACCTTTTTGCCGGTACGGTGCTGAGGAGGTTTGGGTACCATCCATCCCATCTCAAAGCCTTTATCAATAATGGCACATTCGATCGACTTGATTCCGACAGGAGCTTCGTTGATACCGAGGACACACGCGCTCTCACAAGGAGCAGGGCAGACTCGACCGGTGAACTCTGGGAAATTGTTCGTCTTCAGCAACCTGTTCAGAGCGTCCAACCATCGTTCTTCGAAGACCATAGTGTTCCACTTAGGAATGACGTTGGCGATGGGACATCCAGTGTCCGATTGACAGAAGGGAATTCCACAGTCCATGCACCGGGCAGACTGGTATTTGAGCTCCTTTTCGTTCAATCGACCAGAAATCTCCTTCCAGTCCTTGACCCTCTTTCTAGGTGGTCTGTAAGCCTCATTGAGTCGCTTGTACTTCATAAATCCACGAGTCTTGTCCAACTTGGCCATGCGTTCCTTGGTGGTTCCCTCATCGACCATGGCGTCTTCAACGTCCACAATTGTAGGCTCAGTCTTCTTGGGCGAGCCAGTAGGTGTGACAAGCTCGGGACTAGATGCTCCATGACCGTTGGCGTCTCGTGGAAGCGTGGGATCAAAGCCAGTAGCAACGAGGTCGACCTGAGAAGCAGTCTGAGACGGAATGAGATCGATGACCGATTGCCTCTTCTTCTCTTCGGCGACTCGTTCAGCCTCTTGATCCAAGACTCGCTTGTAATCCAGAGGCATGACACGGACAAACATAGGAAGGAATCGGTGGAAGTTCTTGAGGATCCTGTCGGCGATTTCTGATCCGGTGAAGTGTCGGTGGTCCTCAATCATTGATCGAAGCTCGGCGATCTCTTGAGGGTTGTTGACCGGGCCAAGTTCCACAGTACCCTTGTTGACTTTCGGAGCAAAGCTGTGAGCCATGTCCAAGACGTACGCGATACCACCGGACATTCCAGCCGCAAAGTTTCGTCCAGTCAATCCAAGAACGACAACACGTCCCCCAGTCATGTATTCACAACCGTGATCGCCGACTCCTTCCACCACACAGTTGGCTCCCGAGTTTCGCACCGCGAATCGTTCCGCTGCGATACCTCGGATAAAGGCGTGACCGGAAGTGGCACCAAAGAAGCAGACGTTTCCAATGATGATGTTCTCTTCGGCCTTGAACGGACTGGACTTCGGCGGGTAGACGATCAATCGACCACCAGACAACCCTTTGCCGACGTAGTCGTTGGCATCACCTTCAAGCTCGATGGTGATACCAGGTGCCAAGAAAGCACCGAGAGATTGACCAGCCGATCCACGCATGTTGATGTGGATTGTGTCTCTGGGAAGACCAGCTTCACCGTACTGCTTGGACACTCGGTAAGACAATGTGGTACCAAGAGCTCGGTCCGTGTTCACGACATCACAGTCGATCTCGACAGGAAGACCCTTCTGCAAGGCTGGCTCGGCCTCGTCGATAAACTTGTTGTCAAGTCGGACATAAAGCTTGTGGTCCTGAGATCGGATACGGTAAGTAGCGGCATCGGGCCGCATCAAGTGAGCAGGCTTCATGATGGGCGACAGATCGAGATGTTGAGTCTTGGGCGTCCTCAAACTGTCATCCACACGGAGCATTTCGGATCGTCCAACCATCTCATTGATGGTTCTGAATCCAAGCTTGGCCATGATAGCTCGCAACTCTTCGATCACGTAGTAGAAAAAGTTGATCACTTGTTCGGGTTGACCGGCGAATTTGGCACGGAGCGCTGGGTCCTGAGTGGCGATACCAACAGGACAAGTGTTCTTGTGACACGCCTTCATCATGATACAACCCATGGCGATCAGGGGAGTCGTGGCGAAGCCCCATTCTTCCGCACCGAGAAGCGTGGCAATGGCAATATCTCGACCCGTTCGGATCTGCCCATCGGTCTGGACGGTAACTCGTCCACGCAGGTTGTTCAGGACAAGCGTTTGGTGAGTCTCGGCGAGTCCCAATTCCCATGGAAGTCCAGCATACTTGATCGAGGTCCACTTGGCAGCACCAGTACCACCGTCGTGTCCTGAAATGGTAATGTGATCCGCTTTGGCCTTGGCAACACCAGAAGCGACGATGCCCACGCCAACTTCTGAGACGAGCTTGACAGAGACTCGGGATCTTGGGTTGGATGACTTGAGATCGTAGATCAATTGCTTGAGATCTTCAATCGAGTAAATGTCGTGGTGAGGAGGTGGGGAAACCAGCGTAACACCAGGAGTAGAGTGACGAGTCCGACCGATGGAGGCCGACACTTTGTGACCTGGCAGCTCACCTCCCTCACCAGGCTTGGCACCCTGCGCCATCTTGATCTGAAGCTCGTCAGAGTCGGCAAGATAGTTGGAGGTGACACCGAATCGACCAGAGGCAACTTGCTTGATGGCGGATCGTCGTGAGTCCCAGACGGGCTTGAGCTCCATGGCGTGGGTGAAAGGACCGTTGTCGGAATCAGCACCGGGTCCAGGGATAGGAATAGATCTTTCGGCATCTTCACCACCTTCACCAGTGTTGGACTTTCCGCCCAGACGGTTCATGGCGATAGCCAAGGCAGTGTGCGCCTCCATCGAAATCGATCCATAAGACATGGCTCCTGTGACACATCGTCGGACAATCTCGTTCCAAGGTTCGACCTGCTCAATGGGGACAGATTGTCCCTTGTCAAAGTCAAAGTCAAGGAGACCTCGCAAAGTGCCACGCTTAATGGCCTCGCGAGAGTTGCGTGAGTATGCATCGTATGCGTTCTGGTTCTTCTGTCGCACGGCATCCTGGAGCTGCGCGACGGAGACGGGATCGTTGACTCGCATCTCAGATCCTTGGCGGTAGTGGTATTCTCCGCTCTCAGGCTGAATAACGTCAATCTAGGCCGCTCGCTCCCCCGCGTTCACTCACCATTCCCGGTACCGTGATGATGTCTCGCGAGGGCCAAGCTCGCTCGTGGAATTCGAAGGCATCCATAGCAAGGAGGTCGAAGGTGGCTCCTTGAACTCGAGATGCTGTTCCGACGAAGCATTCTGCAACGACCTCCTCGTGCAAACCCAGAATCTCGAAAAGCTGAGCGCCCTTGTACGATGCAAGCGTCGAGACGCCCATCTTGGAGAGAACCTTGAGCATTCCCTCATCAGTAGCCTTCATGTAGTTGGCTACAAGCTTCTCGGCAGATTGGCCATCCTTGGCCCTGAGCACGACGTCAGCGTGGATAACGCGGTACGAAACTCACAATCCCTCTTTGACTACCTTGCCGATCAACTCCATGATCAACCATGGGCAGATGGCATCGGCACCGTATCCGACCAATACACACATGTGGTGGACTTCACGAGCTTCACCCGTTTCGACCATGATAGCAACGTCTGCTCTCTTCTTTTGTCCTACGAGGAAGTGATGAACACCTCCAGTTGCCAAGATGGCAGACAAGGCCACCCGGTTGGGTCCAGTGTTTCGGTCGGAAAGAATGATGATCTTGAATCCTGCTTCGACGGCATTCAGAGCTTCTTGTCTGACCCTGTTGAGGGCATTTCGGTACCCGGGAAGACCCTCGGCCTTGTCGAAAGTCAAATCAAGGGTAATAGACGTCCAGTCTGCGTGAGACACTGAAAAGTGCTTCATGGCGTTCATCTCTTCGATGGTGAGAATGGGCGTCTTGAGCTGCAGACGATGACACTGCTGAGCATTCATCTCGAGCAAGTTACCCTCCCTGCCGACCATTGTCTCGAGGGACATGACGATGGATTCTCGAATGGGATCAATGGGCGGGTTGGTGACTTGGGCGAATAATTGTCGGAAATAGTCGTAGAGGGTTCTGGGGGCAGATGACATGCAAGCAAGGGCAGCGTCGTTACCCATGGATCCAAGGGCTTCGTGGCCTTCTTGAACCATTGGCAACATGAGCATGTTGAGTTGCTCAATTGTGTAGCCGTAGGCAAGCAATTTAGGATCCGTTGACAATGGCTCGTCGTCCAAGTGAATGGCCAAGTCTTCGTGTCGCTTGACTCTTCTGACAACATCGGGCAACCTCATGATCTTGGACTCGATCCAAGCTGCGAACGGCTGTCGCTTGGCAGTTTTCATCTTGAGTTCTCGATCGTCGACAATTCGACCCTCCTTGGTGTCGACCAACAGCATACGACCAGGCTTGAGTCGACCCTTTTGCACGATTCTCTCTGGCTCGAGGAAGATGGTTCCTACTTCAGAGGCGCAGACCATGAGGTCGTCCGAGGTGACGACGTATCTGCACGGTCGCAGACCATTTCGGTCCAAGTTAGCACCGCAATATCGTCCGTCGGAGAAGGTGAAGAGAGCAGGACCATCCCAAGGCTCCATCAAGCTAGATGCCCACTGGTAGAATGCCTTCTTCTCCGGCTCCATCAGATCGTTGTTTTGCCACGCCTCGGGCACCATCAACATGACAGCTTCGGGCAGAGTCAAGACGCCATTGACGACGAGCAATTCAAGGACATTATCGAAAGCTGCGGAATCGGAACCTCCGTCCTCAACGATGGGGTAGAGCAACGGGAGCTCGTCGGCAAAGTGCTCCGACTTGAGGTGTCCCTCTCTTGACTTCATCCAGTTCTTGTTTCCTCGGACAGTGTTGATTTCTCCATTGTGAGCTGCCCATCGCATTGGCTGAGCTCGGTCCCAAGAAGGGAAAGTGTTGGTGGAGAATCGAGAGTGGACAAGGGCAAAGTGGGACGCGTAGAGGACGTGGTTGAGGTCGTGGTAATAGTTGTAGACTTGGACTGGGGAAAGTTGGCCTTTGTACACAATATTCGAAGGGGTGAGGGAGCATATGTAGAATTGGTTGGCGAGTCCACTGGACGGGAGTGAGCGAGTATGACCAGCTTCGAGGGGAAGAATGGTGACTTACATCTTTGAGGTCGCCTGCTTTCGCAAGACGTAGAGTTGTCTGAGGAAGAACTTTTCGTCGAAAGCCCCATCTTGACTCTCCTGACCTGGGCCGTAGTGATTTGCCAAGACGACGAACGGTTGGAAGATTCTCGGCTCCTTGCTCTTGCTAGCAGGTCCAAGGATAGTGTTATCGGTGGGGACCTCTCTCCAACCGAGGACGCGGAGTTCGAGCGTCTTTGCGAGCGATTCAAAGGTCATTTGCTGGGAGGCGTACTTTTCAGGGGAGAAGAACAAGTTTCCCACGGCATAATGACCTTCAGCGGGAAGGGAAGCGTCAAACGAATGTCCACATTCCCTGACGAAGAAGTCGTGTGGAATACCGGTCATGACGCCTGCACCGTCACCGTCTCGAGCATCAGCACCGGCTGCAAAAGGGATGCGTCAGTATAATGTGTTATTCTGCTGAGCTGTCCAAAAGGTGACTCACTAGCTCCTCGATGGGTCATATTACACAGAATGTTCCTCGCATCGCTGACGATCTTGTGCGAGGCCCGACCTTTGATATGACAGATGAAACCTACTCCACACATTATGTCAATGATCCCAGTAAGGGCGGGTGATTTGGTCTATAGTTCGATCGCGAGTGGGGGGGATAGGTGGGCAATCAGTCCCAATTTTCGAGCTAGGGGGGATCGCCCCCGTTGTGAATCTTTGTGTACAGTGAGTGAACTGGCGGTCCCCTCTGGACTATAGATATCCTGTATAATGATCAAGCGGACAGTATAAGCAGGTTCCAAGAGTAAGAGAGAGAGAGATGTGAGATGGTGAAAGAGGATGGCTAACCCAACTTTTTCCCTCCCCCTCGTTCTTGGCTACAATCGAATCGAATCCGCGGTTGTCCGAAATTCACCGAGTGTTTTTGATTCCGGTTCAACCAATAGAGTTCATTTTTGAGTTTTTAGATAAGCCTAAAAGCACACTGGAAAGTGGATGGACCAATCAGATCACAGCGATATTATCAGCTGTGACCTGGAGGGTGATCAGCTGGCTAGAGGATATATATAGTTAGATGGGGCACTCCAGCGTCAGTCAACTGACTGCTGCTCATCTCCAAGTGTCGTTAGAGCCTCATTCAGCTGTCTCCGCTCTGCCCTCCACGTATCACACGCGATGCACCTGATCATACCTAGGGCGCGTTGTCGATCTGGTTAAATTAACCGAGAGAAATACATGGGCCGTTTACGAATGTCGCGTGATAGTATGAGAGAGGAAGAGAGAGACAGCTCTCACATGGTCAATGGACACTGAATCGATGGAGAAGTTGGTTTGTGGACCATACACGCATATATGGACGAGCACAGCTGGAACTCAGAGGATCGATCACCTCTATCGATTCCTGCGACCTTGACCCCGCGACCGAATTCGGCGGAATGGCCGAATCGAGACTCCGTTGTCAAGGACTTTATTCATGATTTTACCGCTGAGTGATGAAGTGTGATAACCTGGAGATCACTTCATTGCATGGCGATGGTGTCTATGCAACGACTCCTAGGATTCGAATGACTCATACTGGATGACCTCACTCGCCCCCTGTACAACCTTGCATGCATCGTAAAATTACAACAGACCAGTGTCGAACACCACTCATTCTCTCCCCTTCTACTCAAGCTACGGGATAGCGAGCCCACTGCTGGACAGGGGCGTCTTTGGACCTTCGACTTGTGACATCCTCTAGATCCTTCACCTGCTCATTGTCCGTCCCCGGCCCCCTTGTCTCCCTTGTCGCCCTCTGGCAGAATGAAGAAACTTGTATCGGTTTGGGCTGCCCTCGACTTTTGTCTCCTCGTCGCTGGCATCTTGATAATCACCATGAGCTTCCTACTGAGCATCGGAGACGATGTAGTCTTGAAGTTGTTCTTTAGAGAATTTGACCAGAAACGTGAGTGCTCCAGGGAAGCTGAGCCAGAGTGGGACCTCATCCTGGCCTCTCGGAGCTGATAACCCCCTTCAGTCGGCATCGCACTCGGCAGCACGTACATCTTTGCCTTTGTCTTCTCGATCCCAGCTATCATACAGTCAGCGGAGAGGGGCAAGCTGCTCAAGATACAATCCTGGCTCCTCCTATCCATCGCGGTATTCACCTTGACCGTGAGTCTCAATTAACTCCCGGCAGCCTGAGCCCAGGCTCCCTCGTCCTGCTCACGCCAAATCAGGCTGGTACCATCGTCTGGCAATTTAGCCTCGGACAACTGAACAATTTTAGTATCCTGTGGGCAAAGGAGGATATCATAGTCCAACAGGCCATCCAAGATGAGGTATGGGATCTCAAGCGTTGGGCCATCACCACCCTTGCTAAAGCTTGGCTCCTAGTTTTCTTGTTGTGGTTACTGGAACGGTACGACGGCAGGGCTTTTTACTGCCACCGGTGGTCACTGTATAGATACAGCCTTTGCAGCTACTCAACCGGGATGTCAAGCTTCAAGTCTGTTCGATCCTCCCCTACCTGTCATCAGAGTGACTTCGCTGACGATTCAACTTTCAGTCACATCCTCTTCACCCCCCGGAAGCGATTACGTCTTGAATCAGCTTTTCACATCGATCTACGGCTTCGAAGCTATCATTGGTGGTCTCTTCCTCGCCACTCTCTGCATCATCAATGAGGTGAGTGATTGCCAAAACGACGCGAGCGGGACTTGCTGAATCTCAGCTGCGATTCCGGCAGAGACGCCTCCAAGTCCGCTTCGCTATGATTGATTCGAAACGAGGAGGCAGTGGATTCGTGTAAGGTACCAAATTCATGTATGATGGCCGTGGCTCGTGGTCATAGTCCAAGCTGTCTGCTGTAGAGAGACTCGATTCATCATCATGTCTAGTTTTGTGCCACACTCGTTACAATTGTTTAAAATGCCGCCCGCCGTACCAGTTCACCTCTTCCCTTTGCCACGAGGGATTTTTCAAAACCTCGAGACTGGTTGCATTATAGGAACAGGCGAGCACATTCGACTTGGAGATCATTCAAGTTCGGTGTCAACCCAGTCGAATCGAGGTAGGACTGAGGGCATCTTGTCAGCGGCTCGTCGGACGGAGAAGCTCTCTTCCGTTTCCATCCACCAATTCGCCCTTGAGACTTTGGCCCACAGGGTGATTCCAACAACATGGTAAGTTGCAACTACCTCACGCGAGGGCTACTTGGGATAGCGTTGACCGAGATACGCGCTCCTCTTTCCTCTTCTCAAATCTGCATATACAGCCTCGTAAGTCGACTGTCTTTTCATCCAGTATCTTGGCTGACAGCTTCGCTACTAGCCCCTAAAGCCAAACACTCGAAAATGGTCACGCTGTTGAACTACCGTCTGAAAGTTACCTTGTGTGTCTCGACTTGTCAGGATGCATCGACAGGCCATCCCTGCATCCTCCATGTGGAACAACACTGACTCCTTGTATCAGAGACGATGGTAGATCTCTAGTGGGGCAGATGTTGGCATACGACAAGCACATGAATTTCGTTCTCGCAGAATGTGAAGAGTTCCGGACGGTCAAGGTGAGTGTCTTCTTCCTTCCTCCACGAGACATCGTGCAGTGATGGAGGTCGAGACTGATGCCTCCCATCTTCTTCGCAGGCGAAGAAACAGAAGAAGGATGGCGAACCGGCACCTACAACACAACAGAAACGTACATTAGGATTGGTCATTCTGAGAGGAGAGACCATCGTCTCAGTGTCAGTCGAAGGACCACCTCCGCTCACAGCGGAAGAGCGGGGCTTGGCGGCGGGACCAGGGAGAGGTATCCCTGCTGGAAGGGGAATGGGTCTTGGTGCGGGTGAGTGTCGTCGGTTGGAGGGATATTAGGTTGCCGAAACCTCTCTCCTGCTCGGGAGGAGTCTCGCATAAGGCTTCTCTCCCCTCTCTACCCTCCCGAAATCCCATTGTATGCCATCACGGCGCTCACACTCTGTTTAGGCGCCCCCGGAGCCATGGCTGCTCGACCCATGGCTTACGCTCGACCACCTCCTGGATTCCCACCCGGTGTCCCCGGTATGCCAGCAGGTATGCCACCCGGTTTCCCAGGTGGGATGCCACCAGGTATGCCCCCAGGGTAAGTCTTCATCGCACCTTCTACCAGCGCCTAGAACACCACGCTGACCAGTCCATCACAGCATGCCTCCAGGTTTCAGACCTCCCGGTATGGCTGGCGGACCTCCTGGCATGTTCCCTCCGGGTGGAATGCCTCCTGGGTGAGTCTGAAGAGTGTCTGTGAGCATCTACAGAAATTGATGAGAATTTCAAGCTTCCCTCCTCGCCCGCCTCAATGAGAGTATGCTTTGCGAGAGAGCTGGGTTCGCAAGGAGTAGGAGTTGTTGGACCCAGTCGAGTCGCACTCCTACCATCACGATGGAAAAAAAATGTACCAGCGTATCTATTGACTCGAATGCATGATTCGATTGGGCTATATAGAGTCAGGCGAGCCCTGACAGCGCTTGTCAGGGAAAACTGAGACGACATGGAGGAGACATAGGCGATGATCTAGAGCGATATGTTGGCCAATGGCGTTTGTGCATCAGCTGACGAATATACACTCGTGTATCATTCGGGCCGGTGTCAGTCATATGTATTCTGGTCGAGTCGAAGCGAAATGTCACCCAACCCGATCTCGTGCATTGACGCATTCAAGCGAGGAGATTACTCGACGATGCGATTCAGGACACTCATTCCGTCTCTTGGGTCTCATCCACCCACATTCTCGACCTGGACTCCTGAGCTACCTGTAGCCACTGCACTACATATCTTGCACTGTCCATCTTGACCAAGCGGTATCTGTCCCATTGATCATCCCTCAAAGTCTTCTGCTCTTGTCCTCTCCAGGTTTAGCCCGAACCGCTCGACCGCCTACCCATTCTTTCCGCGATGGGCGGCAACGCATTGGGACGACAAGCGAACCGTATGAGTCTACCTCAACATCGAGCCTTTTCGACCTATTGTCAAGAACGACTCGAACCATTTTTCAAGGGCATCTACAAGTGGAAAGATCTCAAAGACAAGGAGTCGCATGGAGATTTGGACCTCGTTTGCGCCTGGGACGAGTATGATCCTACCGCCCATGTCAAAGGGTACGAAGAGGATCTAAGGTTTACACATCAAGTTCAAGAACGAAAGGGCATACCGTCTGCCAGTAACGCCAGCCCTAACTCTGGCTTATCCGTAGCGGGAGATGGAGCCACAGTACAAGCGCCGGGTGGCAAGGCTACCTGGTCGAAAGGCCTGGCACTGCACCCGGACAATCTCAAATTCCGAGCCTGGGTCTCAGACTTGGCCAAAGCTCTCAACGCATCTGCCTGGGCGAGGAACGGTATCAAGACCCCCATCATCTCGTTTGCAGTCCTATGTGAAGATCTCCCCTTTGAAGAAGCTCAGGACGTTCAGCCAACCGAAGAACAAAAGGCAGCAGGCCATGAGGTGTGTGCAACATTCATCTGAGTTGGCCTCTATTCTCGCTTACGCTCGTCCGTCTGCAGCCCTTTTGGCAAGTCGATTGTATCACCGTACCCAGCTCCACCGCCTCATTTGCGCTCCTGTCTACGTCCTATGGCGACTCCCTCGTTGTCCTTTCCTACGCACTCAAAATACTCTGCCCATCGTTCAGCCTCAGCTCCACGCAGTTCAACCTCAAACATTCCCCATTCAGCGGTATTCCTCCAATTCAAGTGCAGCTCACCACAGACCCTGTGCCCTTCTGTAAATGGCTAGGCGTAGACTATGACAAGTGGCAAGCGACAACATTTGCAGATAACCATGAGCTCTGGGAATGGCTCACAAACGTTGAGCCTTCCAGCATCCTCGGAACCATCTGGATCAAGTTGGCTGCGCCGCGAAAGGAGGATCACGACAAGGATTTTGAAACTGGGGATGGGACACCCGTCATACGGAATCACGTAAGGAAGATCTCAGGCGTTGCAAAGTTTCTCAAATGGTTAAGGAGACCAGATTCTCATTGGGTCAAGCTGGCTGTTGAGTGTGAAGCCGCAAAGTTGGGAGAGTCCACCATCAACCCCTCTTCTTGTGACGATACAGCTCGGTCTGTGGCTTCTGCAGAGCCTAGCCCCATCAGTACCTCGGTCGAGCAGCTCATCTTAGACCCTGGATCGCCGTCTCCCCTGGACAACCACGCACGAGACGCTCTGACATTCTGGGACTGTCAGTCAGAATACAATGTTCAATACGCCGATAGGCAAGGTCAAGCGCGGCTGCTGGCGGAACGGCGACAGAAACACTTGGAAAACAAGGCCAAGCAAGAGGCTCAGCTTGCTTCATTGGCCCAAGGCGTTGATCAGTTGAAGATTGTGAATTCTCAAGTGGACTTGTGAGGTCAGTCAGGGTATAGGAGGAGAGGTCACTGGCTCGCCATTGTGGGTCTCACTCAGTTGTCGTGAATATCCTCCATTCATCCTGTCCCGTCGTCTTTCTCATCCTCAGTGGCGATGTGTTGTATCTCTGACTTATACCTTGTATGGATTGGCTGGTCCACCCATCTTAACGAGTCACGCTCATGAATCGTACGATGTATAGAATGCTCTTTTGTTTACAGACGAAGCGACGTTCGCGCTATGCACAGGTGTCATGCATGTGAATTAGTATTATATACAAGACAGCGAAAATAGACTTGCTGTGAGAGGAGGCCAAAGAAGTATGTACAACGTAAGGGCAGTCTATATTCGTGTCGGTCGTTTGATCCACAAACGGCATCATATTACTGCTCGATCCAATCTTGCTCGTTCTGAATAGCCCTTCCTCATCGTCATCTCGACTGAGCCCATGTAAAACCTACATCACGCGAGCCGGGGGGCGTGATCGCGCTGGATACAGCAGCAGGTGTGGCCGTCTCGCCACCCTGTCCATAGGGCATGCCGAATTTCAGCGATGAGCGGGAATACGAGTCGCTTCTCTGTCGTGGTGTTGCTACATTGAAAACCGATGTGTTCTCCCTGAGAGTGGGTGGCAGCCCAATCTCAATATTCTTCGTTGGATCGCCACAAGCGGGATGGATGATATTCTCCACTGACAACGATTCTTCGGCAGCCGAGTGAGATGCGGGGGAATGGCTGGGAGCAGCCTTGCGGCTGAGTTCGGGACTCTCAGTTATCCAGATCCAGGTCGGTCGCTTGCGTACGGGCCCTGAGGACGTCGAACTTCGTGATGCAGTAGTCTTTCTCCCAGGGCTGGAACTGGGCGGCTTACCAGTCACATTCTTTGTAGCTGGTGAGATCGGCTCGTCTTTGGGACCTTGTGGACTTTGAGTCGATCGAGGGGGCACAAATGCCTTCCCCCTTCGCGATGGGGAAGCAGGTTTGGATCGTCCCTTGCTAGGCGTCTTGGGCGATTTGACCATTTGCGACAATGACGGTCCAGGAGGGGATTCTTGGGACATTGGAATGCTCTTCACGATCTGGGACATTGCAATCGTCTCTGCCTGAATTGGTGAGCCGGCTCGAGTCTGTGTAGGCAGAGCCTGCGAGGGGGCAACGTATGGGCTTGAGGAAATCATGGGGCTTTTACCAGGTTGACTTGGCTCGAGGAAGCAACCCCACTCATCTGACTCTGCGGACGCCTCCAATGAATCCAATTGAGACAAGTCATCCGCCAAAGCTTGAGTCGCTTCCTGCGAGCCTGGTACGTTCTGCTCCATCTGGGATATTTGAGAAGAATAAATCTCGGCGAATGAAACTTGAGGTGAAGGCAGTACATCCTCGGTATATTGGGAAGAAGGAGGGGTGAATGGCTGATAGGGTTGAGTAAAAAGGTCCGCTGCTTGTGATGTGGTGATCTCTAGAGACGAGACGATGTTCGAGATCGAGGATGCTGAGGCTGTGATAGCTCCTGACACTGAATCTGTCTTCTCCACTCTAGCTTTCTCCTTGCCGACTTTGGTAGTTGAGTCATGGATTTCATCTGAATTGTCATCTTCGAGAAAGGATGGAAGGGTGGGAGCTTGCGAGGGGAAAGACGGAGGATAGACATATGACAGAGTAGTGCCTTCGGTCGTCGTGGTAATATCTCCCGACTGTTTGAAAGGTAGGAGGCCTGCGGAGCGTAAGCTGACTGTCACCAAGTTATCCTATGCAACTGCGGCCATTTCGAAGCAACGCACGCTCGAGACCTTGTTCTTCATCCGCCGCTTCCCATCGTCCAAGCGAGACTTTCTGTCTCTTTACTCTCACTCTTTCAGGCACTTCCGCCTTCCAATGTGCAGTGAGATGGGTTTGTAGAGCATCCCTCGAAGCAAAGGTATCAGTGCAGAAATCCCATCTGAAGCGATAGAGTCAGTTGGTGCGAAACATCCGCGAGAGCTATTTCATCATGATCCTTGGCCCCGCCGGAAACTCACTTGCAAACGGCAGCTGATATCTCCTTCTCCAGCGGAGACACCATGTCAAAGACGTTTCTAGTCGTTGATATGCAGATTCAACCTTGTCAACATGTCAATGAATGATCCCAAAAGTGCCGAATTCGAAACGCGCAAGAATATCCCAGTTTCAACGCGCGGCGTGCGCCGAATATTGTCAGTCGGGCGAGACTAAAAGGACGGCCAACGGATAAGCAGAGTGGAGCACATTCATCCTTTGTATGGACAATTTGCCTCTGTGAGCCATTCTAGGACTCAAGAGTGGTTACAGACCATATGGCCAGCGAAGCGGGGGCGCAAGATTGATGATTTGAGCACCTTCCAGTTCAAACTCGCCCTTTGCTCCAAAAAGAAAGTGGCAGCCCGGTCCGCCGAGTCGGAAAACCTCATACAGTTCGTCCGAAGCAGACGCTCCTTTGTCACTGGGCAGCGGGTTTCCATGCATCCACATGATCATCCTACGGTCTTTCAGCTGCCCTCTCTTCCGCCGATCTACGCAGACATGGGCGGATGGACAAAGTCGTTTCAGCCGAAACCCGTTTGAGGGTCCTGCAGTAACGCAAAAAAGTCTTTCGATTAGTTCGGGTCGCCGAATTCCGTCCGAAGCTCGGTCAGCAGAGTGGCATACTGTATATAATAAGTAAGCGTCTACCTCAACAAATGAGGTCAGACTAAGCCACTGAACTACCCTTTTCCCCTGTCTCTCCGACATGTCACCCGTCGCGCTCATCATCGGTGCTGGTTCCGGCGTCGGCAAAGCCTGCGCTGAGTCCTTTTCGGCTGAAGGGTACCAAGTGGCAGTGGCTTCTCGGACTGGTCACAATCTGGAGAAAAGGTTCACATACTATCAACTCGACGCTTCTCATCCAAGTGCCATCTCTCACTTGTTTGAGAGGGTTAAAATGGATCTCGGTGTACCCAATGTCGTCATCTACAATGGTGGGCTGGTCAGAGCCAGGGGGGCGAGGGGGGCGACAAAGACGATGTGAGCTGACGCTCTATCAGCTTACACGTTTCATGGCGGAGAGGCGAAAGAGAACCTCCTCACCGTCAATCTCTCTCACGTCATCAACGATTTCAATGTCAACACTATCTCTCCTTATCTGGCTGCAGGCGAAGCGGTCAAAGGATGGCAAGAACTCGAAAAACAGGGACGCGTTGGGAAGCAGGGGGCTACCTTCATTTATACTGGGAACGTCTTCCCTACCAAGCCAAACCCTCACGCTATTGCTTTCTGTGCACAGAAAGCAGCAGTGAAGAATATCGTCTTGAACCTCTCCCAAATTTACAGGGAAGAACCGTACAAGTGAGTCCCTCGATACAAGAGAAGGGTCGTTCATGCTGTCTTCAGATTCTATTGGGGCGATGAACGGGCATCTGAAGGCGGAGCAGTCTATGGTGACATAAACGGACCGCTTCACGGAGAGACCTACCTAAAGCTGGCAGAAGAACCCAAGCAGCAGATCTACGATTACACATTTGTCAAAGGCAAGGGATACGTCAAGTTTGACGACCATGCATAGAGAAATAGGTCACGTTTGGTTACCATGCATAGACTTGTGTCGCGGGAAACAACCAGACAGTAGAGAAACATATGATCTTACATCGCGACTGATGTCACTCACTTCCCGCCAGTATACAGCCATCAGCTAGCTGATTGACGTACAGCTCAAAATCAAAGTCCTCGGGCATTTCATCAAGGATCGGTACTGATCCAGTACATGCGGATGGGTATACGTTCATCGTGTTGGCAGGCTGCTCGCGGGCTGTCGTTGATCCCGCCCCACCCCATGGTGTATTGCTGAACAGTAAAGAAGCTGTGTAGTGATTCGGATACTGCGTTGGTGTTGGGGTATACGGCATCTGACCAGCTTGGACCAGTAGGTAGTGATATGCCGCCTCCGCAGGGTGACCGTGTCCCGTGTTTTGGACCGCGTTCGTGCTCGTTGAGGTGCTGGATGATACGATATCTGAGAGCGCGGTCCATAGCTCTGTTGGGCGGGTCAAATCTGCATGAGGTTGAGCCGGATTCACAGGACGCTGTCCACGCGTGCGATCTGTATTGAGATCGACATGACCGTGAGATGTCGAGCCGGAGGTCCCATAATGGTCAGGCTGATGTTCGAAACCTCTCGAGACCGACAAAGCCTGTCCTGAGTCGTTGCTCTCCTCACAAGTCTCCAGAGAGCTGACTGTAGTTCGTCTAAGTCTCTTCAAAGACTTGCGTATTCGAGCAGATGTTATTGCCGGAGCGCCAACCTGACCATCTGCGTTCTCCAGAGCTCCCGCTGCAGACTGTAGCTCCGGCGGTGGTGGTGGCACAGCACCTCTTGATGGCATAACAATGATACCACCTGTCCCAATGTCCGTAGTGGTCATGAAATCGACCATCGTGTCTGATGTAGCCATAGATCCGACAGAAAGAGGCGAGTGATCGGCCCCCTCCAGGCTCGGCGATAGGTCGGATTCCGACGACCGTCCTGTCTGTTTGGTTTGAGATAACAGATAGTCACCCTCTGGTGAGTCTTGAGATTTCTGAGCTTGCTCATCTAGCCGTCGCAGCCTCGCTATGCTGGTCAGATGAGCCAAGTCCTCATCTGGCGAGTGAGAACCGTTTGTGCCGCGCAGTCCTGTCGCATCCTGTGTTTGTCCATGGAGAGCATCGGAGGCTCTCTCTTGGAGTCTGATAAGAGGCGGCAGGACCCGTTTTGCCCTGGTTCCATCCTTCAACGCCTGACATATACCCACCGCTCTTGTCAAGGCATGATACGCAGGCGAGGCGAAAGGACAGTTCGGAGCACGAATCGCGACAGCGGCTAGACAGACACACGCACTGGCACAGTGATTCCAGTAGAACCACCTGGAACCATGATCAGTCGGGATTCTCCACGCAACGTGCTCACCATCTAGTGACCAGAGAAGGGTGATAGATGATCAAGGCGTTCAAGCTGTTGATGATCTCCAGTGCATTCTCGAACAAGCTTACGAAAGACTTGCCAGAACGCCCAGTGCTAGGATCATCAGGGTTGTTCCGAAGCGCTTGAGCAAATGCTGAGCGATTCAGCAGGACGCGGACATGTGCCACAAGCAGGCGTATGGTGAGTCGTTGTAGAACCTGTAGTAGGCCGGTCAGTGGGTATCACCGATCGAGGCTCGTACCAGATGCGGATGCACTTCGTGGTCCAGCGGCAGAGAGCCGGTAGCCACGCCTGCCATGAGACACTCTGGCATCGAGTCCGTGACTGTCACCCATTAGACTCATGACAGGAGGCCTTGTTAGTGTGGCACTTACAATCCTGTATGTTCTGATCGATTCGAAGGATCTGCTCAACGGAAGCTGCATCATTCTGTGTTTGCTTCTTGGTCGTTAGATTGAATATTTTGACAACCGGTTTGGACTTACCAGATCGATGACCTGTTCTGTCATTCTTGCCAGACGATACATTTGACCATGAACTATAACTTTGTCAGACGACTGGAGAGCGACGGCCGCTCTTTGCCGCTCACAGGCATGTTTCTCAGTCGTCAAGTGGTCATGACTACTCGGGAACATCGTATCGCAAGACTTGTTGCTGCTCGTGCAAGGTCTACACCTGTGAGCTTCGCGACTGGACAGAAGTCTGACCTGCCGAAACACAAGGCTTGAAGACGATCCTGCATCTGAAGCCCAATGTCAAGGATCAAGACCACATATTCTTCTTCGACGGCTTACCATCAATTCCCACCATACCCGTCGTCTCTCTGCCGTCTCTTTCGGCGACAAGCCAAAGACGTCGCCATCTCGATGCAGCCCGAGCTGAGCGTCAGCTTCGAGACAATCAAGAGCTCCCCACCCTTTGCGCCATCTTGACTGCCGTTCCGAGAATCAGCCATGCTGTCTCCGGGGCCGATGTATCTGAGGAATGAGCGCCCAAGCGCAATGCCTATCGCCGCTCACCATCCGTGTTGAGCAAGAAGGTCGCACATAACAAGAGGGCCTGGACCGAAGCCAACGACGGCTGTGACGCGCCCTCTGCTTGAAGGCATGCTACACCGTTTCTGTACAATTCCTGGGCTCGGTGTTGATCTAATAGATCTGGATCAGAAGCGCTCCCCTTGCGAGGATGAAACTTGCTATGCGAGCCATCAAGATCGAAAAGCGCCCCTAGCCCCATGACGATGAAGACGCAGGCTAATTTGTTGGCGTTCGGTGGATACTTGGCATCATAGACTGTCAGGTAGTCCTGCTCGAAGGTAACACGAGGGATAGGGTGATGCCTAAGATCCGTCAGCATTAGCTTCTCAATTTGAGCAAACGCACATCCAGTCCACGTTATCCCGATAGTTGGCGACGAGAATACTACCCTCGTCATCCCACGAGGGCAGGCGTCCGAGGACAGTTCGGGGTCCCGTATTGGTACCTCCTCGGCCAGGTGCCACTAGGCCCAGGGCTGGTTCCCAAAGATCGTCAATGCCATCGAATCGGGGACTGACGTGCAGACCCGCAGTCTCAGGGGGCGTGGCAAGGCCACTTGCTTCGGAAAAGACGGGCCGGCCTCTATTGGGCTTCTCGTCTCCATCTTGAAGGTATTCGCTCCCTGCCAGACCCCCTATGAAGCGTGCCTGGCCATCCCTACCCATTGTGAGCGTTCCAAAAGCCTGCTCGATCTGCGCCTCTCCTCTCTGCAGGTCCAGTGCCTGTACCTGAGGCTTGACGTCAAACTTGTGATAGGAATGCAGGAGCAGCGGGTGGGTATCGAGCGAGTGTCGTGCGTGAGCATGAGCGAGTGCTTTCTCAAGTTCAGCGATCCGGTCGTTGAGCTATCACCTGGTCAGCTTTAAGCAACCATCCATTCCCCACCGCTTCGGTCTCTGCAGACACGACTCGTTTGCCCTTGATGATTCTCGTCTCCCCCGTTGGACAGACATGGGCACATCCTCGCTTGATGCCTGAGACGGGAGTCAGTCGGCGGATTGACGGGCGGGGCCGGGTCATCTCACAGGTCGTACAAGGCCATTGACGTGAGCATTTCAGTTTCAATCTGTAGTCTCGTGAGAGGAAGACCCTCTGTCAAACTATGCTCACTCACCTCTTACACTCGGCACAGCTGGAATTCTTGATTATCCTTCCATTCGACTGGTCCATGTTTGCAGCAGGAGAGGACAGCTGTATGGGGCCAGACTGATTCAGAGACGGATTCGTGTTCTCCACTGCCTCGAGCGAGCCGTCGATGAAGGTGAGCAAGTGGCAATTGGAGGTCCACAGCTTTACAAATGCTCTGACGAGGTCGTGAAGTTTGCCTCGCCGCGTTGCCCGAGATCAACACCCGAGATCAATGAACCCAGCGAGACGAACCCAGCGAGACTGACGATGTCAGTGTACAAGCGTGTTTTCCAAGGCTTTGCGATGGGTGAGTTCTCAGCCCTCGATGGTGTCCTTCAATGTCTGTCATCCTCACGTTGCTTATTCGACGGGCAAGATTCCAGCGCGGCGCGCTCGCGCAGCGGTATATGTTCGGCCGCAGATAGCATAGAAGAGTTGAGAACACACTGAGTGGACACACCCATACACGGTCAGGCCTAGGCACGCAAATGCGGCATCGTCTCTCTCGTCAGCAGGTACACGTCAGGCAGCCTGGAAGGAGGATGCACTGTGACCTCCATGCAATAGGTCGATTCAGCTCGGAGCACGCCGACACAAGTCTCGCCTATCGTATGGCCGAGCGGATTGACGGACGAACATGACTGGCGCCCCCTTACTCAGGCTTGGGTGCTCTCCAGGAGTTGTCTAGACTCGGTCAGGTTGCTGTCACGCAATCTGGGCGAGCTCTGCGCGTCATCATGTTCGATTTCCACAAGAAATGCGTACTGACGGATTTTGTAGCCTATTTCGCCCGATGAGGCGTCCCGTCGGTCTTAAGTTATCCCGGGATGAGGATGAAGGCATGCGTCTCGCCGCAGGACAAGCCAATAAGACATAGCTCAGCAGACTGTGCAGAAACCCTGCAGACTCTACCGCTGACTACAAGCACAAACTCACCATGCCCCAGATCACGAACCTTCGATTCGAGCGCGCTCAAGCTCCTTTCCTCGGTATCGGCTGCTCGAGGCCGCGATTGTCCTGGTCCTTCTCGTCTACCGACAACGACGAGCAGGACTGGACACAGACCGCCTATGAAGTGAAGATTGCCAGGGGGAACGTTGGGGTGGACGCTGATGCTGCATTGTGAGTATCAGAATAAGTTCGGGCATGCTGCATAGAGAGCATCGCTGATCCCGTACAGTCCTAATTGCACGATTCAGTCTGGCGACAACCTCTTTGTTCCATGGCCCTTCGCCCCGCTGTCTTCTCGAGAGCGAGCCGTAGTATCTGTCCGTGTCCAGGGCTCTACCCGGCGCTCAAGGGAGTCTCGCTGGTCGGAATGGATCCAGGAACCGATCGAGATCGGCTTGCTGAGCAAAGCCGACTGGTCTTGTCACATGATTTCCGGAGAGATGCAGGACAGCGCAAAAGCAAAGAGGCCAACAAGGTTCCGTACCACTGTCGAAATCCGAGCCAACAGAAACTTGAAGACTGCGAGACTGTACATCACCGCCCTCGGCGTCTACGAAGCATACATCAACGGTCAGCGAGTTGGCGATCAATATTTGGCTCCCGGCTGGACCGACTACCGATTCCGAATCGCTTATCAAGTCTTTGATGTCGGTCACTTAGTGAAGCCCGGCAAGAACGTCTTGGCAGCTTGGGTGGGAGATGGTTGGTATTCAGGTCGTTTTGGCATAGAGTCTGGCGAACAGAGGAACAACTACGGCGACAGGCTCGGCTTGTGGGCGCAATTGGAGATCGATGGGGTAGAGATTGCGAGAACTGAGGCGGAGAGCGGGAGCTGGCAGTGGGCATTTGGGAGCATTCTTCAGAGCGAACTTTACAATGGAGAGACCTGGGATGCGGATCAGGCATTGAGAGAACAAGGCTGGGACTCGGCAGACTGTGGGACAGCGGACATGTCAGCATGGCAACCGGTCGAATCGCTTCCGTCGATTCTGGATACAATCACCAGCATCGATTCTCCACCGGTCAAGGAACAATTGAGAATCCCAGGGCAAGAATTGTTGAGATCCTCATCTGGTCGAACCATCATCGATTTTGGTCAGAACCTCGCCGGATTTGTTTGCATCAAGTCTGTTCCACCTGATAGCTCATCGCGGATTACGTTGCAGCATGCCGAGGTCCTTGAGCATGGAGAGCTGGGTGTCAGACCGCTACGAACTGCTAAAGCGACGGAGACGATAACTCTTTCACCTCAAAGTGGACATCTAGTCAAAGGCTACTCCCCAAAGTTCACCTTCCACGGCTTCCGCTACGTGCAGGTCGACGGATGGGATGGGGTCAGGCCTGAGGATATCGAAGCCGTTGTGATACAGTCTTCGATGAGACGTACTGGCACATTCGAATGCTCTCATCCTTTAATCAATAGACTTTACCAGAATGTTGTTTGGTCCACAATGGGTAACACGATTTCTGTCCCAACAGACTGTCCCCAACGAGACGAGCGACTGGGTTGGACAGGAGACATTGCAGTGTTCACACCTACACTCTCGTACATGTACGAAGCGGATGGCTTCTTGTCTTCCTGGCTCAAGGATTTGGCAGACGACCAAGCTACTCCAGATCTGAACGGCAACGTCGCTGTCGTCATTCCCAACATCCTGAAAAAAGCATCCAACAAGCCTTTCGCAATCTGGGGCGACTCTGCCGTTACCGTACCATGGGATCTGTACCTCGCTACTGGTGATACGAAGATTTTGCAGGATCAATGGCCATCAGCACGAATGTGGCTCGATCAAGGGGTCTTGAGAGACGCAAAGGGTCTATTATGGTCAAAACAGCATCCTCAGCTTTCAGACTGGCTCCATCCAGCCGCTAGTCCCCGCCGTCCAGCCATCGGACCAACGGACAATCACCTAGTCGCGGATGCCTGGCTAATCGGTACGACACGAATGGCGGTCAAATGGGCCGAAGTCATCGAGGACGACAAGGCGGTTAAACAGTACACGGTGCAGATCCAGAATATGATCGAAGAGTTCCACAGGCAGTACGTCACACGAGATGGAAGGATCCTCAGTGATACTCAGACGGCCTTGGTTCTCATATTGCACTTTGACGTCTTCCCGCCGCCACCCTCCAGTTCCATCTTCTCGCTAAGCTCCCCTTCGAGTTACAATCCTGAGAAGCATCGCCAACAGTTGCAGCAGCGTCTAGGAGAACTTGTCCGTCAGGATCTGTGGTCTGTATCCACTGGTTTTGCCGGGACACCGCTAGTCCTCAGGACGCTTGCCGCCTCTAAGCTACACCACCACGCGTACAGGATGCTGCAGGGTGGGACCAGTCCCTCTTGGCTGAGCTGCGTTAAATTGGGCGCCACCACCATCTGGGAGAGATGGGACAGTATGCTCGCAGACGGAACCATTAACCCAGGAGAGATGACCAGCTTTAATCACTACGCCCTTGGGTCAGTCGCTCAGTTCCTGCATGAGACAACTGGTGGTCTCAGCCCCCTGGAGCCGAGCTGGAAAAAGGTCCTCGTCGCCCCCATGCCAGGAGGCACGATTCGTTCAGCAAAAACTTCCTTCGAGGGACCTCATGGTCTTGTCTACTGCGAGTGGGCCATCAACGTCGGGGCCAAAAATGGTCAAGTGCTAGTTGTGAAGACTGAAGTACCACCCAATACTACCGCCATCATAAGGCTGCCAGGCTCCTCAGATGTCGACGTAGGTAGCGGCAGGCGGGAGTACACAGTCCCATGGGAAGATGATGTTCGCTTCCCTCCCAAGCCATTGGAGGATCCGTTCAGCTCTCCTACCATCGATGTCTTCATCCCATAGAAACGGTAACTGACGATCATGCATCGCTCTGCTACTCTTCTTTCCATTCTGGTTCAGCATGGGATTATGGATACATGCGCCGGATTCAATGCGTAATGGATCGTGACATTGAGCGACCGCCGATTCAGATCTTATTCGACGGTTGCACCTCCCAGCATCTTATCCCGCCTTCAGTTCCTTCAGTTCGTTTTGACGGATTTGCATACACAACACATCAGGCTCCTCCTTCTGAGATCTCTACCGGGATAAATTCCTGGACAGAACTAAGCAGCAGTAATCTCAAGCTGCCTCTGAAGCGCGGTCTTTGTCTTTGAGAAGCGCCAGGCTTTCACCTTGTTTTCGAAAAGCTCATCGAGCTCCGCTGCACTGAGACTGTGGTTCATGATCACATGAGCGCCCTCCAGCGCCAAGGAAAGACAATGACTTACCCTTTTGGCTCGGGGATGATAAACCAGGCACCGACCGCAGCTGGCGCTCCGATACCAGTGTAAAAGAAGGCAGTTTTAAGTCCCCAGTTCCATGCGGTCGGGTTGAGCATGTAAGGAACGAGTACGTTCATAATCACTCCTCCGACACAGGAAATGGCGGCTGCAAACCCAGCAGTATAGGGTCGTAAAGACTGCGAAGACAGTTCTCCCACGAAACCCCATCCTGTGGAGCCTGAACATTGCAAGCCCACGACTGTAGATGGATAAGCGACAGCAGATGCCGATAGATGAGCTAATGCTTACTGTAAATGCAAGAGAAGAAGACGAGGAGTTTGTTACTGGCCGCCGTCTCTTTGACGACACCGAGAATACCGATCAACGTGACGGCCACCAACATGATTGTGAGTCCGCCACAACAGATGTTTCGTCTACCCACGTAATCGACGCTAGCCGCTACGATCCAGATGATGACGAGCTGAATGCCATTAGTGAGGCAGGTGACCGCAAAGGGATCGGCGATTCCAGCTGTCTTGAAAAAGTAAGAAGAGTAGGTGTAGAATAATGTAAGACCCAAGACTTGTTGCGCTGTCAATGCCCAAGTAGATGCTATTGTCCGTCGCAGGTGCTGGCCTTTGAAAATGGAGTACCATTTAGTGTGTCGGTTGAGGATCGCTTCCTCTTTTTCGTGTGTGACTGTCTGTGCCAGGACCTGATATTGATAGTCGACGTCGAAATCTGTTACTCCCCGGTAGAGGACTCGTAGGTTTCGCTTGGCCCTGTCCTCGAGGTCTCGGGATGCACACCACATAGGGGACTCGGGAATGATCAGGTAGATGATAAGCATGAGACCGATCTGCGCGTATTGCGTGTAGATGGGGATCCGAAATTCATTAGGTGCGTAGGTGGACATGACTTGTAGAGCGACAGGGGCGAAGGTATTGCCAACGGAGAACCAAAAGTTGTACATCATCAGGAGAAATCCTCGAACTCTGGTGGGCGCCACTTCAGTGACATAGGTCGGAGTGATGAATTGCAGAGAACCAACACCGATACCGCTGAATAGCTTCGCCACGAACCAGACTTGCCATCTCTTGGCCACTGCCTCACAGGTGACAGAGCATAGAAGAACGAACCACAAGGCGTACATGGCGGCTTTTCGTCCGTAGCGCGTAGCAAGGAAGGGCATAGTGGTCATACCGATGATTTGGCCCACGGACTGGATGGTGCCGATTGCTGAGAGTACGGGGGCCGACAGGGCAGGCTCTCCGGCCGCTGTCGTAGCTGTAGCGAACTGCTTGACGAACCCGGGGTTAGCGATGATGTTACCGTTAATCCCAACTAAGGGGGGAACTGTCAGCAAGAGATCTTCTTGACATTTGTGGCACCCACTTTGGTAGCCGTCAGTTGCGCCCGCAAAGGTCGCCGCGAAGCAGACAGCGAAGCACATTTTGAACTTGGCGACCGTTTGGAACACGGTAAGTCGCTCAAAGCCGGTCGCCACTTGCCCTCTGCTGAAGGCATCCTGCTTGGCGCCGCCCGAGTCGATTGTGGCATCGGCCTCGGGTACCATTTCAACGCCATACACGTCTTCCTTGACTTCCATCCTGTGGTCGGCCATCGGGCAAGCTGCTTTTAAAAGTTGCGAAGATGCTCTTCTAATCACCTGTCGAATCGTGATGATCAACAGATACGACTGAAACCATCTACAGTATTTAAAAGGCGGGGCTCACAAGTCCCCACGGACGAAATAGCCTAAGGATAGGTGCCTCACGGCATAAAGTCGTCCCGAAAAGAAAAGTTCCGCGGGCGAGTTAGCCTAATCCTGGGGACCGAGGCCCTCAGATTGATTTGACACAAAGCATGCGCGAGATGGCGACACCAGCACGAAGCAGAAAGGGATGTATGACATGTCGGAGGACTCGGGTAAGGTTCACGTCGGCGAGTCTTCAACCTGATACGACGGCCGAATTTCTAGGTGAAATGTGATGAACGTCGGCCCATCTGCGGACGGTGCCTGGCGAGAACGGCAACCTGCGTTTACAACGAAGACCCTAGTCCCCAGAGACATCGGGTTCAAAGGCCTATAGCTAGCTGTATCAGCTGTCGGAGGCGTAAGATCAAGTGTATAGGAACTGGAATCTGCCAGAACTGCTCTGCCAAAGGCGAGCCTTGCTCCAATGCGACGCCCATGGCACAGCCAGCCGCCAGTCTTGTGGACCCGAGTGGACTTTTTCCCTTTCCACCCGTAGTCCTCGGTGGCCAGTCAGAATCACAACGGTCGACATCGACGGTTGATCTCCGGCCGTATCTCATGTCCTTCTTCAGAACAGTAAACCGTGAGTCCACGCCGTGGCTTGCGCCGAATGCTGATCGACCAGACTTTGTGACTCTGGGCTACATTCACGAAGGGGATTTCTGGCAGCAACATGCGATCCAAGCGGCTCCAAGCACTCTCTCTCGTATCATGGCTGCCAACGCCATTCGCTTTGGGGACATTCCGGCCACTTCAGCCGATCTTTCTATGGCAGATGAATGGGCAGCCGAAGTGGGAGACAAGATGATCAATCTGGCAACGACCGAATTTGGTGCTCTCGAGCTAATGCAGATCATTCTTTGTCAGCATTATGACTTTCATACAGGGCGATACACTAGAGGTTACGTGATGGCTGGGATGGCCGCGCGCATGATGACTTTCTTGCGGCTCCACATGTTGGACGAAAGACAGCCTCCTCCACTGCTCCCCCTCCTCTCACTGGGTAGCTTGCGTCGTCTAGCGTGGGCGGTATGGCATCTTGACGCGACATTAGATGGTGGAAAATTTGGTTTCTCTTCGATAGCGGAGAATGCGCTCACCTTGCTATTGCCTGGGGGGATCCGAGACTATCTTGAACTTCGAGAAGAGGCCTGTCATAGTATGACGGAGGGTCACCACGACACCAGCTTAGAAGCCCATCTGATTCGAGCGCTATCAGCTCGACAGATTCTGGCGTCCTTGCACACCCGAATTGCTCGAAACCTCGTTCCACTGGACGAAATCCCCGAACTGGTAGATAGAGCGGTCGATCAGGCTGAGAGACTGCTGCAAGCCCCATTCGACTTTGTCAACCCCGATGTGGAATTCATCAAGTATAGAGATCAGCTTCCACTCTTGGTCTCCGTGCACGCGATGCGGAACACGGCTCGACGCCATATACATCTCCTGTACATCCTGATCGGCAAGACCAGACCCCATCGGCACAACCTGGTCCAAGAAGTGGAAGAGCTTTGCAAGCTGCTGACACACGCATTGCTCAGAAGCATTCCGCTTGATCCGCAGATCGCCATGCACGCTTATAATGGCATCGAAGTTCTGCTATTTCAGCCGCTCAGACTGCAGTTGGAAAGTGGCGAAGAGATCATCAGCAGAGAGGCCATCTCCAGCCTCATCGAGCCACTTCTACGGTGTATTCGCTCAGCAGCTGGACAATCGACGCTTGTGGCGCTCATTCACCCAGAAGCCGTAAATCGTTTACTTTTACGAGGCTTCACGGAGCATCTCATTGGGCATGACTGGCACGCCGTTTTGAGGAAAGTGCACACTTATACGGATGCGGACCGGGAATTTGACTTTGATGACAGCTTCTGGCGCTATCAAGTTGCCATCTCGAGACGCATCGGCCTGGATCGTGACCCAACGGATGTGCTCTTGGAGTCGCCTACCAGTCAAGCGGATCCTGACCTGTTCTCCCGGCTTCTGGCAATGCATCGGGACACCTTCGCCGGCGAAGAACAACGATTGGAAGATGTCATGTTCGACAGTGTGCAGATGCTCTGTCACTCTGACTCAGATGAGCCGCTGGGGCCTGAGGACTGGCAGCTGGCCCTGGGTAGCAACTGGCAGGCGTCCTTGCTACAAGTGTGAGAGGCTGCAATGCAGACGCTTTTCCGCCGCATCGAATCCTAGCACAATCTCCCATTAGTCTGCTGGGCCTTATGCCATCCTCGGTCTCGACAGAATAGGGTGGAAAAATGCATACCGCTGTAATACTGTGATATGGCTCCGAACGATTGCTACCCCTGGAGCACCATTGAGCGTCGACGTTTAGCACCGCAGGTACTATTTCTTTCCACACCAAAAACCATCTCTCCGACGGACTTTTCTCCTGATGGTCCCTCAAGAGACTCGCCGAGGCTGTTAACACAGATTCAGCACGGCATATAAGCCCCCTGAGTGGAGAGAGGAGCCACTCACACTCCGACGGGTGGGAGAACCGGAACAATGGATGAAGTGTCTATTTTCTCGACCCAAGCTGCTCGAGTGGAACCACTTGGAGCACATGTCGGTAAGGTCCGTCACTGCACTCAAAGTCACTTACCATGCTCCCTCTGGGTCCTGTACGGCGTGAAAAACGTTCCAGAGCTCAGTCTTGTCTGGACTCTGAAAGTGCTCTCACCTTGCTACCTATTTCCATGACGTAGGGAATCTGAGCGAGAGACCAGTGAAAGTACCATTTCGAGCCGATTTTATGCAGCTCTATTCGACCGTGTGAACACAGCCTCATAGGTTCAAACGGGTGCACACACCTGGAGCCCACATTGTGCCTTTTTGATCCATCTCTGGCGTCTGGTATGTGGAGCTAGTAAATAGTCAGTCAGATTTCTCTATGAAAGTCTAGCCTCACACTTGGGTAGGATCCTCCTTCAATTCTCTATGCAGATATTTAGCTGACAAAGCTGACTAACACTGTACATACGATATGGTGCTGGCAGAGAGCAGTCGCAGGCGCTTGCCTGTGGTCCATGTGAACCAATACCGCCTTGCATACGGTCAGCTGGGCTTATAGCTTTCAAGAAAGTCGCATACTGCGTGTCACCATCCCACACTGGTCAATGAGTCAGACGCGAGTTGTATGACTAGCACCTGACTCACCGATGAACGGGTCAGGGGCATTTGAGCTATGTATGAAGATTTAACCTAGTGCCACAATCAGCCATCTTATTGCTTACCGTATCGGCTGCAGTCCCCGTTAGCGACGTTTTTGACAAGGCCCTCACGAGACTCACATTTGTGAAAGTCACGGCTCGGACGATGCCAAGAGACAGCCATAGCAGACATGCGACAGTGCGCAACATGTCACCGGCTGATCTATTCGTGGAAAGGTGATGGGGAATATGAGAAAGGTCAGTGCGTGGCGGTGTCAACAGCTGGTCGCTATCCTGGTGAACAAGGAAGTTGGGAATCTTCTTGCATCCCCCTTATCGTGAGCTCACTTCATAAGCTGACAATCGGTGACTCAAAGGATGAAGGTCAGTGTTTTGAAAGGATGATCTCTTTACAGGGATTGGAGTTGCAAAGGGCAGGGGAAGGCAGCCTTTCAAACGCCACATGGTGCCGATCACCCATCCCAAGGCGGTCCTTGTCATGTGGGTTCAGCAATGGCCAAGCATGCTGGTGGGAACGTCGGCGAGCGGGGTTCCTTTCTACCTTATCATTCCCCTTGACTTGGTTCTAGCCTCCCCCTTCATGGCACGGTCATTAGTTTGTCGTTTGTCGTCTCGTTTCAGGATCAATCAGATTCTCAGATTCTCAGCTTGGATCCACCAGATTTCTGAAAATTCAGCCTCTGATCCATCATTTTTGATTAGTATTGTAGTGAATGCAGAAGATGGATCCAAGCGGGACCGATCCTTATAAGTAGCTGCAGTATCACTGTGGGTATCTCTCTAACCACTCGCTCTTTTGGACATTCATTCATAATCACTTCCAGAACTCAGGATGCAGGGTGAGTTGAGCATGTGTACGATCCGAATGTCCTTGAGCTCATAACCCGACTGTCTTGTCGCCGCCCCCGCTCGGTCCCTTATATAGCTTCCCACGATGTCTACCAGCCCACAGCTCTCTCCTCCGCTCGAATCATCCTCCATCCCCTCCTTTCTTTCGCGTGTGTCGGTGTCAGCGTAGTGTGCTTCTACTTTGCAGCGGTGACTACCGAAGTGGCAGTGCACGTCATGTAAGTCGCGAATCTGGAGGATTCACCACCACCATCAGCAGCGCCCTTGAATCGCATGAGCAAAGTTGATGTGAGCTCAGCTGTATCCTCCTCGGTACTGCCATCTTGTTCACTGCGACATGGTTCATCAAGACCACTTTTGAGCACATTGAACGTTTCAACGAAGCTCAACGTCGATTCCAAACCGCCGCACCCTTGGCACCTCATCTCCCTGGTACACTTTACGGAGCGACCGCTTCGGAGCATCCTCCTTCGTATGGTGGAATCTACGCCGGGGAGAACCGGAACACTCTGACCGAGAAGAGACCTCAAGTGTAGGGACGGGACGGGTCTCCTCGGAACGCCCGTACATACCGGACGCTTGTCTTTTTCGATATGATGCATCTCCGTTCTGCCTGTCTACGCAATTATACTGCTTGATGAGTTCTTGATGTTTGCTTGATGGTATTTAGGATATTGCCTCTGGATCGATCACTCGAGACCCAGCCACCGCTTATAGTTGAAAGTTTTTGGATTGCTGAGGAAGAAATCCATTTGAGACTCGCGGTAAGTGTCCGGGATGACGGTGATGTTGGAGACGTTCATGAAGAGCATGTTCTTCTCCTCGGTGTAGGTTGGCCATATCGTTTCATTGCCACTGTAATCGCCATTAGGGTCGAGATAGTAGACAAAGTTGATCCTGTGCCAAAGTCAGCCCTGACGACAGCGTATCATGGGACCTACCAGTAATCCACGACCTGCTTTGAGAGCATGGCGTCCCCGCTTGTGTAGTTGGGTTGTCCGAATGGCAGTCCAGCGAGCCCACCGCCTAGAGCCTGGAGTTGAGGAGCACCAAAGACATAGGGCAGTTCGGAGGAGTGAGGCACTGTGGTATTTTAAGCACGACGGGTGTGACAGAAGAGGTAAGCTCACCACCGAGCCTAGGCGGGGTTCCTGGTACAGCTCGACCGAAGAGGTATGACCAGGTTTCATTCAATCCGTACTGATTAGCATTATCCAGGAACCATCTTCGGTTTGCCTGGAAGGTTGCATCGCCGAATATAGCTGCCAGCTGCTTGTACCTAAACGAGTGAGCGAGGCAACCTGGGCTACAACGTACTGAGGGGGTAGGCCAAACGTCTCGTTACCAGTTCCGAACGGTCTAAATACGTCAGTACCGATGCTCATCGATTTGGCTTTCTTTCAGACTCACGAGCCCAGTGCGGGGATGTTGGGATAGTACTCTCCGACCTCTTCAAGCACGGTAGCGTTTGATGCGGGGATAGGCTGGAGAATCTCGATGACGAACGGTAGTTCTTGCTGGGTGTAGTTGGTGTAAGCGGCCGGCACAAAGGCCGTTCCTCTGTGGTCCATGAGCTGCATATTCAAGTTTGTGAGAGAGTGGTGCTGCTCTCACTCGTCATATACGTCGCCGCTGATAAAAGGCTTCATCGAGAACTTGCCCTCGGCGAGCAGTTCGTGAGGTGAGGCAGGGATGAGGTCTCCATCGATAGACGGGGCAAAGATGAATCTGAGAGGTGTCAGACTGGACCCAGAGTTGGCCCGGGCCCAACTCACGAGGCGCCATATTCAGTGGTATTTTTGACCGCCAGCTGAGCCTTGAGTAGCTCCTCTGCAGGTACGTATTTCAGGCATGTGATTTCAGGTGGAAGATCGGTAGAGTCTCTGCGGGATACGCTCGTATTGCTTTGGGTAGTGACCGGGGCTGAGCAATTGGTGTAGTTCTGAATGAGATCAAACGCGCCTTGCCAGAACTCGGCAGTGGGAGCGATGGGAGCCACGGACTGTGAACCAGACTCCATAATCTACAATAAATGTCAGCTGGTGCTGATTGGCAGTGCCAGCCATTGGCTCACGGCGGAGTTGAACAACGACTGATTAGGTTGCAGGTACAGCAAGGAGACCAAAATAGCGCCTGCCGACTGGCCAGCGATTGTGACCTGAATGTGTCAGGAGAGGCGACTGACTATGCGAAACGTCTCTCACCTGACCGGCATCACCTCCGAACGCCCAGATGTGTTCCTGAACCCATTCCAGAGATTTGATAACGTCCTTCATCCCCAGATTCGCGATACCAGCTTGAGCGACCTCTTTCCCGCTCCTGCATGCATATGAGCGATCTTCAAGGCGATAAGCAATGCAGACATACGGGAATCCAAACACCCCTAATCGATAATTGATGCTGACGAAGATGATTGGGCGGTCCTGCGAAAAAGGTTAACCAGTGGGAGGCAGGTCCCTGCGTACTCACGGTCGCTTGAGCCGTTGCCATAAGAACAGTAGAGTTGTAGATGCTAGCGGTTCCCGATGTGAAGGCACCACCGTATCTAAGCCAGGAATGAGCTATCTAGTCATCCGTCTTCGCACCACTCACATCCACACCATAACCGGAACGCTCTGTTGAGTGTAATCGATGCCCAATGGCGTGATGACATTGAGATACAAGCAATCCTCAGATTGCCCATAAGCATCATTTGCCTCAGAAGGCGCTTGAAGACAAGCGGGACTGTAAGAGGAAGCGGAGAAAGTCGTCACGTTCCAAGTGGGGTCTTGAGGGTTTGCGAGACGGAGATCTCCCACCGCTGAGAATTTCGCCGTCAGCAGCTACTCGAGCAGCATTTTGGAGCGATGAGAAACGCTCCAAACTGACTCACGAGGAGCTGCAAAGGGAATACCCAAGTATTCATCGTAGTTCAGCAGGCTGTTCCTCACTCCCTCAATGACCACTGGCTCTCCAGATGGCGTCTGGGGATAGATGGTGGCTTTGGGTGTACTAGCGCTACCGCTGGTGGACGTGGAATCGTCATTGGCTCTGACCGCAACGGATCGACCCAACGGGAGGGTAGTGAGCCCGATAGATGCTACGAGTGTCGTCCACAGCATTAGATATGCGACTCGATGACAGGAAATCGACAGTGAGGTGTAGATCAAAAGGTGTATGTGGAAGATTCTCGGGGCGAAATTTCAACCCGGAGTTTTGACCCGGGTTCCTTTTAGTCGGTCTTTACCCGGCCCGTCTTTTATCAACGTGATCGTGTGAGTCGTGGAGCTAGGCTAATGTCTGTTTCCCGCCTCGCAATCTGCACGCGAAATGCTCCCGTGTGGTGTGGGGACTTCCTATACCGAGACAGGCAATGACTGGAAATGAGAAGATGAGACGGATGCGAAGAGCCCAATTGACAAAGCGTCGGCAAAGATATTGGTACCAGCTGCCACAATGCGGTTCCAGCAACCACACGTTATAATGCCAAGATAGTCTTTTGGCCTAGCATATGGTCACTTGGCCCCCAAAGACATGCTGCGCTGCTGCAAGTCCGATACTTGACACCCAGCCCGGGGGAGACGATCATTGCTCGCCTCTCTTGTGAGACTACCAACTTCATACCTCAATATTCAATCATATCAGCGACGCCTGCTGCCTCGTTATGCTTATTTTGGACCGTATCCGGCGGCCGGTCCTGAAAGTGGCGGAATCTCTGGCACCCTCGAAGCGCTGGCGGGGGTCCTTTCATCCCGCTCGAAGGCGAAGAGGCTTTGGTCATCATTTGAAACACCGTGGCCTTCGCATGGACTGTCTCGATCTGTCTGAATGGTCATGTACTTTGTTGGATCCCTCTTCCAAGTAGACATTAAGTTGACGCGTCCGCTCTCACGAATTGATTTCTTTTCTCTCGCTCTTTCTTTGTCGGCCGGAGCTCGTTTATCCGGATCTCGGAACGACGGACCCTGCCACTTTTGGGTATGACCCATCCGAGACTTGGATCATTATTATGGTAAGAGGATGGGATGAGATGGGGAATCGGATGCATCGATCAAAGGTTGCAGCAGAAGCCTTCGCATTGACACATATCTCCGCTCTGCGTGAAAGGTCTCGATAGACATAAGAGCCGGACCCTCCGCAGTCCAAAGTTGACTTGTACTGGACACAGTGGTCAACACGTCCGCCACACACACATACACCATAGCCTGCCTCTGACGCAATCCAGTGCGTAGAGGAACAACGTCGTCGACAACAATGGTCGACGAACAGCTGCTATTGGACAGGATCAAGAATCAGATCCTTTCCCCTGCTCCTCAAGCCTACTGCCATGACCCGGGACTCATGCCTTATGATATCTACAAAGCTGCTGGTGGTCTGAAAGGCTCATTGGGTCGTCTGGATCGACCCGAACGGATCGCCATCATTGGATCTGGGGTGACTGGTCTCACCATCGCAGCGTTATGTACGCAGATCGGAGCCGGTCAGATCGACCTTTTTGAAGCCAAGTCCAAGGTTGGCGGCAGACTTGATTGTGCGATTGAAGAGGGTGGCCAGGTTTGGTACCCTAACGGAGCGATGAGAATAGGCCCTTCATCCGCTTTGACACTAGGCACGATGAGAGAGTTTGCCTGTGGAATGAGACCCAATTTCCCAGACCCGGGCAAGTTTATGACTGGATGCGATCACAAGGGACGAGTGTACGACTGGATGCCAGGAGAGCCGGTGCCAGAGGTCTATGCCAAGGTGAATGCGGCATTTGAGGCATATGTCAATGAGGACGTGATGAAGGATGGACAAGTGGTGTTCACGGCCCCGAACAATATAAGGAGATTGCTATGTTCCTCCAAGCTCGACGAAAGGCTCAAAGCCGTACCGATGATCCAGAGATTTGTCGACGAATTCGCCAACAAGGATTTCTACGAAGTGCTCAAGATTATCTTTTCGGAACGAGGTGGCTTTGCCTCACCGGGAGGCTTATCTTTGAGCGCGGAGGATATTAGGATGATGGCGAGCGCGGGTATCGGTACTGGACCGTTTGATGCGATCTTCCAGAAATCTGGACTTCTGCTCAGTAGTATCCTGACGAATGGACACGAGGATCAACAAGGATCATTCGTCGTCCTCAAAGGCAGTCGCGCCATCGACGCTCCCATCTCAATCTTTGGCGATCGGCTCGCGGCGTACGTCGAAGACTGTGGGGTCGATCTATACACCAGTACAGTCGTCCATACGATGGAGCGAGTAGAAAGCAGCAAAGATCAACACAAGTTGTTCTGGCGTCGAGCCGATGGATCCGAACATTCAGGCGTCTACGATACAGTCTTTGTGTGCACACCGTGTCACACCATGCTCAATTACATCGAGGGATTACCGGATCTTTTGGGCCCGCAAACGGTGGCTGATCTCAGTCGAGTCAGACCCATCGCCAGTACAAAGGTCTTTGCGACGATCAAGAATCTCTTTCACGAGTTTCCAAACTTTTACTATTGTGTCACGTCGGATGAAGAATTTCAACAAATGTACCTCATGGAAACGGCGGACCCTGATCGACTCGCCGTGCTCTTGAGCTATTCATGGGGTGGCGATGCGCTCCGATTAGACTCTCACGGAGATGATGAACAACTTGGATCTGCCGTCTTGGCTCAAGTGAGACGTGTCATTGGTCGATCAACCTATCCTGGAGCCGCCAAGTATTTTGAAGATGATCAAGTTCAGAACCTCAAAGTCAAACGCTGGCACCCTGAACACGACATTGAGGGCGCCTTTGGTCTCGAGAGGCCTGGAGATGGAGCTTCAAGACACCGATTGGTACATCATCCATTGAACGTCACCAACAACCTCTACATTGCCGGTGCAGATTTGAGTCACGATGCTGGATGGGTCGAGCCTGCCATCATCAGCGGCTACATGGCTGTCATTTCAAAGTTGAGACAGGGTGGAAAGGTCAAGGAGGAGGTCGACAGAGTGGCAGTATTCGATCAGAACCTCATCAATTTCAGGGAGTAGATCAACGTCAGAGTGGAAGTTCGGCATCGCACATCTTGTATATATAGCCAAGCATAGAGAGAGAGATGATTTTCACACATAGATCATGAACATTTGCATCGGGTACTTGGGATGTGAGCTTGCGTTGGAGCGAAGCGGCCGAGACGCGGTGCAGACACTCAGTGTGCGAGAGGGATTGAACTCCTGAATCCTCTCGTCACAGCTACACCAAAAAGAAAAGACTTTCGACAATAAGCAAGCTGGTACAACGACATCGAAGATGCACGCTGATGATTGACATGTCCTTGATATGATCCTCTTACGCCGCTCATGCTGTTTTCACCGCAGCAGCCTTCTTCTCGGCAACGACCTGTTCCCTGCGCACGAGATGCCTGTCCCACCGTTTCCTCGGTAAAACTTGCTCCGCAACCTCTGCCCAACGTCCACCAGCGCTGTGCAAAGTGTCCAAGGCAAAGTTTACAAACTCGACTTCGTCCTTCGTGATGGGGTGCGGTAAGGGCTCATGGCTCTTGGGAGCGGAGGCCGGTAATCTAACACCAGTTTTCGGAGACTTCTTTACACCATCTCCACTGATCGCTGACGTGTCTGAGGCGCGACTGCGTGTCCGCAGGAACAGGACGAGATTCCCAAGAGCGATGCTGTGTCGGCCGGACTGGAGATATGTCGGGAGTTTTGAGGGCGGAGCCTCTTGTTCCAGAAGACTATGGCAGAGTCGAAAGTATGCAGAGTCTGGTACAGTGTTGACACCATCTGTAGTTGTGACCGTTAGCCGGGCACCAAACCCACCAAAGAAGGAACCACGCTCACATGCCAATTTATCATTTAGCAATTCCAAGGCGATCTCTGGGAAGTTTAGTTCGATACTTTTGTCTGATCGAAAGCAATCAGCATCAGCAGCTGACCCTTCGTAGAAAACATCAACTCACCGATGATTTGCTGCGCTTGAGTTCCCGTGACTCTTTTGCCCATGACCCTCCATCCTCTCAATAGGCCCCTGAGACTCTCCAAGTCCAGACGGCTCTCACACGCCTGGATGTAAGAGTCAAGGATATTTCGTTGAATCGGCAATTGTGCCCTTCTTGATTCCCTCGCGTCGTCCGTAGGTCTCGCTCCTCTTTTGACAATTTCCCAGAGGGATTCACGGATCTCTCGGTTCAGAGCAGAGACCGCCGAGGCGTCCTGATCATCCGTAGCTTGTGTAGACACTGGGGTAGAGGTGTCTACTGCGAACAGATCACCATCACTCTCGTCATTGTCGAACTCTTTCACAGCTACTGCCTTCCTGGAAGGCTTCTTGAGCACTGAGAGAGGTCTATGTCAGTATGGACTGACAAACATGCGGAGGACATGCGAAGGGCTACTGACCTGATGATGATGCGTGAAGGGCTCTAAAAGGGGAGATGGGTATCCTGGGCCTCAGGGAGACTTGTGAAGCGGCTCGAGCAGGTCCTGCAAGTGCGTTGAACATCGCTCAAGGAGGTCGACGAGAGATGCAATGGTGAGTGAATGTATACTCTGCCGCTTTTTTCGAACATTTTTGGAAGTCTTCAATAAACGCCACGTGGATATCAAGCCTGGCGTTGGTAACCTCAATTGGGAGGCAATATGCTGAGAAGACGGCGGAGTATAGCGTCCCTCGCAGTAGACCAGACGCACGCGGCTTTCATGTTGTGACGATTCACATAGTGGAACATAGAGAAGTCCATGCAGTGAGACGGTCAAGAAAAGAGCATTCTCAACAACGTCATGCAATATTGGTTTTACAACAATGCTCGCTCGCCACACATGCTAGTCCAACTCATTAAATCCCCTTTGGACACTCGCGAACCGTCCGCGCTACAAGACATGCTGACCCCCAACATTTCGGTCCATCAGAAGAATCTAGCTCCATCTCCCGAGTCCCCCTCTCCACGAATGATCTGCGCTCTGCCCTTCTTGACCAGCGTTTCCAATGATTTCCGTAGGAGTGGAACAGGCATCTCGCGAAAGTCTGAACCAGCAGACTAGGGTCAGTACAGAGCCGCGGGGGGAGTGTGGAGGAGGGGGGAAGGTCAGATCGACCTCACCAGTCGTCTCTGACATATCACCATCTGTTATCTCATAAAACGTCATGATGCTCGTGGCGAGACCATGATCCATAACCCAGTCGTAGATCATTTGACCCCATTCGTCAGGTTTACGCCAGTAGATGAGGTACGTAGTTGGAGGCGATTGTTTCGGTGGATCGAGGGCCGCGTGACCTGAGATGACGGGTGGAGACACATCAGCATTGTTGTTTCAAAAAAAGCCCTTTCGATCTAGGCATGACAGCTGCCGCAAAATTCACCTTCTTGAGCCATGTGCGATAGTAGCGTCCGCATGGAACCGGGCAAGAGTTTCCCTTAGGACAAGTTCAGCGCACAAGACATGGGGCAATACGGTTGTGATTCGCGAAGACATGAAGAGCTCGCAGTTGGAGAGTTTGAGTCCTCGCCCCTATGCAGGCTCGGTCACCCTTGTGACATTGTGCTTAGACTGCCCCCCGCTTCGGCATCTCGTTTCCTTCTTGCTTCACCGCCGCGGACTCACGCTTAATTGACTTGTTGTGAAATACCTGTCCAGGTTCCGGGGAATCGCAATTCAGCATGAACATTCTCTCATGCGCAGCCCATGAGAGAACAAGGTTCGTCCACAATGTCAATTGATGTGAGAGGGTAGATGGATTCGGCTGAAGACTGAGATGAGACAGAGGAGAAGGGGGGGGGGGGGGGGGGGTGTCGTCAGCATAGCTCAACAATCACAAAGGCACAGCTTGTTCGTCTTTCGTGGAGCCAGGTCACTCACGTGAAGAAGGGGGGAAAAGACCATATGGCCGGGAAGACGAAACCCGAAGCGCTGGTGATCGCTCTTAGCGGAGTGGGTGGGTTTTCTCTATGTTCAGAAGCAGCTTCTCGCGGTCTCTCAAGGGACCGAGATGGACCTGCATTTGATGCTACGCTGACCAAGTTCTTGGATGCTTGAGATATAGACATAGCAGATGGGTCAGCTGGTATGACAACAACATTGTGAGATCTTCAGTGACCGATTCCAGGATTAGTATTCCCGCCGCGGAACCAAAAAAACACAAATAGCATGATTTGTGCAAGTGGGTCTGTCTCATGATACATTCAGAACAACGCATGTATGTATCACAGTAAAAGATTGGAGACTGTGTACATCTCCCTCCTTATCCCCGCACATCGAAACTCCAAAGACCCCGACCTAGCCTTCCCAAACCCTGCTCTCGCCTGGGCAACGCGACGCCAGCCATGACTGGATCCCCGTCCCACGCACTTCCAGACGTACGAGGCTTAGCAGCGTCTCCAGGTTTTGTCCCGGCCGATGCGGCAGTTCCATTTGTGCCATTCACTCCATTGGTGCCATTAGAGGACGGGAGGGAGGCATTGGGTCCGATCAGTGGCTTGATGTCGTTGGATGAGCTGTTCGATGAGTTCGTCGCTATGGTCGAGGACGATCCATTCGTAAGATGAGGTTTTGGTAATCCAGGAACCGGAGCACCAGGGGCAGACCTTTCTCTACCATTCGGACTGATTGCCGACACGCGCCTGGAAGCCAACAAGAGATCCCTATTTCTCTCTGCTTCTGACCTCTCTCTAGCATGCTGAGCTTCTCGCTCGCGCTCGCGTTCGCGTTCTCGAGCGGCTTGAGCTTCTCGATCGCGAGCCATTGCACCAGCTGCGAATGCTGACAAAGGCCTATCTCGACCAAAGAAACCGCCCATCAAGGTTGACATTGGACGTTCCTTTTCAGCAGCTTCCTTTTCTCTCAATCGCTTTTCCCTCTCCAATCGTGATTCTTCCTCCAGTCTGTGAATCTCACGTTGTCGAAGTCTCTCTCGCTCTTCATAGTCGTGCGTAGACGTTTCAGCAGGCGCCAAAGCCATCTTATTCTCCACCATGTGAAGCATCTTTTCAGTCTTTGATAGCATCGCCTCGAGCCATCGTTTGCCTTCACGCAATTGCTCGCGGTGTTCAGTCAATTCCCGACGTCCCATCGCATAGTGACCATATCCTGACATGGTAGTCGCGGGTGTGCTGGATGATGAACTTGAGCCAGTGCCAGTCGGCGCGCTACCGGCATGACCAGGGCTGCTCGTTCGGGCATCCCGAGAGTGAAGGGGGTCCACGGAAGATCGGGTCGCCGACGTTGGTGCCGGTGCCGTCGGTGCTGGTGTCGAAGTGGCAGGTTTGACGCCAACAGTCGTCGCGCCAATAGGCGTTCGAGAAGCGATAGAGCCATATCGTTGACTGAGCGCCAACCATGGAGAGCTCATCGTGTCACGTGGCCCATAGAGTGAGTATCGATTTGCGGGAGCGACAGTAGTGTTGACGGGAGACGAAGAGGTCGACGACGGAGCATGTACGCCAGACGCTCGATTCATAGGTGACTTGGAAGCTGTGAGAGGATCGGTTCGAGCATCGTGAGCGGCCAAAGGGGATCGGGAGAAGGCTCTGTCCTTGACAATGCTCGAAGCGGACAAATTGGACATGTTGGATGTAGGTCGAGCAGGTGTCTCATCTTCAGATTTGCGTTTGATGCCTCGTGGATCTTCGACGGGTTTTGTGACGGGACTGACGCCGGGAGCCGGAACAGACGCGGGCGAATCCTTCTCTGATGGTTTGGGAGCCGGAGCCATAGTCAACAGGGCTTCAGCGGCGAGCTGATGATCGGCGGCCTGAGGGTATGAAGAACGGACCGGTCGTGGTGAGACGAGACAGACAGGCGAGGGAAGGGATCGAGCGGGAGAGGGTCGTCTGGTCAGCTCTGATGCGTGTGCGGGAACGGAAGAATGACGTCTAGGTTGATACCGGGGCGGCAATGTCACGTAGGATGACATGATGTGAGAGAAGGGTCGGGATGCAGTGTTTTGCAAGAGAAGTGAGGGAATGAGACATCACAAGAAACAGTTCTGGAACCGAAGAGGACAAAGGTAAGGGGGATCGAGGATGGGGTAAAATATCAAGGGAGATGGGCAAGAAAGGAGCGGAGAAGGAAGTATGGAGGATCGGCTCGGTCTGTATCTGCGAACCGATGATCTTGAGACAAGGGATTGGGAATGGAGAAGAGCGGTGTAAAGGGAACATTCCTCAATGATGCAGAGACTCACCCCTTCACGTTCCTTTGCCTCCCTTGCCTCCCTGGCCTTCTCTTCATTCTTCAATCTCTCCGCAGCCTCCTTTCCATATCGGGCCGCCCACAAACTCTCACGCTCTCTCTCCAATGTATCGCTCCTGTATTTCCCGGACATGATCTCTCTTTCTCTCAAACGGACACGAGCAAGCTCCTCTCGTGCCCATTTATCAGTCTCATCCTTATTGCCGAGTCGTTGCCAAAATGCTTTGCTTCGATCTTGGCCCAGCATCGAGCCGGATAGAGAGGAGGTCGACGCAGGGAGAGCAGTGGTGGGTGATCGACGAGGATGGTTGGGGTCGGTGGAACGGTCTACAGGTTGGGAATGAGGGGGAGGTTGATCCAATGTAGCTGTCTGAGGGGTATGCGGCAGCGCTGCTGCGGTCGTAGGCCCCACTCCTTCAGCGACAACGGATCCTGCTCGTGCGCCTTGAGATTGAGTGCCGACAGCAGGTACACGCTTCCGTCGTTTGATGACAGTCTTTTTCATCGCCACGGGTCTCGGGACACCATGAAGCTTGTGATACAGGCCACAAGCATTACATTGAGGTCTGCCTTCTTCGTCCCGTCTCCAGAGGGGGGTCGTGCTGGTCCCACAGTTACGACAGCTCATACCTACTGGCGTAGCGGCGAGGCCTCCCTGATCAGGCGCTTCGTTGTCAGACATTGGAGAGTAGCCGGATCGTTGCGAGCTGGCGTCTTCGCTGATGGAAGCGGCGCCTGGAGTGCCAGTGTTGTGAGCATAAAGTCCATCTCCAGATAGAGATCTTGACCCGAGCATGAGACCGGCCGATGCGCCTGAGCGAGACCAAGCGGGTGCTGAGCCATAGCCTCGGCGATCAATACCCTCAGGTTCATCCTTGGCCATATTGTTGCCAGTCGCCAAGGAATTGTTGTACGTTGGACAGCCTTCGCACCCCGCTTTCCCACCCGCACCGTTGCACCGGCCATCTCCGGGACATGTACCTGGTTGTGGGCGGTCGACAGAGGAAGCAGGCGGAGAGAGGGGAGGGTTGGGAGCGATCGCTGAGGTTGAAAGGAATCAGACAGCTTCTCGGTATGAGATGATCCATTTACTACTCACATCGTCTCTTTTTGTTGGGCGGTTCATCCATTTCCTTCTTCACAGGATTCCTCCTACTCCTACGTTTCGGTCGATCATCCGTACCAGCTGTGCTACCCGTGGGACCCGCCCCAGCTGCAGATGTCGAGGCCGACTCATCTTGATCGTCCAATTCATCGATGTCCGGCGATCCCGGTACCGAGTTCGGATCCAGGGCTTCTTCCTCTGCTATCCTGCGTTCATTCGAGCTTCCGAAACCCTCCCTCCAATTGACGGCTCCGTATCCCGGTCCAGCCTGCCATCGTGGAGCGACGTGTGTACCATCTCTCGCCAATGGATCCCTCGCTCCAGCCGCCGAGTCCACAGGATGATTCGTCCCCGAGGCCGAACTTGATCCCGCAGGCCCCCCACCGTTCGAGGCCGAGGTATTTTCTTCCTCGGCGCCTAGCGACCTCCTCGTATCGGATAATCGAGACGACGAGTATCGACGATAAGCAAATGAGCTGGAATCGCCTTCGTACAGGGACCGATTGGGACTGAGAGGGGAGATACGAGCGGCGGCGCGATCCGTGATGGGTGATGTGGGCGCTGTCACCGACATGATGGGTGCTGGAAGAAGGGATGGTGTCAGTGCGATTCAGAGAGAGAGCGAGAGAGAGAGAGAGAGAGACGAGTCGTCCGTAATGCTCGCTCTTGGAGACGCCTCGAGGAAGCAGAAGAAAGAGAGGAGTGATAGAAAAGGATATAGGTGAAGGATTACAAATGGGAAACTTGACTGAACGCACTGATAGATTTTTCACCGCTTGCCCCTTTGCCTGCCGCTTGATATCGGGGAGATTTCCCCCCCGTTTTCCCACTTTCCCGCCGACGTGGATGTGTATTTGGTATGCAGCTGACGGTTGGGCGATGGTACGCCGATGAGAGTGTTGTTGCGAGGAGATGCCTCACTGGAGAGAACGTTCAATGGTCAGAAAGGAGGTATGAGGATGAGGATGAGGATGATAATGCGTCTAGAGGATTCCCTCCCTCCCAGGTCGCTTGCTTTGATTAGATTTGGTTTTTCTTCTTCTTCCCCGCCCTTCTTCTTGGCTTCTCCCCCTCCTTTTGGCTCGTTTCCCACCTCCTTCCTCCTTCACACCCTGGTGCACAGAGTAGTGATGATATCAGGTGATCCAAGTTCCCCCCTGCTCTCCAGGTAGGTCTGCTGATGAATAATGGATAGGATAGAGGAAGAATGCAAAGGTGGAAAACGGGCACGATACGCAATGTGTTCTGTGTCTGTGTGTGTGTGAAAGCGGCGGAAAGAAGATCCCATTTTCGATGGCACTCTCCGCCACCGGAACACACACACCATCTCGTCACTCTCTGTCTCTGTGACTCTGTCTGTGTCTCTCTCTCTGATTGCTGCAACTGATCGGATATACGCGTGTCAGCTCTGATCCGCTGCTCCGCCCCCCCCCCCTCCCCCTCTCTCGACAACACAATGTGATAATAGATTACGGCGTTTTTTCTTCTTCTTCTTCCCTTTTCAGGCAAATCTGTGCTCACCCATCACGAATCTCTTTTTGCTTTTTTGCCATTTTTCCATATCGATAGGATAACGGGGGAAGCTGCCTGGCCATGCCTCGGAGACTGCGCAAACGATGAGGCCTTTTTTTTTGGGTCCCTCTTTGGAAAAATAGCCCCCCACCTGCTTGCCTTTTACCTTGTCGATCTCGCCTGATTTTAGAGCGAGTGACGGATTCATCTCGGAGACTGAGCATGATGAGTGACTCCGGGATTGATCCCGGCAGCTTTCACTGTTGGATTGGTACTACCTGAAGGCATCACATCTCACCCTGTATCTGCCACGTAGACTGAGAAGATGCCGAGAGAGAGAGAAAACACGCCGAGATCTTGGCAGCCAGAAGACGTCAGTATCCGTTATCAGTGCATTGGTCCATCGGGACCCAAGTCATGCCAAAGATCGAATGATTCTAACAGTCGCTCCCCAATCTGTTTTGGAATCATCTATGGAATCCGCATGCTCCGGACCCCCTCCCCCTCACACTCGCTCCGCGCCCCCCCATCAGCCGCCATCGTCATCATCATGATTGTAAAAGATCACACACATCACCCGCGTGACTTACCCGACGGCCATAACCGGATCTTTTTTCAAAATCCATGCCACGCGGTCAACTCCGGTTAATCTCAACCGCGATGCGAGAGATTAGGAAATTAAAGTTTTGCTTTCCCCCGAGCGCCCGTCCCTGGAACCAAGGTTGCATCGCCTACATGGCAGTCAGGTTATGTGCAACACGTGACATCCACACTAGCTGTATCTCTCCCTCTCCCTCTCCCTCTCTCTCAACGACAAGTTGACCCGCACGGAACTCCCTATACTTTCATGCTCCAGTCATCAGGAAATTCGTCGGTCCTTGAGCAGTTTGGATGCCTAGCATATATTCATGTATCAGCGATAACAGATCCTTCAACGATTTCTGATGATCTATCTACTCACCGTCGATCATCTTGTCCCAGAACTGGACGTTATTTCCGTCGCCCCAGACTTGACCAACCATCTCAGGTACAGCGCCGTTACCTCCCTGCTGAGCATTCAGATCCATGGGGACGTCCACAGATGGCTGAGGTAATGCTGGATCCATTGGGTTGCCCATCCAGCCGCTGAGAACGCCTCCTTCCGTTTGCGTATTCGCATCGAGGGCGTAGCCTGGGTTGGGGAACAATTCACCAGGTGCAAACGACATGGGTGGATTGACCATTTGATTGTGGTACAGCCAGTGATTGAGTCTTGGTGAAGCTATCAGTGACCGAAAGCACAAACTCCACTCACAGTTGCTGAGGCTGGTCATTGCCTTCATCATCAGATCCATGAGAACCACTATTGTACGTGGTTGGCCAATTGGTGCCCGAGCCATTGGGTTGTTCTCCTCCTCTCGGTTCATCACGCTCGGCGGAAAACGTCCTCAGAGCCGAGAACCTCGCATCGGAGCTCCTGGGCCTGTTGGCCCGACGTTCCTCAGCCTCTTTTGCACGACGGTGCAGTGTATAGATCTTGACCCATAAGCCCCAGGCTGATCTATGTTCACTCACAATGCCCGCCTCCTTCTGCGAGAATTCGTCCTTTGTCTCATCATGAGGGAAATGGTCGAGAAAGTTTTGGATAATCGCGCGCATGTCCGCAGCGTGGGGTGATCGTGGATCCAATATCTCGCTGATGCCAGCAATCATGGCGGCGTTCTGGATGCCCGGGTCAGCAAGCCTTCGCCTTTCTCGCCACTCACGAATTCCCTAAACGAGCCGCCGAGCAATGTCTCAAAGAAATCCGGTACGTCTTTCTTGAACGCTTCGCGGATCTTGAAATCCAGGACGGCAGATTCGAAACAAGCGCTACGTGAGAGAGCGTACCGACTGCTTCGGAGTCGCCTGAGAAGATAGGGTCTGTGAAGAATGATTCGAAAGTGAAGAATTTCCGTTTGAATATAATATCGGTGAATGCTGAGATACCACAATTGTGAGTCGTTGCTCTTGTCTGGATTTCGCATGCGAAAGTCTGGAGGAAGTTCCGCCATGAATTGGGTGAACAGTCCGTCTATCCTCTTGACTTCGTCGTACTGTATTGGATTGGATATCCGCGAGAATAATCGCGCAATCTCGCCGACGATCTCACTCAAGCGCCGTCGTAGGATGAGGTAAGTGGCAAATGTCGACGTCTGCAATGGCTTGGAAGGTGTCTCGTTCGGTTTGAGATTTTTCAATCCTTCATTGTTGCTCATGTCAATATTGGACGGTGGAAGCGTGTCGCTGCTGTCCAAGTCGATACACGTCGGTCGACCGAGTAGGCAGGAGTAGCTGTGAATTGTCTGTCAGCTGGGGGCGACGATACCTACGCAGCAGTTTGCCACTTACGTAGCATCCGCATGCAGGAGGTAAGACCACAGTCTTCGACGGTATTCGGTGGCATAGGCATCGCAGCCCAATACTGCTCCATCACGATGAAGACCGATAATTTGCGCAGATGTGATGGCGCCGCGTAGCTCTGCCCAACCTTCGGAAAGTCGTCTCTCGTGCATGAGAATGAGGTACAGTCCCAGCAGAATTCTCGTCTCAACCAATTGGAGCGTCACAGGAGTGATGGCCCGTGCGATGAAAATGGCTGAGCGGGTGTTGGTGTACAATTTGAGGCTTTCTCGCTTTTTTGTGTCCTCGTCGAAACCAAGCTCCGCAGGTGCAATCCTGTATGCGATGGCGATGACGATACACGCCACGGGGAGGAACAAGAGCGATCTAGGATTGAGGTTCTGCAAGTTCTCGTAGAGCCAATCGTAAGATGATCGGAACGACGGCTCGTCAATGGGATACCGAACAAAATTGAATTTCTCAAAGAACTGGTTCACCAACTTGTCCGCGGTCGGTCGGTCGGGCAAATCTGTGAGAAGTCTTTTGACGTAATGGATCTCGATCCCATTGCTTAGCATGCCCTTTTCGAAAGATTCTTGAGCGGTTCCGTGAAAATCGATCGTACGGTTGACAGGCTGGTTGCTCATCTGGAAATTTGCAACAATCAGTGATCTGCGGCGTGCGTCGCACTTTTCGCTCGACTCACCAATTGCGGCAGTGGGTTTCTCGATAACGACTCTCGGTCAATCTTGAGAACCTCATCTCCGCTACCTTCGCGATCTGTATCTCCGTGATTCGAATTTGATGAGACGTTGCGGGATCGAGACATGGCATGGCTTCCAAGAGGTGGCGGGGATGTAGCTGGGGCGTGATCTGGTAGAATGGTTGTCAGCGAATCAGATCTCGACATAGACTCACTTATCCGCCAATCGTGCAACGCCTTGCCCTCAACGCCATCCACCCGATTCACGACGGCATTGAGCAGAGCTTCGATCCGTGCCACGCGGACTGTCAACGTCGGTAATTGACTAGGCTGACGAGCAGTGGGCGCAGTGTTTAACGACGTTGCAGCCGTTGATCCAGCCATTTCGATCTTGATATCTGGTCCTCCTTGTCCAGCGCCTCCGCTGCCCGCACCACCACCACCACCACCTGCCGACGCTGCAGCAGCCGCGGCAGCTTTCGTCCTATTTCTCGGCGGTGGACTTCCTTCCCTGATATAAGGTACACACAACTCTGGGACGCGGCGTTGAACGCAATGCTGACAAGGTGTCTGTCGATTACATTTCTGTTTCCTCTTTGCACACTCTGCGCAGGATAATGCGACTCTCCGTTTCTTCTTCTTGCTCGAAGCTTCGTCCGGTGACTGTCGCCTCCCACTGACAGAGGTGCTAGCTGGTGAAGTGGGTGACTCCTCTTCTCTCGGGTGAAATGATTGATGTGAGTGTTGACGTTGAAACCCCTGTTGGTGCTGCTGTTGGTGTTGCTGGTGTTGCGAAGGATGATGGTGATGCTGTTGTTGCTGCTGCTGGTGCTGGTGATGATGATGGCCCTGTTGATGTGGCTGCTGCGACGTCATTGGCGGCGTGAGCACAGACTGTCGAGGTGATATAGGTCGATAAGGAAACGATTCCCAGCTCGGACTATGGCCAGTTCCATGATGAACCATGGGAGGTAATCGAGAACTGGCTCGAGAAATAGAGGAAGATCCAGGGGACCATTGGTTTCTCGCGTCTCTGGTTTTATCCCGATCCCAGAATCCCATATCTCCGCTTGACCCTGGACCACCTGCTATGGAGCTTCCTCCTCCTCCTCCTGTTCCTGTTCCAGACCCATTACCTGATCCGATACCTCCGGGCATGTTGCCAGGTGACGGTGGCATGTAACTTCGTGAAGAATTGCCCAAGTTTAATGGGGCCAATTTGTTACCGGCCGAAAGGAGTGAATATCGGTTGGTGTCATCTCCAGGCCGCTGCGGAAGCATGGCGCGGCGTTTCGGGGATATCTCTGTCCACCCAGAACAGGCCGACCGTCGAATCCAACGTTCAAGGATCTCGAGAGGATCTGAGAATCGACGACGATCTTATTGGTTGGTTGGTATGAGATAAGGGCGATGATTCCCGGGTACGGTGTGTGTGGGATTTGGAAAGAGTTCGTTCTACCTAGGAGGAAGCTGCGTTAATCCCAGATGATCACGGGTTTTGCTCGGAGAGAAAAAAAATCCCAGCCAAAAAAAAAAAGAGACACAAAAAAGAGAAAGAAGCAGCAGCAGCAGTGAGCAGCAGCAGCAGCTTCTTCTTCTTTTTTTTAACAACAAGAAGAGGCGTCCGTCGTCTATGGCTAAATCACACACCTCCTCCTTATAATACCTGGTGCCTGTTCTGTGGCGTGCTGGTCCAATTCCCCCCCCCCTTCTTGCTGATGTATAGACCTCACCTCCCCGTTTGACCACGAGGTGGCTCAGGCGGCTTCTCTTATTCGGCCGAGCGGATGTATATGTCACGATGTCGGGGGTTGGGGGTGGATGTATGTGTTATATATATATACTCAGAGCAAAAAGGTGTCGTCGGTAGTGTATTGTGTTTGTATATAATAAAAGGTGTATCGGATGGATCTTGCTATCAGATAGGGACCCCCCCACTCACTCCTCTTATTTGATAAATGGCTCTATGCTTGGCTCCCCGTGCAAGATGTATGACCACGTATTGAAAAACTTCAAGGGTGACGATCGTTGTTCGGTGGGGCATAGAGAGTTGCCGAGAGTGAGCTGAAGCTGTGGGTGCGGTGGAACGGAGGTTTACCCAATTTTAAGATGAGGGCAATTTTTATGGCTATGCCTCTGTCTCTCTGTACAGAGGAGATCGGAGCGGATTTTCATCTTCCAGACTCAAAAGGAACCTCGGTGCTCATCTCCTTTTTCTTCCCCCTTCTCGATCACTCATTATTCTCGGAGATCGTATCATCCCATTTTGCTGTTGTGGTGTCCGACCGTTCTCTTCGCTCCGCTGCTGCTGCTGTTGTTTCTGCTGCTCCCGAACAAGCAAAGCGATGGCAAAAGGGCATCAGGGATCAAGCGTAAAATAAGCTATGACTGAGAACTCGCCTTGAAGTCACCCAAAAAAAGAATGGCAGGAAAATCGAGAGAGAGTGAAGAGGACGGGGAAGGAAGGCTCTGAGCATGGAACTCTAATTTCTCTCGCTCAAGGATCCACCTTCAAACCTGCGCACGGACGAGGAATGCTGAGTCGGAGAGAGAACCCCATGTGGAACCTCTGGAAGAAGGAAGGGGCCGGGGGGGGGGGGGGGGGGGGGGGAGGGGGGGGGGGGGGGGGGGGGCGTAAAGTGGGTTTGGGATCTCTGATAGAAATAAACCTTAGCTACAATTCCCCCCTCCCCTTTGAGAGTGGCGAAATTTTCCCCCTAGAACGAGGCGAAAACAACCGACCTTTTTGGTCAGGGGATCTCAACGACGATCTCGGATGTTGTAGAAGGTCAAGCTGTTAGACGATCGTAGTGATGTCGAGCATGATATACCACCAACTTGGTGTCTCTGACTGCAGCGAAGCAGGCGATGACAAGGGGGAGCGGAGACCGAAAATAGAAACAGCCCATTGTCCATCTCTGCACCCGACCCCTGACCTGCCGCCTCAATCGTCCCAGCCGCTCCAGCAGTGGGAAAATACTCCAGCCGAGTAATATAAATCGACCGAAGTTATTGAATCAGTATCATCGAAGAGCACGCGTAGCTCTTGGGTAAGTCGATCGGAGACCCCACTTGATACGGGTCTTTGTGCACGGCCGGCATAGCAATCCCCATCGTTGAATGCCAGTCGATCCGACCATTGTCCTCTGGACTCGTCGATCTTTAGCCCCGACCAAAACTACCGCCACATTTTCACACAACTTCCCTTCTCTTTCCGACGCCGTGAAGAGATGTGTGTCCCCTAGTAGCCTGATCGCGGGGCTTGTTTCAATTGCCACTCCACTAAACCAACGCTCCATCCATTCACCTCGTTCGGCAACCTGCGCAGCCTACAGAGTCAATCGAGGAGAGCCTTGTGTCAGAGAGAAATTTTTGACGTTTCCTTGACGATTCGCAGTCACAATTAAAAGCATTTGTCTTAGGTACACAAACATTCTTTGTTGGACTCACTGCCCCGGCGATTGTGGGACGTGTCAGGATGTAGCAGGCCGATAGCAGTGCGTTCATGAATTGTCAGTGAGCGCCTGCAGCAGATCTACCCGGAGACTTCGAACGACACCCGTCTTCCGACCTATCTCCTTCCCATCAATAAATAATCGCCGTGCGTCCTTATTCAGCTCTGTTATACCCTCAAAGCAATGCGAAGACCATTGTAAAGGATCTCAACGGCCCCTTCCTTTCCTCTCGACTTTTCAAGGCTGCCTGAGATCATTGACTCACGCCGGAGAACGTGTAACAGTCATCGCGATTCTTCCCAAATGAGTTTGTAAGTATCCGTCCCTGTTCGCCGCGATGCTATTCCGTGTCGCCTTCATCAATACGTATTCGGCGCGACTGCTTTGTTCCAGCTCGATCGCGCGCAAATCGAGTAAGTGGCATGAGGGTTTAGTAACATCAGCGCATTCAACATGGCCCTCACATTTTCCATCAGCTGAAATCGCATTCTTATCCCTCATACCTGCTGGGTTCCGAGGTCGGCATACGTCTTACTTACCAGACGTGATGGCCACTGCTCACTCCTCAGGTGTCAGCCATATTTCTCTCGATGAATCACCGAGACCACCATAGAAGATGCAAACCACAAGGTCGCACTGTCTTCAGCTTCAACTTGGAGAAAGATACCCTGGGATCGAGCTCGTTGTGGTGGACCACTTCAAGATCCTTCAACATCATCGTGGTCGTATCTGGCATCATGTACCGCCGTGTCAGATTTGTTGGCGTCAAGCACGAGGATAGTGTCCTATCAGCATCGTCTCGGACTCCGCTGGCGTCTTCACAAAGCCGTCGATCATCTTCTGAAATACTGGGTTTGGATTGTGAGACCTCGTCGGAGGCGGCTCATGGTTATCGGCAAAGTAAGTGTCATAGGATGCGAGCAGAGATCGAGACGTGGACCGGGGATAGAATGCCAATAATTGGGTTCGTCAAGAGGGACAGCGATCGCTAGTCTCATGGCTCGCAAGTCCCCACGTTATGTGCTTCATTTCGGTCCGTGTTGATCTTTGACGCCCTTGAAGGAACCGCCGCCAGTCAAGGATCGTCAAGTCGTCTGCATATGATTTCAAGTTCGCTCCATTCCTTTTCCACAGGCTAAGTTGTCGAACTTGAAGACCGAATATGGAGTGATTATCCAGCACGCAAAGTATCGGGCCGGATCGTCCTCGGTCTGATGGATCAACTCAGTATCAGGATTTCACCCCTCGATCGAAATGCCGTATGCGCGAGCGGGATCGCGCTCCAAGTGATCGTCTCCCAACCGGCGATCGGCAATCAATGACAGGCCAAGACGAATCCATGCAGGCGATCAGAATTGCTTCGGTGTGAGAGGACAATGGCGGACAGCCTCGTCAAGGTCTTTGGTATTCCTCCTCCGCTTGTGATTGCCTCCGATCAATGGACAGTGCTGTGATGTACGAGAACACCATAGCGTGTTTTCCTCGTCTGGTCTAGCGAAACAAAGGTGCACCTTTCGGTGTCGACGTGCCAGCGCTTCGAACTTGAACGCATCGATAGGGGCACGGTGATCTGGTCGAATCGAGACCGGAGGAAAACAAGGGTCCAGACCATCGCTACATGTAAACGGGTACATGTGATTGGCACGGACAAGGATGCGACATCGTCAGAGAGAGGAAGGGAGGGGGAGAAGTATCAATTGGAGAGGACAGCATTTCCGGTGACCGGTGACCGGTTGGACCGATGGACACGGGATGGACAGGTGAGTGCTCCTCGTGATCCTTGTCGACTGTGTTCACTTGCTTTCGTCGCGCCGCCCAGCGATCTTGTCGGCGCAGAACCTTGGATTCTCTGTCGACCAATGAGCCTGGAGATGAGGAAGAAGACAGGTCACGGTTCTGCTCAAAAACCAGAATGATGGAAAAGATTTCATCCAAACAGAAATGCCATATTGTAAACTGTGCCTCTCGGAATACGATGACAAAATTTTGTGGGAATCTGTTCCGACGGATCGTGTCCATCAGTACTAATAAGGGTCTCTCGCAGTAGGAAGACCGAAGAGGGACAAATCGATTCCCACTTCAGCAAGCAGTCAAGGGCTGATGAGTATGCTTCAGCGTTGGCACTGATCATTCAATGCTGCGTATATCAAACGCATGAGTAACCATGCCTGCCTCGCATCCATCTTTGCCGATCCCTGAATGCCTTGGCATGATCTTGTAAGCTTGCTTGTGAGTCAAGAGCGCGATGGAGACACCTTAGAGAGGGTACACCAAGTACAAGCGGTTCAAGAGCGGCTTTTGCCACGCCGGTGAACCCTTGCAGCCCGTTCAATCCAGCCTATTCGCATGGCCCCGTTCATATCCTAGTCACGATACAGGATATCGGGCTCCCGGATGGGATCCTCTCATCTTCCATTCGGAACCTGATCACCAGGCAGAATAGATGTGATGACGGGTGCTGGATGACAGGCTCCTGGAGCCGACTTAACACGTCAGGCTTGGTCTGTTGTCTAAAGATTGGAGATCCTCTTTGCGTATCTGCTAACAGTCTTCCTTCTCGCTCGAAACCATGTTAAGGATGTGCAGTCAAGAGACCGTCTCAGATAAGGGTTTGTGGCTGGACTCGAGATGGGTTAGGTGTTAAGGGATTTGACACTTGACGGCATTGCCCTGTGCAATGCGTGGCTGCAACCAACGGGAGATCTGAGAGCTGACCTGGTATCGTCCTGCCAGATGCAGCGACATGTCCATTCTCAAAATTCACCATCAACGCTCTGATCATCGCCACACTTCAGCTTGGCACTCATTTCCCCCCCCCCCCCCCCCCCCCCAATACCCTACTTTTTCCCTTCGAGGTGCCGCCACATGCAGCTACCATCAAACAATAAGTGCTTGGGTGACAGGTCGATCCGTGCATTGTATCTTCCTCGTATATCGTATATAAACTCCTGGTGCATGTCTGAAAATGTCTCTTCATGCACGCATCCACATCTTCTTTTGCATCTTGACTCCATTCAATCCCGTCAAATCATCGCTTCAACCCAGACTTCGTGAGTCGATCCTCTGGCCGAAGATCAAAAGTGCCACCTTTGTCCATCCTCAAGGCTGGATCCCTCAGTGGGACATCGACTGACGGTATTGCGGTATTGCCGCCGCCCCTCAGATCACGACCATCATGCACTTCTCTGCCCTCTTTACCGTCCTCGCGACTGGTGCTTCCCTTTCAGGTGAGCTCGTGGCAGCGCGCTGGCTGATCAGACAACTCGTCGCTGACGCCACGCCCTCCTTCTTCGGTCCAGCCGCTCACCAAGGCCACGCCATCAGCCAGCTCTTAAAACGGGATATCCCAGGTCTCCCAGACAGTTGTAAAGACAGATGTAACGAAATCAACCCGGTTTATGACGCCTGTATGAACGCCGACGTCGAAGTCTGCATTACCATCTGTAACGCGGATGTGTTTCCCAAATACGTGAGTCACATCTCACAAAGAGCGGTGTCCTTGCTAACGTGTTATTCGCCCGGCGACCCATACAGCAAGACTGCTTGCAGTGCATCGTCGACCTTGTCCCGGAGGACCAGGAGGCTCAGCTCCAACCTTCCATCGACCAAGTTGACCAGCTCTGCGCCAACATCAAGTGAGTGGGACGACGGACGTGCGAGGGACGGACGTGTCATTGAGCTCAAGACCACCGCGGCTGATCATACATCAGTCCCGATGCCGGAAGTGCCTCTGGTACCAGCAGCGAGAGCGCAGCTGCAGAAGTGAGTCGCTTAGATCAGATAAGACTAGAGGCGGCGCCCCGGTGCATCAGTCGCTGACGCTCATCTTCCCACCTTGCCCCCCACCTTCCCGCCCTTCAGTCCAGCTCAGCAGCAGAGAATGGGACCGCTTCTGGCGCTGCATCGTCCACTTCTTCCACTCCACTCGCCAGCCAAGCCGCCTCAGCCGCCAGCAGCAAAGTGGCATCCATCACTAGCGGCGCTGCGTCCAAGTCGTCATCCGGTACACTTGGTTCCGCCGCGTCGAGCGTCCAATCTGCCGTCTCTACTTCCGGAAGCGCTTCCGCTGCTGTAGGAGCGCCGAACCTGATCGGAGGTTTCGTCGCCCTGCTCGGAGCTGGTATCGGAGCTACACTATTGATCTAGGGTTAGCCAGGGTGGCGATGTGGCGGTCAGTTGCTCGAAGGCACAAAAGAGTGCATCCGCTTTTCCCCCGCCTGTTCGGCTCCAGAGTTTCCCGGCACCCTCTTCGTGACCGGACAATCTATCATTCAGATCAATCGATCAATCTATCTACAGTCCCAGCTCCAGTACTGCCGTCTTGGTCCACTGATTTATTTCATTTCATTATGCATCATGATATCTTTCGGCAATACCTCATCTCTTTTTTTTTTCCCCCGAGCTCTTTCACAATCGGCCAGAACGGCGTGAATCATTCACTCTCTTTCAAAGATCTCTGACAGGAGACCTGCGGTCACTTGACCGGACGCCGAAAATGCGCAGTGTCCAGGACAAACGGCGCTTCTTCTTGATTTCATTTTGATGGATGGATGGATGGATCGGATCAATTGCCGAAGATCTACCGTGAAATGGTATTCAAGATCCAGCGACCATAGTCTCGATTGCTTCCTAATCACTAATCACAGATGACACTTCATATTTAGCCTCGATTACATTACACATGACCCAAAAGGTCACAAAAATGACGAGGTCCGATTTCTATGTATTCTAAAAATGAGTCACTTACCAGCCAGCCATTTAGACCTCTGGGAAAGATGTCGATTTCGTGATTAGCAAAAGGGCATCATCCCATCTTTGAATGATCTGACTGACACCTGTTGGGTGCATTGCTGGAAAGATGCTTGCCCTTGACCATGCATGCATCGGATCATATGGCCATTACTGTCTTAACCATTGGCCTCCCGGTCATTGGGTTGGCCGAGCACCGAAAAGCTTTTGAATCCGCCACATTCAGGTCTTGTCTCTGTGAGAACCCATTTTGAGTAAAAATCCGATCCCTGGGGGGGCCGAAGGGAGAGAGAACAGTGTCATTTTTTTCTTCTCTCTTTGCGTGCCCCCAGTCTGGACCCCCGCTATCGTCTTTTTGTCGGGTCATCATTTTTCATTCACTAGAAGGGGGGGACCCGTTCAAAGTCGTATCGTCCCAAAAAGAGATAGGTCAAAGATCTCGTTCGCCAAGGAGATCAAGGTAGTCAAGTGTCAGAAGAAGAAGAAAGAACGGGCCGAAAGATCGGCACAGCAGAGAAAGGTCAGGCAACCCACAGGACCAAGACAAGGACTTCCTCTCACCTTTTGCACACACACTCTCTCTCTCTTTCGCGCACTTCCTCCGCCGCACTCTAACTGAACCCCGGGGGGACTCCTCCCTTACTCATCATTCACACATCGCGCTCTCTCTCTCTCTCACTGGCTCCTCGTCTCACTTCTCCAACTCCGTCTCAGTGAATCCATCCATCCACATCATCAGCATCGTCCTGCTCACCGGATTCGACCGGATCGCTGAAGCCGATTCATTCGCTTAGACCTGGATCCGGAAGCATCGCTTTGGTCCCATCCAACCGTACTTGACGATCCCGGCTCGCCTATACTGGAGTCTCGTGATCTCGTTTATACCTCGACAGCACCCATCAACACTCCCCCTGTACCAGACGGCATAGTATCCGAGCTCGAATCCCCTTAATTGGTCTCCCAGTTCCCCTTCCTCCACCACCATGTCTGGACCCACACCACTACCCGTGCCTGCGATCATAGCCGCGCATCCTCCTAACATCCCCACCGTCAGGACCACCAACGATCCGTTGATGCCTGAATTGAGCGCCCCCGTCCAAACGACGACATCACCCGTCGAGTCCATGACTGCAGATGAAACAGTCGACCCACCACATCCCTTGGCTTCTGACGCTCCGGTAGAGGATAGCATATCGAATCAGAGTGCGCCTGCGCCTGTGTCCGCTGGCCCGATGGTGGGTGCTCCTCTCTCTCTCGTCGATCTATCCCCTCAAAGCGCCCGCGGCTGACGTACGTGCCTTATGGTTAGTGTCATGTCAAAGCTTTGATCATATCCGGCGAAAGTCATGTCTTCTCGTTCGAGCCTGAGCAAACGGTCGGTCGAACAGTGAGTGCCGTGGAGGATGCAATAAGTGGTGCTCTTCTCATATTACTTCGCAGAAAGAATTGATATGGAGCATGTGGCCATCTCGTGAGTGTTTGACGTCACCTCTCATCCGATTCCGGCTGACAAGTCACACACAGAATGGACAGAACCAGCCCAGCCGCCATCACCTAGCTTCTTGCGCATCCTACACGGGGGCAGGATACTAGCGGATGAATCGACTCTAGCATGTGAATATGGCACGGTGACGCGCTTTCACGCAGCAGCTAATCGCAAACTCGCTCTAGCTAACAACATCCCATCATCCACTTCCTCCGCACAACCCACTGTCATCCATATCTCTGTCAGGTCGTTCTCGCTCAGACCAGAAGATGGTGAGTCAAGCTTGTGTGAAAACATGCATAGGCACGGCTGATATGACTCGTCTTGTGTAGATCCACAAAAGGGCTCGCATCTTCCTGGTCAAGCTGGCCGAAACGGACGAGGTGACGACGTGGGCGGATGCAAGTGTGTGATCATGTAAAGTGGCAGCGGGGCGGAGCGGACGGTAGAAGGGACCTAGGTTTGATGGAGTTGGAGCCGGAAGTGAGGCTCGTCATTGTTCGTGCAGACATCGCCATGATACGGATTTCTGGATCCAAGTGGATTGATCTTGTTGTAGAGTTTATCCTTATGAGTACTTTTCGGCGATTCGTGAATGGACAGAGATACAAGGCAAGGATGCATGGCATTGCCTTAAGGTGATAAGGTGGAATTTCGAGGAGGAATTCTGTTCCAAGGGACGGTATCGTATGGGTCATGGGGCGATTGGGCTCCTGACCTGCCGTGCAAGACAACCTGTCAATTAATGCAGGTGTCACCTCCTTGATCCAGCCTCCTTGTCCCACTCCTCCGGTGTCTTGAGCTTCAAGCTCAGCGCATGGAGTCCAGCGTCAAATTCGTCTTTCAGCAGATTATTCACCATCCTATGTCGTTTGATCGATGTCAGACCGTCAAATTGGGGAGATACCAGTGTTAGGGAGAAGTCTGATAGGCGACCGAAGGAGTAATTCCAGTGTCAGCGAGCGAGCGGACAAGGTAGGAGGGGTGGAGAAATGAAGTCAGCCCTCACGAGTCTCTCCTGAACCTCCTCCTATGGCTTTCATCGGTGCATGATGAGAATGTTTCGACGAGTCGTTTTGGATCTCCAGCAGACTCGGATTAAAGGATTTATTGAGCTACAAGGGGTGAGGTCAGCGTGGGTCTGACGGGTGCCTACGACCAAAAGACCTACCTTATCCCTCATGGCGGATTCCACAGGGCCAGGCTCGTGACCCGCCTGGCGACTCGACATGGTCCGCCGGACAGTATTCAGGCCGATCGGCGGCGGGCGCTGGGTAAGGTGATACGGTAGTCTCTGGGCTCGACTTGCTCCAGCACGCAATAGATGTAGATCCAGCAGTGCACCTCTGACGAAGCTCGCCCGATGCATAGGGACCTTTGTCTGTGGCTCGCTTGGTTGATAATCGGGGGCGGGCGTTTGGTACCGGAAAGTTGGGACCAAGGCTAGGAACGGGGCGCCCCTCGAGTGGGAACGGGTGTGTTATCACACCCCAGAGTCTCATTAGAAAGTTTGTTAATCCGAGATAGTCAGTCATTAACCCCATTTCTAATCAGATACATCTCCCCTCCCCCCCCCCCCAATTCCGTGAAATGAACTCAAGGAGAGAAAGAAAAGAAAAGCAGAGAGAGAAAAAAAAACCCCGGCAATCTGCTCTCATCGCACTCCTCCTTTGGATTGACGATCCTCTTGTTCACCACCACATCATTTTGTGACTATACAAAGTCATCGATTCCAACAGACCAAGAGTGCCTGCGCAACAGCAACAAGCACCGTTGTCTTGTCTGGAGCTACACTGGCACACTGTGTCCTATCATTGCACTTCTTCTGTCGTCTTTCACCCATCGGTCAGACGACGCCCGGAAAACACAGTCAAACGGTGAGTTTTGGGTCTGTTTTCGAAGCAGTGGGAATCATACAAATCCTTCATGCTGCGGGCCACGAGAGGGCGCATTACCAAGTGGACACGCTACAGTACTCACCTGTACCCAGTCCCTCCACGTTTCCTTCTGCCAACACACTATTGACACAACTTCTCGCGTTCGGGGTTCTACCTTGCTTCCGATGCTTTTCACCTGATGTCTATTTTGGTGTTCATTGTCCAAAATACATAGTTCTATAGCTTTCAGCATAAATTCTCGGCAAAGATCTCAACATGCTCGTGTACTGTGCTGACTCGCTATGTATACAGGAGGCAACATCCCGCTCGCCACGCAAAAAGTGATCATCAGGTGAGTTTCTCCTCTCCGAATAAGGGGCGTGTATTCTCTTGTACCTCGGATTGCCTGGTTTCTGTCCATGGTCCCGAGGGACCGATAATCTCTTTTCGTGTCGTTCAAAAGAGTACTCCACGTATCGCAGACCGATCTTCCATCGTCCCGCTCATCTACTCTGTTGTCTCTACACGAAAGACGCCAAAGGGGGACTGAGTCGGAGCACGGTTCGGCAATGAAAATGGGCCTGGGTAGGGGACGAGTGGAGGTGTCCACCTTTCTTTTCTTCTTGGCAGTGAAATTTGGGTTCACTGGGCAATAACATTCCCAACTCGTTGTCCAATCCTTCGTCGAAGCATTCCTTCGGTTCACAAAGTCATCATCACGACGACTTCCCTCCCTCCCTCACCTGCCACTGCCCATCCTATTACCTCACCGCCGCCCCGCCGCCTCCCTTCTTACCCTTCTTCTGATCTTCCCAGCAGCCCCCCTTCCCCCACGTGGTCGATTTCGGGAATTTAATCATTTTGTTTCATTTTCTCAAAACGGCATCATTTTATCATTATCATTCCAGCCCGTTCAACCGGGGTTTTTGGGTGGGAAGATACCCCCTTGGTACCCAAACACACATCCCAGTCTGGTCGGTCTCGGATTGGCAGATGCCATCGTAGACCATCACTCTCTCATGTGCCTTGATCCTTCTGAACCTCCCTCCTCCCCCCGGGACCCCTGCCTCTACCACATATTCCAACATTATCCCGTAAAACGCCTCAAACTCTGTCTAAACACATCATCTTTGCCCCGCGAACGCCGCCCCGGCTGCTGAGCCACGTTACGTAAAATTTGCATCGAAGGGAGGGAGAAAAAACGGGCCTAAAAAGGGGGATCAGCTTCCCAGTGCGTGCCACTGTCGCTGCTGCTTCGGCAACAGAACCTGGTGGTTCCTTGTTCATTCCATCCATCCATTCAATCAACGACTCAATTCCATTCACTCAGATAGAGCACGGCATTGCTCTCATCACTACTTCCTTGTCTCCTTCTTCCATTCACGATGGACACTCACATGACAACGGAACTGCTGGACTGACAAAAAACACTCTTCTCGCCCAGCCAAATCCCAAACTCTATCACCTGACACACGACTTCCCATATCACGCACACGCTCTTCCTTCCCGATTATTTGGATCACGTTCTACTTCCACTCAATCATCAAGAGGGCGAGCATCCACACGAGAGATAGTTTATAGTGTCTGTGCGCGCTCTTGCCGCGATCATGTCGACATCGACCGTGCTCTCACCGAGGACGCCCGCTATAGGACTGTCGGACGGGTCACCATCTGATTCACGGTCCAGACGATCGGCAAGAGCATATCCGACCAGAAGACTCGGCGCTGGGTTGTCATCACCTGTTCCAACCAACGCCTCGTCTTCGACGTCACACTCGACTCGTTCAAGGACGAGACAGTCTACATCGCCAGAGAAGAAACCGGTAGACGGTGTGCCGTTATTATCCTCTGGAATGAAAACGTCTCGTGCGTCTGAGGGAGAAGATGAAGGGGAGTCGGAGATTGAAATAGATCAAGACGGTGTCCGCAGTGGATCACAACAGAGTCTCGATGATGATCAAATGAGCGATGGAGGAGACTACGAACCGAAATCGGTCGATGGGAACGAGACGGATCAGCCAAAACCCGGCGGACCCGTAACCATCTCTCTGCGTTTCGGATCGGGCAAGAAACGAAAAACTCAGAATATGATTGAGATTGGAGAAGGGAACGAATCAGACTTGACGCCTGAAGCGGAGGACGCGCGAGGGTATGACAAAAGGGACAAAGAGAGCGGCGTGGGCGAAAGAGTGGCGGGCTGGAGTGATGCTGCCGAGGTCGAAGGCGATGCCGTTGTGCCGCAGGAAGGCGAAGAGGATCATGATACGCGCGAGGGAAAGGTTGAAGAGGAATTGGAGTCCGGTCTGCCAAAGCGTGCTCCGAGAAAGAAGCGAAAGTGGTTGAAGAAGGGAGAGGGTGAGTGTGTCTACCGCGGGTCTGTGTCTCATCCCTTCCAGTGGATCCAGATGATCCAATTGCCGTTGCAAAACAAAAGGAGCGACACGCTTTGATTGATGAGTGAGTCGGTGTGCGTAAGGCCATGCTCACCGTCCCAAGGGCCATTATTCTCCTTGACAAGCAGCTCGAGATGATCACCAATGAAAGTCATCCTCAGCTCGCCTGGATGCTGCAGGAGCTTGAGAGGCGATACAAGCGCAAGACAGCTCAGCTCGAGGCGAGACATGAGTGAGGCACGGCGATGCCTGATGGGGCTCTTGCTGATTTATCCAGGGCGATTCTTCAGGACTTGGACCACGTGCGACAGCACGAGCGTCGGCAAGCCCATGTCAATTGGACCGTGAGGGTGTCCGGTTTGCCTGTCTGTCCATGCTGATGCCCGTGATAGAAACAATGCGATCGTTTAGCTCAAGAGATGACCAAGGAGATCGATCTCAAGCTCGGACGACTCGACCAAGAGCACAATGCGCTCAAACGTCGTCCCAACGAGTACCCCAATATGCGCGATGGTCGAGGCGGAGGTGGTTGGAGAATCTACAACGAGCATCTATTGTCAACACATGAAGAGAAACTCGTTCGAGTGGATCCTGACTCCAAGCGCGTCCGCAGGGACCTGCCTATCGATGTGACGGGTATCGGAACACATGCGGCGAAACAGGAACTGGCACGTATGGTTGTCAAGATCGAAAAGAGATCTCCGTCGCCTCCCCCTCGACATCGACGACCTTCGCGTACCACCAACCGTCCTGAGCGTGTACCGGATGATTACTCTAAGCCATGGATCGTCAATCACAACGGACCAACAACGGCCACGCAGTCTGCTCAGCCTTCGCAACCATCTTCTTCCTACGCGTATCGTTCATGGGTCAACCCCGGAACGACCTACGATCAGTCAACCAACAGTGCACACAAGTCATCTTCGAATGCTCAGCAGCAACAAAAATCATCTTCGTATGGTCGTCATCCGTCCCTACCTCAACCTCAACCTCAACCCCATTCAGCGCTTTACTCATCGTCTGGCGCTCCTTCAAGTACGTCCCGCCCACCGACTTCTTCCACAAGCCATTTGTATCCCGCTCCTACATCTCCCAACGTCTCTCTATACGCTCCTCGAGTCAAAAACATCTTCACGGACCCTATTCCTCCTGCCTTGTCGACCGGTAAATCCAGTACAACGGCATCTGTGCCTCTGTCGAGTGAGTCGGATCCAGCCGGGTAGAGGATTGAGACGCTAAAAGGATCGTTTCAGCTGGTTTCGTGGGCCCGCGGGGATTCTTCAGGTGACGGAAAGGCGAAGCATTGTGTGCTGCCCTGTGGCACACATCGAGGGAGGGGAAGCGCACATAATCTGTCTATTTCTACGTACCGAGCATCGAATCATCCTTACAAATCACATCACACTCACACCACCACAACGTTTTGTAAATACATACAAAGAGACATCAAGGACAGCCAGACAGAGAGTAGCCAGTTTTGTACGAGTAGATTTCATTCATGCCAGAGACAGTGCATTATCAGCCAGTGGCCAGTGGCGAAAAATCCGATGGATTTGACTTTTTTTCATTTCTGTTGTTTTTCAAGTTACTTCTTCTATATTGGACGGTGAACCGACACTTGTCGTGTCGTCGTAGCTCGACCCGCAGCTACCTTCCACACTCTACTCGATCTGCAAGCCATTGATCTCGCTGGGCTCGTACGCCGACCTGGCCAACATGGCCCCTTTGCTCAACGATGAAGAGCTCGCTCTGGATCCATATAAAGTCCTTGAGTTGGATATCGGAGCATCCCAGAAGGACATCACGAGGGCATTCAGGAAGCTGTCGTTGAAATGGCATCCAGACAAGAATCAGTCTGCAGAAGCAGGTGAGTGATCGAGCGAGTAGCAAGCGCGGACCTTTCCCATCCTACATAAAGACAAAAGCTATGATCCTTCTACGTTGGGTTAGCAGATCGCTGACGCTGTGTTTTTTGTTCCGCTTTGCCCAGTGATCATGTTTCGAAAGATCACTGTGTCTTCCGAGATCTTGATGGACAATGCGAAACGGAATTACCTAGATACGAAACTTGAAGACGATAGACGTAAGAGGGCAAAGTATGAGCAATTGGATAAGAAACGAAGAGAGATGGTCGATGTGAGTGCTAGGGTTTTCTTTGGCACTTTAGACTTTGTTACCTTGGCTGACTCGCCTTCAATCTCAGGCTCTCAATGCGCGCGAAGAGAATGCTAAAAAGGCAAAAGTAGAACAGGTCCAGAGGAGGAGAGAACAAGCTGAAGAAGAGGAGATCAAGGAGGCCGGGAAGAAAATGTTGGAGGAAGCTCAAAGAAGAGCAGCCGCTGCCTCGGCGGCAGCGGCAGTCACGGCTAAGCAGTCGAACGGGAGCTCTACCCATGGAGCCACTACTTTCACAGATTCCTCAGCTCAAGCCGGTCCATCTCGGTCTTCTCAACCTTCCTCGACCAAGACGAATGGTCATGCTTCATCTCCTCCACCTAAAATCACCTCGGACGACCTAACGTTGATCCTCACTTTCCCACCGCTTTCCACTGTTCCCTCGTCTTCCTCCTCCCTCCAATCGATCCTCGAATCAAGATACGGTCCCATAGCCCATCTCATCTTGAAAGATCCACCGGCCCCTGTACCGGATGTAGGGGGAGGCGGAAGGAAGAAAAAGAAAGGCAAAGGAAAGAAAGCAGTGGTGGAATTCAGTTCTGGTAACTGGGGTGGATGTTGGGCATGTTGGCAGGATCACGTCGATGGAGAAATCGAGCATTCTGCTCAACATTTGGACCAAGGCATCAAGGTCCGCTGGCTCAAAGGCGAAACTCCATCCTGGATCGAGTGGGCATCAAACCAGGGTCAGGATCGTCCACTGAATGGCACGGGGACACATCACGCAGACATTCCATCATCAGCGACGAATGGGACCTTGCGTAATCTACCGCCTTCATTTGGCTCTGCGCCAGAGTTGGGCAACGGCGGCACGACAATGGCAGATTTGCTGGCTTCTCACAAGGCTAGCAAGGATGCTGAACGCGCTAAAAGGGCGAAAGAGGACGAGTTCGAAAGTATGACTCTGCTCCGTATGCGTCAATCTGAGCGACAGCGTCTCGCTGATCAGATCAGAAGAGAAGAGGAGGAGGAGGAGGATGGAGGCGACTAGCTTCACGAGACAAGGGCCAGTCTTTCTGTTCTTACTGTAAAAACTTTTTTTTTTGCATGTTTGCCAGTGTTTTTGGTCTTTTCTCAGTTTCTGACCCCTCAACTCTCAAGATGATCCCATTGCACGCTGCGAGATACCCATCGCTCCCATGGCTCCTGTAGGAAGTTTGTCTCCGGCGTTGCGAAGATCGCTGAGAAGCAATGTCAGGGAGTCATCACCCAGACATACTCACGTGTAGGCAGCCTCGATACACGACTTGATCTCCCGATAGGTCACCACCAAGCAAGACCTCTCGTCCCTTGAGACGAGCATTAGCCGCTCGTCGAGCCCCGCATCGAGCTTGTTCAGGCATGTTATGACGTGGGACAAGTCGAGTACAGGAGCGCCAGTTGGGCTGACAGAGTGGAAAACATAATCTCGGAACAGCTTGATTATGTATCTGCCATGTCAGTGACGAATGAGAAGGGAAGTTCTCACCTGTCGCCGGTATCTGCCCAACGTGGGTCATACTCGAATCTGTTGATAAAGTCAGCCCGCAAATGCATTCGTCACTCACTCAGCCCGCTCGTTGACAAAGCCCATTTTTGACAGTACCCGGACGATCCTACCATTCTCCATCTCCCTCATGGCCTCATCTTCGAGCGAGTCGTTATAGCTTTGAAAAAGAAGCGCATCAGAACGGAGTCTTGGATTGCCTGCTTACAATTGCAACGCGTCGAGCTCGTTCAGGATCCTCGGCCCGATCATGTGCAAAACTTCGTCGAATGTCTTATATGGACCAGGTTTGCCGAGGAGGAAGATGACAAGGTTCTTGACGTCTGGCGAGTACACTCTCTCAAGATGATCAATGGCTTGAGCGGGATGGTGACCCGGTTGATAGAATTCGCAACCCATGGATAATATCAATTTTCCAAAGGAGATCATGTCTTCGGCCTAGCAAAGGTTAGTGCGGACCGCTGATCGTGCTCACTTGATACGCTGCAGGAGGAGTGCTGGGGTCAAATGATAAGACATCAAGGATTCCCCCGCCATTCAGCCGTACCCTAATCAAGATGAGCACTCGAGCCCGATCGGAACCCCCTGCTTACCTGTTCTTGCCGGTCAGAAGCAGCTTGTTGGGATCGAGAGCCCTGGCTGCCAAACCGGAACTGTGAATTGCTTTGAGAGCGTTCGCTATCTGGGTAACATAGGACCACAACAGACGCTCATTGATAGGCATGCCCTGTCTCCTGGCTGTATGTGGTAGCTTAGGAGCAGACTCCGCATTCTGATTCAAGTGTTCATCCCACAGGGTGGTGGCATTCGGGTGAAAATCGTAAACGAGCACGAGCGCTGAGGTGATCAGCGGCAGAGCCCTTTTTGACCGACCCACAGTTATCGCCAAACGCCTTCGTGGTGAATGCCTCTCGCAACGTCACTATATTTGGATGTCTGAGCCGGCGCCACGTATCCAGAGCGGCAAATGCAGCTTCGCTCGTAACTCGGAAGCCTGACTTCATCAGCCTCCACATCCTCCAGGTTGCTCACCTTCGATCCGCCTCAAAAGGTACACATTCCCATCAACGGTGCTCATAGCTCTGTATACAGGCGCTGGGTGGCCATATACTCTACTACTGGTAGGTCTGACTGATTCCAGAGGCACAAGATCATGATACACACCCAGTTCAGCTGGAGGTGGAGGATGAGGTGGAACATTAGGTTTCCATTTGAGTGCTTCCAGGCGGGCTAAGAACATGCGTCGAAGATCGTCAGGGATGAAGAATGAATGTAAGGGATTTTGACCGAGAGGCGGGTTTGAAACATATGGCATAGGTGCGGTGTAGAGGTGGTAGTCGATCTGAGAAACGGAACGAGTCAGTTCCGCGCCGACAGCGGAGCACTCACGGGCGGGCGAAGAGGCTGTTGAGGCATGTACATTGCTCCTGCAGCCAAGGTATCATAGTCATAAGCTGGATCTTCGTATTCATGCTGCATCTGGGGAGATATCAGTCCGAGCCGATTTGTAAGCTCATTCACTGACCTGAGAAGCTCCGGCGTAGCTCTCCTGATTCCATTCTGGCGCTACATGTGATAGCTGAGGACCAGGGGATCGGGGCGCTTGCAGAGCTGGCGTGGACAGACTGGCCCAGGCTGTCAGCGATGGTGTAGATGCCACCGGTAACTCACGTAGGAGACACGTTGAAAACAGGCGCAGAAGCTTTTGGAACGAAGACAGGTGCTTGCAGGTGCGAGGCCTTCAGCTCATTGACCTTGGTAGGACTGCCATGTATCGTTAGAACGGAACCAAAGCTCGCAACAAGGAACAGTCACTCACCTGCTTTCTACCACGGTAGTCGTACTGGATGCTTCGAGCTGATCAGACTTCTGAGGGGTCGTGTCAGCCGAAGCAGCGGACCACGCGCTCTGTGCAGCTCAACTTACCGGTGGGTGGTAGAATGGACACTGCAGATGAGTCAGCGAGTCCAAAGACTCTCTTGGGAGAGCTCACATTGGGCGTCCTGCATTGGCTGACGAGGAACAGTCAGTTAGCAAATTCAGATCTCGATGGTACAACTCACTCGTAAAGCGTAATGTTCCTGCACAGCCTCTGCGACTTGTCTACGAGCTTCAGCACAAGAAGTAGATGAGCAGGATCTACCATTTCTTAGCTCCTTTTCCTTCGGAGGAGTGCTCGCTTGCTTGCCCTTGGATCCAGGAGAATCTGGCGGTTTTGTAATTCGGATAGCTGCAGATCGTTGCGCCATGGTCTGAGAGGACGTAGCTCGCACCAGGTGGCGGACGGCGGCAGGGAAGGAGAAAATGCAGTCTGGAGGGGTATATGAAGGAAAGATCCACTCAAGACGATGAAGGATACGACCACATATACACGATGCAGAAGCAACAATGAAAGACACATGTAAGCAAAGGTCAAATGGAATTCCGAGACGCGACAACGGCTGAATGGATTCTGCATCAGGGGTACATGTAGGTGATCTGCTCGGCCGCAGATCCGTATAAATGCATGCAAATGCTATGGCTTGAGTATGAGTACAACACTGAACGCAATGAGATGGGGACAATCGTATACGCTGTCATACTGAGAGACACCTCAAGCCTTCTCCGTACTCCAGCGAGCCTTGGCGAATGTGGCGGCTACGATCAATGGAAACACCAGCGTAGCATCAGCATATACCTAGAGTCGAGTCAGTCTCAGCACCTTCCGTGCTTTGAACTATCTGACCTTGACACTCTCAGCACCGGCCCGAATCTTGCCCCACGATATCGCTTCGTCTGGTCTAGCACCGGAGTCCGAGCCATCATACTGCAAAGTGATGAGCCTGAAATCTGCATCAAGCCTAAACTTACCTCCTGACCGGTGTTGATGTATACGGCATAATCTGCCCCGTTCCTCTGCATAATCAGTCAGCTCAACCTTTATGTGGACTGGTAACGAAATCGACGCACAAACAACATGGCATTGGCGATTTGATGCTTCGACACCCCTCCTCCCAGGATGATCATACCGGCTTTCTTGGCATGTATACTCATATCATTGAGCAAGCGAATATCTTGAACGATATCGATCGAAAGTGGTGTACTGGCCTTGTACGTGTGGAAGTAGATCATATCACCGAGTGAACCATCTGTCAAAGCTGGACAGAAGACGGGAATGTCATTCTGCGTCGAACAAGGTTGAGTATTTCATTCTCCTCAGCCTGCAATATCACTGACCTTATAACACCAGTAGTAGACACTATCCTCATTATCAATCTCTTTCCCTAAACGTCTGATGACGGAGCTGGGTGACCACTTTGCCTTTGGCTCTCCTTCTTGTTCCTCCACCATCTTGTCGAGTATTGGCAAGATCCAATCCTCAAACTTGCAGTAATTTGAATTCGGGACCAATAGATTGCCAATACGGTTCAGCCTGCGAGACTCTCAGACGAGACAAGATGATCCTGAGATCAGTATGATCGCTCACCCTCTCTTTCGCAAGCTCGCTCCGTCCAGCTCGAAATCTCCAAGGACCGTTGGTCCTAAGCACTTGACAAAGTCCTCTTCGATCCCTCCAGCGGTGGTGACGATGCAGTCGACCAGCTTGTACTTGGCAAGAAATTTGATGACCTCTCTGAGACCCGACGAGATCAGATTCGACGTGTAACCCAAGAACAACGTCAAGGGCTCTTCAGCGTTTGATCGTTGAACTCGCTGGTGAATGGTCAGCTCGAGACGTGTTCGCTCCTGCCGTCATGAGCTCACCATCTTTTCCACAATCTGGATAGCTCTCGCTAAGCCAGTCGCTTGGAAACCGATCTTTTCATAGCTCTTTAGAAGGTCAACCAGGTCTATGGGATCTGACAAGTCCGGTCCATGGATATGAACGGCATTAGGCGGGATAGCTTCCGAGGGAGTAAGGACGCTAGCGTGAGCATTTGTATTGGATGGCCCGGCTTCAGACATATTGACGAATGAAGTGATCAGCTGTGCCTTGTTGATGTCGTTGCGTATCTCAGAGTCTTGTGATGTGTCTCCGCTGCATCTCAAGAGTCGATAGTTGGGACTTGAAATTTTGGGATTGACATTGCGAGAATTTCCCAAAGTGGAAAAGTCAATAGCAGCTTGGATAGTCACGCGTCCTGCGATCGACCACAACAGCAGCTCTTGTCAGTTCCCGACAGCAAATCTAATCACTATGCACAGTCGAAGGATCTCTGGGACTTCGGTCTTTTCACCTTCTCCATCAATCAGTACGCCGCTAGCATCCAGTGCTTTAGGCAAAAGGCCAGCCTCAGAAGCGGGAGTGACAGATACTGGTGAGTTGCGGTAGCCATAGTCGCCGAGTTATTCAATCTGTTACGAATTGGCGCCCCGTGATCTATCGCCTTATCACCCGCGTGTCAAATCGATCTCGTGGAAACCGTATTGCCATTTGATGGACTGACCCTGATCTCAGCTGGACCTTCTCGGCGCCCAGGACCCCGATTATCGACCAGCGTGACGTCCCTTCAGCGATCCCTGTTGGAGGCTAGGACGAAAATCATCGAGTACGAGCAGCAGATGGAGGAGCAGAGAATAGAGAATGAGAGGCTCAAGAGTGAACGAATGATTTTACTCGATGGCGAGACGAATGAGAGAGAGACGGGCGAGCAGAGAGAGAAGGAGTGGGGCGAGGAGAGGGTAAGTCTCGTCAGCACAAGAACATGTTCGAGCCCCGCGGTCGGAGACTGACTCGCGCCGCCCTGTAGTCGAGATTAGGTGTCCAGATCAAAGATCTTCGACTGCAGAACCTCAAGTTGTCTGATTCGCTGGAGAAGCTGCAATCAGAACATAGCAAGTTGAATGTCAAGTTCTCCAGCCTGTCACTCAGCTCGGAATCGCGAATCGGATTATTGGAAAGCCATCTTCAAGAGGCCGAAGAGGAAAAAGAGAGACTGAAGACGTTTCAAAGACGGGCACAAGGTCTCTCCATTCAACTGGAAGAGGAGAAACGCCGAGCAGCCGCTGGTCGAGGCCAGCTCGAAGAAGTCAGGGAGAATGAGCAGGACAAGGAACTGAGGGAAGCGTTGAGGAGTGAGCCTTGAAGGCTCAAAGCATCGGCTGACAACATGTAGAGCAAGGTCAGACGCTGTCAAGTCTGAGAAAGGAGAATGATAGTTTTAAAGCAGAGGTTCAGGAAGCTCGACAACGGCGAAAGGAGCTGGATGCGACGGAGCGAGCACACAAGGACACGGAGATGGCACTCAAGGAGGAAATTCACAGCCTGAGGGATCAATTAGGCAAGGCTCATAGGGATATGGAGTAAGTATTCGAGGCTGATACGAGGATACGTATTGATCTGACACTCTCCAAGCTCGCTCACCATCAATTTCACCTCCGCCAGTGCCTCGCCATCTGCAGATGCAACCACCTTGCAACAGAGGCTTCAAGCCTTGACCACGCTGCACAAAGAAGCCAGCGCCAGCCTCGCGGAGAAGGATGCAGAGATTCGCTCGCTCCATAACAGACTCGGCAGCTTGTCAGGTAGCAGTCAAGCTGCTCTGGCGGAACTCACTAAGCGGAACAGCGAGCTTGAGCGGGAATATCGGTGGGCAAAGGAAGGTCGTGTTGTCGCCGAGAGGAATGAGGCTCTGGCAAAGAAGGAGGTAGAGGCTTTACGTTTGGCCGAGGATGTAAGTCTACGATTCAGGGGTTTTCTCATCTTTCTTAGGGACCTGTGATGCCTGGTGGCGTCTCAAGCTCAGGCGACCAGTCTCAAAAGATTCGACAGCTTGAGGAGCTTCTCAAGACGTACAAAACAGAGCTGGACGGGATGTCGAGAGACTCGAGGGATGTAGAAGCCCGCCTGACTCAAGGAGCCGGACTGGTTAAGCAGACTGATCTAGAGGAATCGCAGGCCAGAGCAGAGAGGCTGGAGGATGGTGAGGGAATTGCGACAAAGTTTAGGCTCACTCGAGCAGAACTATCATCCTTACAAACGGTCATTGCGGAACTGACCTCGGCAAATACGACACTTGATGCCGAAGTCAACGATTTGATGCGTCGGGTGGCTTCTGGCGAGTATAATCCCGACTCAGAGCGGTGCCTAGAATTACGAAATAACCCAGCGGCCAAGATACACGCCATACGCAAGGCTCAGCTGGATGCTTTGACAAGGGAGAATGAGGCTCTACTGGAGAGATTGAGCTCAAGCTCGTCCAGCAGCAATGGCGAAACGACGGTTCCTCAAGAGAGCTATGAACGTCTAAAAAGGGAAAAGGAAGAGTTGGAGCAGAGTCACGCAAAGCGATTACTAAGATTAAAAGAGGTGTGTTTCGGTCAATTAGTATAGCCAAGCTGACTCCATGTGTCAGATCTTTGGCAACAAATCCAAAGAGTTCCTCGAAGCTGTCTATTCGCTCCTCGGCTGGAGGATCAAATTCGACGAATCCGGCGCGGATATCCGCTTAACATCCATGTACGCTCCAAAAGGCAAAATGGGTCTCACTTTGAAATTTGCATCTCAAGAAGGTCATTTCGGGACCATGCAGATGACTGGAGCGATGGCGAAGGGATTAGAGGACACTAGACATTTCTGGATTGTCGAGAGGCAGAGTGTTCCGGGATTCTTGGCTCAGATCACCACCGAGATGTTTGAGAAGACGACGGTGGGTCACTTTTCTTCAGGTCACAGCTGATGATCTCCGCAGATTGGCAGAGCCGCGGGATATGTCGGATTAGAGTAGATGATAGAATTTGCTTTGGGGTGACGCTGCGAATTTGATGATACATGACCTATGCGGTGTATAGTACTTTACATTTCTCCGCATTCAGTGATGCGGACTGTCAATTTTGGTCTGTTACAACGTCAGCTCCCTTTAGAGCCCGATCTGAATTACCTATTGTTCGCACCCGTCGGGACGTTTTCAATCTTTCGGACTGTCAATAAACCCTCAATGACCCTTCCAAAGACGCAATGTTTTCCATCCAAGAATTCGGCCGGTGCACAAGTGATGAAGAACTGTGGATGGGTGGGAGGGTGGTTAGGTTGAATTGGCTGGCAGGTATAGCTCACCTGACAACCATTCGTGTTTTTACCTGAATTCGCCATGCTCAATAACCCTGGACCGGTATGTCTGACGTTGAAATTCTCATCTTCAAACTGAGCACCGTAGATCGAGAATGATCCTGTTCCATCACTTCTGACAAAGTCTCCGCCTTGAACCATGAACTGAGGGATGCTAGGCGGAAGGGGTCAACTTTGCGTTGATTCGATTTGTGGTATCGATGCGATGGGTTGTCAAGCAGGATACTTACACTCTGTTGAAGCAGAGCGTGAGCTATCACTTCATCTACCGTCTAGAATAATCACTCACCGATGAAAAATGGCTCGTTTGTAGCCTTGCGGCTCGCCATTCACCCTGTGCACGACTTGTCAACAAAGGCCACAATCTGAGCAAATCAGCAGTACTGACCTGTGTTCACCCGTACACAGTTGTCGAAAATTTTCCGCTGTTCTATAGTCAGATGTCAGTGTTGCCATGGCTCTCTCTCTCTCTCTCGCTCGCTCTCTCTCGGTGACTTTGAGAGCTCACTTTGGCGTGATATCGCTGAATAACTCTACACTGGGTGAGCTGTGGTAGTTCAAGGGAGCTATATGGCTCACCCATTTTTATACGCCCGGCGTGAGTCTCCCCAATGGACACATCGAAGAACACGACTGGTCTCGTCACTCCTGCCGGAGCGTCCAAGGAAGATGAGGCCATACTGGGAGTGCTGGACAATCTACCGCTATGAAGAATAGCATTATTGCTCTCGCCCGTAATGTCGGATCCGCTGAGAGTCTTATCCAAAAAAAAAAATGTGAATCTGCCACGTCATGTATGTTTTCGCACGGCTTGAAATGTCGGAACTCAAGCTGTATTCGCTATCAGACTATCGACATCTCTACTGACAGGTCAACATGGCCGCCAAGGTCAAGGGAAAGTGAGTCAAAGACTGCTCTCCAGCACATTCCGCTGCGGAGGCTGGAGACAGAAGACTGATCCCCTTGGAACTCTCATAGGCGGATCATTGTTCGACTCGTATCAACCGCTCTCACTGGATACTTTTACACAACCACCAGGCTGAGAACAGCGCCAAAGCTGTCCTTCATGAAATATGACCCAAAAGGTGAGATGAAATGATGTGCATCCAAAGAAGAAATCCCTGACAACTCGCAGTGAGACGTCATGTTTTATTCATGGAGGGCAAGAGATCGAGTCAATGAGTCGAGAGGTTCAACACACTGTATCATCATCGCATATCACCACTACACTGCATTGTCATTTGAAAGGGCTAAGGAAGAATGACAGATCTCTGATGAGCGAGAGCGAGAGAGAGAGAGAGAGAGAGGGAGGGAGACAGGCGCGGGATGGGATCGAGAAACTCGTCATGCATCATGGTCCCTTTCCGGAAAACCTCGAACGAGGACTACAAGGCAACCATCTGGAATTGAGGAGACCGGACTAGCGAGATCGCTTCGGATGATCGCACGTGGCTGATCAGGGAGCGCTGAAAGGCACAGAAGGCCGAGAGTCTAGGAGAGGTGTTATCGGGACAAACCTGCCACTGCGCTTCTCGAAAGCTCACATTGGAAGGGTCAGAGGTGATTCCTCGAGGGGTTCTCGTTTGAGTGATGAGCAAATCTATGACTTTACCGAGCGGTATATCCTGCATAGGCTGTCAATTCTGCAACCCGAACGCTCAGAGGAAAGTCAAGGACTCACACAGTTGGCCCATGATCTCTCTGCTTTGCCATCATACTTGCCCGTCGCCTTCCAACCTGATAGTCCCTTGCCAGATAGATCGACACACCACTCAAAGAATCTCCTTTCATCCGAGGCTCTCTGCCGGCTGTCAAGAGGTTTGGCCAGACTCTTGATTTTTCGAATGTGTATCTCGTAGATCTTCTCGGCGCGAGTCTTGACTCTGACTGATCCAGACGAGGCTCCGGGATCAGACTCAGCTGTAGGTTCCGAAGGTGACGGTGCCGAGGCAGCGGGCGGAAGACTCGGAGGTAAACGAGGTGGTGAAGATGGCTTGATCCTTGTATCGTCTACTTTGGGTCCTACCTTCGGTATCGTCTTGCCAGCTTGCCCCGGAAAGGTCTTCTCGAGAACTTCTTGCGCTCTGGATTTCCGGATCGCAGCCGCGTCTTCACGCACTGTATAGTCTTTCGGCCCCGAACATGAATGTGCTTTTTGCTGTCGGTGTCTAGCGATCTCAACGCTTCAGCTTGATTGCGATACCAATGGTCTCGTACTTACGCCGTACAGAATGCACCACCACAAGCATTACATCTGACTTGTCTAGCTATACCTTCACCTGCAGCGTGCTCGGAGCCAACTCCTCCAATAGCTTCGATAGTCGGCTTATCACATCCATCCCGCTCACATCGGCCAGGACCAATCACTTGAAAGGTCTTGGGTGGGTTTCTCGATGGTCCCGCGACAGCATGACATGGATGCGTCTGAATATGCGATTTGCAGAAAACCAATGAACAGGTCGGGCAAGTGAAAGGGAGGAAGTCGATCAACGTGCAAGACGAGCACTGTTGGCCGATATCGAGCGTCGTCATAGTGATGCGGACGGGCTAGCGATCTCGACACCAAGGCAATGCGCTTCTTACTCTGAGAGTATCTGCGGTCGGCCTAAGTATGCTAATGGAGACACAACTTGATCAGCCTTGCATATGGACCAACCTCCACCTCGAAAGTCCACTCGCGACCGAATTTTCACATCTTGTCTCGACTCTACTTCCGGCTTCATCCTATCTATTGAGCAGTCTGCGCCCAGAATACGGCTCGGCCAGCTCGCGCATTCACCATGAGTACCACAGCTGGTCCATCGATGGACAGAGACCGAGTCAGGATATTCGATGGCGGTATGGTAAGTGCTCATACGACTGCAATAAGGTCCATCCGTTTGAACTTTGTCTACATTATGTGTCTTCACGGTCCATCGCTCTGACGCCTATTACTACAGGGCTCGACATTGCGTGACGAAGGTCTGAAAGTGCAGAACCCTCTTTGGGGTACAGATCTGATCATCTCTGATCCTAATGGAGTACGCAAAGTACATCAAGGTTTCCTAGAAGCAGGCTCTGACCTCATAGGAACCAATACGTGGGTCCCCCCTTGGTCTAGCCGGTCTGTCGCCGTGCTGATCGGGTAGGTCTGCAGGTATCAGCTCTCCATTGAAGGTGTTCAGAGCCACTTTGGACCTTCTGTCGACCTCGACAAGACATTCGCCAAGGGTATTCAGATTGCCCACGATGCCATCGAGTGTCAGAAATCATCCACTCGCTTACCCAGCCATACAGGTATCGTCCTGTCTCTGGGGTCTTTCGGATCGACGCTGGGCTCAGCACAGGAATACACTGGAGTGTATCCGCCACCGTACGGCCTCACGTCCCGCGATGATGACGATGCCAACGAGGAGTGCATCTCAGCTCTCCAACGATGGCATTTTGAGCGACTGACAACATACGCCAAGACATCCGAATGGTCATCTGTCGAATGGCTTGCTTTCGAAACTGTACCTCTGATCAATGAGATCATAGCCATCCGTCGAGCGATGGCTCAGCTAGCAGCGAATGGCACAGCCCGGAAGAAGTTCTGGATCGTCAGCGCTTTTACGGATGGCTTGTTCCCGCTCCCCATACCCGATCAACCCAGGCCCACTCCTCGGGATATCGTACTTGCAGCTTGTGGGCCTGAGTCGAGAGGTGGCTCACCGGCCGACGGGGTGGGGATCAACTGTACGCATCCCCAATACATCTCTGGACTGTGTCGAGATTTTACGCAGGCTTTGGTGGATCTAGCTGGAGAAGGGAAGGTTAAAGAGGGAGAGACGGCGATGGTCTTGTACCCAGACGGTGGGAAAGTCATCGATGAGAACAATCAGTTGAAGAAGGAAGATATGCCGCACCAGATCTGGGCGGAGAGCCTCGCGAACCCGATCAAGACGCTGAAAGAGGCAAGAGATGGGTTAGGGAGGGACGTGTGGAAGCAAGTGATCGTGGGAGGATGCTGCGAGTCTTCATTCGCACACATCAAGGAGCTCAGGGCAGTAGTCGACTCGTTGAACTGAACAAGCTAGCGAAGAATGAGTCGCATAGTATGACATATACAGAGAGTATATAGTATCAATTTGATGCACCTTTGCGTAGCCAGCGCGTCACTGACTAACTTTGAGATCGCTGAGCTTGTCTCCAGCTTGTATAATGTCCCGCTCTACGCTGTCCAGTCTCAACACCTCGCACCTCCTGCCTAGACCTGGCCAAGGTTTGCCAGTGATCCTAGACCTCAGTCTTGGCCTGCCCTGCTCGTCTACACTCTTCGCAGCTAGTGACATCATAGTCTCCGAGACCCAATTCTGATCTGTCAAAGGGGACAGATCCTCCGGTTTAATCAAGCGCTGATAAATGTGAATCAGCGGGTCAAATCTCAAATTTGAAAGACAACCCACTGCTTTGACCTCCTTATAGTCTGCTTCCAACCCCGATACCTCCCTGATCACCTCGTTCGATCCGAAAGCATGGTAAACCCTGACGTCGTGAATTCTAAAGAGAACATTGTCGACCCTGACAAATAGTCGGGCAAGGATGAACAAGCAATGAGGCATGACTCGCTGTGGGAAGTGTCAGCCAAGCTGAACGAGTGTGCCTAAGGGTCAAAACTTACGATCCGGACGTTCAACATGGATCCGCCGTGGTCGTGAAGCTCATCTTCAAATAGAGGGACGTCCTCGTAGTAGAGGATTTGGTCGAGAGAGGGATCTCGGCGGGCCAAAAGTTCCAGAGGGATGGAGTGAGAGGAAGAACTTGCAAATGCCTGAGAGACGTAACAACGTGAGCATCGGCGAAGCTAGCTTTTGAGGATTGCTGCTGGTGGCTCACCGAGGTGGTGGGTGGCGCGCTTGATCCGGGGTAACAAGTGGAATATGTCCAGTCATGCGGTCTGACTGGTTTCTCAGGTACAGGTGTATCGCTGAGTAAGGAGGGTGATCTCCTGTGGGCGGAGGCGATCAGCAGCGATCATTTCTGACGCTCTCGCTCCCCCAAAAACACACTCACCGACTCTTGCTCCATTTGTCTGCCATGGACACTTTGACACCTCCTCCCACTCGTTCTTCCCATCCTTCGCCTACGGCGACACCTTGCAAGGCCTCCATAGCGTCGAAGACGACCCTCTGGTTGGTACTGGACCCTCCTGCGGATGAGACAGCGTTGTCGTCAGACCCTCTTGTGTTTACCGACCGCGTCGTTGACGTTGAGGAAGACGAAGGCAATGTTGGATCATAAATCAGGACGAGCGAGTTGTTTCCAAATGTCATTTCAGGTAAGGGTAGCCCGAATCTCTTCTCAGCACTGAAGATGAACATCTGATCAATATGTTTGAGAATGAGAATTGGAGAACCGCTCCGCTCACCTATCAATCTCCTTTCCGTTCAGGATGGGACGTTTCGTAGCTGTGATGGACCATCTTTCAACGTCTATTCGATTGGTGTATTTGTCCTTTTTGAGCGTAAAGCGAGGCATGGAAGGGAGGGTCTGCAACCGAGCAGGATGAGCGTCAGCCATTTTTGAGCTGAATGTCGTATTCTGACAATGACTTGGATGGGAGAAGAAAGGTTGATGAGAGTCGGGGTTTGATGTGGAAGTAATCTCACTTGACCGGGGACCGGAATTTTTGGGCGGATGCCGAACGACCCGCTGGCGGTCTACGAGTACACCCGAGAACGCGGTACGGAGTCTTGGGGGAGGTTTGTGCAGGGAAGGGCGTATCCGGACGACAGTCTAGGACCTCTTTATCATTCGGATGACGTTTGCTAATCTCAAATACATGCATGGTCACGCACTAGGGACCTCCAAAAGGCCACAAAACTCATCTACCAGCCAAATACCGTCCCGTTCCTGATTGTGGTCACCCCGGAGGCCTTTTCGCCCGACTATCGACCTACCATTGTAAAAACTTGCCGCTGTTGCCATTTTTAGTACTCTTGTCAATCAAGTTGATCATTGGCTCTAAGAATTGACCAGGTACCGAAGTCAGAGTCCATCCCTTGTCTTGCGCCTTCACCTCCCGCCAAGCCTCACCAATCACATCCTGAATTTGTTGAGGCGCCTTTTCGCCAAATCCTGCGAATTGGGCCGACCGATTGCCCATCTCTCTGAGGGTATATGTACGCACATAAGTGAAGGTTGAAGGAGCGCATGGGAGCGGCTTACGTCTGTACCCATCCAGGATTCAATGCGAGCGTGATGAATACTTCTTCACAATGCAATTTCGAGACAATGTAGTTGACCGCTGCCTGCGTTTTCGTCGTGCCTACCCTCTAATTACATGTAGCGACTTCACTCACCTTGCTGTGTCCGTAGGCCCCTTCCAGTGTCTCATGCTGCTGTCCTATCATACCGCGATAAGAGGAGATGACGACAAACTTGCCAGTACGTGGGATGAGAGGGTAGACAGCTTGATACAGGAGAAGTGGGCCAAGTGTCTGGAAGGTATGCGTATTGTGAGTTCCAACACGAAGTTTGGGCCGGACGCGGCGGGACGAGATTAGCTCACATTCACAGTCCAGCACTCGTGCATTACGGACGCAGGAACGTCTTTGAGCTTCTGATTCGTCCCGTGTGTACCTGCGTTCGCTATGATGATATCTATACTTGTGAGGCCATGTTTCGATCGCAACTCAGAGACAGCCTCGAAACCAGATGAGCGAGGCAGCACCGCGAGAACGGTGAAGCGTACTTACATCCAGTGCATCTGTCTGAGACGAGACGTCAAGCTTGACTGGAATGACGCCATCTTTCGTCTTGACAGCACTCGGATCCCGAGCTGCCGCGATGACTGTGTATCCCTTGGCAAGGTACCCCTCGACGAAGCCCGCCCCAATTCTTCATGGTCATTTGGCCATAATTTCCATGCAGGGAACTCACCCTCGATTGGCTCCGGTGATGAGGACGGTGGGCATCTAAGTATAGCCTGTATGACTGAGCTTAGATATCGAGAGACCGAGAATGACAGGGTATAAGGACTAGAGACCAGTGCAATGGACGAGAAGGAAAGTGATAGGTCAAAAGCCAGAATCAGAGAACCCAGACCTGCCACTAAAATCCGGTCGAAAGCGCCACTTTGTTTCACAGGCCCCGTAATCCGTCAGCGTTGGTGATCGAGATCCTCCTCGATACGACACAAAACCAGGCATTGCTACATGCAGATGGCTATTGTGCTCTCACAGAATCACAGGAGGATACATTCACATGAGAGTCCGCGTCAAAATGCACATGAACCAGGACCTCAGCCCCTCACCTCCTCCTTGACCGCTGACTCTCCCACGGTGGCGGAAGACCGGCGTTTCCCGGTTAGGAAAGTAGTAGATTTGTCACGTAGGACATGTATGTCAAGGACAATTCATCATCGTCGAGACCCACCTCACCTCTCAGAGATTCTGTGACACCTTGTCGTCTCGCTCATGGGCGTACGAGGTCTCGCGACCTTTATCAAAGATAATCGACAATCACTCTGCTCGTATAGACAATTCTCGGAAGATGTAGCCGGTCCTTCTAGCAGGATACCCATCGTCATCGATGCTTGGGGGTGGGGTTTAGCACAAAACGAAGCATTGTGAGAAACGCTAATCCTCTGAATATAGTCTTGTGTTCCAGCTGTATCTCTCATGTCTGCCATGGGCATCCGGTGGAGAATACTTGCGTTTCTCTCGGTTGATCAAGCGGTTCGTCGATGCCTGGCGGAAAGTAGGGCTTGAGCCAGTCATTGTCTTCGATGGTGCGTTAAAGTAGTCTGAACGCCGTCATATCATCACACTGAAGGTCTGCGTAGGAACCGCTCCATCAGCAAAGCATGCTACGATCATCAGCCGACTCGAACGCTCTTTCACCATCTCCGCCTTGTTCTATACTACCTCTGTTGAATCTCGATCTAGACCTTCCTTTTCACGATCCGAGGCTATTCTACCTCCTCTCGCTTTACATACTTTCATTCACACCGTCGAATCATTGAAAGTCAAGACTCATTTCACACCGTTTGGAGAAGCAGACGGAATCATAGTAGCTATTGCGAATGATCTCGGTGGCTACGTCCTAGGTCAGGATTCCGACTTTTTGATCTTCATGGCTGGTCCCGGGGCGGAGAATGTAAGAGGCTACTGTCCGCTGGACTTTGTCGAGTGGAGAGACAAATCTCCACCGTCAACGCCAAAGGTCGATGCCGAAGAATGGACCGTCGCTTCGTCTAAAAAGGCTCTTGGGTCCCATCGACAAACTCCTCTACTTCCCCCTAGTAATGCCGTCTCTCCGATCTTGACGCTTGGCGTCGTCTCTGCCACTGCTTTCCGACAACGCTTCCGTCTTCCCCCATCCCATTTCGCACTTCTCGCTTCGATCGTCGGGAACGACTATACGCCCCAACATTTCTCTAACAAACTCTTTGCATCGCGTTACAATGCAGGAAAGGGGAGTGAAAAGATTGAGCTTGTCGCTCGTATCATCCGTGAAGCTCATTTCGGGCCGTCCGCCGTCAAGGAGAGGCAAGCCAGTGCAGGCGACCAGGCAGTCTTCCTCATCACCAAAGTCATCGGGCGTCTGTGTTCAGAATCCGGATTACATACGCATCAATCCACCATCTCAGATATGGTCAATACCATCATCGATGCGACTCTACAGTATGTCTTGCCGTCCACAGTAGCATGTTGCGAGGCGTATCCTTTCTGCGGCCAGACCTCCCATACTGGATGTCGGAGCGAGCAGTCCATCAGCGCTGCTCAGAAAGCTTATGCTCACGCCCAGCAAGTCGGTCGTATCGCGAGCGTCGTCAATTGGTATCTCTCACCTGATCGATTGTACCTCTTGACCGGTTTGGAGGACCCATCAGAGCCATCGTATGCAAATACGGATCGGAACCGCAACATAAGGCAACGAGCCTACCGCATTGTAGAGCATGGTCTGGGTGATTTTTGCTGGCCAGATCCGACAGAGGCCGAGATAGCGGCCGTCAAAGAGGATCGCGCTGCCCGCGAACTGCTCATTGTTGATGCAGAGGACGAGAGCAGCGGGTCGGAAACGGATTTATCACTCGATGCAAAGCCAGCATCTGAAGGGCAGACTATGGTGGACGATGAACACGATGCCAAGGATCTATTGGACGGCGAGGCGGTCGATGTCGTTGTCCCACCAAGCCGAACGCTTACAGAATATACTCGACAAGGTTCGACATTCAAGCTGGTCGGTCAGCAAGTGCCACTCCCACCTCGACCCGAAGGTCGCCCGGATGCTCTTCACCCCCTCGACTTTCGTATACAGCGGTTCCTCGAGCTAATAGAATGTGCCTCGCCGAAGATCTCAGGTCTCCCTCGGCAATACCATCCACTAGCGGTCTCCATTCGACTCTGTGTCCTTGACGCCTACGACCGATCTGGGATCAAAGGATCAGGATCATGGCGTAGGTCAGAAGTCGAAGCAGTCCTTCGAGCGTGTATCGGCACGTTTGCAGGTTGGCAGAGGGATTCAAAAGTGGATCGATCGAAACATGATTCAGATGAAGGACAATACCCGGTGCTCGAAACGAGATCATCTAAAATTGTTGGTCAACTCACGGTAGCCATGTCGGTTTGTCATTGGCTCGCTCAGGCTCTCTTGCTAGTCCCTGATGCTGACTGTGCGACACCGTTGACGCATCTCACACCATTCATGTTCTTGTCTGGTGTCGCGCTTCACTCGTGTCTTGCCAAAGTGGATCCCCCTCCTTCGACCGGTTGGCTGTGGTCGGTGAAAGAGGATGTGGTCTACGGGCAATGCTTGGATGCCGTACTACATGATCTGGATGACAAGATTATAGGGCACACGCCTGCAGTCGAATCAGAGAATGTCCCCGAGCTCGAGATTGAGCTGGGAGCTTTGAGCATAGACAGTGGCGGCAGCAGGAGGAAGAAAAAGACGAAGAACAAGCCGAAAAAAAGTGGCACTGCCTCTCAAGGTATGCAGAGGACAGCACCTACCTCTGGCACCCGATTTGATCTCTTAATGGACTCTGCTACTGCTACTGCTGCTGCTTTGATCGACTAGAGGTAGTTGTAATTAGACCAGCTACATGCGAATGGCATTGTTGTTGTAACACGATGATCGCCAGAATGCTCGGTACCGAGTCGGCCGGTGTGTCCCTTTTGGTGGCGTGAGATCTTCTTCCACCTTCCACCACCACCACCGCCGCCGCCGCCAGGAAAAGAGAGAGAGGGAAGGAAAAAAAAAAGGTTCCATTAGGCGAAACGAAAATCTCGCCGAGATGGGGGCAGACTGACGCTCTCTCACACCAAGCGTAGAGCAAAAGAGGGGGGGGGGGGGGGGTTTGAGACGGGAAGCAAGCACAGCTACAGCATCGAGGTACGCGCCAGGTGAGGCGTTGTTATAGTCCCATTCCCAAGCCCCCCTCTATTGGACGGGGAGATAGAGAGTACTTTGGCGAATAGAGAATGGTTGGGTGATGATCAGATGGGGAGAGCATCAACAGCAGCAGCAGCAGTCAGTCAGTCAGTCAGATCAATCAATCCGGTTTTGGCTGGTACCTGTGCCTGAAGAGAGAAGACACAAAAAAGAAGCCTTTTCTTTTTTTTCCTCTGAATCTGCAGGGATTATCATTTATTGGTAATTCATGGAATCCACCCCCTCGGGAGACATGCAAAACTCGGCATACAGCCCCGGGTAGCTCGTGGACAGACAGGTGACCTTTAGAGTTGTTGATCAGAGGTATATATATATATATGATGGACTCGTGAAGAAAGAGAAGCCACTCGATAGCACTGGTAGATCTCTGACACACGGTTGAGCGGTGTGGGCGTGAGGAAGAAGCGATACATCGTATTGGTCTGATTCTACCATCTCGGTAACTCGGTCTTCCCAATAAGTGTGAAATAACGTCATTGCCCCCCGGCGGCCTAGTGATACCCTTGTTCTCTCGAAAATAGCGAAAATACGACCGAGGAAGAGGGAGGGAGGGAGGGGCGGAGAATGTCGGATCATGGATACACCACCATGAATATGGGATCATCTTCCTCACCTGGCAGCAGCGGAGTCGGGGGTGGTGGCAGCAGCAGTGGCAGCAGCAGGATAAGACCACCTCCTGGATACGGCGACGTCTATACTATGCCTGGAAGTGTGGATCCCAACATGCTCCGAGGTTGGACAGGTCACGAAAGAGGAGCAAGCTCGGGCTCGCTATCGGCTACTGCTGGAATGATATCGTCAGATTCTAGAGGCTCCATCGGTATCAACCCAAACGACCTTCGTGAGTAAGACCGCTCGCTTGTCTTTAGGCTTCAGAGTTGCCCAGGAGCACTTCCCCCCCTTCCCTTTGTGCATGCACTGGCCTCTTCCATCCAAGTTCATCCGGGTCACTTCTCTGTGCCTCGATACATACCTGTCCTTTGATGCGTCAAGGGTCCGTGCTGACGCTCTTCCTCGCATAGTTGAAGATGGACTCACATCAGACGAGTCATTGGAGTGAGTCGAGCTGAAATGCGCTTTAATTGATGAATTCCACCAGGTCAGACGAGGGCGAAGACGAAGGCAGTCCACTCGAAGAAGGTGAATCATCTGCTCAAGGAAAAGGTGAGATATTTCACGAATCTAATACAAGTGCGTATGAGCACTTTGCTTACGCTTTACTAGGCAAAGCATCCTCAAGCAAGACAGCAGCAGCTGCATCAGGCACATCTTTACGGCGAGGCATGTGAGTGCAGAGAGTGACTGACTACTCAACAATGACACGACTGGCTGACTTGTTCCCAACAGGGCGTGTACTTTTTGTCGGCGGCGAAAGCTGGTACGTGTCCAACTCCCGTGCTAAGACTGTTTGATCGTATTCTCTGGTCACTGATCCGACCTTGTCCAGCGCTGTTCAGGCGAAAAGCCGATATGCAGCATGTGTATCAAGTACAAACAACAGTGCGAATACATCCCTCCCCCGAAAAAGCCTGGCAAGCGCAAAAGTCAGCGAGGTGGGCGCCATGGCGGGAAACAGTCTGAAGCAAGCTGATCATCTACATCAGCACGCCCAGATCCACGAGCTCCTGCACAATCTCAAAAGCCTACTCCGACTCATTCCCCCGACAACGATCAGGTCACACATCCATCGTCGAACACAATCCCACCTTCTCAACCCTCTCACGTCTACCATCCTCCCTCTGGGAACGTCGACTTCAGCAACGGCGTACCGTACATCAATCCCTTGAGCATGACAGCTCCCATGCCGACCTCGTTCGTGGAGAACACCACTCAATCAGATACGAGCGCCTTTTTTGATGCCGACGTTTCGGGGCAATACAGCTTCTCCAATAATGTTGGCGGAGCCTTTCCTGCGAACGGCATGTACGATTCGAACTCGAACGGATATCATCAGACCCAGCTCTCCGACCTGACGAGTTGGAATGGGTACAATCTTGACATGCAGGACAACATGAGCTGGCCAAACGCAAGTTTCCCATCCATGCAATCCTCCGTCGATCTCCAGACACCTGTCATCGCCTCCCAATCAACACCTCAACAGCAATACATGCCAAACTTCCAAACACCATTAGGCATATCTCCACATGTCCAGCTCCAGCGCAACATCGATCTCAATACCACTCCTTTCGCCCCTAGTCCATTCCTTAATAGCTCCAACAGCCTCCAAACCGTTATCGATACTCCGACCGCGCCTGAACCAAGCTTCCGTTTCCCTGCCCATGTTTCTGGCGATTCGACGTTCTCCACACCAAGCGACGATAATCAACCACTTGCATTACCATCTCTCCCACCATCAACGCACAACAGTGCAGAGAGCCCGTCCATACCTGACTTGTCCGGCCTCGCTGCTGCGGAAGTCACCCATGTTACCAATACATCCCGAATAGATCCTATAGAAGGCATTACAGAGAGACTGGGTGAATTCTTGTTCAACCCAAAGGAGAGGCAAGACGTCGGGTCAAACGATTATAAACGACGTAGGCCAAAGAACGGCCAAGCATTTGATCCGGACAGGAGAGACTCGCTCGTCAGACTGCATGGTGTCGACGAGCACGACGGCCTCACAGATGAAGTCCGAGAAATCCTGTGAGTCGCTTTGTGCTCGGCAGGCCGTCCATCTGCTGACCGAATCCTTTCAGACTCGATTGTTTCCTCGCTCACTCCAAATTATTCTTTCACATGTCGATCCCACGTTTCAGGTATCGTCTACAGTTCACGGACCGGCGGAGGCCAAGCCTTGCCCTGCTCAACGCCATGGTAAGCTCGACTTCGAGACCAGTCTCTGACGCCGCAGTATCTCTGGGCAACGAGGATGTCCAGCAGTCCAAACATGGGAGAGATGGAGCAGACGTTTTTCGATAATGCCTGTCGAGCTTTGGATCTGAACAGTGCCAATGGTGATCGATTAATCGACTGTCTCCGCGCCGCCATGCTCCTCAGTGCTTGGTCATTCGTCTCAGGCAGATTCCACGAGGTGAGCGGCAAATTCGTCCCTGATCGAACGAAGACTTGTCTCACAATCGCCTTGCAGGGCTGGATCATATCCGGAATGGCCGTCAGATTGGTCCTCTCCACTGGTCTTCATCAGATCAAAAGCTGCGTCTTCGCTCCCGAAGTCAAACCAAATCCATTCTTGCGCAGCAAGGTCCACCTTCTGCCTCCGCTCGAAGATTCGATAGAACTGGCGGAGCGAATTCATACTTTGTACGTGCTTCCTTTGGGCTTTTGATGTCCCACTGACACTCGAATCATAGCTGGGCCGTGTTTGTGGTGGATCGATGTGGCGCTGCTGCTACTGGTTTCCCTGCAGGTATCAACGTAGAGGATATCACCACTCCATTCCCACGACCACTGGAAGATATCGTAGCAGTGAGTCCTGCTGGAGGACCTTTCTGCTCACCCTCGATAGGGCTCGGTGACTCGCCAGGACGATATCACCGTCAAGGACATCTATCGACCTGCTTATTTCCAACCCCTGGATGATATGTGGTACGCCAAGTTTTGCCGAGCCATTACCGTTTTGGAAAGAGCTTCAAAGCTTGCGCTTTTAGAGGCAGATGATGAATCGGAACACACTCGTCAATGGTCGATCTATCAACTCAATCCTTCGTTGCCTAGACCTCCAGCTTGGCTGGAGCAGCCGAAGTACAGGTGTTTAGCAGATTATCGCGAGACGAAGCTGGGTTTGGAACAGATGACCTCGGCGATGGGTGCGGACGGAGTGTTTCCACTGGATCGAATCAGAAACGCAGAGCTTGATGGGGCTGAACTCCCATACATCAGTCCTAAGAACATTATGCTTGTGAGTGGCAAAATGACAAATCTGGTCAGAGCTCACGTGGGGTCTTGCAGCATCATCAATACCAAGCTACTCATATGCTCTTACATGATATCAACTCGTTGGAGTGTGAGAATCAAGAGGCACTGGCATCTGCGAGACGTTCTGCAGCGTTGGTCAGGCAAGGTCCAGCTTTGGTCAGTTGAACGCTTTTAAGACTGTGTCAACTCCGAGCTGATGCCACTTGTTCTAGCCTTCGCTCGAGGTCGACTCTTTCACTATCACCGTGTGGAGCATTGTCGCCAAAGTGTTGGTCAAGGAGATTCGGCGGCTATTCCTCCTGGGCGACAGGGCCAGTAAGTGATACCTTCGCAGCCGATAGGCGAACAGTATGTTTAATATGTGGGACCACAGGCGCACTCGTGATTGAGAATGACGTCAATGTCTTTATCCAAGAAATGAACAATGTCGGCCTTTTCATGCAGCTTGCGTGAGTGCTGTTTTCATCGCGCCGAAGTCGCGTCAATCTGACCACCTGTCTACAGCCGCACTCAGGCCAAAGCAGTAGAGGAAATGCGAGATTCAGCCAAGAGATCTATTACTGAGGAAGATTTCTCCCCCCTTTACAAACCTAGAGATATAAAAGGTCTGCATCAGACACCGAGGACGTCAAGGACTGGCTCAGATGACAAGGCGAGAGGTGATAATGAACCGACGAGGATGGGATTTTAAAGGGTAATGTCAGCAGACAAGAGGAAGAGTAATCTGTATCATTAACTGTACTCATTGGCAAGACGAGCCTGCATGTCGTCCTCTTGTGCATTATGATGTATTCTTTGTACTGTACAATGGATTTCAAGTGATACTTTTACAACACTGGTAACCTATTATGCACAGACTGATCCGAAGCCCCTGGTCCATCTTGTGCCTCCCACAATGGCCAGAGCGAACAAATGACCCAAGACAACACTACCACCTACATAGATCCATTTCCACCGTTTCTTCTTGATCGCCCTCGCTTCAACGACAAATGTAGAAACCGTACTGAGGCATCCGCAAAACCCTTCTTCTAACCCATACAGGGCATTACACCTGACCGTACTGGTAGAGCCTACCGAGACAGGTCTCATGCCGACGTAAGTCGAGCAGACGACCAACGTAGCGAGCATGTTTGCGATGAATGTACCAAGTGGGAATCGGTCGATGAATGGCTGTTTGGGATTGATCCGAGCGAGGGCGAATCGAAGGATGGCACCTGGAGGTGAGAGAAGCATGGGGAAAATGGCCTCATGACGCCAATGACGGGGTCCAAGGAAATATAAGAGAAGCGCGATGAGATAGGATGCAAATGCCGAAGAGATGAAGAGAGTATCGAGGACAGGTGTAGCGCCCGTGAGTGGGTTGCGAGTGCGAGGTGAAGGCGTGGTCCGGGTCGAGGGCGTTCCACGAGTGGATAGACGAGCACCTCGAGAAGTCGCTGTAGCGGATGATGAAGAAGTGGACGTGTCTCCGAGTGTGGGTCGTCCAGCTTCACCGATCTCTTGAGGTGGTTCTGTAACACCATCTGCTTCTACTTTCACTGCGCGAAGCTCTGCGACCACTCGACGTCCCTGCAACCGCGTAGGCAATGGAGGAAAGATGGATGAAAAGTGGAGGCCTACGTCGACAGCGGCGAGAGCGACTAACCAAGTGGAGAAGGAGTAGGCGAGACCATCGACAGTCTGAGCGAGGCTTAGATCAGCAGGGGACTTTCCACACACTCTCAAAGAAGAGACACAGGACTGACATCGTACAGACCGCCTCTATTGAAATCGTCTTGATTTGAGAATGACAGAAAACTCTCCAACATCCAGGACGAGAAAGTGGTGATGGATCCGGCGACGCCAGTTGTCAGGAAGGTATAGATCGGCGGGTATCTGAGTCAATGGGTCAACGGGTCAGATCGATACCTGCGGTGCATATGGAATCTCCGTCTCAGCTCACATCTTTGCAATCTCTGACTTCCTATCCAGTGCGAAGCCCATGACCCCACAACCGACACCTTGTGCCCATAACAACGGATACACGCTGTGGCCATCATCTTTTTGGGGGGTCATCAGCTACTTCAGGAACTGTAATGTTTACTCTGTGATGGGAGATCACTCACATGTCCCCAAAGCTGTGAGGCCCAACCGGATCAAACAGCCTGCCATGGAAGCCAGGACCAATCCGGAGTAATGAGCTCCCAGGCGGCTCAGAGTGACTTCCTCGACGGGAGGTGGAGCCTCGCCCTCTCTTGGAGGCGGAGATGGTGGACGTGCTTCAGAAGGCAGCTCTGGGTCCTCTGATACGGCGGACATGGACTGTTGAGTCGATAGAATACGGATGAAATTCGGATCTTGATTCAAAGAGGGGTCGGGGGCAGGATCACGGGTGTTGTCTCGGGTCAGGACCCGGCTGGGCGAGGATCCTGGGGTAAGGCGCTGCCCCGACTGAGTCGGAACCCTCTTTGGCGTTATATCCCGTGCTGCGTCCACAGCATTGAGCGAGTGCGAAGGTTCAGTGGCCATCTCAAAAGATGTTCCTTGAAACGGAAACGAGATCCAGGTGTATAAGCGGTCCTCCTGAGTCTTACGCCTGGCACGATGTTGGAGCTGTTGAGCGATACCAACAGCTTCAAGTCCATCCTAGCTATCTCTTCAGCCGGCTGTCATCGCGGAACATTTCACAGAGAATCGAAGTATACGTGTAAGTGAATCATATTGTTTGTCAACTCGGAAATTGGGACAAGAAAATCCATGCCACCTAACTCTCTTCTCACCCAGAGGAATCTCATGCGTCCTTGAGCTCGTATAGATGCGCCTCGACCTGGCCGCCCGAAGAAACGGCGACTCACTGACGGACTGCATCCCGGGGCACACCGCGTATCATACGATTCCATGCCGATGGTCTCTAGGACTCCATCTCCCGTATCTCCCTCCATCATCAAAGCTCCATCTCCAGGTACACCCTCACCGGCCTTGACTCCCGATCCAGGATCACAAACACCACGCACTTCCTCTGATGATTTCTCGGCAGCATCACGGCGTACACCTCCCCCCGTCTCATCTCTGCCACCGCCGCCACCGGTACGAGCTTTAGCCAACGGGTTCGATGTTCGGAAAGATTACGGACGGTATATAAACTCCAATGGGCATCCAGCCATCATACCTTGTGATCACTGTAAGCGTCACGGACCTCATGCTTGTCGATTTCTCTTAAGATCTGATCAACGCTCGATCGGTCGAGCCAGGCTAAGACTATGTCACAAGTGCACGAGGGATGGCAAAGCGTGCAAGATCAATGGGGTCAGAGTCATCGATATGCTCGAAGAGGATTCGGATCGAGAGTTTGCAGCGGCACGGCCAGGGCCTGCGCAAGCACCAACTATACCGGCACCAAATACGATCCGATTGATACAGAAATCAGCACTACCGCCGGTACAGCATCGATTGTTGTTAAGGCCACGATCACAAGCCCAGCAGACGTCGACGTCAACTGCACCACGGGAAGAGGCTCAGAATCCCAGTCGTTGAGCTCGACAGCGGGCGAGACGCCAGACGTGGAGCTGCTCGAGCCGCGAGAAAGGCCGCGCAAAGGAGAAATCTCCAGCGAGAGGCATCGGATTCGGAAGACAGCACTCGGACGACCAACCCATTGCTCGAATATCTCTGCCTCAGCTGATTGGTGTCATCCGGGACCTTAAAGATGAGGTCAAGCTGATGAGGATCGCCATGGAGGACGTTAATCGTCAGCGCTAGAGCTGGATGAGACATGGTATTCCAGAGACAACACTTTTGTACATGATGCAGGGCTCAAATGGTATACTTTATCCAAATATCTAGATGATATCCCACATCTCCTCCTAAGTGATTGTCAGAATTGGCATCCTGGACGCCGCCCAACTCACCATTGCGCAACAGAATTTACCACAAGCCACAGAAGCCGATAGCGTGTATTCGCTGATCGAGATCTTTTGATCGACCCATTGGTCGGCAAAGTTGTCCGGACTGAAGGTGTCAGCATCGGTTGGCGAGCATGGAGTCTAACGCTCACCCTCGAGCCATGGCGCCAACAAACACAGCTATGGAATGGGACTCCGGGAGAGTGGGCAAGAACTGGGATAGTCTGACTGTGGGAGCGTCGGCGGAGAGTGCTGAAACACAGGTTAGCTGCAGGTTCCAGATTAGGTGCCAGTCAGCACCTACTGAGCTTGATGGTGTTGGTTGGAAAGTGGTCGGTGACTGGGTTCTGGAGATCGCCGTCAGCACGATCCTGCGTGGTAAGGTATACACGCACCTTGATCACTCTCAAGAGCTTCTCTGATCCTTGGACACCTCTGATACTGAGTTTGTGCAGGAGTTGCACTGGACGCCATTAGCTCGACTGAATCACTCCCCTGGTCGATGCGACGGCTAACTCACCCATGAGACCTGAGAACCGCTTGAACGTCCTAGGTATTCTGACACTCGGGTTGACTTCAATCAATTGGCCTTTGGCGGTATGTATGTAGACCTGCAAAAGCCCAGCTTTGTTCAAGGGAGAGTCGAGCAGGGTTAGGAGGCACTGAGGCGCAAGTCGTCCTTCGTCAATAGCGGTCATGGGGCGGTCTCTGACTCTTCTGACCGCTCACCTGGTGCGTGATATCTGGTCTGGCATCTGCGATATCCCTTCCTGTCTTTGCCAATATTCCTTGATGGTCATCACAATTTAGCAAGGCGTATTTGGCCTCTTTTCCAGCTGCATTCTTGCCTCCTGATCCTGATGAGACTCGATAGGCTTCCAGACAGGCCTGAGGGGTGTCGATCAGTTGAGAGAATCCTTGCGCGGAGCACAGCTGGGTAAAGACGCTTACTCACCTGCGACAGTACGACAATCAACCTCCTTGTATTCTCCTTCTCTGTTGTACTCTTCGGAACGGTCGCTTGCTTAGGTACGAAATCGACACCTGCAGTCGCTCGTCTGGAGCCTGGGAGCGGCTTCGTTACTCTTGAATGAGCGATAGCTTTGGCTATACCCTGCTTTATGGATTCATCCAATCCATCTCCCATCACACCATCCGATTCGACCTTGACAGTTTGTCCTCTTGCGCCTTGCTCATCGTCCTCTTCGTCGACTCCTTCGGCTCCCCCTGCATGTCTTTTGGCTGCGTGAAGAGATCCTACTAGTCCATTCGACTGTCGCCTGCTTCCTGAGGCTCCGGCCCCAGCAGTAGAACCAGCCGAAGAAGCCATGATCGGTGTGGGCGGCAGAGGATGGAATTTCGACTTGGCAGATGGGTTAAATGCCGGTGCCGTAGCTGACATCTTCGATACCTTCGGTTCGGGTGCGGGTGATGCACTCGCATTCGATGCTCGTCGCTTGGTTGGCTCAGGAGACGATCGCATGATGGGTAGTAAGACAACGGGCGGGATGCGAGCAGAAGAGTGTAGGAAATGTGGAAGAGATCAATCTCGCTTTGTGGTCGGGATTCAGAAATTTCAGATCGCACCGAGAACATGCCGGCATCCGATTCTCGCACTGGCGGGCTGGGACGGGTTCATGGACAGACAGCAGGCTGTACACGACAACTTCTGCGCATCATCAACAACAGTCGTGACACCTTTGCTCTCATATATAACATGTCATCACGGCCTATGAATGTTACATATGACCGTTGTGTGCTATCAGACACCCGATACCTCCCACCTAAGCAGCGTGGAGAATGTCCAAGAACTGCTTGCTGGCAGTTCCGGCAGGCACAGACTTCTTGACGGATCCCTTTCCGGCCTTCTTTCGCTCCTGTCGGATGAGCTCTTGACGACGAAGGGTCTTGGCGTAAGGGTTGAGTCTGAAGAGAACAGCCTTGTTTCGGAGAGGGTTCTTCTTCTGGGTGAAGGGTCCTGGAGATGAAATGAGCACCATCCTCGCAAGAGAGAAGGGCACGATCGGACTTACGCTTGGCGACGGCCTGGCCCTTGGGTCGGACAATGGATTGGATCTCGTCAGAGTTGATGATGCGGGTGACGTCGGATGAGGTGACCTTGGCGTGGGGAAGGCTGGAATTGATGTCAGTGCGATGTTCCGACCGGATAGAGCCTCGTGCGTGCGGCAGCAGTCGACTCACTTGAATCCAGACTTGTTCTCGTAGATTCCGTCGAGGGCTTTGACGGCACCTTCGGTCCAGATGACGAATCGTCCGACGTGACCACCGGGAGCGAGTTGGAGAAGGTTCAAAGCGTCAACGGGGCAAGTCTCGACACCGGGAATGTTCTTGACGGCTCGGACGATACCCTCGTCTTTGTCGTAGACGACAAGAGGTCCTCGTCGTTGCCTGTATCTCCTGTTCCTCATCTTTCCCTTTCCAGCTCGAGTCTTTCTAGAGTTGGAAACTTTGGTGATGTCGGGGTAAGCGGCCAAGGTCTTGAGGAGCTCAACAGCCGCCTTGGTCTTGTTGATTCCCTGGACAGACGAGGAGACAACGAGGGGAACTTCCTGAACCTGCTCAATTCGGTGACCTCGGGCGAGGACCAAAGAGGGAAGAGCAGAGGCAGCAACGGCAGAAGCAACGGCGTATCGCTTTTGGTTCTGGTTGATCTTGACGTGCCATTTCCTCCAAGTCTTGGTAGGAGCGAACATTCGTCCTCCTCGGCACATGTTTCCGAAAGCGGCCTGTCCAGATCGCTGGGTACCACCTCCTCCAACACGGGGGATACGAGCGACCGCACGACCGGTACCCCAAGATTCGGCAGAGGTCTGGTGTCCGGCGTTCTCAGCGACGGCGTAAGGTTGTCGTCGGTTCTTAGCCATGGATTCTGAGGACATGATCAATACACCTCCCCTAGTCAGATCATTCTCCACCCACTGTGAACCTGCTGAACCACATCCAAACGGATGGGAGCGGTGAAGACGGCAGGGAGGGGGAGAGAGCCTGAGGAGTCTCCCTCGGCGGACCAGACGGTGATGGTGGGTCGAGCAGCCATTTTGAGAATCTGATAGCGTCAGTCAGATGGGGTGAATACAAGCCAAGAGCTATGAAATGCTCACTGTTGTCGAGGGTTGAGTCTTGAAGATACACCCAGCTGCTCACTGCTCACTACAAACTCTTTTCGCCAAAAGGGTGGAAAATGTCGCATCGGCATTTTCGAACCGTTTCGACAAAACGCCGAGATAAAATGAATGTGGCAGTCTATGATGATGCTCGCGTGGCACCTCGCGCGCCGCGCAGCTTTCCACACAGGTTGTCTCTGTCCCCTTTGTCCTGAAAAGCCCATCATCTTCTGATCACTGCGAAGAAGGACAGTCTGTCACGCAATCATGTCCAGGCTCGCTCATGACCAATAAGACTGCAACCACTACCTGACTATCAAAAGGCCTGCCAGATCATTTTCTTGCGACCACCGCCAGCTCGGTCGCCTCAGAATCAACCCATCACCGAGCGATGCAGAGGCCCTCTGCGAGATCGTCTCAGCAAAACAACAGCTCCGCACCTCATACACCACTGCGACAACTCAGATCACACACTCCAACCATTTATCACGACGACGACGACGAGATCGCAGATCCTAGGCCTTGGGAGACAAGAACTCCACAACAGTATTACGGTTCGAGGCGTGACGCTCATCAGTATTCCCATAACCCAGCTCTGAGTATCGACAAGGCTGCTGGAGTTGGAAACGATCTACCATTGTATGACGAGATGGAGACTCGGAGAAGGTATGGAGAGAAAGAAGCGGTCGCTGGCGCGGGAGGTGCGGGGCCCAATAGCGAATTGGACGAAAAGGCAGCGTTGATGGATGATGATCAAGGCAAATGGGCTAAAGGTCATGGGGCTGGACCTGGGATAGGTGGGAGAAGAGGCCTTCCACCCAAACAAAGACAAGAGGGATGGGTAAGCGAGATGGAAAATCATTCGAAACGGTCCGCTGATCTTGTCTACAGAGGGCGTTCTATGCCGAGTACGAAGATTGGATCTGGTGTGGCATCTATACTATCCTTTCAATGACGACGAGATTCTGGCGTATAGGAGCTGCCGATTATGTCGTATGGGACGAGGCAAGTCAGGCGTCGCATTTGTTGCAGCGCCACACTGATATGCTGTCGCAGGCTCACTTTGGCAAGTTTGGTTCTCATTACATCAATCGGGATTTTTACTTTGACGTCCACCCTCCCCTCGGCAAGATGCTCGTGGGTTTGGCAGGCGTCTTGTCAGGCTACAACGGAGGCTTCGAGTTCAAATCTGGTGTCAAGTACCCTGAAGATGTGCCTTACACAGCTATGAGAGTCATGCTGGCTTCGTTCGGGGTGGCTTTGGTCCCGATCGCATGGTGGACAGCTGGAGAACTGGGATGGTCAAAGTTTACCAGACATTGGGTGACAATATGCGTACTGTGTGGTGAGCTACATTCGGCCCGACTTGCCCTATGAAGCTCAGTCCCCTCAGATATCGGTTGGCTCTGTATCTCTCGGTTCATTCTGCTCGATTCGATGTTACTGTTCTTCACATTCACCACTGTACTTGGATTGGTCAAATTCCACAATGAGAGGCACGAGTGAGTCCTCTGTGGGGCGGCGTAGGAAGGACTACTGACCGCCTCAGTCCCTTCGGCGAGGATTGGTGGCTCTGGCTCGTCTTCACTGGGTGGTCAATCGGCTGCACATGCAGTGTCAAGTGGGTCGGTCAATTCGTCACTGCCCTGGTGGGTCTATACACTATTGAAGATCTCTGGAACAAGTTTGGCGACCTGTCCATGCCTATCGTGAGTTATCATATGTTGTTGACCGAAGCTCACGCCACCAGCGTACATACATCAAGCACTGGGTTGCAAGAATCGGCTGTCTGCTCGTCATTCCCTTTGTCGTTTACGCCACCTGCTTCAAGATGCACTTCATGATTCTCAATCGATCGGGTCCAGGCGACGCCCAAATGTCATCCCTTTTCCAAGCCCATCTCAAGGGCAACGACTTTTCCGAATCCCCTCTTGAGATCGCCTATGGATCCAGAGTCACGTTCAAGAATTACGGTTATGGAGGTGGACTTCTCCATTCTCACGTTCAGACCTTTCCTACTGGATCACAGCAACAGCAAGTCACATGTTATCACTACAAAGACGACAACAATCACTGGCTGATCGCCGAACCCTGGGGAGCCGATCCGATTGATCCGGATGGTCCGATTCAGTTTCTCGAACACGGTCATGTGATTCGGCTGATTCATGCTGCAACGGGCAGAAACCTCCACTCTCACCCTATCGCAGCTCCTGTCACCAAGGAGAACTATGAAGTCGCGGGATATGGAAATTTGACCGTCGGAGACGATAATGATCTATGGGTCGTTGAAGTCGTTGACGACACTCATTCATCAAAGGGTACCATGAACAATCGGATTCACTCGCTCACCACGCGAATCCGGTTCAAGCACCGAGATCTGCACTGCTATCTGCGGGCGGCGAATGCAGTCTTGCCGCAATGGGGTTTCAAACAGGTCGAAGTGTCGTGTGATAAGGAGAATAATCCGAAAGACGTACACACCTACTGGAATGTGGAATCTCACTGGAATGAGAGATGTGAGTGTGGTGTGGAATGGATCAATCTGACTCCTGTAGTGCCCCCTGGCGAAGCCAAGCTGTATAAATCCCCGTTCTGGAGAGACTTTGTTCATCTCAACGTGGCGATGTGGACGTCAAACAACGCTCTCATTCCAGACCCAGACAAGGAAGATATCCTGGCTTCAAAGCCTACGGATTGGCCTTTCCTCCATCTTGGATTGAGAATGTGCGGATGGGGAGACGACCAGATCAAATTTTACCTCCTCGGTACTCCTGTCATTTGGTGGGGTGGCAGTGTGTCTCTCATCTTGTCGATTTTCGTTGGATTCTGGTACATTGCGAGGATGCAGAGGCATTACAAGGATTGGAAGGCTGGAGAATGGGAGCAGTTCCTGTGGCCTGCAAAGGTCGCTTTGGGCGGTTGGGGATTACATTTCCGTGAGCTGTCAGCTCCGTTGTCAGATCTCATTCCACGCAGTGCCATTTTTGATCATGGGCCGGGTCACTTACCTCCACCATTACGTGAGTCAATCTATTACGAGCCTTGTCCAGCGAGATCTGAAGTGTTGTCCAGCTCGAACCTTTGTGGTTTGCCGTTCTCATCTTTGGTCACCTTCTGGACCACTTCTTCTTTGCATCTCCGCATAGATCACCGAGAGCCAAAATTGCCTGGTTCGTATTTTGGACAGCGCTCGTCGTAGGCTGTTTCTGGTGGTTCAAGGATCTGGCGTTAGGTATTCACGGGCCTGTCAATAGCCACAAAGGCTGGTCATGGAGACCATCGTGGAATGTGAGTGGCGCTGAGTGTGATCGAATGTAGCGCCCGCTGATAGGGTGGCATGTCTCAGATCTACAACTCGTGATTTCAACGAGACTTGACGAGCAAACGACACTAAAGCATGAATTGATATGTTGCATTGATGATCACACTTCACCGCCTGACCCACATTTCAAACCTATACGTCGTGCCCTTCTCCTCGATCTCTCCCTTTGGCGCTTCCCAACCTAGCCACTTGCAGAGCTCCTCATGGGTCGACCGCAACCATATTGGTCGGCCGTCCACTTGGGTCGATGCGAAATCATTGAGGAAGACATCAGACGCGTATTCTGGGCTTATGATTCGAGTCAAAAGCACTCTGTCGACCAGAGGGGACTGAGTTGAAGTTGAGCTCTGGTTCAGAGCCTCGTTGTACAGTTGAGCACCACCCATGAGGAAGATCCTATGTGCCCCTCGAGTCTGAGTAAGGGCAGATTCCAGAGAGGTAGCGGAGGAAGTCGATTCGCCAGGCCTAAAAGCAGATCAACTCACTTGATCGACCTTTGCCAAACGGGAGAGACTGACAGGTCCAGCTCTTGTCGAGATACGACGATATTGTGTCTATCCTTTAACGGTCTAAACTTTGCTGGTATAGATTCCCAGGTCTTTCGACCCATGATCACGGCGTTGGGCGTTGTCGGAGATTCACCCGTCGTCACTGGCTTGCAGAAAGGAGCATCAGACGAGACAGTCTCGAGTCGAGGAGCATCTCACTTACCCCTGGCAAAGTATTTCATCTCGCCCGGAAGCCTCCAGGCAAGTGTACCGTTCTTTCCTATACCATTAGATGTAGTGGCTGCCACGATGGCTGTCATAGATCGAGAGATGGGCATTGTGGTGGTATGGTCGGATGGCATGGTCAAGAGCGCTTCGGATGGCTCTAACTTTCGCTTCAGAAGAGAAGGTACCCCTAGTGTAGACTATCTCCGGGTCGTCCTACGATTGTCGACTGCATTGAGATCTCTCTCGGCGCGCGTATCGCGCGACCCCTCTGCCTCTGAACCATTTACTTACTTGTGGGCTCAAATAAAGGTTTTATTGGCCTGTTCGGAGACGTCATTCAAAGTGTGCTCCCCCTCTCGCACCTGAAGTTGACCAGTACTCATTCCCATCCTTGCGGTTGCATACAGGTGGACAGGGAAACCCATAGCGACGATGCCTGTAAGTGATTCCATCTATAGTGAAGACATCGGGGGCGGACGGCCATCTGACTCGACCCTCAGGCTTACCACTCTGTATTCAACGAGGATGCCTCGGTCCGACAGATTGGGAACATGGCTGTATTGCCTATAAATACAAAGATCCGAGGACCAGCTCCCATAGCATGTGAGTGGAGAGCTGAGACTGCCAATAGAGCCCCTCCAAGGCCGTCGCTAGCATGTCAAAGATCACGCGTAGATGTGATGTAGATGGAACATCGCTGATACCGTCCGCAGCCGACCCATCAGAGCCGGATATCATTGAGGAGAGTCTGGATCTGTGAGGGTTTCGTTTCCCTCAGTCTGGACAGTCACTCATGTCTCCCACTCTTCAGCTTCAGAGCCAACTGTCTCTTCAGAAACTTTGAGATCAAAGGTGGGCCAGAGCATAGTGGTGGTTTTGCTCACCTCCACCTAGGACCCGCCGACCGACTTATGATCTACCTCATCCTTTTCATATCAGAGTGTCTCACGAAACTGTCGCCCACTGCCGGGAGACCATCACCAAGTTATCAAGAGGCTTCTAAGCAGTTGTCCACACTGGCCGTCGACAATTTTGCCTTGCCCGGAGACGCTGGATTTCCCCTCAACTCGTTATATCATCCTCCCGCCTCCAGAGCGGATGCTGGTGAGGTCAACCTGTGACTTGTGTACATGCCATCATGTTAATCCGCTCAATTCAGATGCCCTTCGGTCTTACCTTACCCAAACCCGATCGGAGCTAGCCCAGAGACTTTGTGATCGTCTTTATCCCCCTGAGCACCAGCTCGGAGCCGATGGTCAACCTACCGGACAAATGGGACCCAGAGCAACTAAGCCTAGCAAATGGTGGATGAGCTTCCAGAAGAGACGGTGAGGGTCTCATGTGGCGCCATTTTCAGCACCACTGACAATCCGCAGATTCATGGGAAGAAGTTTGGGGGCGTAGGCAAAGAATAGCGTGCAGCAGGAGAAAAGGTGGGGAATGCTTGAAGGGGAATGATTCAGAGCCGACGCAGCTCTCTGGCGATAGGGCTGGTGAAAGAAAAGATATGGTCTTGCAGTGCAGGTTGTCGCCTTTTTTGCTCTCGCTTCCTGCTCCTCAGCCTGTTTCTCACAATCCCATGTTTTGACCCTCTTCCACTCAAGCACGACAAAGTTGACTTCATACTCCCCCTCAGTCGCAGGCAGATGCGACGCGTTTTATGAACACTGAAAGGACACTTGAATGGATCAACCTGTACGGGGAAAGCGATGTTCTACCAGAAAGGATTGTCGTCTAGACACTGGCTCACACATACTGATCGTCGAGATACGTCGAAAGATGACTGATGTGTTCAGTCGCACACTTGACATCTACAGCTCTGACAATCCTATCTCGTCTACTTACACACATCGCACCCTCGACATGTCGGACTCCTCTGCCAAACGCTCTCAGATCAACATCCCTCGACTCCCTCCCGTCATTACCATTACGCCGGCCACGCTACCTTCTCCCCAGAATCTTCCACCCACCCCGGATTCTCTACAATCTCCCAAACACGATGAGAAGAAGAGCTCTTCTCCTTCGCTACCTGCAACTGCCAAGTCCGCATCTCCAAGCCCTATCAGAGGTATCCTCCCGATCCTCACTGATCGGTACGATGAGCCAAGCTCCCTCTTGATCCCCTTGACTCGACATCTGCAGCTTCTTCATCCTCAAACGCCAACTCCTGTCATAGAATTCGTGGCCACTCGATTGATCTCTCATGATCGTCCCTACGGTCACAGTGGACCTTGGAAGCCTCTCGGAGGTGATGGAGAGGACATCGACTTGTCTGCCGCTGGCATCGGAAGAGAGGCTTGTAAAGGGTTCGAGCAGAGGGAGAATGGGAGGGGAAGAGAGTTGGACCGGAAGTTGGAAGGTATGTATAGGATTGCTAGGGAGAGCTGGAATAGACTAGATGACATGGCTCCCTGCGGAGGAAGGTAAGGGCACACCACGCCCCCATACAGTAGGCTAGGTGGCAGATCCATGAATATCACTTTCAAGCAAATTTCTTAGTAACCCTCCTGCCCTGTGTGAGTCCCGCCTTTCTGGGTGGTGAGAAGAGATCAGAGTCAAACCTTCTGTTCCCTCGCCAAGTCTTCGAAGCGAGCAGGTCACCATGGGTCTCGGACGACCAGGCCTGGCTTCTCCGAAGCTCCCGTTTGTTCGAGAATATCTTGGTGCTCACGTAATGACAATGCCTGGTACTCCAGTCTGCGCATCTCGTCTCCTGTACGAAGGCTTGGCGACAATAATGACACAGCTTGACATATAGTGTAATAGCTTCATGTCTACAGTCTCTTTCTCAAGACTTTCTTGTCCACAGATTTTCATACAGTAGAAAACCCTCCGAAAGCCTAATTCACTCTCAAACCAGTCCAATAGCACCGAGATCCACTTTGGTCATATCTCTCTTTGACAAGGAGCTATGTATATGGACGTGTCACTCGTCATCGCCTACTCCTGCCCATCGATACGCTGTGCGAGAAACTGACCCGTCGCCATGCCTCCGCGCCTCACTCAGGATTTTTGCCACTCTAGTCGTGTGGCACCTTGGCAAAGTGCTCTCAGGGGGATCGACCTGTGTTTGCACCCAGCAAACTCGGTCATTTCTCAAGATGGGGAGCTGAAACTTGGCAGTAGGCTACTATATCAGTATCTCAGGTGATACGAAGCTTGCGATCTATGTATCCATTATACCGTCTTGATATAATATCTTTCACTTTGTCGACCTCCTAGTCCTTTCTCCGATGATTTTCTTTTTCAAACCATGAAAAATGCGAGCCGCGAGTCGGTTACCTCACTTGAAATCCTCACTTGACCCTCTCCGAATCCTTTCCACTGGAAAAGTGCCACACTATCCTATAACACCGTATAACCCCGTCAACTTCGTCCATCCAGCGTGTTACAGTTTTAAAAAAAGAGAGGCGAAGTGCGATGAGTGAGCGAGTTGAGTGAGAGAGTGAGAGTGAGCGAGAGATACCAATAAGGACGATGGATAAAAAGGGGTCTGGAACTCTTTTCCCCATTACATCTCCAACGATTGACCTCTTACCTGTTCAACCGATAACTCGAATCGTACATTGATACATCATGGGTAAGTGAATGCATAGGCATGGCTCGTACATGTCTATCTCATGCATAGACCATCACGCTGACCATACATGTTGCACAGCTCGAACCAAGGTGAGCTCGGCACCCTCCTCGTCGCTATCGCCGATCTTTCCTCGCCACCCGTCAACAAGGGTCCATCCTGATTATAGTCGGGACATCCTGCTGCATAATCAAACGCCACCTGCTGCACCTCCTACCATCCTTCTCCATCGCCTATACTATCTCCTTCAGACAGCCCGCCGAGCAGCGGCGGCGGCGTGCATGCGCACGGCCTCCGACACCACGCCCACATTTTATCTTTCATCATATCAGCCACTATTCCGAGTGCACTCAATCTCCAACCTTTACCCGTCTTCCCCGGGCTTTCTCTTCTGGATTCCGTACTGACATTCTCCCTTCAGCAAACCGCACGAAAGTCCACCGGTGGTAAAGCACCCCGAAAGCAGCGTGAGTGACCCCCTTTATCTTGCACACTTCCACCTGGGCATTTTCTCCGGCCTCACGTTAGTACTTCTAACTTACACCACCATAGTCGCCACCAAGGCCGCTCGAAAGTCTGCTCCTCAGGCCACTGGTGGAGTCAAGAAGCCTCACCGATACAGGCCCGGAACTGTCGCCTTGCGAGAAATCCGACGATACCAGAAGTGAGCCTTATATGTTTCTCTCTTGAGCTTCAGCTGACCCTACCAGGTCTACTGAGCTTCTGATCCGAAAGCTTCCCTTCCAGCGACTCGTCCGAGAAATCGCTCAGGACTTCAAGACTGATCGTGAGCTTCTCCTTTGCTCGTTCGTGGTGTCTCAAGCTCATATTCTATAGTCCGATTCCAGTCCTCTGCCATCGGAGCTCTTCAGGAGGCCTCTGAGGCTTACCTCGTGTCCTTGTTCGAGGACAGTGAGTTCAATCCTTGAGCGTGACTTGTACTGTATTGATCGTTTCTCCAGCCAACCTTGCTGCCATTCACGCGAAGCGAGTCACCATCCAGCCCAAGGATCTTCAACTCGCCCGACGACTCCGGGGCGAGCGATCTTAAATGGGTCCAGTGTGACCTTCTGAGGCGGGGCCCAGCCTCGCTTTGTTCTTCTGCGACACCTATAGTCTCTGCGCATCCCACTACCTCTCTCACTTTCGTACGCTTACCATCCACCGTTTGTACTCTTATTCGTTTTTCGCTCGTCCCCTTACATCAAGCGCAGATGTTCCAATGTCCGTAGAGACTGAGACGCATGTATGTCCGATCGTGTATCCATTCTGATGCCCTGTTCATGGAGGCTGAGGGTCTACCGACATTGTGTTTCCTAATCTGTCCTCGCTCTGTCTTTCCTTCTGCGCATTCTCTCGTAACCTCTGTAAAGCGTCTACCATCTCGCTCAGGAATCTAGCTTCTAAACGCGTAGCGTATAGACCCAGCTCAGCTTCCGTTGAAGTACTCTTCTCCGAATCAGTACCATTCGCTGTCGTTGAGTTGGTGGAGGCGCTTGTGACTTCCGGCAAGGTCGACGCGAATGGCGTAGGGATAGCATTGACAGGTGGAGGTCTCAGAGTCTGAGGAGCAGCTCGAGTTTCCAACAGGTAATAGACAGTCTGACGGAGGACGAATTGGATTTTCTGAACGACACAAAAAACGTCAGCACAAAGTCTGTCTGGGCTGACTTTGACCAAGTCGTCGCGAAAGGCACAGACTCCAGACTCACATCCAGTAAGGTCATATATTTGTCCACGGCTTCTCTCGCCCCGATACCTGATGCTTCATCTTCTGAACCTTGGACAGAAGCAGGCGAGACGAGGTGATGGAGGATGGGCTTGATGGATGCCAATAGCTCCGGAATGGCCTGTAGAGCATGCATCAGCAGTGCTCTTGCAAGGGGCGCGCAGCGCAGCTGCACAGTCTTGAATGACAGTATATGTACAGCACTGGAGACTGTATGGACCAGCGCTTCACAGCTGCTCGCGGCGGCTTTCTGACCTCGCACTGTCTTCCTCAACTTACCGATTCCACCGCTGTGAGTGCTCCAAATAACGACTCCAGATCCAGCGATTCCAGGTCAAGCGGATCATTGTTACTGCTGGTATCCATCCCCCCGCCCTCAGACATGGCGCCGTGCACAAATTATGCCGCTGGAGCTTGCACTCGCAGAATGCGAAAACGATTAACCATATGACACACTGTTATCGCTAGCTTTTGTTTTTACCAGATCGACCTCATGGGTGGCACCGCCATATCGTCAACTTCGTGATGCATCAAAGTCTACAGCAAAGTATCGTGATGGCCAGACGGCAATGACAGCGTCGAAAAAGATACGAGACAGCAACAGCACGATCCAAGGAACATCGAGGCAAATCACGCTTCATCTGCACAATGCAGGGTGCTCTTGCCGATGCCCATACCCATCCTGACGAGTGTCTCGATGGACGCTCGTCCATTGTCCAGCAGGTCTTCGTCCCACTGCAAGGCACCCTTTTCGAACACGCAGACGATGGTGGAGCCACCTGCAGGTAAAGCGTTAACATCCTTGAATCCTTGAGTTACCCAGAGTGTACGTACCAAAAGCAAAATACCCCAACTCGTCAGTCCGTTCAACCATCTGACCTTCTTCCACTGAAGTCTTGATACTGCCGACCACTGTACAGATGAGTGTCCATCCTAGATTCTCCAGACAGCACCACTCACTCATGGCGCCTACCCAGACCGTCATAACCAGCCCAAATTCCTCTGTATGAATAGGGACAACCTTTCTGACGTTCTCGCCATACACGTCCAAGCCCGTTCGGATAGCTTGTGGGTTGACAGTGTAATACTCTCCGTCAATCATAGTCATTTTGCCGATTCTGCCCTTCACGGGAGAATGAAAGCGATGATAGTCTTGCGGTGCGAGTCTGCGGCGTAATCAGTGCCCATTGGAGGGGGCTTTACCCACCTGAAAATCCCGAGAGCTCCTCCGTCGTAACGATCAACCACATCCGCATAATTTGGGCCAAGGAGCCTTGCAATCGAGAATTCTCTCCCTTTGATCCAGATAGTAGTCGCCTCCTGTACGGTCTCGAAAGCCATCATTCGACAATCGGCACAAGACACAAGCCGACCTTCGTTGCCTGGATCTGCCACGGGTCTAGCATCAGGCTTGAGCTTGCGGTAGAAGAACTCGTTGAATGTCTTGAAGCTGTCCAAGGGGTCCAAGATCTCATTGATATCGAGGCCGTGGAACGCGATAAAGGTGGGAATGTCGACAGCTGAAGAAGGTGAATCGTATTTGAGACCTTGCTTCACAGACAGAGATTTGAGCATTCTCCGAGCTGACAGTAAGCGGGACATTCCGAGATCTTTCACTCACCCCTTCCACCCTCCATACGGGATCTGGCCCCCTTGTACAATACTCTTATACCGACTCGAACATAGACTGCCATCTTTTCCTCCTGCAGTTGACCTGTCAACCTATCTTGAACCAGGATGTTGGCCGAATTCGCTCCCAGTGAATACGCGCCAATGGCGACTTTGTTGACAAGCTTGGTGAAGAATTTGCGTTGAGCCTGGCTGCTTGTGACATAATTGGCAGTGACGATTCTATCGACTCTTGACCAGTCGGCAGAAGCGCAAATCGCCAAGTGAGTCACGATATCCTGCTCTGAGCGTTTCTTCAGGCGTCTTCGATGACAGAGTGGACAAGTTCGAATATTGATGATTCGCTCCCGATCTTCGGGGAACGAGTCTTCAGAGTCTACACTGCGCAAGTCATCCTCCAGATCGCCCTCGGCTTCTGAAGACGCAGCAGTGATAGCTTCGCTACCAGCGTCGGAGTCCGCGACCGAGCCAATGATCGGCCCTCCTTCCGCGGTCATGCTCCCTGATCTCTCGACCTTGACAGAGGGTACGCTCTCCATCGATACTTGATTGCCCGGAGCGCCTTGCCGCGGTCGCGAGTTTATAATGTGCTCCCGGAGCTCGTCGGGATCGACTGGGCTGGAAATGTTGCCGTCGGGGCCCGTCACATCTAGACCATCATCGACAGGCTTGGCAGCTATGGGCGGAGTCGAAGCTTCAGTCATCAGGTCGTGGTCTGGTTTCTTGGAGACTTTTCGCTTTTCTGATCTATGCTTCTCTACCTCCCGCTCCAAGTTCGTGACGACCTCATCGATGGTCAGCTCGTCTTCGTATGGGTGTTTGCCGAAGCGAGTGAAGTAGCTCTCGAGAGTCCGCTTGGTCAGTGTAGAGCCGAGCGAGTCCAGCATGGTTGCGAGTTCGGTATACGAAATCTTGCCCGTCTCGTCAACGTCATATTGAGTACAGTATTGGCGCCAGAATCGCTGACGGACAGCATCGTATGGCTCGTACTTGGCTCGGATGATGATTTTCGGTGAGTGCTTTGACTCCCAGGGCGTATCTTTGTCGCACACGAGCGGCAGCTGAAAGGTAATATCAGAGAGTAGGGCAGATTTATCGCTCACTGTGAATTCTGTCATGTCTTGCTTTCCATCATCATTCTGATCGTACAGACCGGTCTGAGGATCCGGTCGAGATACATTGTCCATGAGCTTGTCCAGTGGAAGAGTACAGATGCCGATCATGTCATTACCCGAGATCTGGAATCAGCGCCTTATTACGAGACTGACTCACCTTGTCCCAGTCGAGCACGGACAATCCAATGGTGTAGTTGGCTTCGTGGCGTTTGACGTGGAACAATAGCTTCTCGTCCCAGGTCGGGTTGAGCGAGTGCCTGATGACCCGTGTTCTAAAGACCTTCTGACCGAAGGCAATGACGACGAAGGGGTCCATGTCAAAGCCGAGACGTATCGCTTGGGGATTGTCAGGACGGGTCAAAGTGCCAGTCACCTACAGTTCTTGATCCTCGGGAGATCCTCCGCAGACTTGATTTCTAACACTACGATCCCAATGACGTCCTTGACCTTGCTTGAATCATAGTTGAAATCCCTGGTTGAGCGCTTGCTTGAGACTTTGCTAGTCCGCCGACCAAAGATTGGTTTACGTCTTGAAGCACCAGGCGTGGACGCGCCGGGTGTGGCAGGCACAGATGATTCTCCAGCGGTCGCCGGTCGATCAAAATACCCCGGCAAGGACGTCTGACGCGGGGCTTGACGTCGAGAAGTGGGAGCGAGCAGACCAGCGGTCTTTGGAGCATCATCGGAAGCCTGACGGGGTGGCGGTACAGCCGTGAGGGGTTCTTCTGTGAATGCTTCCTTGGTCATTTCACGGTGATGCGCTAGAACGTCCGTATCGAGCGCATCTTCATACTCCTCCTCGGAAGAATCGGTTAGACCATCATCCTCGAGTCCCTCGTCACTGCTACCTGAATCCGAGGCGTCGTCTGTGATGTGGGATTTGCCCATCAGATGACTGAGACGAGAAGAGGCGGCATCGTGGATCGAGCCAAGGGACAAATGTCCCTTGGGCATCGGCGAGTCTGCACGAGTCCGGACAGTCCCGATTCCTTGATACTGCACTGTCAGCAAGATCACTGGTTGGTGAAACTCACGGCTGGAACGCCGAGGACACCGGCGAGGTCCGGTGCGCCGTTGCTCTTCTGGGCAAAGACGCTGTGGATTCGTCTTATCCTCTTCAACGCATCTTCGCCATCGGCAGCCTCTTTGGGCGGGACATACCCAATCTGAACGTATATGGCACCAGAGGCTTTCTGTCGACGACGAGTAGAAGCCAATCGGCGACGTATAAGCTAAGCGTCAGCGAAGTCTCCTTTTGACTACCCACTGGCAGACCCTCGTCCCACAGCCTGATGTCTCCGTCGTCGAACCAATCGATGACTGGAAGAGCAAATTCTCCCATGTATTCTTTTCGCATCAAGTCCTGAGAGATCAGCTCTAGAAAGCTGAGGTGGACTCACTTTGTCCCATACGACACCTTCGAGTCCTCGACTGCCTACGAGGGTCGCCAGACTGATGTAGAGAGGGAAGTCGAACGTGCTCTCATGAGCTGGGAATACTGGATCAAGATTTTTCTTCACGACTGGTGTGTTATGACGAGAAGCGGGAGGGATAACGAGCGAGACGAAGCTGATCGATTCTCGTCAGTCATCTTCTCTTCTTCTCCGGAGTTTTGTGACTCACGGATCGCTAGTGCCTCCACGGTCTTTCGCAACCAGGCTCTCTGCTTTGACGATCCTGACCCTGACCCAAGCAGCTGGCTCTTCGCCTTCCAGAGGTTTCCTGGGACTCTTAGTCGTTATTGACGCATGGGTTGGTGTCGAACCGTCCTGACTGCTTTTCTTCAACCTGAGCCCCCTTCGACGTCGCTTCGGAGGCATCGGCAAGGGACTCTCGACGACTGCCAAGTGTTCGGGCTGTGTTTGTGGACTACTGCTGTCCGCAGCAAGATCAGGGACGATCGTCTTGGAGGAAGACGTCGAGATGACATTGTTGGAAGACGATGATCTCGAGAGTGAGCGGGGTTTGAAAGTCGATGCTGCGAGTCTGAGCGGTTTAGAAGCGAAGCGTTTCAGGCGATCTCCGGATGGGTGATCGGATTCCGTGTTCCCATGGTCGGAAGCTGTCGTGAGGTGCATGGGATCCTGCCCACCCATCATTGAATGACTGTGAGGAGCCCAACGAACAGTGATGTAATAAGCCTAACTGCCATTCATCGTTCGTTTCATTGTTCGTGTTCTCGGTCCTAAAAATCCAATAGGGAAGCGTGTGAAAGGAGGTCGATACTTTGTGCCCAGATCACCCTGCCAAGAGCATCCAGTCTAGACCTTGTTGTTGTTGTCGTCGTGGTTGTTGTTGCTGATTCGTAGTCGAGAGACTGACCGATGCTATGATGAGTGAGCTTGACCTATGAATTCAGCAAGAAGCCACTGAAGCCTTGGGTCCGGCAAAACAAGGTGACCGATGAGAGCGATGCCCGAGAAAAAAGTTTTAGAAATCCGGCCATGCATCATTCCGGTCATATGTGAATCATTCACATTCATTCATCTAGGATAAGTCTATGCGGCGACCACGCTCGCTGTCACAGTCTATGACAATTCCCTCCAACGCAATCTGCTGATATTATACTGCTCTCAGCTGGCCTCCGCTGCCAGGTCTTTCCAAGCTGCGAGCTGCTTCTTGAGCCCATCTAATCTAGCATCTACATATCCAATACCATCTTGTCCAATGACCAATCTTGCTGGTTTAGCGACATCGGGAGACGCTTCCAGAGAAGAGAACTTGAGAATGGTCTGCGCTGCCTTGCTCGCGTCTCCCAGAGTTCCACCGGCAAAGGAATTCCGGAAGTGAGTCATGGGATGATCAGGAGCGTTGTAGGGTGCGACGGGAGGGACAAAGCCTGCTTTGTTCATCGCCTCGGTCTTGAAACCACCAGGCTCGACCACTCGGAGCTGAAACAATGTCATGTCAGCGATGCACTCGGTAGAGCGTGTGTAACGGCACACTCACTTCGATGTTCCAATCTGGTGACATTTCAGCTTGGACAGAGTCGATAACAGCTTCTACACCTAGAGAGCGCATCAGCTTATCGTTCTGACAATCATTCGCCAGACGCCAAAACTTACCGGACTTTGCAGCGGCAAAAAAGGATAGAAGCGGCAGACCTCCCCCAAGGCCGACCATGCTGGATACGGTGACGATCTTTCCACCACCTTGTTTTCTCAAAAGCGGGATGGACTCTTTCAAAACGTTGATAGTACCCCAAAAGACGGTCTCGAATTGTTTGCGAGCGAGATCTTCCGGCATAGTCTCGAATTCTCCCATGACTGTCCAACCGGCATTGTTGACGATGATGTCGATCTTGCCAAAGGCCTCGACGGTGGCTTTCAGCGCAGAATCCACCTGATCCTTGTTGGTGACATCGAGAGGGAACGTCTTCAGCGAGTCGGCATGCTCCGTCAAAAGGGATTGAGGAAAGTCTTTGGGCTGTCGCAGGGTCGCTGCAACCCGATGACCTTGGCTCAAAGCTGCTTTGACGAGCTCGAGACCCAGACCTGAGAAGAGTGTCAGTGATGAAAGCCTTGAAACGTGGATCTTGAGCTTTGCCTACCAGAAGATGAGCCAGTGATGAAGATGACCTTGGACATTGGGACAGGTATGTTGGGAATGATCTAAGCGAGATGATCTCTGTGGGATGTCCCAGATGTAGTGAGAAGGTGTTGACGAAGATGCGTGGACGAAATGAGTGGGCGAGCCAGTTCTTAATATATATGTGATCTGAACCTGACCTCGGGAATGTCCAGGCACAATGAATGAATGACCTTAGGCCTTAGATAGCCTCAATCTGCCGAAGCCCGCAGTCCGGCCGCCTTGGGATCGGGACCGTCGATCATGCTGTCAGAGCTCAGCTCCAGCGTCCCCCATTGAGGGTGGAGGCCGAAATCAGCAGCCGAGGCACATTCAGCCGGCGAACGGCCGGCATTTGATACAGAGACATTCAAAGATCTATCAAAAGATTATTAATAATCCGGCAGAGATCTAATTCTTGATCGTCACCATGTGCTTTGCGAGAGCAAGGGCGTCGTACGGCGGCTCCGTACCAGACACTCTGTAGGGTGAGGTTTCTATTGCGGCTGCTCAACGGCGACCTCCGCGAAGATCCACCCCTCTCTGGCTTCATTGATGGAGAATGGAAAGACAGAGAAAAGCTAATGGCATTACAACACTCAATCCTAATCTCTCTCCGGCTGTCATTATTAACCGGTCCATCTCATCGTCAATGCATGATGATGTGCCGCAGAGATACAATCTCCTTGTCGATGTAATCTCATCATGAGCTCGTCTCGTCCACCACTGACACCGATAGGTTCAGCTCTAGCAGGGGCACTTGGAGCAGTGGTGTCTAATGCGTGAGGCAATGATTCCAAAAACCACTGACCAACCGTACCGTAGCGTCGTCTATCCCCTCGACACGGTCAAAACTCGACTACAAGCTCTTCCTGATGGTCCATCCTTGCCGAGTCATGCCACTGTCCCCGTTCCGCGACCAGCCAAGGGAGTACTTGGGCGAGATGTCATACGGATTCCTGAACGACTGTGGGCCCGGATTAAGAAATTGAAGATGTTAGCCATGTTGATCAAGATCGTCAAGACGGAGGGTCTAGGCGGGACTTTCAAAGGCTTCACAGCTAACATGCTTAACACCTTCTCTCAGCGTCAGTCAATCTCTATGTCTCTCTCTGTGTGACAATCTTCACTCGATGCTCACGCTTCTGCCAGAATTTGCATACTTTTTCTTTCATACATGGATCAGAAAAGCGGCCATGGCCCGGCTGTACAATCCTCACTCCCTTTCAACATCTTCCGAGCTGTTGCTTGGCGCAGCGGCAGGCGCCTTGGCTCAGATCTTTACCATACCCGTCAGTGTAGTCGCCACAAGGCAACAACTGTGGACCCCATCCGATCAAGATAGATCCGCAGGTGTATACGGTTTGAGCCTGTTGGAGACTGCAAAGGAGATTGTGGAGGAATCGGGTCCGTCGGGCTTATGGACAGGATTGAAACCTGGTTTGGTGCTCACTGTGAACCCTGCAATCACATATGGAGCGTTTGAAAGGATAAAGTCGTATGTCTTGTCGTCGAGAGAGGGAGGCGGTGGTGCTGGGTTGAGTATGATGGAGAATTTCTTCATTGGAGTGACCAGTAAAGCTATCGCGACAATCGTGACATACCCCTACATCTTCGTAAGTCAAAGAAACTTACTCCTGCAATGCCCCCACCGACGCTGCCTTTCAGGCCAAAGTTAGACTCCAGGCCAAGGCGGGTGACAATGGTCCCGTACCAGAGCTCGCAGCTTTGGAAGCCTCCGTCGAAAAGGGAGTCTCTTACGCCGATGCGGCAGCTCAAGAGCCCGCCAGTTCCGCGCCGGTCGTGGCCGGTCCTGAAAAAGGCGTCGACCCCAAGCGTCACCCACGACCGAAACACAAGCACGCTGGGGCGATAACTCTACTCAGAGCGGTGTACGCGGAAAAGGGCTTCGGCGGATGGTATCAAGGTATTGCAGCTCAGCTCATCAAAGCTGTCTTGTGTCAGGGTGAGCAATACCCCATCATGATTGTGAATCCTCCATCTGACGCCTCACCTAGGTATACTTTTCGTCAGCAAGGATCAATTCGAGCGCTGGACCTGGCTCATCCTAATTACCTTGGCTCGACTTCGAGCGAGAATTCCACTTGTAGCCAAGACATAGAGAGCACATGGTCCATGCGATGAGTGCATTCCATCCGGTATATCTGCATACGGAACAGTAAAGTGGCAAGGGTATCTCACATGATATGCAAAAAAAAGAAGGTGATGAACCAGTCTAAGCTAGCTAAACATGAAGGAGAACAGACCGAGAAGTCACCTGGCGTATGTCGTCGAGCGTCGGAGTGTGAAAAATGAGAGTTAAGAAAATCATACAAAGTTCATTAAGTGTCGTGTCCAGCAACGGGAAACATGAAGCATGCGATGGGGGACGTGAGGCCGAGTCTAGGCCAAACCATTGGTCGGCGAACTCTTGCTAGGACTGTGACCTGGTCGGTCTCTGGTCGGACTCGCAATGACATCGGCAAGCTTTTCCAGCTGTTGATCTCCTCCGGCGTCTCTCCCATCCACAACGTCGCGGATGAGGTGCATCGTGTTCTCCAGCGACCGTCGACGATTCGAAGGACTCGTCTTGGTCGTGCCGAGGGACGTCTGCCGTGCATGTCCGCGGCGCCAGGGAATGCCATTGGTTGGTGGTCCACCAGTCGGTGTACCGGGAGACCCTGACCCGGCAGTAGGAGGTGTAGCGATGGGGTCTGGAGATTCCATGACACCAGGTGACGGTGTATTGGGTAAAGAGCCCTGCGAGGGGGACGCGGGATTGTTGTCGTCGGGCTAGTAAGGGTGTCAGAAGTGATCGGACCCCACGGCTTACATCGATGATGTCCGGAGGCAATCGCTCATTGTCGATATCACTCTTTCGGCTGTGATCGTCAGCCAGCACCCCGCGTCAACGCACTCACGCATCATCGAAGCCTTGAATGGCATCCTTGATGCCCTCAGCACCAGACGCTAGCATACCAGAAGGAATCGACTCAGACCCAGAGATACTTTTCAGCTCGGAGACCCGCTCAGACTCCTCTCTTCACAGCGATCAGTGGAAATGCAGGTCTGATTTAACGCACCGTAGCAGTGAGAAGACTCGAGACATTCGTCCGACTGCCAAAATCTTGTTCTTAATGACCTCACGGCGTTCAGGCGACTCGTCTCCTTCTACCTCCTCGTCCACGACTGGACAGGTGAGCGGTTGTTCGAATTTATGCGACTCACTCTCTGGCTCCTCTGGCGTGATCGCCATTGGGGTCTCTTCCTCCTCCTCAAGCTCCTCCTTAGTACAGCAATTGAGAATGGCGATCAGCATGTCGGTGACTGAGGTGTATGAGTTCGCTTCCCAGATGTTCCAGCTCACTTTTCTCCCCCACGAAGGGCAAAGACCAAGTGAAGACATCCATAAAGTTGGGCAACCAGTAAGGATGAGGGGTACAGTTGAATTGCCGAATGCTAAATCGGGTGAGACGTGGAGTACGAAGCCACTCACTTCATTACATTTGACTCGTACTTGAGTACAGCGGCCTTGTTGGAGTACACGTCGAGATAGTTTGGAGCAGAGAAAATGGTCATGACGGAGGGAAATCCAGTAGTCTTGGTCTTGCGATACATACGGTACCTGACGTCAGCGGTGTTCATGGTGGCCAGACCTACCCAGCATCTTGCGCCTCATGTGCTCGGATGATGGATAAGAGATTGTTGCGCTCCAGGAATTGACAAGCGGCATTAAAGCTAGGGCTGGTGAACAGGTGACCCGGAGGGCGCGACTCACGTGAAGAAATAGCTGCAACCTCGGACGTGGTTGTGCACAAAATTGTCCGTCACATTCTTCTCCGAGCCAAAGTCTTCCAGTGGATCGGCCCAGAGGAGATCAGCCATCAATCCCTGAGTAGGCGGCTCGCGGAATCGGTTGATCTAGCATATCAGCATCCGATGATATGGTAACCTCACCGCTCGGATATCGTCGACGGTATGTAATTCAGGTGAAAGACCTCCATGGATGCACAGGAATTGCTTGTTCATGATGGCAGCGAGAGGCAGGTTGCAGAAGGAGTCCATGCAGGCATTGTAGACCGTCTCAGAATACTTATGCTTGCCTGTGAGAGAGAGATTCAGTAACTACCCCAGGCTTTTAACGTACATTCCAGCTTGAAAGTAAAGTAGTCCGTCAAGTGTCGGCATTCATGGTTACCGCGCAGGAGGAACAGGGTGTCCGGGTACCACATCTTTAGCGACCAGAGATAGAGAACGCACTGAGGGAATCAGCTCTGCTCCATGTAAGAAAAGGCTCACCTCGATGGAGAAGTATCCCCGATCGACATAATCCCCTAGGAAGAGATACCTCGTCTCTGCTGGGTTCCCACCGACTTCGAACAGTTTCATTAAATCATACTGAGACATGTCAGCAAGCCTGCGGTGCGCAAACTGTGAGCTCACGTATTGCCCATGTATATCTCCACAGACTGGAATGTTGTCAGCGGAGCCTGATGGATGAGCTCACCGGTGATTGGTGCATCGACTTCGAGCACGTTAGATTCTGCTCTCAAGAGGTTGCCTCCTCTATCGTGTGCGTCAGTGGCTGTCTTGAGACTGCTTCGGACTCACTGTTCTAAGATATACAAAGCTTGCTCCTCTGTCAGACGACCTTCACGGTAAAAGTGATTCTTGAGAAACGCAATGTCTGGCTTTGTTCTGTCCTCCTTGGACCAGAATTGGTCGTCTGTAGGAACATACATGGCCGGAGCTTGGACCTGAAGCGTATAGAGTCAGCCAACCAGGAAGCAGGACGTAACGATCCTGTAAGGGAAGGACTGCACGGCAGCGTGGAGCGATGCCAAGGGATCGCTTGCGTACAGCGACCCGGTCCTTTCACTCACATCTTTGACCACTCGCTCCGTCGTGCTGACCACTTCTCCGTTCTCCAATTGATGCTGCGTGAAGTCTATCTCGGGGATCTGAATGTTGTGCTTGTTGTGTATCGCGGCAATCGCATTGGCTGTATGGGTCGTGGGGGAGGTCATGGTGGCGGTGATGTGATGAAGAAGAGACTGAGACGAGCTGCCCCCAGGGAAGGAGCCGGGAGGTACGGCCGTTTCGCTGTGATTGGAAAGACGAATACGATATCTGCTGCTCCTCGCTCGACAAGGGATATCTCTGTCCTGCCAGTATTCAATGTATGGATCGTTAGATGCGAATCGACAGGACCGAGGAGGAATAGACGCGCAGTGACCAGCGAAGTTGCATGAGTGCCACATACGTCAAAACGCCGGTACCCACGTCGAAGGTGACCCGGGCGATTGGCAGGATTCAGCCGAGATACTACCTATGGCGACTACACTGTTCGAGCTCGCGCAGGTGTTGTCTGCCCACCATGCCGACAATTGAAGACTACTTTGACGATGATACAGATCTGCCGCTTCCATCCTCCTCCACTGCTCGGCATTTGCCCAATACCGGTCGACACGGAGCGTTAATCCGTGAGGTGGACGATGACGGATCCTCGGAAGAAGAATTGGACATGTCAACAGTCGCTGAACAGTCTCGAGGAGTCTTTGGAGAGAATGTCAAAGCTCCACCACCTTCTTCAACAGGGAAAGGAAAGATGACTATGCGAGAGGAACCTTCTTCGCCGGTGCGACAGGATGGCGGCATGCCGGATATCAATCCCAACACACCTATGGGAGGCTTCATGGGCGATATGATGAAGTTGGAAAAGGCTGAGCAGGAGCGTATGGAGAAGCTTAGAAAGCAATTTGGAAATACAACGATGGCCATGGATCCGAGCGAGTACAAGGGGTGGGTCTCAAAGCTCAGATGGACAGGCAATATGCCAGATCGCTGAGGTTCTCTGACAGGTGGAACACGGTCTACCCGCTCTATTTCGACGCCAAACGATCGGTTCAACAGGGAAGACGAGTGCCGAGAAAAGATTCCATGTGGTGGCCGCAAGCAGCGCAGATCGCCAAGTGTTGTCGGATTCTGGGTCTTCCGAGTGTCTTAGAGGTACGCCCGATGGCCTTGGACCGTAGCTCATTCACGTATAGCCCGACCATTGCCATCCTGCGGACTGGGAGAATCCAGGAAGGGTCAAGATACGGATCATGAAGGATGGACGATTTTTCAATCCCATCGTCAAGAACAGTGGGTCTTAGGCCCTCTCGTGGGACTGATGCGGCAGGAACCCAGCTGTATCGCCAATTGGCATCCCAGATCCGACAACAAAACCCTGATTACGCATACGAGCCAAAGCCAAAGCGGGAACCAAAGGAGAAGAAGGAGACAAAGGTGACATCGACTCCAAAGCCCAAATCCAAGTCAAAGGCCACTGGCAATGCTCGCCCGCCACCCCCGAAACTTCCGTCTCGCGCCCCTCTCGCTCCGCAACCCTTTCCAGACCTCGAATCGCGCTTACCACTGCATTCTCCCGTGCATTCGACTGGCGTCGCGGTATCTGCCGTGAAGCGAGACCTGGAGAATGAAAAGGAGAATAAAAAGAAGGGGATAACGGCTGAGGAAGGCGGAAAGGAGAAGGCACCGAAAATGAAGCGGGTCGTTGTCAGGGGACCGAAGAGGTAGCGAGATGATTTGCATGCCATCGGGCAGATGCCCGGACCATTCTCAGAGATTTCTTCTACAGCTCTAATTTCTCGGTTCCATTGACGATATCCTCGTCAGTCGCTGCTGCCGCAAGAATCCTCCTCCACCTCTTGGCAATCTGCTCGCCTTGAGCAGCACTGACTCCACAACCATCTCTGAAACCTACGGTAGCACGAACACCTCCCTTCCATCCGACCAAGTTGATGATGAACGGTGCTGGACAGATGTTCATACTCTGTCCCCACAAGAAATCATCTACGCCACGGATGTCGTTCAGCCACGGAAGTCGCGTCAAGTTGCTGAAGACCATGCTGAATTTGTAAAATCTCTCCGATTGCATGATTTCCTGCATTCTCTTCCAAGAGGACTCTGGGCTGAATTCAGGCTGTTCCGTCGCTATTGCTGGAGGATCTGCCATCGCTGGAGATGTTCCGTCCTCAATGTTTTCTGCCTCGTCCTTTGTCTCTGCAGGCGCAGGCGCAGGCGGTGGAGGAGGTGCGTTGCTCTCGTCGAGCGCCGCTTTGATGCCATCGGCAACTTCTTTGGCGACTTCCCACAGGATCTTTTCGTGTGGTTTTGGTGAGGTGACAGGGAAGACAGCAGTGCTGTAACCGCTGAAAAAGAATGGATCTGTTGATTTGCGTGTCCCTATCGGTACGATGTATTGAAATCGCCTGTGGACATCTAGCTCTTCACTTAAAGCTTGGAGGAAACTAGCGAGCAGGACAGGGTTGAGGGTGGGGATCTGGTGAGATTTCGCGTTTCGAGAGATGGCCATGACGTCGTCTGCCGGAAGATCAAGTTCTTCAAAGATCTGTGGGTGATCTAGACTTATCAAATGACCGTAATCTTCCGGTGCATGCGGCCATATGGGAGCCTCGGTCGTCTCTGGTTGTGGTCTTGGTGTCCAAGGTTCGTACGGTTTCTCAGGGATGACTTTGCTAGGGATCTCCAGGTTTTTCACAAAATGACCCAGATCCGTTTCATCTGGCAGTCCATCAAAGTTTGGAGTAAGGAGGATTCGAACCAAGTTGACCATGCCTAATCCATCTAGAAACTTGTGAGACATTGTAAAGCTCAGATAGACCGTATCGGCCGCGGTCATACGCTGGATCATCCACAGAGGACGAGAGACGAGCGACTCCTTTTCAGCGATTTCCAAAGCGATCTGCCAAGCTTCGAGTGTGCTCGATGGAACGTCTGGGAGCTCAGTATAGACATCGTCGAGAGCCCATGGTTTCTCTCGTAGTTTCCAATGGATCGAACTCCACACTCCTTCGTGGCCCGAAGGTCTAGGGAGGTTGACAAATTCCAGTCGGAGATCCGGGTACCGCTTCTGGGCTTGTGACAAGTGATCAGCGAGCCATTCCCTAGACGGGGCGAGATCCTTTCGGAAGGCAACTGTTGTGGACACATAATGAGGCCACCCGTTGATATGTTCAAGGTAGTGGGTAGATGTTGCGGTGCCGACGGCTGATCCATTTGTCAGATGAAGGATCTTTTTGGTAGCTCACTCGAGATGTGTTCGCGGGAATTGGATGACATAGTGAGCGACACGAATTTGATGTAGGTCTCAAGATTTAGAAGGGCCTCGCCGTGCAGCAAGATCTATCTATCTACTAGACATTCCGAAACTTTCTTCGAGCTTTGATAGAGATAATCCAAGTATAAAAGAGAACTATAATTAGACTGCCCGCCTACGCGGCCTTGCTATCCAAGTTGATCTTCCGATGGAACGATACCGGGAGTGTCACATCAACATGGCATGATCCTGTAACTCGCTGAGCAAGCGTATGAGATAGCAAGTTAGACTTCAAACAGAGCACTTGTCATACACATGTCTTACCGTCAAATGCAAGCTCCAAACTTCTTGATCCACACACTGCTAGTGTCAGATTCCCATCCAGCAATCAGTGACTAACCTGGAGACCCCGCGTTCCAGATGCCGTAATAGGCTCTTCGATGGGATTCTCGATGACGATTATGATCGCAAAGTAGTTGCGATCGTTTTTATGGATTGATGGACTTTTTGGTGCTACATCGACGTGAACATCTGCTCTTCCACTTTTATATCAGCAGAGCTATCTCCCATCCCCCTAAACGTCCTGGATCAAGGATCACTCAATCATCAGCCAAACTGAACATCTTCAACGCCACCAGGCGACTCTCCACCATGTCATCTGCACCCGAATGGATCGAGCTGTTGAAGAAGCACGTCGACAAGAAGGATCAGCACACGACAGGTGAGCAGGTGGAAAGAGAAGCAAGTGTAATAACCTCGTACAGTCTATGCCTTCTCTACCCTTTCTCCTGAGGGTAAACCTCGAGTGCGTCACTGCATTCATCGGGACAGTGAGTTCGTCTTCGAGCTCCTCGTCACTCACGGAGTTACAGTCACCCCCTCCAACTTGCTCCTGACGACTACCGATACGCGGATGCAGAAACCACTTCAGCTTGGAGAACATCACCAAGTTGAGATCGCTTGGTGGATGGAGCCTCCAGCCGTTCAATTCCGGCTTCGTGGCCAAGCATTCACTCTCCCAGCCGACCAGAATCAAGTCAGCAAAGCGCTCAAAGAGCTGGGTGTACAAGGTGAAGAAGCCGACGCGAAATGGTGGGAAGAGAAACGGAAATCAATCTGGGCAAATGATATGAGCGGACACCTCAGAGGGAGCTTCGGAAGACCACCTCCTGGAAAACCGTTGAGCGAGATCAAGGAGAAACCCGAAGACTGGCCAGAGAGATTAGATGCCGAATCGGACGATCCCGAGCAACAGAAACTCATCGACAACGCGTTGTCTCACTTCGCATTGATCGCATTCAAGGTCGAATGGGCCGAGTACCTCGAACTCAAGCCGAGTCCGAACCGCCGTACTCAGTGGACGAAAAAATCGGATGGGTCATGGGACAAGGTCAGCGTGGCGCCATAGGTGCATGCACAACTAGATTGACTATGCATGTAAATAACTTCACGACGTACAAGACAACTTCTGATCCAAATACAAAGCAAGAAATACCCAGACTATCACTCAATCATCTTCGTCGTCTCCCAACTCAAAAACTTCCCCAGCTACCAGTCTACCGTACTTGACCTGAGGGCGCGGTGCAGGGGCAGGCATCTCACCGGATCGAAGCAGACTCCTCTCTTCATCAGTTCCTGTGAAACTCGGCGTCCGCCCTACTTCGGGCATGGGGAACGCCAATCCCATTATCCTCCATAATATGATCCAGCTTGCCATCCAGGCGATACTGATTGTGACAGAGGCAATGACACACAGAATCTCAGTCCGAGTTTTCGGCAAGTCGAGAGGTGAGTCCAGTGATGTGGCGGGGTTCATACAGGGTCGATTAGGAGTCGGAGGAAACAGGGTGTAGATAATGGCAGATACTAGGAGTCAGCGAAGCATGATGACGTGCACCTACGCGGCCATAGGAGGAACAAAGCACCAGCGGACCCTACTTCCATTGCGCGATCGTGCCGAAGGATCCATGCGTCATCATTGGACTTTTCTCGTCGCTGCCTATAATGTATGGCCAAGCTGTTTCCTTCAGCGATGGGCTGCTCTGCCCACTCCACTCACAAGCTGGCGGAAAAGACAGTCGTCAATATGCCTACCGAGAGGATGAAACCCGTTACGACGACTGGAGTGTCAGCACGAAAGAATCCATATGAGACTTACCGTATCTTGTCACAATCATGGTCCATACTGTCCCTAACGCTACGCCGACACCTCCGAGCAATAGCGGCAGATACAGCATGACCCGTCCGTCTGCAAACTTGTCCTTCTTTGCTACTGGAATTTCCGCGTAAGGATTTGACGGTCGATCTGTCAGTGTCGCACCGTAGTTTGGCGCTGAAGGTTTGATACGGGGTGACGGCGGTGGCGAGGCAAGAGCCAGATCCCACATGACGAAGATGCCCACAGATTCTGGGTCTTGAGCCTCTTCTGAACTATCATCGACACTTGGTGACAAGGAGAAGAGGTATGTCGGAGCGGTGACGGTGGTGAGTATGACCAACAGTAGAGCAAGACATGAGACCGAGATGAAATGTAAAAGAGCCAATTCGAACGTCAACAGAGGGCAAGTCGGTAGATCCACTTCAGATACGGAGAGCGAGCACATTCCTCGTCGAAGAATAAAGGCACAGAACGCCATGGTGGCCGCTATTTCGTCAGCTCCAGGCGTGATCCTTCTGGCTCACAGGTCCAACAGACCCATAGCATGGTGATCAGGGAAAATTCTATCCGATCCAAGTATATTCGCCATGGCCTCGGTAGCGATAGACTGAGACCACGCCTAGCGGACGTCAGCAGGAGATCTCAGCTTTGCTTAAAGTCTCACAAGATACCGACTCCACCTATACCAACAGACGCAAGGATGACGGTCAATCCTCTGATATCGCCCTGTGCCCCACTATACATTCTCTCGCCTGCCAACATCTTGTCAGTCAAAGGCTTGTATGCAAATTCCCGTTCAACTCACCTCCACCGATGGCGGGAGCCGAGCTTGCCAAGGCGATCGAGCTGAGTACCACCACTAGAATCTGGAGTGCCCATCTTGATTGTCCCGTCGTGAAGAGCGTAGGGGTCATGTTCTGGGCTTTCCAGTACCGTTGCCGGCCCCCCTCGTCGTGTATGAATGACGGAGAGAGCATTTGACCATCTGCGCAGCCCAATAGCGGCAAATGCGTTAATGAACGAAGGAGTCACACTTCTGACCCGGGTCGGGCCGATAATAACGGTGGCGGGGAAAGCCAGAGTGGGGCAAGCTGGCAGTCACATCGAGGTACAATTATTGGGGTTTTTGCGAGCCGAGTTCTGGGAGCTGGACACGCTCAACAACCCTGCACTTAGCTGCAAAGGACGGACCAAGATACCGTATGCCTGGATCTAACCCTCAATACCCCACCAGAAGAGAGCTGCATCGTCTGATCACACGAGGCGGCGTGCGGCTGATCCGGTCGCCGGCACTGAACTACATTCATATCGGAAGAAAGGCTGGGGGGCTATGACACGAGCTATATCGCCCCTAGGTACTGCTCAGGCTCATGATGCTGGATAGTCGGATCCAAGAAAGTCACCTGTAGATGGTAGGCCGAATAGATTACCTCATTGACGGCGCCACAATCATTTTCGCATGAATCTGAACAACACGTCCTCTGCAGGGCCTGTGAGGAGTTGTGCGTTATCCCGTCAGGATTATAAGTAGCCCAAGTTCCCTTGATCCCTGTCCTCAGCCTTCCCGACAATGAATACGGGCCTCCGTGAAGGGATCACCTTCCACAGCCCCCAGCCACAAGCCCAAAGCCAAACCCGAAAATTTGCTTCCGTTGCACCTCTACAAAAGTTGGAAAGACAAAGATTTCGATCTTTTCGAAATCACGCTTGGTAAGAGCTCACGATCAACTTATCACGACCTCGAAGGCTTGCCTCATTGGACCTCGGACGGCAGGGTCCTGATACGACACCTACCAAACGACTAGTCTCATGTTCTCCTGATCTTGAATGACCTAAGAACGACCGGTTGGCTCTCGATCACCATGGGGTCCACCCAGCCGAATGATCAAGTCCTGGTCGAGGCGACCCAATCACAGGCCGAAACGGAAACTCAGACACGTCCTTCTCACGTCAGCATGTCTTCAATAGACCTCACGGCAGATGAGAATTCAGGGGACGATGAGCCTCGTGTCAATGGATCAATCAATGCGCATGCCTCGAGCTCAAAGCACAGATCGCCACCGCCTCGGACTGCTGTAGCTGCTGCTGCTACGGAAATCAATGGCAGACTTGACAACGAGATACAGTTCACAGGTGTCAAGCATTCGACCTCACCAGTAGCTTCCAAGATGACTATGCCTAATGGCGGATCCTCAGGATACCAAGCTGGCTCGTCACAGTCTGCCGGAATGAGCGCTTCATCAGCTATAGACATCACATCTCGACCTTCCCCACCTCCTGCTCAACCTACCTACAGCGATAAGAAACCTATATGTATCGGTGCGATTCATTCTAGAGCCATCATGCTCTACCCGTCTCAAGCTGCGATCGTGGGTAGCTCTCCACCGCCTGGTTCTCGCGAGAAATTCCATCTGGTCAATTACCTTGGAGCTGAATTGCTCAAAGTCAAACTCAAGGTGAGGCTGATGTCATCTTTCAAACGCTCACATTCAAGCTTCGCATACCTGGTCAGGATCCTCGTCCGAGTGATATTTGGCCACCTGTTAGCTACCCAACTCTGCAGATCATGACCCGTGAGTCCGCCTTTGATTCAGGATGCCTGACAATGCAGCCGGTATGTCAAGCTATATCGGAGATCTCGACCCTCATCTTGCCGAGCAACTCATCCCGCTTGTCTCGCGTGGCCTCTTGCGTCTTGAAGGATTCATCCAGCGAGTCTTTGCCGATGGACACCTCTTCCAGATCCGCATCAACGTCCTCTTGTTCACCCTCAGCTCAAATATAACCTTTATCGCCAATTCCCTAATCGCCAACAACATTTACCTTTTAGACCCCATTCCACCTTATGACCCCGCACGACACAACGAACAGCCTGAATATCATAACGCACACGGCGGAGGAGATCACGCCATGCAGCTCATGATAGCTGCGCAGAGAAAGACTATGCCAGGATTTGAAATGACCCTCGGTCAATTGGACAAGACCAAGCAGGTGGAAGTTCAACGTCGACAGGTCGATGAAGTCTTCAAGAGCTTGGAGACTGGCGGTACAGAGGGGGAACTGGAAGAGTGTGATCCGGGTGGGTCGGTTGCGAGGGAGCTTTGTGCTTATGACAGGTCCATTCATCAAAACCTCGCTCTACCCCCATCAACGCAAAGCCTTGACTTTCTTGCTACAGCGAGAGCAGGACTGGTCGGCCCTCAAACGAGCCAGGAAGTACTTTGCGAAAGTGCAGGCAAAGCGGTCCAAGAAGAACAAGGACGCCATCATTGACGAGGACGAGGAGGAACAAAAGGGCAAGGTCAAAGATCGGAACAGATCTCTGTGGGAAAGCAAGTCGGAAGACTCAAAAGGGCGAGTCTTGGTCTGGAAGAATAGGGTGACTGGTCAGGAACTGCGCACCAAGAAGGGCGAGAGACCGAAAGAAGGCAAAGGTGCTATTCTCGCAGATGACGTGAGTGTCGGAATGTCGACTCGCGGCTGATTGACCAGATGGGTCTCGGCAAAACATTGTCCGTCGTATCTCTCATCTCGTCCACTCGACACTCCGCGGCCAAATGGGCCAGGAGCAAACTGGAGTCCGTGGAAGAGCCAGCGGCATCTCCACCTAAGGATGGGCTTTCCTCCTCAGTCATGCGGACCAAGGTTTTTGGGATGCCTGAAAATTCGGACGACGACTCTCGGCCGATTGCAGATTTCAAAGGCAAAAAACGGAAGCGAGACGAGCCGGCGAGCTCAGAATGCGGGACGACCCGGAGGTCTCGTCTCGTCCGTAGATCCAAGGCGACACTGCTAGTCTGTCCAATGTCGACCATCACCAACTGGGAAGAGCAAATCAGGGATCACTGGAATGGCAAAGTGGAGATTATTGGAGGCGCAGCTGGGACTATGCCACCGAAAGAGGTGACAAAGAAGTGGAAGCCGCCAAAGAGGGACGGAGAGTCATCAGACGAGGACGAGGACTTTGACACGCTCAAGGTCTACATCTATCACGGCGCTTCGAGACGTGCCGACCCGGATTTCATCGGCGACTTTGATATTGTTGTCACGAGCTACAACACCTTGGCTTTAGAATACACCCGACAGCGAAGTGGCGATGCGACACCAGCGTCTCCGAGCGATACTGCTCCGAACAGTGATGACGATTTACCGAAGGGTGATACTTCGCTTAATGGGAGGCCGACAAAGCCAGAGGTCGAAGCTGAAATCAAAGCTGCCGAAGTTGCGGATGCTCTTCTACGCAAGAAACGCAAGGGCAAAGGCACGGCAAAGGCAACTTTCGAGACGAGTCCTCTGCAGGCCATTGACTGGTTCAGAGTCGTGCTAGATGAGGCGCAGTGAGTATGCCAAAAGTACAATTTTTTTTTGTGCTGATCCATCTAGCTACATCAAGAGCGACAAGACAATTGCTTCTCAGGCTTCATGCGACCTCCAAGCCGATAGGCGAATAGCTCTGACTGGAACACCAATCCAAAACAAGATCGAAGATGTCCAGGCGCTATTCAAATTCTTACGGCTAAGTCCAGTGGATGAGAAGGAGGTGTTCAACAAGTACATTGCCGGGCCATGCAAATTCGGTGAACAAATAGGCGTCGCCAGACTACAACTGGTCATGCGTTGCTGCACGTTACGACGCACGAAAGATTCGACCACGGATGGGAAGAAGATTCTCAACCTGCCAAGTCGCAAAGAGATTCAACTCTGGCTCGATCTGAGTGAAGAGGAGCGCAGAGCGTACGACGATCGCGCTTCAAAAGCCAAGGAGAAGCTCGAAGATCTCAAAGCCAAGAATCTTTTATCGAAGAACATTGGCAATGTGTTGCAGGATGTCCTGCGCCTCCGACAGATATGTGATCACGTCGATTTGGCGATGCAGGGAGCGGTGGAAGAAGATTACGATGGCACCATCATGGATTATGAAGTGGCCTGCAAGGGTATCAAGCAGCATGGATTGAGCCAAACTCGCGCGGTGGCAGTCGTTTGCTTTCTGAAGAATGGCGATGGGGCGTCTTGCACGTCTTGTGGCCATGACTATGGCGACTACTTTCCGTCGATCGAATTGTTGGAAATGGAGGAAGATCAAAAGGAGAAACAAAGGAAGAAGATGCCGGTCAAGCTTTTATTGACCAAGTGCTTGCATCTTTTCTGTGAGTCCTAGCTTGATGATTATCGCTGACTCAATCAGGTCCGAGTTGCTTCAAGGAGGGTGTGTACCCAGACTGGTCAGCAAGAATGAAGGAGCACGCTGGTCGACCTTGCACCTGTGGCAACATATTACGACTACCTTCCGACGTAGTGGAAGTCCTTCAACCAGGTGTCGAGGAGAATGCTGGCGCGGCTGATCAAGGACCTAAACGGGCTCGGAAAAAGTACATTCGCGCCCCTGGCGAGCCGCTTGTCCTGTCGACCAAGATGAAGTTCCTTCATGACGAGCTGATGAGCTTTTCTCGCCGAAATCCCAATTCCCCGCATTACAATCCGTTCGAACTCGATGCCGATACGATGGAAGAAGTTGACAAGGATGGCAAACCATTTGTGACCAAGAGCGTGATCTTCTCGCAGTGGACGACCATGTTGGACAGGATCGGCGATATGCTTGACGAGATCGACATCAAGTATGCCCGACTGGACGGTACAATGTCTCGAGAGGACCGAGCCAAGGCCATTGAAGATCTGAAACACAAGAAACGGGTCGAAGTGTTGCTGGTTTCTACTCGAGCTGGAGGTGTCGGACTCAATTTGACGGCGGCCTCGCGATGTTATCTCGTGGACCCATATTGGAATCCATCGGTAGAATCTCAAGCTATCGATCGGATACATCGTATGGGTCAGACGAGGCCCGTGACGGCCATCAAGCTCATGATCAACGACTCGATCGAACAGCGGTTGGACAAGATTCAAAGGAAAAAGGCGCAGTTAGCTGACGTTTCCCTGAACAATCTCTCCCGAAAGGAGTTGATGGAGAAGAGGGTGAGTAGGCTGACTACGCGTTCATTCATGCTGACATTCCACAGGCGGAGGAGCTTTCCCAGCTGTTCAGTTAAAATGACCTATGGATACATCTTTATCATTACACATGTAGCCTGTAGATGCATCATTATAGCTTGGATCTGATCGCCCAATCATCCATCAACCCATCGTCAAGTACAGCCTGTCGTAAAGGTCCCGTTCCATTCCTGATCTCCCACTCTATCCTCTCGAGCATACTCGCTTGACCTGGTGCATGGACTTTGAACGCAGGCTGGGTATCGTATCCGATCATAGCGGCTCGAATGAGAATGGCACTGGATTTATGAGCTTTGTGCGTCATTACAGATATGGGAGGGGGGAACCTTACGATGTGAGTCCGAACACTGGCTTGATGCCATCGGCCTCTCGACCTGTCAAGAATCTGTGCATTCTGACGATTCCTGGACCCCATCTGACATCACGATAACCATAGTATCTGCCTTCTTTGCCTCCGACTTCGCCAGCATCTACCGAGGATCAGAGAGAGACTGTAACATACACACCTCCATCCGCTCACCGTCTGCGTACTCGACGATCGGTGGAGGTGAGTAAAACGGGCCTGGATCCACTCTGGAAGAGATGCCAAAGTGCCAACCGGGTATGCGAGATGGATGATCATGAAGAAACGCAGATAGAGGCATGGAGAACAAGTAGGATACTTCTGAAGGGTTCAAAACGGGGTTGATGGCGTTATCCGTCACTAGGAGAACGACACTGGTCTCTCGCTTGTCAGCCAACTCGGGAGGTGCAACGGCAACGGCAGTGGATGGCATAGACGTACGGCGTGACGATGAGTCCTATGCCGGTAAGAAATGGATCCAACAAGCAGAGACACCTTACTCGCTCGTAACCTATAGGCAGGCCGATCTAAAAGACGTTAGATGGTCATTCCTAAAGAGACACACATACCTCCTCGAACGCCTCGCGGCGCTTAGTCTATCAGCTGAAGACCGGCTTCTTTTCCAAAGAAGAGCTCAGCTCACCGCTGTGGCTTCTTCGTCCTTATCTCCAGGTTCGTACTTACCACCGGGAAGCGCCGTATCCTTTGCAAAAGTCCTCATCGCCTCGGCCCGGCTACACAGGTCGTCATGTCAAAAAGGCCATTTCGGCTTTCATGGCTAGTCATTGAATCCTGGGTCAGACTCACGTCGAGAGCAAGACGTAGAGATCCCCTAACCTCCCAATGAACAGGATAATGGCCACTGCTGCCGTTCGATTCTTTGGGAAACGACGTGTCTCTTTGACTCGCTCATATTCCATGAATCGATGGATGCATCTAGGCGAGGGTCAGTGAGTGGATGCAGTGTGCAAGCACGGCTTACTGTAGTGACTCAGGCTTCAGAGGAAGCAAGAGCGATTCTATCGGTTGAGGATTTCTCGACATTGTCTTCCATGAGGAGAGTCCCTCATTAGGACTGTTCGTTCAAGCCCAATTAATCAAAGGGAGGTGAGTGAGTGTACAATGTCAACTTCTCAGTTCGGGCATCTCGATGATCTTCACCTGCGCGTTTCAAAATATAGTACTACACTCTGTTTTGCATCCTAAATGCCCGGTACAAGTTGCCCTAATAATGCTACAAATAGTGCTACTCCTCGTCCTCGTCATCACTGTGAACCGCCCTCTCCGGTCTGATAGCGAGCTGAGTCTGACCTTGACTTCCTTCGCCTCCCATCTGAGCATCAACCGCCCCGCTTTCCACTGCCAATCGTCTAAAAGCGCCGTCTGGTCGAGAGAGTAATTCTTGCGGTTCTCCCATCTCAACAATGTTACCCTGTTCCATGACGATAATCTTGTCATAGTCGATAATGGTGCTAATTCGGTGCGCAATGGTCAAGACGGTCGCTTGGTCGAACGCCGAGCGAATGGTTTCCTGAATCGCAGCGTCTGTTCTCGCGTCAATCGAGGAAGTAGCCTCATCCAACGCCAGGATCGGTCTACGTCGAAGGATTGCTCGAGCCAGCGCCAAGAGCTGTCGTTGACCTCGCGAAAATGATCCACCATCGCCAGCCATCACTTCGTCCAACTTTCCTTCAAGCGTCTCGACGTGAGATTTGAGTTGAGCTTGATCCAATGCCTCCCAAATGGCTGCATCAGAGTGTAGACCCTCGGGATCAAGGTTGGCTCGAAGACTCAATTCGAGAATCAGTGGATCTGTCCCACAAGTCAGCTTTACTTTCTTACGCCATCTCTTCACATACCCTGTGGAATGATGGACATGGCTGACCGGTACGTCTGGAGAGGAATTTGACGAATGTCGATACCGTCGACGAATATGCCGCCCTTGGCAGCTTCGTGATCCATCATCCGCCACAATACGCTCAAAAGTGTACTCTTGCCTGATCCACTTCGACCACAGATACCGACTCGCTGACCAGGCTTCACATAGAAGGAGACGTCTCTGACGGCCGGCTCCAGCTCTGGAGCATACCTTGCAGAGACATTGTTGAACCGGATGGCTCCTCGTTTCAGCCAATCAGGATTCGTAGCATCTTCAGACATGACAATCTTTTCCTGTGGAGGAAGCTCGATGTACTCTTGAATCCGCTCGATGGATGTGATTGACATTTCGACATTGGTCCATTCCACAATGAGAAGCATGAAATCCAAGTTGAGTCCAGCTGCTTCAGACATGGCAAGGGCCAAGATACCAGCGGAGACAGAGTGGCGATTGATGACGGCAATGACGACCAAGAGCGTGTTGACGACAAGTACGCACAAGTTGAGGGCGAGCTCTAGCCATTTTCGGATGGCCATCAAGAGCCAGGCTGGGTGCTGAGAGGCGGTACACCTTTCTGTCATCATTCTCAAGCACATCTCTTGAGCCTTCATGGCTCGGATGGTCCGGAGACCATCCGCATCAATGGTTTCAGAGAACAAGGTGTAGATGGGAGACTTTGATGTGAGGTCGAGACGTCGTAGTTCCCTGCCTCCTCGGACGTAGAACCTTTGGATGAAGCACATGAAGATCGCTGTTCCGACTAGGACAGCCGCCATGATAGGTCCCGCAACTGTAATGATAATAAAACTCCCCATGATTTTGGTAGCGATGAACATGAAATTGACCGCATGATTGGGAAGAACGAGATCGGTGAGATTGAGATCCGTGTTGAATCGGTTGACCATCTCTCCAATGGGACGAGAGTCAAAGTAGCTGAGCGATGTCGAAAGCAACCCTTTGATCTGCCATGCGTGAAGTCGGAAACTGGCGATAGGGTGGGCATATAGAAAGCAGAACATGATGGCAGTCGAAAAGCAGATAAGGTAGCCGACCTGCATACCGGCGTATCCACCGAGGAACGCTGCATATTTGGAGCGCGGGGCATCCTGCAGGCTCTGTGTCCAAGCCTGCAGATAGACATTGATGCAGGTGTACACGGCGGTGCTTGCGACGACCATTCCGACCCCTGAGATGGATGAGTGTTTGCGACTTTATGACGTGACTCACAGAATCCAGAGTAGACGTAACCCATGCCTTTGAGGTACAAGAGGTAGGTGGACCAATTGACAGCTCCTCTGGCACCTTCTCGCTTCTCGACCTTTTCTGGGTCCTGTTCTTGAGATTCGGCGGGCTCAGTCAGATCATCGAGCTGGGCAATCTCTTGGCCGACGATTTCATCAGGTTGATCCTTCTTGCCAGCGGCGAATTCCTTGACGAGCTGGGAGATCATGCCGTCCTCCTTTGCAAGTAGACTCTTGTAATCACCCTGCTCGATGATTTCTCCCTCTTGCAGGACTGTAAGATGCGACGCGTTGGAGAATCGATAGACTTGGTTGGTGGCAAGAATGACAGATTTGCCTCGCAGGAGACCGTTGGGGCCAAAGAGCTCGTTGAACACCCTAGCTTCAGTCTCTGCGTCGAGTGCCGAGAAGACGTCATCTAGGATCAAAGTCTGGAATCGACCATAGACAGCTCGAGCAAGAGCAACTCTGCGATATGGTATCAGCTCCATCCCCGGCTGACAAGACTCACCTTTGTTTCTGCCCTCCACTGAGCGCACTGACTGGTACTGTGTCTCCACCTTTGATGATCGCCAGATCGACATCCAGGGCCACAGCCTTGATGACTCTACTGTACCATTTGGCGTCGTACGGATGCATAAAGGTAATGTTTTGTCGGATCGAGTTGTTGACAGTGAGCCAAGGGTCTTGGGTGCAGTATCCAGCGGCACAGAGCTGCACATTGGACGTGCCGCCTATCAAATCCAGTTCGCCCAGTATGGCCTGGAGGAAAGTGGACTTTCCACAACCAACTTTGCCGACAATCATCCAAAGTGAAGGGTCCACTTGGTGGACGTTGAGATTTTTCAAAATGGTCGCTTTGTCCTTGATACCGAAAGACGCGTTGTGGAATTCGACCCGACACTGGCTCTCCTTTTCGGACAGGTCCTTTTCTGGTTCTTCCATCATCGGCTCTTGTCTCTCCTCCAGCATGAGGAAAGTTTCGATTCGCTTCAAGCTGGCATAGGCACTGACCATGGAGCTGAGTTGCTGTCCTAGCATCAACAAGGGTTCGGAAATGATGCTTATGGTGGAGACGACTGTGAAGATCTTTGCGGTATTGACATTATTGGCGTTCGAGGTGTAGATGGAAACCACCGTGAAGGTGATGATCGTGATAAGATTCAAGAAGCCTCCGAGCCAATTTGTCATGATGGAGACTTTCAGAATCTCTCGGATCCAGTATTTCAACTTATCGATCTCGTCCTTTCGCATGTCGACGGCGGTCTTGATGACCTGGAATTCATAGGCAGACATCTTGACGGCTTTGATGTGACGCAGAACCGAGGCGGTGAATTTGACTCGGGCATCAGTTGCAGCACCATACGCCTCTGTCAAGTAGTCAGCCTGGACCGTTGGAGGGCGACTCACTCCTGCCTGCGGAGATGTCTTTGGTCAAGACTGGAAGGAGAGCAAAGAAGACGATCGAACCAATCACCGTCGATAGCTGAAAAGGTCAGTCCTCGCTTGCAGGCTGGTTGGACTCACGAAAGATAGTCCCAATTGGGTCCAAATAATGTACATTGCAAAGCCAGTCATCAGGATAGCTGTCCAGAACTGATGGATCGAGACGCAGGTCTGAGTGATCATGGTGACATCGACGCTCATCAAGTTGCTGGCCTTGGCTGCGCCCATTTCTCTCGCCGCATCGACCTTGATAACGAGACTCTTCCGGTACAACGCCTCCATGAGCGCACCACGAAGTGCGGTGGCGCAGCGTTGAGTGGCAATGTGAGCGAGGGCGAGCGAGATTGAGTAAACCAGGTAGATGAGTGCGGCCGCCCCCACCAACGCCCATCCATCGCCGACGGCCTGAGGTTCGGGTGTGCTGTAGGATTCGACGAATAGCACTGTCTTGTTGAGCAACAGTGGCCTCGCCAAGGAGACAAGCGACGAGATGGCGTAGGGTAGGACGGGTGCAAGCCAGGCCATCATGAAAGCACGCAAGATAGTCCAGACCATTGGCTGTTTGGTCTTGCCTTGGGATGACCTGGCGAGATTTTTCTCCCATACCGGTCTAAAAGTTTCCCACGCGGGTAGAGAATGCAGGTTGGTGTCGATGGCACCTACGGTGTCCATCTCGAGAGGTTTCTTGAAGCCTCTGATCAAAACCGGAAAGACCCAGACGATAAGGTATCGGTTGAGGAGCCCGGCCGTAGCGGTTGGCGGTAGATCTGCGCCATTCTCTAACGAGCTCCTTGCGGAAAATTGCAAGGCCAAAAACAGGGCACAGTTGAGGGCCAGACAGACGCCGAGCTCGGTGGTCAAATCCAGATTCAAGATAGCGTAGGTCCTGATTCGGACAGCGATGAATAGGGCATTCACCAAAAGGTACAGCGCGGGGGGTTGTGAAGGTCTGTTACATCGAAAATGTTCCAGCGGAATGATCAACAACAGGGCCAGCTAATGCGGGGGTTCAGAAACTGTGAAATAGGTGAGGCAGACTCACCGATGCAAGAGTCTGGAAGCAGTTGGCCAAGAGTCCAGACCACTTGCCAGCGACGGGCGAGGTGAGTTCCCACCTGACCCACGTCGCAACATTGATGCCGAGAAAGCCGATGGAGAGTGCGACTCGGGAAATGAGCAGGAGACTGCCATGGAAGGGAACTTGATTGAGAGGTAAGAGTCTCCGTGGCTTCCGTACGAGTCGAGTGAATCGTGCGGATGCGAGGACGAGGAGGAACAAGGCCGGGATGAAGGCGAAGAAGCTGATCGTTTCCCGTGTCAGTGGGCCTTTACAGCATTCCTCACGGTACACTCACACATCACTGAACAGGAGGGTAAAGTCCAGTGGCCGACAATTGGCACCGGGTCCAATGGACCAATCGTTACTACAGAGTCGAGACATTGGGTCGTGTGTCTGCTACGACGAGGTGGACATTAAGAAAGAAGAAGAAGAGGTAGGCGACAGGCCCGACGCCTCGGCTTATCAGTGAACTCTCAAAATGGTTCAACACTGACGAGTCCCTTACTCGGTATGGTACGGGATTCAATTAATAATTACTGCTTTCTCGCTAAAACACTCCTTCCAGAAAATCAAATACGACACGCCAGCGCAATCGCTCCCCACTTCGGGTCCGAGGGAGATAGATGGGAGGGGAGGGCATTAGAATTTGATTAGACAATCTGGGTACATTGTCATTAGGAAATTCTGATCAGCGGATCTTCCATGTGAAATGTGTTGATGATGGTTCCAGAGAAGCCGATCAATCTCATATCAGCCCTTCGCCGGCGGACGTAGAACAATGCTGGAGAATACCAGCCGACACATTCTCACTCTGGGGCCACAGTCACCCATTTGAGATCCACTTCGGAGCATACTTGCCTCGGATCATGCAGGATGGGGGCATGTTGCATGTCAGGAATCACTCTGAAGGCAGAGTGAGTTCAAGGCAATGAAGGCGGGCCGAGCCGAAAGTCCGCACGTCGCGAAAATGAATGCATGTCTTTTATCCCTTCTTCTTGGGTTCCTCCTTGTTACGACGGACCCGGAATGACAAAGCTACGCGTAGGTTGGCATCGGGAGCACTTCCTGTCACCTCTTCTGCAATTTGCAGAGAAGGATGCAGGGTCCACATTCGAGTTGGTAGAATGTCCAGGTGGGACGGGCGAGATGCAGGTCAAGTTGAAGAATGGCGAGATTGACATCTGCGTCGGTGAGCGTCGAAGCACACCCAGTTTGGGAGTCACTGCTGATCTGTGGAAAAGCGTTGACGGATGCGTTGATCGCTGGGCTGGCTAACGGTCTGGACTCTTACAAGCTCGTGGGGAGATACATTGCGAGTCCGCTCAGATGGTGCGGGAACCTATGATTTGGTGATGGCTAATTCGTGCAGGGCAATCATCACTGGTAAAGAGAGCAAGTACAACTCGGTGGACGATCTCAAAGGTACAACATTTGGTATCTCGAGGCAGGGGAGGTGAGCCGTCCTCTATGGTACCATCACCTAAGTGGCCAGTGGATCCCAGGTGATGGCGTCTGTCCTATCAATGAATCAAGGCTGGACAGCCGATCAACAGCCAAAATTCAAGAGTATGTCATCGGTCGGTCGAGCGGGCGAGCTGATAGCATAGTCAATGGGCAATTCAAGCCATTGAGGGATTCAGTCAACTCCGGAGAGAGTAGGTCGTATGGACCCTAAGCCCCGACTGAACCCCCATTTCAGCGTCGTGCTTTCTCTGGGAATGGTTCACCACAAAACCATACGTCGATAGTGGAGAGGTCCGATTCATCGGATCAGTGTACAGTGAGCAGGAGGATTGCCCCTTTCAGCCTGACGATACTCAAGCACCCTGGCCATGCTGGTCCATTGCTGCGGCTGAGAACAGCTCAACATCTTCCCTTTCATCCTTTTTATCCTCTCTTGAACCTTTCGTCACGCATTTCAACTCGCCTAAAGCGAGAGAAAAGGACGACGTCGATTTCGTGGTCGATTATTTCAATCATCAGCGTGAAGACGTCATCGAATGGTTGGCAAGCGTCAAGTGGGAGGAAGGTCTCGCGCAGGTCGAGGAGAAGGTCATCAGGGATACATTGGAGTGGGTCTCCCCCGGGAGAGCTCGATACTGATCCTCTAAATAGTACTCTGGAGAAAGCCGGTGTAGTTAAACGCCCAGAAGCAGGCTGGGACATGTCGACGTTTGTCAATGCTGACGTTTGCAAAGTGCATTAGCCGGATACTCGATGACAACAATGATAATGCTATTATACAGTGTCTCTGTGTGGGTGTGTGGGTGAATACTGATGGAAGTCCCGAATCGCGCATCATCACGATGACCTGATCCACTGAGCCAGCTCTGGCAGATCGTCACCTCCTAACCAATCCGCTCCACCTCGACTGATCATCATCCACAGTCTCTTCCTTATACCCTGTGTCATTCTCGCTGTACCCCACCAACGGGACTTGATGCCTCGCCGTCTAGCTTCGTCGGTGTAGCCCCTAAGCCACTTTTCGATGAAACTCCATGGAGGCAACTCCATCCCGAGATGATACATGGCGGGGAATTTCGCACTGGCCATCGGAGAGATATCGGGGGTCCATTGGAACGTCACCTCATCACGAGCCGAAGACGCAGGAATCGTCACTGGTTCTTCCAAATTCATCAACGGAGCGTCGTAGAAGATGTCCCTGTGGGGAGCATGGTAGATCTCGGACAACGGTGCATTACCCGTTCCAACGACGATGAGTGGACCCGCTGACCATCGCTTGGATTCAACGTGATATGTCGTCAAGAATCCAGCTGTGCGGAGTGGCTCAAGCGCAGAAACGAGGTACGGCCACATGGCTTCTCCGTGGGATTTCTGATGCGCCCCGTCAGGGGCCGAACAACCTTGCAGGTCAGAAAGGGCAAACTCACAAAGTCGATGACTAACTGGACTTGCGCTCTCGGTCTAGACTCGTACAGTCCGGTCCATTGACCTGCCGATACGTTCTTCCCTTCATTTCGCTCGTTCAACGTCGTCAACAATGGATTCAGATATGTGTGCGCCAGGGATCGTTCGTTCAGGTCGGACTCTCGATGACCAACCACAAGTTGGTACGTGGAATCCTGTCCAGGAAGTGGGAGCTGAGACAGTGTCCGTTTGACGTTGGCTTCGTCCATGTGAGCCTCGCTATGATCCGACTGCCCAGTCGCAAGCCACACATCGATTTCTATCGAGCTGAAACCAAGGGACAGAGCCAATGCCTGTCGGGGTCAGAGGTATCAGGTATGAATCAGACATACCAGGGCATTCTCCCCTTGCATCTCGTCGTTATGACTGTACGCCATGATCGGCAGTACGGGATAACCTAGAAATCGGTCTCAGAGAGCGCTCAATCTCCGCTAGGGCGAGCCCTATGGGCCTTCTTCTACTCACCTTCTAAATCATTGGCTGTCAGACTGTCAAGCCCATTATTGCATATCATGGGATTCCAAAGTAGCCATTCGCATCCCCACATGCGCTCCACGCACCAGACGTAGTATAAGAGAAGAAGGGCGATAATTGTGATTTCACTTTTATGAGATAATGCACGACCCTTGATACTCTCCTCTCGTTGAATGTCCTCAAGATCTTTCTCTGAGAGGGAGGTGTGATCGGCGGGGTACAACGATTCAGACACTGTCATGTTCCTCGATCTATAGAGCGGTAGTGACTTGTCGCTTGGGTGCTGTCGTTCCATGTCCACTGGTTGATACTGGGTCAGTCTTGTCGAGGTGATAGAAGTCCGGACGCTCATTTTCTCATCTTGTCATACATATTGCAATACGACCATTCTGATCAACGTTGTGTCATTTAGCACTTGCGACAAACTCGAGGTTTGCGTACGCCGAAAAAACGCCGTTTGCGATGCATGATAACCCACATGGACACTCTACTCTGAGCCCTCTTATATTCACGTACGCACCGTCTCCAGCCGCCGCCACATTTAGGGAACGACTCCCCGGACCAAGACTCACTCCGACCTCTTCTAGTCGACGCAGATGCGTCCGCTTGCAACTGGCATACTGCTGGACCCCTCGCGTATACGAGCGCGCGACTCAAGGCGATGCTGCCTCAATTGAGAGAATATGGTCCCGATGGCGTCAGCTAGTTCAGAAACCCAACCGACACACCAAAAGTCAGGTACCGTGAAGGTCAAAGAGCGAAGGGTAGCTTGTCTCAAGGTACCACGAGGCGATGCGCATCTTTTTGGGTGGCGCTTTCGTTTCGTAAAATGGGATTTCTCCCGGGACACTACTGTTGCTCTCCCGCCCTTAGTCAGTCCTTGAACACGTTGTATATATCCGGGAGGGCTCTGGATTCCCACGTAGATCAGATAATTTATTCTGAGCTCGCCAAGAGAGTCATTGAGTCCAGATGAATCGCACGAAGCGATGCCGTGGCTTGGGGGATGCCTCAGGCAACGCCCGTGAACGAGTGTGGCAGCTTGTTATTCAAATCATTCTCTGCCTCCGATCTCGCCGAGTCCGTCGACAGTTTCCAGGGTGTACCCGGGCATGCCAGTTACTACACCTATGCCGAATGCCACTAGCCCTCCGCAATGTTCAGAAGAGGCGGTTTTGTAATCAGCTCCAAGCTCACAGCATGAGGCCAAAAAGCGTCTCATCGACTCTGTCTACCAAGCTTCCGCCTCTTCGATATGGTAGAATACAGATCGACCGAAATCGCGGTGAGTCGTAGAGGATGGATGACCGAGAACGCCAGGTCAAGTCTCTGCCTCGTCTACAGCAGAAGCACATGTCTACGATGCCATACGCCTACGTCTCGAGAGGCTCACCGATCAAGTACGTCTGGTCAAAAGTTCTGCACGTGCGCATCGATTCACCGATCCGACATCCCGCCATCGGAGCAGCTCTTCTTTTTCGCATCACCCTTCCGACCTCTATGTCTGATATCTCCGACTACAGCGAACTCGCTTCACCAACTGCATGCATAACATTGATCTGGAAGCAACCTTGCTGCTCAAAATCAGAAACTCCCATCTTTGCGGCGACATCCGCCTCTTTTTGTACCAAACGTGTAGCGGTGCCACTGTTGCGACACGCGACTTTTTGTGTCTCGCAGCGTTCAGCTTGACCTAATAATAAGACGTTGCATCAACGGAGGTTCTAACGAGAGTGACGAACAACGAGCTCTCACGATCATTCAAGGACACTTTGGGAGGCATTCTTGTCGGAACCCCGGTCACAGATTAGGCGCCTACTTCCACATGAAGGTCTAGCCATCCCTCGCCCATCCTTCCTTCCTTCCTTCCTTCCTTCCTGCACAGCACGGGTTCGCCTCCTTGTTACAGGTCGATCAGCTCCAAGGTCGACTTGTATCATCCTCAATCCGCTTGTAGGGCTCAGAGCACACACACTTTCAAGGTATCATGGCTCCGACTATGCCCACAGGGCTAATCGACCCTAAATTCTGTTGCTGTGGTGAGTCGAAATAGACGATATGTTCGAACAAAGTCGTAACAGGCTCTGACGTGCTGTGTTACAGCCGTACCACTCGTCAATGCTGGTATACACGCCATTATCATGGAGCAGGCTGTGAGCATACTGTGGAATGATGTGCGACGGGAGACTGACATAGTTACAGGTGCTGGGTGTCGCGATCGGTGTCACCGCATTGACATCACCAAATGGTGCGTTGGCCAAGTGTTCACGTCTGAAGCATAGCGCTTAAAGCTGATACGGGGTCTCAAAAGCCGTCGGAGTGGTCGTGCCAAACTTTGCAAAGGTCATCTTTGCGATACTTTGTCTTGTGGTGACTTTGATCCAGCCAGTGGGGTTCATCGGCGTCTTGAGAGTGAGTCGTCGATGGGTGCGTAGCTCGGTATCTGACGCTCTGCCCTAAGGAAAAAACAACAACGTTCAAGGTATATGCTTGGACGAATTTCGTTGCAGTTCTCTCCGCTTTCATTTGCGCCGCTGCTCTTATTGCTGTCTCAGCAGTGAGACACGAGGAAGCCATCGTGACCTGTCAGGTAGGCTCGGATTGGCGTGACATTGTTTAACACCTGCACAGACCGAATTCTTCACGCCCAGCAACTCTACAGCCTCTGGTATCGGCCAAGATGCCATCAATTCAGCTCAAAACAGTACATTGGCAGAACAGGGGGAAATTCTCTGTTCGCCATTCGCTTGGGCCGACATTGGGATCATGGGAGGTCTTTGGGTGTTGCTGCTTCTCACACAGCTGTACTTCATTTTGTGAGTTGCCGCCAATAGACGTCGCTGACAAGGACTCCAGCTACACCTACTCGTACTCCAAATCCCAAGTCAAAGACCACAAACTCTATCACTCGGTCTACTCTGAAAATCCAGAAGCATTCACCATGTCTATCCTCCGTTCGAGCAGGTATAATCTCGGCTCAGTGTATAGTACAACGACGCGGGCGGTGCAAGATGATGCGTGGGATGCTCGACCAAGCATGGACTCGCCAGGTATGGCCGGAGTGCAACCTGGAAGCTATCATGATCGATCCCAGAGTGGTGGCTACTACGATCCGGCGGAGGAAGAATTGGCAAATTACCATGGACATCCTGATCAAGGCCAATACTATGATCAGGGGTCTTACGGGAATGGGTATCCACCACACCAGCAGATGCCACAGGCTGGACCGAGCGCAAGTGCAGGGTATGGTGGAGGTTACCCACCGCAGAATGGTACCATGGCATTCCCTGATCCTCACCATAATGAGGACCCCCATCAACAAGCTGCGCCAGCGTACGGTGGTGGTGGCGGCGGGGCCGGCCAAGCGTATCATGAATCATCACATGACGGTTACGACTTTAGTCGGACGCCACCAAGAGGTGGAGAAGGCGACTACTACCCTCACGAGCCGGAGGAAGCGAGGAGTCGAGATCCCAGTGCGACACCGACGATGACGGGATACACCCACGGTCAGACTCCAGGTGTCTATGGGGGTGATGGAGGGTTACAGAGACCTCTAGGTGTTCAGAATCATCCTGGTAAGTGGTTGTGTCGCGCCCGCGAGTCGCGAGCTGAATTCTCGTTCACAGCTGAGGGCATGTTTGGTAGAAAATCACCACGGATAGGGTGATCCGTGGCGATAGTGGTTCGTTCTCTCGTCATTGCAGAAAGAAAAGCGTCACGAAATTTTACTCTACTTTACGATCTTGCACACACTTGAGGAGGAAATCCTGAGAACCTGAGAGCATGTATCATTTCCTTTTTGCACTCGGGTCTACGCGTCCAGACCCGTCGTGAAGAGAACGAGAGTATATGCATGTGTGCATTCAATCAGGAACTGTGGGTTGAATTCTGGCTAAAAGAATGACGGGGTTTCCGCCTTTGGGGAACGCCACGCCACGTGGCATGTCGTAGATAAGGAAAAAAGGGAAGAAAAAGGTCCGTGGCGGCCTTATCAGTCGAAAGCGATTGCTTATCTCTGTCTAGAAGTTGCGGGGATTTGGGGGGCGAAGGGGGGGAAAGAGAGAGAAGGGGGGGCGGCAGAGATAGTACTGTAACGCACTCACTCACTGCCTATACTCACGCTCACACGCTTCGATCGACCAATAAGAAATCCGACACGAAAGAAGGGGGAAGGGTGGTCACGACATCGGGTCATTCCAGAGAGATAGATAATTCCGAGATTACACTTGGTTGGGAGGGAGGGTGACTTCTTTTCTCTTGGCCTTGACTTGAGTCTTGTTCCGCTTAAATAACACACACACACTCTCTCCCCCTCGGGGTGACATATCTCCCTTTCTCCGAACAAACTCATCTGCTCCCACTCTCGCTTCTACCACACTCACACACACTCTCACTCACGATGGGATACGGAGCCCACGACCTCAATTTCACCTCGCCATCGAGTGACTTGACGACTGTCTATGAGGGTGAAGAATATGTGAGTCTGCGTCGCCTGAAGACACGGGGGAAGCCAACGCGTCTTGCATTTGCGCGGCGCCCCTTATCGCGACGGTTGAGTACTGACGCCACGCCCCTCGACAGGTCTACAACCTCGGTGATATCGCCTGGGGTGAGTTGTCTCGCTCGCGTTAAACCCCCACGACAATTAGCTGACTCGGGGTCCTTGCAGTGCTCGCCAGTATGGCACTCGTGTGGATCATGATTCCTGGTGTCGGATTTGTGAGTGGCTTTCGTTGGCACATGTGCCTAAAAAACCCCAATGTCTGACTCGGGTGACAGTTCTACTCTGGCCTGCTTCGTCGTAAAAACGCCCTGTCCATGCTTTTCCTCTCCATGGCTGGTACAGCTGTCGGGTCCTTTCATTGGTGGTTCTGGGGTTACTCCTTGGCATTCGTGAGATTCGCTCCTTTGCACACCATGTCAATAAATGGCTGACAACAACGCTCAGAGTGACACTGCTGGTCCGTAAGTAGAGCGCCATCAGGTATCTATACCACAAACCTGACTTTCTGATCCAGATTCATCGGAAACTTGAAGTACTTTGCCCTCAACAATGCTGTCTCTCAACCATCAGTGGGATCATCCCGAATCCCGACACTCGTTTTTGTCATCTACCAGTGCATGTTCGCCGTCATCACTGGTGTGCTCGCCATCGGAGGATTTGCCGAACGATCCAAGATCGGACCGGTCATGGTCTTCCTCTTTGTCTGGTTGACGCTTGTGTACTGCCCCATCGCTTGCTGGACCTGGAACTTCAACGGTTGGGTATACAAGATGGGAGGTCTCGACTTTGCAGGTGGTACGCCCGTCCACATTTCCTCTGGTACCGCTGCGCTTGCCATCTCCGTGTACCTCGGCAAACGACGTGGATACGGTACTGAACGATTGGCATACAAGCCCCACAACACATCGTATGTCATTCTTGGCACCGTCTTCCTCTGGTTCGGATGGTTCGGTTTCAACGGAGGTTCCGCCTTGTCTGCCAACATTCGAGCTGCTTCGGCTTGCGTCGTGACCAACCTCGCTGCCTCCGTCGCTGGTTTGACCTGGATGCTCTGGGATTACAGGCTCGAGCGAAAATGGTCCGCTGTCGGATTCTGTTCGGGTGCCATCTCTGGATTGGTCGGTATCACCCCTGCTTCCGGTTACGTTGGATCTCCAGCTGCTATTGCCATTGGTGTCGTTGCTGGAACTGGATGCAACTTTGCCACCAAGCTCAAGTTCTTGATCAATGTCGATGACACGCTCGATATCTTTGCATCTCACGGTATCGGAGGAATGATCGGAGATCTCATGACTGGTCTCTTTGCCCAGGCTTCCATTGCCTACCTGGATGGTGCGAGTGAGATTTCCGGAGGATGGCTCGACCGACACTACGTGAGTTTGTGAACAATGAATGAGAGTAGACCGCCGGCATCCAGCTGACCGAAGTCCTTCCCCAGATCCAACTTGGATACCAATGTGCCGATGCCGTTACTGGTTTCACTTGGTCCTTTGTCGTCACCACCATCATTCTCTGGGTCATGCACTTCATCCCGGGTCTTAGGTTAAGAGCTTCCGAAGAGGCCGAGATTGTCGGGATCGACGATGCGTATTTGGGTGAATTCGCCTACGACTATGGTGAGTGGCTCGTGCTACATATCTCGGTCTCAGTAGCTCATAAGTACTCCCATCTTTAGTCGGCATTGATCCGGAGCTTCGACTGCACCGCATCGAGTCCAAACCTCGTATCCTGTCTGGTGATGTTCTCCCCGACATTTCCGGTACATCCACTGCTCCACCGAGTGAGAAGAACGCCGAAGGACTCCCAAGATCAAGCGTCGCTCCTGTCGACAGTGATGTAGAGGATCACATGCGACCCGGCGGTGGTCGTGTAGATGTGTAGAACTGTGTCTGTTGTTAGGTGGTGGAGGGGTTTAATCTTGTACATCCGTTTTCTTTCGTTTTGAAAAAAACTACCCCTCGCCTTCTCTTATTATTAGTCTGTCGAGTTGTGAAGCAAGCCAGCGAGTGACCAGGTTTTGCTTGTAGATAGATATTATACAGCTATGAGTCGTTAGACGAAATGACTCTTAATAGTATGCAAGAGATCGATGTTTGACGATCGATTAGACCGATGAGCAAGCATTGGAGGATGATGTGCGAACACGCCATTAACGTGCACCATCTACTTTTCGGCAACGGATAAATAACATTCCAACGTCCTACTACCTCGTTCGAGCCTTTGATACATCCTTCATCCATCACCATGACCTCTGGATCCCATCCGACATCACCGATACTGAATCGGACCGATTCAGATGGTTCTTCCTCCCACGGTCTTCACGCCCTCAAGGATAAATTCACAAGGGCATTATCACCCAACAGGGAACCGTTCCGACGAGCTGGGTCCTATGATTCGGCCGCCGGGAGCAATAGTCTAAGAAGTGAGCGATGATTCATGCTGCTTCCAGTGGGAGATCTTGTCTCTTGATTCGAGTGGATCGTCCCAGCCTGCTATGCCCACCCAAAAATGCTCCGGCCCAATGGGATAGCGAGTGTGATTAAAAAATCAGCCAAGCAAAAAAAGAAGCTGCTGTTCATCAGGATGATAACAGGTCGCATGCTTATCTTGTCATGTCGAGACATTTGCAAAAAGACAACCACCTCGTAAAGAGAGATAAGACTCCCCCTCAGTTCACTCTCTTGGAGAGATTATTTGGACCAATCAGGTGAAAGGGGCCTTTGATCTTTCCTTTTGGGCGAAAAATCAACAATCTCGCGTCATTTTCAGAGAGTCAGTCCTCCCAAGAGGGTGGTGTGTAACCAACCTGTGAATATTTTGTCCGTTGGGGGACGGTAGCGATAGACCAGAGTCGGACATTCGTTTTCATCATCAGCCCGTCACAGCTTGTTCACTTGCCAATCGCCATTCTGTTGACACCCCTCGCTGACATTTGCCCCGCTAGAAACCATGGAGGAGGGTCGAGGACGACAGCCATTGGTACGTCTTGGCGTGTGGTGGGGTTCCAATCCGATCTGATTCATATGACAGGTCTCCACTGGACGTGGTGGAGCAGGCAATCTGTTGAGATCCCCCAGTCGAGGTGTCGATCCAGAGGTCCGTGTTGGAGATGAACGAGGAAGAGAAGTCCGAAGGGACATGTCTGTCGAGCGGGTGAGGCCGATCTCGAGCGATCAGTTATAGGCGTCGTTCCGCTGAACAACCCCGCCCTCTACAGGTGATTCACTCGGGTCGTGGAGGGGCAGGTAACATTCGATCCCCATCTCGAGATACTCGTGACAGGGGTACCGAAGACAGAGAAGATGCGCTTCAAGCTCGATTGATCGCGGAAGAAAGGGGACGTGCGCATGGAGGTATATCGACTGGAAGGGGAGGCGTCGGCAACATTGCTGGAAGGGACAAGTCTCGTTCGAGGTCCGCTGTGAGGGATGTCGCGGACACGGACTCGACGACGCCGGGACGAAAGGGCGGCGCATCAGAAGTTCATGCGAGTGGAAGAGGCGGTTGGGGCAACATCAATGAGGAGAGGGATTCGTTGGACGAAGAAAAGGTGAGGCCGAAGGAAGAGACTGTTGACGTATGGTGACTCGTGCTGATTGGGATATTTCACAGCTCGCGGCGCAGGAGAAGCACGATGCTGAGATCAGAAGCAAGCACCAAGCGGATGAGGTGGGCAAGCGGTGAGATTTGAAACCGCTTGCAAGTTTACAACAGGAACTGACGCTCGTCATTCAGCATTGCGAGTGGTCGTGGAGGAGGCGGAAACATCTCGGCCGCTTCCCCTCGCCCGTCAGATCAGACCAAGGAGCAACAGGAGGAGCAAGCAGCTCACGCAAAAGTCCACGCGCAAGATAAACTGCGGGGCGTCAACACGGGACGAGGGTGGGTCCTGAGAATTGTCCATATCTTCTCACGCGATGTGAGCTGACCGACGTGTCGCACCAGTGGCGCTGGCAACATTCATCGTGAGGCCAATGGCGATCATGAACGAGGTCGTAATAAGGTCAATGGAGGTGGAGGTGGTGGAGGCAGTGTGCTCGGAAATGTCTTCCGGAGTCTGTCTCGAGCAGCTCGAGGTGATCGTGGAAATGAGCGCAGCTCGGAGAGGGCAAAAGATTGAGTAAACTGAGCTAAATGGATTGCGATGTGTTCTAGATTGTATTCTGAGGGGTCCCCTTTGGCGATTGTAATGAGTCTGATGGGTTGCGTGCGCACGCACGGGGAATGTATAGCTTCACTCTTGAGCGCCGAGTAGGCACCTCGTCAGGCAGGCAGTGAACCAGCCAGACTATTCGCCTCAGGTTCCAACTGCCTGCCATATATCTGTCACTTCGTTAATGTCATGCATGAATGAACAGACGGAAATCGTCTATGAGGGCCCAAATGTCTTCATGGTGGTGATTGAATCGTGTCGTCTGAGAGACAGCTCTGGTCGTCTACATCCAGCTCGGCGTGAACCCAGGCCTTGCTTCTAATGGCCGTTCCTTACTTTCATCTTGTCCTGCCCAGTTGGGTCGAATCCCGATTTCCTCATCTAGGTCACAAAATGATACACTTTTTCTTCTTCTGCCTTGATCCTAGTCCACCGCCGGACCCACCACCTCCACCGCCATTCCGATCATAGCCCCCCTTGGCGATTTTGATCTGTCTCACGAGACTTTTGAAAGCCTGCTCAACGTTGGAATTGCTCTTGGCAGACGTTTCAAAGAAATCCGCTCCCATTCGTGTCGCCAATGCCTTTCCATCCTCTGTCGAGACTTCTCTCGATTGATACAGATCTTTCTTGTTCCCAATAATGACCATTGGAACGCGATGACGGGGTGTCATGGGTTGTGCGCCGTAAGGATGGTGATGTGAATGGTATGGACTGTGAGGGGATGTAGGGGTAGATGCGGCCGCTTCGTCCTTGACGCGGAGGATTCGTTCAATGATCCGGTCGATGCGATCAAAGGTCTGACGAGAGCAAATGGAGTAGACGATGAGAAAGCCTTCGCCATCCCTAGTGAAAAGACGCCCAGAGTCAGCTGGGGGAAAGCCATGCGTGAGAGAGGTTGATTGCTCACCGTATCCACTGATCACGCAACGCTGTGTATTCCTCTGGAAAACAACTGTCAATGGAGAGTTGTATGTAAATTTGAGTGAACAGCATCCTCACCCTGCCCAGCTGTATCTAAAACCTCCAGTAGACACGGTTGATCATCCACCACCCATTGCTTTCGATAACAATCCTCGATAGTAGGGTCATATGTCTCGACGAAAGAAGACATGGTGAACTGCATCCCAAAGGCGTCAGGAGAATTCCATGCCAAATATCTTTGTGGACCGACCTGAACAGTGATTGCCGTCTTTCCAACGCCTCCATCGCCTAGCACGCTGACTTTGAACAACATCCGTGGAGCCGGCTAAGGATATCCCGTCAGCTTGAGTCAGATGGAGCGTCAGAGGTCAAGACATTCCATGATGATTCACCATGACTTGGAGTGATCGCTCGATCCCAGAAGGACCGAAGGAAAAAGGGGATCAGAGGTTCAAGTGGAGGGGGACTGATTCGAGCTCTCTCTCGGATCGCTTTCCATAAGCTTCGTCGGGAGGGATAGAAGCGTTGTGGCGATGATCAATCCCTCTTCAAAAAACAGACGAGATGGTCCTGATCCCGGCGGATCGGTAAATGCGTCGTCGTCGCGAACCGTGTCTCCCGTACCAGGTGGATGTTATTATACGATCCGCAGCCGGGCGCTTCACAGTACTCCCCTGCCTCTTGGTCCGTTTGTTCGCGAACGAATCAATGCTTCCGATCTTTGACAAAGTCCCCAAGTGTACGAGTAGTGTGTAAAAGGTCTTAAAGAGATGGATTGGATTGGAATTTTTCGGCACTTGGATCGTTTGGCAACTCTAATAAGCTATAGGACAACCAACGCTCAATCCTGGGTGGAGGGTCGCGTGCGGTATTGGATAGACCAACAAGAGTGGACAGTCCAGGGCATGCATCTATACTGCCTGTGAACTACGAAAACCGATGAATCCCGCATGGTTCGGATCATCACAGTCCTATGCTTGTGGCCTGCTTTCCAGAAAAGGTCTGCTTGGTCGTCTACCTCAAAGGGAGCGCGAGCAGGGAATCGCTTGGCACTGAATCGGGTTTGAGAGCAAGGTGAATGGGTGGTCCTTGAATCTCGGAGCACAGAGACATGGGAGACCGTAACTCTAGCTACATGTTCTGGAATCTCTGCCTGTCAATCGTCCCTACCATGTCGTGAACAAACCTCATACATCATCAAGAACGATGATCACACGGCCAGGGGACCCATGATAATGAAAAAAGGACAATCTAAATAGATTTCCGAATCGCGAGTCTCGTCGTCGTCATCGTAAGCCTGTCGATGGGCGAATCTCAAAGCAGTATGCTTGATTCGCTGACATCAGGCCACACATGAATCCGACAATGCACCTTTCGGCATTCCTAAAACTCGACAGATACAACCAGAACCCGCCCCCTGCCACCACCGTGATCACCCCGAACCGAAGATCCAACCAAATCGACCAGACGCGCTAGGCGCCGGTTCATGCTGTTCATTCTGTACAGCAGGCTCGGCCCTATGCTCAAGTCAGCGCAGCTTGACACAGCCTCTGAGTTCACTCACGGCGTGTCAGACATGGCTGCAATGGCTCGATTGACCAGTTCCTCTGGCAAGTTCGCAGGAAGCCCATCTGCGTGCCGTGTCAGCGCGCCCCCCCGTTTGCAGAAATGTGGAACCAAACTTACTCGCATACATGTTAGGATCCAACGGCGCATAGCCAGGAGGCGGCGGGGATTGTCTCGTACTCGCTTGCGCACCCGGTCGAGCAGTCGCGTCACTCTCGCCACTTCCACTGCCATTGCCTCCCTCTTCTTGCCCTTCGTCCTCCAGTTCCTCCTCTTCATCCTCATCCGAGTCCGTATTGTCTGTCCGATTTCGAAGGTGCTGTTCAAAGTACTGGCCCGAAGGAAGATGTAACGAGTGCATGGAGATGTCGAGAAGATTGGGGGTAGGCGGATTAGGCTCCATAGCGGACGATTCAGAGTCTGAGCGAACGTAGCGGCCTCTTCTTCTCGACTGGTCGGATGCCTCTTCTTCAGACATCAAGCTTTCAAGTGCGTCCGCAGCGGGCGGTCGAGGACCCAGTGAAGGGGTATCGGTCGGAGAGACGTAGTTTGAGCTCTCGACGATCGCATTGCGTCCTAGCGCACGACGTCGAGATCCAGCCGTTGTGGGTCCTGGTCCAGGCGCCGCGCGAGAAGCTTGCTCGCGTAATGGACTGGACACTGCGGGCAGAGATCCAGGAAGCGCTTGAGATCGTCCAGCGGTCCGGTGACGCCGGGACGAATTGGTCGATCGAGGTGTCTGAGGTCCTCCATTTCGATCACCTCCGGTAGAGGTCGACTCTGCCGAATTGTTACTGAGTCGCCGAGCTCGGGCAGCCTCAAGCAGAGCATTCATCCCTGCCACGCCATTCCCGGCATTTGGTGTCCCGTAGCCTGCGTCAAGGAGAATGCTGCCGCGTTCACTGCCATAAGCAGGTGGTGGCGCCAATGTCCCCACCATGGGTGCCAGGCCCCACTTTTTGACCTGGGCCTCGATGAACACGAAACCGGCCTGACCAAGGTTCACATGAATCGTACATGGGCCATTGGCACCTATGGTCGGGAACAGATTGTACTTTTGAAGACCGGTGTATGCGTCGTCCAACTTGCGTCCGTTCCGAGTGAAGAAGACTGTACCGGTTCGAGGTCGATAGCCTACTCCGAGAACATCACCTTCTGCCAATGGTTGACCGTGTGACGCTGCTGTGAACGGATAGTTGTGAGATTTGAACCCATCCGAGGCAAAGTACGCCACAGAGCATCGATTCCAACCAGGCAATCTGAACGAGGGGTACGGCTTGGTGGCCAGACCGATGGCGACCTCGGTGGCCGGTGGTTTCTCATACATTTTGACCTCGAAATAGTAGACCTCGTTGAGCTTGGGCAGTGGTAAGTTGGCCATGACCGAATTGCCGCCCCCTTCACGGGCCGCCATGCCAGGACCGTCGGATAGAAATGTGATCTCCGTCCGAGACTGCACGTAAAGAGACAAGTTGTCTTCATAGTCTGGTTCAAAGGCCCAGGCTGAGACGCCTTTCTCCTGTATCGATAGAAACTGGGAGAGGGTGATGTCGGTCGGGGACGATGCGGGAGTGTACTGCTCTTGCCATTCTGGGAAAGGGTGAGCGTTGCGAAAAAAAGTGGCACTGTGCGCTCACCTTTTGCACGCTTGTATCCTTCCCGCACATCGGGCTCTACATTCTCGAGCCAACGAGCCTCGACGCCCTCTGTTCCGCCCTCTCCCATGACACCGTCAGACTTGGACAGGTCCAGGGGACCCCCATCTTCCACGAGCCTGACAGTCAGAGGGAGACCGACAGGGCCACTCACTTGATACCTCGACGTCTGCGCATAAACAACACAGCCACGAGGAAACATATCAGTCCGACCAAGACGGTCAAGACGACCACGAGCACGGGGATGAATATGAGAAGAATCGCCGACATGCTGTTATCTCTACTTGGATAATCAGGTTGGGCCAGGGCAACGGGTTCGGAAATGGGGCTATCGTCAAGGTTCTTGTTGCGACTCGACCAGCTGGTATCCGATGTGAGACGTAGATGTGCGTCCGAAGCGCCCGCTGAGCTCGTAGCCTTTTCGGGCGATATCAAAGGGGTCGACTCGGGTGACTGGGCAAGCAGTCGATGACTTGTCAACGGTGAGATGAGCTTGGTGAACCACTGAGCGGGAGGTCGTACTTGTTCGCGGAAGAGCGTAGAGGTACGGATTGCTCGATCTTGATATTCGTCCGTGACGAGCAATGTCGAAGTGTCCATGGGGTTGCAAGGTCGTTTCGTTGAGTACGTGTTCCCGACCTTGCTGTGCTGGCTGCGGTGGTGGGGGTATATGGAGAGATTGTTTCGGATTATGACAGAGTCTCAGAGAGGCATCAAGCAATCATAGATGAGGTAGGTTTTTGTCGTGGATGAGGAATCGGTGTGGCTTTGAATGCAATCTACAGTCCACATCAGTCATCATACAACAATTCACAACGACGATCGAGGCGAATGGGATGAAACATCCTTTCAGCCTTTTTGTATTCCGACACTTACTGACGAGGATATCCTATTGGAGACAGCAGAGCTTACTAATAAGCTTGCCTCAAGAGTACAGCTGAGGTATGTCGGGGTGTGAACGAAGACACAACTAATGTTCAACCAGTCTAGCGTGTGACCGCGAATCCCAGTGTGGAGTTGATCAGCAGACTTTGCGGCCTATGGTCGCGTTTCTGGGTGGGCTCCCTGGGCTCCAGTCCACTATTGATGTCTGTGTGTCTTTGAGATCACAGTGGATGTCCCGAAGATCGGATTGCTGGATGTGACGCGATCCCAAAAGAGAGCTAGACACGGTTGAGGAATAATAATGCATCAATGTGCTCTTCGGCGCCCCCGTTCCCGGAAACGGGTGGGAATGCCCATTTACTGAGAGCCTCGGTGGCAATGTGGCGGGGTCTACTTTTACATGCATTCAATGCTCATGGTCTTTGACGACCGTCATGTCCCCAGCTTCGCCATATACGCTCCACAGCACGTAGTTTTGTACCTCTAGAGAGCTGTGGATCTTCCACCAGCCTCAGGTCGTCCAAAAATGCCTGCGATGGTCAATATACGAACCGCTATCGAACTTACGTCCTGCGTGGCTCCCATACCCCGGGCCCAGGACCTCAAACCACTGACAGCTACGATGAGGAGCCCTCGATCCTGTACGGACATCTCTTCTCCTTTCTTTGGCGCAACGAGAAGAAGCCGTTCAATGTCTCTGCATCATTAGCGATTTCTCCCGCCACCCATAGCGCTCACCTGAGACCATAAAAGTAAGTCTTTCTCCGGCTCTTGCCTCGTTGTTCTCCTCGCCAGAAGCCTCGTAGCCAGCCGCCGACACCGTACAAAATCAGGACAGAAGGAGCGACACCGACAAAAGCGAATGTCAGCTGTTGAGAGCGTAAGAGGTGGTCGAGCGATAGCAGAGACAGGGACAGATCGGTCTGGGCCGTCAGCAAACTCTGTGAGAGAAATCTGGCCCACTTTGGTCTTTTGGACTTGGATCAAAAGGGTTCGGACGAGGTATCCGAGGAGGGCATTCTTGACAGGGCTCTGAAGTATGAGTTGGGTCGTACGATCGTATACCCACTTGTAGTTCCTTCTCATAGACTTTGAGCACCGCATCCATGTCCCCTTCCTTGACTTGACGACCGAGATTTTCCAACTCTGCACCTGACAGATGGTAGTAATCACGACCGAGGTCCATCACCATCCGCTCCAAGCTCTGGGTATCAGCAAGAACATCTCTGATTCAAACGTACAGCCTGATCCGATTTGACTGTTGTGGGAGCGACACCGAGACCTTCGCCACCTCCACGCAAGGTCTTGCCTATACCTTCCAGTGGTTCCCAGACCCAGGAAACGAAGAACCCTCTGATCGTCTCTTTCGCATTGCCAAGCTGTTGCCTCAGCCAAGGTCCATTGCGCCCGATGGTCGAGATAGTGAAGTAGAGCATAGGGGGAAGGAACAGAAGAGGGAACCATAATCGCGTCAATCGTCCAGGTCGAGCATGTTGTTCCAAGGCGGTTTTCACGTGTTCTTTGGACCGTGGGAGGTCCTTTTTCAACACATCCAGCAAGGTGTATGGCGCAACAGTCAGCCCAGGCCCAGAGCTATCGGATCTATCGGGGATCTCGAGCACATCTGCAATGACGCCAAAGATTCTTTCTGTCTCTTCCTCCAATTTCTCAGACGTCCATCTTGGCCCTCGTGTCGCCAGAATCCCTATGCGAGTTGCTACCAGATCCCTGGCTCGAGTGACGGCTTTGAAAGACCGCAAGACTTCCCTTCGTGTAAGTGTGTAAGGTGACAAGAGGGTGGAAATGGCCGCAGAAGGGGAGTGAGGGAACAGGGAGGATGTCTGCAGGGATGTGAAGGATCGAACGGAGAACGTGTCTTTCGGTGGAAGGGCTCGAAGCACTCTTTGAGGAAGGGCTGATGAGATTCAGCCGGTGGAGTTTGAGCTGCGAAAACTTACTCTGGACAAAATAGACACCGACACCCAACTGCGAATTCAGCACGTTCTCCCAGTACCGTCGCTCCGATTCTAATTCACGAGCGACTTCCATCAACTGATCCAGGACCTCTTTCCAGATCATCGTCACTGCCCTCGCGACGATCTCCTCCTGCATCACTTTGTCCACGCCTCTGACATTCTGAGCTCCTTTTGTGGAAGGTCGTTCTTCCACCAGCGTCTGAAGGACACTCTCTAATTTGTTCCGTATCGGCGGCTTTGTGGTGGACAGCTCGTGAAGAGCAGCGACAAGGGCAGAATTAGGTGCGGCAGAAGTGGAAAGCTGTGACGAGAGATTGATCGGCAAGGTCGAGATGGAAGCCAGCTGAAAGTCCAAGCTCTCTGACGCAAATGTCTGCGTCGGAGCTGAGAACCACATCCTTGGCGAGATGAGAGAACAGCAAGAAGGTCAAACTTCGAGACGTCATTTTTCGGACATCATGATGGTAATAAATGATTAAATTGCCGACAGTCACGGTCATTCATGTCGTCTACGTCCACTGCCGGCCCTTTGGATGCTCTATACTCCCAGCTTGCTCCATGACGAGCCCCAATTTCTGCCTCGCAGCCTCACTGTCACCTTTGATCCGGCCATCCCTTACGCCCTGACTGATCAGGGCGAAGAGCTTGTGTACTTGTGGGCGGCCCCATAGGCGGACAGCTTCGGCGCCGATAATGTCCATCCACATGGTGATCATGCTTGCCGTCGGTTCCAGTCCCCGAAGAGGATCTCGAAGGACGAGCGCTAGCCATGACCATGCTGCCGGTGCTCGGAAAGGCGGATTGATCAACGTACCAAGTTGCTCTGGGGTCGGTTGGGCAGGTAACGTCGGGATGATAGTGGCGATAGGAGTCTGGAGGATGGCAAAATACAACGTCGTGATACCCACCATCCTGGCGATATAGTCTGCCAGTGACTCGTCGACGCCTCTCCCTGTAGACTTTTCAAACTCTTCTCGAGGCTGGTCCTACCGAATCAGCGAAAGATCGCCAGCTGCATCCACTCACTTTCCGGCGTCCAGGATAATGAGGTACTACCCAAGGACACTTTTTCACCAGTCGAGCGAAGAAGATCTCTCCCAGGGCGGCGTGACCTCGAAGGAGGAGACCGATGACCACACGGGCGAGAGGAAACGCGGCTTCTGATTTGGCGGACACTTCAGATTCGGCCTGCTTGATCAATGCTTTGGATAGGTGAGAGAGCAGATATGAGTAGGATAGAGGTGCAGGGAGGTGGATGGCAGATGAGCAGGATGGTGGGGATTGCAATTGTTCGCAGAGAATTTTGTGAATATCGTTCGTCTACTCGTCAGCGATGGACCAAGCTCAATGACTTACGACGCGGACCACTCCTTCCTGAGTATTGACTACCTGTCCGAGACCTCTGGTCATCAACCTCATGCCTTGTCTCAGACTCGTCCTGAGATTCTTGTCACCCTTGACGGGCTCAATGACTTCCTTTTTCATCCACTGCTGCTTCTCGACCCAGAACTTCCAGTCTGAAAGGCTCTTGTGAGATTTTGCTCGAGCCTCTTCCTTCGCTGCTTTTTCCTCGTCCAAACGCTTCTGCTCAGCAGCTTTGGCCTCTTTCTCTGCTTGCTGCTTCGCTAGGTGTTCTTTCGCCAATCGCTCCGCCTCGTGTCGTCGAGCTAAGGCTGCTTTCTCCTCGGCTGCAACTCGCGCCGCTTCCTCCTCTTGCCTCTTGCGAGAGGCAGCGGCTGCAGCAGCGGCCACTTCAGCTTCCCTCCGTTCCACCTCGCGGATGGCGTTGTTGATGTCCTGCGCATTCTAAGCACAACAATGAGAGTAGATTCGACTCACGTCCCATAGCCGTTTTTGCCTCTCTTGGAACCTCCTCTGAGTCTCATCTTTGCCCTCCTTGTCCACCAAGGCGATACCCTGCATCATCCGGTCCATCTGCTCCTCGTTACGAGCTTGTCGACGGGCATGAGCCGATGAGATGTCTGTTCTGGCATTCGTCGCTATCTCTCTGAGTGATTGACGACGATCTCGAGCCATCTTTTGAGCGGATTGCTTTTCCCGTCAGATGAGAGCTGTCAAGGTAGACGACCTACAATGGCCAGTCGTTCGGTCGTCCTCAACCACTCGTCGTATCCTCCGCGTAATGATCCGTCCAGGTCCATAACGCTCGAACGCTTTTTCCACGCTCTACTCGACTCGGCTGGAAAGGCTGACGGCTCGCGAAAAGTATCGAAGTGCCTGCTCAAGTCAGCATGCCCCGAGGAGGGCCTTCAACGCACCCTGTCGCAGGTTTCTCATCCAGGCCCAGCGCGACTTCATCCTCGGAATCCGGTTCCTCAGGCTCCACCTCTGACTCTGAACTTTCGACATAAGTCTTGATCAGCTGTCCAAGGAGGGATCTCGGGCCTTTCGCCTCGCTACAATTCAGCGCAAGATAAAAGAAGAGTATCACTCACAGGCCAGGTTGATCTTGATCCTCCGATTCTGAGTCCGAGTAGGACTCTAGCGGCCCGTAGACATCTTCGTCCGAGTCTGGAGCGTTGAACCTCATCTTGAGATCACTCCCTCCTCCCCGAGTCTTTGCAGGCCGTCGCGTGTTTTGTAGCTAAACCTATGTGCTAGAGAGTGACACGAAATGTCTAAAGACAGAGTTCCAAAAATTGATTCCGTCATGACGATCGCGAGTTCGTCTAGATGGACAATCTTGCTGTACGCCTGTCAGGGACATCAGATCCCAACCCCCCGGACGTCAGATCTGATCTGGTTCAAGACCCCATTCGACCTCGAAGTATGGCGTCGAAGTGAGGTCGAGCCGACTCCAACATGGTGAGCGGATGGCGTGCCCCAGCGAGCTCGCCACTGATGTCTTCTTAGCCCCGCCCACGCCGGGCAGCTGCCCCGACTTCATTCATCGAGCCTGATATAGACATATCTGGCGAGCCCTTTGAAGCGGAACAAGGAGCGGATGCAGATTTTCTCGCTCTCTCATCCCGCCAGCGAACACTCATCGACCGGGCCTTCGAACGAGGATTGAAAGCAGCGGGAAAGAAACAGCGTCGTGAAGCGCTCAAGAGTAGAAAGCGAAAACGAAGAGAAACTGTAGTTGTCGATCTCACTGGAGATAGCGGTAATGAGCTTGCTGGAGGGTCCATTGAAGATGATGCAGGGATTGGTGAAGGAGGATTTGTGGATGCTGGAGATGATATTGGAGGGGGATTTGTCTCCCAAGACGGCGGCGGCTTTGTGAATGAGGATGATGGAGGATTTGTCGTCGACGACGACGAAGACGATGACATGAAAGGAGGCTTTGTCCAAGAACTCTCAAGAGCGGAGCCAGTCGGTCCGATCGATCGACTACCCCTCTACATCCTTCCTGGAATTCTGACGTCTCTGGGTCTGCCCGCGGATGAAGACGTCTTGGAAGTATTCAGATCTTCCGCATCGGGATGGGAAGAGGCCAATGCGCGGGAACGCAAGAATGCAGATGACAAGCAGGAAGGAGGTGGCGTGGAGCTGAAAGATTTTCGGGCCGTGTGCGCAGCTCTCATGGGTAATGAAGGTGATGGACAAAACGACGAGGATTTGCAAGGGGACGATGAGGAGGCCGATCAAGCTTTCGAAATCGAGTCGAGTTCCTCTTTGTCCACGCTATCCGACTCGGACGACGAATATGGACAGCCATCTGTGTCCTCCAAGGGCAAGGGCAAGGGCAAGGGCAAGGCGTCAGCTGGGCCTGGAGCGAGTCTTCGGAGAGGAAAGCAAAAGGCGAATATGGACCTGGAGGAGGATCAACCGATCAAGTTGACATCTGGTCAAAAGGAAATGGTCAAGTCACTCTGGGAGATGGTCAAGCCAAATGCGAGTGGAAGAGGGGCGAATATCCTGGGACGCGATGAGGTCAAAGATTTGGCCAGAGGGCTCAGTGAGATGTGGTCAGATGAGGAGGTGAGGGTGACATCGTTGCTCGTGAAACTGATGGTCCAGATCACCGAGATGGTCTCGTTGTTCTCGACGCAGCATGAGGGCAGAGGCTTGTCATACGACGACTTTGGCAAAGTCATGTACAGAGCTGGTCTCGTGTGATACCGACCAATGTTGGGCCGCAACCTTATACTCTATCATGCCAGGTCTCACCACTCTTCACTCGCTCGCCGGATTCAAGATTGCCCCATTCCAAAGGCAATGCCTTGAGTCCGGTCCTTTCCTCTGGCGACAATGCGCTTTCTTTGGCAAGTGCGAGTGGTAGCTCAGCGACGACCCGTTCGATGACCTGTTCCGAGGACAACTGTCCAGGTGCGAAGCGAGTAAATGACGGCGGCGTGCCATAAGCCAGTGTGGCTGTGTTGATGAGGCTAGAAAGGGTCATTCAGCGGACGATAGCTAGGTCACATACACGTCGGATGTGACTCCCTTGATTGGGGAGTGAGTTGTGCGGAAACGCTATCATCAGCATCAGTGACAATGGCGACACCCACATGCATCCGATAAGGACCCATCACCTGACTCGTCAGCTCGGATGTATCTCACTAGCTCACCCCCAAACGATTATCTTGTGACTGTTACGGGATCAGCATGTTGTTGTCGCCTCTTCCTCACATGCATGTCCTCTGGATGCGGCCACCACTCGCCGTCTTTCTCCGCTAGACTGGCAAACTCGTTTTCCGGCACGATACCAGAATGACAACTCTTCAGCCGATGAGAAAAGATGTGCCCAACTTCGCTCGGGCTCGGTACCAGCGAAGAGATGAGCCGTTGGTCGGAGATGAAGCATATCACCGCTGGACGATCAGCCTCGTTGTGCGATGAGCGACTTGCGTATGACGATGATGTGATTCCGGAGTGCGGCGTTGAGAGGCAGAATAGTTATCAGAGGGTCCAGGACTGTGAGGTGGTGGATATGAGGATGAGGTGGTAGAGGGAGTCCTACTTCCTCGTTCGCTTCTCTGTACTTGTGGAGAGTGAGACAGAGATTACTTGAGTCGCGCTCACCGCTGTGTGAACGGGTGAATGGTCCTCCTGATCCACCCTGCCACCTGGGAGAGCCTTGAGGAATCAGATGCCATCCTGAAATATCCTCACATACAGTCTGATTCGGATGTGTCCTTGCATCGCTGTCAACTTGGGCAGGGAGAGCTTGAACTCACCGCATAGTTTTTGCTCTGGTCGTAAGCAGGACTCGAAGCTCATCACAGCCTTCCGGCTGAAATAGAGCGACCAGGACAGCCGACTGCTTCACCATCCCACAGCTGGAGAGAGTGAGCATCGTAGGGCGCCTCGTCATGGCACAGAGCTCACTCACTCTCGTGTCGGCGAGGGCTCATGTGCCAATAATCGCGAGATACATTCTTTCGACTCGGCACTCAACTTGTCCCTCGCCCAAGGAGGTAGCACCTGACCAGGGAGCAACGGGTCGCTGAGTGGCTCATACTGCATATGGAGGGAGCTCATTCCTGGGATCCCGACTCAATATCTAATCTCAGAGGAATGGTCGAAATCTGAAACAAGTCGGAAGACGGATCGATTATCCGAATCTCAGCTTCATCATACACCATGTTCCCCAAAGGTGTGCGGGAATCATGCACATTCTAGCGACTGGGTCATGCCCACTTCTCAGCATCCGCCCCCAGCAAGGAACATTTCGAGCGACTTGTGGGCCTCGTCATCATCATCATCTTCGTCTTCGTCTTCAGACCAGTATACCTCGGATAGCGATGTCCTCCCGGGACCGGCGTCTAGGCCTAATCAAGCTGCCTCGAAACTGACTCGAGCTCCGCTGAGAAGTTCCAGACGATATAGCATCGATCGGACACCTCGATACTTGAAAAAGTCTCGGGCCTGTCTGCGGCATGCGCTGCTCTGTGTTTGGACAATCGGCAGGCTTGACCAGCAAAGAGAGCTCAAGGGGTCGCTCTCAAAGCGATCGACAACGGTACATCGACCGTGGACAGAGCTCTCAGACTGCACCGTTCAACTCCAGAATCATATCCGCGATTCTCGTGTGCTGCGAAATGAGCAACTCGTGAAATGCCTAGGTGGGTGCGGAGGGTTCGTCCGACCCCACTGACGACGCAGACATCTTCCTCGCCTCCTACTCGATCCATGTCAGTCCTTCCGCTCATGATCGCTCGTATATACGCGACCGCTTGACCAAGGCAGAAGCGAGAGCTGTGCCGGGTACACAGAGACATCTTGAGGAGCTTCAGGCGAAGGCGTCAAAGAGTGAACTCTCGGTGAGCCAATGTGTCAACTGTCCGGATCTGACAACGCAGAGCCATCATGTGGAGATTCTCGCACAATGTCCTCCTGGCATCCTCTTGACGCTTGTCGACTGTGCGCTGCCTCGGGATGCAGAAGGCGCAGAGATTCTGGTGTTCTCAGGCATCCCAGGATCTCAGCTCGAGGATTTAGACCTTATGGATCGCAGAATGTTGCACCTGTTCCACATATTTGGCATCGATCCGACACAGATTGACGAGGTCCGTCTTCAAGACTGTGGCGCTGCCCGTGAGTCTCATCCAAGTCGATCATCCTCATGGGGCCAGGTCTTCCGACGTGGATCCGGGGCATGGCAAACTTGAGCACCTTGCGTCTGGAGAGAACATTTTTAAAAGGACTTCCCATGTGGATACTTGAGATGGAGAAGCTCAGATGGATCTCCAGCGGATGCGTGTTCCCCTCCAGCAGCATCACCTTGAAAGGAACGATGGCATCGTTCAAAAGAGTCTGTCAGATACCACGCGATCTCTATGTGCCGGTCGTGACAAACGTTCCGAACATTCGAGGCCCAATGAGCCTCGCCAAGATGTCGACGATATCGGCCCTCAGGCAGTACGAAGACGATCTCGACTTTTGGGCCGTGGCTAGAGCTCTCCCGCCCAAGTTCAGTGCTGCCCTGCTCGAGTCTTGGCACTGCGAGCGATGTGACAAGATCTGCTTAGACGACGAGTGCGGAATGCTGTCATGTCAATTGCTAGTGAAGGCATTTGATAATTCTGAGGACAGGGGAATTTGGATCAAGTCGAGACTGTGCAGACTTTGTCGGGCCACTCTGATCGGCCAAGCTCATCATGAGAATCTGCTGGTAAAGCTTGGCATAATAGTAACCTCCCGATAAGCTCCTGGGGCTCGCAACGACGCTTTCTCATAAATCTGTAATGGCGACACCTTCGATCCCCAGCTCGGCGTACCATAGGGATGTCTCGGCACAGATGACCATGCGGTTGAGAGCAAACTGTAAACATCAGCCACGGTTTCAGCCAACTCGTTCACCTGAAAGTTGGCCACCGTTCCCCCGACAAAGATCTTGCCGATGAGTTTACCGGACGGATTGAAAACCTGGACACCATCGCCACAACCCGCATACAAGTTGCCTTTGGTGTCGCAGTGAATGCCGTCGGGCAATCCTGGACTGACGAATGCAAAAACGGATCGTTCGGACCAAGACCCGTCAGCGTTGACGCGGTATCGATAGATGGTCGTGGGCAGCGTAGGATCAGATGGGAATCGGTAACCTTGTGCGGCACCAGTATCTGCAATATAGGCCCATTTTCCGTCTGGTGAAAAGGTGATTCCTTAACGAGTTTCAGCAGGGTGTCGGACATCAGGAGACCGTACCGTTCGGCTTGTTAAATCCATCCGCGACGACTTGAATCAAGCCACTCCTTTCAACGTATCGGTACACTTGATTTGGGAGGTTTGGAGACGGTCGAAAGTGTTGGAGCCAGCCGTACGTGACATCTGTGAAATGTAGATCCTTTGTCACTGGGTGAACAGCCAAATCGTTGATAGAGTTGAATTGTCGACCGAAAAAGTTGTTTAGGAGAGCAGCAGAGGTCTCAGCGTCACTCAGACAAGCGCACACTCACTCGAGGTGTTGTACGGGGGCAGAGGGTTCAACATGACCACTTCAGATGCCTTGTCTTGGTTTTGGCCCTCGGCAGCAAAGACAATTTGGCCGCGGTAATTGGTTGCCCCTGATAGAGCTCAGCGGATGTCAGCATTGAGCTGCCTCACCGTTCGGGTTGATGATGGGGGGATCAGAGGCTACAGTCTCGACTTTGACGACGCCTGTATTGTTTTGGATCCCAGCAGAGGCCGCTTGAGCAGCTTGACTCAGTGAGATCTTTTGAACAATGGCGGATTTCTTCGCGCCGGTGCCTGCGTCTTTTGCACCTGCATTCTGGCAAAAGAAGACCTCGTCCGTTGGAGGATACCTAGGCACGAGTCAGCTGAGCTTGCAAGTCACACGTAGAGGGGGGAGGGGGGGGGGTTTACACCCACCAAACGACGGCTTCGTGATAAAGGGGATCGATGGGAGAATGAGCTATTCGCGTGAGAGTGGGCCTCGAGCCGATGATGGCGTAAAACTCGGGATCGTAGACGTGGAACGGACGAGCGAGAAGTGATTCGAAAGTGGATCCGGGAGGTACGAAGATCTTTTTGTCGAAATGTCAGCTCAAGACCCACTGTGTGAGGAGCACCTCACGTCTGATATGGAGTGCTCTGTGGGGGGAGAAACAACCGGCAACACTTTGCTATCTAGCAGGTTGATGACTTGCGAGTTGGCTGGATGGGTATTGAACGGAGAAGGTCCAGAGAGGTCCCGCTTGAATCCTAGTCGTGCTAGGAGAGGGAGCGCGTACGCCTCGATATACGTTGGAGAAGTGAGCAAGGCAAGGGCCTGTAAAGCTAGAAAGGCGAGAGAGTACAGGACAATCTTTGTGTATCCTCCTCCCGATTGGGTTCGCTGGCTCGAAGGCGAGAGCCGGGGTCTCTTGTGAGAGGGCGAGCTATGCTCGGGAGCATTGGTAGGTTTGGGAGGCATTATTATCGCGGGTCAAGGTCGAGAACAGGACGAAACATCCGCTTTGGAGAATGGACGATGGACTGCAAAAGTGGAGGTTCGAATGCATTTTTGTTGTTTCTCAACACGGTAGATACAGAATGATACTTCGCTCTTACTGTCCTTTCACATCATAAGCTACACGTCCCCCGATGAAGGAGAATCGATAGTTGGCCTGATACCAATTTCGGAATGATTTACGGGCAGCGATACAGGGTACAGTTGCGAATGATCCTCCGAGCTGGACAGGTCAGTCGGATCACGCCTCAGTTCTCAGACTCACCACGACAAAGTGCTTGCCATCGAAAAAGTCGGCCGAGTAGCCAGGATACAGGTCAGACGGTTGGAAGCCTTCGTGACCTGATAACTGAGTCGATGTCCATTCCCAAACACCTCCATTATGGCCATGCAGGACCTTGCCAGCATTGTCGGTGGATGTCATTGCGGGTCTACATCGTCAGCTGAGACCCAAGTACACAAGACTCACGGGATAGGGTGCCAGTGTTCGAATCCGACGTTTGCAAGGACCCCAGCGGGTCTGGGCCCTTCCTCGTGCTCCCACAACAACCTCAACTCGGGCTCTGTGGGCAATCTACCGCCTTTCCACTTTGCAAAGTCTTCAATCTCATTCTTTGACGCCATCAGAGGCCATGAGCCAGCGACATGGAAGCTGACTGGACCGTATAGAGTCCTCACTTGCCAGCTGTCGTCGACTTTGACCCAACTGGCGGGGAGCGATGCGGCGTTCCAGGTCTGGTCAGTCTTTGAGGTCAAGAATGACAGGTAATCAGAGTTGGAGATGGGTAGAGCGTCTACGGCAAAGGTCGCGACCTGGTGGTTGACCGACGGATTCTCAATGTCCCATCCGAGTTCGTGGCCTTCCCAATCAGCCGCATGAGGATACGACGAGTCATCTTTCTCAATGTCGTCATGGCCCAACTGGATGGTTCCGGCTGGTATGGTGAGCTTCTTGTTGGGCACAGCCTGGGCTTGCCATTTTGCCGCGAGCTGATCCCATTCAGGTGTTGAGACAGCGGTCGGGGGGAGGGTCGTGGGCGATTGAATGAGCATGTAGAGCAAGGTTTCCGCATGTTGAGCCTCATGTTCGTACGTCATGAACAGAACTCGAGCGACGTGTCGAGAGATTTCAAGTTGGCCAGAGGAGATTTGGTCATAGACACCGTGAAGTCGGTCTCTGACCCGATCACGGAAGGCGAGAATCTCTTGAAGGGTGGGCCAATCTTCTTTATCGACGGGGACTTCCGAGTGTGACTGGTCCCGTCAGCAAGTTCGAGAGCGAGAGAATACTCACGTGAATCTTGGTAGGGTCATCGACGTCGGGGTCGATGCCACGTTCGAAAATGTCCTGATTGTCAACTACCACTTCAAGCTCGTGGCTCACCTTGAAAAACACGGGCTCAGTGTGTGAGCCGTGGGTCATGTTGGTGAGGTGAATGTCCAAGAACGTCGGTCTAGCTCTGTTGAGTGGTGATTATTCGGACTCTGCTCACATGTGACCCAGATAGAAAAGACAGATATGCCTGAGATCAATAGGCTTGGTATGCAGCATTTCAGGCGGAATCATGTCAAGCGTGATGCTGGTGGGTCAGCATTCGCCCACGAGCGTAAACTCACTGGTCCCACAACTTCCACAGGCCTTCCCATTGATCCCACGTCGGCACGCCCTTGATCTTCTTGGGCTCAGACTTCATCTCGGTATCGTTAAACGTGACGTGTGGTCGTTCAAGCACAAAGAGTCGGTACTCAGACTCTGGGGCTTTCCAAGACTCGACGACGCGCAAATTGGCGCTTTTAAACAGATCAATGGCTTCGGCCTGGGAATACTGTGGAGCGAATTCAGTCTTCTGACGAGCACAGCAGGAGAAAGGAAGATGCGACAAAGGAGGGACCTCACCTTGTAACTCCATTCAATGTGGAGCAGCTCGTCTTTTGCGAGCTCGACGTCTCGGTTCGAGAGGGGGAGATGGAGCGTTTGATCGCCTCTCGACTTGAGGTATGACTCGTGGCGGCCTGGGCGTGAGTGACACTATAGCAAGACCGACCCACCTTCGATCTCGTTGTATCGACCAACAAACTCGACGCCCGCATCGCCCTTTAAGCCCAGCTCTCTCCTGACGACTTGCCAACCGTGCTCTTCGAACGCTTTAGTGTACCCCGCCGGGTCATTGTAAGCGTGTTCGAGCTTTCGACGTCCATCAGCCCCAGGCGTGGGACGACCGTCCAAGCCGAGCAAGAGTGTGTCACCACGTCTCAGGGGGAGCGAGGCGAGGAAAGGACCTGCCGATTGTCGCGAAAAATTGCCGATCGACGATCCGAGAAAGACAAAATGTCTTGGTCGATTGGACTCCGTCGAGCGAGTAGGAGGGGAGGACGGCAAAGGGTCTTCCGATTCCATAGGTGACCAAGTGCCTCCCGAAGCGGATTCGTCGGTGATGGTCAATTCGGACAGAGCCAGGTCCTCGGTACCGGGGCTAAGGGCATCGCTGTGGGGTGACAGGGGAGACACTTCGGGAAGGTCTAACGGGGATTTGAGATTGAGTTCGATGGGTGGAACAGACGGTGACGAGGCCCTCATGACTTGTCGAAGCGAGGGTAATTTTCCATCTCGGATGAATTGAAGCCCCGCTTCGTAGTCTCCATGAAGTCCGATACAATTGACCTTGCCTTGGAGTTGAGATCCAAACGATTCGTTCATCTCGCCCAGGACGCGCTCGAGTTCACGGTAAGACAAGTCGAGGGGATGGTACGTGATTGATTCGCCGCCGTCAGGGACGGTCGAGGCGAGCGCAGTGAGTAAATGTCCAGTTTTACGAAGGGCACTGGGAGGGGTTTAAGTTCTGAGCAGACCGGTTTGGGTGACTCACCCTGCACCAAGCTCGACGATATCCCAACCTGTTTCTGGACCTCCTGCCAGGCCCTCTTCCCCGTTCACTCCTTCATTCCATTTGCCGACTTCTGTATCACCCCATCGAGCAGGTTTCCACCTCTTCAATGGGCCGTGATCGTGACGGCGATCGTGTTCATCCTTTGGAACACGTGGGAAACCCATACACCGGGCAATGGCACGACCGTGAGTCTTGAGCAGTTCAAGCTCGTCGTCGAACAGGTAGTACTCTTTCGCGTGAGCGGTGATATCGTCGTATAACCTGGGGGTGTATATCAGGAGAGTTTCTTTCGTATGGCTCACCTCAAACCCATTTCGTCATAGAGGACGACGGTCGGTACGCTACGTGTATATGCCCATGACTTGTCTTCAGGCGTGTCGCCCGGGATCGTAGCCTCAGTCTTGCCGATGAGACCTGCTTCAATCTCCTGTTTCAGACTCGAGCTCGCATCCTCGGGAGCAGCTTGGCCCAACGATGGCAGGGTGTAAATGTTGATGCCACTCATGATCCGGAGCTTGGCAGAAGGTGTGGGTAGGATACGACGCTATGATTGGGTCAGTGAGACATGAGGTATGCGACCAAGGCGTAATGAACAAGTGGGTCTGAGAGATGAGGATCAGATCTGTAGGCTGGTGGAAGCTCAAGATGGGATGGACATTGAAGAAGGAGGAGGAAGATCCGGTGTTGCAGCCCGATCACCGGTTAACTCTCTTACTTTTCACACCCCGCAGCCCGATTCCAGGGCGGACGATTGGCGCCGACTTGCCACAAACGACTCGCCGACAGCTGGTGATGCTGGCATGGACGATCGGGAGCAACGACGGGATCTCCCTTCGAGCGTCCCTGGTCACTCACATGGTGCGCTGCTGGTGCTTTTACTGTGGATCCAGATCTGGCGGGAGTGCTGGGGTTATCAAGAGGCAATTATCGCGTTCTTATATACGATGTACAGTCACATTGAACCTCACATTTCTGCTGAGTCAGCCATCGCGTTCGTAGCGGGCTTTCACCGAAGGTTCGGACAGTGTGGCCAGACGTCATATGCAGGACCTGGGGTTTGTGGACCTTTCTGCGGATGTCGGAGAATGTTCTTAACTCCCCCTTTGATGTACCCCTTGGCAGGGCGAAAAGCTACGATCAGAGTGCGACCGCGTATTAGCGCACTACTCGCGCATCGTCACTGGTCCTCTATGCAGCCAGTCCATACACACTGGGGCAGGGGCTCGGGGACCGGGGCTGTACCCACAGTGGATCACGTCAACACTTGCTGTGCCCACGTGCAAACGTGCAGAATGCTGATGAGTGTCATTACGCCCCGTTGGTGTACAAGACAGAAACCATTTCGCGACGACTCTACGAAACGACTGCCTAGTGTCCTCCTGCTCATGCTCCGCTCATCGTCCCAGGCGAAAGGACTCGAGCCATCCTCCTCCTCCTCCATGCATCCATCTCCTAACACCCGCTTATGCCGAAGCCTTCTTCTCCTTGACGTAAGCTTTGCGAACCAAATCCCTTCGAGAGCGCTTGGCGAGTTGGATCTGGAATCGCTCAAAGTCGTTGGCGTTCTGAAGAGACCGAGCGTCAGCGAGGGACACGATCGATTCTGTGTTTGAATGGCCTCACCTTTCTAGACTGTCTAGCGTGGAGTTTCTTGGCCCATCCACTCTGCTCCCACTTTTCAGAAACACCGGCCTTTTCAAAGGCCTTTTTGATGGCACCTGTACCAGCACCTCGAGGCAGCTTGGCAAGGGTGTAAGGGGTGAGGATGAGGTGACGGTAAGCGATAGATTGGCGGGGAACGGAAGAGTTGGGTCCGTCGATCAATGCCTGGGGTGGACGGACGTGTGAGCAACTGTCTGCCTCGTGTGTATCACTGGGTCCAACTCACCCTGTTGTGGTCAATGATCTCGGCAATGACGGCGAGGTTGCCAGCGTGAGGTCCATCGTTGACGAGAACCACACGGCCGACTTCGACAAAGCGCTTAAAGGTGGATGGGGTCTGGACGGGGGGGTCAGCAGGAGTTTGTATGGCTGGGAGAGCACTGCGGGAGATTGATGCAGGAGGCTTAAGAGGGAAGTTGTTTCCTTCGCGATGCAGCGATTGTCAACGGGCAAGCATCTAGCAATCGCATCCTTTCTCCATTCACAAGCCTCCAGCCTGCCCTCGTTGTCCCCTTTAGAATACGACCGCCTGACTCACCGACATGTCGAACAGAGACCTCTCAGCTAATCCAACGAAAGGGGATAGATGTGTAGAGTGATGATATCTCGGAATTCACACCCAACACTTCAACAAACGTCGAAGAGGCCAGCACAGAGGGGGAGGGGATTCAGCGGAAGCAAAAAATACGAGGCATATTGAGCAGAGAATAATTTCGGATTTATCTTAACGCCGATGTCGGCGATTGATGCCATGACAGAGAGTTGATGCATGATCATTGACCTGACGGCTCGAGACGATGGATAAGAACCAGAGTGAGCTTGTCTGTGGCCAGAGTACTTGCTCTGCTGATGCATCCAGACTAGGCCAACCTCTACGCCCTTGAAGTCAAAAGCATCACTCTGCTCTTATCGAGTACCCGTTGTTAGCGTCTAGCAATGCGGATCCTTTCACGAGAAGCCTGGGCGTCCACAGCCTCGAGGAGCTGGCATGCATGCAAGTCACTTTCACCAAGGTACACGTCTAGGGGATAGCCCGCGGGTTTATGGCCCGAAAACTATCTGCCCCTGATCTGTCAACATTGCGAAACCCCCGCGATCAAGGATATCTACAGCAAGATGCTACTGATTCCCATGATACGATCTCGTCGACGCTGCATCTTGAAGCCATACCTACCCGCAGCTTGTCGTCCATCTGAATTGGTGCCACTGTGAGCCACAAGGTGCCACAAATGAAAATTAACCGGAAGGGCGGTCCATAATTCTCCGCTTTACCGAGTCAGCTTTGTCATCCAATCGCATGAGCCACTTGCCACTTTAGGTAATTTCTTGCCCGCTGGGGGTGGTTGTAGCGATCTGCCACTCTTGATGCTCCGATCGAGTAAGAAGAGCTCTCTCTGCTTTTTTGGGTAAGCGACACATACACACTGGTCTCCTAGTTGTACATATCATCCACTCCATCTTGGAATCATACAACTAGCCTGGACGCATTCTGGAGAAGCCGAGGCACTAGAGACAGGGAACAGATCACCGAGGGAGCAACAGACAGTGCCCTCCTCTTCACACCAGGACCCGTTAGCCTTGGACTTGGCACGACTCGTACTCATACTCGCCTCTGACTGTGTCAGCGTCAGACCACAACTCACACCATGTTTGACCTACCTGAACATCTCGCCTCGCTGAACACCCTCGTACCGTCGTCTTCTACCGCGCCAGTGGACCCATCGATAGAAGAAGCAGTATGGGAATACTTCAATACCGATGCCTTGTTCCAAAACTTTGGCGTCAACCCTTCAGAGTATGATTCGAAACATGACACGGCGTCCAAGTTGGACCTCTCACCCGTGAACCCACAGCCTGTAGTCGCTTCTAGCAGTTCTAGCTCTGCTCTTCCCGCCGATCTCAAATCATTCATCCAGCAATTCGCCTCTGAACAACCTTCCCAAGCCTTTGGTTCGACAGATTATGCCAATGCTTTGGCACTGGGATTACACATGACCACACCGGCCGCTGTCCCCAGTACGGCACACATGTCGGATATCATGGCTGCTGGATCCAGTTCTACATCGCCAGATGACTCGAGACCATCCGGCGCGAAAAAGCTCAAATCACTCGGTGCCGGTCAGGCAGAGATAGAGGAGGATAAGAGGAGGAGGAATACAGAGGCTTCTGCGAGGTTTAGGGCAAAGAAGAAGGAGAGGGAGCAGGCCTTGGAAGTCCGAGCGAGTGAGTTGACACGCCATCTCTTTTTTAGATCCAGTCTGACGCGTTTTGGGAAGAGGAACTCGAAGGTCAAGTGGCCCAATTGACAAATGACAAACTGTCCTTGGAGAATGAAAATAGACTGCTGAAAGCGATTGTGCTGGGAAGCAGGGGAGGAGGAGAAGGTGCTCAAGAGGCACTCGAACAGTTCTTGGGAAAGCGAAAGAGGCAAGAGTGAACTATAGATGTCTCATGTTGTCGGTTTAGAGATCTTATAGAATTGTAACAATTGGAGTCGCAGCACGGTGTACATGAAAAGACATGGAAGAATTGGTACAACTCGACAAATTGAGTGAAAAACGGACTCGTACAATGGAAGGGATCCTATGCCCACGCCTCACTTGTGCTCCTTGCAAACCTTGGAGGGAATCTTGAACCCATCGGTCCTGATACCAGGTCCCCAAGGCGACTTGTTGATGATTCCCGCGTCGATACCCAATCCACGCTCGGCGAACGCCTTCCAGATGAGACAAGCGTTCTCGCCACCCGTCAGCATGAGATCGGCCTGAATGATGGCGTCTCTCGCATCAAAGAATGAAGGTCGGCAAGGTTGCAATTTCATTCCGTCAAGGATGAGCTGCAGAGCCAACGTGTTGCCGTGTTTGGGGACCAAGGGTGTGGGCTTGCCCTTGGCGTCGACAGACGCCGTGTTGACGTAGTAGTCATTGGGGATCGACGTGTCGATGGGAGGGAATAAGGTCGAAGAGAAGCCGTACTTTTCAACCAAGCGTTGAGACATGATGAAGAGCATCTCCGCCCAGACTTCGCCAATGGCGTGGACACCCCAGTAACTGGATCATCATCAGCGACGCGATTGCACTTTACACTTACGCTGGCTTGTCGAGAATCTTGTAAGTCGACGGGTTGACAGCCTCGTCGGTCGAGTACTTGTAGTGTCGGATACCGAGTTCTCGGTTGGCTGCCCAGGAGCCCATGGAGTAGACGTCGGTGCCGTTGCTGACGACGTCAGCGAGGTGGCTGAAGATTCCTCACCTGAACGACTTGTGCTCTTCAATCTGCCTGATGAGTGTGGCAATGGCGTCACCCCATCCTTCGCCCATACCACCAGCTTCGCCAAACCCGAGACAGCCTGAGTTCATGGGTCCACCCGTCAATCGCGTGGATAGACCGTGACTCAGTTCGTGAATGATGATACCCGCCTCGATATCTCCGTCACGGTACGGCGTGGCAGTGTCCCAGACGTACATTCGCATCCGACCCGAGGTACCATCTGGAGGGGTCATGAAATTGGCATTGTTCATGCCACTGCCATCTTGAGCGTTGGCAATGACGGGATCGCCACCGTTTCCGCCCTTGCCAAAGTTGTGAGCTTGAAAGTTTCCGGCGAGTTCGTCGAATCCGAGACGGTAAGTCAGGTCGTGGTACATGTTCGAGGTGTAGAACAACTGGGTGATGACAAAGTCGATGTATTCCCTTGGTGCCAGCCCGTCCGGCTCACCATAGTCGTACACAAAAGTGAGCGACTCGTTGATCGGTCGGTAGTTGAGCAAGTAGTTGTTTTGACCTTCCCAGTCTTCATGCGCGATGACATTGTTGCCGGCCGTGGTGTAAAAGTGAGTCGTGTTGCCAGTCGTGTTCATGCCGGGGATCTTGGACCCAGCCCATGGATTGGACGCTGAAGGGAACTCGTGCCATCCGGCAGGCGAAGCTGTGGTGTCCCATGGCTTAGTGACGATGGAGAGGTTGCCGCTGGTGGGATCGTTGATGCCTGGAGGTTGTCAGTGGCGAGAATTGGGCGGGTGCAACTCACCCCATGGGAAAACCTGATAAGTGTAAGGCTCTAGCTTCTTGGGTGGGGCAGGGAGCGGCTTTTGCTTGTGTTCCTTGCTCGGTGCTGGTCCATCAGAGGTCCAAGAATAGTCCTTGGCCCAGTCGACGATTCGGAGCAATTCGCCAGTCTGGACATCGACGTACGCCTCGTACCAGTTGGATTCGAGCTCGACTTCGAGCTTCCAGACGCTTCGGGGTGCACCGTCAGTGACCTGGGTGTACATCAACCGCGCAGGGACGTGAGACTTGATGCCTGCTTTGGCGAGTCCTGACCCGGAGATGATCTGAGTGGGTGGCTCGGCAGGAGCCGGTTTAGGTGCGAACGAGTGTTCTGGCGTGGCGACGAGGTCGTCGGCAAAGTCAACGGAGGAGGAGGACGACGCGGAGATGCGCGGAAGGAGGGCGATCAATGCGTCCACGGGTGTCAGTACCTCCTTTTGAGGTTGATCACACAACGCTTCGATATGGTGCGAAACATGTTGGATGTTGGCTTGGATCCGCGGGTCGACCGTGTGATGGTGGCGACCGAGGGAAGGGAGCAGGACCTGAGCGGCAGACTTGACGAGCCCCCAGGCGTTCTCTCCAGCTTCGGAGCGGTATGCGTCGAGTTGGTCGTTCATCATGGCACAGGTTTCGCCCGATGGAGACGTTTGAGCCTTTGTACCTGGGTGAAACGAGTTACCCCAAGAGATGATATTACCATATCGGTCGATATTGAGGTTGATGTCGCCATCGGATACTTCGAGGCCATCGATGAGCTGCTTTGCGTAGATATGGGTGACACCGGTTCGAGCGTCTGTGTAGCTCTTTGATGGTGTCAGTGTAGCCTCTCGAAAGCACTCACGTCTTTGCGGATATAGTATGATTCGCCCTCAGCACCGACTTGTCGATCGAGAAATTGCCTGGCGGCGATTTGGGCATCTAATTCGTCGGTGAAGCCTCGCTTCGTCAATCCCTCATCGTGAGCAGCGGCGACGACCTGGAACGTTGCGTGTTCATGTTTGGGTCCAAAGTTGAGCGATTTACGGACAGATCGGATGTCGTGTGAGGGCCTAGGGTGCGCAGTGGCAAGGGTGGCAAGACATGGCAAGAGGGAGATCAGCGCGGCGTTGCGCATGGTGAGTGGGAAGATGGGAAGTGTTGCGCAGAGGTATATGCAGATGGATGTGGGGGTCAGTGAGAGAGATGAGGTAGAGATGCAAAGATAGATGTAGATATCGGGGGGGGTTGATGACCACGCGTGCGGGGAAGAAGAAGGAGATGAGGCGGGAGAGAGGCGATAAGAGGCTGGTTCTGCGGATGGATGGCGGAGATCGCCGACGGCCGGGAATGGCAAATGCCGATACATAAATACATTACAACTCATCTCTCACGTGGTCATCCGCCTGCTGCCCATCCTTGTCCTCCTCCTCCTCCTCCCTCGCGGGCTTCCGCTTCTGTTCCAAGAACCCCTTGACCACCTCCAACATCTTGTCCGCTTCTTTGATCTGATTCATCTCGTTGGATGTCTCGATCACCACGTTACCCTCGGCGTCCTCGACCAGTGCGAGATACATAACCTCCTCATCGTCCGTCATGTCCGCCACGTTGTCGCTTTGCAGAGCTTTGATGGCGCCTTCAAAGAGGCTCATCAATGCCTTGTCGTCTAACGACGCGAGGCCGTCGATTGGCATCTTCTTTTCTTCCATCACTTTTTCCGCCTCTCGCCTGTCTCCTGGCAACATGAGTCTCCCCTCGCGTTCCTCCTTCGGGGAGCTGAACCAACTTTCAAAGTCCTGATCGCTGATGGATTGACGACACTGTATCCCCGCGGGCTCTACATCAACCTGAGGCGCTCTGAACCCGGGCAGACTGCACAGGTGCGGGGAGTGTATCACCACGACGTATTGACAAGTGGTCATCTCCTTGACGAGATAGATGATATCCGTAGTCGTCATACTGCAATGAATCTGTACTTCCACCTCGCGAGGTCTCTTGGTCTTGTCGCACAGTGTCCCATCCGACCAACGCTGCACGAGGTAGCGAGAGGAAGCGCCGAGACCGAATGATACCGCGTTCGACTCGGCGGCAGCTCTGGAAGGTCGTCTAGATCCCTTTTGACCCAACGTGTACGCCTCGTAAGAGGTGTCTTCCTCCGGTTCGTAGCCTCCAGGAGGGTGTGGATGGGTATGGCGGGCCGCTCGAAACTGGCGAATGTGCGAGTTGTGGCAGTACGAATAGGTGAACCATCCGAGGGTGGAGTAAAGACACTTGCCGTCGAGGTGTGACATGGCCGCCCACGATTGGGCAGGATCCAGCTCTTCATGAGATTCAGATTTCAATCGGAGGGTCTGAGCGGAAGTCACATTCTTCGGCGGTAAGAGACAGAGGTATTCAGCGGCCGAGTCGCTTCCGGCAGGGGTGAACGTCATCGGGATGATCTCCAAACGGTCCTGGAAGGGGTCAGCGAGCGGGCACGTTTTTGATTCACCTTTAAAGGCACATCCGATCCATCGCCGAGCTCCTTCCGCTCCTTCAATCTCAACTCGGACCATTCTTCTGCCCTCTCAAGACCCTCCTTCTCGACCCGATCGGCATCCGACCACGAGATGGGTAGGTCGTTCAAGAACTGGATCTCATACTTGGGGTAAGCGAGCAAGTCACGAAGTTGTGCCGCCTCGTGCTTGTATGCATGGCTTGAGAGAGCCGTCAAGGCGGACAGGTAGATGACGAGGTTGCGCATGGTATGTAGGATGAACAAGAGAAAGGTTGTGCTGGAAAGTATCCCTTGAGGTGACGGAGATCGACTCATCTCCGACGACTCATCTCCGTCATCTCATGGTGGACGCGTCGCGACAACATTGACTTTTTGGATCGTTACTGTACCCACCATGTTCAAGCCGAGCACTCGTCATAACCTGCCCGCCTTGACGGCCGATGTCAAGATCAACAAACGACAATCGACCTCTGCGTCGTCTTCGTCGTCGTCGTCGTCGTCCCGTTGGCCGTATCGGCTCAATTTGTGCGTTACGCTGCGAGGACATGTCTGACCGGGTAGCTATGACCAACCGCCAGTGCTGGACATTACGCTCGAAGAGTTTGAAGTCTTTGCCATTGCAAGGCTCCGCGTCTTGACGCATATCGAGGCGTTGTCTCATCGATCTCTGCCGTTTCCTCAGTTTTCGTCGGCCGTGGGGACGTATCTCAAACAGCACCTCCCCTTGTCGTCTAATACCGCGAGAAACGTAAACGTGTTGGAGGAACGGAGAAAGGATGAGATTGGTCACTGGGTGTTGCGTCTGGCGTTTTGCAGAAGGTGAGTGCATGGTCTCGTGTTCCTTGGCTAACCTCTTCAGTCCCGATCTGAGGGCGAGGTTTCTCCGTTCTGAACTGGCACTCTTTCGCCAACGTTTCGAGACCGACGACGCAGCCGAACGAGCAGCGTTTCTCAAATCACTTCAGTTTGACTGGCAGCTTGTCGATGCGGGTGAAAAGGCGAGGCTGGAGACGGAACTCAAGACGTGTCTGTGGACCAGTGGAACGAGCAAAGACGAGGCGTTTAGAGCGGAGAGCTGGTTCAAGGTCCCGTGGCACACTGTCCCGGATCTCGTGGGTCAACGAAGGGTTTACATCAACGGTGGGATGGCCTATGTGCCTCAGAGTTTGCAAATCAGCTTGGTGCTGCAGGCCTTTGGATCGAGATTGGAGAGGGCTTTAGAGGTGAGGCCACACGCCGCCCCCCCTTTTTGCTGACCTTTTCCAGCTCACGGCGAAAAACCTCCCTCGATTGGACGAAGATGAACGACTCGGGCCTGTGCTTGACCACCTCGCCACCTCCTTTCTCTCTGGACTCGGAGCCGCCGAGTATCAATCGGAATCCGATGGGAACGGGACGACAGTCACGGCAGACATGGTGGATGATGTCGCTCGGAAGCATTTCCCACCTTGTATGCGGAATCTGTACGATAGACTCAAGCGTGATCACCACTTGAAACATTTCGCAAGGCTCCAATTGGGTCTGTTCCTGAAGGCAAGTGTGCACCCAAACGCGCATGCTGACGAATCAGGGTATCGGACTTCCTCTCGACGAGGCGGTCGTGTTTTGGAGACGGATGTACGGGGCCACCATGTCGGACGACAAGTTTAACAAGGAGTACAAGTATAACATTCGCCATGGGTACGGACAAGAGGGCAAGCGGATGAATTATGCACCAAAGAGGTGAAGCAGAGTTGGGGGCAAAGCTGAAACCATCCAGTTGCCAAGCCATCCTCACTATCAACCAACCCGGCACGCAAGATTCTCACGGCTGTCCTTTCCGTCACTTTTCACCCGATAATCTCGTGATTTTTCTGCTGTCGACGTACCCTCAATTGGACAGATCATCACCCGAGATGCGTGACATTCTCGATAGCGTCAAGACGTCTCACTATCATGTGGCGTGCACGAGGGTCTTTGAAGTGACTCATGGGTTGAAAAAGGGACAAGGTCTAGGTCCAGATGGTGAGACGGTGACTCATCCCAACAAGTTTGTGGATAGGAGTAGGGAGATGGAGAGGTGAGCAGTCAGGTGAGGGGAGAGGGAAATGCTAAATGTGAATGCAGAGATCGGATGGAGGCCATCAAGGCAAAGGAGGGCGGCGGGGATGAGGATGTGAAGATGGATTGATGCATGCTTAGTGTATTTTGTCTAGAAACGTCTGACGCTGGGGATTGACACACTGATTCTTTTGCCACATTTCTTACCATCCTTTGACCCCTTTTTGGACGACCATCACGGCCCCATGGCTCACCAGTCCCGACCGGGTCACTTTGGCAGCATCCATCGCTACCCAGCTATCCCCTATATCCCTCGACAGGGTTCCGGAGCACAATCGTCGCCTACCATACCAATGAGGCCCTCCCCTCTCAACGGTCAACCCCTCTCCCCCAACGACATGTACGAGTCAGATCACGCCGAAGCAGAGGACAAGGTCGAGGATCTTCTCCGACACGGCGTCCTGGCGACCTTTGCACATCTACAGAACGGATCTTCCACCACCATCGGAAGCAGCAAGGCCAAAGCGGACAAGGTCCTTGGTCTCGACCCCCATGCCAGACTTGCCTCGTTCTACCTCGTCTCGGGCGTTCCAAGGGTGAGCCAAGGATAGGCGATCTCTGCTGACCCTTTCAGGACTTTGCCGAGTGGTCGTTTGCAGATCCCGACGCGACGCGAGGTATGGCTCACATGGAAGACTCTATGGGATTCTTCTGGCGACCCGACGTCCTTGGTTCTGCGTACTCTGGTCAAAAGACCCAAGATTGGCTCAAAGACCTGTCAAGGGGGAAAAAGGGAAACTCGAGTCTCAACTCGTTTGCCAACTCGAGTGGAAAGCCTCACCGTTCAGCATACGTGCCTGACGCTGGACCAGACGGTCCATTGAAGCTGCTTGACAAGACGCTCAAGTATGCGCATCCCAGAGACGGTGAGTGTCGGGCCCGGGCGAGTTCCCCCTTGGACCCTTCGCTGACGGGTCCAAGTCGAGGTGATCAACTCCACGCTTGCTCCACCTACCACCTGTCACGCGTTTTCCTTTACGATACCAAAGCATGACACCCTAGTAGCGGTGGCGAGGACCCGACTCGACGTCGAGAGCAACTTTGACTCGACGGCCTCTGTACCCGAAGACTCTGTCCTCGATCCCACCTCCTCCCTCACTCGACACGCTCGTAACATGTCCGCGGCGACGGAACTCGCTTTTCATGGCGTCACATTGACCGTCTGGACCCATGTCGAGCCTGACAAGGTGGTGGCATTGAAGGCCATCAAGGAGAATGCAGAAAGGGTCAAGGCGGGTGGGCTCGAAACGCTCCGAGCGCAACTGTTGAAGCGACCTCCTCCCCTGTCGACGGAAAAGCTCAGGTGGCGTTCAAACGTGCCATGGGGACTGTCCCGTACATCCAGTGTCGACTTTACGGGGAGTGAGGCGGAGCAGATGACGAGTGATTTGGATCGGGACAGTGTATCGACGAGGCGAAAGCATCTCAGGAGTGGTTGGTCGATGGACGACTGGCCTGGAGACGCGCCAGTGTTTGAGGATGGAGGCGACACCTTTTGGACGCCCTATGCCATCACCTTGGGTAGGTTGGGCCCTTTGCCGGAGTTGAAGTGCTGACACACACAGTGTCGCGACATCCCATCTACGATGTGATGCAGGATTACCTTCGGTTGAATGCAAGTCTTGAACGAGTCGCAAAAGCTGACGGCAGTGGTCCATGTACGCAAAGAATGCAAAATTTCACATGGCGTGAGTGCGAGGCATCTTCTCGCCCCTGACCGTCAGTCAAATGTGTCGAATCCTCAATCGCGACACGCCTCGACCTGGCGAGACGTTCTCACTCTTTGTGGGCAATCGATCCAAAGAGGGTGTGACCATCGAAGGCGTCATGCCGGGCGCTTTGGATTTTGAGCGGGGCATCGTCAAGGTCGATTTCCAGCTGTGGCCATTGTTTCAAGCGCTGGACTTGGATCATCTTTTGACCTGTGCAGAGGTGGGTGAGATGAAGGACTGAGCCGGGGCTGAGGCTCAGGTGGCATTGTCCAACTCTGGCCGGATCATGTTTTTCTCCAAGCATCCTGCGTTGCTCAACATTGCAGTGTCGACGCTGCAGTACATCGTCGAGCTGAGGGGCTGGGATGGACTCGCCATGCCCATGTTGCATTGCGTGAGGCAAAAAAAGAATCGTGGGGCTTTTTGGGCTGACGAATTTAGCGCGATGTGACCTTTGTGATCGAGGACCCAGGGCCGTACATCATCGTGAGTGGCACATCCATGTTTTTCGCTCACTGCCAAGGGCATGCCGAGCGAATGCCGCTACATGGTGACGATCCCAAACGAGGTGGTGGTGGTCGATCTAGACACAAAGTGGGTCAATAAGGGGCGTCCATCTGACTCATCTAGTTCGCTCTCGTGTCGATCTCCACCCAATGTCATCTCGACTCGATCCAAGAGGGACAAGGCAAAGGCGAGGATCATGTCTGCGTTTGGACCGGGCTTTCGTGAGGTCTAGTGACGTGGTGACACTGCTGATTCCTCCCTCAAGCCATGGAGCGAAACATTCCTATCGAGTTCAAAATCTCGTACCCCCGGGGCGCTTTCCGAAACGTCAACCGTTTCGTCCATGGTCCACAACGACCGACCTACCTTGGCGAGCGACTCAGATCGCCTACATGGTGGAAGCACAGTGAGATCATCACGGCGTTTGACAAGGTTCTTTTGGACAAGGTGAGACCACGGCGAGGCCGCGGCTGAATTCGACCAGCACAAGAAACCGAGTTTGATCAAGCGATTGACGAAAAGTGGCATGGGACGCCAAGAGGCTCAGCTGACAGCCGGCGAGCAATTGGCAAAGACGATGATGAGGAAGCGAGCTCGTAGGTGGCAAAGATAGCCCATCTGGATTGACGCTAGTGCACTATGTCGAGGCGCGTGATGATCTCGAACGCAAAGTCGCGAGAATCAACAAGCGACTTCAGAAGATGGCCTCGGAAGGAGAGCATGTGAGTCATGGCGGGATGCTGGCGCTGAATCACACAGTGGCGGTCTCAATTCGAGTCGTTTGAAAAGTATGCCGAAAATTTGGCGTTTGAAGCGAGCGATCTCAAGCAAAAGATTGAGCGGGAAAAGCGAGAGGCGAGACGATTGTCGAACAGTGAGGCGAACGACGGGCGGGGTTTGGGTTGACTCACACACTCAGTCGCGAATGAGCAGACCAAGGTCAACCATGACCTCGAGGAACGTCTCAAGCAGACGGAGGGGGCTCGAGCAGAAGCTATGCGACAGCTCTCCGATATGCATCAATCGTGAGGGAGACGAGGAGCGTCGTCGCGAGCTGAGCCCGTCTTAGAATTCAAGAACTCGAAAAGGAGCGAGAGGAGATTATGAACATGTTTGAGAACCAGATCAATACGGCATTGTCAAAGGGGTATAGAGACGATACGCGTCCGTCGACTCCTTCAGGCTCCTCTGTTTGCTGCTCTCCGCACACCAGGGGTCGACCCGGCACACGGGACAGTGCCCAGTCGGGCTTGTCGAGGCTCACGATGGAATCTCAGCCCGTCAGCGTCCTTGGCGTGGCGAAAGGCCACGCGAGACATCTGTTACCGGCTGAGATTGAGCAAGAACGGATGATGTGGGAGAAAACGGATGGCATCGCAGCGCGAATCGCCAGTATTCAGCAAAAGGTGAGCATTGCGCCCAAGAATGGAACTGACTTTCAGCTCGAGATGGCCCTCTGCAACGTGTCGAGCCACACGAGGACGAACAGCGTCGCGACGACCGATACTGATGCGGATGACAAGGACGAGGTGGATCTCACCGAGACTTTTTCGCTGGACAAGACGAAAGAGCCTAATGGCTCTGTTGAGACGTTCAAAGTGAAGCCGACCCTTGACTCGCTCAGCCCATCGTCTCTCGACGTGCAATTGTCGCATAGTCCACGATCGACCTGGACCACCAAAGTCGAGGAGCTCGACAGTCGACGCCGACTTTCCGCGACGGAGCTGGGTCTCATCCCGCGAGGCGTGTCGCTGAGGATCAAACGGCGCCCCGAGTCGGTCGGAGACGTGCGCGATGGATTGGATCGATCGGCGTCGGACAGCTCAGTCGGGCAGACCGAGCATGTTCGCCTGACGAGTGATTCGACGTTTGATGAGGATTCCATCCTCACACCTTTGGCATCGGAAGCTGGTGGGTTGGTCGATGAAGACGTTGGGAAGGGTCGTCTCGGCGTGGCGGAGTGATCCGACCGTGGCCTTAGGAGTGCGTCGAGTTGTGTACACGCTTCATGCATTATGTTCAAGATAAGGCTGGGGGCTGCAGCAGCGGATCGAGGTCCCGCCACCGCTGCACCTGTTGACTCTATTTATAGCCGAAGAGTCTTGAAAGCTACATCCCCCGCCTAGACATGAGCTGGCTCGAGACCCAGAAGAAGGCATGGAGCGACACGTTCTTCGATCTCAGGCTCGCATTCTCCCCGACGTTTCAGGAAGAATTTGTCCAGGAGCTGAAAGATGGTTCAATGGTGAGGAGTACCGCAGGAAACTCGCTCACCTCAGTACATGGCATCCGTCACCAAAGGGAGCAGGTTGTTCATGTCGGATGTGGGAGTCGCAAAAGCCGTGGCGGCCATCGAGCAGTGGAATAGTGTACATCCACATGTTCCTGTCGCCCCTGCGCCAATTCTAGGAGAGCTGGTCACCCTTGTCGGAGATTTGAATGTGAAAAGAGACGCGTTTCAAGATGAGCCGAGCGTCAAGATGGAGATTGTCAAGCACTACATATGCCTGTATTATGACCTCGAGTCGGAGAGTGAGTCGACCTTGGCGCACGGCTGATTGAGTAAAGCCACCGTCACCTCAGACCCTGATGGGGAAAAACGGATATTGAAGGATCTCTGGGCCCAGCTCAGAAGAGACACGTCCACTGTACCGTCAAAGGCAGAGGTCCTTGCCATGGGTAAACGCGTGAGGACCCTAGAGTATTCGCTTGAGAGGGTCAATCTTCGTTTCAACGTCTTGGCAAGCGCGGAATCGAGTGGGCTATTACGGCACGATAAGCTGTTTCCCCATGGCGGATCACACGAGGAGAGACGCCAAGAGGTGATTGCGTTTGCTACACAGAGGCGGAGAATGTGGGAGGAGTCTGTCAAGGGGTTGCCAGAGGAGGAGAGGAAAGCGTCGTTCTGGATGCATCTGCAGAACGGTGGCCAGACGTACGAAGAGGAGCTGAGACGGTGGCGCCGGCGGCCAAGGGCGGAGAAGGACAGCATCAGCAGCATGCAGTGACACATCAGATGCATGCTTTCTGTTATTGGTGCAACGAGGCACTCCACAGGGCTCCCACAAACGTCAGAATCAATCTCGGACGGGTCTCGACGATGTCTGTCGTCAGGGCCAAGTCGGGACCGGTCGCACTCACCCTCTGGAACGAGGAAGATCAACGCGCCGAGCTTTCGGGCGATGGAGATGGCCAGTTTGGCTGGGTGGTGTCATCAGCGCTCGCACGGAGATCCAAACTCACCGTTCATCCGTTTGGACTCTTCGTCCGTGCCGTTGTTGACCAAAGAGTAGTCTACGATGCCCGGTTTGACTCCGTTGAGCAAGTCGAGGAAGAAGACGCCGTTGGACAGACTTGGATCCTTGAAGCTTCTCATCGTGCTACTTTTGCCACCCTTCTTCACCGTATCGTTGGCCCATCGCACGATCTCCTGATCCGTCACGCCCTTGCCATCTTTCGAGATCGAGGCGAGCGTTTGATTGATGGACAGACGCATGAGCTGCCACACGAGACCGAGGACGAGGGTGCGTGTCCCGTCGACGATATCGGCGCCTTGGATGCCCACAATGTGCATGCCGTTGGCTTTGGCAAGGTCGACGGCGTAGTTTGTGTTTTCGACGGCCTTGAATCGGGAAAGCTCCTGACCCTCACGCGGTTTGGAGACACGGCGCCAGATGACCGAGCCGGGAATGACCTTGTCGAATCCTTGGAGAAGCACATTGCCGTCCTTGATGAACGTCAGCCTCATATCAGTTCTTGGGAACCCACTTTGAGATCCTCAAACAAGTTGTAGACTCCTGGGTCCACGTCGAGCGAGTTGAGCCAGAGGGTGAAGACTCGCGCCTCGCGTTCGCCCTCCGCGTCAAAGTCTTCGATAGGGGGTGGTGCTTCGGTCTCTTCGAGAGGAGCGAGGCCGGGCCACGTGTTGAACAGGTTGGCGACAAAGGCGAGGTTGAGCTTGGGGTTTCCAGAGACGAGCGAGTTGGGGGTGAGGAAGCGTCTGCAGCCAATCTTGTCGGCGTTTTGGAGGATCTCTTCGGCACGCTTGTGCAGGTCGCGAGTTTGGAGCGGGGACCGGGAACATTCATCAGGTTTGAGCTGGTTGAGCAGGACTGTGTAGTTTTCTCCGTCCGAGACATCTTTGGTAAAGTTGGTCACCCTAAGGGTATTCAGCCCAGGGTGATTGGGGGTGGCTCACCTTCGCTGCCACCCGGCGGCCTTGAGATGGTAGTTGAACCAACGCAAGAGGATCTGGTCGGGTGGAAGTCGCAAGAATTCTTCCATCGTCTCGCCATCCTCCAACAAGCGATACAACTCGGGGTGAATCTTGATGTCAATCTTGCTCAACAATCCGCGACGGATGATTTGCCAGATGAGACCGAGGATCAAGTGCTCTCGACCCTCGACGAGATCCTGCGATCCGACGTTGACGACGGAGCAGCCGATACCTTTTGCCGAGGAGATGACAATGTTGTTGTTCTCAGTCATTTGGAAGGCATTAAGTGGCTTGGCCTTGCCAGTGGCCTTGGCTACGGTGGGTTTGTTAAGGACTCGCTCGTCGATCGTTTCAGGGACCGAATCGTTGATGAGTTTGGAGAGGACCAGACCGTCTTAGGAGGTCAGTTGGTGTGGTTTGAGGTCACCCACCTTTGCACTCGTCAAACAATTGCATCGTGTCGGTGGGAATGGGCAGGACATGTTCCAGATCTTTGTCTCCCCCGAGGACTCCGTTGATGTGATCAGTGAATGACCGACGCTCGTCTTCGTTGACAGTGTGCTGGGCATTGGTTCCAGCCGTGCCCTTGACCGAGATTTTGCCCTTGTTCGATTCAAGACTGCCGTCAAGGAGGGGGTCCCATTCGTGTGATGACTCACTTGTTCTTGCCCGCTTTGAGGAGGGAATGCAGCTGGACCCAATCTTCGACTTCAAGTCGGCCGGACGAGTCGACGTTGACGCTTTTGAGGGTTTCACGGGCCTCTCCATTAGCTCAGGAGTGTACGAGTCAACCCACCGAGTCGTAGTCTGCATCACCAGACGATTGCAGTGCGGAAATGACCTCGGCTTTGTCTAGAGATCCTCGGTCTTCGACATCGATTTGCCTAGCGGGTGAGCGAGAGGGTGGTGGCAGGGAGACTCACTTGAACTTGTTGATGAGGTCAAAGATCTCATCTTGCTTGAGGTCGGGGTACTTTTTGCCCAGCTTGATTGCTTGCATGGTGAATGGTATAACGGATGAACATTGAAGTTGGTCCTGCGAACGACGTCACGAGGCGGGGGGTGCGAAGAACGGAAGCAAAATCTCAGGAACCGTTGCCACGTGGGATATCATGTTTCACAACAACAACATTGCGCTGCCGGGGGGGGGCCTTTCAACATAGCGACGAGGTGTTGTACATTGACTCGAGGCAGAGCTAAAGGCAACGTATCTGAGGCGTCACATCGAATCTGAGGCGTCAAATCTATCCATTCCACCCCCACATCCCGTTGCGATGGCATCGGACCCCACTCGCCCGGCGAGCGTCACGTCGCTGACGTCCCAAGATGTACGATCTGATCCCATCCTCTCCTCCTTGGCTCGGAAACAAGCGCCTCCGACGGCTTTCAAAGCACGACCTGCACCACCACGACAGGACAATGTCGGGCCACGCATGACCAAATCGGCCACCTTGCGGCAAGGACTCAAGCCGGTTGCTCCAACGTCGTCAAGTGAGGAGAGAAAGGAGGTTGATTTCAAGTCGACACCTGGGCACAAGCGAGAGGGACTGGGCATAGTGAGTGAAAGAGAGGTCATTTCGTTTCCTGACGGTGGCCCAAGACTGTTGCCGCACTGTCCAAACCGTCCATTGCCCCGAGAGAGACCAAAGCGTCAAAACTGAGGACGGGGGGCACGGTTGAAACGTCTGCCAAGAAGGATATGGCAGCGGCAGCTGCTGCTAGCAAGGCAAGAGAGAGGGAAGAGCAGGCAAAGCGGAGGGCCAGTATTGCCGTTCCAGCGAGTCTCAGTGCACCCCATATTGTAAGCGAGACGCTCTCGATGTTGGCGCTGACGTCAGATACCCCGAACGAATCGTTCGTCCATGCTCAGGACTGGGGTGGAGGGGCCGCTGGTGGCGACAAAGTCGGCGACGAATATCAAGGAGGATAGGGTCAAGGCAGCGTACGAGGAGAAGGTGAACCGGAGGGCCAGCGTCGTCAAGAGCTTGGGCGCGCCGACCATTGTGCCGAGGGCCAACAAGTCGTCCATGCTGAGGGCCCCGAGGGGTGGTGAGGTGCCGCCAAAGTGATCGGGGTGGTTTGACGACTTTTTTTTAACGACACGTTGTACATAATGACACGGTATCTGCTCTCGTTGCGAGCTGCTCAGAGAACCTATTCTTCTCTGATGCCGGGGCACACTGCCCATCTGAACCGGTCCGAGTCACTCACCGCGGGGTATGCCTTGCCAAGACTCGATTGAGCCTCTTATTGACGCGTCCGGAGGTCGTCCGAGTCGAGGTAGAGGAGAATCCTGGTGCACAGTTCGGGGCGGAAAGAGCGGCCAGTGCAGAGCAGAGCGTGACGGTCAGTCGACCAGAGGGCGGCATGGCGTGGGTGAGTTGGGAGCCGGGAGCTGGTCAAGAACGGTCAAGCAAGTGGCGTCATTGCACAGACATAAAAACACATACATGTGCACGGCACGGTATACAATATGAATCTAACAGTTGCAGGCGGACGGTGTCTCTTCGGCTTTACCTTGGACCTTGACGCCTTTGGCGAGGGTGCGCTGGGGTGGTGGGGCGAGGGGAAGCTTTTTGGCTAGGGGGGAGGTCAGCTGAGGAACGGGGAGGGCCGAGCCCTGCTCTGCGAGTATCCGCTTGACTCACCAATCTCCATGAACAACTCCTCCACCCCGTCCCCACTCTTCGCGCTGGCCTCTGTGAACAACAATCCCTCTTCCTCTGCAAATCTCTCGCCAAGCTCTCGCGGGGTCTTTCTAGACGACTCCATGTCCAGCTTGTTGCCTACGAGCATGATGACGATGGAAGGGTCGGCTTGGCGCTGGAGTTCCTTGACCCAGGATTTGGCTTTCTCGAAGGATGTCTGAGCGGGGTTCAGTGGGAGGGATCTCGGAAGGGTATACTCACGTCGGGTGGCTTTGAGAGGGTCCGTCAGTGGTGCTCAATGGGTTCCGGGGACACTCACCTGGGTGATGTCGTACACGATCACGGCGGCATTGGAGTTGCGAAAGTATATCGGGGCGAGGGATTTGTACCCTATGACGTTTAGGTGGAGAAGGGGAGGTTGTCTTGCTCACGTTCTTGGCCAGCCTGAAACGTCAGTGAAGAAGTATGAGGGGATGGTCACTCACGGTATCCCAAATTTCAAACTTGATCGAGGTGGTCTCGTTCAGTTCCACCGTTTGAGTGAGGAATGCGGCTGGGGGTCGTAAGCGGTGATCGGAGCAGCCAAAACTCACCGCCTGGGAGGGGGGTCTGTTCAGGGCTCTTCGGAAGTGTGGAGCCATAGTGTCAGACTCACCGATGGTGGACTCTCTGTCAGCGTCAGCGAGATGATTGCTGAGGGAGAGGGGGAGGACCCACCTGAAATCGGAGAACTCGTTGCGGACCTAATCGTCCCAGCTGAGCGGGATACGTCAAGGGGCGGGGAGTCACACTTACGAATCGCAAGACTAGACTGCTCTTGCCGACGGCCGATTCGCCTGGGACCGTGTATGAGTGGGGCGCGCGAGAATACCGGCTCACCAAGTAAGACTAGCTTGAATGAGGTGGTCCTGGACATGGTCGTGCTGAATGTGATGTGCGGGATGAGATGGTGGCGAGATGATAGCGAGGGACAACAAAGGGGGGGCCGGTGGCCGTTAGAAAAAGGAGCATTACGAATTTTGTAATTCAGGTGTTTGAAACTTTCTTCCATCCATACCTCTACAGCGATGAGCTACTATCCTCCAGCTGCTGGGGGGTACGGACGGCCACCACCACCACCACCACCACCACCACAGCAGTATCCCCCTCCTCATGCTGTCTATCCGCCCGTCAATTCAGCTCCCCCGGCGCCGTACTATCCTCCTGGCCCACCGCGGCCAGATGTTCGACCAGCTCCCCCTCCGCCTATGCCCGCCTATCCACGGTATGATGCGCCATATGCCGAGTCATCGCACGCTGGAGACTTTGGCGACAGAGGGGGTGGAGGCAGAGGTAGGGGAGGCAGAAGAGGTGATCGTGGAGGTAGACAAAGTCCCGATGGTGAGTGTGAAACGGGGCGAGCGAGCGAGGGGCGAGCGAGGGCGGGGGATAGGCAAGGGATGAGCGAGGGCTGAGTGGGTGATGAGCGGGGGATGAGCGAGGGCTGAGTGTGTGATGAGCGGGGGCATGAGTTGAGCGAGGCATGGGCCTCGGCTTGAGTTGAGCACGGCATGAGCTCTCGCCTAGATGGATCCCCTCTCGCCAGATGAACCCCCCTCCTCGCCCAGATGAATCCCCTCTCGCCAGTTGGGTCTCCTCTCGCCAGTTAAGCCTCCCTCGCCAGATGAATCCTCGCCCCGATGAATCCCCTCTAACCCGGGCCGTATCTCACATCTGCCAGGTCGACGACCCCTCGGTGCCCGCGATCACGACTTGGAAGCTCGACTGGCAAAGGAACGTAAATGCAGGACGCTGTTTGTGAGAAACGTCTCGGTGAGTGTGGTTCAGGTTGCCTCGTGCTGATGATGGCCAGTATGACGCGGATCTCGCTCGACTCAGGACATCGTTTGCAGAGCACGGCGAGATCAAAGAATTTTTCGACCTCGTTTCGAAGCGGGGGATGGTGTTTGTCACCTACGTGAGTGGGCCGCCTTTGTTCTACACTGCTGAGACTCTCCCCCGCCCAGTTTGATCTCCGGGCAGCGGAAAAGGCTCGCGATGCAACTCATGGGATACATATCAAGGGTCGTCCTATCGACGTGCATTACTCGTTGCCTCGGCCGGAAGATCAGAATGCGAGGTGTGACAGGGACAAGAATCAAGTGGGTGTGGTGGGGAAGGGAGACCGGCTGATTGAATCAGGGATCTATCCTCGTGACGCTTCACGGGCAGCGAAATCTCGATGAGTATGAGTTGCGGCGGGCGGGGGAGAGATTTGGGGAGATGCGCATGGTTCGGCCGTGCAGGGATGCAAAGTGGGTTTTTGGGGGGTGGTTTCGGCGGCGCTGACAGTGACAGTCAAAAAGTGGTCGAGTTCTTTGACAGTCGTGGTGCGGCTCTCTTTGTCGATCGCATGGGCGATCAACCGTTCATGGGCGGGACGTTGGAACTGCGATTCGTCTGGGACGAGCTGGATAGTCATCTGCCCCCACCTCCAGCGACAGAACGACCTCCGCCACGGACGGATGCAAAGCCTTTTCGAAGTGGTCAAGGGCCTGGATACGGAGAAGTCAGAGGAAGAAGGCCGGATCGACGATCGCCCGAGAGACAAGCTCTGCCGAGGTATGGCGAGGCGGCGGTGGCAGCGGCGGCGCCGCCTGGTGATGATAGGTTGGAGCAGGCAAGGAGGGTTCAGGAGTTGTTGGCCTCGCTGGGGAGTGCGGCACCGGCACCGGCACCGGCACCGGCACCGGCACCTGCACCACCCCCTCCTCGTCCCTATGCGGCGGACCCACGACAGGCATACAGGCCTCCGCCACAGTCATATGCACCCTACACCCAGCCTTATCGACCTCCTCCTCCTCCCCCGGCGCCATATGCCAGACCACCTGGACCCCCGGGCGATGTGAATTCGCTTCTGGCCATGCTTGGGAGGCCGGGCAATTAGGTAGAGATGATGTGGGAACAAGGACGTAGAAGCGAGCAGCCCCTGCCAAGATTGCAAGCATCCTCATACAACCAACTCCTGGACCCACGTAGGTGGAGGCAGCAGGCTTTAACACCGCTCAGGCTCACCGCCCGGGTTTCACCACCGCCACCCCGACATGTATAATTGGGGCGGGAAGGGTTTTTTTAAACCCAGAGATCTGTGTTACAACCTTTTTTCTTTCCCGCCTAGGATGAGGCACTTTGGGCAAATCTGTGATGCATGCCCTGAAGCGTCTAAAAAGGAACTCCCAGACCATGCATCTCTTCTTCCACGACAGCAATCATGCCCATCGCACCACCCAGAGCACTCTTCGCGTCCCCAGAGACGCTTTCGACGGCGAGCGAGACCCTTGATGCGATCTACGCGGGGTCAGTAGCTGCAGGTCCGTCGAGGCAGAGATATTTCTTCGTCGGTGTGAGGGATGCAGGGGTGTTTACGATCCCTCAGGAGGGCGGCAGGGCATTCAGTTCGAGGCTGGCTGCAGAGGCGTATGTAGCCGGATGGGACGGAGGCGGAGGGAAACACGATCTGCCGGTGGGTCATGGGCGGGGGAGGAGTTGTTGCTTACAAACAGGCTTCGGCACCTCGTCCGTTGAGGGAGCACCTCGCCATGACGTTCCCAACACACGTCGCGATGCCCCCGTCATCTTACAAGCGACCGTCGTATCACGCGAGGATGCTTCAGTCGAGACAGGAGCTCGGCGTGAGCCTCTTGCGGTATGAGCGCAAGCCAAAGGGTGGTACCGGGATGTGGGTGGCGGAGAAGACGAGTTCACCTTCCTCCATACCGCCGACATTTTCTCGAGCTGGACTCAAGAAGGGGGTCGTGATGCCGGTCGCGGCCCCCGGGAGGCTCAAATCGTCGAGCTCGGTCTCATCGCTGAAGAAAAAGTCGACACAGTCGTTGACGAGTCTGGTGGATAAGCGGGACACGGGGGAGTCGCTGCTTTTACCCCCGAAACCAGGATACTTGCGGAGGCCGTCGTGTTCGAGTACGTCGTCCTTGGAGAGTGCGTCGGTGGGAGAGTTGGAAGAGTGCGTCAGGGAGTTCGAGCCGATCATCGTGGGGCTTGACGGGGCGTCGGAGAGGAGTATCGACACGCTGTCGACAAGGAGCGGGTGGTCCACCGAGACCGGGCAGCAGCAGGCGCTGGCGAGGGGTGGGAAGAAGAAACGCTGGAGGGAGAAAATGCCCAAGGCACTGGCGAGGATATTGAGCTAGGGGACGGGTCGCAGGGTCAGAAGCAGTGCCGCAGGCGCTGGCGAGGATCTTGAGCTAGGCCAGAGACAGTGCCGTAGGCACTGGCGATAGGATGCAAGGTCGTGGCTTGGGCTGCTTCACAGGGTGGTCTGCGTGGTCTGTGCCTCCCAACTGCACGAACCCTCGCAGACAACTCTAGCGCCTGCCAGCGACGGCTGGATCCTGTGGAGGTGAGCATGGAGAAGCGGAGTGGAGGGCGGCGCCACTGCACTGGTTAAATAAAAGGGGGCGTCGTGGGTGGCAGCAAAGGCTGCGACATGACCGCCACTCGTGGAGAATGTATCATATGTCTTGGGATGGTCGCCTTTCTCTTGGATCCTCATTTGGTCCAGTCCGCGCTGACAGCAGCGACATGTACATACGTGAAGCTGCTTGTATGGTAGATATCTAGCACACAGGTGGATCCAACTCACCAGATGCCGGCGACGATGGACTGAAAGATCGGGAACGGGAACGCCAACGAGCTGATCGGGGGTCTTCTCCTCCACTCCTGTGTGGTGGGTCTCAGTAGCCATCATGCTGATCCGAGCTAGCTGCGCCTCCCAGTCTTGAACCAGCGCGCCTGGCGGGAAAGACTAGAATAAAGAGTGTGAGGGAACGAAACCAAAATATTCGGATTCGACACCCCCGGAGCTCGACTATGGAAGCCCGCTTTGTAGTTGATATGTATATCCATCGTCTATGAGTACCCAGCTCGACGCTCTATCCAGGAAGCTTACCATCCAAGAAGGACCCTCGAGTCGGATGGGTCTGTTCCTGACATGGAACAAGAGTCCGACCGTCTTCTACTCAGGAAGGATCATACAGCACGGAACTGTGTCAAAGGTCGCTGGCATGGATATGGGCCCCCTAGGCTCTCAGAGGATGGTGCCAGGATACACACCTGCAAGCTGAACAGAGGAGCGGGGTCAAAGTTGGGCTTCAAATAATTGGAACATCCATCCCACTCCCCAGACCTAATGTATGGAGAATGCTCAAAGCAGGCTTGGCAAACCTTGACAAAGGTCCTACCTCAGCTGATGAGCTGTTTGGTGCTGCACAGGAGATCTGAAACTTGATTCCACAGGCTAAGATAGACAGGCTAATTGATAGCATGCCCAAGAGAATTGCCACACTCAGGAGGGACGGTGGGTGGTCGCTTACAAACCAAACTATGAATCTCAAGCTTTGAGAGTCACTTCTTTATCCCCTTCTGCAGGCACTGACAAAGTTTCATGTCTCTAGCTGTTTGCATGCATGAGATATGAATGGTCTAGGTCCACAGTATAATTTGCCATTGAATGGACGTTTGTGCGATAATTTTGCCACCCCACTGTATCGCTCATGAAACGTACGACGATGGACCTCGACCTGGATATGGGACAGATGGAGGCTTATTTACCGACGGCAAGAAAGGAGGACCTGGCTGTCTCATACATGATGGCCATCCTCTGTGCGGATCGCTCGACGCCCGGACTGCCATTCTGCCACCTTTGGCCCAGTGTGGTGCCACCTGATCGGCTTCGAGGCTAGCCACATGATTGGCTTCGAGGCTAGCTTGTTGGTGCACTATTGGCAGCTATCAGTCTCCTTGTGGTCTTTCCAGGGGTGCAGTCGGCTCCAGTCGTAAAGGTTTCCATGTCTCATGCTGACAGTGATTCCACTGACAGAGTATGCCAACATCGATGTGAAGGGACATTGAGCTTTGATGTTGCAAAAGATCGATCTCAGCATACTTCTGTCGGTGGAACCCGAGCCCATGAAGGCTCGACGCCTATCGCAGCTTCCGTATCTCACTCTCAACAGCATGCATCGTCCGCTCGACAACACGGCACCATTCTCGGGAGCGAACGGCGATTATTCCCTAATCAACCCTTTTACCAGATCCTAATATGGCCGGTACCTCGTAATAAACCCCCATTTCCTAATTCCTAATCACACCACTGCGTCATCATCCTTCCCCCCGCCCTTTGTGCAACTCAACCTCAACCTCACCATGAACCCACCATGACAGGCACATCCCCCGGCCTCCCAGGCCCATCGCGGGACCCATCCGCCTCCTCCATACGACGTCCACTAGGCGCTCGACGTCGCGGCATGGCGCCAGGTCTCTTCATCGCCAACCCGGACAACTCGGACGAAGAATACTCTCCGACGTCTCCCATCAGCCCATTAGCCACCTCTAGCTCATCTTCTGGCCAACATGCCACCGTACCCGCTCCTCAATCTGCCCCGCTCGCCTCACCTCTCCTCCCCCCACTCCCTCCTCCTCAACCTGAGCGTCACCTCAGGCGAGCTCAGACGACACCGATACCTGAACCACCACGGCATGAACAGAGACCGTCACTGGGTTCGTCGTCACCCTCCCGTGCACTTCCACCGCTACCCTCACCCCCGATCAGCTCACCAGACCCAGCCAGAGTCACCAGTCCATCCGACATGGTCAGTCCGTCGAGCAGTCGCGCCCGGTCTGGTTCGCTCCTGGGGAAGATTCGGGTCCAGGCGACCGTAGACAATGAATCGTTCACCACGGTGGACATTACTGGGATGCAGTCGGCCGAGGGGATCAAGGATAAGATATTTTCAAAGGTGAGTGGATGGTGTGGCCGTCGAGGCGAAGCCGAGACAGGCAGCGCTGGCGGGGAGCGAGATTGGCAGACAGCGGCCGGGACGACGTTTGCGAGTCTTGCGACGTAGGCTCCTCCTGCGTCGCTCTCCTGCGTCGCTGCAGACCTCGTCGTACGAGCCGCTGCCGCCCTCGATCGCCTTTGTCGCCTTCGCTGGCTAGCTGCCTCTCTCGGCTTCGCCTCGCTCGTCAGCTTCGCTCGCTCACTCGTGCAGCTCCGCTTTCGTGACGACGAATACCCCCACCTCTCCCTCTTCACCACCGACGTCGACCTCCAACCCTCTTCCACCCGCCTCACCAACGAAGCCCTCCTCCACCTCTGCCTGACCAAAGGCGACGCCAAAGCCAACCTCAAATTCTTCGTCATGCAAGATCATTTCGGCGACTCGTCCGCCACCGTTGTCCCTCCCGCCGCCCCGGAGACCGAACTCCCTCGCTCCAAAGGCTTTCGCCAGCTCGCCTCCATCTCCCCGAGCTCGAGCAGCCTGCCCACCCCGGATGAAGCTGCCTCCCCTGACATGGACGACGAGACGAGAAAACTCATCGCCCAGCTGCAGCGCGAGGAAGAGGATCAGACAGACGCCCGCCGTCGTCAACTCGAAGCCGACGAGGAACTCGCTCGTCGCGAACAGCGAGCCGAACGAGACGTCTGGGAGGCGATGCAGGAGATGGAGCTGGAAAATGCCCGCCAGCGTACCGCTCAGATCGAAGAAGACGAACGTCGCGCACGCCAGGTCGAAGCCGAGGACCGGCGTCAGGAACAAGAACGCCAAATGGAGATCGAGCGCGCTCAGGAAGAGGCCGCGAGGACAGCATGGAACATGGAACAGCAGGAAGCTCAGCAACAACGCACCGACCGTCACACTCAATTCGCAGAAGATCGTCGTCAACGGGCTCAACATTTCCGTCAACAGGGGGCAGACTTTACCTTCCCCACCGCTGTGCCGTTCCGCCCCGGCTCCCATCCACACGGCTCCACTCGCACTCCCGCTGGTTATATCGCCGCACGCAATGACGCTCCCTCCACCGGCGAACGCAACATGGATCCACGTCTCCGCCAGATGAGCGGCTACTCGTACCGCCAACGACCCTTTCCCGCCCTCAACACCGACCCCGCCCCCGCAGTCTCCCGTCCACCCTACGAAGGCGTCCCTCAACGCACCTACACGCCGGTACCGTCAACCTCGAAGCGTTCGTATGACACGGACATGTATCGCAGCTCGTCCATTGGGCAAGACGGTCGCTACCCCAGCCCCGTCTCCTTCCCTCGCCCGCACACTCGCAACGGCTCCTCCTCCTCCCTCTCCTACCTCGAAGACGTCTGGGACGACAGCACGCGCTCACGTCGTGGCTCAGCTTCAGAAGCCTACACCACGCTCGCCGCGGCACCCCGTCGCGCGAGTCACGCAGGCGACGATCGCAGCGGTCGTTGGGACGATACAGTGTCCTCGCAAAACACTGTCACCCGCCAAGACGTCGATCAGTGGACCCATATCCAACACATGCTTGCCGACACCAATGGCCTCCGCCCCACCGTTGACGACGAAGACGACGACAACGACGACAACGACGACGAAGAACAAGAAGAACAAGAAGAGGCCACCCTGTTCCTCCCTGCGTCCCGACCCAATCTTTCGGTCCAGACCAACGCTCGCCGCGGTCCGTTCAAGAACACCGACCAACATGCCGGCTGGCACGATCGGCCCAACCCCGAAGCCCTGTACGAAGTCCTCGACGAGGCCTTCCCCGAAGTCGATCTCGACAAACCCTTTGTGGACCCTGGTCTCGTCACTCCTACCACGCCTGGCGCCGAATCTCCCAGTCTCGAACAGCAACATCAGCCGCCCCTCCTCGCACCCATCCGCCCCCCAGTCCAGCCCACCCGTGACGTTGTCAAAACCGCCCACCGCAAATCCATCCGTGTCCTCGCCGCCCGCACCCTCTTCAAAGATGTCAAAAACGCCCTCACCGGTGAGCACAAGGAGCAAGAGGAGAAGAAACCCGAGGACAAACCCAAACGTCGAGCGAGCATGTGGGGTCACAAGATACAAGAAGTCACCCCGTCAAGACTGGAAGACGTTCCCCCGACGATCCCCGAATCTCCCGCGGCCGATGGCAAACCGGCCACTCTCCGCTGGGTCAAGGGCGAGCTGATCGGCTCTGGCTCCTATGGCAAGGTGTTCCTCGCCCTCAACGTCACTACTGGCGATATGATGGCGGTAAAGCAGGTCGAACGCCAGTCGATCGGTGGCGCGGTGGACAAGCGACTCCAGGGTCAATTCGACTCATTGAAATCTGAAATCGCTCTCCTCAAGGACCTCTTTCACCCCAACATTGTGGCATACCTCGGATGGGAGGAAACACCAGAAGCCCTGTCCATGTGAGTCCGCGCGCATCTACACGCTTCCTGACCGGCCCCATCACAGTTTCCTCGAATACATTCCCGGTGGCACCATTGCTGCGATCTACCGCACTCCCGCGCTCGCCGGAGGTTTCGAAGAACAACTCGTCAAATACTTCACCCGCCAGATCCTCGAAGGCCTTCTCTATCTCCACGAACGAAACATTCTCCATCGCGACCTCAAAGGGGACAACATTCTCGTCGACCTCAACGGACAGTGCAAGATTGTCGATTTTGGCATCTCCAAGCGGTACTCTGACGTCTACGACTCGATCATCGAGCAAAAGACCATGATGAAGGGGAGTTGGTATTGGATGGCACCAGAAGTTCTCGGTCCGACCAAAGGCGAGACACCAAAGTCGTACTCGGGCAAAATTGACATTTGGAGTACCGGCTGTTGCGTCGTCGAAATGTTCACAGGTCAAAAGCCCTTCCCGGGGGTTCAGCCCACCACCGCGATCCTGATGGTGAGTCGTTCGCCGGTCAAAATGGCTCGCTGACGATTTTCAAGGTGTTCCAAGGGGATATTCCCCCGATCCCCACCGATATCGGCATCTCTTCCACGGCGATGGATTTCATGACCCAGCGCTGTTTGGTCCATTCGTCGGAGAACCGCGCGACGGCCGCAGAGTGTCTACGTCATCCGTTTATCACAGAAGTGGATTCAAAGTGGACCTTTGCGCAGAGCAAGATTGGCAAATTTTTGGCGAAAAAGGAGACAAAGTCGGTCAGGCGAGGCGGGCGGGGCGAAGTCGAGCAGCGAAGCTGAGTCGAGCGAGGGGGGGCGAGGCGTGCGAGGCGAAGCCGAGCAGCTCAGGTAGATTCCCAACGGGCACGTGTCATTCACCTCGCAGCTGAGACGGGCGAGGCGAAGCCGAGCAGCCCATGTGGCTTTCCGACACATGTCACTCATCTCGCGGCTTCCCGATTGACACATGTCACTCATCTCGCGGCTTCCCGATACATGACATTCACCTCGCTCGGCTTCGCCTCGCTCGTACATGTCATTCAGCTCGCTCGACTTCACCTCGCTCGTACATCATGCACACATCTACTTGTCCACGACCGTGGTCGAGGTCACTACAATGTTCAGATCCATCGGCTCCTGAGGCCTGTTGACATCCAGCGGCCCTCTAAAGTCCTTGAGCTGCCCCGGCAGATTCTGCTTTGGCTCTTCGCCATCTCGTAGCATCCTCGACCCAGGCTGCGCAGCAAAGGGCAAATCAAAGGCGTCGGCGGACGAGTGGCTCTCGGCGAGATCCTCCAGATCCGCTCGATCCAGATTGAGTCGTTCACCCAGCGCACCCCACGGGTTGGACTGGCGTTCGAGGTCCCTCGGTCTGATACTCGCTCCGTCGTCCCGTCGGACCTTGCGCACGCCAAACGGACCTGCGGGCTGTCTGACAAAGACCGGCGCTGTCGTCCTACCCATGCCCGCTTCAGACGTCATGCTTCGAGGCAGAAGGATCTGGCATGAGCGCGGGGTGTTCGTCAAACCAACTCACCATGAGCGAGATGCAGGTCGAGATGAATGCGGAGAAGTAGGCCGAGACGAACAGACAGTCGGTCCAGAATCTGACAATCAGCCGTGGATCCCTTCACGCCCTACTCACGGAGTGGTGTTCAAAAACGCGTGCTTGGTATACCCATCCACCGAGAGTGCCATGAGCGTTGCCGAGTAGAGCAACCTGAACACTGTCCTTGCCAAGTTGAGCTCTTTGAAATAGTGCAGGCGACCCAGGACTTCTGGATTGGCACCTTGTTTGCGCTTTAGTCATCAGCCAGCGCTCCTCAGGTTGCTCCACCATACCCACCGACTCGTTGATGAATCCTGGGAACACCACAATGAGCCACAGCGACGAGACAAAGTTGATAATGGCCACGACGGACCCCGCGAGAAAGATGTTGTTCTCCATCTTGACAATGTTCTTCGTCTCGATCGAGCCTGCAGCGGGCATGATGCAAATGACCTGGAATCAGCACCATCGTCACCTATCTGAATCCCCACCGCGAGAGATCCCGCAACCCAGAGCTTGAAATAGATCGACTTGAACCAACTCTCATTGTTCCTCGATCGGATGGCGTTGATGAGATAGCCCCAGTACAGGGTCTCCTCGCCGTGCACTGCGAGCATGAGTGCCCATCCGACCGACATGACGTGATAACCGTTTCGCATGAGTGTTTGACGAGTGGCCGACCACTGTCGACGTCAGTATTCGCACTCCCTTCTCTGCCACTCACCAGTTGAAATGGCACTGGCAATATCTCCACCTCGTCAGGACCCACAGGAATCACCCCGTAGGCCTCTTGATACTTGATCCAAGTGATGATACCACACCAAGTGAGGAACTTGACATTCAGCCAAATGCTCTGACCCGCGAACCCACGCAAACCAGCGACACCATCAACATCATCAATATCACTGGACCAATCAGTAATGCCTTGCCTGCCCCGGACCGACCTACCCCATCGGAACGCGTCGCGTCGGGTGAACAGGAGACACTTGCCCCCGTCAAACGACCTTATATGCCATGCGACAAAGATGGCACCAATGACAGTGACAAAGAGTGATAGGACAGATGCGGCGGGGGAAGTGTGACACATGGTGAAGAGATGGGGGGGGGGGAGGGGGGAAAGAAGAGCACATCTGCTGCCATGTTCTTATATCCTGTGGAGCGACCACTTCGAAGGGCTGCTTTGAAGGGATAAATTGGGAAGGGATCGTTTGAAGGATGCTAGTGGGATGTGGGTAGCCTTTGCGGGAAATTGAGTGGGTAGAGCCTTGTGAGGATGAGTGCAGCAATGTGTCTTGAGTGGGCAGAGCCCTGTGAGGATGAGCAACATGTCCTTGAGTGGGTAGAGCCTTATAAGGTTGACTTGGTTGGGCACAGCCTTGTGTGAGTACACAGGAGGGAGATCGTCTGTGTGAGGCACCTTTAGCCATCAGCACACAATCATGCTCCAATTGTACATCCACACAGGCGCTAATCAAAATACCTGCCAAACCTCCCCTGCAGCGTCTCATAGATGAAGAATATCATGGCCGAGCTCGGCGCACTCCTCAACACTGTCATCCCACATCCCGCATACAACCCTTTGATCCCTTTCGTCTTCCAAATCTTTTGACCCATTGCCAAGAAACCCAATCTCGGCTTATCAGGATGTAATTCGGCCCACGTTTGGATGGACGATTTGACACTGTCCGCAGGGAAAAGGATGACATTGTACGCTGCTCCTGCCGCTGCGCCCGATGCCATGAGTTGCCATGTCGGGAGATCAGACTTGACCAAAGGGGTCGCGACCATCGCTTGTCGCCGAGAAAGGAACCAACCAGAGACGAGTTCGTAAGTTGTGAACCACGCGGCAGATCCTCCAGTTTCTCGGAAAAGTGTCCCCAGTTGTCCGAGCCAGAGTCCACGGATGCCTTGGGTACGAAGGGTGGAAAAGATGAGAGAAAGGGGGCCTTCGGGTGGAGCGACAGTTCCCAAAGTCCTTGCGCTACTCGCTGGGCCGCCCGTGCTGGCGCTCATGCCGGCCTCCCTCACCAACATTTGCACCTGCATCCGACACTTGATAAGCTCAATCGGTGTCCTTTCGTCAGCCCAACGCCTGACCAAGGCGCACCCTCACAAGATAAAACTCGCACACGCGCCTGCAGCTCCGGCGGCCAAAGCCAACTCTGGCGTGCTCAGCTCTCTCCTCTTCCCCAACACCTTTTCCGAAACTCCCGGCGACGACGACGACGCCGCAACGATGGCATCTTGACACTTGTTGTAGACCAAAAACAGTGTCGCATTCTCCGCCATAGCGCCGATAACAGGCATCGACAAGCCCTGATCATCAGCGCGCACCCCGCCGATACCCTTGAGCCCACCCTATACAGCCCCCGCCATCCTTCCTTCCCATACGTCTGTTTAAAGCAATCCAGCGGTCCACTGAACGATGCAGGTGCGTCCCCGGGCTGAGACTGTAACCTCACTTTGACCAGATCAAACGGATGCTCAAACACCTTTGAAATCATCCCCGCAATCTGAACCCCCCATCAGTCCCATCAGCACTCTCACAACAACCCACAGATCCAAACGTGATATCCCTCGCTGCATTTGCCTTGGCCCCATCGTCAGACATGGTGGTGTTGGTCAAGAGATAGAGAGAAAAAAAATCAAAATTTAAACCCAAAAATAATGCATGATAATGCTGCAAACAACATGCCTCAATCCGGCTTGGGAGTCTTTGGCTCCGGTATACTCGGACGACGATCCTCCACATACTCTGGCACCAGCTCTTGCAATATACTCCTCTCCATATCCTGCCTCGGCCTTATAGTCGACGTCCTACTGTCCCCCGACCCCGTCATCGTCGTGATAGGCTGCGACCCGCGTCTCGTTTGAGACATTTCAATCGCCGCGGCGCGAGCTGTCCCTTGTGACAATCGCGAGGCGTCGGAGCCAAGACGCGGCGAGTTGGGCGACCTCGACCGTGGAATAAAGCTCGCTCTGACCCAAGACCCACTCCCATCCTGGCGTTGTCCCGAGGGTGATGTCGTCGGCGACATGGCATCTCTTCGGACCTTTCTCCGGACCATCCGTTTTGTGCTTTAAAATGTCAGCGACCAGCCCTTTTGGCTCGTTTGACCCACTGCCACTCGACGAGGCCATAGATAATGGCATCAAGGATGCCCTGCGAGAATATGAACCACCTCGAGACCGCTCTCAACGGCTTTGGCGGCGTTCCAGCAATATCATCTGGTTGTGGTGAGCCGTATTCAGTCTCCGCCACACTCACAAATGATCCTGACAAGGGACACTGAGAACAACATGACATACTGCCATCAGCCATGCTCAACACTGTCCAGCACTCACGCCCAGAGGAAACCACAACATCAACAACGACGTCTTCCTGTTCAAATACGACGCCATACTCTCCTCCACAAATACGATCGACTCGCCCTGTCTCGGCGCGAACGGATCCTCTTGTGATCTTGGCGGGGCCGTCACCTTGAGCACGTTCATCAAATCCAACTGCTCATCCTCTGTATCACTCTTCACTTCTTCTGCCTGCGTGTCGAGACTGGGCTTTGGCTCCGTTGGCACGGGGGTGATCAACTCGTCGTTGTATGCCGAATCGGAAATGCTCGGTCTCACGCTGACACTGTTCCTCGCTGTAGGTACCGTCGGCGTCTCGAGCAGTCTCGACGGCGCAGAGCTAGTCGTCGCAGCAGAACCCCGCCTGATGTCCTGCTCCACCCTGATCCGTGGTTGTCCAAATGGACTGCCATCTGGCCACGACTCGCGGTTCGGCGAGGCGACTTCCGAGGGCGAGACATAATCGACAGGTGCTGGCCCGTCATCGGACGAAAGCGAGCCAAACGGTCTCGGAATGGATGTCTGAGGGGTGGATGAGAACAACCCCGTCCTTGGTCTCTTTCGTCGACCGCGAGTCGGGCTGAAATTGGTAGACGGTCCGCCATACTTTTGTCCGTCAATCTGAAATACTGGCAGATCGACCCGCTCCCATGGGGGAATCTCCTCCAAGGGCGCGGTAGGCTGTCCCTCTTCTTCTTCTCTTGATCGCCTTTTTACGCGGAGAAATGACAGACCGCGGCTTTTGCGTTTGAACGATTCGAGTCCAAACGGAGACGACCTGCGGTGATTGGAATACGTGCCGGTGGGAGAGTCTGAATAAGGGGAGCGGATCTTGTCGGGTCGACGGAGGAAGACGTAGAGTCGAGCATAGAGGATGGAGATGGCGATGAAAACGATCGCCCTGGGTGGGTCAGCCAACGTTCACCCCTGGTGCGCCTCACCTGGGAATGAATTGCATGAGCTCGGAGAAGAGTCCGGTGGGATAGTAGCAGATGCCCCCGCCTAATCATCAGCGCCGAGTCACCAGAGCACATCTCACTCGGCTTGTACCCGTAGATTTCATATCCCATGACGGAGAGACCAAACGAGCATACCCAGACTGGCATCAGCCATGAAATTGTGCGTCGTCTCACCCAGCAGCAACAACCACGCCCATCGTTTCTCGAGCCAGAGGGTGATGGCATGGAGGGGCTTGAAAAGTTCAGCCGAGTCAGCCGAGCGTGACTCACGTAGATCAAGATCATGTACGTTGACAGAGCCAGCAACAATGTCCACATGTGTTCTTAACGTTTTCAGCCCCCCAGAGTCGACACTGGCTTACCTGACCAGATCGTGGCCACGAGCACCACGCCGATACCATCACACGCTGTCCCTGGCTTCAGTCCGCCCTCTGATAGCCCTATGGATACGCCAATCGCACCAACGATGCTGAGATAAAAGTACCCTTAGCATATGGTATGATGTTCTTCCCCCCTCACTCACCCCAAGGCCAGGTCCGACACCACGAGTGATTGCACTATTCTCATTCGCGTGGTCGCTGGTCTCCCTTTTGCAAACTCCAAATATGCCATGGACCCGAGTATAATCAACGCACCGACGATGGTGGAGAACTGCAGGAAATCCCCGTTCAGCAAGGTTCATTTTCCAACAATGTCTCACCAAAATAATCTCGTCCACGATCATGACCCACTTGTCCCCTTCGACAGGGACGGGGATGGCCCTGCCGACGAGACTCGCGCCGACATGATAGAGCGAGTCCACTACTGGCATGACTATGTCGTGTCCATGAGTGGCCAAGGGGGGGTTGGGGAAGGGGGGGCGGGGGGGGTTTGGAGACAGAGTATCTACAAGGGAGAAGGATAGGTTACAGGTCGATATATGGACGACGAAGACGTCGTCCTTGTTACGTTGTTATTTTTCCCCTCCGTCGGGTTGATTAGCAAACCATTTTTGTAATGCAATTTTGTAATCGATTAGGAGCGTCAACCCGTCGTATTAGGTTTTGCCCCTCAGGGGTCTTCGTGGCGTTTGTTAAAAGTGGCGCCCGTGTGTATGCGCCCTTGTGGCTGCATACACATTGTGCCAAACACACCTCCTGTTCTTTTCCTGTCGATCAGATATAGTAAATGAAAGAACGAAAAGCCCCATCCAGAGAGACACTCCTCTTCCTTAGGGACATGGTTCATTCCAAAAGCTACATATGCATGTGGCTGGACTCCGATCCGTATGGCGTGCATACTCGCATCAGATGCGCTGTGCCGCGACCTCGGCTTCTATAGGTAATGGCATCGGCCGACCCATGGCCTCAGTGACACCGCTGGATTCCAGAAACTGAGCCCATTTCGGCTCGATGAAGAGCGCACTGAGGTGTCATCAGCACGCGTCGTCGTCTCTCACCTTGACCTACCTCGCCTCGGCGACGACGATCCCATCCAAAGTCTCCATAGACCCACTGACCCATACTTTTCGCCCGTCCATCTTGTCCAGCTTTGTCCGGAGCACCACAAACTGGCTTGTTAGCGTGGTGGACGTCAAGGACCCACCTGATCCGCCATACATGGAGACTTGTAGTTGATTGTCAGACTCGCTGTGACGCCAATGTGCGTCTTGATATTGAGCAAGGCCTGGCCATCAGCGTCGTGGAGAGCTCGGTCCAAAACTCACATTCCTCGCCAACGTCTCGTCAAACGTCGTCGCGATCAGACCTCCATGTATGATCCCATCGTGCCCGCACAAAGCTCTTCCGTAGTGTAACACAGCTGAGGGGTCAACTCGTCCCAGTCACTTTGTCACCCACCAACGGCCTCTGATTCATCCCTCTTTGCCCACAGCAACGGGGCAATGGCGAGCTTGCCGGGACCCCGCAATGTCCCCGCGGTGAGCGAATTGTGAACCTTTTGGGGATCGAATTTGGAATACGGTCCTGTCCCTCAGCTCGATGCCCCCCTCATCCGCACACTCACTCGTCTCATACCATCCCCCACTCGTCCCGTCACCACCCCTCACTCTATCCCTCATCTCGTGCGTTATATTCAACCCCTGAATCTCCCTCTCGACATCACTCGTGATCGCCTTGCCCCGTGTCGAATCCTTCTCAGGCGGAGGAGGCGAGTACCGTGGATATAATAGCAAGACCAGATTCGGTGGAAAGGCCGATCCAACGAGGTACGTCGCGGGAAAAGCGAGCAAGAGGACTACATGTCAGTGGAATTCTGACCACCATCTCGCTCACAGAATCGAGTGGACCATTTGCGCAAAGGCGTCCGGCGAGTCTCACTGTACCAGCGCCGGATCACCTGATGCCTCGGCCCTATACTTGTCCTCAACACACCACCCAACATCATGTCAAGTGGTGAAAATGCAACATGCCCGATTTTCGGGCTCATCCACTCTCCGGAAATAACCGGCAATTGTACATTTGGGCCCCCATTTTTCGTTCTATAATCTACGAAGGGACTCGGCCCGCCAGCAGGCCAGCTCCGTGACCCACAGCATGCAACATGTTGACCGGCAGGAACCCCTCACCCACACCGACAGACCTAGCCAAATCGTTCATCTGAGAGAACAACAGATAGTCTCGCGAGTGCATTCCAGCGGGCGTGAACAGTTGCGTCCCGGCGACGATTCCGACTGGGGGGTCAGCGACAATAGGCAACCAAAACGACTCACTGGCAAACGCTGCGATCGTACACACAGATAGCCATCCGATAGCTTCATGACTCGCATAGATCACCTTTTTCCCACCCTCCGCTTTCACCCCTCGCCTCTTGATATCCTCTTCGAGCACTGTGCACCGTCTCCCAGCAGCCGAAACGACGGCATCATAGGCCCCGTGAATGACAACTGACGTGGCCTTGGGATGAGCCTGATCCAACACCTCTTGCACGTTGACAGGCTCCGGCTCGGCAGTGTACGCGGGGGGGTCCTCCTTCCGTGAAGGCCCTGGGACCTCGTCCGTGCCCACGCTCACATCGGCGTACTCGACCACCTGATCCGGGGCACGTTTCTATTATCAGCACAGCTCACCGAGACTCGCCCCTACCTTGGCTCGTTGACGTCTCGTCACCACCGTCTCGACGACTTCATCCTCATCCTCCTGCTCCGCCGTCACCAGGCCATCCGCTAAACGTCGATTGATCTCATCCCCGAGATTCCTTGACAAGGTCGGCGCGCCAGACGAGCTCGTACCAATCTTGGCATGTCCTCCAACCCTGAGTGCATTGGCGGCCGCGGCACGGGCCTCATCCAGGTCGAATCGCATCCGATCAATCGTCTCTTTGAGCTGAAGGTTCTCCTGCTTTTGTACCTCTAGCACCGATTCGGCCCGCCTCGCAGACTCCAGGTCCGATTGCATCCGCTTGACCTCCATCTCGAGACTCTGAATCTCCCCCGTGTACTGCGGTCAGCCAGAGTCCCCCGGCGACCTCCTCACCTTTGCCTCGTCCGCTTCGTGCTCCTGCGCAGTCTCCTCCAATGTCCTGATCTCTGCGTCGCGATCCCGAAGCATGTCTCGAAGTCGTTGCGCCTCGTCTGGCCGTGAGCCCGGATCCAGCGCGTACACTCACCACACTGCGAATCATACATCTTTTGCATGCTCGCTCGGCTCTCTTTAGACTGCTCGAGCAGTCTCTGCACGTTGGACAGATCCGCTTCGAGCTGTCGTCAGCAAGGTCACGCTACGTCTTTCACCCACCCCGCTGATCTGAATCTTTTGCGCCAACTCATTGTTCCTCAAATCCTTGTCCTCTTTGCGCTTCAACGCGAGCTCGTGACGTGCTTCCTCGAGTTGCCGCTCAAGGTCCATGACCATCCGGTCATTGTCGGCCCTGGACATCAGGCCAAATCTTCACACCTCTACACCCACCCTAACAAGGCCAACTGCCTCTCGGACTCTTTCAACTTTCTCGCCAGCTCCCCGTTCTGCTTCTGCAGCGCCTGCAACTTGTCGTGCGAGGTTCTCAACGACAAACTCGAGCCAGTCTGACAGTTGAGCACGGTCACATCGCCACTCACTCACCGAGAGCCTGCTCAACCTCGGGTTCATCGCCTCGAGCATTTCCTCCCCAAGCTGATCATCCGTCTCATCCACCTCGTCCTCGGTGATTTCTACCGTCGGCTCCGACTCCGGGTCCTGCACTTCCACCTGCTCACTCGCCACACTTTCTGGGGACTTGGGTGAATGAAATTCTTCGGACAGTGGGGACCCGACCTCTTTTCCAAACGTCGGCGACGCTGTGAACGACCTCGACGACATGCTCCTACCGATCGGTCTGAACTCTTCTCCGTCCACATCACTTGATATAGACCCATTGGCACTGCCTCGTCGTCGTCGGCTGGCTGGACTGGGCCTCGCAAACGATCCAAAGTTGCCAAAGGCACTGGGCGGACCCCAGTGCCTCGTCCTAGCTGCCAATGGCGAGTCCATGTGCGAGTCGGAGAGCGTCTTGGGCCGTTTGGGCATGCCTGGACGACTGATGGTTGGAGCATTCAGGGCATGAGGGAATGACCTGCTGACGGTAGGTGCGGAAGTCTGTCGATCAAGCGCGTATCCGACATTCTCGTCCGAGCTGGATGACGAATCCGAGGGCGAACGGATACGATCCGAGTTGCGTCGACGATGCTGCCTTGGAGTTGTCTCTTCGAGTTCGCGAAAGGCTGTCGGAGGAAGAGATTGTGATGTGGTCATCCCTGGATCAGGTGAACGTGCGGGGGACAATTTGGTAGCACTGCATGTCAGCTTTTGTCACAAGCTTTTCGACTCTCACTTTAAAAATCCAAACATCTCCTCAGGACCCAATCTCAGATCCCCATGAGGCTTGACAAGGTCCCGCAGGACGACATCCTCACCCGGATCAAGTATCGTCACATCGTGCTCTCGCTCATACTGTGCGACAACTTTTTGATTTCTCGTCAGCGACGCCTCTCACACACACTGTGCACATACCATCGGGCAAGTCGCCACAGAGAATGTACCCCGCCTCCCCAATGAGACTATCCAAAATACTCTGTAGCTCTGAGTCTGACCTCTGATTTGACTCCATGGTGAGATGTCGATAGCTCGTCGCTGGACAAGAGAGACAGAGAGAGATGAAACACGGGTCAACAACAATGAGATGCGGGGCACCACGTGTAGCGGAATCAAACCAAAATCCGCCACACGCAACCCTCGGTGAATCGAAATTTTCGGCGTTTTCTAAACACCGAAATCCCAACGTCTTAATACTCGTTGACGGTGGTCTCTGGACCTCCTCCTCATCCCTCAAGACACCATCCAAGACCAAGCAAGTGAGTGGGTGAAGGGGGCATTCACAGGACACGGCTAGGAAGAGACATTTGGGGCAATGTCAGAGTTCCTGAAGAATACCATCAGGGGTCTCAATCGAATGGAGAGACCCTCGGAGCCGTGTGCTGGGATGGCATTGGTTGTCAGTGTGCTGACTTTTTGCGCAGGATGGGTCGATTCACAGAGTACTCTGTCGTCGGGCGAAAGCTCCCGAGCGAGGCGGACCCGTCGCCCAAGCTCTAGTGGGTGATGTGTGCCGGGTTCGCTGTGCTGACCGTCTGTTTAGCCGGATGAGAATCTTCGCTCCCAACGATGTCGTTGCAAAGTCTCGATTCTGGTACTACCTTCGTCAATTGAAAAAGGTCAAAAAGGCCAGCGGAGAGATTGTCGGACTCAACGTCGTGAGTCTAGTCAATGTTTCACCCCGTCTCACGCCCCAGATCTCCGAGAAACGACCCCTCAAGGTCAAAAACTTTGCCATCTGGCTCCGATACGACTCTCGATCAGGTACCCACAACGTGAGCAGCACTCCTACCATCCGCCCCCCACCCCTTTCTGACTACCTCCCCTTGCAGATGGTCAAAGAGTTCCGAGCCCTTTCCCGAGCTGAAGCCGTCGAGGCCATGTACCAAAACATGGCTGCCCAACACCGAGCCCGATTCAGGAACGTCCAGATCCTCCGAGTCGCTGAGATTGCCAAAAAGGACGACGTCAGGAGACCATACATCAAACAACTCCTCGACCCCAAACTCAAATTCCCTTTGCCTCACAGGAGGACCAAGTCCAAGGCTTGGTACGCCGCCAACAGACCTGTGAGTGGAATATGGCGAGGGTGTCGCTGACGTGTAGGCTACCTGGGCTTAGGAGGATGTATGTGGATGCCTGCTATGCATCGAGATATGACGATGGTTTGGTCAACGAGCATTCAGTGAAGGGTCTGTGAAGGGATCTCGAGTGTTGATGGGCTTCTCATTGTCGCGGACTCGCGTGGAACAAGCTGGGGGAATTGTCCCAGAAATGCTGCCAAGCGACTTGCACCCCTGTCGCAAACCCGCCTTTGAGCTAGTGCCTATCGCACCACAACCATGATTTCCTGCTGAGCCTGGGCGGAGGCACATCTGTCACACTGAACGCTCAAGCACGTTCTGTATTGACCTCGAGTGTGCGAGGTCCATCCAGGGACTGTACTGTCTCAAGAACGGCACGCACAGCGTCGAAGCTTGATACAATCTCCGTTCCTACACTTCAGTCAGACTGCAGTTGTCGAAAGATATCTGTGATTGCTCGACGCCGTTGTCATCAGCGGTGAACAAGGAGAGCTGCTCCGACGCCTTGCCGAGGATTGCACCTGTACTACTGACCACACCAGAGGATCCGTGGCATTGGTCCACCAGCGGATCACGGACGAAGAGCCCGATGCCGGACACTGTCGGCGGACGATGCCTGCGAAGATGACGAGATGGCCATGCGAGAGCAGATGGACACGGCGTTTGAGAAAAGCATACATTATAACATAAGAAAGTCATTAGATGCTACATGTCAATCGAGTGTCCTCTGATCATCACTCACTCTAGCTCTCGTCCATCGCCTCTTCACCCACTTCCTCTGCATCTGCCCACCACGACACCACACCCAGCCCGACGTCCGCAATGGTGGCGAAAATCTTGTACCCGGCTTTATGAAACGGGTCTTCCTCTGACTCTTCCTCATGCCCATTGGCAATATCATGCCGAGCTTTGGGTTGTGGTCTGACATCTTGCCATTCAATGTCTGAGACGCGGAACCGTATGGGTTCACCGGGATCGATAAAGAGACGGGCTGTGCTCATGAGTCATACGCCCAAAAGTTTTCGCTCACACGTCACGACGGTATTGAGGAGCTCATGTTGGGTGTATACCCTGTCCTCGGGCTCCGGATCAGATAGCCAGAAGAACCTCTCCTCATTCGGGTCACTGAGGTCAGCTTCATCCCCCCGCTTTATACCGCTCACTAGGCAGAATTCGGCGGCAGGAGATTGGGCGTAATGTAAATGTCATTAAAAAACCCCATGGACACTGAGAGTCAGATCTCGCCCACACTGAACTGACCCACCCCTGATGTACGACTTTGTCGTTGACAAGACTTGACCGACCAAGACTTCACCGATGAATGGGGCGAATAACAGCAAGCGAAAGGAGACTTGCCCATGAGCGATCATCCTGAGACGGGAACTCACCTTTGTAATACATCAGACCGTTACCCCATGTCACACGACCATCTTCAGCGGTGAGAATGTCAAAACAGGACAAGCCAAGACCTTTCTGAGGTATCAACTTGTTGGCGTATCTATACCATCATCAGCTTATCAACTCGCGCCAAACTCTCAACTTTTTGTTGATGGCATCTTGGATGGTGATCGCTGCGGGGATCTCGAATGCCTCGGGCTTGACCGGGACGGTATCCTTAAACTATGAGCTCGAAGCGGCTCTTAACACTCACCCTGACGCCGATGAGGACGAACATGGGACTCTATGCTACTGTGTCATTGGCCCCGCTGCTGAGCTTGCTGCTATGAGAGAGCGTAATATGACTTTAAAATGGACGTCTCGGGCATTGCCGCGCTTCCCAAACTTTTCTTGAAATTTTGATTCCGTCCGTCTGCCAAAAGTTTCAGTTTGCCGATCAGCATTTGAGTCTTTCTTCATAGGGATTCATCTTCTCAAGTGACCAGCAGCGAGGACATACCGGCTCCAGTCCCAGTCACATCACGACTCTATTCCCGCTACCTAGTCCCATCCGCGACTGGCACTCTGCCCGCCCGTCATGTTCGGTCCCTCCAGCTCCTCCGATGCTGGGCCATCCCGGACCCCCCTCGTCCCAGCAGCGTCTCCTCGTTCCGACGTCCCACCCTCTACCGCCTCGCCGCCTCAGAGACAGAAACTGTCAGGGTGGAAACACTCTGCTGCGGGAAGGTGAGTCTTGTTCGTCAATCATATGCTGATGGAGTAGTCTCGGCGGTATGGCTGGTGCCATCGTCACCTCCCCTTTTGATGTTGTCAAGGTGGGCACCGCCAGTGACGCCGTCTGACCTTTTTTTAGACACGTCTTCAATCTGACATGTTCAGACACCAGGCTGCGACATCTCCCACCACTGTCAAGCGGTCTTCAGGGGGTCTGTACCAATTTGTCGACACGATTCTTCTCATACGGTGGGTAGGTTGTGGCATATCCCAGGACTGACGCTTTTAGGCGGATAGGCGTGGAGGAAGGCTGGAGAGCGTTGTATAAAGGTCTCGGACCGGCTCTGGTTGGAATCATCCCTGCCAGGTGGGACCAGACCAAGTCAAAGCTTTTTCTGACGACGACTCCAGGGCGATCAACTTTTATTTTTACCCGACCTCAAAGCAATTCTTGGCGCAGCGGTTCCCTAACGCTCCGACTACGAGCAAAGGACAGACGGCCGAAGACAGTCCAGTGATACACCTCGGAGCAGCCGTCATTGCTGGTGTGTTTGAAATCCACTCGGCCGTTCTGACGATCAGGTATCATGACTGCCACTGGAACCAATCCAATCTGGGGTGAGTCGTGACCCGGTCATACCTCGCTGACTTGCCAGTGATCAAGACCCGACTCCAGCTCTCTGCACGAAAACGTCCAACCTCTACTCCCGTCTCTACCTCTCCACTCCCCCGACCGATCGCCAATTCTGCCGCCTCGTTGACCCAGACCGCCTCCATCGCCTCCCCTTCCAACTTTGGTGCCGCGCTGAGCCTCACACGAGACATTTTCCGACGAGAAGGTATCCGCGGACTCTATCGTGGTCTCTCGGCATCCTACCTCGGTGTGTCTGAAGGTGTCATCCAATGGGTCTTGTACGAGGTGAGCGACATTTTGTGCAGCGTTGGCTGACTTGTGCACAGCGCTTCAAGAGGATAGGTACTGGCACCTCGATCACTGATGCCCCACGGGAAACCACCGCGCTGTCCTGGATAGGATCCATTCTCGGTGCCTCTGGAGGAGCAAAAGCCATTGCATCCCTCATCACCTATCCCCACGAGGTTGTCCGCACCCGATTACGACAACCTCCGATCGACGGGGTCAACAAGTACAAGTCTCTCTGGCAGACGTTGACTCTTATCGTCCGCGAAGAGGGTGTCGCGAGTCTGTATGGAGGTCTGACTGCTCACATGCTCCGAGTGGTACCCAATGCCGCCTGCATGTTCTTGATCTACGAGTTGGTAGCGCAAAAACTCGCCTAGTATTATGCATTTTACATATTACCGGATCTACCGGCGTCGTGGTTCGTTTTTACCTACATACATGATATCCACCATGACATGACCTGTCCCCATGTCGACAATGACCTCTTCGGTCATGGTCCAGTCTCCGACTGTCATGTCGACGCATTCTGTACCTTCCCCCGCGAGGGCCAAAGGGATAGGCAGCGTCGTCTCCAGTCCGTCTCCTTCTCCACAGTCCTCGGCTCAAAAGCGGACCCGACATCTCCACAGCTTGTCCTCTAGCATTGCAGAGAGCTCGAGCTCATCTGCGAAAGGGCTGCTCATACCCACCGATAGGACACTGGAAGAGTTAGAGACATGGCTGCCTCGTCTTGGTCGGCTCAAAGTAGCTCGAGAAGTCAGCTTACCTGGATTCTCCCTCTATGCCGTCAGACAATGGTATGTGGACATACTTTTGGGCTCTGCTGATGCCAGGTACCTCTCGCGGACCCAATTCTCCCACACCATCGTGTCCTACACAGGCAAGCAGTCAGAGAGCGTGAGTCTGATCATATCCATCTCCCCCACTCACTCTAGATATCTGCGTATCTCCTCGTACCGAGTCCCGACCTGTCCTCTGTTGAAGCCACCGAAGAGCTCTCAGCGGCTACAAGACGTCTCGCATCCGAGTCTCACTCTCATCCTCGCTTGGTGAATCATACGCTGTCTGTCCCTCGCTGATCTCAGACGGAACACGGCACACTTCTCGTCACCACGCCCTCTTCTTTTGGTCAAGATGTGTACGTCCCCTCTTCCTCCGAGTCCTGCTGAACTTTCAGCATCCTCATTCCCAGTGGAGACTTTCGCGAGGCCAAACCCTACATCGTCATCAATACTGGTCTCAGACGTCTAGGCTGTGGAGGTCGGGCCCTTCTGGGCATGGAAGCGCCAGTGTGAGGCCCCCCACTCATGGACCCCTTTCTCACACGCTCAGTCCCGCGATCCGACGTAAATTCTACGATCTGTATCGACTGCCCAGTCCGGGACCTACCAACCCTCTCTCCCGGACCGTATCTCCCACTTCCTCCCCTGTCAATACCAATCCTGTCCAGTCTCCCATCAGTCTGAACATGGCCATGGACCCATTCACCATCATGCTCATGGAAATCATCAAGCTCTTGCAATCGGCTCTGATACTGTGGGGTCTATGGGATCAGGACCTACCCGTCGACGGATTATTCTGTGACGAGACGAAGAAGAGCATCTTTGACTGGCGACGGGCCATGGGCATGGAACATGAAGAGTCTATGCGACTCGAGGTGAGGGCCGCTCCCCGCCAAGCCACACTGACAAAGCAGAAGGAAACAAGTGGAGGATGCATGGACCCCAAGACCATGGCGGCGGTTCTCAGCTCCATCACCAGCGTACGGTATCAGCTCGCCGCGCTGGGAGCCGATCGACTCCCCAAAAATCCATTCACCAACACGCGCAAGTTTCTCCAGGCATGGCACATTTACCAGGTGGGCACGAAACCCCAGATCTCACACTGACCGCCAAGTTCTCCCTCGGAATGGGCACCGACACACCCCACTTTCTCTCCGTCCACTCTGTCCGCCGCCTGACTAACGACTACCTCGGTTATCGCACTCGCCATCCTGATGCATTCAAAGTCCCAAGACTCCTCGTCTCCGGCGTCACAGCTGCCACCTCGTCAATCACAGCCAACCTCAAAGGCGCTGCCGAGGATGCGCCGCTCAGAAAAAGAGAGCATCACATGCGCTCACTAGACGATGCCGATACAGAGTCAGGCCTCTGCCTGATCATTCCCGAAGGCGAGGTTGGCACGGTTGCTCCGCCAGACATCATCACGACCGACCTTGACGCCTACATCAAGTGCATACTCAAGAGTCGTCAGAAAGAGTGGGACGTCATGGGAGCTCGACGCGTCGCGTGGTTGTGGTCAGGAGACATTGATCTCAGGCGAAAGCCCAGCAATCGATTGGAGAGGGTCATGGGCATCCGGTCCACCAAACAAGATCCTACAAAGTCGGATGACGGAAGTGAGAGTGCAACGGGTGGGACCGGTGGACCCAGAGCGGCGTTTGACAAGGTGACCGCGGTCACCGGGCACGTCCTGAAGGGAGGTCTGGGTCTCGTCAGGTGGGTGAAAATCAAAGCCATGCTGACAGTGGTCGACGCACTACCATGGACGAGACATCAGAAAGCGACACGAATGGGCCTGGAGCTGGAGGGAGTCTTCGACAGACCCTCATGCGGCGGAAACAGAGCAGCAATGTTCCCACTGTGACGGAGCCGTGAGTGGAGAGGAGAGTTCATTGCTGATTCACAGCAACGGGCACGATGCGCATGATCTGGGTGAGCAACACGAGTGAATCTCACTAACCCCTCCAGCCTCGATCCGCAATTCACCGTCTCGGGTCCATATCGACCGCGTGGTCGCGTCTTCCACGCGACCCTCCATGGCAACCCGTACTTCGAAAGGGTCAAAACGTCCGTCCATCATGACGACGTTTTCCCTGGACGAATCGGATCGTTCACTCCGCGCCGCGAGCCATGTAGACGATGGCTTGAATGGCGACGCTGAAGGGTCAAGAACCCGGCATCCAGCCTCGTTACGACTAGCGCGATCAAGAGTCATGTTGCGAACGACGAGTGACGGAGCGGATGTGGTGCTCGAAGATGGTGCGCCCGAGTGGAAAGTCGTCCGTCCGCACGGATCGTTCAAAGGCCAGCGAGGCGTCGACAAGAATATCACGGCTTTAAAGAGAACGTGAGTGGGGTCCCAGGGATGCTCTGACCATTAGACGCTCTCTACAGGACCGGTTGTTCTACCGCGATCTGCTTATTTCGCCGGCGTGAGTGAGCCCTGCGAAGACCCACCTTGACACTCAGGGAGCATCTCGCCATCGACGTCGAGATGTGCAATGTCGTGTCTGAACTCCGGATACGAGAAAAGCGCCTGGCCCAACGGGCCAAGGATCTCAAGGTCAGGTTCCGCCTGTGTGCGTTCTCGCTGACCTCTAGACCCTCGAGGATTCTGTCTTTCGAGCTTGTCAAGACTTTCTCGATGGGATACGAGCCCGTGCTCCTCGGGTCAACGAACTCCAGACCCAGGCCGATGACCTCTGCAGAGAGATCCACAAGGCTCTCGACGACATTGATGACGATGAAAAGCTGCAATGGGCCAACAAAAAGATCAAATTCTACCTCTCGGAAGATACCAATCTCAATGAGCTCATGTGGAACTTGCGCTCTCTCGAGAGGGATTGGGAACGAGTCAGGCGGAAAGTCGAAGAAGGCAGAGAGGCGATCGAAGGGAACGAGGAGAGGTCCAATTGGTGGCGATTTGGCCTTTAATACAACGTGTCATATGCGTTCTTGTACTGTTGTCGGCTGAGCCTTGACATCGCCATTGCGCACGTCTGCCGCCTGGGGTTTGACCTGCGCCGCCTTTGACGTCTGGGACTCGGTGGCATTGCCCAGCCCCAGATTCTGCATGTCGTCTCGATCCATCAGATCACTAGCGTCATCAGCTCAGCCTCAGCATATAACTCACTGATCCATCCTGCATTCCAGATACCGCCTTGCTTCGAATCGACACTTGCCATTATCCCCTTTGAATTCTTTCAGGCATTTCAGATGCTCTATCATGAACGCCTTGCAGTCGCCTAATGTCAGCCCAGCCTAGCTCGTTCATCTCACCATCATGATCAAGAGGAAAGGAGCCTCGCTGAGGGGGAGTGACTTTAAATGTGTCTGCGAATCCGCCTGGTCTCCCGAATGACATTGGATGATGGGTCAAGTTGGGCGGGCAATGGGCGTCGAGCAACAGGTCGAGCTGAAATTAAAATGCTACGAGCGGCCATCACCGCCGAGTCCCCCCGGCGGCCCGCCGGCCGTGAAAATGATCGGGACAGACTTTCCCGAAAGGCTCGTATTCTACTCGCAACATCATGTCGAGCTTTCTGAGGACTGGCAAAAAGGTGTGAGAGCAACGGCAACGAAGGTCGCTGAAGAGTCCAGATTGTGGCTATTGGGCGAAACTATGCCGACCACGCGAAGGAACTCGGCAATGCCGTACCGAAGGGTGAGTCCATCCCCTTGAGCTAACCAGACTGACATTCCAAGAACCGTTCTTCTTCCTCAAGCCGACGTCTTCCTACATCGAGCCAGAGGAGGGCCCCGTAGAGATTCCTCGAGGCGTTATCATGCATCATGAAGGTGAGTCACAGACGCAATCCGCCACTCACGCTCAGTCGAACTCGGCGTCGTGATTGGCAAAAATGGAAGAGATATCAAGACTTCCGATGCGGAATCTCACATTGCAGGATACAGTGGGGTCCCCCTTGACCAGGTCTTTGACTGACGCTCAGCCCTCGCCATTGACTTGACCGCTCGAAACGTCCAAGATGCCGTCAAGGCCAAGGGTCTCCCTTGGTCCACGGCGAAAGGATTCGACACGTTTTGTCCCGTCGGGTGGGTCAGACCTTCTTCCCGTGCTCATGCTCCAGCCCTTTCATCCCCAAATCCCGTATCGCCGACCTCTCCAAAGTCGGACTCCATTTTTCCGTCAATGGGACCGTCAAGCAGTCCGGTACAACCGCCGACATGATCTTCAAGGTCCCAGACTTGATCGCGTTTGTATCGTCCATAATGAAACTCGAGGTGAGTCCCATCCCCGCGGCTACCACTGACGACTCTTAAAGGAAGGAGACGTCATCCTCACGGGAACACCGGCCGGTGTCGGACCCATCAATGCGGGCGAGTCATTCACGGCCAAGCTTACCTACCCTGATCTCGAGGGCCAAGTCTTGAGTGAATATACAATGAAGTGTGTGGACCGCCAAGGAGGATACGAGTTCAAAGGCAAATAGAACTCTACGGTATGCATCCCCGGTAGCACTACAAGAATGTCTTAGGTCGTCCACAAGGTCGTTGCCGTTGTATGCCACATCTCGTCATTGTCGTCACATTAGGCCAGCCACATCTCTGGCAGCCCTTTACGCTTCGGCAATCTCGAACCGGAAGATCCCGACGAAGAAGTACTCCCTGATGGAGTGGGAGAGGCAGGCAGCATCTCCTCGTTCCTTGACATTGCTTGAAGGAAGGAGTGAGTACTAGATAATTTTGGACGCCAAGATGTCCCCCGTTCGGATGTTCGTGTCACAGGCGAGTCAAAGGGATTGCAAGTGGTTTCTGGAGGCGTCACAGGTGTGACCAACAGAGGCGACAGGGCGATCGGACTGCCGAGCTGCCGAGCGGGTGGAAGAGGAAACGAGGCCATGTCGCAGCTCGCCTCGGATGTGAGGGACTGGCAGGATAACGGCCTCTCGTTGCCCTTCTCTACAAACACTGTCCAGTCTTCAGAATAGTCTTGACTGAACCGAGGGGAGATCTCCCCACACGAGGCCAATAGTTCCTGGAGGACAGACTCGAGGTCGACATCTGACCCTCGCGACGATGTGGCAGAGCTCGTCTCGTGGCGGGAATGTGGCGGGCGAATATCCTCCAGCGGACGTGCCATCTTGAACGCCGTCTCCTCCTGAGGCGAAGGTGTCGAGGCGGACCGCTGTCTGGCGCGGAATACGCCCGGGGATAGGATGGGGAGCGGTGATAGGAGTGAGGAGTCGGAGAGCGGCCGGGGCTCTGATGGAGGATGTGAAGAGGCGAATGGGTGAGATCGGTACCGGGAGAGTGGCTTTTTTGACAAGTCCAGTGGCGGAGGGCGACGAGAGGGTCTAGCAAGTGTCTCCGGGATGAGCTCGTCAAAGACGAATGGGGGCGAGCATGGTACCTCTTCTTCCGTGGACGTTTCCTCCAGAACAATCTCCTCCATCTCACCCACGGCCAGAACGTCTGATGTGGTGCTCAGCTCGACCCGTGGCGATGGACATGGGAAACAGGTTGAAGACGGGACAGCGCTGGGTGTGCGACTGATAGAGGGTGTCGCATACGCCACTGGTCTGACTTCCTCCTCTTCCATGACCTCGGTCAAGGTGAACAATCCCGAATGAGCTGGATCCTTGAAGCGCATATGCCTGGATCGTTTCCTCCGGTGTCGGTACTGTGGCGGGCGAGGCGCTTTGCGTGGTCCAGCACACGGATCATAGTGAATCTCGAACGGTCTTGGTTGCGGTGGTGGCGGAGAGCGGACGGATGATGGCAAGGAGGAGCGACGATGGGGTGTGAGTGTAGGATCGAGGTCGAAGGAGTTTGTCGTGGGTGAGGTAGAGATCAACGGAGCTCTCCAGAGCGGGGTGTAGGATCGAGCCATGGTTGGAGTGGCGTCGCTAGAGGTCAAGATGATGATGTGAGATGTGACAAGGCGAACGTTGCGAAGGAGAGAGCGTTGTTGAGTGGAGAGATGGTTACAATTATAGAGACAGATGAGCAGCGTGACTGAGCGATGGCCCTTCCATAGAGTCGCGTCCACGAAAGACAATGAGTTTGACAGTCTGTGAATATAGGTGAGAGGTGACAATAAGAGGGGCGTTTGATGTTCAGTAGATCATTCAGCTTTGCACAACAACAACAACAAAAGGGTGTCTCTGGAGATGATCAATGCACATCAAAACAATAAGGTATCTCGCGATCAAAGGGACCTCGGCCTCTTGCCTTTCTTCCATTGTCTTTGAGTCACACTTGATACCATTAGCTCGATACAGATGGGGCTCTGGGCTAATCCAGGCCTAGAGTCAGTCCCAGCTGGTATCAGTCTCTGTCCACTTTTGCAAAGGTCAGACACCTTTTCCACAGCTCTGGGACCGCATCTAAGACAAGTCACAGAATGAGCTCGATTCGGACCAGTCAGTGCGGGCCAAGGCTGCCCAGAGCACCGATCAGAGGCCAGAGCATCAATTGGAGGTCCATTCAGGAGCTCTGAGAGGCGATACCAGGAAGCCGAAGTAATAAAGATTAGCCTGCTTGATCGTCATTCATGACTCGGACCCGAACTAAAACCTCGCAACATTGAACATATCACCATGAGCACAGACAAGCCTCCTACTCGACCTGATCCATGCAAGTTGTTCTCCATACGACAGTACGAGTGTAAACCCGGAGTCAAGGTCACTTGCTGGCCTCTCGACCGGATCTTTAGACAGTACGTCTTGCTCAGGTCTTTTGATCGCTGACGATCAAAACTTCCAGGTGCGGCAAGGGTCCTGCAATTGAAGTCACAAACGCCGTTATAGACTCACAGAGTGGTCAGATCGTAATCGATCCAAAGATACTGTGAGCGCTAGCGTAGAAGCTCTTGCTGACGTGGGAAATCCAGGGCTCATCCGCCAAAAGGGAAGACCTGGGCAGAGATTCAATATCAGTAGCGCTTAGACATGATCAATGCGTCGCTCGATCGTCTGCGCTCAGACCGATGCCAGTCTCAAAACGGCCGGTAATGAACCACCCTACAGAGGCTACCCCAAGGGCTCTTGCGGGCCATGCATCGCCAACTTCCCTACTGGAGATCACAGGAAACTTCTCAGCCTACTTCTCCGACGCGACCGAAGTGTCACCGGCCGACGACTCTGTTGCTCCGTCCTTGGTCTCCAAAGTGGGCGCATTACCCCTCGTTGAGTCCGCTTGGAGAATCGCCTTCAGCGAATCCACGGCACTTTGGCCGCTGGCGGCGGATGCGCCATCGGCTTGGGTCTCGCTTGGCTCCTCCACCTTCTTCTGCAAAGCGTAGACGTTGACGAAACCGTTGTGTGAGGACATTGTGATATGGTCTTGAATAGAGTCAATGCAAAAACTTGGGAAGAAACGGTGGTCTCTCTCGTCTGGATCCCCCAAGACGATTATTCGTTTAACATTCTCGCATTCTAGTAGATCCTTTGACCGATGCATCAAGACCAGAACAACAAGGGATTCCGCGACATAGCAAACTTCTCATCGTTTCGCAGGCGCACTCCTTTCTCCGCTTGAGCCCCTTTCCTCAGAACCAAGCTCTCAAAGGTGAAGCACAACCTCGACTGCCCTCTGAGGAGGATACTGAAGTCCAGCGGACGGCACAACAATCTCGAAAAGACCATGCCAGCTCCTTCCGCATCCATCTCCACAGTATCCATCGGGGACCCGATGGTGCCGTTCGGTATCGGCATGGTACGCTCCCCACTTTGTAGCCCACGCCCCTTTCCTGCTCTGATGCGTCAATTCGGTCCGCTGGGCCTTGGGTCACGGTGGCATTCGCGGTAGCCTTTGACGATATGGGGAGCAGTATTCTTCAATGGGCATGACGCTCTGGATTTCGTGATGTCTACGTACGAGTCAAGGATCGTGTCATCTTAATGTCGACTCTTTCATACCTCGAGATACTTCAGCTGCCCTCCGCCGTGGCGGTCTGGTTCGGCGAACATGAGAGGCGGCTGTAACATTCCTGCACAGCGAAACAGGCTACGTCGAAGTGCTGCCCAATCTGGACCAATCGGTGTGGCTGCGCTCTGACCTGGGAAGCACTGGGGATATGGCACGAAATGCCACAGCCTCTCTGGTTGGTTGCCATATTTCTCGTGAAGCGGCGAACACAGTGTTCATGGGCCTCTTTTTGCAGGCGGCTGTCAGTCATGGCGTTGTAAGCAGTGATGCGAATTGTGAGCAATAATCATTCGTCATTCAGAGTCAGCATCAAATGACCCATAGGGTTCCCCGAGAGCTGCCGAGTATATGCATCACTACTCGTTGACAGATCGTCTTCTTCCATGGCCTTTTGACGGCGCCTTCCCGCCGACTCTTGCCTTCCCACCCGTTGCCTTCCTCCCTACATTTTCCCCCCAGTCGTCTTTCTCGTCGTCTTGCCTCCCACACTTCCTGTCGACTTGCTCGCGACCCGAGGTCGTTTACCTCGAGGAGGCAGAAGCTCAGGTTCATCCTCCTCGCTTCCGCTATCATCGTCATCGTCATCGTCATCGTCATCGTCAACGAGGGGGATCGGGTCCTTGTCTGATCCAGTCGGCATGCCACGTGTCGAGGCTCGGCGTGGTCTGAGCAGGTTGGATGGTGAGGAGACCGAGGTTGTGGGCGAGGCGTGATGAATGACAATGTCGTCTTCTATAGATGCCTCTTCTGGCCCACCATAGATCGCCGTGGTAAATTGCTTAAGCATGCTAGATTCACCCGCCAGATCGTTGCCGAGATCCCGCTCCGAGGCGTACAGATCGGGGTCAGACGCTTCAGACGCAGCATCGTCATCCTCCTCGTCTCGAGGCATCGCATCATACTCGATTCTTGGAGCAAAGAGGGCCATGCTGATGGCGGCAGTATCCTTGTACTTCTTGCTCGCGAGGTAAAAGTCTTGACCTTTGGCGCGACGTGGTTTGGGGTCGAGACGCTCAAACAATTCCCATGGTCTGTCGTCGAGTGGAACAGTGTCATCGCCTAGATTCAGCGCTGTCGGTCGGTGTCGAATCGAGAGGATAGACAGAGCCTGAAGTATCGAAGCCTTTGACTGATGCAGGGAAACTTCGGCGACCAGAGCCGAATGGACAGTGGCACGTGATGGTGCACTGTCGAGAATATACGCCAGCATGTCACCCAGGCGAATTGTAGCCCGATCACCGATGGAAGTCGGGAGAGCCTGACTGGTCAGAGCTGTCGATAGCAAAGCAAACTCACCGAGAGCAACCTGGCAAAAGCCGTGGCAAGCCGGCCAAAGTCGGGACGAGGCAGAGTCGGATTCGGCGATTCCACGATGGGCAGACCAAGACTGAAGCGCAAGAGGCGAAAGGCGACGTGAAGCAGCTCTGAAGATTTGGGCGGATCATCGCCTGGCAATTCAGATTCGTCGGAAGCGAATTGCCTCTCAATGGACTGGAGAGCCACCGAGATCAAGTCGAGCAGAGCATGGCGAGCTGTGAGAATCGCGTGATCGCCCCACGGCAAAGGCGATGTCCGACTGGCACTGTCCAAGACTCGAAGCAAGAGGTCTATACTTTTGCACGGATGGTCCGTCTGTGCTTGGGAGTCCGCATCAATGACTTGGGCAAGCAAGGCGCCTAGTCGCTCGATCCCAAACGAAATGATCTAGAGTCAGTCAAGTGACTCAACCACACTCACCTCTTGTGCTACAACCCTCTCAATCCCTCGGATGGCCTCACACAACAGATCGGCATCGTCTGCGGACATGTCCCGATCAAGATTAGAGCGGACCAGCTGACTGAGAGTGGTCTTGGCCTCGCTGGTGTCACCATCACTGTTGATACGCATGGCCAGACGTTTGAAGTCCACACGCATACTCAAGACGATAGATGTCCATCGCCACGCGCTGGATCGGGGACTCGATTCAAGGGATGCAATGTCATTGTCTGTTGTCAGCCGCGCTGACTGGAGCGACTCACTCGTCCCCTGCGACATGATCATCTTGAGCACATCAACCATACCCGCCTCCAGATTTTCCATCGACGACTCGCTCCATTCGTTTGACAGGAAAGCATCTTTGAGCACGTCCAGGTGGCGAAAAGCGGCCGCTTTGAAATGAGGTGTGGCGGCAAGCTGCTCCAAGAGGAGGGAGATTTGGGTCTGCAACCGCTCCGGCGTGGCGGATCCCTTTTCAAGGATGACCAAGAATGGCAGATGCTGCAGCAGGGAAATGACGTGGGCGCCTTTGAGTGTTTCGCCTCGCTCGGTCTGCAGAACGAGAGCCTGGCGGAGACTTGTTGGTGGTAGCGATTGATTCGGTGGTTTGGTCAGGAGAAGCTGTTGGCAGAGGGTGACGCTGTTGGTGACGGAAAGCGGATGTGAACATGATCCGTCCTTGAGGGTCGCGGCGGCGCATTTGGCCCAGACAGGATACACCAATGTCTCGAGTGTCCGCGAAACGAGTCGGAGATGGCGGTGCGCGCACTCGTGGAGCAGAATGGTACAGAGATGAGAGCCGTTTGATAAAAGTTCGATGGGATTCGTGACCGTCTGGAGCCACGCGTCGACGACGGAATCCAACTGACCCTCGGCCTGCTCAAAGACGGTTGCAATCTGGGCAGTTACAGCATCCACAATCGTGGCATGTGTGCTCGTCTGTATCGCATCGACGAGGGTCTCCCACCAGAGCGTCGACCAATTTTCAAATGGGCCATGACGAACGAAGAGTTTTGCTCCGAGCAACGAGGCTGCAGTGACGTCCCCTTTCGCCATCACCTGTCTCACGCCGTCCATGCTCTGCGCCCCGTCGAAAAAGGTTGTCGAGGGATCAGGACGGGCTTTGCGGTGAGAGTCGATGGACGACTGGACTTCGGCTAGGTCCTCTGCGGACAGTCGGTCACGCCGCGCGAGTTCGACGAGGAGAGAGGCCAAGGCTGCATGATGTTGACCTGCGGTGTCCTGTGCGGCGTTTCGCTCCATCAAGGCGTCTGTCAACAATTCCCAGCGATCCATCGCGGTCCATACATCGGCATCGCGGCGGATCGTGTCGATGATACAGTCGAGAATATCAATGTCACGGTTGATTTGGAGAGCTTTGACGAGGTACTGATGGTGAGTGAACTTCAGACGGACATGACTCACGTCAGCCATGGTCGAATAACCGTTACATTCTCTGAAAACGTGAAGAATCCGAGCGAAGGCCGACGCATCGATGGCTGGGCGTCGTCCTTGACTGAGAGGTCAGTAAAGTCGACGCTTGGACTCACATGACCAGGCTGGATACTGCCAAGGGATAGATCCAGAATCGAGCCTGCAAAAATAAATGCCTGGTGATTTTGTTCGTCGACCGTAGGTGGTGATAGACAGCCTCCTTGTACTGGGTACTGGCACCGTAGCGTTCTAGAAGTCAGCTTAGCCTTTCTTTCGCCCTCACTGTAGCCGAAGACCTCTGGGACAAACTCCTTGCACTCTTCTTCAAACTCTGCCATGATCTCCTTCTCCTCCGTTTCATGCATGGCCAACAGCTGCTTGTTGCCTCCAGTCAGAGCAAGTCTGCGCTGATGCAACAGATCCTTGCCCTGGACAAAGATCGGGAGCGATCGAAGGATGCGCAGGTGGTGGCTCGAAGCTGACAGATCAAATCGAGCTGAGTGACCTTGTGCGATGAGCGTTTGGAGATACCGGCCATAGGAGAACAACCCCTGACGAGTCAGCTCGCCAAAGGTGATACCGATGGCTTGGGCGTTTTGTCTGCTCTTGGCCGCTTCCGACGTGTCAAGCCATTGATAGAGTGTCGGGAAAAAGTCCATTGCAGCGGACCGCGTGGCCTTTGACTGATGCTCGTCAAATTTTTCCCTCCACATGACTAGCAAGGTGTGAACAGCATAGGCACGGTGTATCCCCAGCTGGAATGAGCCCATGGCCCAATTTAACAGGACAACGACTTTTTCGTCGAATCGCCCTACGTCGAGTGTCGAGCTCGTTGGTGAGGCATTCCCGTCAAAGTAGGACAGACACAGCTGAAGCATGTTTGTTTCGGCATTCATGCTGTCCAATTTTTGGAGATCTTCCATCTGTTGCCGACGCGGCGTCGATAGACTGCCCGTAGAGGGAGGCTTGAACATGAGTACCTTGGATCGTTCCTCCAACGAGGCGATTGAGGGTGACGGGTTGACGAGTGAGAGAATCAAGTCTCGATGCTTGCGCCAAAGCGATGGGTTCATAAGGGCCATTTCGTCGCACCGACATAGCACCTGACGTCAGTTCAAATGACTAGACTGAACGGACCTGTATGAGTGACTTGAGCACCATCTCGACATTCTCCAGGGGCATTTTCGCTTCACGGATCTGAGGTCAGCCATGTCCTGTTCCATGTTTTCACCTCTACTATCCTATCGCACGCGGCGCGGAGACACGGTCTGGCGATGTGCACATGCCGAGCGAGCGCAGTGATGTGATCGGCTGCGAGACGAGCGACAAAGCCAAGCTGAGCAAGATTGGACGAGGCGAGCATGTCCACCAGCCAAGCGCCTAAAACTCTTGCAGATATTAGGTGACGGTTAAATAGTTGACGGAGGAGAGCAAGACTTTCCATGAGCTCAATCATCACGCTTTCTCACCTATAGTTCCACTTGACGAGCCACCGAGCCCTCGCCTTTTCATCGCCGAGCACACTGGTAGCACCCGACCGTGGCGCCGGCACTCCTCTCGTCTGTACTGTGGGCAGTGACAGCTGACCCAGCTGGATCCTCAGCCAATTGGTGTACAGCGTCGTAAACTCTTGCGTGTGCCAGTCACTGCTCGACAGCGGCAAAGCCACACTGGTATTTTGGGACAAGGACGAGGAAGGGGTGACTGCCGCCGCGGGAGAAGGTGCCGAGGGCGCGGAGACTGGCTGGGCTCTGCCACGATGGGCTGAGATCTCGTTTGATCCCAAGACTCGGATGAACCAAACTGCGCGGTCAATGGCGATGGATTGAGGGAGTGCCGAAGCCTGGGGGCCACTGATAGATCGATTGTGAGCAGGAACGAAAGAAGGCGAGAACATGGTGTCGAGCAGCTCCAAACCCTTGAACCCATGAGGTATCGGATTCCTCATGAGCTTGTACAGTGGGACGTTTGGGTTGGCGAGATCGGACAGGAACTGAGTTCGTTTGACATCGTTATAAGTCACTCGGACAGGTATGCGAAAGGCCCGTTCTCCAAATTGAGGCATACACTCGTCGCGTTTCTCAATGATTTCCCTGCCGAGCTTGTTGAGCGTGGCCAAACATCCATTGACCAGTTGGTTATGGATCGGTCCATGCATCGAGAAGCTCTCCGCCGAGGTGACCGTGACGAAAGGTCTGGCAGAATATCCATTCTTGACATTCTCCTCCGTCAGAATATCCTCTGGTTGGCCAAACCCAGGCCGAGAGGGGTAAAAGTCTGGATAACCTGGTCGAATGAGCACACGGATGAGGGCTTTCAGACTCACCGAGATCTGCTCGTTTGTTCAAGACCGTTCGCCATATCGGCGGTCCAAAGTCCTCCACGAAGAGATCTGTCGAGGGTCCAGCCTCGCTGGTCAAGGGCTGAGGAGGCATCGTCAGGAGGATGTCATGGTGGGGTCAGCGTATGGACAAGAGTCAAACAGGTAGGTAGGAGCTCGTCGACGATCCTCAATGTGAATTAATTCCGCCGGAAATTCATTGACTCAAAACTCTCTCTCTCTCTCTCATCAATTCTACATCACCCATTGAATCATGCCCATCCCATATCCTCGACGCCATAGCGACGTGTCCGACTATCCATCCTTGCCATCAGAATCAGAATGGGACTCTGAAGATGAAGCAGCGATGATTCAGGAAGAATGGGAAGAGTCATTACGCCAACTCGAGACGGTGCTCAGCATAGTCATCATTCCATTCTTTGGCAAGTGGTATGGCAGACGGTTTAGCTATTGGGGTGAGCCTAGCTCTTGAACGATTCTCGCTCATGTTTCCCAGCGTTTGATCGCTACCTCCGACTTGGATGGACGAGGTCGTTCTTTGGGATACATTAAGTCCAAGACCGCTTCCACTGGAGATGTTTCTGTATCTTTCTCAACAAGGGTGAATCTGGCGCGCTCCTCGTATTTTCCATCAACGTGTAGGCTTCTTGAGCCGTATTCCAATACTCCGCCTTGACCAATGGTTCCAAAAGGAGTTCCCACGATTTACGACCTGGAAACACCTTTTCCACCAACATGCGCTTCACAATCTCCAACCCAATCCGCTCGGACCCGTGCCGGCGTGCAACCTTTTTCCCAGCTTCTTGTATCACCAGATTGTATGCCGTCTGATTCATCTTGACTCCAGCCGCTTCCATTCGTCTGACAGCGTCCCATCCTTCTTCAGACCACCCTCCTCGGAAATATCCTCCAATCAGAGACGCCCAGCTGAACAGATCAACCTTGACCCCAAACTTGTCGGCGACTGTGAACAATTTTTCCGCCTCTCGCAAGCGTTCCAACAATCCTACGTGGGTGAGACCCGCCACTAGGGTCGGGAACAATCGTTGACTGGGGGCAATGCCTTGCTCTGTCATGAGGCGCAACGTGGATTCGACCAGGTCGAATCGACCAGCACGAGACATGCCTTTGATCAAGGTGCCATAGATGACGCCATTGGGCTCGAGGCCACGCTTCGCGCCAATTGCGATGATTTTCTGCATCTCCTCGACCTCACCCTTCTTTGCATAATGTTCGAGCATCGCGGCGATGGTGTAGTGGTCCATCTTGATGGAGGACGACTTTGCACAGGCCTGTCTCCAGAGGGATAGTGCCCATTTGACGCCAAGGTCGGGGCATCTCAGGAGAGCGGCCAGGACTTGGTTGAAAACGGTTATCGGTGGCCAGTCGGAAACCTTTTTCTCCCGCAGACACTTTTCCCATGCGTCGTAAACCATGTCTGGACGGTTTAAAGAGGCCAAGGCAGAGACATAGAGGCTGTAAAACTTGGCGTCGCGGCCGTGATCTGGCTCTTGAGCGATTTGCCAGATGTGAGCCAGCTGTGCAGCACGTGTTTCCGTGTCAACGGGCACGTTGGGATCAACCCCTTCCGGCGGTTCATAGGAGGAGATAGGGCGGGTCCTGGCGTAGAGCATCCCATGGAGGACGTAAGCGGGATATGGCTTGTCAATGCGAGATAGAATCTCCTTCCGCAGCTTGTTCATTGGGATGGGCCATCTCGATTCGCGCCAATGACGGTTCTCGGAGACATGTTTGGTGAGGCGGTAATAAAAGATGCCGAACACCTTCTGGTAATCGTCCGGCTCGCTGGAGATGAAACGCTTGGGCTCGTCAACGGTGTCGCGGAATTGGCGCCAGACTTGGGCAAAGCGTCGACCGTCGTCTTCTTTGCAGATCGCTTTCAGCTTGGCGCCGAGGTTGGCGGGTAAAGGAGGGAATGGTCGCAAGGAGTAAATGTTGGCCACGTCCTCGGGTGTGATGCCTTCCAGTCTCTCCGCCACGACCTCGGGGGATGGCCAGACAACTCTGTAGTCCTCGCTGCCCGACTTGCTCGGTGTAAATGAATTTCCGGTCTGGATCATGAGAAGGACGAGTGTTGCGGCCAGAGGCACGGGAATGTAATAGTTGAATGTGGAGCTATAATGATCGAGGAAACGATCGACCAGTCGTAAGAGGTTGTTTAGGCGAGCAGGATCGTGTCTGGAGATCTGTGCCTGGTACATGACCACCTTGGCGTAGAGTTCAGCAGCTTGAGCAAAGTTCTTGCGCCATTTCTTGTGTGCCTCCGGTGTTGTAGCATCGAGGTGGGCATACATGACTCGGCTCAGACATCGCTCCAGCGTTTCGATGACCTCTGTCTGATGGATCGGTGTCGGAAGAGGACCTGAAGAGTAGACAGGGACCAGGACCTCAAATATTTTGTCCACGTATGGATCCAGGGGGACAAGTCGAGGATGATCAGGCTTATTTCGGATGAGGACCATCGGAGGCCCAAGTCGCTGACAGCATTCGATGACCTTGACTGGATCGATGGGAGCTTGCCGCCCCTCTTTTGGAAGGGATGGGTACAGGGCCTCACGGAGATAGTCGAGTGAATCGGATACCGAAGTATCTAAGAAGGGGTCGTGGTGCTGACATGAGTCGGGGTTCGCAAAGCAATGTAACTCACGAAATCATCCTTGTACCCTCCAGCTTTGAACCGATGACTGATCTCGTGCTCGACTATCTCAGCGGGCTTGGGGGGTGCTCCAGGGTTCCGAGCACGGAAGGGATCATCCGGACTCGGTAACATACCGAATCCAGAGAATTCAGACTGTATGCGTGTTGTCGGTCGATTCTGCTCCCTGCGGACTCCCAGTGTCTTCTTGTACATAGCGTCTTGCCTCCTGGCAGCCAAGTCGAGCGATTTTTGTATCTTTCTCTTGTGCCAGCCGAGATAAGGGACATCGTTGGCAGACTCCTCGAGCAGGCCAAACTCCTTGGCTGCCCTGCTCGAGGAGGACAAAGCAAAGGTCCGCGACAGGATCGGCCTCATAGTGTATGTTGTGATGGCCGAAAGCTGAAACATGCTTCTTGAAATTTTGTGAACCCGGCTAATACCTAATAATAAAAATTTCATTCCTCGTCTTCGCTATCTTCATCGACCCCTACGACACCTCCACTCTGCTTAATCTCCCCTAGAGATCGTCCATGGCGCTTCAATCTCTCTCCAAAGGCTTTCCTAGCTCCCGGGTTGGAAGCTACATCCCAAATCTGCAATGCCGCCTTGGACCCAGCGGCGGCGAGAGTGAGTGGCGTCTCGGGATCCGGACACCACCGAGTCGTGAACACTTTGCCCTGTGCGACGTCAGGAGGGGGTGATCAAGATATTTGCCTACCACTCCGAGATCGCGACTGGTCACCAGGCTGATTTCTCGCTTCCTGCCCTGAACGCCATCGGTCTCCTCGTCGGAAACATTCCACACTTTGACCAGCTTGTCCATGCCGCCCGTGGCTATGCAGCCTCGGATATGAGGGTTAATATCCAATCCAGAGGCGCCAGATTCGTGTGCGGACAGCCTGTATTTTGGCCGCTCGAGGTTTCGCGAGTCATAGGCGAGTATCAGGCCGTTTTCCAGCGACACCTGGGCGGGTCAGTGAGAAGAAATCCCGATCATGCACGCACGAAGAATGCCGTAGGCTCATGCGGGTCCCACCGAACCGCCTCCACATCACAACCAACATTTGTACCCACACCTTGATCGGGCGCACGACTATCCCACACCTGAACCATTCTGTCGTATCCCGCACTGAGAACCGCCTTGTCCAACGTGCTCGAGCGATTCCACTCGACCGCTTGGACTTTTTCACCCTTGTGAATCTTGTCCCAACTCTTTGTGGCCGCCATGGGCGATTCACGAGACAGATCCCAGAGCTTGATGGTCGCGTCCGCAGATCCTGACAGCAAAAGATGACGATGATTCGGTGTCCAAGATAGTGCAATCACGGCATCGGTATGATAATCTGGCTCTGATTGGACCTGTTTCCGTTTCTTCTTGCCCGTTCCTTTCGGCTTGAGATCGCGTTCAGTACCAGGAGCTGGTCCGAGGATGGCATTCGGGTACAATCCATCCACCATGTCCGCATCCCATATCTCAATTGTGGGGTCAAAACCTCCGACGGCAACGCTGTTGCTGCTGCTGGATGGGGCGGAAGAGTCAAAGTCGAGCCACTCGACGCATAGGGGAAAGGATGGGAGCATGAGATCGTGATGTACAAAGAGGTTTTCGTTGGGGTCGTCATACACGTGAAAGTCGAGAGAAGATAGATCAGAGGTCGTTCGGGCAGTGATAATCATGGCGTCTGTCGGTCTCAGAGCGAGCTCTTCAGTGTCGTCCTCGTCCTAGGCGTCAATCACAGAAGACAGTATTTTTGCGTACCTCTTTCAGCGTAATGTATGGATCCTCTTCATTGTCTCGGTAAAACGTCAGCCCCTTGACGTTGGCAAATGCTCCCATAGCGACACCTGTGGACTCTTCCTTGTCGTACTCGTCCATCTTGAACGCAGACATGTCCTCAGTGTCCATGGGGACGTCTCCAGAGGCTCCTGAGCTAGATGTACCGTCGTCGACACTGTCGTCAGCGCTGCGACCCTCATTGGTGCTCACTCCTCCCAATCATCCCCGTCCATGTCTAATCCTGCCATTTCCTCGCGCAGTTTTTCGAGAGCGCCTGGTCCACCGAGCTTCCCGACTCGCTGCAGCTCATTTTCGTCCAGAGTATACTTCTTGGGCTCTAGAGAGGCTTTCCCTCGAGGAACCCAAGCGAGGGATGATATGAGGGTCCCAGACATGCTGAATGTGTAGATATGTGCAAAGTGGACCATGGAGTTTTGAAAATTATTGGGATTGCCGTCATTGCACCCACGTGACTTTGTTTCAGAAAGTGTTGATCATGAGGAACCGACGCCGCCGCGAGGGCGCTCTCGTCGCTCGTCATCGATGCTACATCATGGCGATGATATCTGATGTCGAGTGAGTGTCGATGTGTAGCTCAGTCCTGACGACAGCTACATTCTTCAAACCATTCGATTGTCGGTGCTTCGCAGCTGTGACGACGCTTCCACCTCTCGAATCATCTCGCTAGACCCATCGTTCGCCCTCAACCCTTACATCAACGCTTCGGGCCATTCTGAAGTCGACGAATGGCCAGAGATCCAGCGTGCATTGGATTCTCCACCCCTTGAACGTGACGATGACCGACCTCGTCGACGCAGGAACAGTCTCAATGGCCTCAATTACACACAGACGATCATGGGAGGAAAGAGTGGAGGGGCGGGCATGCGTGTCAGCGGTCGACGGGGTCGTGGTCGGAGACCAAGCTTGGAAGACATGACGCCGAGGGGCGCGAGGCCTCGTTCAGACTCAGCACCGGTCCCTAAATCTCTTCAATCAACTGTGAGTCCGGTCGTCACCGGTCACGGCATGAGCGTGAGGGATTCCGAAGAACCTACGTTTAGTGCCGCGTCAATCGACCCGACCGAGTCCAGTCAAGTCATCATGGGGACACCGCCTCCAGATGAACATCCTGAACCTCTTCATGGAGGAATGGACGAGGGAAGCGATGTGGATGAGGATGAAATGGAAGCGGAGGAGGCAGGAATGGATCAAGCTCAGCGAGATCTACGAGCTGACGTGAGGGCGAGCACTGTGGCCCCGGCATTGAATATGGATGACACGGGGATCGACTTTGCTCCCAAACCGATTCGGAGAGCGGGTTCTTCGGCATTGACTGCAGCCCTTCACAAGCATGTACCTCACTTGGTATCCAGCAGTGCGCCCGCTGCCGAGGTCAACCCGTTCACCACGTTGTATGCTTCGGTCAGCACGAATGCCAATGGCATCACGCTACAGATCTACTTTCCTCACTCCGCCAAGCCGAGCTCTCCTATCACTATCAAGGTACGCAAAGAGGCCACAGTGGAGGAGGTCACTGGGCATGGTCTGCTCAAATATTGGGATGAGGGAAGGGAGCCAAAGTTGAGCGAGGAAGAATCGGAGCAGAGATGGAGTACCGTCGGATGGGGACTGCGTATCGTTGAGGATGACGGAGAAGTGGATGAAGACTTTCCACGTGAGTAATGGGGGCTGGGGGGCCGACACTGAGGTTTAGCGCTCGATCGAGACAGTCGCGTCTCCAAATTCTCCTACACTCAGTTTGCCATTGTCGAGGCGACTGCATCTCAAAGTGAGCCCGCATGCGATGCTCCGCTGACAGACAGTCAAACAAAACGCTGCCAAGGCTCCACTCATCATCCGCCGACCATCACGGATCATCCGACCCCAAGAAACCAAGCCACCGCCGCCGCCGCCGCCAATCAGCTCGTCGCCCTCTTCGAGCGACGCAGCGCTGTCTAGCAGTATGATGAAGGGCAGTATTGGCCTTGGTTCGGCTTTGAGTAAAACTGTACTCCTCCGTGTCAGGATCACTGCCAGTGCCGATGTGCACTTTACGACGACTATCAGCGTGTAGGTGGAGACGATGAGACGCGGCTGAAGTATAGTCCTTCTGACATGTACATCGCGGATCTGACCGAAGTCTTGTGGAAAAGGAAGCGATTGCAGAATCCGTCCTCGGATTGGGTACTCTGCCTCGCCGACTTGAGCTTGGCTTTGCCCCTCGACCGTACTGTCGCGAGTCTTGAGGGCCGCACCAATCTGGCGCTGGTCAGGCGGCAATGGGCTGTCGAACATGGGCTCAGGATTGGCGATCGCCGTGGTGGCGATCCGAGTGGTGAGGGGGACTTATTGGCAAAGCTCATCTCAGCGTCCATCTTTAAACGCATTTCTGCGCCTGTCAAGCCGCCACCGACAGATCTGGCCCAGACATACAAGGTGATATATGGCTCGTTCCTTCGCTAATGGCAGAAATTCCACGTCCAGCGTAGGATCGCGATTGGGCGTCATCCCCGGACCCTGGCTATTGACGGTGACTACATTCATGTGAGTGTGACCTGACCGTTTTTTTTTCTGACAGCAGATCATGCCGTCCGAGTCGAGGACGTTCTTTGACAGCATGAAGACGACCTCGTTCCATGTCAGTCTGGTCGCGTCTTGCAAGCTCTCCGGCAAGTATGGAGGGTTCAAGATCAACGTGTGGAGGGACGGGACGGAAAAGAGGTACGAGTTTGAGGCGGACACGCCGAAACAAGCTGGTGAGTCGTCCGATAGCGGGCACAACTGACGCCAGCCGAAATCATCACATCAATCAGGGCATTGTGAGTTTTGCATTAAGGGTCGGTCCAGCTGACAACAGGATGAAATCGTATCAAGCGGAACGTGGAGCACTGCCCGTAAGGCGATAGGCTCATGCCTGCAATCAGCATTGAAAACGTACGTTGTAACTCACCGACATGGTCATTCCAATTTTGTTGTAAGGCTTGTAACCCACGATCTCAAAGTCGTCCACTTTGAATCCATCTATGCTTCCAATCTCCTCTTTGCTCCGCTTGATGACGAGTTTGGGGAATTCGCGAGGTTCACGTTCGAGCTGAGTGTTGAGCGCTTCAACGTGGTTGGCGTAGACGTGCGCATCACCCATCTGGAGGATGAACTCGTGTGGTTCAGTATCGGTCATCAATGCGATCATGCAGGTCAGCAGGGCGTAGGAGGCAATGTTGAACGGTACGCCGAGTCCCGTATCGCATGATCGTTGGTACATGAGACAAGAGAGGCGTGGCTTGGAGTCAGGCTCGGTGGGCAGGGTGACGAAGAATTGGCAAAACATGTGACAGGGGGGTAAGGCCATGATGGATAGGTCTAAATGTTTAGCTTCGGTGGAGAGGCTATGTGCTCTCACCTTTTGGATTCCAAGCGGTGAATATGATACGTCGATCTGTTGGATTGGTCTTGATCTTTTCGATGACCTGAGCCAGCTGATCGACCCCTTGTCCCGTGTAATCATCGTCACACGTCTTGTACTCTGCTCCAAAGTGTCGCCATTGGAATCCATAGACAGGACCGAGATCCCCTTCGCGTCGGTGACTCAGGCCGACCTTGTCGAGGTATTCCCGACTACCGTTCCCTTCCCAGATGTTGACACCTTTTGCCGTGAGCACCTTGCCGTCTGTGCATCCCGAGATGAACCACAGGAGCTCTTCAATGATACCTCGGGTGAAGACTCGTTTGGTCGTCAACAGAGGGAATGATCCGTCGGCGAGAGAAAAGCGGAGTGCAGGCGGCGCAAAGATAGCATAGGTTCCGGTTCCTGTACGGTCTGGACGGTGCTGACCAGTCGCAATGATCCGCCGGACGAGATCCAGGTATTGATGCTCCTCTGAGTTGACAGTCATGGCGGACGCGTATGAGATGGTCAACATTAAAAAACGCGTGCATGAAAAAAATAATCGTTAAACTACTACAAGTCTGCAACCCCCGAAGCCCTTCGCAACCTGGCTTGCTCTCTCTCCCAGATCTTGGCGACTACATCCTCTGCAAGACCACGCTTCGCACTGTTAAGCCCTAGACCATCTCGTATCTCCTCTTCACGACAACATAGTGTCAGCTTGCGGCTCGGTCCACACGTGATCAGACCGAGTACCTCGAGATTTGACAGCAAGTCCTGATAGTCGGACTCTGAGCTCGGCGGGTACGGGCTTGAATGGTGAGATAGCAGGGACACATAGGTGGTGTAGAGTGACGTCGTGGAAAGGGGCCCCTGAGCGATGAGAATGGCGACCAGCACCATTTTGCCCTGTAGCGGGACGGATCGGACCTTTTTGCCAGTCACCGTGTCGACTGTCGCACTAGATCCAGCAGCTGCGCGCAGAGTATAGGTCGTGAACGCCTTGATGATATGGGCGAGAGATACCTTGACAAATGTATCCTTTTTAAGCCATTCTGCTTCGGCGAGCGAGACCGCCGACGTCAGGACAGAAAGGCACATGCGCAAGTCCCCATTCTGAGCTTCGACCTTTTTGGATAAGAGCTCGAGTGCTTTGGGATCGATACTGTCGCCGATGCGCGAGCTGACGATCGGGATCATGTCTTGCCCTCCGTACGCCTTGAACGGCAAAACGGACGGGGTGGCACCGTCGGGAAGGACAAGTCGGGCGCGCAGAGTGAGGTCGAGCGTGTTGGAAATGGCAATGACCTTGACGCGGCCATCAGTCGTCGTGGGCAGGGAGAAGATCTTTGACAAGAGGTGGGAGATGGCAGGTGGGGCTACTGCGGGGGCGGGTGGCATGACGGAATCGATTTCATCGAGAATCACGAGACTAAGGGTGTGAGCCACCCGTCACAAGGGGCAAGAACTTACAGAGGCTCGCGCGTGTTCTGCAACGCGGCGATCACCACGTTCTCCGCATTGTCGCAGCCCATAGCCTGGGCAAAGTGCATCCAGAGGTCATTGGCCTTGAGACCCATGCAGCAGACTTCGATGGGGCGCCACCCTTCGTTGCCGAGAGCACGCGCCATGGCATTGACCGTGGCAGTCTTGCCGGTTCCAGGTGGTCCCGATACGTACATGCCCACGTCGAGCTTGTATGTGCTGGCGACATATTCTCGAATCGCCTTTTGCTCCTCTTGGCGACCGATGATGCCTGACGCGTTGGACAATCGGAGCCGAGACTTGATCGCCTTGTAGGGATTGGCATCGAGATTGATGGGTTCGAGATCGATTTCACAGGGACTGGACGGTGGGGGAGTGGGAAGCGCGAGACGAGGTGACCTCGGCGTGTCGCATGGTTGGTCGAGGTCAGACGAGGAGGTGAAGGACGAGGGAGCGGGGGATGAGAAACGCGAGGAGAGGAAAGATGGCGTGGAGGAGATGCGGCCTGGGTGGTCAGAGCCAGGTCCATGAGGCATCAGACTCACTATCACTCTGTCGTGATGACACACTACCGCTACGTGGGCGAGGAGCGACACGTATCCGTTTGCGCCGTGAAGAAGACTCGGAATCCTTTCTCGGCGGAATATTCTCCTTCCCAGGATGAAGTGGGACGTCATCTTTGGAGAAGTCCGGCTTGGTGAGCAGGATGGCAGGTTGACTCATCGTTCTGACCAGCGTTCCACCTCCAAAGACGCCCGGACTCGGTAAGCTGGCATGGGACCCCAGCGAACGACGCGTGGGGATGGTCAGCTGGGAGTTGGAACGGGTGAGGGGGGTAGGAGGGGGAGTCGGACGCGGTGTCCTTCGACGGGTCGGTGTTTCTGGATCTTGTCGGGTTCGTTTGCTGGGTCCAGGCATGGTGAAGCGTGTGTCTCGAACAGGATACAAGTGGTCGATAAAGATACAAGAGACGAGGACGACGACGACGAAGAACGAGAAGAACGAGAAGAACGAGAAGGAGGCAAGTGATGAAAGAGAGAAAGATGGAAAGAGGCTGAGGCTTTTAAATGAGGCGGCGCCGGTCACGAACATTTCAGACTCAGGGTTCAAAAAAGTCAACCGCGTCAAAGTCACGAGGGAGAGACGGGCAAGATGTGGCAGAGTGGCAATGGGGGAGTGAGTGAGTGTGTGTTATGTGTGTATCTAGTCAGTCTCAATACGAGCAGCTAGGCAGCAAGCACATGGCTGAGACACGGTGTCATGATACACTGGATGCATGCGGTGGTAGCCTTTCGGAGCAGACTCACCACAAGGGGGCGGAGATGGGCGGATCTTTTTGCCGGGCATCCGCCGCGTAGTGGAGAGGTAAGTCGGGTAATCCTGGTCACGCAGGCGATCGGTGTGACTCGGAGCTACGGTTCGAGGTGCAAACCATGCATCAAAGCTGAGTCTGCAAGACTGAAAGCTGGCACGACGCAACTCCGACATCTACAACGCGACCCCCTTGTCGAATCCAAACAATGCCCTATCCTCCGAGGCCAGCCAAGAGCCTTCGACATACTTTTGGCGTATATATTCTGCGGGGTCGAGATGCGTATTTGGTGGTTTGAGCTTCTCCCAGATCTCGTTGCATCGAGTGTTGCCCCAGTCCTGTGCGAGAAGTACAGAGTCCGAACTCCAGATATCCAGGTCGACAGAGCGAGGCTTTGAGATGTGTGTCCCGAGACCTCGGTGAAGACCACAGCAACGGATGCAGAGGAACAGGACCATCGGGACGTCCCAGAGGCCTGACGTCAGGTAAGCTGGCGTGGGACAGACTCACTTGTCGTGGCCCATCGAGAGCGCTTGATGCTCGTGCCGCAATCCGCACATAAGTCATTAGAGGGCATGTCTGCAATGGACCGAAGGAGGGCGGCATCAGGCGGCGTCTGACCACTCAATCCTGCCATCTCGAGGACTCTTTGTGCGATCGGATCGTCCGGTGTAGTTTGACTCAGCGGAGGCATGGAGTGACGCACAGATGCAGATCGCAGCACGTCCAGCGTACGGACGGTCGATGTGCCATTGATGCAGGATTCGATGGCGTTACAGATTGCAGAGACCCATTGCTGGGCGTGAGCAACGCCATCAAATCCGGGACTCACCTGGAGCTCGAGTTCCGAGGTAGATTGATAGGTACGCTTGCCGTGCGTCGTGACGATCTCAAAGACTGGATATCAGCAGGATCTCCTGATACATCTTACCAAACCGTCGGTCATCTCTGCCTTCCCGCACACTAGCGAATCGCAGGTCGATCATGGCATGAGGCGAAGACAAGCTATGATACTCGAATATACACGAGCGATCCAACACGACCCAAAGTTCTGTCGTCGTCAGCAGCATCAGGGCGATCTCCCAGGCTCACTTTCAAACTTGCCTTTCGTCCTGCCGAGCTCCTCCCAAGTCCCCGTACCCCAGAGAACTCCCTCTTTCTTGCGTCCGACGGGATCTGGGGCAGCGACGACCGGGCGAGGGGCAAGGTCCACTGATGCGCGCGACGACACAAAGCTTCGCAAGCGACCGCCTACCGATCGAGGAGGTTTCGGTCCGGCGGAAGCGGCGAGCAGCGATGTTTGGCGATTCCGTTCGGTCCAAGCTGTGACGAGAGAGTCTCGAAGCTCGGCACGGGAGGATCCGTACATGTGTTCCAATGTATCGAGGCATGACAGGGATGTTGGAGGGACAGAGGCTAGAAGACTTGAATGATATTCGTGCTTGGCGAGTTCGAATTGAGCCACTCGAGCGGTCTGTGCTGAGTCTGAGCCTCCGGCGAGATATTGGGATGTCTGATGATAGTACTGTTTGGACGTGGTCTACTTTGTCAGCGCGGAGGAGCATGGACCAGGCCTTACCTCAAAATTGCTCTGAGATATACGTTTGAGCCCGGCGCGTAGGGTCACGAGACTGGACGTCATGGCCTCGAGATCTTGTCTTTGCTTTTGCCGAGCCGCTGCTCGAGTCTTTAACTTTTCATCCCACCCGTTCGTCTCGAGGTTGAACCCGCCCTCGAGCCATCGACCTAGCTCTCCAAGCGCGGTCAGGAACGCCTGCTCGGTGGCTTCCACCTGGGAAAGGAGCGTGAGGTAGGCATTGGCACATGTCAACAGGGATTTGGACAGACGGTTGAGGGTGGTGGACGAGTGAGCGAGGGCGGAAAAGGTCGAGCGGAGAAGGAGAGAGTCGGGTGGTGTTGTGGGAGGCACGGAGGGGTTCAGCGTGGTGGACCTCGGTTCATCGGTGGGCACGGCGTTGCTCGTCATGGCGAACGTGAGTGGTCAGGAGCAGCGAGTTACGGAAGTGGTGCTGGGTCAAAAATTAGCAAGGGTTGAAACGGATCAGGGCAATTCAGGGGGAAAGGATTCAGCTCAGCACAAGGCGTATCATGTCTGCTTTCATGAATTACTACTGTCTACTGTCTACAGTCCTGATTGTCAGTTCAGCATGACAGGGCAGCTCTACAATCGCAGACTGACACTCGTGAAATGAGGTGGGTGAGAACTCTACCGTTGACCGGAACAGTCGACAAAAACGTCCCATTGGTGAGGGTTATAGAGTGATGACCTATAATGAGTGCTAATAAAAGGACTACGATAGCGCTATCCGTATCACGCAGAGAGTTGCAACTGCGGACCTTCCCACAACTTGCCTGCCATGCATTGCGGCACCAATCCCGACATACACTCCTTCCACGCGCGGCGCGATAACCCGACCTCATTCACACAAACACCTCTGTAGGTATCCCCGCGACCCAAATGTTCTCCTTATTCTCAGAGTACGCGATGAAGAGCACGTCACCCACTTGGACGGCTGAGGGATACGAGAAACCGGGATTCTGCTTCTCAGCGACGGAGCACTTCCCCCGGCTCACCTTGTACCCATCACGGGTCTCCTTCGCGATGTCCGGGTTTGGCCTGGTGTGGACTATACCAATGTTGCGGAATGTCCATGGATCGCCACCAGACCAAGCGATGGTCAGAGGATAGCGATGGAGATTCGGGTCGTGTTGACGGGTGTTGGAAATAAGATAGAGGCGGGATGACGCCGACGCCGACGTGGACGTCCCAGGCAGTTTCACCCTGCCAAAGAACTGAAGGGTGAGCTGATTCACCCCCAAAACCAACCCACCTGCTTTGTCTTTGCATCCGGTATGTTAGTCTCATAGATAGACGTGCTGCGATGCACGGGGTACCAATCCTCCCCTGTCTCACTGCACTCGGTCCAGACGTGCCAGCTGTTTAGAACCGCTTCGTCACGCCAAAAACGCTGGTAGATCGAGTCGTGACGAATGGCATGGGTGACTTCGCGAACATGATGATTACCGTCCGCTGTAGGGTGCTAGATGGGGTCCAGCGTCAATCACGTAGCGATCTCGCGCCTCCACCGGCTCACCTCTCGATTGTATAGATCGTCAGACCACGCGGGAACCGTCTCTGGCCTCTTCAATACCGCTTCAATCTTCTCCCTGTCTTCGCACCAGCCAAAAGTCCCATACACCGTATTCTCAAATCCCAGCTCCTTTGTGTACTCGTTCTTGTGTACCCAGCATGGGTCTCCGATGGGCCTTCCCGTGGCAGTGTCGATTCTCCGAGCCACACGCCCTGCCCCGACGCTTCGCCAAGGGTCGCAGATAAAATTGTACGAATCTGCAATGGCGTAAACTTCTGGGATGGATACGATGGCAGACGATTGCCATGCTCGCTGAGGCAGACCAGTGGAACACCTGAAAGGTCAGCGTGGTCAAGCGCGAGATCTCCTCACCAATACGAAAAATTGTGCGCTTGTTCGCCGTCCAACATCGCCGGGGGAAACATCTCCACTGGCTGAGTCCAGTTCAAATACTCGCCGTGATGGACTGAGCTCATCACGCTCTGACCCATAGAGTCCTCATCGACTGGCGCACTAGACCATAAAAGAATGGTCGTGTTGTCATAGTGATCGATGATCGGGTGGTGAGAGTAGGTCCTGTCGTGACTGTAGCCATTCCATATCTTGAGACGGAACGCGAAGGATAGGAAGGGGTAACCGCACGTCAGCTCCGAGGTGCATGGCGGTATGGACCAGAGATCTGTACGGCACGAGGCTTTTGGTGACTGTCCCAATCCAGTGAGCGCCAGCAGGCGCAGGACCAGCTCTGTAAGCATGATAGAAGTGTGACGAAACAGAATCCGAACATCTCGGAAATCCGGATATCTGAATGTGGGGGAGTCGCGGAGATGAGCAGATCTCCGTAATCTCGCTCCGGAACCGGTTTCAAAATTTCAGAAGCTGCCGACAATGTCAACCATAACAACGATGGACGGAGCGTTGAGCGCAGACACAGGGTCCAGCGCCAGCGATGGAAGCCCTGTGGCTTGTCCCATCCTACCACTTACCAGCCTCGAGCTCCCTCTCAGCTCTCTCTGCAATTCATTCCTCACTTCACTCCCGTCGACCCATCTCGGTGCCAACCTGCCTCAATCCATTATCGAAGCAGCGCACGGCAATGTTTCAACCCAGCTTCTACCTGACCTATCAGAACTCGCGGTCTCCCTTCCCTCTGTGATATCTCACTTTCATGCCCTACGCGTCGACCTTGTGGCTCGCTGGCTGGATCAGCCTGCAGACGACTGGGATGCCCGACTCTGTGTGGTAGCAGAATATGCAGACGTCCTGCCGAGAGAGTGAGCAATATAGTCAAAAAACAACACTGACAGTAGTCTCATACTGTCATTCACCTCCCAGAGCTCTCTCTCCTCGCTGACTCCCAGCACCGCCCTGGCTCTCTACCGATTGGCCGAGATCTACACCCCATCTGTTCCCGAAGATCATCCTGATCCAGAGATGCGAGTGCTTGTTGTCAAAACTCTGGCTAGGCGGGAGAAATGGTCCGACTCCAAGCGCATGGCCAGAGAGAACGCGGTGGCGCCAGGCTTCCACAAGTATGCCTTACTTGCTCTGGATGAAGTGAGACGGCGCGAGCGCCCACGGCAGGAGATTGCAAACACTGGCCTCTCAGAGATATCACACCTGCTCTGCTCTCGCGTAGTGGTCGTCTCCCAACGCATTTTTCTTGCCCAACCCTCTTCCCTCTTCCACGTCGATACACCTCTCAATACGTCAATAGCATCCCTTGCGCATCTCTTCCCAAGACCAGCCTTGCTCACTGGCCCACCGTCCTCCGGCAAGACCCACGCCATCCACTACCTCGCAGCACGACTCGGCGCAAGCATCTTTTCCCTTTCGCTGGCAGACACGTCCATCGACGTCAAGACCCTATTGGGGACCTATGTGTCGTCTAATGGCGGATTCGAATGGATGGAGGGTGCCCTGTCCAAGGCGCTACGAGCCGGTCGATGGATCGTATTCGACGACATTGACCGTGCCAGTATGGAAATGCTGGTGCTCATCGCCGGTATGACGCGTCGAGGTGTACTACCGACTGGCCGAGACGAGATCACGGTCGGTCCAATCTTTGCAACAAGCACTGGAGGTACTTTCTTTGGCGAACATCACTTCCACGACATCCACCTCGCCCCGCTCGACAAGCTAGCGATCCTTTCCGCCCGCTTCGACATTGACGAGCGTATCGCAAAGCTCGATCTGCCGCTTCGGGACCTCATCAAGTGGTGCAAAAGAGATCACGCGACTCCAGAGTCTGCTCTCCTCGATGCGGTCGACATCTTCGGGCCAGGACAACTGGAGCATGTCGCAGAGACTTTAGGCGTTGACCAAGAAGCCGCCGGTGCTCTGCTCAACCGTCGACCGGTGTACGAGGTGGACAAACATGTACACGTTGGCCGAATCACGCTGCCCAGAAAAATTGGGCCTGTCACTCCAGCTCGCTTTGCGCTCACTCGGCCCGCCCTGACCCTGCTTGAATCCATAGCTGCGGCCGTGGCCTTTAACGAGCCGCTCCTCTTGATCGGTGAGACAGGAACGGGGAAAACAACATCGATCCAACACCTCGCTCACGCCTGTGGTCAATCCATATTCGCCTTCAATCTCTCGACTCAGACCGAGAGCTCTGACCTGCTAGGTGGTTTCAAGCCCATTGATACGGCCTCAGCCGCTCGCGACCTGCAAGGGCGATGGCAAAAACTCTTCATCGAAACCTTCAGCATGTCGAAAAACAGCACGTACATAGACGCCGCTGCCAAGGCGCTGGCTGGAAAAAAGTGGCAACGACTCGTGGACCTGTGGACATCCTCAGCCCGCCGGGCAATGACAAAGGGAGGCAAGCGTCGCAAGCTCGATTCGTGGCAGTCTCTTCTGGACGACATCGCCCTGTTCACTCCCAAACCCGTGTTCAAGTTTGTCGAAGGACCCCTTGTCCGCGCTCTACGCGATGGTCACTGGTGAGCCTCCTCCTGTGGACCGGACTGACTACTCTCAGGATCCTACTCGATGAGGTCAATCTAGCATCTCCAGATGTCCTGGAGGCGCTCAACAGCATCCTCTCCGGTGATCTCGTCCTCACTTCCCGGGGAGATGTCGAGGCGATACCCCGTCATCCCAACTTTCGCCTCTTTGCTTGCATGAACCCAGCAACGGACGTCGGCAAAAAGGACCTTCCGCCGCATCTATCGGTGCTCTTCACTCGCATACACGTCCCACCGCCGGATGACAACCGGGAGGCCTTAGTGGCGATAATCGAGCAGTACCTTGATGGCCCGCTCGTCCTCGATGTTGCCGACCTCTATACCGACTTCAAAAAACAAGCTACAGCTAGGGAAATTGTCGACGGTTCGCTCGCCCCGCACTACAGTATGCGAACGCTCACACGAGCCCTGTCGTTCGCCGTCAACACCCCTCTCAACCTGCGTCGCGCTGTCGCGGAGGGATGGATGATGGCATTCATGATGGCTCTCGATCCGCCAAGCATTGCGAGAGTTCAGCCGTTGCTCGAGCGTCATCTCGGAACACACCCTGCCGCTTCATTTTCCATCCCACCAGGTCCACTACCACCCCTGCCCTCGCGTCTCGTCCTGACTCCCTCGGTCTCCCGTAAACTCGTGGATCTCTCCCGTGCCATACTCGCCCGCTATCCCGTGCTGATTCAAGGCCCCACGTCAAGTGGAAAAACAAGTGCCATCGAACATCTTGCCAGGACCACCGGTCATCGATTTGTCCGTATTAACAATCATGAGCACACCGATCTACAAGAGTATCTTGGTACACACATGACTGATCAGTCGGGAAATTTGGTCTTCCAGGAAGGATTGCTCGTCACAGCCGTGCGACAAGGCCACTGGATCGTACTTGACGAGCTCAATCTTGCACCGACCGACGTCCTCGAAGCTCTGAATCGGCTTCTTGATGATAATCGCGAGTTGCTCATCCCGGAAACGGGGGAAATTGTCAAGCCCCATCCTCAATTCATGCTGTTCGCCACCCAGAACCCACCCGGTCTCTACGCGGGTCGTAAAGTCCTCTCCAGAGCATTCCGAAATCGATTCCTCGAGGTCCATTTCGATGACGTGCCGAACGACGAGCTCGAAACCATCCTCTGCGAGCGATGTCAGATAGCTCCATCTTACGCTCGCAAGATCGTCCAAGTCTTTGAAGAACTCCGTCACCGACGACAGACCAGCCGTGTATTCGAATCCAAACACTCGTTTGCGACCTTGCGGGATCTGTTCCGATGGGCAGAGCGGGGTGCAATTGGTTACGAGCAGCTCGCCCGGGATGGGTACATGTTACTGGCAGAGAGGGCCAGAAATGAGGAGGACAAGGTGGTGATCAAGGAAGTCCTGGAAGGCGTCATGAAAGTGGCATTGACGGTGACCTATCCGGTGCCGGCGGCAGAGGGGCGCACCCTGGTCTGGACGTCTGCCATGTGTCGACTTTACACCCTCATTCACGCCGCCCTGTCGCGGAACGAGCCGGTACTTTTGGTCGGAGAGACAGGGTCCGGAAAGACATCCATTTGCGAAGCCATCGCGCAAGCATTCTCTCAACAGCTCATTTCGGTCAACTGTCACCAAAACATGGAGACTGCCGATCTCATCGGCAGCCAGCGACCTGTCAGGAATCGTGGTGCCATCCGTCAGCGGCTCGAGTCTGCCGGTATCCCAGATCTCGCAACGCTCACTTGTCTAGCCCCCACAATGGACCCCGCTCTCGTCGCAGAATATAGACACGACCTCGCCATGCTTGATGCCCTCTTTCAATGGTCCCCGGGGCCTCTCGTCGATGCAATGACCAGTGGACATCTCCTACTTCTCGACGAAGTGTCCCTGGCTGATGACTCGGTCCTTGAACGTCTCAACTCAGTCCTGGAGCCGGGTCGTACCCTCGTTCTTGCCGAGAAAGGCGGCGATATCGAATCCGCTACAATCGTGGCTGACGATCGATTCCACGTTATCGCAACTATGAACCCAGGTGGTGACTTTGGCAAAAAGGAACTGTCGCCTGCCTTGCGGAATCGATTCACAGAAATTTGGGTCCCGCCTGTTGTCGACAGAAACGACCTGGTCCAGATAATCAATCGGCCGTATGCGCCTGCCGTGCTCGACTTTTTCACCTGGTTCGTGGAGCGAACGGGAGAGTCAGGTCTGGGATTACGAGACATTCTCGCTTGGGTCCAGTTCATTGACTTGGGTCTGGGCTTTGTACATGGAGGAGAAATGGTGTTCGTGGACGGTCTCGAAGCACTCCCAAGTATGCAGGGCCGAAACGCCGCGATCGTCCGCGAAGAGGCCGTCCTCAAGCTTGAACATCTAGCCCACGACGATGAATTTGTCACGGCGCCACCAGGCGTGTTCTCTGTCGGAGGTTTCTCCTTGCCAGCCGGCCCTCACCCTATCACTCCCGTGTCCTTTCACTTCTCCACGCCGACTACACGGCTGAACACCCTTCGAGTCTTGCGCGCGTGTCAACTCCCGAAAGCTATCCTTCTGGAAGGAAGCCCAGGTGTGGGCAAAACGAGTCTTGTCTCTGCCCTTGCTGCTGTCTCTGGACATCGGCTTGAACGCATTAATTTGTCGGATCAGACGGATCTCATCGACCTTTTTGGTTCGGATCTTCCCATGGACGGTACTTTTGCTTGGCGCAACGCTGCTTTCCTTGAAGCCATGCAGCAGGGCGACTGGGTCCTACTGGACGAGATGAATCTAGCGTCCCAGACCGTTCTTGAAGGTCTCAACGCTGTTCTGGATCACCGTGGAACCGTCTTCATACCTGAACTCGGACGTTCCTTCACTCGTCATCCTGATTTCAGGGTCTTCGCAGCTCAAAACCCCCACGCTCAAGGTGGCGGTCGCAAAGGCCTACCGAAATCATTCCTCAACCGTTTCACCAAAGTCTACCTCCAAGAGCAGACCATGGAGGATCTGGAAATCATCTGTCGGGATCAAGCTGCTCCCGAGGTGACTTCCAAGATGATCATCTTCAACGAAAGGATCCGAGAAGCATCGATCGGCTTCCTTGGCAACCCTTGGGAATTCAATCTACGAGATCTGTTACGCTGGTGTGATCTTGCCAAGGGAAGCGATCCCACCGATTATTTGCGAATGCTCTACGTGGATCGACTTCGCTCCGCCACGGATCGAGACACGGTGCGCCGTATCTTCACAGAAGTCTTTGGGCACATCGACTTGGTGCGTCCGGCCCCTCTCGCCACACCTTCGTATCTGCGTATCGGTCACTCGGTCGTACCTGGTCATACTGCATGCCGACTGACAGCCGAGTCTCTGCTCAAAGCAGTCGAGCTGGGCTGGCTCGCTATTCTTCCAGGGACGACCGGGAATGAGACGGTCCATGCCCTCGCCAAAGCCACCGGCAATGAGCTTTCCGAGTTTGGCATGCACCCTGGTGTCGATGCATCGGAAATCTTGGGCAGTTTCGAAGCCCTTGGTGATACTCGCTTCGCTTGGGTAGATGGTCAGCTCGTCAATACTTTACGGAACGGTGGGTGGTTCCTCATTTCCGAGGCGAATCTCTGCAACGCGTCAGTGCTGGACCGGCTCAATAGTCTGTGCGAAAGAGATGGTGTCCTCGTTCTGAGCGAGAAGGGCGGTGTCCCCGAAGTCATCCCGCCGCACCCGTCGTTCCGCCTGTTCATGACGTACGACCCCAAGTACGGAGAGCTTTCCCGTGCGATGCGTAATCGAGGTGTGGAGCTGTACACCGAGGAGACACCGGTCATTCCTCGAGTCGACGATGCATTACTCGACCGGATACACCTATTTTCTCTGGATACAGATCTGGCAGGCTCATACCTCGCCAACGCCGTGGCTTTTCAAAGCCGGGGCGGCCTAGAACTATTCCTGGACCGTGCGGATGGTATCGTCAAGGAGGCTGTCAAATTCGCTCTCGATACGCACAGTGATGAGATGGTGAGCTCGAATCCAGAATTGTTCTGACAGCAGGGCTCGTCCTTGGATGAACCCGCACATTTTCGTACGATCCAAATCTTCACTCGGCATCGTCAATTGTGCCACAGAGTCGAGCGCTTCGTTCAGGATCACAAGAAATCGGTGCTGGCCCGCGATACTCGCTCCCTCTTCACGTCTCTTCCCATGGAACGCGACATCGACACTCTTGAGAGCCTTCTCACCCTTCTCATCGTCATTCGAAAGCACTCAGAGTCAACCGCATTTGATTTCTCCACCCTATCGCTTCTCGCCAAATGGGTGTTCGAGCTGCATCCTCTGCCTGGTGTGGCACCCCTGGTGGATGCAACGAGACTCACGACAGGGTTTCGACAGGCCGAGATCTGGAGCAAGTTCAGAACGACTCTGCCGAGCACTGTTGGGCACATTGTCGATCCTGGTGAGCGATGCTTCCCTGACGACTGCTCACTCCAGACCTTCGTTCTTCAATCCTTGACGCTCTAGCACTCGACTCGATGGATATCGATCTCACTGGCTTGTCTCAGGATCTCACATCATGGGATGACCCCAGACTCCTCCTACCTGTTGAAGTTCATGCCCTCGCGACCGCTCAGTTCCCTGACCTGTTGCCGCGAGCGCGAGCTATCCCACTCCACACGCTCGTGCCTCTCAAGCGAGGAGATTTCCTTCAGGCTTCGATTCAAGCCTTGCGCCGTCTGAATGCCTCGCTGTTCTCGCCTGTCAGATTGACCTCGGTGCTTCGGCAAAGGTGCGTAACCCATCGGTTCTATTGCTGACCTCTAGCGAGCAAGTCGTTCCCCTGTGCGAGATACCTCAGTACGATGCTGCTTTTGATCTCACCAGGCGCACAGTCTTATGGGCCGTCGACTCTGGCTCGTCTCCCTTGTCGGAAGCATGCGCGATTGCTTCGCGTTTGGCAGCAATGTTTGACATCAATAGCCAGCCTGCCTCTCTGGCGTCTCTTGGTCATCTTTGGTGTCAGATTGGACGAACCATCATCGACTTTTATGTCACGAATATCCCAATCGACCCTGCTGTCCGGCGTATACTGCAAGAGGAAGTACTCCTCACCCGCTTCGAACTCCTGCACGAGGAGCTAGACGCAGTCATCCACGGCGAACTCCTTCTGAAGGGGGTCTCTGACTCGCACCGCCTAAGACGTCTGCGCCAGCGCATCGACTCGATTCAAGGTGATCTTGGGCAACTCGGACCCTCAATCGACCGTGTACCCGACGCCGAGAGTCTTGCTGCAATGTACCACGAGGTACATGGATTCGACCTGACCCAAATTGTTGGCCTCATCTCTGCTCTGTTGCAAGGTGACCTGGCACGGGAGGTTAATTTCCAGCTGGCCTCGGCATCTTTTATCCAACGTCTGGATACTCGATACCCAGCAGATCTGGTGTTGCCCATCGTCACCGCCATTTTGTGTGTCAGATTTGGTCTCCAGTGCTTCAAGCGTGATGTCGAGCTACAGACCGAGTCGGAACTCGTTCCTGCGTTGCTGGCATTCCCACAAGCGGATCGGGCAGATCACCTGGTCAGTCTACCTGACGGGGTCGAGATCAATCTCCTGCGTGCTGGGCTCGGCGTGCCTGGCCAATTGGACTACGTATACGACACGTGGAGCGCTGTTCGACTACGCGAGGAAAGAGACGAGGCGATCGCGACGAGTCTCTATCGTGTACGCCAAACGGACGAGGAGCGCGAGGAAGAAGAGTTCCTCCAACTCTTCTCGGATGCGAGTCGCGAGCCGGAGTCAGGGTCTTTCCCTACCCACCTGGTCCAGGCCTTCCACGACGCCCTACATGGCATCTTCCCTACCGACGTGCTGACTCGAGTCCTTTCTACTTCCTTTGATGCCTCACAGCATTCCGACCGTCTTGACAGAGATTCCCTCTCGTACCAGATCCACCTGCTCGCCAGGCCAGCCCTGTCCGGAAACTTTTACCGCTCCCCGAACGTGCCCGAAGTCCGCAAAGCTCACGCGATCCTCTCACGGCTGCACAAGCGGCTGGATGCGCTCGTCTCGGAATGGCCTGAGCAGATGGTGCTTCAGCACATCCGTGATCGAGTCGACCAGAACCTGCAGATGCACCTCACAAGCCCAGTCGCTCAGGTTCTGACCTCTCTAGAGGCTCTCATCACCCACACCGACGACTGGGAGCCCTTTGCTAATCGAGACAATTCGCTTGCCTCGTATCGCGCCGAGTTATCGACTCTCATCATTTCGTGGCGTAAGATGGAACTCACTGGTTGGAGCACCCTTCTCAAAGACACGCTGCGTCAATATGTGGACGCTGATGCCGAGTGGACGCTCCGACTTTATGGAGCTCTGCTTCGTGCCCCGGGCAATGTCGCAGAGACACTCCCTCTGCTGAAGACATATCTATCGTCGTCAACCTTGGGACACTTTGCGCATCGACTCAGAACTTTGACCACGTTCTTGCCCATGGTAAGGTCCGATGTCGCCACACTACTTCACAATGTCATCGCCAATGGGTCACTCTTTGTGGATCACATCGAATCCTCACTTTCGACGCAGCGGAAAGAGGTCGACAAGTCGATCACTGATTTTGTCAAGCTCGCCAGTTGGAAAGACGTGAATGTCTTTGCGCTCAAAGCAAGTGCGGTCAAAAGTCACCGTCAGCTATTCAAATGTGTGCGCAAATTCAAGGAGATTCTCCAGCAACCGGTGGCGCCTCTCCTCAACCTCAATGCAATCACCTCGGTCGACACGGCTCTGTCTGTTCCACAAAGGGTGGAGGTACGCCCGCCGGGTTCAGGCCAGCGTTTGCGACAACTCGACCTTGAGACCACATTCGATCGATTCGTAAGGGTCGTGACGCCGCACATTGACGACGTTGCCGCGCCGGTCGAGCAGTTGGCCACCGACATCATCGAGACTTCTCTTGAGCTCGCCAGAGCTACCCCTTCTGCGCTCACCAAAGCCAACACGAAACTTGTTCAGAATCTCGCATCGCGCAAACGAAAGGCATTCGCCGATCTTCTCAAAGAGCTCAAAACCATTGGCTTCTCGCAAAACCTCCGAGCAGATCTTTTGCAACGCCAGCAAGATCCGACGTGGATTGCATCACAGGCACCGCTGAAGAGTGATTCATTGGCCGACTGGGTCGATCGAATTGAGCATTATCAAGCCCGTCAGGATATACTCATGGGCAATTTGAGGGCATCCTTGGCGGGACATCACGAAGATATTCCGACAAAGGACTTGCAGCGTGGGATAGGCTTTGCTGAATCCTTGTATTCTTCTGCTTTGGCCCAGAGGGCAGCGTGAGTCGGGTCCCACCTACTGTGTGCTGATGTCCTAGCCTGGTCAAGGATCTAGTCGGACACGATCAATTCGCGTCGCTAGTTTCTCGAATGCCGAATCTCGCTTCAGTTCTTCTCCTTCCCGCCCAGAAGACTCTGCAACATCTCATAAAGCTTGGCCAGTCATTGGACGAGGTAGAGCAAGGTATACGCGAAGAGGCGTCGCTTCGGGGAGCCACTCCAGATGATCACGTTTCGACTCTGCAGATCGAGGTCGAAGCCTTGGCCAGTCAGTGGAAATCCATAAACTCCGCGGCTCAGGCCTCTGGTCTAGCAGTGTACTCCTCAGGTGAGCACGAAAGCCTGTGCTCTGCTGACTGTAGCGGAATGGGATCTCATGCGCACCTCGCATGCCACATCCATGCGCGTGGCTAAGGTTCTTGACTCTCTCGGTCACAGGCATCTGACGGCACCTGTCGCTCGGATTGCTCTACAATGTCCCCCGCCTCCAGTGCTGGATGCGCGCGCCCTCACACCAGAATTCTCGATGAATGGCGACGAGTTGATCGACTCAATGCTCGTCATTGCTCAGAAGACCGCTCCGTTTGTTTCTGGCGACAGCCTCTCTGGCAAGGTGGTGTCTCTTGAGACACTCTCAAAGCAGCTCCATCTGCGCTCCATATACGCGCGACTGATCGCATTCGTCGATTCCATCGCGACAGAACATCACCGTGTCGATACAGCCGAGCTGTTCGCTCGGCTACTTCCCTTTGCCCGTGTCCTACGGGAGGCCAGCGCCAGTATCATACATCAACGTGTGCAGACTCTGAAAGCCACCTACAAGCTCTCTTATGTGGTCGGAAAAATCCTGCTTGATCTAGCCCAGAAAGGGTTCTGCAAACCTCAGGAGGAAAGTCTTGACGACGACGGAGCCGAAGGACAGGAAGTCGAGGGCACGGGAATGGGAACGGGTACCGGGGACAAGAATGTTTCGTCTGAGATCACGGAAGAGAGTCAGGTGGAAGGCTTGCAGGTTGAAGAAGAAGAGGAAGAAGAGCAGGAAGAAAAGCAAGATGCTGGCGGAGAGGATGAAAACGCGGTATCGATGGACGATGATTTCGCCGGAGACATGGGAGAGGGCAAGGAGGAGGACAGCAAGGAGGATCAAGGATCCGAGGCAGATCATGACGAGACCATTGACGACGTGGACCCCCTGGATCCTGGTGCAATGGACGAGAAGTTCTGGCAGGGCGAGAGCGAGGACAAGAAGGACGAAGTGGTCGACGCCGCTCAGCAAGAGTCTGGCGAGACGGAGATGGCCGCGAAAGACGAGTCAAAAAGTCAAGAGAAACGTGGAAAGGGGGAGCACCCGGATCAAGATGAGGAGCATCAGGAGAATCCAGAGACGGAGCAAGCGGGAGACGAAGCCGAAGATATGAATCAAGATCCCTTGGATCCTGGAGAAACAGTCGATGGACCGCGAGATGAAGTCGACGTCCCTGAGGGTGATGCACTGGACCTTCCTGAGGATATGAATCTTGACGACGCGCAAGACAAGGCTGAGAACGAAGCCGATGATATGATGCTGTCCGGTGACGAGGGGATAGATGAGGATGCTATCGATGACATGGAGGAAGACGGTCAAGCAGACGAGCAAGGTGATGACATCGACGAAGCCCCAGAGGCGAATGGTGCGCCTGAGGATGATGCCATGGAGACGGATCAGGATGCAGGGCAACAAGAGCTTGATTTGGGAGGCGCAGGAGAGGACGAGGCGATGGGTCAAGAGTCGGAGATTGGTCAGGGTCAAGGTGGCACTCAGGAACAACAGGGCGATGCCAAGGCTGAAGACACTGCCGAGGTAGAGGATGCTCCTGCTGGCACTGGGTGAGTCTGCGCCTTTTAACCACGCTGATGACCTAGGGCTGCGTCAGCTCAGCCGCAAGGCGCCGAGGGCACGGACGGCACTGTTGATTCTGTAGGAGCGCCGATGCCCTCGAATTCCCAACAACGGGATGCGCGAAGTCTCGGCGATATCATGAAAGAGATTCGTCGTCGACGCGACGAGATTCTCGCGCAACAGGAGCGTGATTCGCAGCCACAAACCCAGAATCAAGAGGCAAAACAGGTGGAATACGTCAAAGAAGACGAAGACGCCCAGGATCAAGCACTCGGTCCAGCTGGAGACGAGCAACAACAAAAACTTTCCGACCTAAACCTGCTCGATGAGGAGGTCGGGGAGGATGATGAAGCTCCACCGCCAGACGAGAACGAACAAGTGCAAGAGCCTTCTGGCGAGGGAATGGACTCCATCAAGTTCAACTCTGCCACCAACGGTTCCGTCGAAAAGGCCATAAATCAGGCTGATGTTGGTCTGACTGATGAGGAGGAGGAAGCGATGGATCATTCCAGGTCTGACTCTGAGCCAGACGTTGAAATGGACCCCGTCGAACTTCAGACCGTCACCTTGGACACTTCAGGAGATACTTGGCGACGCTATTCGACCATGACGAGCAATTTATCATACGCTCTTTGTGAGCAGCTTCGACTCGTATTAGAGCCAACGTTGGCGAGCCGGCTGCAAGGCGATTTTCGTACTGGCAAGCGGCTCAATATGCGCAAGATTATCCCCTACATTGCGTCCGAGTACACCAAAGACAAGATCTGGTTACGAAGGACCAAACCGTCAAAGCGAGAGTATCAAGTCCTGCTCTCGCTCGACGACTCTCGATCCATGTCCGAGTCTCATTCTGTCGACCTGGCTTACCAGACCCTCGCGTTGGTCTGTCAAGCACTAACCAAGCTCGAAGTGGGACAAGTTGGTATCGCCAAGTTTGGACAGACTGTCGACATCCTTCACTCATTCGACAAGGGTTTTACGGATGCAGACGGAGCACGAGTCATGGAGTCATTCAAGTTTGATCAGCATCGTACAGATGTCGCTGCGTTGATGGACCGGACCTTGACTTACCTCGCCGAAGCACGAGCCCAACAGCATTCATCCAGCTCGAGTGATCTATGGCAATTGGAAATCATCATTTCGGATGGAGTCTGTCAAGATCATGACAAATTGCGTGTCTTGCTTCGCCGAGCGATGGAAGAGCGCGTCATGGTGGTATTCATCATTTTGGACTCGCTAAATCAACAATCTTCCGCTGACGCGTCCTCACGTCCGTCCATCTTGTCGATGCAATCTGTGGAATACAAGATGATCAAGGGGGAAATGCAATTGGCCATGAACCGGTACCTCGATACATTTCCTTTTGAATTTTTCGTCGTCTTGCGAGACGTTGAGGCTTTACCGTCGGTATTGGGAGACACGCTTCGTCAGTGGATGGCCAGGGTGTCCCAATCGCAAGAGTAGAGTAAGAGAGTTGTATTTGTATGTGAAGAGTAGGCATGAGACGTTATAATATGTGCATGAATGACCTGAACGACAGAGAACGAGAGAGGGAGAGAAATTGGATCATCCTACATAGCTCGCCCGTTGAGCTCGACTGTGCTTCCATCATGAACAAGATCAACGGTACTGGCTCCCATCCTCGTAGAAGTACTCGTAGGGCTGTCTGCAATCTTGACGGGCGTACCGCTTCCGGATTGTTTCGAGTCCATCTCCCACTCTTCTTCACCCATATCACCGAGAGTCAATCGGTTCGTGAAACCCGTTCGATTCAGACTCGGCACCATGGGATCTCGATTGATTCCACCATAAGACGATTGACCGTATCGTAGTGTCGTCATGGAGGTGATATCAAAGTTTGGGTCGAGCCCATCATGTCGCGAGTTGACACCTGCGTTTCTGGAGATTCCGAACCGAGAAGGACCTTTGCTCTCCGCCCCATTGAGTGTAGTTGTTCCTCCTACCCCTGTCCAAGTGCTGCAGAGACAGCACTGATCAGATACAGGGCCGTGGCAGTGTGGTGGGCGGCGGAGGCCAATGCTCACCTTCGCTGAGCTGTCTCGCGATCGATTTTGACTCGCTTCCGACAGGCCAAAATACCAAGTACAATAGCCACTGCGAACAAAGCCGCACAGATGGAACTCATGATCGCTTGAACGTTCATAAAGGCCTTTTGGAAAAGGACGGGATCACCATCAACATCGACGGCTGGTGTCGTACTGGAGGAATTTTTTGTTCCATGTCAGCATCTCATCTGAGCGGGCTCTCTAGACTCACTTTCCGACAGTCGCATTGAGATTGATTCCGAACGCCGCACACGCTTTCGTAGCGTATTCAATACCGTATTGAATAGACGTGGCGTTACAAGTCGCTTGCCAGCAGCTCTGAGTGGGGGGAAGGGGAAGGATCAGCTCAGCTTACACCCTGTCATCGTGTCACATTTGACTCACTGTGACCGAGTCGAGGAAAGGAGAAGACTGACAGAGACAAGTGTAATCAATGGATGAAGCACATCCTGTAATGTTGCCAGCGCCCATACTGTACGACCCCGATAGTCAGTTGAAAACGTCCGCCACATCGCAGATGGCACTCGCCATGTCGTCACGCAGGCCGGGATGGCAGACTGTCGTTTGCTCAGATTGACGATGCCTTCCACGTATGAAGGCGCCATGATGTGAGGGGGAACAGACTGAGAGAGAAGACATGGCTCCCGCTTCTACTTTATACCTCTCGCATAGATGGCCCATCCTCGTAGTGGGACAATAGAACATCTTTCATTATTGTTCCCTGCACGAACAATAAACGCCAAGCCGGGAAATATTGTTACGTAATAGAAATGCGATGCATTGTATATTTTCTATGCGTATGCCAGATGCGATAGAGTCGAAGATTGAAAGCAAGATACAACCTGATTGCCTACAGATGATGAATGTCCCCGGCTTGACGTCGTCTATTTGGGCGCTGATCCAGCCCACGGGACGTTCTTTTCCTCCCACCCTGCTTCCACGTCTCCCCATCTCGATTCCATCCAGCGGCCAAAGACATCAGAAACGCCGACCGAACCGATATCCGGTTGATCATCGTTGATACAGGTCATGGCCATACGGGGTGAAGAGTCAAGCTTGTTGACGGCGGTACGGAGTTGGATAGTGGAGTGGATTTGGAAGAATTGCGTTTGAGTCCATGCTAGGATAAAAGGGGGTTGTCAGCATGATGAATGACCACCCACTCTTTCGCGCGACTCACCGAAGACGTAGGCGTATCTCGACAATAGCTTGATACACCACTGTCTCATGTTGACACTTCCGTCCATTCTTGGTTTGACACCTGGCCATGAATCTTGGCCAGATCTCATAATGCTTTCGATGCGGAAATCAGTGTCGACCCAAGAAGGTGTGAGAGGTAGCATGGGCTCTTCTCGCTGGAAGGCGGCGGGTTCCTGCTGTGCAGGTGGATGAAAGACCGCATCCGGGTCAGGGAAGAACGCCTCGAGCCCTCGCGGTCCAGAAGCAGATACCAAGGCCATGATGAGGCAGTCTCCACAACTCGGTTCGGAGAATGTAAAGTGTCTGAACATTTCGGCAGCATCGAGAGGTTCATCAGATTCGAAAAAGTCTGGTGGCAGACATTGAGCGACTCTGAACGTGCATTCAGTCTGCGTTCGAGGTCGATCAGGTCTTTCGGGTAGGTTCTGTGGGACAGTCCCATCGAATGAAGCTGCAAACGTGGTCAGACGCCGCCGTAATCCTGGCTGGGACTCACAATAATAGTATTTTGTGAATTCAGTCGAATCCCATCCGGCATTCTTGTTGATCTGCTCCAAGTCTGCCAACGTCTCCCTGGGTCCCTTTTCGATGATGACTTCGTCTATTTCGGACGAGTTGATGCCCAAGAGTTCGCTCATTTCAGCCTTGGCTTGCTTGCCCCAGATGCCGTCTTGACCTCCTAAGCGAGCAACGACCCAAGTCCAGAGCAGACCCTCTCGCCATCGCTCAATCCTCAAATGACTGACCAACCAGGACATTTCCACATCGGCCACACCACGTTGACTCTGTCTGAATCCTCGCGTGGCAGCTTCAGACAGTTCCACGCCGAACATGACGCTCGCCTCGTGGGTCAGACTCAACGTCAGAGCCTTGGGCATGTGAGCCATGTACATCCTCTTCTGGTCGGTGAATCGATTCTTGATCAGCATCGCAGCGTGTTGCAGGCCGCCCCATTCGCCAGGTGACGATTTGAGATCGGGAGTGACTACAGGTTTAACACGTAGACCGGGACCTGGGTCCATTCGCAGAACGGTTCCGAGCAAAGGGTGTTGAAAGTCGGCATGATTCAGCGAGTTCTGCATGGTCAGCACTGAGCCCGCAAGCCCGCGACTCACGAGGAAAAACATGTCATCATTGGCGAGGAGAAAGGTCTCTGACAGTCCGTTGATCCATCCTATCCTGGACTCAATGGCGAACGAGTTGAAGTTGGGCAAGCTGTGTTGTCTCCAAGCCTCTTCTGTAGCCGCTTGATCTGGTGTCAATGGCTCGTCTGCCTTGTTATCGGCGGGCAGTCGCCAAATGGAGGAGTGGAAATGCCAGGCGACCTTGTGCAAGCCTTCTTTCGCAGAGTTCCAATTGAGCCAATGTGGGATCTGACCCATATGCCAGCTGGGGGCAGACGCTCCGGCAGGCACAACATCCGGATGAAGTGTCTGGTTGATCTCATAATCACCCGAGAGGACATGGACGGTGCCGAGTCTGTCGCCGAGAGACTTGATGGCTGATCGGATGGCACCTCGCACTTCGCCATTGTCCCTGTAGCGCTTTCCACGACCTCTTGAGCCTACATACTCTCCGGCCGATCTTTCTTGCATTGTATCCTGGAAATATTCTCCAGAAGCATTGACCCAGAGGAAAACGACATCCATCGGCTCAGGCTGTGGCATGGGTACTGACCTGTCGATAATTCCTTGAGAAAAGTAATACGAGAGAAGTGGGTAGGGAAGACGATCGGTGATGGGTCTGAGGAGTTGAGCAGGGGGAGGTAGAGGGTGTTGGGGGAGGAGAATATCGGTGGGGTGAGAAGGTAAGGATTGCGCATCGAGCAAGTCGGCGCCGAGTTTAGACTGAACGACGGGTTCGGGTTGAGAATTTTTACCGCTGTGATCAATCACGGGGAATCCAAGCAGATCAAAGTCTTCCTCGTCTTCAATATCCATGACATTGTCGTCTCCCGCCCACCATTTGTGCGTCTGATCGAAAGGTGACTTCAGGATGGCGGGTGTATGTTCCTCTGGAAGGTATTTGGCCATTCCAAGTAGACAAAAGACGACAAAGGTGAGAATTATGAGCGTTGCCCGCAAGGGTCTGCGAAGGATGTGATTGAGCATTCTGCGAATGCCAGAAGGGTGTGTCTTTGCGAAAGGGGAAGCGGGGGATTCTATACGAGTATAGACTAGATCGTAGTCTTCACGAGGTAATCCATCACTGCGCAAGAGAGAGGAAGAAGACATGTCAGGGGATAAGGAATTGGGCGGAGCCATGTCCGAGGGCGGAAGAAATCAAGCGTCCATGCACTTGAGAATGAAAGGTCGCACAGATGTTGGATAGTCTTAGCGAGGGTCGAAGTTGACAATCGAACGTTGGTCGTGTGCAACAAGGGAGAAAGGACGAATGAAGGGGAGAGGGGAGGGGGTTGGAGGCAGTAATCGACACCGCAGTCAAAAGGGAAGCGAGGAGAAGGAGGAGGAGGAGAGAAAGATTATGATAACTCTCTTTTTTCTGAATCCACTGGCCTGCCAGGATTCAGCCGAATCTCTTGTTCGTCAAGAGGATTACTGGGATGAGGATGATCTCTTGAATGACACACGGGAGAGAGAGAGACACGCAATGTCAGAGCTGGAGGGAAAAGGAGGGAGGTGGGACGAAGAGGATGATGGTAAGGAAGGGAGGAAACGATGAAGATGCTCAGGCAGCGAGCGAAAAGGGGCTGTCGTGCCGGCAATTAACCCGCTGTAACTTTACTGCTGTCGCGTTTGCCCCCCCTCTTTACTTATTCGCCTCGACGCCTCTTTACGCTGAATACAAGTTGGCTTGCGGGACAGTGAGGGGAAGGCGAGGAAAGGCGAGGATGGAGTGAAGAAGGCGCAGCAACCCTTGGGAAGAGGGAGGGGGGAAAAAACCCTTTGCCTGTCCCTCCCCTTCCCTTCCCTTCCATGTTGCTAATAATAGACACCCCTTGACTCAAATTTGGAACATTGATCCTGTAAAAAGACACTCTCCTGGGAAGAGAGGGGGTTGGCATCAACAACAACGAACATCCTGACTGCGTTTCAGACACGCTATCGGACTTGAGCGAATCCAACTAGCTAGGACACCCGACGGGCCTTATGCTTATTCGCCGGTGCGGGTGGGTTCGTGAGAGGAAAGCAAATTTCATCCATGCAGGTTGTGGAGACGTGGTATGATGGTACACACATGTTTATATAGTCTATGCCTATGGACTCGAAGATTCTTCCGCCGTGCGATCCCTCTCCTCTTGAGCTTGTCGGAGTTGGACAGCTTTGGCATAAATTGCCTGCCGACGTTCTTTGGCTTTGTCCGTTTGGACGATACGGGCGACCTGTTAAAGGCGAAATATCAGCAGAGATTCAGTCCTCATCTTCTTCTTCCTCCTCCTCCATCTAGAAGCACGACTCACCCTTCTACCGAGCTTTTGCTCCGGCGTAAGAACCACATCCTTGGTCGACTTGTACTTGGTGGAATCTTCGTGAAGGATAAAGGTTCGGAAGGCTTCTTCCTTTCGTTCCCTCTTGATTGACTCGACTCCGTAAGTCCCTTCTAATATCTCTTCCGCTTCCCGTTTCCATAGATTGCCAACGCCAACCTGATGGCCCCACGATTGTAATTCCACAATATCATCCGGGTAATGAAACGGTTCTTTGAGACCGACCACTGCTCGTTTGTAGTTGTATCGGAAACCGCTTTGCCTCACCACTCGCCTATCGCGAGACCGGGTGAGTGCTCCTCGTCGAACATCCGTCCGGATGAATGTGATCTCGAGTCCATAGCATGCCAAAAGGTACGATCGAAGATCTGTCTTGGTCATGCTAAGCGGTATTCGAAACGTGGCAATCATCGGGTCGTAAGGTTGATCCTCCGGTGTAGCATTACGACGTAAAACCACCTGAACATTTGGAAGATATATCCTGTACCCCGTCATGGTGTGCTTGACCTTTGACCAGAGCTGAGGATCCTCCTGTGCTGTTCCGATCCTCTTCAGAACAGCATCCCAGTCGACCACATCCATATCACTGTGTAATTGGCTTAACCTGTCCGTAGGGTCCTGATGAGGATATCGATAAAGCAACGTTGTTTGATCAATCTCTTCGAGCGTCGGATACGCCTTTCCAGCGAGATAGAGCTCTTTGATGTTCGACGTCGGCGTATCGTACTTGGGGTAGACCAAGTTGGGGTATCTCTGCTTGACACGTTGCCAGATGAAGATCTCTTGTGACTCGTCTGTCCATCTGCCCTTGGTTTCGTCCCAGAAGTAGGAAGAATGACCCCTCACTCGATTCCTCCAGTCTTCCATGATCTCTAAATACACTCGTCTGGCCTGGTGATCATTTCCAGGCAGCAATCCACTCGCTCGCATATTGTCGAAGTGAGTCTCCATTCTCAACGGCAATCGCTTCTCGGTGCTATCCTCCGTTCGAAAGTCTGGATCGGTCAAGGGCCTCTCGGACCGTGTTCTATGCACTGGCCATATCTTCCGACGTCGAGCGACACGGTGCGGGGTTGTACGCATGAGCGAATCGTTGGTCCGAGTCACTCGTTGTGTAGCAACGTCTGGCTCGGCATCGTACCTGGGTTTGGCGTTGGACAGTGGGACAGATTTTGAAGAACCGGCTCGAACAAACACAGCAGGAGGTGGTGGCAGGACTCTGCTGCCAATGGGAGCTCTACATTGCCTCAGCAATGAGCCCGGAAATAGTCGTCGCATCGTCGTCGTGAATGATTCAACGGTCTTGTACGAACGGTCCATCTTGGAAATCTATCTTGAAATTCTGGCAAGGTGACAGAGTGCCACATCGGTGATATCTCGGATTTTCCAGCCTATCGGCGTTTTCTGGTCCCGTCCCTTGCCCACGTGGCAAGTGCGAGTCTCCTCCATCGCGTGTGCCTTTTCAACAACAACAACATTGAAATCATGATTAGGTGACACTCGACCTCAAGGCAGACAGTTGCAGAGTCCTAGGTTGTGACACGTCTAAAGATGGCAGCCAAGATGCTTAGTACAGTGTCGATGCTCAACACAGACCATCGTATAGCTTCGTTCTACTCCACAGCTCCTTCCAAGGGCAAATCAAAGAAAACAAACACCAACCAGACCATCATCTTCCCATTGGATCCCCGACAATATCCTAACCTGACGCCTGAAAACCTGGCCAGTGCTGGATTCTTCTTCAAGCCTACCGAGGGGGAAGAGCAAGACGATACGTGCCAATGCTATCTATGCGGACTTCAACTTGGAGGGTGGGACGTAGGCGATGATCCCAACGAAGAGCATGCCAAGAGGAATGCTTGTCCTTGGGCAGAATTCATGTGTCGGAGCAAAATGAACAGAAAGCGAGGGACCAAGTGAGCTCAGAAATGGGGCAATTTGACGCGTCGCTGATGTCGCAGAACAACATATGAGACATCTGATGACTTGCCTTCGTCTGCTCAATCCTCCTCGTGGCGTGAAGCAACGTTTGGTAAATGGTGGCCTCACAAGCAGAAAGCCGGCTGGCTCCCGACAGCCAAGAATGTGAGCTGACATCCCTGCGCTGATCGTGCTGACCTCGTGTAGCTCGCTAAAGCTGGTTTCGTGTTTAGTCCCGCCTCGGATGCGGAGGATCTCGTGGTCTGCCCACTTTGCGAGTATGGAGTTGAAGGGTGGGAAGCAACCGATGATCCGACGTGAGTGACAGTCCATCTTCAAGCACTGACCGCGTCACAGGGCCATACATTACAGTAAATCACCCGACTGTGATTTTTTCGTCGCGCAAGTCGCTGGATCATCATCGACAGCACAACAAGCACCGGCGAAAGCTCCTAAAGGGGGCAAGAAGTGGGGCTTGATGTTCTCCTTGTGCTCTGGCTGACACGCACACAGAGCCAAACGAGGGAACGCGCCCGCCCCATCGGAGTCTGAAGCTGCGTCTGAGAATGATGCTGCAGCGGAAGACGACGCGGTCGCTCAATTGGGGCACGGCAAGGCACCACCGATTCCGAGGCATACGAAACCACGCGTCGCCAGCAGAACACGGGGCAGAGCGGCAGAAGTCGAGGCGGACAAGGAGGAAGAGGATGCGCCGGAGGAAGCGACTGTCGAGCCTGCTGAGCAGCGTAAACCTCGCAGAGGCAAAGGAAAGAGCAAGGCCAAAGTGGATATTCCCACCGCCAGCGAAGCCGAATCTGAGCCTAGGGAGACGGTGCAAGAAGATCCTGAACCTGAATTCGGCGTTGCTTCGCCATCACCGAAACCTATAAAAGCTCGACGGGGACGGAAGAAGAAGGCCGAGGTACCAGAAGAGGCTGTCGTTGATGAGCACGTGGAAGTTGAGCCGGAGGCGCAGCCGGTGGTCGAGGAGCAGAAATCGAAGCAGCGAGGACGGAAAAAGAAGGGCAAGAAGTCTGAACCGGTGGTGGAGATTGTCACCTCTCAACTCGGGCTTGGACGCCCAGCGTCGGGACAGCCTGCTCGATCTACGCGCTCGGCCAGTGCGAAAAGTCAACAGTCTCAAGTCGTCGATGTGGATGCTGATCTAGAGCAAAGCGCAGAGGAGGAAGGGGATGAAGAAGCAGGGGAGTCTGCTTCGGAAGTCGAAGTGGCAGGAGACAAGACCATCCGAGCCTCGTCACCACCCTCCAAGACGTCCTCTAAGGCTGGTTCGACTCAATCTGCACGACCTGCGTCTCAACTCGATCGATTCGCAATCATACCACCTTCATCCCCCTTCCAAAATGCTCAAGCTCATTCCAAGTCAGCGCCTGCGCGAGCACCTCTCCAACACGGTCCTCCTGCAACTCTGGCGGATACATCTGCTTCCGAGACCCCCCGAGCGAAATCTACATTGGTCAGTTCTAAACCTGCCAAGCCATCGCCTCGAGTCAACAACCTTACTCGAGATGCTCTTGACAAGTCTATCCTGGACGGCGCTAAAGAAGCTCGAAGAGTCATGGATGATCTTGTCCTCAATACGTCTGAACACCAGGTCGACGAATTGACGGAAGAACAGAAAAGCATGACGTTGGAGGATCTGGTAAGGGTCGAAATGAAGAAGCGGTACGAGAGCATGAAAGATAGAGGTGAAGAGATGATCAAGGACTGGGAGCAGAAATCTCTAGAGGCGAGAAGGAGGATAGAGTCATTATGAGTGGTGTCCTAGAGTGTCTTCACGTCGTCTTAGGGCTAGAATCACGTTGCACTTCCGATTCTCCGGCGAATCCTTTTTGGTACCTTCCGCGCATTGTTTCCCGACTAGCGTACAAGATATGCATACACCAATGTTGGAGAAGGTGAGATGCGACACAGAGAGGAGAAAATGAATGTTGAACTCGATGAGATGGATGAATGCTCGTCCGTTGATGAGAGTAGATGCTTCCTCTTTGAGATCCCTTTGGCCAAAATGAGACTCATCCGATCGCCCCGGGATCTCATCTATTCTCAATCCCATAAGAGGCATGTGTCCCACCTCCAACTTCACCCTCTCTCGTCCTTCCATTTGTCGTGCCGCCCGCAACCCCTCCATTCCCACTCGGTCTGCTCCCGACCAGACTCCTGCTCGATCCATCTCGGCCTACAGATGCGCTATTCCTACCGATCGTCCGTTCTTCATCTCCACTCTCATCTTCTTCCGGTAAGTCTGAGAGAGCGACGCCGTCCTCTTCAAAGGCGGAAAACAAAGTGGCATTCTGGGCTCTGTAAATGTTGGATCTGCGTCCGTGAGTCGGGGACTGCAGGACGCCGCCAGGGGCATAATTGTTAGGGACTGAAGCGTAGTTCCAATTGTTGTGCCCATTGGACTCCATAGATAACCGACCTGACATGGACATACGGGGGTCTGAGGGGGAGATGAGCAAGGGACGAGACAAACGGGTCGAACCCACTCATAAATCCAGTCTCCAAGCTCGAGTGATGTGGCGCTTCAGGCTCTCTAGACAGGTTGAGCAGGTAGACACCCATGAAGATGATGAGAAATCCGCAGATCAGCGAGACTGTATTAACGCCTCCAGAGGTATTGAAGCCAGAGAACATGATGGCGGAGGCTACAATAGTAGCTGTCGTGAAGAAGACGTAATATATCGGGTTGACGCTGGGAAATTCAGCCCAAGTTCCCCGCCCGCTCGCCCAGGTGACCTACACATTGGTTGAAAAGGTATCTAGAGCCTTGTTGAAGTAGTTCTGACCGGGTCAGTAATGCGTCATGACATAACTCACCATCTGCACCAGGATAGACCCGACGACCACCACTCCAAATACATAGGTACTCATATGCGTCAGTTGATTATTTCCCGCAAAAGTGAGCTTGAGGGCTACACCAAGTCCCTGGGACGGCATCAGCCATGCAGTGCATCTAGAGCCCACCTTGATAGCCATGATGGAGACACTGCCGACCAAAGAGCAGATTGACAGGTAGACCATCGGGTTCTTTGTGCCGTGTATCGGGGCCACTTTGAAGATCATGTAGGTCGAAAAGATGGTGACGAATGTGATATAGAGGAGGAAGGCTAGAGTGAAGCGTTAAGTAGCGTCTGGCTATATTCAGAACCCTCCTCACAAGTTTGAGAAGCATATGCCAGGATCTCATCCACGGTCTCGACCTCTGGATCGGAGGGTGCGTGGAGCACTATGACGACTGAGCCGATCTGTAGAGCCGAGTAAGAATGGAACGGTATGTAGATAACACTCACGATACAGCAAGCACAGCCGCAAACTCCTAATCTGCCGAGCTTCTCGTCTAGAATGAATGATGCTAGAATAGCCCTTTAAACAGGTAAGCCACAGACTTGACTTTCGAGACATACCCTATAATGACACTCATGGCTCCTAATGGAGTCACCAGGATAGCGGGTGCGAAAGTGTATGCAGCAAAGTTGGCAACTGTGCCAGAGTCAGTCGGTTCCAGCTCCGCTTTTCTCGATGAGTTACGTACGCTCTCCAACGACCACTAAAGTAAGTGCATCAGCATATGTCCCATCATTCTGTTTGAGACATACTAGTGATCATTCCAGCCCACCATATCGGATTACGCAGGTACGCGAGATCCTCAGCTGAATGAGAATGAGCTACGCAAAGAGTCACAGCGACTAGCTCACATGCGCCCTTGGGCCCATTTGAACGTTGATGAGAATGCGGATAAGATGTGCGTTTCGCAGCGTCGTTCAGACCCTGACAAGAGCGTCAATATCAAAGAGATCAAAACCACGCCAGGCCCTAGGCTCACCTTTTTTGTGATGATGAAGCTCGACCTAGATTAGGTTGACCGACGTCAGCATGAGGGATCATGTAAATCCCAAGAGTTCAACTGACCCTATAAGGAATGTCCCGGACAGAGCGAGTGTCAATCCAATGTATTTATCTTCGACCATGTTTCCTGTCCATATACCGTTGCGGTGCTTGCTCCTCACTCCTCCGAGTATCCAGCGGGATGCAATAGGGTGAATGCAGGAGTCTATCCAAGAAGACGTGCCAGCCGTCTGATCTCAACGCTTCTCCAAGCCGCTGCGATGCTGTCTATCGAGATCCGAAACGGTATACTGTGCTGATGATGATAGTAATGTTGTTGTTGATGAGACTGTGTCCAGCGAGCGACACGCCAAAAAAAAAGGAGGGAGAAGGGAGTGGAACGGGGAGAAAACGGACGGGATCAAATGTTGGATGCGAGATGAGAATTGGGGACTCCACGCGTTGTACATTCCCAAAAAGAGGATCGACTCCCAATTGTGGCGCTCAGCGATTGTAGTTGTGGCAGAGGGGGGGGGGGATCAAAGGGCAAACATGTCATGGATGGTTCCATCAAAGCTCGGCCGATTGGGAGTCAGGACAGAGCAGCTAGAGAGTACAAAGATGCTGATGTCATGCCATATAGACCTTTCCCCCCCCCCCTTGCCGTCGAGATAGCATGTTTCATCCTTGCAATCTTTACACGTCTGAACACCCTTCTCCTCCTTTGAGCGGAATGTTGGACGATGACCAACCCTGACAACTCGACAACCTGGTAAAGCTTTTGACAAGTTCTTCATGCAGTCTTTCTCTCCACCGTAGCCCACTGAGCCCGTTCTTGTCCGCGCCCATAGCTCCTGTTCGTATCATCAACATGAGAGAGAATACAGATGTTCCGCGTGGTGATCCCTGGCAAGGACTGGTGAGTGTTTCTGTCATTAGTCAGGTGACATTTCACGGATCGATGACTGACAGGGCTTATAGAGCCTGGGAGGCGGTATGAGGGGAGTCATCGCAGACACTACTCGTACGAACACGACGAATACGACGATTCGTTTGACTCTGCCTCCCACGAGGCGCCCCACAATGACTCGAGAGACCAACACGGTTCTCCACTCCATCGCCACGAGGGTCTACGAAGATGCTCAGTCGTCAGTAGTAGGGAACAGCGGCAGCAACAACTGAAACAAGAGCCCAGACTCAGGTCAAGTTCGGCATGACATGCTACTGCATGCATGTCTTTACTACTGTACATACTGTATTTGCAGGAAACGCATTACATTCGTATTGATCAATCAAAGCAAAGTCTGCTTGAACCCTTGATCAGCCCATTTTGAGACAGAGTCCATTGCAGCTCTCGGTCGACGCTTGAACCGCATCAGGTAACTCTGGAGAGCAGACATGGAGACCTGACCATTCGGGATAGCTTTGGAGAAGCTGGTGGCCATATCGTCCAGGTCGGCCGGCGACAACGAAACGTGTCCATCCGGTCGTGCTTTCTCCGTCTCTGGCGAGTCTGTGATCGCAGCTGGGTTGGATGCCTCGCCAGAGTCTTCGTAGAATCGTAGAAAGAGCTCTTTGGCCTGGGATTGGATCGCGTTAGCGTACGGTATCCAGACATCGCATCGGCCTGTACCCATCATCAGTACTCTCATTGACATTGCTGGATCCCCAGTACTCACCTGGCCTCGACAGAGCATCGTCAATCTTTTCCAAATGATTCGTCGTGCAGAACAACAAGCGTCCCTCTCCCGCAGTCACGCCATCCAGGGCGTTCAACAAACCAGACAAGGTGATGGAACTGCCCGATTTGTTCTGAGATCCACCGGAACCTTTCCCTTTTGACCCCTTTCCCTCTTCGCTCTCCTTGTGATCGTCCTTTTTCTCATCTTCTTCCTTCTCGTCTTCGGCTTTTCTATCCTTCATCGCACAGTCTCTGCGACGGCAATCGTCAGTGAAGCCTCAAGATATGACCTTAGATGACTCACATGTCTTCTATGAGGAGAATCGATCGAGAGGAAACAGAAGCCATGAGAGATTGAAGGGCGCCGTCGTCAAGACTTTTGACTATATCAGCACAAGCAATCATCCGATTTGTTACTCACTCTTTCGAGCCCAATGCCAGGTAATAGACATCCAATTTGAGGTGTGACGCCAGTGCTAGGACTAAAGGATAAATGGTCAGTTCGAGGTCCTCGGACTCAGCCGAAGCACTCACTCAGACTACTTTTCCCGCTCCCGGGCGGACCATGCAACAGATATCCTCGCCTATATGGCAATCCTAGTCGTCGATAGAATGACTCTTCGTTTATAAAGTCGGAAGCATCTTCCAAGATGGATTCCTTGACTCCAGCAGGCAATACCACCGATTTCCAAGGTCTGAAAGGTTTATGGATCGTCTTTGACCAGGATCCTTCTCCGCCTCGTCCTCCACCACGAGGCGTATAAATGGCTATACGGGATTCGTCACGGAGGAGATACTCTTGTCGAGCTTGTTCGACGAGCGATTGGAAGAGTTCGTGGGTTGCGAAGAGGCACCTGTGTCATGGGAGTCAGCAACTTGCCGAACAGACCAAGGTCAACTTACGATATCTCTATCCAATTCTTAGCCCACGAGAACCCATTGTCATTCTTGATTTCGTAGAATTTGTATCGGAGGATGTGATTCTTGAATCGAATAGCTTGGCGTTGGCCTATCACATGCTTCTATGTCAGCTAACATTCTCTCAGTGCCAAATATGGCATGGTTGGTGCTCACCTGTCGACGGAGTCATTCTCAACTTCAACTTGCCTAGCATGATATCCTGTTTTTCTCTCATTTTTTCCTCCATCTGCCAATGCCAAAGATGAGGATCTCTCAACGGGGTAGCCTGGACTGTGACATCCCGAGGAGGGCAACGACCGGTCGGATAGATCAACTCCAGGACCGAGACCCAGAAGGAGGTCGGAGAGTCTGTTTGGCCCGGTCGTACTTTCATCGAATTGTCTGAGAGATAGCTGTGAAGCCAGAGATACGAGTCGTCCGCTTCGGAGATCCGTACAGTGAGGGTCGAGGCTGAGCACGAGAGTCAGTCACGTCAATACATGTAGGGCGTACATCTTCAGAGGGTGGCAAGCCCCTCGCGCCTTTGAATAGAGGTATGCTCATGCCACGCAACGAAAAACTCACCAGCATAGAAAGCACTGATGGCCCAAGTCACCAATCGCCTAGCTCCTTCGAGTAACGCGCCACTGAGGAACAAGGTCGTACCGTCTCTCAAGAATGGGTGGGAGTTAAGAAACAACTCGACATGGCTCCAAATGATGGTCAAGATGTCTAACATCGTCGAGAAGAAGCTTAGACAGATGAAGGTGCGGACTCCCCGCGTCCAGACGGCCGAATGGTGTCGAAGGGCGGAGATTGATGAAGGAGGGTTAACTGCCCAGTTTCGTCGTCTGCTTCCTCTTCCTTTATAACTGTTCTCGTGTCGAGTCGATGACAGACCGCCTGAGACGCTTGCGCGGCAAGCGAAGTGCACAGGGTAAAAAAGAGAACTCTGCAAGAAACGGGGATTGTCATCGTCTAGCTCTCTCTTTTTTTTTGTTGCCACCGCCGTGCATCGGTAATGCGGATCCGAGGATCGTCACGGTGCGGCGGGGAACGTGGACACTGAAGGAGCAGCCAAACGTGGATACGCAGGTGGCGGCGCAGACATGACGAGACAAGCTTGGTCAGGTGTGATTACCCGGAGTGACATGTTCTGGAAATCATTTGGGAGGACTTTGATAAGACCTCAACGACTGGACTGATTGCCAAAGGAAGAGCAAGGTATGCAAACCCCGCGACCGCGGAGATAGTGATGCAGATCAGGAGGGCCCTGGATCGCAGTATACAGACATCGTACAAGCAGGTATTGAGTGTCCTCCGAAAAGCCCCATATCTTGGTTCCACGCGTACTGCTCATCAAAAGAACAAGCCTACTTGGTATATGCAGCCTGCTCTATATCAGCCTGAGGGACACCCAGGTGACTCACCTCAATTTCTTTAGCGTATTTCTGAGCGATCTGTGGTCTGGCAAGTTTCATAGCAGGTGTCAACATGCCATTGTCAGGTGTCCTGTTGTGTCGTTTCAACTCTTGACTCGCCCCTTGACAGATCAGATCTACCACTCACCATTCCTCAGGAGTCAAAACCACATCCTTGATCAATTCGGCTCTAACCAGCCCGCCTTGCTTTGCAGATGACATTAGTGATGTCTTGATAAAATCCTTGATTTGCTTATTGTTCGTCCACTGGGGCGGACCTCCATCTACGGAGATGCCGGCTGCCTTGAGCTGCACGAGAAGATTGCCTTCGTGCTGAATTGGAGGGTCATGCCGTCAGTCTCATTCTTCAGTCGAAAGAACCCGAAACCCACCGGATAAACAATGGCTATCGGTCGATCGGCCTGTGGGGGCGCGCAAATACATAGCATCATGACAACGTCTGTGGATGGGTCATGAGCATGGACTCATCAAGATGAGGGATTAGACTCACTGCACGTCTTGTAAATCGACTCTACTCTGTCCAGAGCCAGGTACTCGCCATTCTGGAGCTTAATCTGTAGAGCGTCAACCTGGACCATCGAGCCAGGTCACACGTACCAAGTTCTTCACGCGATCTATGATCCTCAAGGTACCGTCGGTGTCCCACTGGCTATCGTCAGTTCCAAGCTGCGAGTGATGGCTGCCGAGATCCTACCTGGCCAATATCCCCTGTCTTGAACCACCCATCCTCAAAGCTCTCAGCGTTCAAATCGTCTCTTTTGAAGTACCTGAAACACCGTCAATTCCGGTACCATTGGACGTCATTCACCCTTTAAAGATGTTCGGCCCACGTAGCCAGATTTCCCCTTGCGGCGGGTGATGGGACACGGAATATCCCAAGTCAGGCTGGTCTGTGAGACGTCAGCTCGAGTCGATAAGGTCAGTCAGTGGCTCACCGATCAGCTTTGCCTCGCATGATGGTCCAAGTACACCGGCACTTCCGATCGACCAATGTTCTGGCGTAGTGATAGAAGCCATACCACAAGTCTCTGTCATACCATAGCCTGAGACCGTTAGAGAGGGAAGACGACACGCCAACTCACCGATCATCATCGGCGCAAGAACTGTACTGAGGAACAGCTGTGTGTCCTTGCTGAGCGCACCTCCTATCTCAGTGATCAGCCGATGAGAGCAAGAACATGAGAAAAGCAACCGGCTCACCTCCACAGACAGAGACCCTCAACCTTCCCCCAGTCGCTTGCTTGACTCTCGCGAACAGCACTTTGTCGATGACAGAGCTTAATGGCCAAGGCAGTGTCTGTTTCCCTTTGACTGCGAGTCCAAAGATCCCACCGACGACAGGTCCAGCTTCTGCGATCTTCTTCATCATTCCTTTTCTGCACAGCGAGTCAGCTCGGAGCCAGAAGTCTCGATTTCGCTGAACATTGTCTCACCGGATCATCTCGTAGATAGCAGGGACGCCTCCGATCATTGTCTTGGAGGACGTCAAGTCAGCAGACGAAGCATGGGACGCGGTTGAGCGTACCGGTTTGAAAGCTGCAAAGTCCCCTTGACAATTGCGTACACTATCATCGAGTAGGGTCTTGACGCTCGCGTAGCCAACTTGTACCCCGAGCAGATAGAAAGTATATTCGAGGAACTGAGTGCTCAGCTCAAGAAGCGGACTGAATGCTTACCTGTTCGAGAATGTGTGCCAGAGGAAGATAGGCCATCAGGAGATCCGTCTTGGGGTACGCGTATTTGCCCCAGAGCGCGACTGATCCAGCCACTGGATCAGATGTCAGCGACAAGACCCGCCTCGACATTCGAAAACAAACGGACAAGAAGCGACAACGTTTCCATGCGATAATAGCACGCCCTTTGGAGCACCCGTCGAACCTGAGGTGTACATAATGCAGAAGAGGTCCTCGGGTGTAGGCTTGGGTCCAAGATCTTCCCTTTGCACGGGATTCTGAGTGCCCAGCTGTTCGAGCTCAGAAATGGACACCAGCCGTCCATGCCGAGACTCCACAGTTGAGCGAATCGTATCGATCAGTCCCTTTAATCGCGACGTCAATTCTAGTCTCACACACCCGCTTGACTCGGTCAATCGGACCCGGACCCATGCTCACCTTATCTAAGCGCTTCGAAGCGTCATACACGACCCATTTGACTCTTTCAGCCCGTCCAATCACCTTGGCTACGAGTCCAAGTTGTTCTTCACCACAGAATACCAATTCCACATCCGGCTCGACGAGACTCGTCAAGAGTCCCTCCTCGCCCAACGTAGTGTAGGCAGTGGTGATGGTGCTCCCTAATCGAGCACAGGACTGAGCGAACAGCTGCCAATTCAAGCACGTATCGGCGTATATTGACGCTCGGGGTCTCGACGCTATCGGTGTCGAGGTGGTCGTAAAGCCAAGTGAGAGGAGACCAGAAACGAGTGATGAGATTCGAGCATCCAGTTCGCGATGCGTGACAGGCTTAGGGGGCGATAGAGTGAAGCTGCGCCAGGATTCAGTCGTCAAGAGCATGTTAACCAGAGGGGATTCCACTAGTCCCCGACTCACTACTTCCACATCTTTTCTTCCTCCGAGCCATCGGGCTTCCGGACCATCTTGGGCTCTTGAACGATATCCACCACATCTCGATACGAGCAAGCCACTTTGTCACCATACTTCTGTGCCTACAAACGATATATACATCAGCAGCATGTCAGGCATACACCCACACCTGACTCACGGTATACGCAAAGATATCGCCTACGGTCTTGACGGATTCGCCAGCCGGTAAAGAGACCAATAAATCCGGTGAGAAAGCATTACGGCGGATCGATGGATCCGACTTGACAGGGATCGTCGCGGGCCTCTTGGAGAACATGGGGTTAGGACAGGTTGTGGATACAAACAAGTCACTTGGTCAAGCTTTCAAACTTTCCGCCTCACTGCCACGAAGGCCTCTGCCTCCTCTGTGATGGGGGTTCTGCCAAAGGATACAATGGGGGAGGGGGGAATGGTCAAAAGAAATGCCCAGCCTTTTGTAACGTTTTGGCTTTCGATCGTCATTCTTTTTGCCCCCGAGTTCAAAGGCCACGATTCCCGAACTACCCCCCGGATTGAGTTCCGGGAACAGCGCCGTCTACAGGTCACCAGCTGAGCCGTTGCGCCGTGCTTCATGCTTCTCGATACCAGGCGTGTGAAGCACATATGCTTCCGAGTCATCGCTACCAGTTCGTCATCTCTCATGCATACGCTCGTCATTTTGATGGCAGCATGACATCGGCGTCAAATAGTGAATCATGCGTCAAATCCGATAACCTTTGAAGGGCCATCTGTTGAGTGGATAGGATCTTCAGAAAGACATTAGCAAGAACAGCCTTGATCACTACATCTCGCTCTCACCTCTGCGATCTCCGCCAATGCACGTTCATCGGCTAGCCAGCCCTCCCTATTCGCTCCTGCAGCGACGCCCTTGCGCATCTTCCTAATCTCCTCGACTAAGCCCCAAAGCTCATTCACCTGCCCGATCATGCGTCCTTCACCCGTGCCTCTCCTATTCAGCGCACCTGAGCCTATAGAGGAGGCTCTTAATCCCACGATACCAGTCCCACTGCCACCTTTTGCCTTGCCTTTACCTTCCAGATCGGCTTTGACTCCTTCCAGGACTTTAGCAACCGCAGCTTCCTCTTGTCTGAACGCAGTGGACTGCAGGATCGGTATAAATTGAGGTGTCTGAGCGACGAGATGAATCAAGCGGTGCATGAGAGTCGTGAGTTGCGTCTGGAGGGCAGCGAGGCGGATCGAGGTGGAAAGGGATGTCTGGCGGGAAAGTTGGGAGAGGGCAATGGAGATCTCCTAGAGTTCTCATCAGCACGACTTTTTCCCTCGTAGCTATGGAGCCGCCCCCGACACACCTTGATCTTCTCCTGATGAACACTAGCAATCTTTTCCTGCATGTCGACTCGTTTTTTGACGTCCGCCCAGCCAGTCGCGAGGACAGGCACCATTCTGTTTTTCAACGTCAACACCGTCCATCTGGGTCCATTGCTCACGATTGCGGATCCGGATTATCCCTCATAGCCTTGGCCCATTTCGCATCATCGTTTGCACCAGGCGGTCGGCCGTATTGACCCGTTGTTCCAGGATCAACCTTGTTATAGAAGAAGTACTGAAGACGCCTCAGCTCCATGTGCCTGCTTTGCACATGACTCACCTTGAATCGACATTCTGGAGACGCTGAATCCCAAGCGTTCTTGACAGCCATCATCCGCGATTCAATATCTAATTCGTGCTTTGATCCAGCTACCGACGCGTTCATAGGGTTCTGCGTGGTCGACGCGAACAATCCCGATTGACTCGGCTGTTGAGCCGTCGAAGGGAACAAAGATGACTGAGGTTGAGTATGACTGGTTGAGGAGAACAAAGAGCTTTGCTGAGGTTGAGAGGTCGATCCGAAGAGACCGCCCGCGCCAGAGGAGGGTTGTAGAGAGGTGGATCCGAATAAGCCCGACGATTGTTGTGGTTGAGGTTGAGTAGATTGGGAATTACCAAACAGACTGCTGCTCCCTCCGCCAAACAGACCTCCAGCAGGTTGTTGGGCCGTACTCGTTGAGGTCTGACCAAAGAGACCTGTCCCTTGGGGTACTTGTCCTGGTTGAGCGGACTGTCCAAATAATGAAGATCCCTGAGCCGAGGAAGGTTGAGCGGTGGATCCAAAGAGTCCGGTTGTGGGCTTTTGAGCAGTTGAAGAGAAAAGACCGCCATTCTGCTGGGCTGGCTGCTGTTGCTGCTGCTGCTGCGCGTTCGCCGTATTGGTCGATCCAAAGAGGCCGGTGCCGGTCGAAGGTTGAGCACTGGTATTTCCGAATAGACCGCCAGACGAGGTCCCTTGTGTCGTCGCTGCCCCAAACAACGATGATCCCTGGGGATTCTGTTGTTGCTGCTGACCCGACGCTCCAAAAAGACCACCCGTCGTAGAGCCTTGTTGCTGATTCGGTTGTGTCGTAGTCGAGCCGAAAAGGCCTCCGCCAGATGGAGTTTGCTGCTGTTGTTGGTTTGTTGAACCGAACAATCCACCAGTCGATTGTTGTGGAGCCGGTTGCTGCGCGAACAAAGAGCTGGAAGGGGCTGATTGGGTGCCGCTATTGCCTGAAGAAGACATTTCGTATCAGTAGATCTCGCCATGTTGGCTGGACAAGGACGCACCAGCACCAAACATGGGTGCAGAAGTTCCACCTTGAGCGTTGTTTGATCCTGCCAGCAGATGTCAGTCGATAGTCCGTATGGCAATGTCAACCTCACCGAAAGAAAATGTGGACATGATGGCTCGCAATTCTTGAGGCTACTCGCTCCAAACCAAGAGAGATCGAGGACTAGCCTGCTCGCGAGTCGACCTGAGCAAGGGAGAACCACAGAATCCACCCGTCACAACCTTTTGAACGCGAAAGGAGGAAAATTTGGTTCCGCGATTAGCAGGTGACGCCTGCCAGGTCTATGATCGATAACGAACAGCACACTCGAGACATCATGAAGACGAGCATAGCGAGGTACATTCAACGGGCGAAGGGTACCAGAGTGTTGACAGATGTCGCTACAACCCTTTGTCTAGCTCCCAGAGCTCCTTATACGTCTTCAAGACCATTACCATCGTCATCGTCTCTCACCCCCATCCGGTCATTACACCAGTCTTCATCCTCATCCTCCAGCGTGGGCGCTTCGTCTTCAAATCCCCCATCATCATCAACCCAAGATCCAGAACACCCGTATCTATGGTACCACACTTCTTCTTCTACTCGCCGCATAGAGCTTTCATTCTTACCGAGTCCACCTTCACCAGGATCGAGGACAGTCTTGGGTTATCTGCCACTCTTTCAAGACAGCGGTCTGAACGACTTCCAAGAGAATTCCGAGTTTCTGTGAGTCACCAGATACGTGATACCAACTACTCCTGATTGAAACGGTAGGAAACTCTTGCATGATTTGATACGAGCTGGACTAGACGCCAATGTCAGTGAACAGTTGGCGTTCGAAGCTTCCGCCAGGCCGACAGATGGCTATATCAACCTCTGTGGTTCGTGATCGTTTTCTACTCCGAACAAAGAAAGAAGCTGATGTACCACAAACCAGATGAGCGAGCTCTCCCTCCTGCTGGACGTATAGCCGAACCTGAGGATACTCTAGGTACGGTCTTCGTCCAGGACGGTCAGATCGACGGGAAAACATACCAGGCCATGCCATCCTATCGGCTTATAACGGCGAATGGTCCCTGTATATTGCCCAAAGGGCTGGACCAATTCGTGAGAAACGAGCTGGAGAAGATTGATCAAGCGGAGAAGAAAGCATGATCTATCGGATCTATCACACAGGAGATGCATGGCCCATCGAGCTCTTTTGCCTCAACTGTGATTCCAAAAGAATATTCACAATGTCCATCCCATACCACTGGTACAACTGTAGCGATACAGTAGGTGTGCTAGTGTCGCGCAAGGTCTTTCCGTCCAGCGGGTAAAAGGTGTCAAGAATGAGTCCTATCATGAATGTGGTGCCATGGGTGGATCCGGCATGATTTGGAAACTGGCTTTTTGAGATGACTCTCTCGGTCCGGTCAAATCTCCCAGTCCATTCGCTGAGACTCTCCTCTGTCGATCTTCATCTTTCATTTGTCCTCTGAGCTCCGCTCCGAGACTAGGCACGGGTTTACGTGCCCGTTTGGATCCACTTCTAACGACTGCACTGAGGGTTGACCCTGATGCACTCTGCTTCAAGAGGCCCAAATTTCCCTCTGCAGGATGTGACATGGATCTCGTACGCTGTCCTTCGATAGCGTGCGAGGCTCCAGGCGGCAATTCAGACGCTCTGCGACCATCGTGATGATCGTCCGAGTCATCGCCAAAGACGGGAGGAGTCACGAACCCGCCGTACGCTTCATCGCTTGACGGTGGGCTGGGAGGCGTAAAGAATGGATCTTGATGATGGTTTTCATCAGATGCCGAGGGACGAGGAAAACGGTCGAATCTCCCTCCAAGATCGCCCAAAAGGATGTTGGGAGTCTGATGTCCATGTGCTGACTCGGATGCAATGCTCGCTTGATGGTCCTTCTCCACATCGATGGCGGTGTGGCTGTCCCCGTCCGTGGATCTCAATTGATATGCGCCTACGGGATCTCCACGCCCACGTTCATTTCCCGTATCCGTCTTCTCTCCTCCACCGAACGGGTCGTTGCGCCTGGCATTTCGCCTTCTTCGCCAGAAGAGGCATCCGCCGACAAGGAGCAAGATGAGAATCGCGCCGACAACGATCCCGGCGATGGCTCCGCCAGATATTCCTCCACCGCTGTTGCCAGAATCCGAAGCGTTGGCTCCTGCAATACCTGCCGTCGTCGAGCTCGTCGGGACGATGGAGGTTGACGATGATGACGAGGAGGTCCTGGCGCTTGTTGCGGATGTGGAAGTCGCTGATGAGGCAGAGGAGGTAGACGAAGACTCCGAAGGAAAGGTCGCTAGGCAGCTCGTGTTGGAGCCCTCAATGACCGAGAAGATATTACTGGTGGCGTGTGTACCAAAGCTGTCGCCTATGAGACCTAGGAAATAGTATCTACCTTGAGGTACATCCACGATCCAAGAGTAGCCGACTGCGGCGGTTTGGGTAGTGATCGTATCGTTGATCTGCACACGAGGCTCGAGAACGGCTCGCTCCCTGAGATTACTGACAGTCTTGGCAGACGACGTGGCGGCGGTGGTGGTAGTGGTGGTTTTGGCCGATGTAGCCGTGGTCTTTGCAGCGGTTGATGATGTGGTAGATGTAGCGGTGGTTGAGGAAGAAGAAGGGATGGACTGGGGTACATCAATGTTGACGACTTGCATGTCAATGATTTGAAACACTGGATCCTCGTTGGATAGCGCCCATTGAACGCTGGGTGAGACCATGTCAGCGTGTTATGGCGGTGCTGATGAATGAAACGACTTACCGGAACTCGTCACACGCTGTCAAGGTTGGCACAGTATAGATAGTCAGTGAGGGTGTAGCTTCCAATCCGGTATTGGCAGTGCTGGTCTTTGCTGTTGTTGCTGTTGTCGTAGTGGTTGAACGGGCTGTACCAGTAGTGGTGGTGCTTTGAGCCGCAGCTAACGAGAGAGGCAGCAGCATGATCGCAGAGACAATGACAGTCATTGAAGTGAGGGAATGTCGAGACGAGGTGAGTGATGGCAGATATGGGACCATGATAAGGAGTGTTTCAATGAGGCCGAGTGGCCAACGCTAGACTCGTTCTCAACAGAGCGGGGTCCAAATAGTGTATGCTGTGGAGCTGCTTGAAAGGAAGGTCGATGGGATGGGGGATGCTTGATCTCGCCAACCGCAAGCGATTCAATCAAAAGGGCCTGTGGAAAAGAGTGAGCCCCCGTTATTTGTCTCAGATATTCTATAACGGCTTACTACGATGATCTACGGGAGCTCGTGATTGTCTCAGTGACACTGTCCAGCCAGCTCTTGTCCGAAGCCGACTCTAGAGAAAGGAAGGATGGATAGATGGATGGATGGATGGATGGAGCTGAGTAGATCCTTCAGTTACTGCGAAAGCTGTGACCGACCAGTCAGCCTCCCATATGCAGCCAAAAAGATGAAACCACAGGGGCTCAGGCTCACTGCGCACTGAAATTGATGATGACTATACTTTTTGTATGAAAGGAGAGTGTGGACAGTGCTGTGGAATCCACAGCGCAGCGTTATGTATATGGTACAAGTTTCGAACTCAGCAGCAATTGAGACGACTGGGTGCATTGATATAATGAACACTGGACCCCGGCCAGCAGGGCAAGGGCGGTGAGTGAGGCTTCGCCGGGCATCTTTGCTGTGTCCTGAGGAAGAAGATTTTCCATTACGAGATTAAATTCCGTTTTTGGGGTGCCCGATAGGTTAATAAGGTTGTGGCGGGTAGCCATTCAGAGGGGCTACTGCTGCTGCTGCTGCTGCTGCTGCTGCCGCTCATCATGGCTCATACATCGGCCAACGGTGACCCCAGAATGGCATCGGCACACGACTGGAACCTATTTCTCACTACCCCGTTCCTGGAAGCCGGGACTCTGCATTCATCTTGGATCTCGACTTTTGACCTTGGACCATTGAGTCAAATTTTCACGGGTGGTGGACACCACGGCGAATCCGACATGGCTGGTTGTGGGATATAGGGAGAGAGGATCTCAACCAGGACTGGCTGACGACGTGCACGACGAAACATGCTAAAGGGTAGAAACAGCATTGCCTGCCGTCGAGATCATCCGTTCAGCTGACTCTTAGAACCCGGCGAAGCGGACTCTCTAAGCCTACCTGATCAGGGGCAGCTTCAAGTCCAAGATCACCATTCGTCTAGAGTTTACTCTGATCATGCATTTGACGCGGACCGACTTCTATAGCGCACGCTACGATCAGATTTGGACGGATTCAGACGACCCTGTGCACAAGGATTGGAATAGAGGGTGATTGATTTGGTGCGAGCATGGAGGACTTGGAGATCATCATCTTGCCTCATCTGAGATCTTTCTTACTTTCTTTGCTCTTGCTATGACCGGACTCTGGACGGCGATGAGCCACTCGCAGTCTCAAGGTCAGGTCGAGTCATGAAAAGTACGTCTCATCGACTGTACTCGGACCTGTTTGGCTTTGAGGGGATTCGCGATGAATGGAAGGCATCACCTCGACCGCTTCGGGTAGTAGCGGCTGTCCTCTTCGTGTCGGGCAATAGATCGCCCAAGCCCAAAGCTGCGAATGGGGCCAGTCGGGAGCTGCTCTCCCCAGTCCTCGGTCCAAGAGGGTGATTGTCAGGTCGCGATCCGACGGTCCCGTCTGATTCAACACGCACGTACGTGAGCTCATCGTCATTTCTTCCAGACACCCATTCTCCAGGTCGATAACTGGGAGCAGGAGGACGGTCATCTCCAGTGTAGCCTGCATCAAGCTCATTGACAGACGTCGGTCGGATTGACCAGTATTCGTCCGGTTGCCCCTCGCTGACAAGGAAAGATTCTGCTCCGTTCCCCTTTGAGGTCATGGAGATGCCTGAAGATGTGAACCCTTTCCCCCATTGCCCGCCCAGCTCGGTGACGATTTCTCCTCGATTGATGTCGGGTCTCTGGACACTGGGATCGTCCAGAGCGAAAAGAGACCTTGGCTCAAATGAAGGATGTGTGATGAGATACTGCTTGTGAGGGTAGTTCTGAGTCGTCTCATTGTTGTCTCCCTCGTTCTCATTCTTGGGACCAGAAGCCTCGGTTGGAGTGGCGGTCCCTCGTCCTGTGTCGCTGTTATCTTCGCAGCTGCTTGAAGGCCTTTTGTCGGTGCCCGTGTCCAGAGCCAAATCTGTCGCGAGCCAACCAGATAGCCTTGCAGCTTCGCCGTAGTCTTTTTCCTTCAAGGCAGTTGTCAACTGCCTGCTGAGCCCGATGGACTGTTTGCGTAAAGCCTCTTGTGCTTCTTCCACGAGGAAATCTACGGCCCATGTGGCTTGGGACAGATCTACGCGAGACGACGCCCCTGTCGTACCGAGGAAGGGGTCTTTGAGAGTTTGGCAGACGTCCCATCTTCCTTCAAGATAGTCTTGTCGCTCCGAATCGTTTGCGAGACGAATGAGTTCGGCTACTGTGGGGGATCTCATTTTGGGCCTATTAGAGAAGCAGATGTCTTGTTGGCCTTGGAGGGGATGAGAGTGGCAAAAAAGCAGAAGAGGCTCACGCTATTTAAGCGAAGGAGTATAGAAGCCTCGAGTAACATTCACGCTGGCAAGCTCTATGGCCGCGACGTGGTCACCTTCCTTCGGCCATGACACCTTTCACGGAGAAGACATGCTTATAGTTTGCTTCTCACAATGCCGTTCTACCTTCATAAAGGATGACCTGTGATGGCCCCATTCAGTCGAGCTTTGTGGGATTGCGCCACAAAGCACGCGAATGCCAGATCTTCTCAGCATGAATCACCCGGCGATAGCGATTCGGCCCGGGCAGAAGCATTGAAGCGTCGAGCCCGCCTGGCCGGTGTTGAAGATTTTCACCGGCTTGCGTGCGGACAATCCAGATCTCGACACTTGCATCGGGATCGGAAGAGACCACGAGAGAAGCTCACAAGGGTGCGGATCATTGAACGGAGCACCGTCGATTAGTGTTATAGCTAAACACATGTACAGTATGCCATCGCTGTGTACTTTGTCATGAGCCACATTGCCACAAACGAGCCGACGATCGGCTTTGCCATAAAAATCATTTGAGCCGAAGCATCATGAAGCATCATCGTTTTGTGGCCTATGCAAAAGGGAAGCACCATGCCAGGTCCTAAGTCGCTGAAGAGACGTCAGGAAGATGACAGGTCACCTGGTCCCGCCTCGGGACGACATAACAAGAAAGCCGGGAAAAACAAGCGGGAGGTGACGTATGATACGTATGATGAAGCATTGGATGGTGGAGTGGAGATGGAGGAGAAGGGTGAGAGGTACAGGGATGGTGATAAGGTGGGTTATAAGGGGGTTACGGACCCGGTGGTTCCATGTTCTGGGCTGAGGCGAGCCTTGGCAGGCACAGAGATTCTATGAAAAGGCTCTGGATCTGTATAAAATGGCTTACGATTACGAACCGACATTCGATGCGGCTTACAATCAGTCAGTCTGTGTTCGGTGTCCCATGAACCTGTTCGACCTGCTGACTCTGAGTCGCTAGAGCTCGAGTCCTGTTCACTCTGGCTACTTCCTTCTTCCTACCGCCTTCCTCGCTGTCCTACCTGACGACATCTATCAACCTCTACCGACACGCCATGACGTTGACTCAGGAAGTCCTGTTGAGTCTCGATGCGGCGTATAACCTCGCTCAGGCGATACTTGAGCTGGCGGAAGTTTTGGAAGATTTACATTCGGACAAAGACGAAGAGGTCAGGAGCCTACGTTTGGAGGCCGTTTCGATATTGTCCCAAGTCTTGCAAGGGCAGGAGAGTTTCTTACAGAGGCGGACACCCGAAACAGATGCCCAGCCCGAGGACGACATTTCACAGGATCCACCTGCAGACGAGATGGAGTTGGATGGTGATGAGGCATCACTAGAACAGGCAGCCAGCTATGAGACATATCTTCCCACGCCTTCAACATACATCGACACTTGCCTACTATCACTTGAGACTCATCTCACTCTATGGACGACTTTAAATCCACCTGCAATCGCATCTGCGGAGGATCAGACAGTCGTCCGGACGATTCTCGATCAAGCAGCCACCATGACGCCAAAATCAAAACAGGCAGAGGTCGATTTCGGCGAAATCAAAGTCTTACTCGCCCTCGACGATATAGTCTGGCGGATGCACAGATCCGAAGCACAACTCGGTACAGTTACAGAATCCCAACCGTCGCTTGAGAAGGCCACTGTGGCCTTGACATCCCTCTTGACGAGCTTGGATCTGAATCCGCCTGAAGAGGCCACGCTCCATGCGGATATCTTGACCACCTTGGCTGAAGTCGAACAGACCATTGCGCACAGGCTCATGTTTCTTTCTGGCCAAGCTCCAGCTGGACCGAGTCAGCTCGGTCAGAGCGCATGGTTTCATCTGGGGGAAGCCATCACACATCTGACCAAAGCTTTGGAACTCCCGACATCGGCCAGTACACCCAAGACATTCAAGTCGAGCGTGTTGCACGACCTCAGTCAGGCAAGTCTGTCACGAGCGAGACTAGCCCGTATCAACGATACAGCCAAGCGGAATTCAGCCCAATTGATCGAAAATGCCCTGGCTTACGGGACCAAGGCGGCGGAATCGATAAGTTGGGGATGGTTAAACCCTACCAGGCTAGCTTCCAGTTCCCAGATTGGGAGGAAAGAAAGCGTCGAATTACCTTGGCCGTGTGGGTGGGATGCGGAATGGCTGGCGAGATCCATCGTCTTACAAGCGCTTTGGACCATGCACGTCACTCTGAATGACGAGGCGCTGGAGATCGCTCCCGAAGCCAAGCAGCGATACGAGGGATGTATGAAGGGCATTGTGGAAAGACTCAAAAGCCTAGAAGGAGATAGACGGCTGAGCACCACGGATGTGGCGCGATGGGTGGATGAGTTGGAAGAGGCGGAAGGTACGCTGCCACTGCGGGAGAGAGAATGGTGGAACAATGTAGCAACAAGTATATCGTGATCCTCGCTGTGCATGGCGCAGTTCGACGTGATCCTTGCTCGAGGTCATCGGTGATTGCCATGAATGTGGCACGTTTCAGGCTCTATTCAATCCAGGATTGGCTCATGTTTCAGAAACATCGTTTGTCGGAGTGTCTAGCGACCCCTTTAGGTCATGGATGCATCGTATGCAGCCATACTTTCGGTACAGTAGAGAGGGGCTGGGAGTGTGACGGAAGTAAAGGAACAGACAGGACGATGTGAAGGCACTCACAGGAACGTGAACGGAGAACACACACCGTGCTAGACCACAAGCATTCCTTTCCACACCGACGCGTCCAAAGGGTACCTGTGGAGATTGCCATGAGTGTGGTCTGGACAACCTGCATCGCTTGGGAAGGACCTGCTGTGAATGACATCGTGGGACTCGCCCTCGTCATCGGTCCGCCTTTGTATATACTCGATTCATTCAAGAGGGTAGGACTAGGAAGGCTATGAATCGGGACCAGCCAACGCCGACGAGCAAGGGGATGAGAGGGACGAGGACCGCGATCCGAGATGCAAGCTTGAGATCAAAGTCGGTGCGTACGATCTAGCGTGATATACCTGACACACGCTGAGTCATTCGCAGGTGATCTCTCAACTGGAACGTACAGATCTTGATCCCAGAAAGCAAGATGTCTGCACTTCAACAGCTCGTCAACTGGCTAAGAGCGATCACTACTATGGCACGGAAGAGGATCATATAGCTCGGCGACATCGAGCGCTGCGGGAAAGCCATGTACGTGTCCTTGGAGCTACATACCCTCATAAGACGCTGACCACCGCTCAGAGCGATAAACCTAGCCGTAGCTCATGTCTCGACTTCTCCGACGCTCTCATGTCCTTCAATGACTGTACACGACGTCCATCTGGACCTCCTCTAGCCATCCCTATACTATGGACAGTCTCGCGCCGGCCCATAGACGACCAAGATGATGATTCTGAAGCTATGCCGGATCACGCGAGTAGGATGAGCCCCCGAAGCGCATATCAAACACCTCGAAAGGCGACATCACGAATCCAAGGCTGCTCTCCACCCTCACCAGCATCCTCAAATCTCGTCACTCCGCCGACACCTCGCGTCGATCTGCCCTTCAATCCTCAGATCTCCCCTACGCCAACAACACCCACCAGGCGTTCCAACAAACACCGGGCTCACTCCTCGTTATCTTCACAAGAGACCGTTCTCTCGCCTCGAAAGGATCAAGCTGGTCATACCCCGAAAGCTCATCGGCGTCCAAGGCTGCATCCTTCCGCCGCCGCCGCTTCTGACTTTGACCTTGACATCTTCACACTCCGACTTCTCAGTCCTGTTTCGCCAAAGGTACTTCCGTCGTTCTTCAAAGGATCGGACTCGAGGCCCGAGCGTGTGATGGATGACTGGGGTGACGACGAGGAGCAGCTGGTGGCGGAGTTCCCATTGCCTCCCAGTCGCGATGACAGTGCTGGACCAGGTGCCTCGAGGGGCTGTCGGGCGGTATCACGTCCTGCTTCGCCAGTCGTCGAAACGCCGGACACACTCAAGCCTCGTCGTGGGGAGCTTATGCGAATGACTCAATGTTCGATTCTTGAAGATCTATGGTGGGATGACGAAAGCGAGACCCGCACCGTCACGGCCGACACGCCGAGAACAGTGGCGAGCTTCGCGAGCGAAAGTACGCACTGGTCAGCGGTGAGCAAGCATTGGACGTATGTGATGGTAGCAGCTAAAAGCCTATCAGCGGCCATACAGATCGATGAGCTTTCGGGAATTCGATCGTGGCTTATTGTCATCGCCTTCAGCTGCAAATGCGATCAGAGACGAGTATCTTGTAAGCTCGTCTCGTATTGAACGCGCACCTCGCTGATAGCTCCAAGAGGGCCCGCCAGAGAGATGATACAGGCAGTGTGGATGTTTCCCCCCAAGGAGATGCGTTCGTGCGACCCGCGCTTTGAGGCGATGAATCTTGGATGAGTGGTAGAAATCAGGTGTAAGTCAGATTGCCCTGAGTCTCTGTGCCGGTCTCAGACCGTATCTGAGCCTGTCAATGCATGAGCTGCGCTCTATAGCTCATTCATTGACCATCACTGGGTCTTCAGTCAAACCCATACGCTTCAACAGTCGATGTAAGAACCATCCGCTCAGTCCCCACACCTCACACTTGTCAGAGCGAAGCCCCTCTATCGATTGTCCAGTCCCATCTGTATTGACGAACAAGTCTCCGACTTTGTATTTCCAATACGGTTTCCCAGGATCCATCCGGAAGAAATGAAGTGATCGACGGTCTGATTCTTTGTCGGCTAGTAGAAATAGAGGGAAGGGGATGAGACCCGATACTTCGGACGTCGATGGCTTTAGATCGCTAAGCGATAGTGAAGTCAGTGGTCCGACTTTCTGCGACCTGAATTGGGTCGCAGAATTGAGTATATCGAAAGGTCGATCGTGGACAAAGCCCTGTTCACCAGGATCAGGACTTTTAGAGTCTTTTTTAACTCACCACGAACGCCCATACTCTGGCTCGGTTGCCCAGACTGTATTCTGGAGGTTCCAGCATACCTAAAAGCTCGACGTTCTCCACAGGGATTCCGAGCTCTTCTTCGGCCTCGCGCATGGCCGCTGCAGCAAGGTTTGCGTCGGTCTGGAAGACCGTCAGTCGCTTGAGCCCCAGGAGCACTCAAGAAACGCTTACAGGGTCTGCTTTGCCTCCAGGAAAGCTGACGGGGCCATTGTCAGCCTGCGCTCTGGCACGTTTGTCGACACCAAAAAAATGCGCCTCACCTGACTTCGCCAGCGTGTACTCGCAACTTCTCTGACCGCCTCGACAATAAGATGCATGGTTCTCCTTGAATGTTCATCAAAGGGAGGAGAATAGCCGCTTCGGAAGGTGGTCGGGCACCAACCTCAACAGTGTGAGGGGGACAATCCGCTGGAGAGTGTTTCGGAGGATACTTCAGAGCTGAGCGGATTGTCCGCATGGATTTAATGGTGAAGGGGTCATGGAAGGGATCGATTGGAGTCTGTGACCGAGAAGAAGAAGAAGAAGCCTGTCTCGGTCCATCGTAGTAGCTAGCGTTCGGTTTTGGCTTTGTCTTTGACGCTGATTTGGCATGACGCGTCGTCGAACTGGTGAAAGACCGTGATGAACCTGAGTCGGAGAGAGTGCCTGACCTGGTCAATTGGGACTTTGTCAGGCTACAGGAAGCCGGTCGTGCTCTCAGAGCGCCCGCAGAACATTCCTGAAGCCTACAACTTATGTTACGTCCGAAGTGCTTGCTCATATTGCTCAAACCTTGACCGGATGGACCACAAAAGTGCAGGGTATGGATGCAGAAGTCTCTCAGCATTTCAAACCTGGTTTCAACCGGCAACTTGGAAGTCTCGAAATAATAGGAGCTTGTCATATCTCCTTATCTTTCTCTTGACATCCATCTCATTTGAGCAAAGCATCTGCGTCTTGGTAGCGTGCACAGAGGAGAACCTATTAGTTCTCTCGCTGCCATTCCCGTACGCGACGATGCCGAATACTCCATCCCATCTTCCCAAGAAACCTCAATTTGGACTATCTGGACCTCAAGCGGCGTCATCCTCCTCCTCGACACCTCAGGAAGATCAACGGGTCATTGACTTTCGGAACGCGACAAACTTTCGCTCAGTGACTAGGAATGATCCGACAGTTGAAGAAATCTTGGAGACCAGTGTCTATTCAGTAATATATCAATACGATGAAGTTGCAGGCGAGTGGGAGAAGCAGAAACAGGAAGGACCTTTGTTTGTGGTGAAAAGGTGTGTGTGGTCTCGGAATCGTTTCTGCCTCATGTCAACTGATCATCTTATCCTCTTCATGGACAGATCCAAAGCACCGGAATACGCTCTGTTCATGCTGAATCGTCAAACGGTCAAAAATGTTCTCATTCCATTGGTCCCCGGAGAGATCAAATGCACCGTTGTCGATTCGAGTACTCTCCAAGTAGCTCGCAGAGGAGAGAGTGAGCTCCGCCCTCTGATCTCTTTCATTGTGCCTTGCTGACGAACACAAAGAACAACGACGCGGAGTATGGTTCAGCGATGGTCAGGTGGACGTGATCAAGTTCAGGGATACAATAGTTCGGTGGGTGGTCTCTCTCCCAGATGACGAGGTTGCTGACATGTTCAGAATATGTGGAGAACCGGTCAAAAAGCAGCCAAGTCCATCTATCGCATCTGCTATCCCTTTGAACAATTCCTCACCTGGTAGTATTCCACCGCCGCCTGTTCCCACCTCGAAGCCAACAAACGCTCCCCTTCCAGCAGACGATTTTTCGAGATTGTTTGCGGGTCTGTCTGTAGCCAATTTATGGGGACGTTCGGTCTCTGACACATCCGCTATCCCTCGACAACACGCACAGGCAACAGGCATGACACCGCCAAGCGATCCCGCACGACTCACACGGCAGACTGTAGACAATGATATCGTGACCGCGAAAGCCCCACAATACTATGCTGTGACACCACAACCGGATCCTCTGCCTGTCCCGACTTCCGCCGACTTACCTACTGGTCAATCAGCAGAAGATCTGCTAAATTCTCTCCTCGGTCTCCCAAGAAGCCAACCCATGCCATCCGCTCCGCCCCTCGTTTCACCGCCACCCCAACCTCCCGCCCCGCAAAGCAGTGGCCACCCGGTCGTCCTCCAGGGCCAAGTCCCACCACCACCTTTGCCAGAGCCATCACATCTGCAGAATTCAGTCACCGCCTCCGATCTCCTGTCTCAATGGGCTCCCCCTCCTTCCGGTCAAAACGCAATTGTCTCCCCAGACCTTCGAAAGAAGTCGTCAAAGGTCGGCGAAGCGACATTCGCGCAAGCCGCTGCCGTTCCTCCTCCTCCTCCTCCTCCTCCTCCTCTTCCACCGCAAGGGCCACTTGAGACGTCCCTCAATGGTCACCAGATACCTTCGCGAGACCCTCTACGCGAGGCCCTCATGTTCAATGTTGGCCACATGCAGCCCGGAGTTAGGAGCAAGGGAGAGCTCATTGACCAAGTCATGTGGCTCTTGCATGTGAGTGTGGTGATGAAAAAGCAGAGCATCTGGCTGACCACTCACTGCTCAGAACGACGAGCGGTTTGTTGACAATCTGTGGTGGAGCTATCTTGAGCGGACCAAGAGCGGGCCGGGCTAGATCTGCAGCCTTCTGTTGTGGTATATGACGGAGGGTTATCGAGCTGAGTAGGATCAGTCTGGCTACGCTTCTGGCAGTCTGTAGACAGCGCTAAATCTCCATGCAATATATGACAACAACAACGATTACAAAGGTTCTCTTGAGTGTCTTAATCCAGTTCACCGACCGCCGGCCTTTCGGCCATTTGAATCGTACCAAGCTTTTGTGATTCGAGCGCTGTCCTGCCCGACCGAGAACACTGCCAGGGTGTGGTGTCAGTACCAGAGCAGGCATCTCTATGCTATCACTGACAATCTCTCTCATCTCCTTCCATGCCTTCCCTGAACGATTCGCCTGAACCGGCGTCGCCCTCGGGTATGGAATGATCGGCGGAAGCAATATGAGCGGAAAGATCTTGCAGTGGCGGTAAACGAGCGAGGAAGGCCTGGGCGAAGATGAGCACAAACCGGAACAAAATGACTCACGTTGAGGAGCATGTTCAGTAGATCCGCTTGAGGTTGATCATCGAGGCTGTTAGATCAGATTAGCGAGGGGTCTGAGACCTGACTCACACTTCCGCTATGCGCCGACCCCAGCGATACCAGCATCCTCCTCCACCAACAAGGTGCGATAATTTGACCGATGGAGCTGAGGCATTTAGGGCCGCTCTTACACGGTTCGAATAAGCCGGGGGCAAGGGGAATGTCGTGAATTCACTGCGATAGTCGCTCAGCTGTACGGCATTGGGACTATGCAGGGAAGGACGCAGGATGCCTCACTTCAGAGACAGGGTCTGAGCCAGCCAGAATGGTATTTCGACTTTTGAATTCTGATGTATCTATGCCATGTTCAGTCGCTACAGCCGACGACAGCGGCAGTGTCTCAGGCTCACATCTGGCTCTGTACTCCCCTCTAGATAGCCAAGACCCGGCACGTCCAGTGTGAAGGTACATGACAGTTTCTGTGCGAGTGTCAGCCCAATGAAGAAGTAGCGTAGAGAACGGATGTCATGACTCACATGATTGTCAGCCAGGATAGACTGCAAGCTGTAATAGTCGTCGTCCATAAGTGCGTCAATTTCAAGTATAGCACCGTCGAGACGCGACGTGCAGACCACTAACCTGTCAACATTGACTTGACGTGGTATTTTAGAGAACCCAGTTTTCGATCAATTGATAACGTTTCAAATCCAGGATATCCTTCGAGATTTCTGCAACATGTTCAGTTGATGACTCCGTTCAGCATCGTTGCGAGATCATACCTCCCACCATGTCGATCCCAGGTTTCGATGCGGAGACAGCTGGAAACAATGAAGAGATAGAAATGCAATTCGCAGTCAAGACAGTAGAGCATCTCGAGGTGTGTTCGTCATCCCGCACTGTACGTCAAGCTGACTTGGCATTGGATAGGCTTATGAAAGGTTGATATCGGGGATACCGCCGCGGAACCTCAAGTTGACACCGTACGTCGGACGGATGTGGGGACCTAACGAGTCTGTGCTGACTCGCGACAAGGATGGATAACGAATTGCACGAGAATTTTCTGAGCACTTTTCCCGAATACGCATCGCCAGAGGCGTTGAGGAATCTGAATGAAGATGAGATGAAGAGCGCAAAGGGAAAAGAGAGATGGCGGAATTTCATCCTGCCGGTGAGCTCCAAGTGTCTCATCTCGTCTGAAACATGATTATTGATGCTATCTGCGCAGTATGAGAAAAGGTTGAAAGATTACAACTTTGGAACGCTGGTCAGGAAAGATTCGGATAGAGGCTACGCAGAGGACAATAGTATATTGGTGACGAGGACGCAATTCTTCGCCATTGAGGTGAGTCGAAAGACGCTTATTCACTCGTCAGCTGATTTGTTCACCGTTCCCAGATTGCCAGGAATAGAGCCGGGCTCAACGACAAGATATATCAGGAGGCTCAAGCAAAGAAACAAGCATCATGACATTCAGCAGGATGTATAATATACAAATGCGTGGGCACGTCCCTGTGACCGGTTTAAAAATCGACCTAGTCATATCGACGCCTGGATCTATCCCTGTCATCCTCATCGCGTCGTCGTTTCCTATCCTCATACTCCCTCCTTCTCTCTCTGTCGTCATCTCGCCCATCCCGCTCACCCCTTCTCCTGTCCCTATCCTTACTCCTACTGCGTTCCCTCCTGTCCCTTTCTCGTTGATCGTCTTTGTCACTCTCTCGCCTCCAGCCATCATCACGATGTCGGTCGCTCCTGTCCCTGTCGTACCCTCTGTCCCTTGGCCGTTCATCGTTCCTTTCCCGACCGTAGCCTCGACGCTCTTCGTCATACTTCCTCTCCTTTCCTTGCTCTCTGTGAACCTTGCCACCTTGATCTCCTACCCAACCTCGACCGCTTCCACCACCAAGACTGGAGGTGTTCGCATTGAATCCACCAGCCTGGCCTCCGAAGGCATTGGGATTGTTGATATCCGCATTCGGACAATCAGCTCGCATATGCGGTCCACCACCTGCGAGATTCGTCAGCATGCTTCGAAAGTAGCTTCCCGGCCACTCACAATTCCAACAACCCTGTTGCGGCTGACCAGGACCGCCCTGGGGCTGGGACGGCATGCCAAAACGTTGAGCCCCAGTTCCCCATCCTCCTTGACTGGTGTCCTGATCTGTGAGATGGGTATATTTGCTTCGAGATCGCTGAGAGGAGATGAGCTCGAGTACGCCGCGAAGCAAGTCAAAATTCACCTTTCCAAAATCTCGGACCTGCATGACCTGAGGCAGTATAGACATGTCGATTGCACCTTCTGTAGCGGCAGTGTAATCTCGATTGAGCAGTTCCTCGTCCTGAGAGAACAGGGGCAATTAGTCTGGATCTTTGCACATTTGACCACAGGAACTCACCTGGTGGAAGGCACCCTTGTGATAGTATTTTTGCAGGAATCCCATTTGGCCCTTCTCCTTTGCTCTCGTTGATTCGGCATACTCCATGTCTTCTCGTAGTCGCTGTTCCTCTGGAAGTGCTCGTCTCCTTTCGATCTCTTCCCTCTCTTCGTCCCTTGCCGCTTGGGCTTTTTTGTCGCGTAACAGTCGGCCGAGCTCACGAGCTCGCCAAGCGTCGAATTCAGCAGCGTCGTCCAATCCATCTGTATCATCCACTGTGGGCTGAAGATCGACCGCCTCGCCTAAAAGACTGATTTCAGCATCTCTTGACTATCACTTTGACCCTGACTCACGCTCTGCCAGCTCTCTTCTGATCGTCTCTCCTGCTAGCTCCTTGCTATCGAGTTTTCTCTGCAGTTGTAATTCCTCTTCCATCCGAAGTTTCTCCTCTGCCTCAGCAGCTGCTTTCTCCTGTGTCATGCCTCGAGCGTCCCTGAATCCGCCTAAGCTACCCTCAAGACGCCCTGAAATCAGCTCACTTCTTGATAAAGACCGGTCGGAATGCTGGCTTTTTCTCCTCCTCTGATTCCTCTTCCGAATCAGTCTCGTATTCGCTAGACTGCAGACAGATTAGCCCCATCAAGCGTAAGTTTGATCACCTCTTCCTTGATCGGGATCTTTGGTCGAGGAGCGGAGAACTGAGGCTTGACCTCCTCCTCTTCCTCCTCTTCAGAATCAGTCTCCTCCTCGCTACTCTCCTCTGAAATGACAAGTCAGCTTTGACTGCTCCAAGTGTGAAGTGACTCGCCGCTCACCTTGCTTTGCAGCCTTTGGCAAGACCACTCTACCACCTTCCACTTTGACATCCCTCAAGGCGACCTTCATTTTGACCACATTTCCATCCGGGACTATACGTCCAGCGCCCCCAGCGACGACATTCTTATCAATCTTGATTGGCTGAGGAGCCGGTCGAGAGACTTGATCTTCTTCATCCTCGTCTGAATCTGATCCGGAGAGAGCGGCGTCCGGAGCTTTGCCTTTGAAATATCTGATCTTTGAAGGTTTCACCAAGGGCTGCTTCATCGTTTTCATCGACGCCATGGTGTCAAGGCGTTCTCAGACGATGCGTGCCCTGCGCGATAGTTGCAGCGAATTGGGCCACAGACCTTTGGACCTTTGTCACCCGACGGAATCAAAATTTCCGAACTGCAATTTTGCGCCGGCTTGACCATCCTCATGCTGTATCAATGAGTGATTCGACACATTGTCCATTGGTACAGCGAAGCAATGGACGATGGAATCGAGCTCAACTTTGCCGTCAGCGATGGTTTGAAGAGAAAAGCTGTTTCAAAAGGCGGGAGATGGACTGATAGGTGAGGTCGAGGAGGTCCACCCTAGCGGATGGGCAGCTGATCCAGTTCGATCAATAGAGCTGCAGCGAGGAAGACTGCTCGGCAGAACGTGAAGGCTGCCCAGAAAGCCAGAAGAGATGTGGCGCCTAGCAAAATGCCTAGCCATCAGGTGCAAGTTCCGTCAGCTCCAAGGCAGCCTGCTATTAGGCCGCCGCCCGTGACACCGAGTGAGCCAAGAGGAGCCAGGCTTGCAGAGCAAGGGGGTGGGGACACGTCTCGCCCTTCTGACTCAGCACTCGCTCGGGCCGTACTTGAACATGCTTCCGCGCCTGGACCGTCACGCTCTCAAGTCAGCAAGCCAGCTCCTCAACCCTCAGCGGTCTCATCCAGTACCAAGGGCAAAGGGCCGCAGATCATTTCCTCCTTGTTCAGTTCAAATCCGAGTTATCAAGCCGTCAAGACCACTGGCTCCACAGTGATCGGAGCGCCATCGAATGCTCCGCTGAAGGGAGACGCCAATACCTTTGCGGGACTCGGCTTGGATCCGCTACTCGTACATCATCTTACGAACAAGATGTCGTTGAGGGCTCCTACGGGGATCCAGAGGAGTGCCTTGCCGTACCTCTTATCGGAGCCCTTAGACATCAATGCCCGAGCTGTTTCTCCACTGGATGAGAACGACGAGGAGAGGTCGTCGACTGGCTCGCCAAAAGGCAAAGAGCGGGCAGTCGAGGAGCACCAAGCAGGGCTCCGAGACGTTCTCATACAGAGTCAGACTGGATCGGGAAAGACCTTGACATATCTTCTACCCATTGTCCAGACTCTACTACCGCTGTCTCGACTCTCTTACATTGACAGATCTATCGGGACGCTCGCCATCATCGTGGCGCCCACCAGGGAACTAGCAGGGCAGATCGAGAAAGTACTGGAGCATCTACTATCCATGGCTTTATCCCTACCTGGGGCTGAGACAGACGAGCACTACACCCGATGGTTGGTGTCGGGTCTCTTCACCGGCGGAGCAACCAAAACCCACGAAAAAGCGAGATTGCGAAAAGGCGTGCCTATCATCGTCGCTACCCCTGGGAGACTGCTTGATCACCTGCAATCGACTAGCTCATTCCAGTGCGGCAAGGCCTTGTTCCTTGTCTTGGACGAAGCGGACAGGTTGATGGATCTCGGCTTCGAAGAAACTATCACGGGAATCATCAAGGCTCTGGATGGGAGACGCAAATTGGCTGTGGCTGCCGAGAAGGAGATGGACGAGGTCGGTGGAGGAACTATGCGCTGGCCATTTTGGAATCGAGGTCGAACGACGATGCTGTGTTCGGCAACTGTCGATGCCAAGGTCGAGCGTCTCGCTGGGATGTCTTTGAGAGATCCTGTCATCTTCCGGTCAGAGGCGAACGATCAGGTTGAGAGAAATGTCGTCAAGGACAAGAAACCCCTTGGTCTGCCGAGTCAGAACAGTATCGAGATGCCATCTCATGCTGATCCAGATAAATTCACGCCGCCGTCTCAATTGTCGCAGAGATACATTGTCACTCCGACAAAGCTCCGTCTTGTCACTCTTGTTGCGTTGCTACGGTCTCTCGTCTCGGCCACCAGTGGGAATGGTGGCAACAAGATTATCGTCTTTCTCAGTTCGACAGATACGGTAGACTATCATTGGAAGCTTTTGGGGGGAGTCAAAATGGACGATGCAGATCAAGACGAGCAAGAAACGTCGACAAATATGATATCTCTGTCTTCGCCCATTCTGCCCAAGACGACGATACAGCGGCTGCATGGTTCTCTACCATTGGCCACTCGGAAAGCCTCGCTTGCAAAGTTTACCGAGGCGTCGGAGTCACCCTCTATCCTTCTCGCCACATCTGTCGCCTCTCGAGGTCTCGATTTGCCTCTCGTCCGTGCTGTTGTGCAGTACGATCTTCCGACAGAGGGCGGGGCTAACGAATATGTCCACCGAGTGGGGAGAACGGCTCGAGCTGGAAAAGGCGGAGAAGCGTGGGCCTTTGTCGGTCCTGCGGAAATCGGATGGGTCAAATGGGTTGAAGAGAAGATGGGATTGGCAGGTGATGTTGCGGACGCGAACGCTAAGAGGACGGAGTCCAGCGTCAGGCTGACCGAGGCTGGAGTCGAAGATATACTGCGGAAAGGCTTTGGTGGATCCGGATACGAATATGAGGCCAGAGCCACGGATGTACAAATGGCTTTTGAGAGATGGGTCCTGGCATCGGATTCGGTGAGTGAAGAATGGTATACTGAAGCGACCGGGCCGCTGAGTTTCTCTCCGCCCAGAACGCTGCTCTCGCCCGAAAAGCCTTTGGATCGTTCATGCGAGCATACTCGACACATCCGATCGAGGAAAAACCCTTTTTCCATCCCAAGTCTCTGCATCTGGGACACTTGGCGAAATCTTTCGCACTCAGAGAGACACCCTCGACCCTTGGGACGGGTCAGACGTCAAAGGTACAACCACAGCAGAAACCGATCCAGGCTAAACGCAAGCGCGATGCCGAATCGTCAGATGAAGGTGAAAAGGCGGCGGAAGAGCGACCTCGAGGTGGCAAGGAACTGACTGCGAGAAATAAGACGGAGGAACGAATGTACGCTGCCGTCAGGAAAGCTGGAAGGAATGTCAAATCGGGAGGAACGCTGGGAGAATTTTCTGGCACGGGAGGGAAGAAGTCTAACAATGCGGGCACAGGAGGTGGGGAGTTTCAGGTCATGGATGGGAATGAGATCGAGCGGATGTTGTCGGGCAGGAAGTAGAAGTGTGCGCCTTTACCTGGTCCCGATGTCATAATTACATGATTCGCAACATGCAAAGGACATACTAGGATCGCCAAGATGATCCTGGAAACCCTATCCTAGCCGCAAGTTGGCGATATTGCGCTTTTGCAAGAACAGACGTTCGTGCCCATAAGATACCCAGGGCGACCATGAGAAGCAGTAAATTAGCGCACTGAGTCCAGTATTAGCCAGTAGTCCCAAGATTGAGTTGGCTCACGACGAATTCCAGGAAGGCACGCCGCTCTTGCGCTATCACTTTCCCACACGCTTCCCAAGCCGGTATCTCGGACGATGTCTGCCTCCCATCATCTCCCTCGCCCCCGTTCTGCGCTTCGGACGCAGGTACACAGTGCAGTAGTCGGCGATTGCCAAATGGCAAGCAAAACGGTTGGTCGAGCTGGGGGAACAACGTGAGCTTCGCATAGATCACAGGAGGCAGCGAGATGGCTCACCTCGTCTGCTGGACATGGCTCACAGACACCGAACGGACGACAGACCAGGCCCGAAATTGGATGAGCTTGGTACTTTGGCCGTGACGATTGGGGACTACGTCGGGAGACTCCTGTCGCGACATACGATTCAGAGTTCAGCTCTAGCAATGAGGGTATCTTGACGTGGACGACAGAAGATGAGGAATCGACAGCCTGAGGCTCCAAGTGGTTGTAATGGCTCCAAGTCCCCATCCGAGATGGTCCACTCTCCGTTCCTGCATTGACCTCAAGCTGTAATGCTCTAGATTGGTCAGGGACAATAAGGGCGGCTGTCGACGAGAGGACGAGACACATGGTCATGAAGCGCGATCTACACATTATCAGGTCAGCTTTGAGGACAGTCCGTGGAACTAAACTTTCTCACCTGCAGCTGACATAGGGAGATGTCATGACGTGTGGAGGATGCAAGGGACAAGTAAGAATACACTGTTGTTGATAGGTCTTGTTGCGGACCGCAGAGGACGAGGACCCCAGTGATGATGGAGTATCTGCTAGCTAGGATGGTTCTAGATGTTCTGGAAGAGGTTCAGAGTCTTCACAAGGTCTCAATGGTCGTGGAGGACGGTGAATGGACAGATCATCAACATAATGGATCACCTGAATGCCAATTCGTCACGATGCGTCGCGTGCTGAACTTATGACGTGGCACAATTCACCCCACAGCTTATCACTCACCTGACTCGATCCCATCCATCGCCCTCCAGCGGCGCAAGCGCGTTCGAGATACACTTCCCATCGAGCCTTTGTCAAGAGCAGTACAGCGACCATAATGGCAGTGGCGACGCAGAAGATGCCGAAGACGAGCTCGATAAAGCCCCCTGGAGGCAGTATAAAAGTGGATTGCCTACTTGCCAGCGCGAGAATATTTGCTGACTGACGCCTCTACAGACGTATCTTCAGAACAAGATCGAATCTGCCGAGTTGGATATCACAAAGAAGACTCAGAATCTGCGAAGATTGGAAGCACAGAGGAACTCGCTGAACGCACGGGGTCAGTTCAGCTTCTCATCAGGACGTCCTGCGGAGCTGATTGTCCCTCAGTCCGTCTTCTAAGAGAAGAGTTACAGCTGTTGCAGGAACCCGGCAGTCATGTGGGCGAAGTGGTCAAGGTGATGGGAAAGAAGAAGGTTCTGGTGAAAGTCCAGCCAGAAGGCAAATATGGTCAGTCGAAGACCGGGAAGCAGGACTAGCCAGCTTACTCGAAACCCATCATTAGTCGTCGACTTTTCCTCCGATATCCCTGTATCCGCCCTCACCCCCAATCTCCGTGTCTCTCTCCGCGCCGACTCTTACGAGCTTCACTCCATTCTTCCGAATAAGATCGACCCGTTGGTGTCTCTGATGATGGTAGAAAAGGTTCCCGATTCGACGTACGAAATGGTTGGAGGATTAGACAAACAGATCAAGGAGATCAAAGAGGTCATTGAATTACCCGTCAAGCATCCTGAATTGTTCGAATCTCTCGGTATCGCTCAACCCAAAGGTGTACTCTTGTATGGACCTCCAGGAACAGGAAAGACTCTGCTGGCAAGAGCAGTAGCGCATCATACCGATTGTCGATTCATTCGAGTTAGTGGAAGTGAACTGGTCCAAAAGTATATCGGAGAGGGAAGTCGAATGGTCAGAGAATTGTTCGTCATGGCTCGAGAGCATGCTCCGAGTATCATATTCATGGATGAGATTGACTCCATCGGATCGTCGCGAAATCCTTCGGGTGGTGGAGGAGATTCAGAGGTGCAGAGGACGATGATGGAGTTGCTGAATCAGCTGGATGGATTTGAGTCGACCAAGAATATCAAGGTGAGATATGTCGGCGGCGACAAGAGGTACGAGCGGCGCTGATGATTGGAATCAAGGTCATCATGGCTACCAACAGAATAGGTCAGCTACTCCTGAGTCGCTCCTCTGGGTCACAGCTGACGGATTTCTTTTGCAGACATCCTCGATGCCGCTCTATTACGTCCTGGTCGTATTGACAGGAAGATCGAATTCCCGCCCCCTAACCCTGAAGCTCGAATCACCATTCTCAAGATTCACTCTCGAAAGGTCAGTCGTATTGCATCCTCCACAATTGCCCAGTCTAACACCTGTGCCAGATGTCACTGCAGCGAGGCATAAACTTCCGTTCACTGGCCGAGAAAATGGGGCACTGCTCTGGCGCTGAGGTTCGAGGTATTTGCACGGAGGCTGGTAAGTCGACCGCGGTGCTTCTCTGTAGCCGAGCTCATACTGTTGCTCCAGGCATGTACGCCCTTAGAGAGAGACGGCAGTATGTTGGCCAGGAGGACTTCGAGATGGCTGTTGCCAAGGTGTTGAAGAAGAACTCAGAAGGTAATACCAGTGTCAACAAGCTCTTTAGCTAGATGGATAGTCTGAAAGAGGTCCCCACAAAAACTTGTACATGATGAAATGGCATGATCACGTTTCGGTCGTAGCTCTTTGCCTGGTCTACCTGACCTCCTCTCCTGATCCTGCGCCTTTTCCGTCTCCCCTCAGTTCTATTCCTTTAGTTTGCGCACTGTTGGCGAGTCTGCGCTGTTCCTCTAGCTCTTCATCTGTTGGATCAGGTCTATCGGGATCCGGGGCAAACGCTTCCAGTGTCCTTACGACGAGGTCCACAGACGAGAAGAATGAGTTCGTAGATAAGCGCAAAAGGCGGACTGTTGCACAAGCATAGTGACTGGGAGAAAGTCAGGGATGAACCAGGGTAGTGAGATCTCGAGGCGCAACAGTCCACGGTGTCTTCCCCGACGACTCACACCACAACAGCCTCGTTCTCTACTTCTATCGTCCGGTGGATCAGCCCAGGATGCTGCTCCTTATCCACTTCTAACGCTCTTTTGGCTATCGTAGCGTGTTGATGATTGAGAAATGGGATTCGCATCGACCTGGCGGCAAGTTAGTGTAGGTCGGTCAGACAATACCCTGATCCACCCACACAGTATGCCAGCCTTCCCTAGATGGTCCAGCTTGATTACTAGAGGCATCCGCGTGCTCTGATTCCATCTTCAACGTTGATGCTTCGGAATCGAAAGATTCAGGTCAAAGGAGAGATATCCATACATTGAAATTGACTTTGGGTGGAGGCTTAAGTCAAATCGGCAGTCGTCTTTCATGTCTGCCTTAATCTTTTCTGAACCGAGACCAGTTCGACGCAGCGAGTGACGACGCGGTCACAGATCGCATTTGGTACTCCTGCATAGCTCTGTTAGAACCATAGAGGCGTTCTTTCATCATGATCAAGGTGAGCGAGCCGGTCGTCCCTTCATCACTTGCGCTACGATGCTGATGATCGATCACTCTCTCTCCCTCTTGACACCTTTCGACGCTGAACCTCTGTCATCCTATACCAATGTTGCGCCTTTCACATTCTGGGCTGATCAACCTTGACTCCCATCTCGGCCTCACGCTGCACGGTCTCTCTCGCTCGCCGTGCAGATCTGGTCAGTCAAAAAGAATGAAGAAGCGGCAGCGAAGAAGAAGCCGAAGATGACGGCGGCTCAGTTGAGGGTACAGAAAGGTGAGTCGAAGTGCTGAGTAAACCTTTCTGAGGACCACCGCTAACCCAAATCTCCCATCCGGACAGATCTCACCGAACTCGAGCTGCCAGACACGATGAAGACTCATTTCCCCGATCCAGCCGATGTTCTCAACTTTACGCTGACCATCACACCGGATGAGGGTCAGTCAGACGGGCAGTCGCCTATGAACGCAATATTGACTCTCATTCTAGGCATCTACAAGGGCGGACAATTCAACTTCACTTTCGCCATCAATCCAAACTACCCCCACGAGCCACCAAAAGTGCGATGTACCCAGAAGATTTACCATCCCAATCTTGACCTCGAGGGCAATGTCTGCCTGTAGGTGTTCAGATTGATAGGAGAATCTCTTTGCTGATTTATGTGATAGGAACATTCTTCGAGAAGACTGGAAGCCTGTCAGCTGCAGCCTCCGTCCTAGGTATGACGCCCAGCTGATATCGCTCTAGGTACTCAACCTCTCTTCCGTCATGGTCGGTTTACAGTATCTGTTTCTCGAACCGTGAGCTACATTCCTCGCCCGAAAGGTAGCTGACAGCATGACCAGTAATCCTGATGACCCACTGAACAAGGGTAAGTCATCATTGAGAGTTCCACATAACCGCTTACATCCCGCTCAGAGGCAGCGGAAGACCTTCGCCGGAACCGACAGAGTTTCATCAGCAATGTCAACACGTCGATGCGGGGCGGTTCTGTCAAGGGAGAAAGATTCGACTCTGTGCTCATCAGATCATGAGCTTGTTGGCGCCGCACGACGGTGAAAGTGCATGAGTGTATGACAAGATGTGTATGTATGATAAAGTCACTGCTTCTTATTGGTGGTATAAACTGTGCCGGGTATCGATCGAATCGAGCTTTTGAATTCACTTTTTCTTCCCCGCCGATGCCTTTTGCAACTTGGCCAAGGCGTATGAGATGCTCTTGGTCAAGCCTGCTGTAATCAACCCTTTCATCGATTGTGTTAGAGCTGGTCGCCCGCTGATCTGCTTGATCGCTGGGACAGATCAGCATTGGGTCCCTGTGGATGTTCTCACCTGTGAGTAAGGCTGATCTGAGGGCAGTCGCCCGCTCTTCGGTCATATCCTTGGTGGCATCGCCATCGAGACCGAGACTCAGGTTCACCGAGTCCTTGATGGTGTGGGGGAGCCGAGAGTACATGTTGGAGAGGTGCTGTAAAGATGGGGATTTCTAATAATCTAGCTCAGCAGCATCCTGGCTAGGGTGTCGAAACCAGCCGTACTTGAAGCATAGTCTCTTGCTTCTCCTGCCATTGTAGCCGAGATCCCTTCTCACTCCCTTCGATACTGACCTCCAGTTCAGCCAAATGTGAACCGTATTTCTCCCTAAAGCCTTGCAAAGATCCCGGACCCCTGACGATGTTCTTGACCTTGTCTGGATTTTCTCCGCCTATTCCCATCCTCGGATCACCAGCGTAAGATAGACCGGCAATCTTCTCCCAAAGCATGTACTCTGAGAAGCTTGACTCGGGTATCAAGGCGAGAGCAAGCGACAATGCAGCAACGTCATTGGCTTCAAGGGCTCCTTCGAATTGTCTGTTTGCCGATTTGGCGAGAACCAATTGCACCGTCTAGGTTCTGTCAGTGAAAGATATAGAATGCTCGGTACGAGCAATGCTCACAGGCTTTTGGAGGCGTCCAGAGAAGTAGAAGCTGTCCCACTTTCGAAGATCAGAAAGGATTCTCGAAGATGAGACGACGCCGTACTTGACGTTCTACGCATAGGCAGTCAGATTAGCCATACGAAAGGGGTCAGGCTGAAAGCATAACCCACTTTGCCTGCCAAGGATACCTGAGGGATATACCATGCCCCTGGGCCCCATTCTTGTATCCGAGTCACCCAACGCGGTCCCAGTAATCTCGCATGAAATGGATAATGGGATGGGTTGCGCCGCAGGTTTGAGGCGTGAAACATTTCCGAGGATGGCGTAGCCAAGAGCAGGTCGATCATCGGTGGGGGCTACCAAACGGGTAAGCAAGAGTCTTTGGTACTGGCTCTTTCACGGGAAGGAGGTGAAGCCGAAGCCAAGCCCGCTCAAACTTACTCCTACTGCGTTCGCCTGTTTCATCACGCCACTACCGTACGCCACAGCATAGTCGATCTCGCTCGGGAGTTCATCGAGTATCGGTCCGAGAGAATTTGAGGCGTCTTTGATGGTCTGGTGATGATATTTGATTGATTCACCAGATGCAACCTCGTCTACCGATGAGCTCGACGTGATGGTGACATTGGATTGTGAGTCATTTCCTCCCTTGCTAATCGTGCTATCTTGCCTTGTTGAAAATGCCAACAGTGAAGCGGTGTGCAGATGCCTGCACTGGTCTTGGCGAAACCATTGCCTTGGATCGAGATTTCTAGGTAGACCAGCTAAGCTGTAGATGGCTTTGGGGAACAAGGTCGCCCTCGTCGACGAAAGCTTAGGAAGAGTTAGCGAGGTGGTCGAGGTTTTGGCCAATATAGGCTGTTCACCCGGCACACGCACCAGTAGCAGAGCCATCGTAGATCCGAGCTTCATCTGAATCATATCATAAGTGACCGCATCGTTGGTCGTTGCTTCGCCTCGAGCAAAGAATGAGCAACTGCCCTATCATGTGAGCCGCAGATCGGCTGCAGCATGCGAGCAACCGGCCGATGCCGCTCCGGTAAACCTTAATCAATCATCCCGTTTAAATGTTCAACGACTTTCGAGCTTGTCCCAAGCTGGCAGATAATGTCGTCAATCACTACTCATCATGGCGAGGTCAAGATCACCTTCAGGCTCTAGGTCGAGATCGCCGGTGAAACGTAGAGCAGGCAGTGCAGATGTGGAGACGGCTGGAGATATAGAGGCTTCGGTGAGCTAAGAGATTCAGGTCTGATTAGCTGATTCCGAGATCAGGGCTGCCCATTCCTCATCCGATTGTTCCTCAGCAAAGGTCGACATGCGCCTATGATCGATTTTGACGATGGTAAATTCCCAATACGGGATGAATTTCAGGTGTATGGATGGTGCGTGTTGAGCCGTGATTTACACTTGGATCCAACTCACCCAAAGTCTTGAAGGAAAACGTCCACCCCGACATCGTTGATCGCTCTAGTCTACGCCAATCTTCCGCCACCTTATCGTTCTCCACTTGCCAGATTCTCTTTCAGACACATTTACGTCGATGCCTCTGCCCGGGGTCTCTACAAGTCCAACGATCTTGTCTCTTTCACCGGACGAGACCTTTCCGCTACGCTAGAAGAAAAGCCAGAATCTAAGGGCATGGACATGGAGTTGGACCAGACTATCGACTCGGGTGGCCCTGGTGCTAGAAGGGGCCGCAAAGTGGACGAAAAGACCTTGGACGGGTATGGATTTGTCACAGGAGATTTGCTCAGTGTATGCGTGAACGTTCCAGAACCAAAGCTACATCCAGGACCGAACAGACCACCCTTGATGGGTCTTTCGAATGGAGCTGGAGCTGGAGGTCCAGGAGATAGAATTGGGGGTGGATTTGGGAGACCCGACAAGTTCAACGGGAGGGAAGGAGGAAGAGAGGTTCATCCGTCCGACAAAGAAGGGACGTGGAGTCGAGGCGAGGCTTTACCGCCTGCTGGTCGGCCCATACGCGGTAGTGCAGGTCGCGAACTTCTGGGCGAGCGAAGTGGCGCCGGTCCGAGACCAAGCAACGGATTGGGGATTCGAGGTGCTGGGACGAGACATCGGAGTGGCAGTCCGCCTGATGGGAGGGATAACGGGTACAGGAGGAGGAGCAGGAGTCCAGCAGATCGCAACAGGAGGGAGAGCTACGGCAGGAGATAGGAATGGGCTGGAAGAGGGAGCACGGAACCGATCGTGCTGCATCTCTGGCCGTGAATGCATATATATTCACGTCCCAGCGTGCGTGCGAGCGATGCCATCCCTCCAAGAGCGATCATTAATAAAGTTCTCGCGGGACCTCCACTTTTGATTAGAAAATGAATTATTAATAGAAATGTTAATAGGTCCGGATTAGGTGAAGTGACGTGAGAGGCAAAATCTCTCTCCCCCCCCGCGCTGCCTGCTCTCACCCATCCTCGTCGTCGTCGCTGTCGTCCTTGTTGTCGTCTATATCATCAACGCTACGAGACAGATTCCGTCTCAGATCGCAGCCTTCAGATCGCTCAGATCGCCATCGAGACTGTCTAGTCATCGTGATAAGACCTCAAGCCTAGGTGACTCGCTCCTCGTCCAGGGACTACCTCTTTTCGAAACCGACCCCAGGTTGCACGGTCCAAACACAAAATAAATACTTCGAGTCCATTGATCGTCCCCACACGACTCGCTTCGACCAGGGCAAGTAGATCACAATGTCGTGGAAGCTGGGCAAGAGTGAGTGATCATACCGAAACCGCTTCTTTCTTTCCCCCCAAGACATGTCACTCGCCCAATAGAGATGGGCAAGAATCTTACTCATATGACATCTGAGAGTGTCCTCTTCGCGGTCGCGCCAGATCAAGATTAGCGAGCAGCGCTGACACCTACCACAGAGCTCAAAGACTCTGGATCGTCCCTTTTGTCATCCAGAACAAACTCCTCGAACAATGCTCCGGCGCCTGCTGGCGGCTCTAGATCAACCACCCCGACTCCGGGGAATCCACACCCCGAGCTATCCTCCACGAATGCCCCTGTAGCGAGGAGTGGAATGCTCAAAATTCGAGTGACGGCTGGAAGAGGCTTGTCTTTACCTCAAGGAGGTGGGTGTCGCAACGCAAGACCTTTGGGGCACGAGACCAGGATCTGTTCAGGTGCTGACTGTACATTTTTCCCAGTCTCCATGCCGGAACCTGTTCAACGTGCTCTCACCTCTCATCCATCGTCAGCCTTGTCTTCCTCCTTATCTACCTCTCCCCGTATCAACGATCCTCGTAAAAATCGTGATTCCCTCCAAAGACGCCAACTTTGGTGGTTACCATATGTCGTTCTGGAATTCGACAAGAATGAGGTCTTGGTTGATGCTCTCGGAGGAGATCTCTCTAGCCCCGTGTGGATGTACTCGGCAACTTTCGATGTCAGTCGAATAAGTGATATTGCCGTGACGGCGTACTTGCGTCAGAGTCAACCGAGCTCCAGAGCTGGAGAGGATGAATCTAGGGGAAACGGTTATGGTAATGGAGGCGCAGGGGCAGACATGGGCAATACAGATCTGTGCCTGGGTACAGTAAGGTTCACCCCGGATTTAGAAAGCTCGGTGAGCTGTTCAATCTTCGGAAGTCAGCGTGATACTGACGAAAGTCCAAGCGACTGGCAGACGAATGGGTCACTTTGCAAGGTGGATCGGGTTCAATTCATATACAAGTATCCTTCAAACCCGCTCAGGTCAGCTCTTGCTCTTTTCGGTGTGAAGGCCCATATCTGACATGGGTCCTAGGGGCCCCTCACAATCGACAGCTTTGAGCTGCTCAAAGTCATTGGCAAAGGCAGTTTTGGCAAGGTTAGTCAATCCGTTGGAAGGATACGGCCGCTGATAATGGCTCAGGTCATGCAAGTGCGCAAACGAGATACACTCCGAATCTATGCCCTGAAAACGATTCGCAAAGCCCACATTGTGTCTCGATCAGAAGTCACCCATACTCTTGCAGAACGGACCGTCCTGGCCCAGGTCAATTGTCCTTTCATTGTCCCGCTCAAGTTTTCCTTCCAATCTACCGAGAAGCTCTATCTCGTCCTAGCATTCGTCAACGGAGGAGAGTTATTCCACCACTTGCAAAGAGAAGGGAAATTCAACGAAACGCGGAGCAGGTTCTACGCTGCAGAACTCTTGTTGGCTCTGGAGCATTTGCATGGTTTCAACGTGGTCTACAGGCGAGTCTCCGCCCTTCTTGTGAGGACTGGAGCTTAACATTCGCACAGGGATCTGAAACCTGAAAACATCTTGCTCGACTACACTGGCCATATTGCCCTCTGCGACTTTGGATTGTGCAAGCTGAACATGTCTGCGGACGACACCACCAACAGTGAGTTGTGAAGCAGGGATGAAAGCAAAAGCTGATTTGCTCAGCATTCTGTGGAACACCCGAGTAGTGAGCTGATCAATTGACATGGCTGGACGCAGCTTATGCCACTTCAGTCTCGCTCCTGAGCTTTTATCTGGTCACGGCTACTCCAAATCTGTAGATTGGTGGACCCTCGGAGTCTTGCTGTACGAAATGGTGAGCTACAGGAGTTGTGAGAGCATCAAGGCTAAATGCTGTCGCGGCAGCTGACCGGATTGCCACCATTCTATGACGAGAATACCAACGACATGTACCGCAAGATCCTGTCGGACCCATTGAGATTCCCAGAGGAAGTCGGGACAGAGGCTCGAGCCCTTCTCGTCCAGTTGCTTAACAGAGATCCGGCGAAGCGGCTGGGAGTCAATGGCGCGCACGAGATCAAGAACCATCCATTCTTCGCCAGGCATATAGACTTCTACAAACTCTGGCAGAAGAAGATCCAGCCGCCCTTCAAGCCGCAAGTGGTGAGACCGCTCGGCAGCGCACACTTCCTGTCTTCTGGTCTAACGTCCTATTAGGCAAGCGCAATTGACACGTCAAACTTTGACGAAGAGTTCACCTCTGAGGTTCCTCAAGACTCTGTAGTCGACGACTCACATCTGTCCCAGACGGTCCAGCAGCAATTGTGAGCTCGCTGCCAAGTATTCACATCCGCTTGAGCTGACGCATTGTGCAGTGAGGGATTCTCCTGGAGCGTGTCCCCTTTGGGTGAGAGTGTCGGGCGGTACTAAGGCGTCAATGGATCTTGATGTTCTTTACATACATATTATACATGGTCTCTCCATAGCTTCCTCGCCTCATTGATTCTGCTTGCGACATGGTGTATCGAATTGATTCGACGTCTCCGATGTCGGATGCAAGCCGGCGAACCGGAATTCCGGTCCGGTGAGAACCGGAATTGTCGCTCCGAAGGTCTGAGAATACTATCCACTATTGACCTTGCCTCCTTTTCTCCAGTCCACTTGTCTATTCCCTTATACAAAACTGCCAATCCCTTCCAGACCAACGTCGACCGAAGATAAAACACAGATAAGGACGACGCAAAAGCGCACCGAGTTTTCACCCCACTTTCCACCCTTTCGTGTCCTGGAATATCCCGCGCCATGTCCACGCAAGCCAATGGCCAGTCTGGCTCCGCTGCTAACGGCAAGTCTTCACAGAAAGCTGTCGTGTGTCATGGAAAACATGATCTGCGTGTAGTGAGTGACAAAATACTGCATCAAGATCGCACAGGATTAGCTGAAGCTCGTCTCAGGACGATGTCCCGATCCCAACCCCTGGACCAGGTGAAGTCCAAATTCAAGTCGCGCAAACTGGTCTCTGCGGATCCGATCGTGAGTTTCGATCTTAACGCTCAAGATGGGCCGCTGATGCGCAGTGTCGCAGTCCACTACTTCCTTGAAGGCGGGAACGGTGGTTTCGCCATCCAGACACCCCTTACTCTAGGACACGAGGCCTGCGGTATCGTCTCGGCACTAGGACCGGATTTGCCGGCAGCTTGCGACCTCAAGGTCGGAGACAAGGTCGCTATGGAAGTCGGAATCTACTGCAAATCATGTCAAGCTTGCAAGATTGGTCGATACAATTTGTGTTCCCAGATGAAGTTTAGGAGCAGTGCGAAGACTGTCCCACATCTAGATGGGACATTGAGAGAGTACATGACGCACCCAGCGGATCTGGTTTACAGGTGAGCAGCGAGATCGATGAAAGCCGAGCTATATGGATTCATTCATGCCGTGGAGCTCGGCATGAACTCTTCGTGTTCTCATGAATCTTGACTGACGCATTCGCCTTCAGACTGCCGTCCGGTCTCGACCTCTCCATCGCTGGACTCTCTGAACCCCTCTCGGTTGTCCTCCACGCCTACCGTCGGGCCCATCTAGATCCAGGATCTCGCGTACTCGTTCTCGGAGCAGGAGCGGTCGGTCTTCTCACATGTGCTCTTGCCAAGGCTAGTGGATGCTCAGCCGTCGTCGCAGTGGATATCGAGCAGGGCAAGTTAGACTTTGCTCAGGAGATGGGTTGGACAACAGGAACTTACTGTCTGCCCCGTGGACCGAGAGTGAAAGGAGTCGAAGCGATTGAATCCGCTCAACAGGGATGGAATGGACTCAAAGAGAGTGAAGCTGTTCAGAGTGTCTTGGGGTTGGAGCATGGCTTCGATGCTGTGTTCGAATGCACCGGTGTCGAGAGCTGTATGCAGATGGCCACAATGGTGAGCAACATTGGCGGTCAGAGGATTATTCAAGCTCATGTGCCACTGTCAGGCCGCTGCGATCGGCTCAAAGGTCCTCTTCGTCGGTATGGGAACCGCTCAGCTTTTGCTCCCAACCGGAACATCGATCCTTCGTGAAGTCGATTTGATCGGAGTCTTCCGATATGCCAATACCTACCCCGCTGCGCTGGCTCTACTTGGCTCAGGACAGCTCGGAGACGTGAGTAAGATGATCACCCATCGATACAGCTTGGAGAATGCTGTGGAGGCATTTGAAGATCTGAGAAGGGGCAAAGACAAGAACGGAAAGACAGTCATCAAGCCGATGATTGGCGTGGTTTTGTGAAGCCAGTAGTAACTCAAGTTCCAACTAGTCTGTCCTCTGATGTATATATTGCTTTCCCAAGTCCAATCTCCAAGCGCGAGAGGAGGGTTTGAGGCATGTACGAGCACTTGCAATCTCGACCACGCCATGCATGCCCACGTGTCGGTTGATTGACGTGGCTCCGAGAAATCCGGAATGACGACAGAATTTCCACATGGGATCGGCATTGTCTCTATGTTGATCACCTCATCTCGTTGTACGGGCACATGCATCTGCTTCTGCTTTGACACATCTCTTGATAAAGCATATTCATAAGATAACATATCATTCCTGAGCTATTTCATCATGCCCCGACACCCTGACGAGGACAACCACCCAGTCGCGACTGGTCTCGCTAAGAAGCTGGTCGACGCACATCAAGCGAGGCAGGATTTGGTGTTTTGGTCAGCATGGGTAAGCAGACATCTCTGGTGGCAAGCTGTGCGAAGTGGATCAGAAGATGACTCTTTGCATAGTTCTGCCCCTTCAATCAGCGAATCTGGATGGCTCTGGAAGAACGCAACATTCCCTACCAGTATCACGAGGTCAATGTGAGTGATGCCGAAATCCAACATGAACATGATCCCAGGCTGGCTTAAGCGATGCTGAATCGTTCTCAGCCCTACAAGAAGGAGAAGGATTTCCTCGAGGTCAATCCTCTAGGTCTTGTTCCAGCTCTCACGGACAAAGGTAGAGCTCTTTACGAATCAGACGTACTAGTCGAATACCTCGAGGATAAGTATCCTCCGAGCAAGGAGCATCCGTGAGTGGTCTGGTCTGTCTTTCCGGCGACTCAAGTCTGCCTTGCTGACATGTAAATCACGAAAGGCCCATCTTTCCCACTGACATTTATGAAAAGTCATGGGCCAGAATCAACATTCAACATATAACAAAAGTGAGCCCTTACGGTCCCTGGATCATCAGTTGCTAATCGTCGTAGGACATCATTCCACACTACTTCAAACTGCAGCAGGCACAAGAGACTGAAGATCAGCAGCAAGCTCTGGAAGAGTTTTACAAAGGTCTTCGAACACTTGTGGATCGAGTCAAGCTCCCCTACTTTGCGGGAGAGCAGTTCACGGCGGTCGACATGTCCCTCGCTCCGTTCGTCAGGCGTTTCTACAGTCTCGAGGAGCATAGAGGGTTCGACGGCGAGAAGGCTCTGGGGAGCAAATGGGTTCAGTATAGAGACAACCTCATGGGTGGGTCATAGACGTCCAAATCTACTCTAGGGATTGTCATGCTGACATTTTCTCAGAAAGGGAGAGCTTGAAGAACACCACCTCCGAGAAGGAATACTACGCTCCACTACTCGAGCGGTATCTCAAGGATGAGGCTCAGAGTGAAGTGGCAAAGGCTACCAGGTCGGGTAAGAAGCTGCCTTGAGCCCTGAGCCAGAGAAGGACATGTATCATATGCTCGCTGTCCTATCCCCCGTCAGCAGCTCCGTGTACTCTGACGGAGCTTGATGGCTCGAGGTCGAGGTCGTACGTGAAGCGATTCACCTTTGGCTCGTGATCCGATTGGCATCCTCGAACCGGATCTCGGATCAGCGGCCCGAATGATTTTTTTGGTTCGGGTTTGTGGACGAGGTCTCAAATACCTACTTACTGTACCTTGACATCAAAATCTTTCAATCTGTCTATATCACGATGATTAGAACCATCTACATCTCCCGGCATGGTGCCAGGCAAGATTGGATCAATCCGGATGACTCGTATGCTGGCTGTGATACCCATAAAAGTGATTCTCGCTGATCAGCTCAAAGTATATCTGTGACTGGAATGTACCATGATCCATCGGTAAGTTTCGTCTCTACCATCGGATATGCAAGTCAATCCCCTTCTGATGAATCTGTAGCTCTCTGAGTATGGTCTGAGTCAAGTCGAAGAGCTCGGCGACTTCCTGTCACACCCTGTCGATGATCTGCCGGTTCCGGACATGATCTTCTCCAGTGGCTTCTATCGATGTCTGCAGACAGCTCGACCATTGGCCGCAAAGTTGGGCAAACCCGTGCATGTGGAGCTTGGGGTAGGAGAATGGTTCTCAAAAGCCAGTGAGGGATCTGGTGAGCTGTGATATGCGCTTCCACTCCTACCACGGCTTACTCACGATGTCAGGCCTTCATTCCCGTCCCCACGCTGTTGAAACTTTGTCCAAGCATTTCGCCCCGACCATGCTTGAACCGAGGTACAAGAGCACAGTGTACCCATCGCGACGAGGAGAAGATGTCGAAGAGCTCAGACAACGTATCAAGTTGTTCCTTGGAGCATTCATCAAGCGGATAGAATCGGAATACCCTGATGTCCAGACCATCAGTATCATCGCGCATGCCGCTACTGTCATCGTAATGGGCCAGGTCGTAAGAGTTTCTGCTTATATTGCACATGACCAGAATCAGCTGAATATCTTCTAGCTACTTGACGATGAGACAAAGAATATCAAAGCCGGGACAGCTTCGACATCATGCTATACGAGGGACAATGCCGATGGCCCATGGGCTCAGCGATTGAACGGCGAGACGAGTTACTTATCCGGAGGAGAAGTTCGCAATTGGAGCGTGAGTGAACTCAGCTCAGATCAGCGATGCTAATCTGACAATCTACTCAGTTTGACGAGGTCAAGTACCGGGATGGCAAAGTTATCGAGGACCGGGGCGACGGCAAACCATTCACGGAGGTTGACGAATTACCCGTCGGATTGGGAAAAGACTTTGAGCGATACTCGCAATAGATGCGGTTCAGTGGACAATGGCTTGCCCCTTGCAAACATGCATGAGCATCATACTGGACCATAGACGCAATGACTGGCCGGATGTAGTTCAGCCGTGCCTGCCGGTCCCGGTAAACTTCGATCAGCTATGCTTTAGACCCTTGTGACTTGTTACCAAACCAGGCTGCCTCGGAAAGGTACACGGTGTCCGGCTGTTCGGTCGACGAGGAAGTCGATCCGTTGCCGTCTTCAGGCTCGGTATTTCCACCATTCGGCTGCCGCATAGCATTTGCGTCGGACTGGAAGTCCGTCTTGTTTTCACTCCCGCCAGTTTTGGATCCCCTCAACTTGTTGAACAAGCTCCTGATGCCGCTGCCACTATCACTCATCGCTCTGGCTAATGTTTAGCGAGCTATTATCCGCAAATTGCTGCCGTCTTCCTGCTTTGACGATGATTCGCCCGTTCCAGCTACGTCTCATAAGCTCTCAGTCTCCTCAATCGCAGGAGCGACCTACTGTCTAGTTGGATAAGAATGGCAGAGATTAGCTTGTGGCCACAAACGAGTGGTCAACTGAGATATACGAGGTATATGTGGGTAGAGACATCCAGTGCAGAGGTACCCGTTGACTAGGCCTGGCCCAATCGCCTTCGTGTCTGTGAATGGATCCCTTCCTTTGACGATCTTTCTCAAACCCGTCGCACATTGGTTGAAAGCAAGGCGATTGAAAGAGAGGAGGTTTGGGGATATCATGAGACGGTTGGACGGTTGAGCACTTCCATCATGGTCGCGCCAATTCGTGATCAGCGGGAGGGCAGATCATGCGGACGATAAGACTGTTCATATGAGAAGCAGAATTTAGATGCATGATCGCTTGATTTCTCGTGGGGAACATAGCCGGGTTCATGCCTCCGTAAGGCATATCTGGTCTATTACCAACGTTGGCAATGGACCTCGCACTAAAAGCCAGATGAAGTCTCCTAAGTCGCTTCGCTCGAGATCTCAAAGGTCGTGTCGACGTGAATCACCAATCCCCAGCCACCTGAAGAGCCTCGAGTATCGCTCTGATCACGGGTACCTTCCCTTTGGTGAGGATCCCCATTGGTGCCATTAGTCAGTCGACTGCTGGTGCCGCCTTGAGCGGGAAGATGATCAGAGCGATGGCTAGTGCCGTTTGTCAGGGACTCAGGGGTATCCCTGCGCGATGTCACGTCGGAGCTTCCATGGTGACTGGCAGTCGTGCTACCAGAATATGACTCTAATAGATCGTCAGCACTGTCAGAAGAGTTAATAGACCTCACCATGGTCATCCCGAGACATGTCTTCTTGTAGTCTCGGTGTTGGTGCGATTGGAATGATGATAGGTTTGTAAAGTATAGAGAGCTGTGAGTATCCAAAGCAAGATTTGACTTTCGCATCAATGGGTCCCCATCAGCTCGAGGAAGAGGTCGACCTTTTAAACGTATCGTCTCTCTTCACTTTCGACTGCACTTTGGAGATTTGACGCCCCGATGTTCCCCAGCGACAAAGGTTCACCTTCTAGCGATCCTAACCTTGATGACGTGATGCGAATGATGTCTTCCACTCGGAATTCTCCGTCAGAACGCCGAGCTTACTCTGTCTGCGTTTCCTCATGGTTGAGTGGACGATGAGAGGCCGTCGAGTACATTTCGAGAAGACAAAGGATCTCCTCTGCGCTTGCTTCTACAAGACTCGTCGCCTGACGTGAGGCCGAAAGTCCAGAACTAAGCTGTATCGCAACCGCGCTGGAGATTCGGTTATCATTCAGTCAGCTCTATGCATTGGGACGCTGCCCAGACGTCTATATGAGATCTTTGGTGTAGTACAACTGTCGAAGTCAGCTAGTCACACTTGACACTGACTCACGCTTTGCCAATATCTATATCCTGCCAAGGGTCGACGACGCGACAATCCCCGCACGTCCACCCAGAACCTCTGCCAACCTTTTGATATCCGACCACCACTCGTCGGTTCCTCGGCGCAATTTCATGTCTGTATGCTTCATTATTTCCGCCATGGTCGCGTAGACAATCTTGCTTCCTCTAATGGCGATCATGGCGCATGTTTCAGTTGGATAGTCCCTAGATCCACCTTTACGGGATTGCGAATTCGGCACGGCATGTTTCTCCAGGAATTGCATACACCTCAGTGAGAGTCGAGCGGCTCGCGTTCGATCCAGAGGCGAAGGGACACCACCTTGGAGTGTATGACCTAACGACGCGGATCGAGCGTCGAACAAGTCTCGGCCTTCTTCTTTGAGAATCTTGGTCAAGGTTTCAGTATCGTAAATGTTGGAGGACTTTTCAGATCTGCACATCGTCAGTGAAACCTTCATTAGATAGCAATCGATTCACTTGATGACCAGTCGACCTTCACTCTTCCCCTTGACGTCCAGAGAGTATCTCTTTCGCAGGAACTCGACGTCTTGCTGCAGTAGTCCGAGAGAGATACCATTCTCCGGCGTATAAACGATGACCGCCCCGACCTGATCCCGTATCAGGCATCACCTCGATCTCGATCAGATTCCAATTGAACTCACAGCCAGCGCTCCCAAAGTCGCGATGTACCCACTCATTCCCCCCTGTGTTTCAACCACGAACACTCGGTTTCGGCTCGCCGAGGCACTCTGCTTGATGGCGTCGCAGGCTTCTACCAAGGCATTGAGTGATGTGTCGCTGCCCAAGCTGAAGTCTGTGAGGGGAACATTGTTGGATAATGTCGCGGGCAGATGGATGATTGGAATCTGGAATGAAGGATAGTTGACGCGCTGCTTTTCAAGCATCTGAACGGAATGAAATGCCTCGAACCCTCCGATAACGAGCAGACCATCCAGTCCGTGTCGCTGGAACGCAGCGGCTACTTGGCCCATACCAACATCGGGCAAGGTTCGGTTGGTTCCCAGCTCTGATCCGCCACGTGTCGTCCAACTGTCGACTCGTAGCCACGACAGCTCTGAGACGTTGTCATCGAGAAGACCATCGAACCCGTTATAGATGGCTACTGGAACATGGCCACGATTATGGCAGAATCGAACAGCTTGACGGGTTGCAGCGTTCATTCCTCCAGCTGGTGCACCAACACTAGCAACGTCAGAAACGATGGTATAGTCACAGTAAAGCTTACTGAATAATTCCGATTCTCAAGCGCTGATCAAGTCGTCAGCCAGAGCGCACAGGTGCAAGTTTAGTTTTACCTTGTTATCGGGAACCCGGTCATTGGAATGCACCTGCGAACTGATTCTAAATGCGGCGAGCATCTCGTTGAACTCCGAGTCTCGATATGACATGGCCTTTTCGAATTGCTTATCCTCGATTGCCTTGGCGACGGCCTGGGTCTGATGAAGTGTGAGACTTGCGCACTTTGGACCGGGTTGGACTGACCTGCGCTACGGCTTCGAGTAGCGGAACCTTGGTGATCTTGTTCTCTTGGATACCAATCATATAAGATGGGCTCTGTGGTGTGGCTTCGAGGAGGACCTGAACAGCTTTGACGCCTTGTAACGTTGGCTAGGCGAGATGAGCGGTGCTCCTTCAGAATTTCAGATCTCACCAAGATTCTGTCGTAGGCACAAGGCTTGCCTCCACGTTGTGTGTGACCCAAAGTCGTGACTCTGGTGTCCAATCCCAGTCGGTCAACCAAGATATCCTTGACGTACTCGGGCTTGATAGGTTTGAGATTCCGGTCCAAGGCCCCCTCTGCTACGATGACGATGGATTTACGTTTTCCATAGATTCGGTGCTGGAAATGTCAGTGGATCAGATTCAGCAGCAGAAGCAGCCTTGCTTCGACTCACCGACTTCAGCAAGTCGCACATTTCCGTCTCCCAGTCTTCGCTCTCGGGCGGGGATTCGGGAATGAAGATGAAGTCGGCACCTGTTGCAATACCAGCCAGAAGCGCGAGCCAGCCACAGTGACGTCCCATTACCTCAATGACGAATGCTCGAGAGTGTGAAGAAGCAGTGGAAGAGATCGAGTCGATGGACTCGCAGATTCGGTGCAAGGCAGTCAGAGCTCCGATAGTTAGGTCCGTCATAGACATATCGTTACTGGTAACGATCAGTCCAGGCTCTACGGAGTGGTGCTCACTCGATCGATCCGACGAGACCGACAATATTGAGGTGTTTGTAAGTCGCGCGCTCATCGTCTGAGATTCTATCTGGAGAAAGAATCAGCGGATGCCCTCAAATCGGCAAGTACACACCTGTCTTGTGCAACTCATCCAATAGGCTCGGCCATTCCTTTCGGAATACATCGGCGCCGGTCAAACTTCCATCTCCTCCACAGACAGCCAAGCAATCGATACCAAACTTGACAAGGTTCTGAGCCGCTGCCAGTCGACCTTCACGGGTCCGGACTGTACAGGATCAGCAAGACTCCCTGCTATGCTGGGTACAACGCCGACTGACATGAGGGGCATCTTGACGATCCAATCAATGTTCCACCATCCCCCATCCATCCTCTTACATCGTCCCATCCTACTCGGACGATATATCGGCCTTTCAGACTCCTGCCCTTGGAGTCCTTGATATCAGCCACATCGGCAGGCGCCTCGTCGATATCGCCTTCACCAGCTCCGTCCTTCAACAGCTCGCCGTACCCAAAAGACAGAAGCGCATCGGACAATGGTGCGATCCAGTTTGGATCTAGATAGTTGACGGTGTGGACATGTTCAGGGTTATGTGAAATGGCTGCGGAGAGCCCAAAATCCGTTGAAGCCGCTGATGGTGGAAGTTGCTCGTCATCCTGAACTGAGAACGAGACAATTCGTTTGGGACCGAACCGAGGCGTGGTGATCGTAGACTGGGAAGGAGTGGGAGCGGAGGAATTGCCTCTGACTAGACCTTCCCAACCTTCTCGGATGATGTACGCTTGGCAACCTCGAGCGATACCTTGACGGACAACGGCTCGGACTGGATGGTAGGTCAGCATGGTCGCAGCAGAACGACAGTCATGCGGGGGGCATATGATACATGTACAGAGATTATACCCAGTGCATCACTCACCGACTGCATTCATACCTGCCGAATCACCTCCACTCGTCAAGACTGCAATCTTCTTTTGCCTGTGAGAATGCTCTGAACCGTTGGGGGCAGAGGACGACGAAGCGGTATTGGAAGCGTCCGAAGCCTCGAGGGAAGCTGCAGAGGCTCGGAGGCTCTCCATGATTGTTGGAGATTCCACTTTGTGGATGAGCTGATCGAGGTGCGAAAGTTGACAGGATTTGAAGCCTTTACTTGGCCAATGGTCAACTATGCAATGGGGATGGGATCTCGTCCAAAATCAGAATCACCGAAAATGGGATTGGCGCGAGATTTTACGACTCGGACGGACTCTGCTCTCAGAACGCCTAATGCATACATGACTGCTGGGACCTTTCACCGTCCGAGCGTGCTCGTACAATAAGCTACAACAAATATCGAGACTGTCGCCTCTCTTCAAGAAATATAATATGGGTAACACATCAAGCTGTGTGTGGTCTACTCGTCCCCACTTGCATCGTCCACTTCCAATCCCCTGTCGACATCCCTCTCATCCTTTTCTTCAGCCTCCTCTCCAATGCCATCATATATGGTTTCTTGAGGTAGCCCAATGACCTCGCCTGTAGGTCGTTCGCGCATGATCTTGCCCACTGTGTCGAGCCATTCTTTCCGCACCGCTACTAAGCGCTTCATGTTGATTGGTACCGGAGGTCGATTGGGATTCAGTCCTGGTACAGAGCCAGGGATGGGTTTCTTTGGAGTTAGCCCGAACTTCTTGACTCGTCTGGCCCAACTGCTTTCGATCGACTTCTCCAGCCCGTCCAGGGCCGATGTATAATCCCCATAAGCCAAGCGCTGTCGAGCAATCTCCGCCAGTCGGGATTTCCTAGCCTCGTTGATGCTGGTTTGCAGGTACAGTAATCGTTGACATTGCCGAAGGGCGGAAGTCACTTCGTCATCGTCCCGTGCTTGTGCGTCAAACTAGACTCCGGGGTCAATATTTATGCTGGAGAAGGATCGCCACTCACCTCCTCGTTATCACCCAAGAGCATAACGGCACGAAGTTCCTTCTTCATTCGATCTTCCATATTGACGACATCCATCCGCGTAGGCTCATCGCTCGAGGCTTCCTCATCGACCTCTCGGCCTGAGACTGCCCTCCTGACATACTTTGACGTTGTTTTGTCTCCCACGACCGCAGCAACGATACGTTCAGTCAAGCTCCCTAGGCCTCTCTGCTCGTCCACCAGATTCTCGTCACGCATTTCTGCGGAGGGTACATAATGCGGGATTGACAGAGCTCCATGTGATGCAGTGTGACCTTGACGAAGGTTTGGAACGGGATATCGAGGGGTTGTGCCCGCAGGTAAGCCATCCTCCTCATCCCAAATTTCCGTGTAATGACGGCCTCGCGGCGGAATCTCGTAAGACTCAGGAGCGTCGGCCTGGATACGGCAAATCAGCGGGGTATCCCGGTTACCGAACGTGTATGCGCTCACCTTGAAGTTGAGCATTGCCAGATCATCTTCCCTGATTTCCCTCAAATACGGCTCAACGCCGGACCAGAACGTCGTGAAAGCAACTTGAGTTGGAGCCTTGACATTGCTGTAGTCTTCGTCTACCTCGCTTTGCTTCTTCGGACCAGGCGGGACAGGTTTCTGTACTCCAGGTCGCGGAGGTATCAGCGGTCTCCCAGGCTGTGTAGGGAGCGAAAAGTCGATGTGAGATCCTATGACTGCAGAAGCTGCGGCTGTAGAGGTGGAGGGCGTGGGTGAGAAGTCTGGCCGAGATTTTGATTGAGGTTGACTGGATGAGAGCTTGAGCTTGAGGCCCGAGGTGAGAGGGGGAGGTGAAGGGATGGTAGCGGATCGGTCTCGAGCTGAAGGTAAAGGGACCGGTCAGATAAGAGATACCTCGTTGCAGAATCCCGCTCACATCGCATATCATCATCGCTATCCAAAACGCGTTTCTTCTTCTTTTTGTTATGGCCGGAGGCATATGTTATTGGCTGATTGTGCTGAGGTTTGAACGATGCGGAGGATGCGTTGGAAGGTACAGGGGATACTAGAGACATATCAGTAGGTTTCAGACAGTGTGAGAATGGTGCGACTAACGACTCGTCCTTTCCTTCTTAACTCGAACGCTCGTCGGACTCTCTTTGGTCTTCTGACCCTCAACCCGAGCCCTCTCCAAAGCCTCAAGCTTCGCTCCTGCCTTTTCGTTTGCTTCAAGCGCAGCTTGCTCTTCTTCCCTTTCTTTCCTCTTTTGAATCTTTCGTTGACGCTTCTCCAATTCAGCAGTTACAGTCGCAGCGGATGTCCTTAGGGAAGTGAGGAGGTACTCGAGCTCTGCAGCTTCTGGTAATGGCGGATAGGCGGAGGATTGGATGAGGTTGAGAACATGGGGAGTGTAGGTCACTGGTGGGGCCGGTCGCGAAGTCGGCATGATGCCAGATGTAGATGACACAGAGGTCTGTAGGAGGAATACCAAGGACACCAACGAGCGTGAATGCAGCGGCGAACCGATTTGTTGACAGTGACGTGGCAATTATCTATCAACGATTGGATCTGATACTCCTTCGCTCTCGATCACTGCTGCACAGGGAGGGCATCCACTCTCGCTGCTGCCATCTCCACGCTCACATGCCACCTCGTATCACAAGCTACAAGGACACGCAGCCACTCAGAACGCTGGCCAAAGCATCTCAATCGTGTTCAGTCCAAGTAGGTCCTCAATTCAACGCCTGAACACTGACTCCTTCAGTCCATAGCATACGGCAAATGTATCGGTAAATCATATCAAGACGTCAGTAAGAGCATGTGCGAAGCGGAGTTCAGAGCATTCAAAGAATGTGTACAGGTGAGTGAGAGTGAATCATGAGCCTGAGCTGAGGTTCGTCTTAGAAGACATTCGGACGCAAATGGTAGAACGGGCCCGAATCGTGATGTGAGATGCAATAAATGTTGTATGAAGTCTATAAGTCGTCATCAATTTGTCGTCGTTCAAATGGCCACTCCCAAACCCCTATGGTCCGTCTTTCTGTTCCCAGAGGACCGCTCCATTGGAATCCTTCGCCCTTCTGGCTTCGGTCATCTTGACTGCCTCCCATTCCATCCTGATGAAGACCCACATCCACCTCCTGATCAATTCCAGGGCCTCCATCATGAAGACACCGCTTTCGATCTCTGAAATGGTGTGCAGATGAGAGGATAGCTTGAGAGACCAGGTGAATCGAAGCACGAGGTCGATGAGGGCAAAGAGGTGGTAGACTAATGGGTCAGGGAGAAGCAATGTCGGTCTGAGACCAAAGGCAAAGAATGCCAATTTGGAGCTCGACGAGCTGGAAGATAACGTCACAGGGCTTGTAGGCAGGCCAGGTTGTGGGAGTTGAGTGAAGCTTGGCGATGGAGTGGGATATGGAGATCGTTGATGCTCAGAGATGCTGGGACCTCCGCGTGAGAACAGCCGTCGGATACGACCAAGGAGGGATAGGTCAGGCCGACCAGACGTCCTCGAATCCTTCTTCGGGATCCAAGTGTCCACATCGCATAGAGCTAATCCCCAATCCATCTGCACGTCCCACCAGAAAGAGTACATTGAGTTGACGACAACGGCCAGAAGCCAAAGTCGAAACAGACGATGTTCTCCGAACCACCTCTCATCCATTTCAGCCAATTGTTGAACGGTCAAGCCTTTGGAAGCTGCAACGTCCACTGCGACGCTCTTTTGTGCTGCCGAAAGGATGATGACGGGGAAGGCGGAAAAGTACTTGAGAGCATTGAAGAGGGGACGGGTGGAAGTCCATCCAGATTGGTAGGATTCGAGGACACATTGTCTGAATCGTAGAATGTAAGGGAGACACACCATCACAAGGGTGAAATAACGTGAGAATCCAGTCTGAGCCACTCTGCCGCGTGTGATGCCTCCTTGCAATATTTGACAGGAAGAGATCCACAAGTCACCAAGAACTTTCGCAAAAGAAGTGAAAATATCCGCGAGGATAACATCGGAGAAGAAGATGGGCGCAGCGAGTGATGGCAAGAAAATCCGCCTGACAGCTCTGTAACAGGACTGTCAGTCACGTCCCAGGTGTCGAAAGCCTACCGTTTGAGCGCAGCTCGGTCTCTTATGCCTATGCCGTCCCACGGGGCAAAAGCTCCCAGTATGGCCCCGATGGCGACAAGGCCAACGAACCACCGAAAGTTCTCCATTGCCTGCTGATCTGCACCGGTAACGCTTCGGAAAATGAGCCAGCCAGACCCGACCCAAGCCGTATAGATCGCGAATAGCTTGTACAATGATCGGTGCAGAGTCTTGCTTTCTGGTCGGCTGATGGGACTCTCCCGCTGTGGAGGTTCATCTCCTACATCCTCTGCCGAAAGCGCGTGCAAAGGGACATCTTCGACTGCTACTGTATCGCGAAAGTCTAGGATCCACGAGGTATCCAGACCCAAGAGGTAGAGGATATGTAGATTTGAAGCCCATAGTAGCTGGGCTAGACCTACGAGGAACAAGACGCGAAAAGGTAGTGGGAAGGAGGCTGAGAAGGATGGGAGGTTAAGGTGAGTGTGATGGGAAGCTGGAGGGTCTGGGAAAGCAGCGGGCGGAGAGTCGATATCCATCCTGGGAACGGTCGACAGAGGCTACCACTAGTCTACTCGATCGTCATTGGATACAGCGGTCGTTGATAACGTCTTGAGCCCGGCTCCAGAGAGAGAGAGAGTACAGACGATGGGTCGTAGAGTTGAAAAGCGCTATTGACAAGATGCAACTCGCTGGAAAAAAGAAAAAAAAAATAGGGGAGGCATTCCGGGACGCAGTCTTCAGTGTGGACGATCAAAAGAGGCGCAGAAGCGGGAGGGCCATCATGGGTCTGGCAGCAAAGTCATGCGCCTACTGCTATACTGTTGCTGATCGAAGGCTTCATGGCCTCATCAAGGAAACGTGCAATCAATGACGGTGCTGCTTAGACCGGTCAGCCGAGGAGGCCATTGAAACACAGGGTAAGCCACGGAGAAGAGCCCCGGTGGGTGCGTTCGCCTATGACTCGTACTGCATGTGCAACACTTGATCCAGACCTCCCATCGAGACCTGTCGCAGGCTTCCGCAGCGACCGCTGGCTCGTTGCTGAGCGCTGAAGTATCAAAATGAATAGCTGCGAGAAATACAGTCTAGAGCTCCTCAGCATCGTGATTTGCGATCCGACACTGTGTCTCGAGCCCTCGATGATGATACATAGAATTAATGGACTATCCAGTCCGTTTCAAGAAGTTCTTAGCTTTGATATTTGAGCGATTCCTGTCCCGTACAACGATCAGCATGTACCTCCATTGATTTGACCAAGACAAGACCAGTTTACGACACTCACAATTGCCTCAGGCGCTTCTTCTCATAATTATAATCCATAGGCTCTCCCGGTACAGGAGTATCTCTCGGTCCCATCATCACCTCCGCCGCTTTGCCTTCGTCTAGTATTGTCCATAACCAATCAGGATACTCTTCATCCTTCATCGCTACTGGTGCTGGTTGGTCTTTGTACAAGGCCAACTTGGGGAAAGTCCTTCCAGCCTCACACGTAGAGATGACTGAAGTGATGAGACCACACGTATCAGCGGACGATGGCCAAGCCTTTCGCTTTGCACAAAGGACCACTCACCATTCTTCCTAACGGATAAGACCGTACCTGATGGACTAGGTCTGGAGGCGGTCTCATTTATAAGCGACGTCGAGAAAGCAGCATGCTGGGAAGGAATGAGAGAATAAGTCGGCCTCAGGAGGTATGGTCTGCGCAAGACTATTGACGCCAGAGACATTGTGAATGATGGCCGTTGAATGCTTCCAAGTGCTCAAGTCAAGAGGACGTCTGAAATTGTCTACATAGATCACCTGTTGGTGAAGGGGGCTGACGTGGTATTTACTTTGCCCGGTTGATACTGACTACACGTGGTTGTGTGACTTTTGCAATGTTCCGGACGCGTCGCGCTCAAGAAATCAAATCAGCAGCAGCTTGTACTGTCTGTCCATCATCCTGCTAAGTGTTCCAAGGTCGACAATGGCAGAAGCATCGCCAGACTCTGTCACATCAGTATCAGGTCATCTGAGCGGCATCACCAGATTATGCTTCACACCCGATGGAAAGTGAGTCATCTCCCTCCAAACTGAACACTGACCTCTGTACAGGACAGTGTTCACTGGAGGAACAGATTGCCTCGTTAGGATCCATAAAGCAGACGATCCTGCCTCGGAACCCAGCTTTCATGACAACCATACAGAGCCTATCACGTCCCTAGCTTGCTCCGTAAGCTAGCTCTCACATTTTGCTAAGTCCAAGCTGAGAGTGCTGCAGCGATCCCATCTTGTTACTGCCTCACTCGACAATATTGCTCGAGTCTTTTCGTATCCTCAGAACGATTTTGAAGGCTACATCACCAGATCCTCAGGCGTTCCGATACGCTGGGTTAGTATTGATCCCAAGGGCGAGCGTGTAGCAGTCTGTGGAGAGTAAGTAGAGCTCCACCTTCTCTCTGTACGTGCTGACATGCCATAAAGCGATCTTCTCGTCAAGATTGTTCATGTTCAAGAGACAGAGAGAGTAACACTCTTGTCAGACAATACAAAGTCTGTCAGATCAGCAACTTGGGATCCGCAAGGGAAATACTTGGTACGTCGGCCATGATATCGCAGCGCTGATTTGCTTTCTTACAGACAACAGCTTCGTGCGACGGAAAGATCAGGATATACGACGTGTCAGGCTCGGAGAATGTCCTTTTGAGAATACTAGAGGGCGTTATTGCTCCTTCAGAGTCAGAGTGAGCTGTGACGGATGATCACTCTGCCCTAGCTCACCAGACACAGCTCTACCATCTCATGTTATGCCGCTTGGCACCCATCTGGACTATATTTCGCAGTCCCGTCCCGCACGAACGGTACGTCTTCCTCTGGAAATGGGGCTCTTCTCTGATGCGATGCGCCTCTCAGAAATCGCCGTGATCGCCCGCGATGGATGGAACAAGAAGTTCACATTCACCCTCGAAGGTCCTAGACCTGTGCGTGGTGCCTGATTAAGCAAATCTGACTCCATCAGGCCACCAGCGAGATGGCATGGTCGCCAAATGGCAAATACCTCGCATCGTCTTCAGGCGACAAGGTTCTAGTCTGGTCAAGAGAGACTCAGCAAGTTGTCTCGCGGTGAGTGAAACCTCCCCAATTCTCATGCTCATGATTGCCAGATACACCAATCCGGAAGGCTCCATAACCGGTCTAGCGTTTTCACCCATTGCCAATCTCCTCGTGTTCACCTCTATGGATGGATCCTTCAGTCGATGGACCAACCCTGTCCCAACGTCTCTTCCGGATCCAGTGGCGTCTGAGGCAGTGGAGGCGAAGCGCTTAGAGAGACTTTTGGACGATGACTTTGGTGACGGTGATGAGGATATGGAGGAGAAGGGTGAGGATCTCGAGGATGATAGAGACGGAGGGGATGACTGGATTGTCGATGACGATGGAGCTTATGCGATGGAAGATGGGGAGAAGACCAGGGGCGGTCGCACAGAAGTTGGTGAGTCTGACCCGCTCTTCATGCGGTTCGAGCTAAGTCCGGGGGCAAGTGAACGTGACCAAGGCTCAGGAAGCATTCGCACCCGGTAGCACGAGTTTCAAGAACAAGAAGCGGTATCTTGGTAAGCCGAGGATCAGATGGTATCTGACCGGCAGCATTCAACATGATCGGAGCCATCGACGTGACAGATCAAGAAACTCATAACGTCGTCAACGTGGAATTTCACGACCGCTCCACTCGACGTGGATATCATTTCCAGGATCATTCCGGATATACGATGGCATCAATGGGTAAGTCGGGTTGCCGCTGACGATGTCATCATCTGATCTGTCTGCAGGTGAACAAGGTATCATTTATGGTGCTCCATCGGATGGCGATCAGGCTTCAAGCATTCATTATCGACCGTATGATTCATGGGCATCCCAGTCCGATTGGACAATGCAGTTGCTTCCCGGCGAGGACGCCATCTGTGTTGCTGCGGGCGGAGCATCTGGATCCGGCAGCGACTCAACCATGGGCAGCGTGATTGTGGCTACCACGAAGGGGTTTGTGAGATTTTTGAGCAGCAGTGGGATGCAGAGGTATCTCTGGCGTGTAGGAGAAGATGTAGTTTCCATGGTAGCGGGACGAGAGGCAGTCCTTATCGTGCATCGAGAAGGAGGCACAAGTCTGGATGGTAAGTCGACGCCCCACTGAGACGGCTGACGTGGGGTCAGGATGTCAAAATTTACGATACTCGTTGATGAGTCTGGACGACTTCGAGCTGTTGCAAGAGGGAAGGATGCCTTTACCTAAGAGGTCTACACTCTCATGGATCGGATTCACGTCGGACGGCGTACCCGCTATGGCTGACTCGACGGGCCTGATATCCGTCTTGGACCGTAGTAAAAGCCCTTCTCAAGCACGATGGGTCCCGCTATTAGACTCCAAAGCGATGGCTCAGAAGGAGGGCAGGACGGAGACATATTGGCCGGTGGGACTGACCGAGACCACTTTCGCTTGCGTCGTCTTGAAGGTAGAGACAACAGCATCCATCATGAGCCAAGCTGATCCGCTCCTTCCAGGGTGTCGAAAAAGAACCATGGTTCCCTAGACCTCTCGTGCAAGAATTAGAGATGCATATGCCGCTGCTCAACATGGACAACCAGCAAGGCAAGCTGGAAGAGAGGTGAGCAAGCTTCTCGGCGTAACGACACTGACGCATCAGTGTTATCCGCGGGGAGATGCAGCTCTCCGTCCAGCGTGAATCGATCGAGAGTGATGGGGAGTCGTCTGTCAAGGCTCGGGAAGTTGCACTCGACAAGATCCTGCTCCAGCTTGTGCAAGGTGCCTGCAAGGCCGACAACCTGTCACGAGCGCTAGACATCACTCGATTGATGCACAACCCCGCAACCGTCGACGCAGCTTCAAAAGTCGCAGCATTCTATCATCTTCCAGGATTGCAAGAAAGGATACAGGGAGTCAAGCTGGATGTGGAGTACAGGCGAGCAACTCAGCGGTCAAAACGTCCAGCTGCGGTGGCCTCGAGCAGCTCGTCAAAGAAGACTCGCGTGGGTTCAGCTTCATTCGGCGACTTTGCTCCCAAACAGGCGCGAAGGTCTTTCGGAGGTGTTCAGAGGGATGTAACTCCTGCTGCGTCGGGTCGAGCGGAGACCTACGTGCCGGAAACGCCAGGAATCGAATCGACTCCCGCACCGTTCGTTCCGTCCGTGACGGATGAAGAGATGAGACCGTACCTCGAGGACGCGTCATCCCCAGAGCCGAAGCGCAAGCGGGATGAAGAGTCGGAAGATTTCAGCGCTCCGAAAAGGAGACCCGAGCCAATGGTCAATGGTGAGTGCTTGATGCCAGGAACGCCTTCGAGCGCGCCCAGCTCATGAAATTTCCTCAGGGACCGCTTCTTCCAGTACCAGTCTTGGGCCAAAGAATCCGTTTGCGAAGAAGTCAGCTCCTGGTTCCAACCCATTCGCAAAGCCCGCCGTGGCGAGACCATTAGACGCTATAAAGAGCACGTCGTTTTTCGAGCGCGTGGATAATATCGAATCGAGTGGGGTCGCAAAGAGTAAGCAGTCAAGCTGTCACAGAGGTGAGACTCTTGCTGAATCACAGCACGCAGGCAAAGCCAAGCCGAAAGTCAAAGACGTCAAAGCTGTAGCGGCAGGTAGCGGAGGAAAGCAGACTACGCTTCTAGGGATGAAGAAGCCTACTTCTGGTGCAACCCGACCTCCATTACAAGCTCAGGATAGTCTTGCGACTGAAATTGGGGAAGAAGATTCGTATGAGGACAATGTCGTAGCAGTCGGAGTTCTGGAGGAGAGTAATGTGAGGCTGCTCGAGAGGCCATTGAAGTTGAAGCTGACTGAAATGCAGGCGCAAGAGACGCTGAGTCCAGATCCTATGGATGATTAGGGATCTATCCGGCTGGACGAGGCGGGAGGACGTCTGGCTGGGTGTATATCTGAGTGCATTGATGACTAGATAATTGTATTTGCATTGCTTGGTCCATGCTTTCTGGGCGCCACTGAAGAGTCCGCACGCAGGGACCCTTCATGACGGGAGCATTCCCTGCCTTCGGAAAGTGAAGCACGCTCTGTGTCTGCCCAATCGTCGGGGTCACTTCTGACACGGATACGTAAACTAGGTTGTTACATGTGTCATGCGTCTTCCCTTCATGATGTGCAATGCTATGTAGCTCCCGACTCGGTCTCTACGATATGAGTGACGACATCTCTACCTGTATAAATACAAATCTCATACGCCAGCATGAGCAACATGGATCCCAAAAAGTCGACAAGGGCAGAATGTATCGGTAAAGTGTAAGAGCTAGAGTGCCGGCAGCATGACGCGTCAACAAGTGAAGACTGGAAAGTAAAATGTAAAGCTTTGACGTACTCTGGATCCAAGTCATGAGCCCAGAAAAACAAGGTGAGATAATGAGCGAGTACGAGTGAGATTCCAGCCTTGCAGGGAGGTTGGGAATCAGCAGTGATAGATTAACTCTACTTTGGTGGAGATGACTCACGGTCAGCGCGAAACATAGCCAACCTGCCCAAGCTAAACTCAAGTCTATCCAACCTGCCCACTGAACGAAAAGGAGGAAACAAGCTTGACATGGAAAGGCAAGAAGATAGAGGACGAGCATGTTGTGTAGTGGGGAAAGCTGATCGGTTCGGAATGGCGGATGGTGACTTTGACTGGGGGATCGGATATGAAGTTTGGTATGCAGACTTGTAGAGAGTCGATTGGCGTGAATGGCACCGATGGATCCGGTCAGACCTGTCTCGCAGGTCTTCAGCAAGGTCGAGACACACCTGAGATGACGAGGGCGCGACTCACCTCCCATAGATATGGACAAAAGGGCGAAGCCTCTGTATTTACCCACCCCTTGATCTAGGACCATTCCAGCCCCACTGGCAATGAGCATGGCTGCGATCTGGCAAAGGAGGGTCAGTCGGGGACTTGGACAGCCTGAGTGAAATACAGGAGCGGACGACTCACCAGCGGCGCCCATGCTCCTTTGGCGACTTTGCGGATCCAGTCATTCTGCATCACTCGTCTCGCAAACCATCCGACGGCTACGCACATGAGGATAACTGTCAAGAGAGGGACTGGCGTGTCCATCATGCCGACAAGGAGTGTCCCAATTCCAGCGAGGATGAACAGCGTCATGAGATCTCCCAGACACGCAGCTAGGGGAGGTGTGATGTTGTCTGAAGCCCTTGTATCAGTGCGCGAGCCAAATTAGAGGTGTGTTGGCTCACCTGGGTCCATCCCGGTCCACCGGCTGACGACCACGAGGGCAGACATGAAGTTGCCAAGGACGAACGCGCTGAATCCTGCTGCGCCCATACCCGTAGCGAGGACCATGACAAGCTGTTTCCAGCCTGGTCTCGTGTATCCCTCGTGCCATTCTCCATCATCGACGCCTAGACCGGCATCATCTCCGAACCCTCCCGAAGGCTCCATCTTGTCACCTAATCGATGTCGAGTAATGAGACCGAGAAAGAAGGACAAGAATGCAGCAAGCGAAGAGATGAGCAATGCTTGAAGGCATAAAAGCGTCATGTTGGCCATGAGAAGTGCTCGTCTAGTCATGCGATGATCGAGTTCGCCGATATTTGCAGAGGTACCTAATCGTGCCGAGAGACACATTTCGAGATTGCCCTTGAGGTTGCCGATCATCGGTACAAGAATGAACAGTTCGTCGACGCGTCGAAAGACTCTCCATCGAGCGACGTGTTCTAAGAGTTCACCAGTGAAGACCAAACCGACCAGCGACAGGAGAAGTGATGGTGTGCTCTGTATCACAGATTTTTCCTTTTAGCTTGGACACCACGCTGGCAGACTCCCCTCAACTTACTCCCATTAACAAGCTCTTCAGATCTGCCCACTGGCCACCTTGAGCCTTCCAGCTCGTATTCAGCCCGTCATCGTGTGCATCGAGAAAGCCCATCCGTTCCACCTGTCCACTCCACGGAGATTGTAACATTCTTTGATGTTCATCACTCTCAACACGCCCAAGCACTTGACCAGAGTCTTCTTCTTCTGTTCTATCCATCCTGCTCTTCGTCGATACCTCAGTCTCTTTGGCATTGGGTGGGTAAACCATCTTCGAGGCATAATGCTCTGCTGGCGTATCAGGTAAGGCGATATCATCCTTCCATTTCCCCTTTCGCAGGTTGGTCCCATGGAGGAGTGGTACAGTATGGCTGCTGTTCAGATCAGTCACATGCCGGTCTCTATCCAGGATCTCATTGATCTTCCGTCCCGTGGCAATTGATCCATTCCCAGGCTCTATTCTCGGAGAGTCCAAAGAGACCAAGGTCGAACTTGAAGGTTCATTGTTCCATGATCCTTCAGGGGACGGTGCCCGTTCTCCCGTAAGCACAGAAGCTAATTTTCTAGCTTGGCGAGCATGTTCAGAGATGTCTCGTTTGAGGATGGGAGACATTTGACGCGGGGCAAGAGGTACGAACCGCTCGTCGAGGTCCGCCGAAGCTACCCTCTTGGAGGCTCAAGGAGCTAGATGAAGGAACGAGGACACCAGGAAGATGACCCGGCCTCGTCCGGTATTTTGCTTTTCCGTCTTTTTTTTTGGTTTGCAGGCAGTGGCTTGGAAGTGAATTGCCGCATCCACGGGGAGGCACGGAATGTGGAATGGCATCATGCATGGTCAGGCCATATAGATCTGGTCTCCGATGAGGGAATAAGGAGGGGCATATATGGACACAGGTGCTCAGCGTAGTATTGACAACAGGGCGTGAAAGAAGGATGGCTACGAATGAAGGGGAAATCATGAGAGGTCGAATCCAGCATTTGAGTTGATGGCCTGCAAAAGTTTGGAACGGAGAGCAACTTCGTTCTGATACACAGAGTTAGCGGAATATGGAGCTCAAGAGAGGCTAAGTCTCACATCGTATGAAGGTCTACAGAGCAGTGATCAGCGATGACGGACCACCCCATCTCTCGGCCGGAACGCCGGACCGCAAGGACTCACAGCTTGAGCAGGTTCATGCAGGAGGAAGCCGATGGCAAGCGCCCCGTATCGTTTCCGCTGCACCGAATACCAAAGCGCGGTGAGAGTTGTCGGAAGCCAAGTCTGAACCACGAAGTCAGAACACTCCAACATAGAGGTAGATGGGCTCACAGAGGGGGCCGCGAGCAACTTGTTACGAATCGCAAGAGAGCTCTTCGTTCTTGTTGGTTGAAGCCCTTGACTACTTTCCAGAAGACTTGAATGGTGTCGTCATTGGCAAATCCAGACACCTCCGTATTTGCACGCAGATCGTCAATATCGATAGGAGTTTCTTCTCCGCCTATGACTTGTTGCAATTCCTTTTGATCAAACATTCGAAGCCATTTGGAATCGATGATATCCGATAAGCCACTAAAGAAAGCCCGGGATTGGGCCGAAATCTGCTTGTCGAGCTTGTACCGACAGACAAGTTGGATGTCTGAGGGTGGTTGTATGAGACAATAGATAAGGAGACCTGGGGTCAAACTCACATTCGTGCCTGTTCTCCACAGTCACAGGGATATCAGAACCCCCTGGAACGAGGTCGATAGTCTGCGTCTGTCCGAATTCTGCGCCGTGTCAGATTAAAACAATCAATACGTTGACGGACCTTCTTGCACGATGGTGAAGTTGAGTGACAGTTCTTCTGGTCGAGGATAGCTTTTAAGCACTGGGGAGAATTAGGCTCTAGGTCCATTGACGGCGTGAGAGACTGACCAATCAGGCCTTTGTATAGCTCATTGTCTAGAGACTGAAGGTCGTCGATACTTGAGGACCTTCCTAGCCATTTGGCCACTGATCAGTCGTCAGCATGAGTGAGGCAAAACGAAATCAGTGAAGCTCACGGAAGAAACCTGCAAATGAGACATCCACTAGGATGCCATCATACATGGCCTTGCCAAGTACTCTACCAATGAAAGTGTACCAAGCAAGTTGATGCGCTGAAATGAAGGTCAGCATGTAGAGACTGTAACCTCAGCTTCAACTGACGCTCAGTCGCATAAGAATGCGGATTCGGATACAGCTCGTTCTGATCTGTCGCTAGCCATAGTCCACGATCGGTATTGAATACCTCCTTGTTCAAGCTGTCATATCTGTCAGTGATCCCCTCTCATGTCGGGGACTCACCTTGTGAGAAACTCCTTGAACAAGCCACCGCCATCTATACCGGCTTCTTCTTGCCCGAATCTACGGACGTGTCAATGTTCGACCCTGTAAACTAACTCACTTGTCAATAAAGGTGATGCCGATTCTGCCCTTCAGCATTGGACCGACATCGCTCAGTTGGTTGAAGCCGTCCTCGGCTAGCGAGGTCCGGTGGATTGTAGCACGGATACCTCGTCTCGAGTATCGACTGAGACCAAGGTTCACCATGTCCGTGCTGCGTGAATCAGCACACAGGCTGCCCCCCAGATCCTTGGACCGCGACCTACTCGATAAATTTTTGGAAGATCTCCAGTCGCGTGTTGAAAGGCAAGACCATCGGCAGATTGTTCAACAGTCCTAGTCTCGGTGAGATGTACGCCATTTGTCGCTTGGTGAATCTATTCCTGGCCCTGGCCCATCGCGGAAGATCAGCAGGATCGATTTCGCTCCCTTGCGCGATCTGTTCCGTCAACGCTGCGTCCTCCATACTAATTTTCACATCAGCGGATCTCTCAGTTTGGTTCAGTCTACGTACACTGCAGCAGCAATAAAGCCTCTGAGATCACCCGGAGAGATGGTGACGAAGAAGTTGTCCGGGGCGAATTTGCGTCGAGCGCTGCACATTCATTAGCACAATTCGTAAATGAGCCGGCCAGAGACCCACTTCCGGTCCGATATGCGAGTTAAACCCCTTGTAAGCAGAGCTCGAACGTCTTCGTTCCCTCTGCCTTCATTTGACGGCGATCCAGTCGCAGCGACACCATTCATGTAGCTCCAGTAGGCGAGATCTCGCCATACTGCAGCGAGCTCAAGTACTTCGTCGAGGGATAAGGGATTGCTCCCACTGACAGTCTCAGTGAAGAACTCGGCATCGGGTGTAATGAGCAAATAATGGCAGTAGATATGCGTCAAAAGGAGAAGACAAGGGGTTGAAGGGTCTGTATCGGTCAGTCAGCCGTTGAATGCGAAAAGATGTGCGTCCCACTCACTTGTCATAAACGTGTCCCAAGTTTTCTGATTCGATGAGGATGTCCAACGACCCCTGACCCCTTCCCTCCATACTCGTTTGCTGAACGCCTTGCCCTTTGTTTCGATCAACAAAGCCTCAAGGATCGATTCCCACTTTGGTGATCCGCGGAATGCATCAAGCAGGGCCAAAGCATAGGCGGCAAAATCGCCGAGGGAGGAAGAAGGAAGTTTTGAAGCTGGGGATATGATAGTTGCGGCAAGGTAGACGAGATGCGCTCGACCAGCCAACAAGAGGATTTTGGAGCTGATATTCTTGGGTAAAGGCTGTCTTCTTGTGGATTTCCTGCCGGACGTCCTCCTCGCCCGCTTTTTAGACGATCCAACTATCTCCCCATCAGAGTCCTCGTCATCCTCAGCCTTCGGTATTGGCTCATCGTCGTCTTCGATGATACCTTCTATCCAACGGCCCCAGCCGTCCGTCATGGACCGAAGGACTGAGCCGATGACCTTTATCCACTGAACTGCGCTACTGGGTGGGCTCCGCTCCAGGAGGCCTCCAGTAATACCAAATATGGCGAGATTGGCGAGGAGATAGGTCCTTCCTTGCTCATTACTCAGTCTGCCCTGCCGGATTATTTCAGGCTCTGCGGCCGCTAGAGGGAGCAAGGATTTGAATAGCGGCAAGTGGATAGACAAGTGGGTGAGCGCAGGGATCGGCAGCGAGGACGGTAAAGCTGGAATGGCAAGAAGATGGTTGATCAAGGGATACAGCAATGAACGAGTGTGAGCGGAGGAAGAGAGGGACAAGGGGGAGGTAAGGAGTTGAGTGACAGGCACGAGGAATGGATTCTTCTTCTTGGGTGACTGAGACCAGTGAGATACAGTCCGATGACAGCACTCACATTTGTCGCTATCAATTTGTCCATGGCAATCACCAGCTCCTGAACCCATCCACCCCGCCCGAGCACCTCGACAAAGTCTATCCTGCCAGAATCCGAGGCTGCTGTAGTGACATCACGAAAGACCGAGGGAATTGCTTTCAGTAACGTTGCAGCAGTCTGGGCGCTGCTCCAGGTATCAGCAGGGCGGAATAGTACAATCTCAGACAGCCACTCACTTCGGATCCTGTGCGATGAGGGAGACGGCTCTCAAGCACAAGATGGCCAGGACGGTCATCCAGTCCGGGGAGGGTTGAATGAAGGCTGATGGATCAGTCTGACTAACTAGATTGTCGTCAGGCAGTGTCCAAAGTATGGCTCTCACCTTGATCGAACCACTTGACTAAAGCATTCTCTCTCCGTCTCTTCGTCTCATCCGTCATCCAACCCCGACGAAATATCACCACCAAGAAACGAGCTCTTTCGTCAACCGATACTACCGCGCCGTTGTCCAACTTGTCCAATAGCTCTTGGGTGAACTTGGCGCCTTGACTCCTCTCCCTCCAAAACTTCTGTAAGACTATTGCGGACTTTTCGAGTACTCTCTGCTGTTCACGCTGGGCACGTTGCGCTCTGACATCGGACAGCAAGGCCGAAGACGAAGCGGACGACGAGGTCGAGAGATTGACATTGACATTGCGACCATTTTCAGGGAGGAAGTCAAAGGGCAGAGGCATAGCCCTCCGTGTTCCTTATTTCGCCTAAACGACTCTCCGAGCTGAATGATCGAATGAGACCAAAGAGACCTGCTCCAGGATGAAAGTGTTCAGCGGTTGGATAATCGATCGCTAAGCTGAACTGAGCAACTGAGCTGTCGCGAGCGGCGAGCGGCGGCGGAGGCCGACCGGCCGGCGGAGAGCTGCTTTCCCACGCTCGATCTTAAATTTTGACACCGACACCCGAGCCGTTTTGCCGATCACTTGAAAATGAACTAGAGCATTCCCCCGATTAGAATGCTGGCTGGGTATGATTGTTCTCAAGTCATTGACCACTTTGCCAGCATAGGAGCATGCCGTGGCGCCGCCCCAATCCACGCGCTGTCCGTCTCAATATGGCCCTTGTCCCTTGCCATGCATGCTTCGTCAAAGTTGAGCCAGGGGCACCATTACCTGAGTTGAGGTATATCACGTGATTGCCACGTGCGCTGCCATCCCCCCAACAAAAAGTTTGGGGATGTCTGGCGCTTTTGGGACCTGAAATATACTGTGGTGGAAAAAAAATCAATTCGTGGAGCAAGCGTGGGGTGCAAAGAGTCCGGTTAAATATATATAAGAGAGAGCATCGGGGGGGTTATTGTCTTTGACCTCTTCAACATCGCTCTCCTCACTCTCCAACAAAAGTAACGAACTCCCTCAACTCAAAAGAAAAAAGAGACAGCCCTTTGCACAACCGTCGTCGACGATTTGCAGAAAGAGCCACCTGCGTGCGACCAAGCCTGCTATCAGAAGCTGGTCTCGCTTGAAAATTGATCTCTGTCCTCCTTTCACGTCCCCACTCCACCAACACTCCTTAGACCGACCGAGCAACTCATAACCTCTCTCCACATCATGTCTCTCGTCACTCCTGCTCTTGAACGATCCAACATGTTTGATCAAGTCCACACCGTGGGATCAGACTCTGAAGCCTCGCTCCCTGCTACTCCTGATGTCAAGACATCAGGTGAGTTTTTCATGAACCGGATATCCTTGCCGCCGAGTATTCTGACGCCCACACTTTAGGTATCGACGCTTTTGCGGGCATCAAACCCATTCAACCCACCTTCCGACCCTCTGACGAGGACATTCCGGACAACTATGTCACCGCCACTATCTCGAAGCAAAAATATCTCCCACCAGTCACCTGGAAGAACCTTTTCTGGAACATTCAGTGGATCTCTTTCCTTGCCATCACGGTCACTCCTACCATCGCTCTTTACGGATTCTTTACCACCCCATTGCAGCGCAAGACGTTGATCTGGAGGTAAGTTCTTTTTTTTTGCCGACGTGGCGACTTTGCAAGTGGCGAATAGCTGACATGTCCTTCATCAGTGTGATTTACTACTACATCACTGGTCTCGGTATCACTGCTGGTTACCATCGACTTTGGGCTCACAGATCTTACAACGCATCTACTCCCCTTCAGTATGGTCTTGCGATTGCTGGTTCCGGTGCCGTTCAGGGCTCCATCAAGTGGTGGTCTCGAGGTCACCGAGCTCACCACCGATACACCGACACCAAGCTTGACCCTTACTCGGCTCACGAAGGCTTCTGGTGGGCTCACGTCGGCTGGATGATCATTAAGCCGCGAGGCAAGATCGGAGTCGCCGACGTCTCTGATTTGACTCGAAACAAGGTCGTCCGATGGCAACACAAAAACTACCTCTCGCTCCTGTTCATTATGGGCTTGATCCTGCCAACTATCGTTGCTGGACTAGGATGGGGTGACTGGCGCGGAGGATTCTTCTTTGCCGGTGCTGCCCGATTGGTCTTTGTCCACCACTCCACTTTCTGCGTCAACTCGCTCGCTCACTGGCTCGGTGACAAGCCCTTTGACAACAAACACACTCCCTGCGACCACTTCTTCACTGCTCTCTGCACTATCGGCGAGGGCTATCACAACTTCCACCATCAATTCCCTATGGACTTCCGAAACGCTATCAAGTGGTATCAGTACGACCCAACCAAGTGGTTCATCGCCGCCATGTCACAGCTCGGTCTCGCTTCTCACCTCAAGCGATTCCCTGACAATGAGATCCGCAAGGGTCAGTACACCATGAAGCTCCAGCAGCTCCAGGAGCAAGGTGACAAGCTCAAATGGCCCAAATCAAGCAACGAGCTTCCCGTCATCAGCTGGGATGACTTCCAGGCTGAAGCGAAGGAACGATCGTTGATTGCCATTCACGGATTCATTCACGATTGCTCTTCCTTCGCCGAGGACCACCCTGGAGGAGCTCACTTGATCAAGCGAGCCATCGGAACCGACGCCACTACCGCTTTCTTCGGAGGCGTATACGACCATTCTAATGCCGCCCACAACCTGCTCGCCATGATGCGTGTCGGTATTCTCGACGGCGGAATGGAAGTTGAGCATCTGAAACGCCGCCACGCCGACTCTGTCTCCTCCTTCACGTCTGCCGAATCTGGCCCTTCTACTCCTTCCCTCTCATCCGCCAGCTCGTCCAGTGCCGATCTTCAATCCCTCCTCTCCGACACTGACTCGCTCCGTCTCCAAAAGGCTGCCGCACCTACCGGTCAACCCGCTGCTCAAGTTGCGAGCAAGTGGACTTTGGCGGTCCCACCATCGGAGAAGTTGAGAATTATCCCTACTTCCCCTGAACTTCGACCTGGTCTCATTCAACGACGATCTTCCATCACCAGTCTTGACATGAAGACACGTGCTGATGAAAACGGAGAGATCAGCCCGATGCTGGGACAAGAGTGATTCAGAAGTCGGATAGGGAATTGAGAGGTAGTATTCACGACTTATGTACGAACTAGGCAATATATCATGTAGACAACACCACACACTCTTTCACCAATGCAGTCATATTTCCATTCAATATTCAGGATGCACGCAAGATTATAAGAGCTCGTACGTCTATGTGTCCTCTATGTAGTAATACAACAAGGTATCGATTTTCGCGGGAGACCAAACCAATGCTAAGGGAGCTCAACGTATAGCTCCTGCGATGAAAGACGTGATCAGCCGAGAGGAGTGCCGCGCCGTCAGTAACTCACCACCACCTGAATGACTGGCTTGATGAGACTGGTGACTGCAGCCAGCTGTGAGGTAATGAACGATGTTGAATTGCCTGTACACGCTAGGAAAGCCCCGGCCTCATAGACGAAATCAGGTGTCACGGTGCTAGGACCGATACCAGCGGGATTAGTCCAGGAGACTGTGAGTCTTCCAGTCGTGGAATCGACATTCCACTGAGGAGGCCAGTCAGCATGCTCCTGCTGGTATCTCTTCTGAGAATCGAGATCGGGGACTCACAATGGCAGTTTCCGCTTTGGCGAGTGCGGCTACCGCATTTGTGTTGATGGAAGCGACTGATCCAGGTATGCCGGCGTTGGCGCAATTTGAGATATATGCGTAACTGAGGGTCAAGTCAGGTCAGTAGAGTCTAGGACGACTTTGCGATATTGGCAGACCAACCTTGCGGACGAGTACCCAAGTTGAGGAGTCGTTCCGATGCCAAAGAAGACAGCGCAAAGGTAAGGAATACTCGCACTTGAAGTGGTTGACATGCTTTGAGTCCCAGTATTCAGATTCACGTTGACCATAAGAGCGCTCGTCGATGTCTGGATATCATTATGAGCTCTAGATTACATCACTTCGACTCCGAACGCTACCACTTACAGTGACAGTATTGGAATACCAACCATTCGTAGCGATGTTGAGTGTCTGAGCGCTGATGTATCCAAGACTATTGGCCGGTGCAGTGGTGATGCCCCGTTTACCGTAGCCTCGCTTCCTAGAACCTGTATTGGGTCCTGACGATCCGGCTGGATAGACCAAGATGGGTGCCAGTAGACTAGGCGAACGATTCAGCCCGTCGGTCACAATCACAATCACAATCACAATCACATGCAATTGTTAAACGACTTACGGTGTGGCTGAAGCGCCTGCTCTCTTCGCTTTTGTCCTTTTGGAAGGTTTCAACAGTGGGAGCCCCTTCCTCATGCATTCTGCGTTTGTCGAACATCCAATACCATCGATGACTGGTGTCGCTCTTCGCTCGTTCATCGGCGGCAAGAATCCTTTTCGACCATGATCCATGACGGCTGCGTGAGCGAGGCTGAAGAGTGCCACAAGGTGGATGAGGACCACGAATCCCAATCGCATCGTCCGTCTTTCCGGTGCCCTTCTCACGAGATTTGACTCTCGACACACAGACAAAGGCAGTATTCGACAAGAGGGTGGGAGGTTCACAATGACATTGACCTGTACTCAATCCTTTAAGCCTCTGAGCGAGGCAGGTCGGACCAGCAATTCCGACGGGCAACAAAACCTGCAGAACCTTGCGGACATTTTTTTGGGAGGATCGACGCCAACGCCAAACGACGCCCATACTGAGAAGACCCTGTTCATCCTCTCTGCACACGCTGCTAGAAGCAAGATCGGACCCAGCTCATCAGTTGGACAACAGTCTAGCCTTCTTTTTCAAGGCCCGATGTCGATCCCTGCAGACCTTCTCTTTGAAAGTTGAAGCCTCAACTATTATTAATCTCCGAATAAAACTGGGAATCTGATCAAACTCGATGGATGAAACGAGCGTCGTCGACTTTTATTTGGGGAAAAGTCAAGAGAGAGCCCTGGTGCCTCTCTCTGCCCGACCACAGGTACCAGAGCTCGAGGCATGCTTCTTAAAGGTTTAGAACAGCGATCAAGAAGGAGGAGGGGGGGGGGGGGGGGAGGAGGGAACTGGAGGGCAGTGGTAAGAATAGACACACATGGAATGCCCGTCTCCGTGTGTATAGATCTCGTGTGAGCAAGCATCCCTTGGCTATCTACAGCATATCAGAGACAAGGTTAACAGGACTTTGCTCGCTCAAAGATAGAAATTCAGCCGATGTTTATCGCCGAGTGGCGCGCAACCTGCAGTGTCGCCCAATCAAACACTGTTACATGGGCTGCAAGGCGCTCAAGCCTCGGCCCGCATTGGTTGAGCCGTCATGGCAGCCTTCTGGGCTGTGTACACCCTGATGTCGAAGACGGGGATCGCGAGACGGGCGCGCAGTGATGGCCAGTCATCAAGTGTACTCGAGGTCACAAGCCACTTCCTAATGAAAGTGCGGACAAGTCATTATCATCTCCATATTACTAATGCCACGCGACCAACTCCGGTAAATCACGATCGACCCGAGCCGGACAGGGGATGGGCTCAAATGTCAGAAATCGTGATATGGGTCTGGTTACAGAAAGCCAGCGAGAAGACCAGCCATGGGGAACGAGGATGTACTGAGATACATATCGCCAGGGGCTTGGAGCCTTGTGAGACAACCCACCATGTCTTTTGACATTGTATCTGGCTGATGACTTACCGATCCAGGTCGAGCCTTTGATCTCGTCGAGAGCGAAGGGTATCATCTCGACATTAATCACATTTCTCGAGGTATGCAAAGCAGACGTCGTCGAGAATCTCCGGTCTTAACGAAGCTTTCCACCAGGAGGATGTAATTCCAGCAGAACACTTGTACCACTCTCAGATATCCGATGATCCCGCCAAACGGTGGAAGACTGTCCCATCAGTCTTGCCAAAACTCCAGCGCAGAGCGAAAGATTTGGGCCTGTGGAATCTTTGGCTGAGTGGAGGAGAGTTTCAAAATCTAGCAGGAGGTCAAGGTGGAGGATTGACTAATCTGGAAGTGAGGAGGATCTCTGAGGAGTAGGACAGGTTCTGACATCGGTTCAAGTACGCCATCATGGCTGAAATCATGGGTCATTCATTGGTCATCGCTCCTCAGGCTTGCAACTGCTCTGCTCCAGACACGGGCAACATGGGTGAGTCCAGTTCTCAGCCATTGAGTGAATCTGACGATGCCCGTCCAGAGGTCCTGGCGCGATTCGGAACGAAAGATCAAAAGCAGAAGTATTTGACTAGATTACTGGACGGTACGATCCGCAGCAGTTTTGCCATGACGGAATTTGGAAGTGAGAGGGGTCGAGATGCGCATTCTCGAGACCTGGCTGATCATCGCCCGCCCAGTTGCATCCTCGGACGCTACGAATCTTAAGAACACCAGCGCTCAAGCTTCCGGTTCGGGACTGAAACTGATTGGACACAAATGGGCAAGTCTGACCTGTTTTAGCCAGAACTTGAGAGCTAAAGCTCTTTTTCCAGTGGATATCGGGGGCCGGCGATCCAAGGAACGAGATACACATCGTGCTGGCCGTGACCGATCCGTCCAATTCTTCTCCATACAAGCGCCATTCATTGCTCTTGGTCGACCCTCGAGCTAAAGGCGTGGAGATCGTGAGACCAATGACTGTTTTCGGATACGATGATGCCCCCGAAGGGCACTGCGAGGTGAAATACAATGGAGTGCAGGTGGACTTTGAGACGGGTGTTGTGGGTGGTAAAGCAGGTCTTGGCAGAGGATTTGAGATGATTCAAGCTCGTTTGGGGTGAGTCAGAAGAATCACCATCCAACCTATATACTGACCCTCCTCAGACCGGGAAGACTACACCATTGCATGCGAGCGGTCGGGGCCGCTTCGCGAGCGCTTGACTTGCTTCTCTTGCGTGCAACGGATCCCGCTAGGAAGACGTTCGGCAAGCAATTGAGAGGGCACGGTGAGTAGCCCTGAAATCGCTTAGTCCGGTCTACTCACCTTTGATAAGGGACGGTGCTGGCGGATATTGCACACTGTCGAGCAGAGATTGAGCAGGCGAGGTTTCTCGTCCTGTCGGCAGCGAGACAGATTGATCTCAATCGGGCGAAAGGGGCTCTCAAGGAAATCGGAATTTCCAAGGTGGGTCCGCTTGCAGCATGCCATTTAGACTGACCCGCATCTCCAGTTCACGGTGCCTGGCGTCGCACTTCGAGTTCTTGATCGAGCGATGCAAGTATACGGTGCGGAAGGCATCTCCCAGGATCAGCCTCTGGCAGCTATGTATGCGGGACTGCGAACGCTCAGATACGCCGATGTGAGTTGTGATCACACGCGCTGGGGTCAGAGATGCTGACGAGATCAGGGACCGGATGAGGTGCATATACAGCAGATTGGAAAGACCGAGTTGAAGAGGGTAGACGAGCTCCGAGAGAGGGCGGAGAGGATAGCAAGAGTGCGAGCCAAGCTGTAGTCTTTGTTCGGATTCGTATCATCCATGTGATATCGTCATGCGCCTGAAGGTCTTACAACCTCTCTTAATGTTCCATTTTTACGTTCTTTTTCGATTTGGGAACACTCGGTAGGTTACAGAGGCGTTTGATCATCGGTGCAAGGATCTGTCTAGGTGGCGTGTCATTGGAGTCGACAATCGATAGCATAGTACACTCACACCCATTGATCTCTGCACTGGGATCCGTTGAGCGCTTGGTCGGTAAGAAAGCGCTCACCTGTTTGGCACTCCTTCCGGGGATCTGCGTGGCCGCTTGAGTCCAATTTCCAGCTCCATTCTGTTCCACCCAGGCAAAGAGTCTAGCGCGGTCTTCTGGCGTCCAAGGACTGGGCATAGTCAAGAATAGAATCGGAATGAAGATCAGGTCAGACGTCAACACGAGCTCGAGTCAAAACGTTCAAAGACTTAGATCCTGTCCCCTTGACAACGGAGCACCGCGTGTCGCAAATGCAATGCATGACGTCGTTGCTCTAAGCAGTTTTGATCTTTTTGCTACTTGACGACGCTGAGGATTGACCGCCCAGGTTGTACACTGTCCGCATTATGAAGACTGAGGTTATGAAGATGGCGATCAACACCGTCGCTGCTTCTTCGGACCAGCCAAGTCCCCAGGCCCATCCTTTGACCGGTCCAATGAGGTACAAGAACATGGCAGGACATACGAGGGCCGCCCAGAAATCAGGACTCGTCCATCCCCATGGCTGGAGCTCTGCAGGAACGGCCAATTTGGGAGTCGCGCTGAACAAGTTGAGGCCGCTGAATGCGATGGCTGCGAATGGGACGGCGAGGATGAAGGGGGTCAGGATCAAGGTGGATGGTGTGGCAGGTAAAGATGTTGCTGAGAGCGGACGAAGAAGAGGTACGACGGAGAACCGAGTCAGGAGAAGCGCTCTACCGATTCCATCTGGGACGGATAGGAGGAGCTCTGGAATAAAGCTAGGTTTGGACGGAAGAAAGTGGATCAGGGGTGTTCGGGTTTGCAGTGTGTCTTTGATTCGCTGATGAGCTTGGCTTAAGACCACATTTCAAACTCACGAGCCGTCCAAAACAAGAGCAAAAGCTTTGGGTCAATCAGCCACGAGGGAGTGGTGCCCGACAGTGCACCTGCGAAAACATTAGCAAGAGCTAGACTCAACAGCTCTCTGCCAACTCACAGAGAAATGTTTCTCCTCCAAAGACAATGACGGATATACCCAAGAGCTCTTGCAGCAATCCCGCACGAGCTCGACAAGTCTTCTTAGACTTTTTGCTGCTCACTCCGTTTGACTTCTCGTGGACATCACCATTGACTTGCATCGGTACGGGCTGCTGGTCAAATGCTCCGGACGCGGCCCAATTCACCACCATGGATAATCTCAATGATCCAAAGAGGTCCAGAGCTCCAAATGGCAAGAGTGGGTGGACCGGTGCGAGGATCCGCGGTATGAAAGCGTGATATCGAGCTAGAGAGGCCATGGTGGACATGTTGAGCTACGGACTCCGGTATCTGACTGCTGATGTCGACGCAGAGCAGAGACTGTAGATAATAACTGTATAACCCTCGGACAAACTCTTCGGCGATTTGGAAAAAATGTTCTCCGGGTATTTATCGCTGGTTTAACCATGATCGCCGACATCCCGGTAGAGAGACGGTAATGTCTGAGAGGTAATGCTTGGACTTGGATGTAGATGGGGGCAGAGCATGGCCATGAGGGGGAGATGAGCAACGAGTGAGAGAACGGGACTCATCTGGCTGTCTGTGACCTGGAGCTAGCGGGCTGAAAGATACGCACAATGCTAGGTACGCTATCTCCGGATCATGTGTCACACGCGCCGAGATGCTCCGCTTAGCCGTTAGATTACTGAAGATTCATGTCACGAATACCAAGACTATTCTGATGTCTGCTCCACCTATAGAGAAGTGTCCATGGGGTCTCCGGTTCCTTATTCTATCATCTGACTGTCGGTAGACTTCCCATCAGCTTTGACAAGCTCGTTGAGGTGGTAGCCGGCAATGTGGCGGTCGGAGTGGCAGCCAGTCGATCTGTCATTGCCGATGAATGATCCAAGACCGCGGCCTTGGCCTCAATCCACTGGGCTGCGCTTCCGAGACCTTGAGCAAAGGATTTGCCAAAGAGTGAGGCCTTGCTGAGAGCCTCCTCCTTTGCGATATTCGAAAATCCTACCCCTCTGTCCCAGTAGGACGAAAGTCCGGCAACTGATGAGAGGTCTCTGGCTCTCGCCGTGATTGGAGATACGTCGAACTCTTGTCGACTAAAGTCAGTCACGAGATCTTTGCCCTTGCTCCAGTAGTTAGTGAGCAATGAGGACCCTTTGGCCCAATAATCTGAAGCGGTGTCTGCCACTGGTTGGACCGCAGATTGGCCCGCTCCCACAGCCAAGTCAACACCTGATCCAGCGAGCGATGCAGCTCCACGGATGTAGGTCATGGGGTTTGCAAGGTGCAGAGCTGTCTCTCCTGTCTTCTGAACCATCGAGGCAGTCCCTCGTCCCATATCCCCAAAGGTCTGAAACATACCCTTAGTGTCCTTTTCAAGGACCTGGGAAGGAGCGGTGTCTGCGACCACGGTAGGGACTGGAGTGACAGCCGTGGCGGATGTTGCTGTCGTCCGTCTGCGTGGCCTCAGACCATTGCGCAGTCCTCTGCGTGAGTCGCCTACTTCGACAAACTCTCCCGTGATTACACTCCACCAACTTCCGGTGCTGAGTGCTGGTGCAGCGCTCTCTACGTTATCCACTGCTTTCGCGGCTGGTTCCTTAGGGGCACTGCTGGAGCCCTTCGTGAACCAAGACCAAGCAGACTTTAGGGTGTGACCGCTGTCTGACTTATACCTTTGGATCACTTGCGTCTTGTCGTCGTCATCCGCCACACCCAAGTCGTTCAAGGGACGAGGTGACAGCTCGGACGCAGTCGTAGCGCTGGGTAGAGAAGGCGGCATGGTCCGAGTGGGAGTAACCTTCCAGGCTCGTGCTATCAGAGGTCTGACGACACTGGAAGCTGCGATCGATGCGCCAGCGGTGGACCCAGCAGCCCATGATGATGCTGGACTCCCGATGTGGGATGGCTCATCGGACTCCGGCCGAGGATCGTGGTCCGCCAAGTATGAATGCAACGCCGAGGTTACGAGAGCCGTCTTCGATCGGTTGGACGGGCCGCGGCCGTCTTGGTGAGTAGACCTTGAGTCTCGTTCGACCTCAACCGCCCTGAGGACTCCGTGGACCGAGCTCAATGCTCCGCTCGGGATCGTCTCCACGACTTTCAAAGCTTCTGATGGCAGCGCCGTGGCGATCGAAGGGGTATCGCTCTGAGTCGGCGTCATTGTCACTGTGATGTACTTTGGAACTGTATGAGTCACCGTCACAGGAGTATTCCCCAACCACGGTGATAAGGAAGGCTCTGCAGCCGAGTTTCCGCTAGCGACATCCCATGATGTTTCTGGCACCCTACTTACAGAAGCCTCGCCTTTCATCATGGCGGACAGAGCACTGGGCCTCCCGGGAGAGGTCAGCGCGGACGATGAAGTCGGGCGAAAGTGATTAGCTGGCGGTAAATTCGATGTCGCAGATGCGCTCGACATATCGGTGGCCATTGACGTCGGTCCCGTGGAGGACTGGATTCCGCTGGCAGGGGTCAATATCGGGCTGGTGAGGCAGAACGAGGCTGCAAGTTGTGTGCAATGAATCAGTGTGATAAGACGGTGGCGATATCCAGAAGAAGAGGTTGGCGCTTAAAAGTAGTAGAGCTCAGGCTCAGTGTCCATAGTGACAGGGGCTTCCTGTACAAGGGATAGTAGCTGGTATCCTTTGAACTCGCTTTGAACGTGTTTGGGATGAGCCATTACGCCTATTGATGTGGCAGCATCATACAGTATCGGACCCTTGTTTTCAATCAGACGCGGCCCAGAGCAGACGACGACAACTCGTGGGTCAGTCAGGCTTCCTTCGACATCAGCCCGAAAGAGATCAGTCTACGTTGCATGCCAGTCAATCATGAATACGGGGAGGTCATGTAGGATGGCAAACCGTGCTCAGCTCTCAGCTGAAGTGGCACAAAGTCAGCCGAGTCGTATTGTGTGAAGCGCCGTACTCACCCATTCGGTGGTAGCGTCGACCTGAGCCTTCTCAGCGTTATACTTGCCTAGTGCTTGTCTCTGGGCTGCCACATCACACTCTGAGAACCATTCTGAGCCCCTCAAATCACCCCTGTTGCCACTGGCATTCTCCCAAGTCGATCCTTGAGCGTGTCGCGAACGGCCGAAACCTGATTTCTTTATCGCTTTCGTCATGGCAGATTTCCAACCCGTTTTCCGGGAGGTTCTGGCGGATGTGTCCCCGCGCGTAAAGTTACCGATGGACTTGACTATGGAACTCGGTGACCAGCTCTTCTGGTCGTTCTGCAACAGTCTGTACCGAGTTCGAGTCTGATCACCTGATGCACCTGTCCATTTCGACGGCGTGATCGTGGGCTTGAGACCTGACAGTAGGCCACCTACCCAGGACTTGGCCTCGCCCTCCTCGCCGTGATGACGAGAGGATACAGATAGACCATCACCATGTCCTGATCCCTGAGTCTGGCTCGCGAGTGGTGCCAAGGGTCGGGCGGTCGACTTGCCAAAGTAGCTCAAGGCCTTGCTGATGATACTGGTGTTGCCAGTGCCATCATTTGCATCGCCACCTCGGTTTCGTTTCCTGATTCGCGAATACCATGGCTTTCCGCTGTCATCGGTGGAAGGCATACTCCCCGAATGACTCCGTTCAGGCAGATCCCCACCGAAGAAAGCAGCGATCCTTTTGCGTCTTGTGAACCTGGGTGTTCTGACCGAGCTTGTCTCGGGTCCCGCCCAGACTCCCTCCACTGACGATGGATCAGCGCCGCAACTTGCACTTACTTACTTAGTGGAGCTCTTGGATCTTGTTCCGCGGATGAGCCATCATTTCGGGGGCTTCTCTGTGGCCTGGCAACCCGGGAAATGAGATTCGGTCCCGTATCCCGTGATGCCTCAGTATCACCCGGCTGAACATATGTCATGCCAGGGGGAGGTAGCAGACCGTTGATGGTGGTTGCAGCAAGGTCCGTGGCCTGCTGTGGTAGCCATGTGGTACCTGACCGAGCCGTCGACGTATCATGTGCTGTGGCTTCTTCGTATGTTGGCGGCAAGCCGGCAAATTCGACAGTGGACATGTCGACCACGGCGGGGCGGGGACTGTCCTCTGACAAGGTATTAGAGACCGTTTCGAGGGTCGCGACTGGTCTGAGCTCAGCCTGACGGTGAGGTACGCCGCCCTCAACAGCCGAAAGGCTTTGGGAGAACCCGGTGGCATCCCCTCCGGCTGCTACGGGGTAGCTCTCGTACCAAGCCCAACTCTGGTTTTCTGTGGGACCTGCAAAAGAGACGTCGATCCCGCTGGCCGCGATGTTTGAAGCGGATCCGTCGCCTATGTCTACAGAATTCTCTTCGACCTCTTCAGGTATATTCTCAAAGGTGTGTCCTGCTGAGGTGGGGTATGCGGACATGAGACCTATGGTAGCATTCGCCAATTGGGTGTAGTCGGTCAAACTCCGGACGGACACCTGTCTCGAAGGACTGCCATCCGGAATTGAACCCCAATAGTTCACGCCACTAGCTGGGTCCGAACTCGGTTGTCGTTCGCCAGTGTCGCTGTCCATGAAATTTCGACGTGATGTTCGGTCGAGAAGGGTGGACTGGTGCTGATATCGATCTGCGGCACTGCCGTGAGATTGCTATGGTCATCCAGCGAGGGGTATCGAAGCTGAAAGGCAAGTTCGCTGAAGCTAGACCCCGGAGGCGATATGGGCGATACGGGCGCCGTATAGTCCAGACTCATGATAGAAGTACCGGGCTAAGCCGTCTGATTGGTGTGGTGACGCGCCGGAGAATAGTGGTCAATGTTGTCGGTACTTGGTGTGGAGAGCTGGTTGAAGAAGCTAGTGAGTGGGGCACGAGCAGGAGCGTGTGGAGAAAGACGATGAATGAGTGGCAAGGGAAATACTGAAAGCCTGAATGGTGTTTTGGTTCGAAGACTATATTGCACCTCTGGCGAGCGCTCAAGTCACGGTGAAAGGATCCACAAAGCTTCGTGAAAGGTAGGAAGTCCTCTGGCGCGTCCCAGGGTAGGCATAAGTGCACTTGTAGAGCGGCTGAGGGAAAAGGCATAGTGACTTGTCCACACACGGTGGAAGCGATTCCAAGGGAGGAGACCGTCGTTGAAACTATCCATTCAGCCAGGTAAAATTGGTGTGTAAGTGTTTCAATCTCCTGGGAGGAGTGAGCATTAACCAGCCCGTTGCTGTGATTTCTCTCGGCACTGAGAGAATTCCACCAAGTATGCATGATTGGACTCGCTATCAGTAATCAAGGTGAGGCTCTCGCCGAGACATTCAGTCAGCCCAACACTGATTCGGCATGCAGTGTCAGCTTTCCCGAATTCGGAAGCAAGTCAAGCCATTAGTACGGATTTGGCGAGCAAGATCGGTCCTCGGATAGATAATACTGCTGACGGTCATTCGTTGCCTACGCTGCAAGCTGATGACTCCCTCTACTGATGCCCGAAGGAGGCGGCTGTCGACGGTAGCCGGTTGCTCTTTCCATGTTGACCCATTATTCTCCGTCGCCCTCTTTGGTACAGGTTGGACATCAGCGTCTCCCTGCCTGTAGTGGTAGTGGACGAACCACTATCGGCCATTGAAGATGAGGAGAATCTGGGCGAGGACTCCGGAGCGACACTTGATCCGTTGTTACGATTGGTCAGCGCAGATTTGACATACGAGCAAGTAGGGGCGAATGTCGATTTGCGAGCTCTTGACATCCAGTTGCTTATGCGAGAGGCGGCGGTTGCTGACGATCGACATCCGTCTCCTGGATCCGTCGTGTCTGATCGCTTGCGCTTCGTTCGATAGGTGCTTGGACTCGCCCATTTTGGAAGTCTCCTAGTCTGGCTGTGAGAGTCTTTTCGAGCTGTGGATCGTCTCATTGTCTTTAGCTTGGGTATGGTCACAGTCGGGCATGCCCATTTGGGACGGCGAAACTCCGGGTCTCGGATCCCAGTGCGGACATCAGAACCCTCTGACTCATCTTCAGTCTCAGAGCCGGATGCGGGTCTCGATCCACCTCGCAAGGTTACATCGGATCGGATGGTGCCTTTCAGATCAAGGGCAGTCCATTTGTCCCGTAGCCCATCGAACATGCTGAGAGGATTGGCCAATGTGGATTTCCAACCTGAGGTAGCTCCTTCAGCCGAGTCACGAGTGACGGTAGTTGTGCCACGTCGGTCATTGCATGGGCGGCGGGACAGCAGCCCGGAGCGCAAATCTCGCAGCTTGCCTGTCTTTGCCGTCGTTTCGCCAGGATTGCTTGTTGTATCACGGTGGCGATTGCGATCCCAGAGGCGCCAATTTGTCGCTGTGGAACCAAAAGTGTCTCTCACGGCAGTCCTGATCCGGTTGTTCCAGGGAGTCTCCGAGTCTCGAACACTGTCTTCCCAGTCTTCCACACGAGATGAATGCAAGTCCGATTGATCAGGCCGGGCCTCTGACTGCCGCCTCCTGAGCAAAGACTTGGCTGCCGCCTTGATCGTCGACAGCTTCATTCGGTCCACCCATGCAACAGCTGAATCAATCAGTCTCATGACATAGAGGACGGAAACGGTGCAAATAGACGACTTACCCTTATCTAGGATGGATTGGATGGTAGTCCTTGCCGCAATGTCATCGGAGCCGCCATCGGCCCCGTGCGTTTTTTGCACCGCAATGATCCCAGAGAGCGGATTATTCGGAACTGAATTTAGGGCTTCGACCGAGGCTGGAGTGGGTAATTCGCCCTTCTCGGATAGGATGGGGCTGACCACCGTGGTGGCTTCAGTAAATCTGGGCTCCCGGATCCGAGTGTTGAGATCTTGGTCTGACGACGCATCGGCTATGGTATCAACGGGTTGCAGTTGAGGCTTTGTCGCTCCAGAGCCCGAGTCGGTGCAAATTCCAGCCTGTCCACGGTGTATAATTCGCACAGAATGTGCTTTCGAAACGATGACATCCTCGTCGGAGTCGTCGACCAACGTCTGGTTTCGTCCAGAGTCACTGTACGGTGTCGATGGTCGACGGCTGAGAGCAGTGACCTGCTCCTTTTTCTCATCAATCTCGGCAAAGTTCCAGTCGTCTCTGAGATAATTTTCCCCCTGGTCCCGACCACGAGCAAGACCGACGTTCTTAGATTGATCGGGTGAACTTTGCGGGGTATACCAAAGTAAGCTTTCGTCATCCGGATCGACGTTATGCGAGCCGGACACGCTGCTGACCTGGATCTCGTCCGGAAAAGGATGCCTTATGTGTTTAATCGTATAGGAGGACGACGCCTGGGAGCCATTCCACAGCCACCGATTTAGGGGTGCTGGTGAGCTGGACGATCCAAAGAACGGGGACATGATCTGTGTTATGAGATTTGGTTACAGTCAGAGTTTTAGTACGGTGACTCACTGACGTTGCGTTGGCTCAGGTGGATTATATGTTCGTGGCCAGGGCAGTGGTGTGTTACTAGTTTTGTGCAGTCAGTCTATGGCGTTGATGTGGGGACAGAGAGCGTTGTGAGTGGCTAATGCATACCGGTATTCCTCCAGAGTTGTCTCCTATCAGCAAGTCTGACTGTGCCCAGCTCAGTACAGAATGAAAGGGAGCAGCTCAGGATACATAAAGGATGTCCACCTGCAACATGTCAGAGATATGCGAGGTCAGAGCTATGTGAGCAATGTGAGGTGAGCGCCGAAGTCGCGCCGAGCCTGCTCAGCATCGCAGTCGCAGAACCGTCTGGGCGAAACTCAAAACGTTCGTCCGTCGATCATGCAAGTTCAATTGAGACAGGCCCTTGTCGCTTCACAGCCCCCATGTGAATCCTCTAGACCTTATCCGTAGCTGTGTTACTGAGATGTCAGACTCTCGAAGCCCTCTTGTGTTCCATTGCGACTGGAAGTATCTGGCGAGAGAGCGATCCGCGAGTGTTGAAGGAGCTGCGAGGCATTTGTTAAATAGGTTCACCGTTAAGATTTTCTGGGTTGTAAAATGTCGGCAGTGAGCAACTATAGAGGGGATCAGTCATACTCGCTGCTACCTTCTACACTCGCCTCTCTTGACTTTTCGCTGAAAGGATGGACTCGAGCGAACGGAAACGAAAGTGGGATGAGCCAGCTGGAGATACTGCTCCAGATGCTCGAACCTCAGCAGCTCCGTCAGGATCAAGCGATGCGGCCGCTCAAGCAGCCGCCATTGCTGCCAAGATTGCGGCTTCCTTAAGAGGCCCACCAGGTGCACAGGGGCATGAACTGGTCAAGTCGGAGAACAAGGACGAGGGTTTCGTCAAGGACATTGAGATCAATGACCTGAGGAACCGATATGTGTTGACCAAGGGATCTACACAGAAGCAGGCGAGTGTCCATGGTGACATGCTTTGTGCTGACTGAATTGATCAGATTGGAGATGAGACTGGCGCGTCTATCGTGACGAAGGGAGTGTGGGTCCCGGATACGACCAAGCTACAACCTGGTGAAACACCGTTGTACCTCCATATTGTCGCTCCCTCCCAGATTATCCTCAACGCTGCGGTGGAAAAGATCAATGAATTGATCAATCAGGAGCTGGGACCGTTGATCGATGAGCGGACACTGGTGGCGAGGAATAGGGCGCTGGGTTTGCCTCCGCCAGAGTCACTCGTGAAGCGCAATGAGCGAGTAAAATGGCCAGAGGCGAAATTGTTCATCGGACTGGAATCATTGAGGAATTTCAACGTCAGAGCAAAGACTGTTGGACCGGGAGTGAGTTGGCAATCTGCGCTAGACTGCTGGAAGAGTCGTTGACGTAGCGCAAGGGAATGTTCGTCAAGTACATCCAGGCAGAGACAGGCGCTCGTGTACAGATCAAGGGTATTGGGTCCGGATTCATGGAGGCGGAGACCGGTCGAGAGGCTGAAGAGCCCATGCATATCAACATTGCGTGAGTAGATATCATCAGACAGATCACGCAGCTGGCTGATGCTAAAATAAAACCCTCATCCAGAGCTCCAAACGATGAACAAGTCGAGCGAGCAAGAGTTTTGGCAGATGATCTACTCGCAGTCCTGCGGATAGAGTACGAAAAGGCGAGGACCGGGGGCAACTCGGGTGGAGGATATGGCGGTGGATACGGTGGTTACCAGCAGGGCTCTGTCGACCCGTATGCTGGATATTACCAGGTAGGTCGGGAGGTCTGCCAGATAGTGGCAGATGGCTGATTGACTGCACAGAATGGTCAAGGCACACCAGGCGATGGCTCACAAGCTGGAGCTACTCCAGCTGCTGGTTCAGCGACTCCCGGTCAGCTCCCACAACAGGGCACAGAAGCGTGGACCCAGTATGCCGCGTACTGGGCTGCATATGGTTACGATGTCAATGATCCTCAATGTGAGTCTAATTAGTGATCTATTTGTGGCAGCGGGATTAAATTTGTTGATCCGTCTCTCCATTCAGTCCAAGCGTGGCAAGCATCTCAATATGGTCAGCAGCAGGGAGGAGCAGGTGCATCAGCTGGAGCTACTGGGACTCCAGCTGCATCGTCATGAGGGACTACACTATCTTGTAATCATGAGCCATGTATGATGTATATAGTCCGCTGTTACTTTAATTGACCCTGTGGGATTGGATGCGCGTCACTGCAGAGGGGGAAAAAACACAGAGAAGGGGGGCGAGGCAGAAAGAAGGGGGGATGATGTAAAAATAATTCACTTCAAAGCATCGTACAACCTCACTGGCTCATCAATCATTCTCGGGAGCCCTCACCAACAGCTGCTCTCGGAATCGTCTAACAACCAAGTATCGTCCCCCCCTCACCTCACATGCTCACGTCATGAGCGCGAACACACGGACGTCTAAGCTCTTTTCCCTGGCTTCCAAGGCAGTGCCGTTCGGCCACACTGACAGCGCTCGAACATCGGCTCACCAACCTCTGGAATCAGTATCTGATCATTCACCTTCTCTACGACATCGATCGAACTCTTTGGAGAATCCATACTCGTCAAGGGGATCCCATCACGATCCTTTCGCTCATCATGACGATATAATGAGCGACGACTTTTTACCTCAAAGACCCTTCGCGCAAGGGAACGCAGGAGGTGGATCGAGACGATCTTCATTCGATTCTAGAAAAGGTTCTCCGCTACCTCGACCTGCTAGTTTGTCTGTCAACTATGTCCCTACAAAATTCACAAAGCTACATGCACCGGGAGAATGGGGAAATAAACGTGTCGGCAAACAAGGCGGAGGAAGAGATGCTTTTTCCAAAGATGCCTCACGGATGGGCATGCTGGGAACGGTCGACGATGACGAAGGTGTCGTATTCCAATTCGGTAGGCACGGTCTACAGCAGAAGAAGAAGCCAAAGTTGAGGTGGAACCGATTCAAGTGGATCCTCTTTTGTGCAAATCTGGTCGTGAGTGGTGTTCGAGACCGTCGCCAGGGTCAGGAGCTCACAACGAATTCGTCTTCTAGCTCATCTCGTACGGTATCGCCGCGCTGGTCTGTGCCATCCTCGTCTGGCTGAATATCTTCCCTCGATCCGATGTTATACGTGTCGGAAACAGGACAGAGCTGATCTGTGAGTGCTTGCTCCGCGACTGTTGCTGATGGTTAATAGTGTCTACCGTCGCCGCGTCACTGATCACGTTCACCTCCCTGCTCGGATTCTCAGGTATCATTCTGAATAATCGTGCATTTTTGGCCATCTATACCGTCCTCCTGTGGCCATGTCTCGCGTTCATGGTCGCCCCGGGATATATGTCATACAAGCAGAAGACTTTCAATCTCGAAGGGAAGATCAACTTGCAATGGAGTAGAAATCTGGGAGCAGAGGGCAGATTGCGAATTCAGAACGCTGTGAGTCGTGGACAGGTTACAGTCATGATACCGCAGCTCGCTCACACTGTCCCATTCTCGTTCAGTTACGATGCTGTGGCTACTTTTCACCCTTTGTCGAAGCCACCCAATCGCCCTTGTGTTACTCTCGATCCATCCAACCGGGATGCAAAGCGCGATACTTGAGATTGGAGCGTTACGTACTCACGACGTGGTTCACCATTTCGTTCGCTCTGGTACCGGCCCAAATCCTGATCACCGTGGCTGCGCTACTGTGTTCCAACCATATCACCTACAGGTTTGGCAAAGGTTTGACACCCAAGCGTTATCGATTGGATCTGGACAGTATGGCCGTGATTATGGACAATTACGCGACGTGAGTGTTTCAATCACGCACGCTGGAACCTCATTGTTGTACTTGCTGATATTTCGCTTCGCAGTGAAATCGCAGACAAGTATGGACCTGACGTTGGACCTGAGCTCGCCCAAGTCGCTCTCTCGAGATCATCTTCCAACCTTGATCTCCCGGGCCAAGGCTCACCTCGAAACTCTTTCTCCCAACCTGCCTCACGTCGAGGCTCCTACTCCAACCTTCCTCCGATGAATCGCCAATCTTACGCGACAAACATACCTAGCTCTCTAGCTCCTCCAGTCTCAAATTCTGGTCTAATGTCTCAACAGATGTCTAGACCTTCTTCTGCTTCTGGCCAATATAGTCCTTCTATGCCTCTCATTTCCAAATCGAACAGCTCGAACACCCTCGGGGGCGGTTCTTCGCGATTGGCAGCGCCTCCTCTGACGAGCGACTCGCAAGAATCCTACGATAGGAGTCGGGAAAGCTTTGACGCGTCTGCTCCCAGGTCATACGGATACCCTCAGGACTTCTCCAGCAGCATGCCCCGATCAGCGACTGGACAATTCAGCGATGGTCATCACTAGCCCGTGAAGGACACGATTAGATTTCAAACTTGTTTAGTATCTTGAGAGAAAGATGGATGGACGGAAGGACGGACATTGACTCTCATACGGAGACTGTATTGATGTGATGATGAGATTGTGATGCATGGACTGATGACTCGTCTTTGGGCAAAGTCTCAGTGCATCTTTCGTATTCATCGCGGTCCCCTGCCTCTCATGCCGTCCCTATCCCAGTCGTCCCTTCGTCGATCTGGCGCCGGACCCATCCTTTCTGCTAGAGGACGATCTCGACCAGGAGCAAGTCGATCAAGCGTCGGAGGCGGAGAACGCGCACTTCGCCGCTGTAGCATTGTCAGTGCCCTTGCTTCAGTCTGCCTCAAGTGCCTCGATCAATGGTCCACTCACTGCGTAGTCCGACATTGGCTCTGCGAAGTCTCTCGGTCTCATTCTGTCAATGAGAGAAGGTTTCCGGCCGTCATCTCGAGGGTCTCGAGAGTCAAACCGTCGAGGAGGACTATCTCGCAGAGGAGGAGGTAGGGGTCTAGGTCGGTCCCTGGGATCATCTCGTCCCATTCTCCCCCCTCCCGGTCCGAAACCTCTCGGGTCCTCGCTATTCATCCTATCTAGTAGATCTCGGGGAGGAGGACGATCATCAAACTCGGGTCGGTAAGGTCCTCGCCCTGGTCCTCCCGGAGGCGGTGGTGAGGCTCGTCTGCCAAATCTAGGAGGTGGTGAAGGCTCTCGTCGAGAGAATGGAGGCGGTCGATCTCGGAAAGGCGGAGGAGATCGCATAGGCAAAGAGCGATCTCGGTCTCGAGGTGGTGGAAATCGAGGTGGCGAATCGGCAGGGCGATAGGAGTGTCTGGTGTCGACGGCCGCGGGACCCTACAGCGATGTGAGATGCACGCAAAAAGTTTTCAACCTGACTCACCGGTCCGGGTGGACGATCACCAAACGGTCGGGACGGTCGAGGCGGATACATGGGTCGACGTCGTGCTTCTTCATCTGCCGCCAGCTTGTGTTTTCGCTCATCCTCTCTGGCCTTGTCTTCAGCCGCTTTACGCGCAGCTGCCTCTCGTTGTTCCTTTTCCTCCTTTTCAATCTGAGCTTCTTCTTCCGCCAATCGCTTGATCTGCTCTTCAGCTTGACGTCTTTGTTCAGCCAATTTAGCCTTGCGTGCCGCTGCGTCGTTCTCGACAGGAGCAGCGGGGGTGGAAGTAGGAGCAGGTGCAGGTGCAGGATCAGCAGCGGCCGCAACGATGAGAGCAGGTGCAGATGTAGATGTCGGGGTCGATTCAGAGGCTCCTCTCGAGCCCCAACGATTCCTGATGATCGGCGCTCGATTTGGCTCATCGGTAGGCCTGCTTGTGTGGGTCCTAGGGGGTGATCGAGGCGGCGGTCGTCCCTGACGGTGGTCAGGCAAGGCATCTAGGTCGTCTTACGAGGCTCACATCATTCCGACTCGCAGTTGCAGGTCCCTGTGTGCCTCGGCCTTGCTGATGAGGCGATCGATGAGATTGCGGCTCGCTTGGGCGCGATCGAGGAGGCGGCGACACCGGACGTTCGGAACCTATCAAGGGCGAAAGGAATGCCATTTGTGAGCTTCAATTCAGGTGAGCAAAAAGTGTCGGGCACGTAACCGGCATGGCCTATTCCCCTTGCAATCTGGACAGTGCAGATGGCCAGGAAAGACGCGAATTGGTCGGTCGCAGTCGGTTGAGGGGGAAGATAGAGAAGTGAAACCTACGTCTGTTCGGCGGGCCAGATCTCGCTGACGGCGGCGGCGATCTTCTGACTCCAGGATTATCGTCACCTCGCCTGAGTCGCTTGGGATCGTCGCGTCTCGGACTGGGACTTCGAGGTCGTCTTCCGTTCCTCTCGAATCTCTCGTCACCGTATCCTGAGCTAGACCGCGGGGGTCCATCTCGACCTGGTCCTCCTCGAGGTCCAGACGGCACATTCGGTGCTGAGCTGGCCTGCCCAGTCGCTCGAGCAGAATAGGCATTCTTCACGGTCTCGTTGGCATCAGCAGGTCTCGGATCATTTGGAGGCTGTCCGGTTGGACCGGAAGGCGGAGCCTTGTCACCGGCAGGTGCGGTGGAGGTATCTCGAGCTACATCCGCACTGGCTGCAGGTGGCACTGCAGTTGTGGTTGCACTTTCCTTAGCATCTGCTGCTGGTTGCTCTTCTGCTTTGACAGCGTTCGCAGTCTGGCCGTTCGATTCTCCTCCAGATGTTGCAGAGATAGTGGCAGCCGTTGGCCGAATCCAGCTGGTCTTGCCTGATGCTTTGTGGTGGTAGAACGGGCGATTATGAGTCCTAGATTGAGTCATGCTCCAGCCCTCGGGCAGAGGCTCAACATCGTTCGCGGACTCTACAGCTCCACCTGCAGAAGCACTGACTGGAGTTCCGAGGCCCGTCGCTGAACTGGGAGTCGGCATTGCTTCAGGAGCTTGTCCATTTGATTTCGTAGATGAAGCGTTCGAGACCTGTGTATAGAAAGGAGACAAGAGCACCCAAGAAAGGCAAAGCCAAGACACCGTCAAGCGAGGAACAAACGTAGACCTAGGACACGACTCGCCTGTGATTGTGATTGGTTTTCGGATCCACGAGTCACCAGCTGAGTTCGATCACGCGAGTCTCTGCGGCGAGGTCCAGTCGGTGTCGAACTCGGCGGTTGACCAGTGATTATTGAGCTTGACGAAGAAGAGGCGGCTCGAGTCAAATGTGATGATTCGTGTTTTGGACCTCGAGGAGCTGCCGATGGGGGGTGAGCACTAGAGCCGTTTCCTGCCGATCGTTGCTCATTCGGCACATCAGACGTTTTTCGAGGACCTGTCGGTGGCGCCGGTTTACTGGGACCTGTAGGGATAGACGAAGCCTCTTTGGGCTTTGGAGACGACGCTGGAGCTTGGGCTGAATGCGGATGACGAGAGAAAGTGAGAAGAGGGTCGGAAAAATTCATTCGTCAGACCGAATCATTTCGAGCGCAAGTGGGATCGCAAAGTGTCGTGGAAAGATTGGCTGGTAACATACCTTCCTCTTCAGCTCCATCTAGCGACATGACATCTTCATCCTCTGCTCCGGCTTGAACACCACCACGACGCCATTCGTCCGTTTCTGTGTTGTCTATCGCTCCCCAATCAACTTCGTCTTCCATGGTGATGGGTCTCAATCGCGGTCAGCCTGCAGCAGGAGCCTGAATATCGAGAATGCGTAGAACAGAAGAGACCCTCCAGAGCTTCTTCGCTGGTTTCTCTCTGTTTGTTGATTCGCTTTCAGCAGCCCAAGGTCAAATTGTCAAGAGTCATTCGAGGTCGAATTCCCGGAAATATTCCTACCACATAGGGGAGCCTTAACGGTGCACCGAATTAGAGAATCTATGTGGCATCTCGTCTCATCTATTCCTATACTTTGGCATTGGCCTCTGCAGTCAACTTGGCCTGTTTGATTAACCCTTCAGGACTGTCACCACGAGGCATATAGACTTCGATCAGCCTGAGCTTATCGGGAACGTTGAATGCTTCATCCGCTAGCAATTTGGACAGCTCGGCAGGGGTGTGAACCTCGAAGGACTCGTATGGCGTCTGAGGCGTTTCGCGTGAGCGAAGCTCGACGAGCACGATGCGATGCTACAACTCACCTTGCATTTCTTACCTGCCAGGAAGGGCAACAGGAGCTGATGGTCATATAATTGGATATCGTTATATTTTGCATCCCAGCCGTGTATCTGTCGTTCGATTTCGTAGCCGTCATTGTTTAGTACAAACAAGTAAGGGCAGACTCCAGTTTTGAGCATGGTCCCAATTTCTTGAAGTGTCTGGCAACTTATGAGCTCAACATCAGGGATTACACCACTCACCAGCTGAAGCGATCCGTCACCAACAAAGAGAACGGTCCGTCGATTGTCTTCTGATTCCTTGGCTGCAAGGGCACATCCCAGGCAAGCGCCAACTGACCAACCAATGGCTCCCCAGAGGATCTGAGCGACGTATGTAGAGTGTGACGGGAGAGCGACATTTGTCAATCCGAACGAGGAGGTCCCAGTCTCAGTGATAATGATGTCTGCAGCCAGTCAGAAGACGCCGTAAAGGCCTCGGCCTGGAGCTCGCCTGTATCCTTGAACCATTCTCCCATCGTAGGCCAGAGCCAAGCGTGCTTGATGGCGTTCTCGTCCACATCTTTGGGCAAAGTCTGGATCCTTCCGTCCTTTCTCTTCTCGTCCAATGACTCTCCCTCGATGGGCTTCGTGGTGCGCCTTGTTGCCGCGGCTTCGAAGCTCGGTCGGAGAAGCGGTAGAATGTGTCGAATGTCAGTAGTTGGGTACGAAGCATACTGAATGCATCAGGACTTGTGCTGCATGAGGAACTTACGCCAATGTTCGTTGTGAAAGAGTGGAGCTCGATAGTGATGGCAGTGTCAATGTTGACCGAGAAAGATCCGGAGCTAACGTTCGATCAGGCAAATGCCTGGAGGCGTAGCTCACTTGAAATCGCTTTTCAGAGCTCCCACGTAGAGGACAAAATCGGCGCTCTCGACTTCCTTGCGAACAGCCTCAAGAGAATTTGCTCCGGCATAGCATCCTCCAAAGAGTGGGTGGTGCTCATCAAGCAACGACTTGCCCACTGCGATGATTCAGACGAATTTCGATTAGCTCAGAGGGGGACTCACTCGGTGCTATGGTGACATGTCAGTCTAATTTTTTCTTTGACAGAGAAGCCCATGACTCACTCTCAAAGAATCTTATACCACACGACTCGACAAGCTTTCTCACTTCTCCAGCCATCCCGAAGCGTCCTGCACAGGCGTCGACCAGAACCACCGGCCTTTCAGCCTTGACGAAACGCGCCGTGATCTCCTGCACGACATGCTCGGTGACTTTGTCGGCTGAATCAGAGACTGGATGATCTGAAGGGGCTTGCGAAACCGTGTTGATCTTTGTCTCGAGAGGTAGGCCTGTAGCGGTGGATTCTGGGGGCGGAGCGGAATGAGGGTGTGGCTGAGGAAGTGTCAATTATAGGCTGTGGGGATGAAGGTCTCCGATGGAACTCACAAGCTTCTCCTGTAGCCCCTCATCGGAGACCTTTTTATGCACGGCATCCGTCGGGATCTCGACGTATCCCGGTCTGCATTGCTCCAGAACATCCTTGAGCACCTTGTCAAAAGCCTCGGTCCAGGCTGTATCGGTTGAGGGGTCGATCTGGTTCAACAATGCTTGAGAGCAAGACAACGGCTCCGACATGGTGGAGAAAGTCGTGAATGTGGATTCAGTGTTGAGAGTATGGTGCAAGAGAGTGCGATTGTGCTGACGAAAGCAGGTCAGCATGTCCAGCGAGGGCTTGGGGCACATGGGATGGCGTACCTGCATGGAAGTGCTGGGAGCTCCCACGATGTGCAAAATGGGTAGGCGCTCAGCGAGACTTCCTGCTATCCCACTGAGTCATGTATCAACACCCTGCTTCTAACGTAGGACCTTGACTTACCACAACGCGCTCAGCTCGCCCACACCAAAGGTCGTGATAAGGACGGCGAGTGTCCCTTTGACTCTGGCATACCCATCACTGGCATACGCAGCATTCAGCTCATTGGCGTTCCCGACCCAATCGATCCCTTCCTCTTTCTCAAAGTAGTCGAGCCTACGGTAGTATACTGTCAGTCTGAACCGAGGCGAATCAACTAGCGACGCTCACAATTCAAGATTGTAGTCACCTGTGATTTGTTCAGCTTGTAAAAGCTATCTGAGTCTTTCTCACCTGGGACACCAAAGACCTGCTTGATACCGCATTGCTTGAGCCTCTGCACCACATACGTCGCAAATTCTATCTGACTGGGCATGTTGAAAGGTTGTATAGGCCTTGACCTTGAACTGCGAGACAACAGTGTATACGTCGAGACTGACGAGGACGGGGATGACGTAAGGGGGGAAATGAAGATGCTGATGCTGATGATCAGTGGCGGAAAGCCCCGATCGCGAGAATCAGCAGCTGATTTCGAGATACTCAGATGTGTACTGCATGCGAACGGCTGGAACCTCAAGTTGTAGCCAGAGCCGGAGAGACCGCTGCCGTCCGAGTGCCTTATGAACAGCTCTCATATCTCATACGGCGCAGGATCAGATGGTGTTCGACATATGGTCATGGCCTCTTTATATGATCCCCCCTCTCGGGACGTCCTCGGCAATTCCCTCGATTGGCGTGTTTGCCGACCTGCGTTCTGACAACATTGACATGATCCCAACGATGAAGAGCAACTGAGACGGCTTGAGAATCGGCTGTTGAGACTGCCTTCATCTCCCTCCTCGTCCTCCTCCTTTTCCTTCCTTTTCTCCATTCGGGTGCAGCTGCTTCGAGAAAGCCGCCGTCCTCATGTCCTTCTCTCCTCTGCCTCTTCTCGGTCCTCACATCGCCGTGCTCCTGGGATCGGCCGGGGCTTTCTTTGGCATTCAACAACTCACTCATAGATTTGGACCTTCCTGTTCCAAATCATGGAATGGCTTCGATGATAGGATCAAAAATGGCGTCGCGAGTCATGTCGTATGTGAGTGTTTAGCTGTCATCCCGGCAAGATACCCGTCCAGTCTCGGTCTCCATGATGATTCATTTATCTTTTCCGTCCAAAAGACGCCGCCTTCGCGCGACGCAGGATGAGGAACACGTATAACATTATTAAGCCGCAATCTGAGTTAATCAGCTGCCAAACCACCTCCTCTCCGTGCCTGCCACGATGCCCATGACGGGGCGATCACTGACCTACACCCTCAGCCATGGCTCACGCCTTGATCATCATCCCTCTGGCACTCCATGCCGTCAAGAGCGATATCCTGGCGAGGGATCCAGTCTTTGGATATGATAGATTTGTGGGCAATGTCCTGGCCATTTCGTCTGGGTATTTCATTTGGGACACTATCGATTCATTAAGGTATTCAACTTTGGGATTTGTGGTCCATGGTGAGTGTCCTTCCGGCGCTCTGCAAGGCTAACTATGCCCACACAGGTGCTTGTTGTCTTGCTGTCTACCTCTTCTCATTCGTGAGACGAATGTATTCGCTCGATGTCTTTCAGGCTGACGCAGTGCAGCGACCATTCCTCGCGGGGTTCGGACCGCCTTTTCTGCTTTGGGAGCTCTCGACACCTCTCTTGAACATACACTGGTTCATGGCGAGTGTGCCCTATCCATCGTCATTACATCTCATTGACTCGATCCCAGGACAAACTCGGTCTGTCCACTACCTACCCCACATTCTTCCTCATCAACGCCCTGGCATTCATGCTCGTCTTCTTCCTTGCCAGAATCGTATACGGAGGATACGAAAGCATGGTTTTCTTTCACGTGATGTGGACTAGGCGACACGAGATCCCACTGCATCTACACCGTGCGTGCGCTCCGTAATCCCGGATCTCTGTCTGACACACAGACCTCACACATAGTGATCTATTGCATCGGGAATCTCTCTCTGAACGCTTTAAATTGGTTATGGTTCTCCAAGATGGTGAAGAAAATGTTGGCAAGAGTATCGGGCGACGATAAGCCTGTCTCTGAGTCCAAAAGGGCAGCTCGTACAAACAAGATGAGCCCCTCAGAGAAGCAATCCCTGTTGGAAGTGTCGACTCCTACATCTGTCAGTGAGGATAAGATGGAGTCCACCAATGGCAGGCAATTCAAACAGACATTATCTCTACCTGCAGATCCACCATCTCCTAATGTTAGTACATCTAGAAAGACTAGTGAGGGTTGGTAGAGCGGGCTTCCTATAATGCATGAGCTATGAATACTTCGAGTGCCTCAATATAGCGGCTTTTGATTGCGATATTTTGATTCCGTCGTATCGCTCGCTCCGCCGGACGCGGTAACGAGACCAAGTCGCCAAGATGAGATTATCGACGAGGTAGCGAACGACGAACATAACTCATATCGCTCATTGAACAGTGCAAGGGTAGCAAGGACGGTATCTCAAGTGCGGCCCGAAGTGACTCTCGGACGGATACGACGTCGCCAGTCCTTGCGCTCGAGCCAGTATTCGACGTGGACTGGCCACAAACCAACCTAGCGGACATCCGCAGCTCATCCCTCTCCACACGGTCGACATCATCACTTTCCAGCCGCCATGTCGCTCCCTATGCACTTGAGAAACTATAAGGAGAAGTCGAAAGATGAGCAGACTAGGGACTTCTTTAATGTCCCTGTTTGGGATGCCGTTCCTTCACCGAACGAAGAACCAGTAACAACCAAGCCTAGAGGTGTGAAGGATGGAAGCTCGAGTGGTGGACTACAAGGGATGGACATCAATGCGGTCTTGAGCGTCGAGGGGAAAGAGGAAGTATATGTGAGTGTGCTGCAGAGGCTGTCATGATTGGAACGTCCCCTTGGAGCTCGTGAGATGATCTCCTAACTCTACTCAGGCTGGTCGGCTATCCTTGTTGCCGCCTTTCCTGTGCTTCATCTCCCTAGATAGAAGATCATGTCGATGCACGCTTCCCCTGTACACAATCCGAAGAGTTGAAAGGTGAGCACTAGGATGCGCAGAGCCTACCTCATATCCAATCAGGCTCAACTCTCGCGCCGGTGTATTCGCTTTATCTCTCGCAACATGGCACGGAATGAGAATTGCAAGTCTCAATACCGACTCATGCCTGATCTCGACTGATACGATTTCGCAGATCCTACAGCTCACCTCGCTACTACCCACCGCAGAACACTTCTCGATTCTCCTTCGAGACGCCTTGAAATCTCAGGTAGATACACCGGCACTGTAAGAAGGGTTCACACTAACCCCAACATACCAGTTAACATCTATGAAATCGCTCAAACCCTTCCTGCCTTCCCTCTACTCTGAATACCTACTCACGACATCTTCGTCTTCAGCTCAACAACAGAACCCAGATCATCTGTTACTTGGGACTGAGCTGGGCGAAAAGTCAGGGACAGCAGCGGGTAACGACGGCGAAGGAGACTTGAGAGGTCCGGGAGGAGATGGAAAGGGGTCGTACCAGAGAGGGCTGGGCGAGACATTCGGATTTCCTGGTGATGCTCGGAAAATGAGAGAGAGGAGCAAGATGAAGCTGTGGAAAGAGTATTTTATGAGTAAGCTGCCAAGGCCTGGGTGCTTCCAACTGCTAACGTCTCACAAGTACACGGCAGAAATTTCACCTGTATGTTGACCTGTGATGACACGAAGGAGCTGACCACTTTCAGTGCTGCGGTATCCACCATTCCAACGACTGCTGCAAGTCGGTCTTCCATCCCGTCTTCGAGGAGAGCTATGGGAAGTCATGTCAGGTTCAATCTGTGGGTCTGAATCTCCGATCACAAGGTCTGACGATATATCAGATCTGCGCTTCGCGAACCCACAGACATACTCTCTGTTGCTTTCTAACAACAAGGGCAAATCATCACAATCCACAGACGAAATCGAGAAGGACTTGAACCGTTCTCTACCAGAATACAAGGCGTACCAGACCGAAGAGGGACTGGCGAGGTTGAGGAGAGTTCTCGTCGCGTATAGTTTCCGCAATCCGGAGCTTGGGTGAGTTGACTCTCATCGAAATTCAGGAGACCTTACTCATACTGTCCAATGTCAGATACTGTCAAGCTTTGAACATCGTAAGTTTCTAGTTTACGCCCTTGCAACGCTTGCTGATGTCTCTCAGGTCGTTGCAGGGCAAGTTTGGCAGACTCCGTATAGCTCTAGCTGACCCTCGCCGCCTTGTCATAGTCTCCTGATGTAAGCTCGCTCCCGAATGACCCAGGATTCAGCTGACATGTTGCTAGATACATGTCTGAGGATCAAGCTTTCTGGCTCTTGGAAGTTTTGTGTGATCGCATTCTCCCTGGCTACTACAGGTGAGCTGCATACATCTCGATAGGACCAAGAGAATGTCCACTGACCTTTGTAGTCCCTCGATGGAGGGTACTCTGCTTGACCAGAGAGTTTTCGAGGCTCTGGTCCAGCGCTGTCTCCCGATGATCAAGGACCACTTCGCATCGGTCGATGTACAGCTTTCAGTGGCCTCATTACCGTGAGCATCAGTGCGGGAAATGTGTTTCTGACCATTTTCAGATGGTTCCTCAGTCTGTACATCAACTCGATGCCCTTGATCTTTGCGTTCAGGATTGTCGACTGTGTCCTTGCCATGGGAGTCAAGGTGCTATTCCAGATTGGTCTAGGTTAGCAGCTCCTTCGAGTACTCGCTGATCCAACAGCCGTTCTCAAGATCAACGGGGAGGCCCTGCTCGAGGTGACCGATGATGGAATGTTTATCAGTCTCATGCGCGACTACTTTTCCACCATTGGAGACTCTGCTCATCCGAATCACCCGGATCCACGGGTCAGAGCCATCACCAATTTCCAGGAACTCCTGGTCGTCGCTTTCAGAGAGTTCAACATCATCACCGACGACACGATCCAAGCTGAACGAAGACGGCTTCGAGCGATAATCTCGGACGAGATCGAAAAGTTCTCCAAGCGTGCCGCAGTGAGAAACTTGAAAAAAGTAGGATCTTTCGACAAGGATGAGATTGGATCGATCTACGATTACTACTTTACCGCTGTTTGTTCACCTGATGGAGGACCCGCGAACGGCGGTAGTGGATCATCGTCGCCCAAGTTCGGAGATCAATTTGATCAGCCTCGACTTCAGGTCGACGCGCAAGGTCGGGTGGAGACTCGTATAGATCTCAAGACCTTCAGAGTCTTCTTGAGTGAAATCGCGACGTGGGCAAGAGAGGAGACAGTCACTACGAATGCGTTCATCCAGCGGACAGAACGCAGATTGGCAGATCATGAGTTGATCGATAGGTAGGGTGTCAAATTTGGCAAAAGGAGCAGGTCGATGCTGACGAGTCCCTAGGCTGTTCTACAGCTGGGACACGCAAGCGCAGGGGACACTCTCTTTGCAGGATGTGGTGATTGGCCTGGATCGAGTCATGCATGCGGGCTTGATGGAGTCTATAGAGTGGTTTTTCAACTTGGTGAGTGTGTGGAAAAAGGGTTCAAGCTGATCGGCAACAGCACGACAAGGATAAAGATGGATTCTTGACCAAAGATGAGGTGATACAGCTCTCTGAGTCGTTATTGGTGAGTGTGCAGCCCGACCCCTCTTGATCAGTGGCTGAGACACATGCCAGTTTGTGTTCCGAAACGAGCCCGGGGATATCTACCTCGCTGCAGTATCCAAGTTCATCCTCAACGCATATGAATTCGGAGATGCGAATTCGCCACATCCGATATCATCTCCTGACGGTGTTCCGAGAGGAGACCAGGAGTCAGCGTCGCATGTTCGCGAGAGATCAGATTCGACGTCTGGACCTCACAATCTGCCGTATCTCAGTGAGTCGATGCCACAGTTCGGATCCATTTCTGATACCTGCCTTTAGACCTCGCAACGTTCCGCATGGTCGTGCTTGCCGATGAGCTTCTAGAGGGTTTCTTTGGACATGATCTCGCCGCCTCGTTCCAGCTCGATAAGACGGTAGACGAAGACTATCACCAGGCACATCAGAAGCCTGAGGGTATTCTGGGTGGATTGATGAACTTGGTCGTCACAAACGAGTGGGTAACACCATCAGAACGTGAACATGTGCGCACTGACAGCCTGACCGCAGAAACAAGAGCCGCTTGAACCGCCTCGCCGATGGATTTGGAGCTGCCCTGGGTAAACATGCCGAATGGCGTAAACCTTCCCTTGCCAAGACCCTGCCTTCATCTTCCTCTCAACTATCGGAATTGGGTACACGTGAATCTCTCTTGACGCCAGCACAACAAGAACAAAGGCGGAATCGATCCGTTTCAGCCGCCTCGCAAGCATCTGCCCGATCGACATCTTCGTCTGTTGGGACGCCAGAATCGAGAAGTCTTGCAGATGTCGAAGCGAAGTACAGGGAGGAACAGGATTTGGTCCGACAAGCTCAGGAAGCAGTCATGCATCGACCAAACTTTGCAATCGACGCCATTGGAGATAGTGACGGGGAGGAAGAAGAAGAAGAGGGTGAGGGTGGCAGAGGGGCAGATGATGCTGTCATGGATGAGGTGAGCGGACAAGCCAGACCGGCGAGCGAGCGAGCGCCTCTGTGAACACTCGAGCTCCAAATTGACAACTTTTTTTTCCTTTTTCAGGTCGAAGCCTTCCTCAAGGCTCACGGAGACGATGATGGCGGCCTTAAAGGAGAACAGAAAAAGCAAGCAGAGGGTGAGCCAGGAGTGTTCGAAAGGAGCCTCTTCGTTTGCTCATAAAACACTCGTCTTAGACCTGCTTAAAGCTGAACCGATGGGAGGAGGTGTATCTGCGAATAACAAACCCGGTAGACCAAGTGGAGAGGGTGGACTCATCGATCTGTAAAACTTAGATGGTCATGATGGCATTGACGTGTATTTGAGCTATATCCATGGTGCATAGCCGCGCGGTCGATGTTCCCAGAGTCCGGGATCTCGATGGGTGCCAAGTCACTGACAGGACATGGAAGGATGATGCATGAAATGGACCTGCGTTTCAACGCGCACGTTTTACTGGATTATACTACAATCTTTTTTTTGCGAGGCCGTGTCTGTATCTCTGTTCTTACAAGAGCCCTCTCCCGTCTGACTCCCTTCCTCCGCCTCTGTCAAGCTATGCAACAGCAACAACAATCTCCTCCTCCTCGTGCATGTTGTGGGTCCTCTCGAATGATGGTAGTATACATGTGCCTTGTCTTCGGTCAGTCGCAAAATGGTGTTTTTGGCGAATGTCTTGCAGAATGGTATGATGTAGTGTGATAGCGCGGGTGGATCACACGAGAGAAAGGTTCTATCTCTCAAATTGGGCTTTTGTCGCCCGGGAATGAAGAAAACTTGAGAGAATGATGGTAAATTGCAGAGCGAATGATGACGACAGTCGTTGAAAGATCTGGCAAAAATAAGCTGTCTGTCGGAACAAGACGGAAGAAGCGTGCCTCCTCGCCTAGTCCAGGGGTGGGATGCCATGTTGCGTCGACGATATGGTAGAAAAAATTGTTGGACAAATTTCGATTGGGATGTATTGAGCATGAAGAAAGAGGGGAATGTGAGCGAACTTTGGTGTTATGATGAAGACACGTTGAGGGGCAAAAGGTGGTAGGTATCGACGTGATAAAGTCAGGAGGAAAGATGGGCAATAGAGTCTAGAGAAGGTCTTCGGAGTCATGCCTTGACATGATGTGCTTGGTTCGCGTGTTGATGATCGCCCGAGAGAGATTCCTGTCCATCCATCTCTGACCAGAGGGACGATGGGATCGCGGATATAGCTTGAGACAGCTCGGAGCTGGACCGAACGTGGTGCATCTGATGAGATTGAGCAGAATGTTCGTCCCTCTTCCAGATATCTCGGACGTCTCGTTTGTGTTGCATAGTCGAATGTACTCGAGACCAGACTCCACCGTGCCACGACTGGTCCGTTTGGAGGAGGGCGTCGTAAGAAGATCGCTTCGAGAATGATTGTGAGGACGCGAGAGACGCTTCCATGTCTTTGTATCTCGAAGTCTCAACCGAAGTAGAAGTCTGAGGTAGCGAGTATTGATAAGGGTTGTTCGACACTCCAGACCTGGAGGTCCAATTGGAAGAATTGGGAGTGCTGCAAAATTCATGAGACAACGCGGAGCAAGTCGAAATGTTGGACGAGAGGTGTCGATGCCTTGCCGGGTGTTGGTCTGAAAAGAGGACGGCAGGAGCAGCAGACGAACCGGGAAAGGTGATACCTCGAGGAGCAGGGGTTCGTTCTTGAAGGTATGCTGGGAACGATCGAGTGACATGCTTAGAACGATGGGCTTCGATCGAATTGATTTCAGCGAGGTCTTGTAGGGCCCGCTGCTTTCGCTCAAGCTCCTCAGGGAAGAGAATGCTTGCACTGAAATAATTTTTCATCAGCTGAGACCTTGCCGTCTAGAAGATGCCCACGATGTTGGCATGCTGTCCTGCCTCATGCGCACGTCGATAGTGCTCCGCGAGTCAAGATTTTTGGTCGTAGCAGTGTCTCTTTTTAGTTCTTTCTGGTCCTAGTGAGGGTGAGCCTGGCTGAGACTTGGACAAGGCCGCCGGAGCTCACTTTGCTATCTGCAATGCGGACTTGCAGAACTCTACCAGAGCCAATGGATACATTGTTCAACTGCGTGAAGATCAGTCAAGGCGACCACGCTCAAACCCACAGCCTGAACCGCCGCATCGGCTTGAGGTCGAGAAAGAAGTCTAGCCATGAGCGGAAGATCGGATGATGCAGCTCACCTAGCCATGCACGGTCCACGTCGTATTCCTTCATTGTCAGTAAGGAATTTGAAAGAAGCCACAGTTCCGTAAGGTGCAAGGAGTCGTTTGAGTTGCTGACGTTTCAGAATGATACAACTTCGAAGCACTCACTTCCTCCGTGGTGGTCAGAGGCAGGCCATTGATGTACAGATTGCTCGACTCTCGATCTTCGCGAGCCTTGTGCTCGAGCTGATAGTCGTCCTGTCCGTCGTGTCAGATGATGAGACTACACATGATGCAGCTTGGCACACCTTGCCAAATGCCGAGGTGATGCCTCGAGACTGGAGTGCACGCAGGAAGGCTTCTGCTTCCTCTCGTTGCTCGAACCTTCAAGATGTATCAGCTTGTCTCAAGTCCACCTTGTGCCCGGCTTACAAAACGAAGCCACAGCTGTCGATGCGCGTCAGCGTGTATCAGATTGGACGCAGCGCCACATACTGTCTGACTGGTACATTGTCTCGGGGCTCACCGACGGGTTTGCACCTCGCCTGAACAGCTTTGCCGAATCGAGAAGCGTATTCGGTCAAGCTGGTCTCAGTGTAGTCTGCCGGGACGCTGTGGATATAGACTGGGACAGGGTCAACAGAAGATCGCAAGGTAGGACACGACCCACCATTCCTCCCAGCAGAGACGTGCGTGAGCGATGAAGAGCTCTTTCTTGTAAGCCTCTCGAGCTCAAACTCCTGCCTTTCATCCTCTTCATCTTCGCGTGGGAGTTGGAATCTGACCTGTCCAATAGATCGTCGATGTGACAATGGAATGTTTGGGGTAGAAACATGGTGCAAGAGTTGTGGAGCATTGTTGAGCATGGTATGATGGTATGCAGTGTGTGGCGGAAGTCTGACCTGGACATACCGAGAGTCTTCTTGGGTTACTGGATGGTCCGATCCGAGGGAAAGACTGGCAAGATGATTGTTGAGATTGTCCGGCGTATTGTCTTCGAAAGCTCGACTGATCTCTGACCAAGTCGTCGAATCACCGGACTCGGGATGGTGATGATGTCCATGATCATGGGGTCGGGGACTACTCGCAGCTCCTTCAAGAAGCTTGAACAGGTGCCTGCGGCTCGCCTCGTCGACTCGATGTTGAGCAAGGTATCGTGATGGATACTGTCCATCAGGAAGGAGACCAGATGCTTTCGGGGTAGAGAGTTCGGACGGCAGTATCGGAAGACTGGGTGATCGCGTTCGTCTCGGTAAGGTGGGCGCAGGAGCAGGGAGGCGCTGAGGATGGGGGAGGACGGCTAGATTTTCGTGAGCGAGAATCTGATCGTTGATTGAGGGTGGCGCGTAAGAGGAATGTCCAAACTGAACAGAAACTGATTCAGCCTTGGGATACGCCTCGAAAGGCGCGCTGAGCCAATCGCCTCCAAAGGACTTGACTTTGTTTTCCTCGCTGGAGACTGACGTGGTTGAAGAGACTGAGCTGGTGCGAGGGAGGTCACTGCTTGAAGAGGTAGGTGGTGAATCATGGACAGACGAGGTCTTTATGGCATCTTCGAGCAATCTGTACGGAGCGGACGAAGTTGTGGGTTCACCAGTGGCGAATGACTTTGAGAGGGAGAACGAAGCAGCACTGGGATTGAGAGAGGTGCTGGGCGGTTTCGAGTTGTCCATAGTTACTGGTACCAAGGAGGGGAGAATGTGCAGGAAGAAGGGCGATTTAGCTACTAATGACTTGTCAGCGAATATGTGTCCATGATGGGAGCTCATGTTGATCCGCTTGACTCACCGGGGTGGTGACAGCACCAGTAGTGGACTAGGGACAGGGTACCAGGGAGGATCCGGTGAAGAAAGAGACGTGTCGAACGAGTTTGAGGGAGACCTGGAGCGGGACACGATGGAGGGAAGGGGCAAGCAGTGTCAGGTTGCAGGATGGACTAGAGTTGGCATGCGTGTGAGATATGTGACCAGCAAGGGATGTGGAGAATGCTGAATGAATGATGAATGAGAGGGAGGATGTCGCTGTTCTCCCAAGTTGTGAGAGCTGTGAATATGAATAGTCCTCATACCGGGTCCAGCACTTTTCTCTTCCACCTTCCCCCCTTTCCATGAGCCAACATGAAACACTGAGAGTACACACACACACAGAGGGACACACGGGAGAGATCCAAAGGATGGGGAGAAGGTTCCGGGGGGGAGAGGCTGGTGATCGACTCTGGCTACAACGAGGTCAACCCACTCACGATTGGTCACTGGGCATCCTGAACATCATGTGAGAGTACTACATCGACAGTACAACATCGACATGCGAGCCAATCTGCCCCAATTCCTGCTTTGCAAAATAACACTCCAGACATGCCATTGGATTCCTTTGTCCAGTGGCAGTGGCAGTCAGAAGCCACTAGCATCCAGAAAGTTTAGGGGTTCAATGCCGATCTGTATATGTGTGTAACTGCTCCACGACGTCCAGTCTCCAGGCACATCTCGATAACCTTGGCTAGTGTTGAACCTTGACTAAGGGGGTTGGTATTCCGAATGCGCCATTTGGTCTGGTCCGGTCCTCCCTGATCGAAGAGAGGCTTGAATGTGACAGTGCTAGGTTGACAAGCGAGGCCGGGAGCATGTCAGCATAGGGATAGCAGTGACGACGTTGACGTGCGTGGCGGTGGTGAGTGTGGGGCGCCGACTGAGGAACTGTTGAAGTCATCATGTCGGGCAGTGTGAAGAACATTAGTAGCTCAATATAGAGATCGGTTAGTATGAGCGGTCACATCTTCTTCACCCATAATCAGTCCGGCGCTGCCATACAGGCCAGTCCGGCTTCTAAGAACCTCGCCGCTCACAGATACACCATGCATCTTGCAATCTTTGGCTTTCCTCCTTTGAGCCCTGACCACGACCACTTTTCCGACCCTCGTTTGTTCATTGATTAGGCAATGGCTTCTTTTCATACGGTTTGAACCACTCTGCTCTTTGGGCCGTACGGTTCTCCGAACCCTTGGGGTCTGAGAGTAACTTTACGGGTGTCAGTCAGAGGAAATGTCTAAGGATCAAGGACTCGCCATGTCATTCTCGTTAATGGTGTAGAATGTCGCTCCGAGGAAGACGCAAGCGCCAAGAGCAGCGGGGAATGATCCTTCTACAGATAGATTGAGCCTTTTTTTGGCTACCGGCTGAGAATCAGTCACACTTACGCCTGATACCGCCTATGAATCCGGCTGCACATCCTCCAACGGCTGGGTTCACAGAATCGTCTGTCTAGAAAGAGTGTCAGATCCACTCATGCTCTCATGACGATCCCGAGATCGACTCACTTGTCTGATGTTGGCGGTGACTGCGTTGACGAATGGGAATGCGAATCCCATGAGGGCTGATAACAGTCAGCGAGGGCAGGAAAGAGCTCTGAAGATGTAACTCACTGAAGGTGACAATGGTTCCTCCTGTTCTTGTGAAGACACCCCAGAACCCAGCATCATGACTGGGTAAGGTTAGCAGGTTTCCTCCAAGAGTGCCATCCCCCATTGAGACCCCACTGCGGTCGCGTATCGAAATGGAAGAGCAGCAGCATAACCTTTGCAACATCTCGTCTCTCTCAAGACCTCGTTTGATTGTGCCCTTGATACCCAGCCGCTATCCGCTCTCGAACGACTCTCTTAATGCCGAAGCAACCGAAAACTCACCGTTGAACAGCATTCTGCAGTGCACTAGCTGCGAGTCCTACCCCGCCAGACCAGATAGCGCCTTTCCCTCCCATACTCAAAGACTGATAGGGGTGGAAGACATGGGGCTCATGAACAGTTGGAAAGAACGATAACCGAGAGGCGTTGCTGAGAGGAGGGAAGAATGGGTTTGGAGCGGATGACCGGGATGTGGATGCCATATTGGTGAGCAGTATCGAGGCTGGAACTTGATCCAGCGGAGCTTGCGCCAAAAGCTACTATGCAAGGCGAATCTGAACCCAGAATGACAGAGGAGGTAGATGGATGGTGGATGGGCAGGTCGTTGATAAGCCCACCTAGCTATATTGATTTAAACCACATCATGGTCACGCGGGACTGATTTACTTCCGTCATCGCTACCCTTCCGGTCATCCCCCCTCATGCATTTACTCGTTATCTCATCATAGCTCATCATTCTGGGGAGGGCGGCGACATCTATTTCATAGCTACACGCTCAAGCTGCACAAAGCGCCATTTCGGGTCACCATTCCTTAAGCACCATTTTTTCAGACGTCCTCAGCGTCTCCATCAGCTTCTGCCTGTAGCACACCCCAGTGCCTCTCTCTCACTTCCTCTTATATTCTGTTGCCACCCGACCAAGGGATACTCTGACCATGATGAGTTAAGAGGTCTCTAAGGAACCTGGACCGACGCTGACAAGTGCCCTTTGGTGGCCCCTTATACAGTTCTCCAAAGCGTCGCGTCGATACGGATGTCATGAAGCTGTGAGTGACGTCGGGGCATTTCGGCATTCATTCTGTCCGATAAGCCCGGATGAGGCTAGGCGGGGGACGCACGCACGCAAGCAAGCAAGCATACCAATGAGACCAAGTCAGATCTGGAGTGCGCTGCATACATGCCAGTCTTATGTGGCTGGCCCTCGGCGCTCCATTGTCTCCTTCTCTCGCGTCACAGATGCTGACCTTGTGCGCAGCCTCATGTCAGACTACCAAGTTACCCTTGTCAACAATAAGATGTCAGAATTCTTTGTCAAATTCTACGGACCAGCTGAGAGTGAGCATTGGTGCTGCCCTACTATATGTAGCATATGCACTGACGACTCCAGCTCCATTTGCCAAAGGAGTCTGGAAGATTCATGTCGAGTTACCGGAACAATTCCCGTACAAGTCACCAAGTATAGGCTTTATGAACAAGATCTTCCACCCGAACATTGACGAATTGTGAGCGGCGACCCACCAGCAATCAGGTTGTCGTACTGAACGAAAAATTTAGAAGCGGTAGCGTCTGTCTGGACGTGATCAACCAGACTTGGTCACCCATGTTCGGTAGGTCCCGGATTTCCGCGGACTCTTCCGCTGACGCTCAATTCCTTGCTCAGAGCTCATCAATATATTTGAAATCTTTCTCCCTCAACTCTTACGCTATCCAAATCCCTCCGATCCGCTCAATGGGGAAGCGGCGGCACTACTTATGCGAGATCCCAAAGCCTATGCCAAGAAGGTGGAATCATACGTCGAGCGATTTGCCATGCCGGAAGATGCGGACCAAGCGAGAGGAGGAGACGACGAAGATGAAGATGAGGAAGAAGAGGAACTAGGGCCCAAGCGAGCTGCCAATGGGGAGACTTCGAGGCCGAAAGCTCCTACTAGGGGTATTGCAGCCCCTGCCTCAACGAATACACACTCGAATGGTTCAAATGGTCACGCTTCCGCAGCCGCCGGCACAAGTAATGGCCATGCAAAAAGCACCTCGGGCGGTATCAATGGAACGTCTCACCATGATGACGGAGAGGAGGAAGAAGATGACGATGATGACGACAAGATGAGCGATATGGGAGAATTGAGTGATGGGGACGAGTTCATGGGCGAAATGGACGATTAGAAGGCTAAGGCCGGTCTTCGACTCATCGCATGGTGACTGGTCCCAATCTGAGCAGTCCGACAATGTCCACCACTCATCATACCACTAGCTACTTCCGACACTTTTTGTCTCCTGTAACGATATCAGCATACCATCATTACCACCGCTACACTTCATTCGGCACCGTAATGAGAATCTGTCTCCACTCATTTTGCGATGTCTCGGCCGGAACCTTCAGTCCTGAATGCCGAAACTCTTGGTCTGCCTCATTTCCCCCATGTCTACATCCCTGTATTCTCCTCGTCTGGCAACCTCTGGAATCGATCTTGTTGTATGCAACGTCATTCACGTATGCTCTGGGTGCCGCAGGTGACGCCTCACAAACAGCCTCGCCAAGGCGCCAGTGTGCGGAAGATAGAGAAGAACGGGAGTTGGTACTGACGCTTCTTTTGTGAAATGTAATCGGCGACTTCGGGTGCTGACACGTTCCTCGCGTTCATGGTCCCCACCGACGCAGGAAGAAGCAAAAGGTATCCGATTCGGAAATCGAAGCTGAAACACGTCTGAAAGGTCTGCTCCGAAATTCAAGCCTTTGACACTTTCAGACCCAAGTGGCAAGCTGGCCAATCCCTCTCCTGCCGCATCTTCCCGCCTCAAGTCCGCCCTCCTAGACCCCCAAAGTCACGCTCCTTTGTTCAATCTCACAATCCTCCTTTAAGTTCATCGCGCGAAGGAAGCGCCATGCTCATCATCAAGTGTCCTTCCGCCGCAAGTCCGCACTCGTCATCCCTTTCGTTCTGGGCTTATAGTGGGTCCAACGATCCTTTCAATATGGTAGACTGCCTCCGCAAGCATCCTCCTTCGACTGGGGGCAAGGGGCTTGCCTGTGATATCTGAACTCTGCTTTGACTGTCATTCGTCCTACGTTCTTTCATTGGCAGGGTCAAGCAGGAGGGGTGAATCTAGACACTCGACAGGTTTCGAGTTTGTTGCACCTGAGCTTGGAGGGCGGAGAGCGAACGAAAGCATATCTGCCCTGTTGCCTCATTTCCTGGAGACCGCCGACAGGACACATCTCAAGTCGGCGGTGCGCCACAAGTCCAGTCTGCACCCATTGAATGAAGCTATTGGAAGCCTGGCCGAGTTCCACTCCCACAGCCTGCGGATCACTCTGCACACTGGAGGAAACAATTGACACCCCTGGTCCTGGTCCTGGTGGCTGGTGGATCATTATCCCCTAATCTCATATCCCTTTCTTTCACATAGCCACTCTTTAGACATGTCAGTCTCACTGCCCTTCTTCATCCCTGATACTTCGCCTATCTTCACCTACTCAACATGTTCAAATTGTACGAGTGGCTCGCAAACATCGACGGGGGATTGGCAGAGCGCTTACTCGCCTCGGGGTGATGGATACGATATTACGTTTCATCAGACTAAAACAGGGACGGCCACGGTCAACTTTACCACCTCTGGTGAGTGTCTCGCTACCCATTCGATCAGGATCTACGAGTGGAAGTTGACGTGATCTGTAGCGCATGGTCTCTTCATTCAGACGAGTACAGATACCCAATGCTCCGCTTCTATCAGCGTTGACGGTGGGGCATTCTCGCCTGGCTGCAACATCACGCTTGACGGACAACGTCATGATATACGTGTTAGACCGCAGGAAGGAATCGACATGTTTCAGTTCTTTGGAGTGTCCGGTTCTTCCGCTATATCGTCAACGGATAGGTGAGTGTCCTGACTGTGTAAAACCTAGCTCATTGTTATAGCCTGGTCAATCGAACGCTCGACTCGAGCGATGAAGCATTCGTGTACACCTCCGACTGGACACACCTCACATTAGACGGGACTGAGGGCTCTCCTGCCAATGAGAGTCTCGTCACGAGTCATGCTGTCGAGATGGCAAAGTACTACAACTCCACGGCAAGCATTACCACCGCCACCAATGGCAGAGTCGATATCATCTTCACGGGTGAGCTTTGACGCCGGCTCTATGAGCTGATGCCGAAGGCGCCGCCGTCTACTTTTATGGCTCCTCTGGTCCTGATGGCGGAACTGCTGACCTCTACTTTGATGGAAATCACTACACCTCGCTCAACTTTCATAACAGCGCTTGGGAGTCATATGCCGCGTTGCTATTTTTTCAGACAGATCTGAATCCCAGTCCACAGTCGAGCCACAACATCTGCGTCATCAGTACTTCACAGGGGAGGGAAGTCGTTATTGACTACGCCGTGACGAGTATAGTCAGACCAAAAGCGAAAGCGTGAGTCGAGACTTGCGGAATCATTCGACGCAAATTTTGACAGCTGCCAGAACTCCATCTCTACCATTGATTATCGGTACCATTGGCGGATCCTCCGCCTTCTTGCTCATTTTTGGCGTCCTCATCTATTTGTATGTCTCTCGTAAGACGCGACCCCAGAAACCTCGCACGCCCAAGGCTACTTATCCTTTCGGCGGTCTTGCATCATCCAAAGCATCTTCCATCGATCATTGGCGGAAACACGCTGCTGATGCGCCGAGTCCCGATCGACCTTCGACATTCACGGGCTCAAGAGGCTCCTACTCCAACGGCCCAGATGGGTTTCAAGCAGGTAGCGTGGTATCCTCTGTACGTCGGAACGGAGGACCGTTTGGACATCCTTACGGTCCACCTCACGGTAGTCCACCGCCAGAATATCCTGACTTTGTACCGTATCGTGGACCGATTGAGCCACCTCCATCAACGTTGCACGGCGAAGCGACGTCACGGGCAGTGGAACGGTCATCCACCATTGAGCAAGTGTACTTTTGGTCCTCAACCCAACAGGCGCAGCCGGTGCAGCAAGCTCAACTCGACAGTCCTGCCTCACCGAATTCTCGCGTAGAGGGTTGGGTCCACCATGTCATCGCCGCCAATTCGCCCAGGCACTCTCTCGGTGGAGAAACCAATCGGTCTTACCGCACTGCTGTTAGTGATCAAAGAGGTGGATCAGCTCGCCCTGGAGATCAGCATCAACCCAAGACACCAGTGTCATCTGGGACGGTCCGATCCGGGAGCACTCGAACGGATGAGATTCCCCTCAGTCCGTACCGCGTCGAAGGTCTCTACAGCCCTGTATCCGAGCTTTCCTCAGCTGGTCTGGGAGGGATGACATCAAGAGCCGTAAGGGCCAAAAGTTCAGTCGCGAAAGTGTGGTCGACAACAGACGGTATTCCATCGACTTATAGGATCGACTCACATCTCGGTGATATACCTACCGGTGACCAGACCCATGAGACGAGTGCAATTCGAGGGGGAGGGACGATCAGTAACTCGATGCAGTTTTCTCCTTCTGACACTATCGCTGGCAGCTATACCACAACTCCTGATCAGCTCATTGGATCGCGATACGATCTCTACACGCCTGATCCAGCCGTTCGACAGACGTACGCTTCATCGAGACCTGATTCTTCTGTCCAATCACCACTTCGTCGAGGAGTGTCCATCAAATCAGTGAAAACGATGAGATCATTCTTCTCTGGGCTGCTATGGAACAGCTCCTCGCCATCCGGTACATCGCATCTGCCAGAGACGCCTGCGCTTCCGAACCAAATTCAGGCAGCCAGACCTGATTCTGGCATCTTCCCAATTACGCGGAACGACAGTGTCATGGTCACGTCGAGGCCAAAAGCCAAGGGAGCCAAGGGAAAGAGGAAACCAATCCCTCCATCGGACCAGTCTCCTTCTAGACCACATCGGTCGCCTGCTCCGGGCCCCTCGTCTTACTCGTCGTTCTCTCCCGCTATTTCTTCGTCAGTTCAATCACCCCCTTCGGCTCTGCGTTTGGATGGACTCGGAGATAGCCCGAATTTCTTCATTGAACTCAATCCCAACAGTCCAGTGACTATGTTCGCGCCAAGTAGACCGGGCAGTGAGATGACTTCGGCGCAGTTTAGGTAGATATTGGTGCACTAATCGGTCATGAAGAGGCCGTCCCCTCTGGCGAGGCCATGCAAAACGTCCATCGAGCTTGTTGTGGCGATGCCACAGTGTGGACTCACTCAGCTGCGGAATCCGTAAAGCAATCATGTCATGACTTCTGACTTCTGGATCACTGGAGTGTTTTCTTCTTTCTCTCCTTGAAGGGCCCGTATTCGGGACGACGCTTCGCTTCATTGCCTTCTCTTTGCGTCTTGGCTTCTTGCGAGAATGAATAAGGGAGGCCTCGGGACGATGCTCGGCCTCTGGGAGCATCCTCTCGGGCGGAGATCCTTACACATGTCTCATCCCAGGAGAGGGGATACAGGAGATCAGAGAGTTGATGTCGGATATTGCGCCTTGTCCAAGGGACATAAATCAGCATAATGAGTGCCCTATACTGGTTGAGCTACCCGAGAGTGAGATCGGGGTCAGGTGGGATCTCCTCATTAGTCATCGATTGCAGGGGCACAACGGGGCCGCTGTGCGATCTGAGGCAGGTGGGCATGCGAAGGAGGAGTATCCTCTGCAGGACCGTTCAAGATTCAGTCGATCAGCGACCAGCGAAATCAGGGTCAAGTTGTCCGTGTTATCCGAGAGCTCACAAATGCATGCTGACAACCAAAACAATGCGAGATCGTCTCTCAGTCCAGCCGAGCCGATCGATCAACAACCCCAAGAGTCGGTAACAGAGAGACGAGACAAGAGTGTATACAGTATAGATGTGAAGACGGAGTCTCTTACTAAAGATATTAGGTATTACGCGTGAAGACATATAATTCGTGGGTAGTAGGTCGTGAAAATCGTGAAAAGTGGTATGAGAGGGAAGACCGGCTAGACGCAGCAACCCCGCTTCGTCTTATGGTCGGTCGTATCGGTCTTGGAGAGATCTAGAAGCATGACGCTGTCTTTGCGCCGAAGCGTACGGTCACGTTCTATATTTTCTCGTTTTTCAACGAGGAGAGCAGAGATGCTTTGGAACAGCGCGTCGATGCCTGTAGGACATGTCAGCTTCCGACGGAGTGACTGGAATCTCACCTTGCCCGTTCAACGCGCTGACTTCGCCCAGTCGGATACCGAGCACGTCCATTCCCCATTCTTCCGTCGCGGCGGATTCGTCGTACAGTCTGACATCTCGTCCGACACTGCCAGCACGAATTCGGCCATTCTTGAGCCCAAAGTTTGAGGTTGGTCGGCTTTCCGGTTCAAGAAGGTCTCCACCGGACTGACGACGACGCACACCTGCACCGAATTCGCCGAGAGCTTCTGCTGCTCCTGGTCCTTGACCCATTCGCCAAGGTCGGGAGGACCAGTCTTCACTCTTTCGTCGAGTATCTATCATGTGCGGAGTTGACTCAATACGTACACGGCGGACAGGCGTGATATCATCTCGCGGCGCAGCGGGATAGTCTTCAGCGAGGCGAGCAAGCGTCGAGACGGCATTGCCAGTGCTATTCGTGCGAGAGTAGCCCAGGACACCAGATATGGAGAAGCGGCCGGCTGATGTGGCATGTGAGGCCGAGGTCATGAGCGGTACGACAGGATCGGTGAATGTGGAAGATGTGGGCCTGGTCGGAGATTTCATATTGCCGAAAGAGATTTTAGTGGATCGCGGGGAGCTTGGCAGGGTCGATGGCGGGATAATTTGGAGCGATGGGCGCGAGGGAAAGGGCACACGACTGGGAGGCTTGGAAGGCTCTGCTTCGGTGTTGAGTGCGACGAGTGCAGACGATGAGTGTGAGCGAGTGGGAGTCGCTGGGCTACTGATAGGATCATGCGCGGCGAGGGACGAGGATCGGAGGAGACCCCGCGGCTGTGGTCGACGCCAGATCTGTAGCTTGCGTTTGGCTTCGTCGATCCTGGAGCGTCAGTGGAATTCCTCTGCGGCAACTCACGAGACTTCTCGCGCTGCTAGGTCCGTTTTGCTACCGACAATGTAGATCGCGGTTTCTTTAGGTAGCGTCTTTTGCAGCTCCTCTAGCCAGCTTCGAACATCCTCAAAACTCTGTCTGTCATTTGTATCGTAAACGAGGATACAAACATTGGCTCCACGATAGTAGATCGGCGCCATGGACCGAAAACGCTCCTGTCCTGCTGTATCCCAGATCTGAAGCTTGACGCGGACACCAGAGTGCACGAGTTTGCGGGTGTGGAGAGACGAACCAATGGTCGCCGGTGCAAGATTGAAAGTGCCCTTAGTATAACGGAGAATGAGAGATGTCTTGCCGACGCCTTGAGAGCCGAGCAAAACGACCTTGGCCTCTAGACCGTCAGGGCTGGCGAGCTCAGACGGTGTGGCATCGCCAGAACCAAACGTTGTATCGGCCGGAGCTGTCATTGTACGTGGAAACCCTGGCGACTCGATTGGCGTACCGAGACGATGTCGACCATCTGCACTGCTGCTCTCTGCCATTCGGATGGAACTGGGATGCATCATGGTCTGACTCTTGCGCACTGGTCGAGGAGGGCCCATGGACTTTGGTCGATGCTCGTTAGGCGGTCGTCTCGGAACGTTGGTCATGGCGCGGGATCTTGGAGGTGAATGCGGCTTCTGGACGGAAGGCGAAGGATCAGATGGTAATCGCCGTGGGATCTCTGCAAAGCTGATCGAGTCGTCTGGCGTAAACAAGACCTTGCTGTTTGGCGGCGAGGGGTCCGGTGTCGGTGGCAGCTGAGCAGGGATTAAGACGCCATTGGTCACTTCTGGTGATACAGCTGGAAGATCCTGGAACGATAGTCTTGGCGCTGGAGGAGGGACAGATGGACCAGGTGAGTCGGACTCTGTTGACAACAGGTCTGATCTCGGTGGTCCCAGAGCGGAGAAAGATTGAGTATGCGGCATGTCGTGGAATGACCTCTTACGAGGTTGGTAGAAAGGGAAGGGGACCACGACGGGGCTACTGATACTGTGATGAAATGGTGGCGGGTGATTGGTATACGCCGTGGTGGAAGGTGGAGGTGTGGATCGCATGGAGTCCGTATGAGGATCGTGCGGTGTTGCAGCGATCACGCTCATGGTGCGGGGATGGATTCTCTCTCTCTCTCTAGGGATGTCATGAGTGAGTTGTGACGGCTAGGTGGACTGGAATGTACAGAGATGAGCTAGACACGGGGGATCGTAATGCTTTAGAGACTCACCAAGAGAATGAACCGAGGAGATGGCCAATACGTTATGCTCCCGTCCACAGCGTGATGGAAAGGGGTCGATGAAACGAAGAGTAGGGATGATTGAAACGGAGTAAGATCACTTCATGAGGGGGGCAATGTCAAGGTACCACTGTCGACGACGACGATGAGGACGACGCGCTTCCTCCCACGAGTTCGGAAGCGGCTTGAACGGGTCTCTGAAGAAATGAAGGATGAGACACGATCCCCAGTTACGAGGAAAAGAGGAGAGTACGGACCCGGAAAATTGCAAAGGGGTCTTGGATTGTTTGTCCTCTCGAGGGACGGAGGGGTGTCACTCTGAAGATGGAATGATACAGTCCGGTCGATCTGTCGTCGTCGTCGTTGAACTTGTCGAGTGTTCCCTTGGCGGGAATCCAATCAGCCTTGTTCTCTGTCCTGATGCTTGCTTGCTTCTAACGTGTATACGGAGCGATGCTGTGATGGGTGGTGCGTTTGTGTTCCTCGCGAATCCAAAAGGTCTTTTTGACTAAAGAGGAGGAGGAGGCGGCAATTGAAAACTCTAATATAAAAATGGGACCGACGACGAAGCTAGCCTGTGGAGAGAAGATGTCAAAAGTATCTCTGGCGATGATTCGGAAGATGAACGGACTTCGATGCAGCTGCTGCAGATGCCTCTCGCCACGCTCCCCGAACCGCTCGAGACAAGGGGATACGATGTAAGCAGCAGCCCCTCCAGGATGGATGATGGAGGAGGAAGGGGGTTGATGCGTGTGAACAACCATCCAATTGTACCTTGTTTTGAAACGTTTTTCCCACTTCTCCGCGTTTAAAAAGAAAAACGCTAATGAAAATGATGAGGTGGCAGTGTGGCGCATCTTCTTGCATTGGGCATACATGGGTCGAATATGGGGAGGGAGCAAGGTATAGAGAACATCGATAGGGGTAAGCAGTATGGGTCCTGGCGTAGCGAGCAGGAGCAGGAGGGAGCTGTGTGTAGCCTGGCTCCCCCGAGGCACACGCTCGAGATTTGCTGGGGGACACTGATCCCATCCATCAATTACCATGGCTCAGGGTAAAAGATGGGGCGAGAAATGGTTCATCACTGACGTCGTCAATCTGATCGCGCATTTGTGTTTCCGGCAGCGAAGGCTACTCGGATGAAAGATGCTGGATCATCTGTCGTCCACTCAGAATCCTGCAACTCGAGGTGATATTTTGGCTTTAGACGTGTCAAGATGTCAAATGACATCCCAAGCCACACCTGATCGTCAGCTCGCTCACGCCGCTCCATCGGCAACCGCTCTCGCTCGAGTCACAATCTATGCACTGCCTATACCCATGGTTTACCAAAGTATAGCTCCAGAGTTAATCTAGCGATATTGACCCCTAGCAGACTCAATAGATATCTGCCATTATCAATCAGTCCTCGTTTCTGCGCGGACTCGTCTCCGACTCACCCTCCAAAGATCGGTAGTAGAGGTGCTAAGAACAGTTCACTCCGAGCCACGAACGGTAACGCGGCGTAGCCCAAGTAGGTGACGTAGGTGTATTGTATTCCAGCAACGAGAAAGAGCGTGCTGAAACGTGAGTGGTTGACTCCGGGCATACCACTCACTTGCCAATGAACAGGCAGACAAAGTTGCTCTTCACGACGACAGGTGCGAGAGGCAGGAGTGCGCCGTACAGCGTGAGGAAGAGGGGAAAGAACGAGTTGACAGCCACGTCGAATGCATATGCCCATTCGACTCTGTTGTCGATGGCGGGCGAGGAGGCAGAGGATACGAGTAGGCGGTTGGCGAGAAAGTGGAGGAGCGAAGCGATGATGACTGAGGCGAGAATGAAGTCGCCTGAGACACTTAGCGTGCAACACATGATTGAGAGACCCACGCATAATCATCCTGAGGATGGTGTAAATGGTACCCGCCATAGATTCACGGTACACCAGAGACCATGCTAGTCCGGCGACTGCCATGAGCGGAAGGCATTTGGATTGAGACTCACCTACTAGAGAAGATGATATCAAGACGATCATTGCGGGACTAGCTATTAGTCGAACTCTCCCTCTCCCTTCCACTCACTCGTCCCGGGCCCATACGTTTTTCGTCTGTTTGCTGGAAATCTTCAGCTCTGACCTATCCTGTCCACGCACTGGTGATATGTCTGCTTGTATACCCTTCTCGGGGCCACGACAAGATATGTCAGTTGCCAGAAGGCAAGTTCAAAGTCCTATAATCGTCAAGGCAAGCCTGCTTAGCCAACATACCATTGTTCTGAACTTTGTTAAACGTCTAAGCATGGTGGGCAACCCGCCTCCACTTTTTTGAAATGCAAAGCTATGACCATCCTGCCTTGAGCTCCCGGAGCTAAGCGGCAGGATGGAATTAGCCATCGTCCTTGGTCTCAGACGAATGGAACTCGTGGTGGGCAGAGGAGGCCTGGCGGACAGATTGCAATGGACATTTTGTGCACGATGGGCGACGGTTTTGCGCGTCTGATTGCGCGGAAATTTGATCCCGCGCGTACTATGAGAATGAGATCACTGCACCGGGCCGACCTGGTGTGGCCATACGATTCACGCCTACAGCCGCCACGAGCTCTCTCAATGCAGTCTTGATCTCATCGGGTTTGACCCAAGGCACGTCCTGGATATCAGAGGCGGAGCAGATGATCGACTTACCTCCACAAGCACCGCTCTGCCCGAGAGGAGGATGATCAAATCGTCGACGGAGATGGTTTCAGGCTCGGCAAAGCCCACCGGAGCAGGGGAAGGGAACTCGGAGGAGGCCAACGCAGGTAGCAGTGGTTGAGACTTGGGTCTCTCTTCGAATGGATGATAACCGTGAGGATGAGCTTGGAGAAATGCATCAAGCTCAGAGGTGAGGGGATGAAAGACGAAGGTGGCCTTGAGAGGTCAGCGGTGCCCGTCCACGCAAATCTCACCGGATCCATAAGGTAGGATGGAGAATATTCAGATTTATACCGCATCTTCTGACAGTCCGCTATCCAGTATCCTGCATGTCAGTTTCGTCTTGTTGGACGTGTGCCTACCCATATACACCCATTTCATGTCAGTTGCACCTGCCGCCTGTATATCCCTAGCTAGGGCAACCTCTCGCATTGCGCTCCATTTCCCTAGGCTCGCCCAAGCCCAGTCTGGATTCCAAATAAAGTAGACTGATGATACGCAAGAGGGCAGAATATCAATGACGGAGATGCCAATGAGGACCGAGTCGACAAGATACACTGTTGTTCAGTTGGGTTCAACAGAGCAACGTACGGAGATGATATGAGCCATAGCTTGAAGGAAGGCCGGGAGCGTCTGATTCGTACGGTATATCCGAGGGCTGATGGTAAGCGAGGATCCCGTCTGCCAGACCCACTATCAAAGGACTGTCGCAGAGAAAACGTCGAAAGCCATTCATACTGACTGATTCAGGTCGATCGTGATGGACAGCGACCTGATACTTTTTGTAGAGTGCAAAGGTTTCACGAGAAGCCTTGGCAGGGATCAGGCGAGTCTGGCGTGGATCAGATCATCATCCGAGCTGGGGCATCGTCCCTGGAGACCCACTTCGAGTCGATGCGCGCCGCCATCCCTTCCGTAACCCGATTCAAACGCTCTCAACTCCGATTCTGGCAGTTTATCTCCAGCTTTCGTTCCTGAGAGATATCGATTCATCCGGTTGATCACTTGTCGCTGCTTCTTAGAAGGTTTGAAAGCTTGAGCATCGAGTCGAATAGTGTACTGAGGACAGCACGTCCGACCCATATCGGGACTACAGGATGTCAGCAGAATGACCGCGAGCGTCGAAGCCCACCGATAGAGATAGTCACCTGATCGTCGCCATCCAGAGTCAAGCAACTCCTGATAGAACTTTGATTGTAAGCATGAGCACTCCGTTAGGCCTACATGGCAAGTCATTTGGGATGATTCCACTAGATCGTCATTATGGTCTCGCCCAGGGTCGAACTCACTGCCGTATTTCAACGAGGTCGGCCTGGAGCTCCTGGAGCCGCTAGGTGAGCAGTAGCCACATGTACTGGCAGAGTAGCCACATGGACTGATCAGAGTGGTCATGGCTGGCGATGTGTGATGAATTGTGGCAGACACAAGGAGTGTATCCGGGTCGCAGATGCCGTTGAAACGAGTGACGCTGAAACCCTCTTTACCTTCCGAAACGCCGCTCGCGGAATTCATCGGTCCAATTGCTTCTTCCCGATAGATCTCGCACGGGGCACAGTGTCTTGCACCGGGAGTTATGAATGAGGTCAACTTCGTCTTATTCATCGCAATCTCTCATGAGCGGACAGAGTCCTACAGTATGATCCGACAGAGCCTAACGCGCTCACGACCTCAAGATTTACAAAGGCTTCTTCTGCAGTGCCACTGTCTCCCATGCGACCCTGTCATCCTGACTGCCGGTTGCCCGCGAGCAATACATGCATCTATCAAGAGCACCAGCACATGTCCAAAACTCTTAGGAGAGAAACGCTCGATGATCCATACTGAGACTCTCTACGAAGGGGATGTGAGGTTACATTCCTAATGCACAAGATACTCGTTAAAATGTATATACATGGAGAATCATCTAAAGTTTATCGCGGACACCTGAATACAATCTCGGCCCACTAAGCAGCGATCGCCGTACCCTCGAGTCCCCTGGTCTTGAGGTCATGGTTCGCAATGAAGATGTTGCAAAGTAACGCCAAGCAAACGGCAGCAATACCGGGGATGTAACTCCTCGAGATGGCGATGACATACGCCTCGATGACTGGCGGTTGCATGGCCTCAGGGAGGGTGTAGATGGCCGAGACGGATTGACGAACGAGCTCGAAAGGCGCATCAGGGGCGAGTCGGTGAAGCTCTCTGTTGAGGAAGACGGATTGGACAGAGTTGAGAATACCGATACCGAGGGCCGCACCCGCCAATTGGGAGAATGTCTGGAATCCAACGGCGTTGGGCATCCACATGATCTTGTCGGCAAATTCGGCTTGAACCGCGAGCAAGAGATTCTGGAAGTAGCATCCGAGTCCAACACCAGCGATGATCTGGTAACCGATCAATTTTGCTGAAGATGTTTCGGCGGTGACAGAGTAGAGGAGACCCAGACCTGGCGCAGCGAGAATTGGACCAATAATCAAACTGTACCAGTATCGACCGGTCGACTGGGCGACACCACCAGACACAGCAAGTGCGATGACACTGGAAATCATGAATGGTAATTGATCAATCCCGGCTTTGGTGGGCGAGTGGTGTCGGACGGCTTGATAGTAGAGAGGGACCTGGTAAATACAACCGAGGAAGGCAAACATGGTGAAAGCCAGCGAAAGGGAACCGAGAACCAAAGTGCGATTGTGCATAATGGTGAGGGGAACGAGGGCTCGGTGATACTTCTTCTCAAGGAGCAAGTTCCATCCGATAAAGAGCCCGATGATGGCTCCGCCGAGGATGAAAAGGAGGATGATACGCCAATTGCTCCAGGCATACTCGTTGCCCGCCCACTGAAGAGCGAGGAGGAGGCACGTGACAATGGCAAGGATCAGTCCAGAGCCCAGGTAGTCGAGTCTAGCCAAACGTTGCCAGAGCGAGAGGTGTTTCGTGCTCTCGTCTTCGACGGGTTCACGAGCGGGAAGGAGGAAGACGATCGAGGCGGCAGCGATACCTCCGAATGGCAGGTTGATGTAGAAGCACCAACGCCACGTAACATGTCTGATCGTGAGCTATAGGACATGGTATGTGACTCACTGAGTGAAGACACCTCCGAGTAGAGGGCCAATGACTGACGAAATCATGAAAGCAAAGCCTAGACCTGCCATGAAAGTCGGACGCTGCTGAACGCGCGTGATCACCGTGATAATCTGCATAGAGCACGTGAACATGCCAGAGCAACCAATGCCTTGGATGGCGCGTCCAAAGATGAGCACATCCATGCTCTTAGAGACCGCACAGATGAGAGACCCGAGTTCGAAGAAGAACAGAGAGCCCAGGAGGACATATTTGGCCTTGAGAGAGCGGAGGGATTGTCCGACGAGGAGGATCAAGGAGCATTGCGTGAGAAAGTAAGCAGTGATAATCCACGAGACCTTTGTGAAGGAGTGAAAGTCCGAGACGATGACTGGGATGGCTGTCGCAACAATAGATTGGTCGAGGGCGAAGAGGAATACTGATGGAATGGGTCCAGTCAGCAAAAGTCATTCGAGCTGAACCTCTCTCTCGATCGGACTCACCTGTTAGTAGCATCCCAATAAACACGAGGAATAGACGGACACCAGAGAGGTATCCATCGTCGCCGGTATGAGCCTCGAGGTCGCTGCCTGGCTTCTTCTCGGGGTCTTCGGGTGAAGCGACACGTGTGACATCGTTGGCGACGAGCTCTGGCTGCTCGGCGAGGGTGGCGGTAGCCATGGCGAGAGTCGTAGCAGCTAGGTAGCGCGTCTAGGTCTGCTTCGTGGTCTGTGAGATGACAGGCAAGAGAGGATAGTGAGGTGATGAGTAGCCACGAAAGAAGAAGTGATGATAAGTAGAGTTGAAAGAAAGATCAAGTCAATGGGTGTTTTTAAATTGAATATCGGACGCAAAAAAAAACCCCTCGGGCTCAGGTGGGCCGACGGCCAAAATGGGGACGGTGAACAACCCCGGGCCCCCTCCCCGCTTTGTAGGACACGCGGAGTCTGGCCCCGCCGAGTCGAGGACGTGTGCGCATTGGACTGTCGGTCTTGAATAAGAGCGCGCCCGATGAGATACAACGATCGCGTGCCCGGCGCGGCGCTCGTCGTCGAACGCTTGACATTGAGGTCGTAGTCCTGCTGATACTGCTGGAATTTCGACTCATCCCGGTTCCGATGCAGCCCGAGGATGTTGCGGAATAGGTTAATTAAATTTTTTAATAATTGTGCCAGCGGAATTGGTCGAGCGGGTATTGCACATGCATATCGCTCGGCTAGAAGCTGGGCACGGTCACCAAGACTCGTCCGACGGCCTATCTGTTAGCGATGCAGACATCGCACTCACCTGATATCCAGCTCCTGAGTCCATGCAGTAGCACGTTGATTGACCAAGTCGAGATAGTTTTGAGCGATATCGTTCGAGTCGATTGCCTGCCGGGTCAGCGCGATTGTGACCATGACTTCTCACCTCGGAGGGCATCTCCCTGCCGCTGTCCTTTGGAGGTGCAATTTTGCCGTCGATGATGGCATGCACAACATGCACCCCTTTGGGTCCAAACTCTCTCGCGAGGCTCTGCGTCAACGCTCGTCTAGCAAACATAGCAGGCGCCATGGTGCTGAATGGAGCGCCGCCACGAAGAGCCATAGTAGCTCCTGTGAAGATGAGTGTCCCTCGAGCACGGGTGGTCTCATTGGGCTCGTTGGCGAGGAAATGAGGGATGATGTGTTGAGAAAAGTTGAAGGCGGACACGCTGCAGGTCAGTAGGACCGACTACAATGGCTCTACTCACATGCCGGATTCAAGGTTTGTCCGCAGCTGATCCTCGGTCCGCTCGAGGAATGGACCGGGAGAGAAGGAGAAGTTGGTATTGTAGACGCCGACGTCGATCGTTGAGTTGGGCCAGTGAGCGGAGAGGAGCTGCGGGCAGTGAAACACAGAGGGACATCAGGTGCGACGAGGTGAGGTTGTGATCGTTGAAGTAGAAGGAACAAAATCGTAGGTGGTAGCATATCGCATGGTGTATGGCGGGATAGTTGTGTTTGAGAGCGCCGTACACCGGTCAAAAAGGTGGTTTGTCAAGCGAGTAGGTGGTCAATTCAGTCAGCAGCAAGAGCGCGTGAGGGAGCAAAAGCCATCAGGGTATATGCTTGAAGACCCTTTGCGCTCTCTCACTCACCTCAAAAGCCTTCTTCAAGCTCTCATTCGACCCATCCGACGTAGCTGCCAGCAGTCTGTCGGACGGAGTGTCCAGATTGAGCTTGGGTAGAGATCCAGGAAGGGACCGGGAGAGCACAAGAATGGAATGTGTCGCTGAGAATCGCTGAGCGATAGCGGCTCTAGACGGTCAGTATGGCCCGTAGACATTCACTTGCCCTGTGCCAGGACCCGCTCCGATGATAACTGCCACTCTGCGCATGTTGAGGATGTCGGTAAGGCTTGTGCCAATTGAAACTTGTAGATAGGGTGATCAACGAGATGATAGGGACCACGAGGCGAAGGGAAGGGATAAAAGACGTCTATCAGGAGCAGCTCTGAAATGACAGATGCTCCACTTTGCGTGACCAGGGTAAGTGATTAATAATATGTAGGGATGAGTAATGACGGATACAATGATCAGAAACAATATTATCGAGCCGAGTGGCCGGACACGTGGTCTGCCAAATCAGAGCCGTGATAATGGGCTGACCGCATGCTCTCAAGGGCTCGCCTGAGCTCGTCTGACCGCTGCAGGACCAGTCATACGGGTCATCATCCTGAGAATAGGATCAAGGACACCTCATGCCCCGCTTGTACCCCCCATCCCCCGCATATCCCCTGTTAACAGACTCGCGACTTCGATTTGCCACCAGATCGGCGACCTCCGCTCCGCCTTCTCGGTCCAGTCAAGACGCGTCTCGTCAACTTTCAATATTGATATTTGATCATTACAACCAATCTCGCACCACCATGCCCGCCCGGACCTCGCTCCAACGGCTTGATTTCAACGACAAGCTTGTTCAATCAGGCAAGAAGGAGACCGCTGAGGTGACTCTCAAGCGATTGAAGGTTTGTCCAAATGCAACTCTGAGCCTCATTAACTCTCGCAGACTCTCCATCAAAAACTTTCAACGCTCGAGCAAGACCTGACTGACAAGAAGTCTCTGGACCCGATATGCAGACCGTTGATACATAATACGATCCTACATCATAAAGAGTGGGTCCATTTGACGAGCCGGGCTGACATGGAGTCGCGGTGTGAAGGCGTACGCAGCGTGCTGTCTGGCGGATTTATTGAGATTATACGCACCGGATGCGCCGTACAATGAACGGGAGCTGAGGGTGAGTACTTGGCGGGCTGAGATCAGGGCGTCTTGCGAAACAGTTATGAGAAGGGCGCCTCTGGCACCGCAGGAGAGCCGTTCGTGCGGCCGTAAGCTGAGACCTGGCACGGAATATCTCGGGCAGACTTGCAGGATCCAGGATAGGTCGAGACGATCTCGTGACCTCTCGCTTTGACTTTCTCAGCCGCACTCTTACCAATAGCCTGAATCACTGGATCACTGCTACCCTACTCTTATTACATTCGCTGACTCCCCTGCGCGTTGACAGGACATCTTTCAATTCTTCTACCACCAACTCAAGGACAACTTCCACACTCCACCCGCTCCTCTCGGAGCCTCTCGTCGCGCCAATGATGCCTCTCAATCGTCAACACCCGGCGCCGCATCTCAACGCATCACCGATATCGCCTACTACACCGAATACGTCTATCTCATAGAAAGTCTCGCCACCATCAAATCCGTCGTCCTCGCTTGCGATGCTGCAAATGGTGACGATATTGTTCACGGCTTTTTCGAGACCTTTGTCCAGATCGTACGCCCCGACATGAGCAAAGGCCTCATACGGCACCTCGTCACTATCCTCTCGGTGGTTATTGAAGAGGGCGGTGCCGTGCCACCCGACGTCATGAGCATCATCATTGAACAGTTCGAGTCCAAGACTCAGCCAGACGCCGCTTTTCAGCTCATCATTGACGTCTGCAATGCGACTTCGGATAAGCTTCAACGTCCTGTCCTCGCACACTTTACCGAGATTCAGATGAAGCATGGTCGGGACCCATCAAACGAAGACGCCAAGATTCTCGCCTTGTCACACAAGCTCATTCTCACCATGTATCGCCACGCACCAGGCCTGTTGCTCAATGTCATTCCTGTGCTCGAAGAGAACCTCCGAGCCGCCGAACAAGTACCTTTGAGGGCGATCTCAACACGTACACTGGGTAAAATGTTCGGCGAACGACCTGTGGTCGGAAATGGTACAGCGGATCTTGCTCGCGCGTACCCTTCCGCATGGCGAGCATGGCTCGGTCGACGTCTTGACAAAGCTGTCAACGTTCGTCTCGCCTGGGTCGAGTCGTCTCGTGTGGTCCTCACAAATCATCCTGAACTGAGGCAGGAGATCCAACGTGGGTACCTCTCCTGTAGCAGCGCTGACTTTTAGCTTTCCTCGTGGATCGGATCGAAGATTCAAGTGATTTGGTCCGGAGTGTCATCTGCAAAGTCATCTGCGCTCTGGACTACGAGACTGCCTTGCATCAGATCAATGAGGCTACTCTCCGGGCTGTAGGATCACGTATGAGCGACAAGAAAGTGCGTCACCTTGACTTTCTTTACTGACTGCAGTCCAATGTTCGCGCCGAGGCCATCACCGGTCTTGCCAAACTGTGGTCCGCAGCGTACTCCGAAATGTGAGCGAAAGTCTTCGGACGCCGCTGATCCTTCAGTGAATCTGGTGGACTTGCCGAAGACCAATTCGGTTGGATCCCCGAAACCATGTTGCACTGCTTGCAACGTGATGTCTCTGTGGACATGCGTGCTCAGATGACCACTGCCTTCAAGGAGCATATCCTTCCCCTCGGAGAGGATTCTTGGGTTGACCGTCTCATGCTTGTGGCTACTCGCCTCGATGACGCCGCATTCAAGGCGTTGGAAAAGATGACTGGTCTGCGAGGGTACGCGAAGGGAGCGTCGCCGTATCGCGCATTTGTCGATTTGTGCGAGGCAAACAACGTGAGAGCGACCGTGGGGCTTGTGCTGATCTCAGGGCGGAATCATTGACCAGGACGCGGAGGAGATCAAATCACGTCTCGCATTCGTGATTGATGCCATGGCTACTCAGCTTTTCCCCGATCCTTCAAAGGCCAGGAAGGATCTGGAGCAGTTTGCAGCCGCGAACGAAGCGCGCCTGTATAAATTGTTCAAGGCTTGCGTCGACCCACAATCTGATCTCAAGACGCTTACAAAGGCTCGAGTGAGTTTTTCGTGATGTGCGCCATCTCACGGCAGAACGAGTTCATCCGACGGATCGAGCAATCTCATTCTGATCTCCTCGACACATGTACCATTCTGCTCCACCATGCCTGCTTCGACATCGTCAACCCATCTAGCATCTCGCCATTGCTGAAAATCATGTCCAAACCGAATGCGCCTCCCGCCGCCTCGCGACTGCTTACCCTGATGGCCAAGGAATGCGCCATCATGTGCCGAGCCCACGTGGCAGAACTCGGTGTCGCGATGACCGACAAGCGGTTGTCCGAAGTGGCTCTCCAGGCCCTAGCAGCTTTAGCCAAGGTGGATGGGGCCACCATGGATGCGGGGAGGCTCGTCCCCAAGGCAACAAAGATCGTCATCGAAGGCACATCTCGGCAGAGCAAATTCGCTGCGCGGCTCGTGTCCTATCTCGGTTCGACCGAAGCTATCGGCGAGATCATCAAGGTGGGTCCAGCCCGTATCTGCGCTGACAACAGACACTCGCGAAATCTCTCCCTGATCTCTCGCCCGCTCGCCTGATCCCTGCCCTCTGTGCCTTGTCTGAGTTCGCCCTGTCGTCCCCAGCTCAATTTGAACTGCGATCCTCAGAGATACACGAGTTCGTCCTGGAACTAATTCATCGACACCTTGGATCAGAAGTGAGTAGTAGATCTGACTACAATGCTGACTCTCATCCAGAACTCCGACGCTTGGGTCGACGCATCCGATCTACCGGAACCCGACCAAGCCAAACTGATCGCTCTCCGCGTTATCACCCATAGAGTGCTCGGATTTGCTCGCGCATCCAACGCTCTCGAAATTGCGACACCTGTGCTCGACCTTCTCGACACAATTCTCGCGAATGATGGTCTCATCAGCGGTGAAAGGTGAGCCATAGATCTGACAGGACTCGCTGATGATCAGCTCGACCACTCGCGCGCACTTGCGTCTCCGAGCATCACTTTGCGCCCTTAAACTCGCCAACGTGAAGGTCTTCGACAAGGCCATGGGCAAAATCTTAGAACGAATCGCATGGGTTATCAAAGTGAGTTCACTCCTGCGGACTGGCTGACCTCAGGACCCGATATACCACGTGCGACACCTTCTCCTTCTCAAGCTGGCCTCAATACTTCCCATTCAACGGCTTCTGCCTCGATGGAACGTTCTTCCCGTCATGATTGCTCTCGACCCAAGCAGAGAGAACATCCATATGGTATGGAGTTCACCCGCGAGCTAGCTGACGTATAGGCGAAAAGCGTGATGTCTTCCGTCGTCAAGGCGTGCCGTCACTTCAGCAAGGAGGAAAAAGTCGATCGTATTGAGATGCCCCTGGCTCGATTAGTCTGGCTCTTGGCGTCCGATGGTGACAATGACTGGACCCTGGCAGATGTCAGGGACTTTGCAAGGTGAGCAGGGATCTCCCTCGCTTGGCTAACTCTAGATACTTTGAGCTGTTCTTCGACTGTGTCGTAAATCGAGATAACATCGGTTTGGTCTTCCAGCTCGCTGGCAAGATCAAGTCTTTGAAGTCCACGACTGGTGGCTCAGATACAGTGAGCCTGTGTCCGCTTTCTCTGCTCACCCCAGACACTGTACAAACTCTCTGAACTTGCTCAAATCGTCATTCGCAATCGTGGAAATGCCAATCATTGGACCATTCCGTCCTATTCTGGTGCTATCCGCTTCCCAAGAGACATCTTCCACAATCTGCCGAATCAAGATGCTGTACTGGAAAACACCAAGAAGAGCTATCTGACAAGTGAGGAGGCGAATTGGGCAAACAACCTCGGTAGGAAGACGGTCTCACGCGAATCCCCCAAGAAGACCGAGAGAAAGGTGTCAAAGAAGCGGGCGAGAAAAGCTGAGAGTGCCAGCGACTCAGAGTCGTCCGGTCTATCAGAGGCCGAAGAGGAGAGCGCAGCCTCCGAAGCGGAGGCAGAGCCTGACTCGGGGGTTATGGGTCGTGGGGGACGACGCAATGCAAAGGTGAGCCCGTCGCCCTTTGTGACGCTGCTGAGATCCAGTCCGCGGCGAAACGAGGTCTTAAGACGAAGACAAAAAAGCCCAAGCCGGACACCGAGTCGTCGTCCGAACTCAGCGAGCTGGATGAATAGACGTAATTCCCATATACATGTATCATTATATGCATTCTCAGATGCCCATGACCTTTTGACCGTAGGTCTTTTGAAAAATATGCTTGTCTTCCTCCTTGTGCCACGGTTCGACATCGGCAATGGCGACTCCTAGCTCAGAGTCGGCCTGACCAAAGTAGAGGTACCATTTACCCTTGAACTGGACGAGTCCTTCGGTGAAGACTACCTGGTTGACCTGACCTTCCACTTCGTTCTCGGCATCCGGGACCAGGACGGGTCTCTCTAATCGAGCGATCGGACCGTTTCGGGCCTCTGGTCTCTCTTTACCAGTCTTGTGGTCGATCTTTGCTGGTTTGTTACCAATCTCAGGGTCGATCAACATCTGACCAGTGGAATAAGAACCCCTAGTGTATCCTGCTCGACCGTCGGCGACACCATTATAGAACAAGATCCACTTTCCATCACGAGTCTTGATGGGAGCGGGTCCAGGTTCCATCAATCTAGCTTCCCATGGATGAGCAGGTGAAGCAAAGTAAGTCGTAACGGGATCAGGCTTCCAGTGTTTCATATCGGTCGAGACCGCATGGTAGATGAGGGATTCACCGTGGTACATGTGATATTGGCCTTTCGAGTCGGGCTCATTGATGATGGCAGCGGATTTGGAATGGTTGAATCGAGGAACTCGGACATCACTGTCAATCATGTCCACGTCCATGATACCGGGAAACACGAGTCCGACTTTGGTCCAATTGACCAAGTCATCGGAATAGGCAAGAGCGAGCTGCGGCTCGACCAGCTGAGATCAAGGTCAGCGACATCAAATTGCGATGGCACTCACGTCCCACGCAGTGTAAGTCACATAGAATGTTCCATTGACACGGACAATTCGGGGGTCTGCGCGGGTGGGTCCAGTCAGTCAAGCTCTCGCGTGAAATATTCGTCTCACCCTCGCATCCTCCGGGGAGCTCGTACTTCTCGGTGGGGGCAATAATCGGGTGATCCAATCGGGTAAAGTTTACACCGTCCTTGCTCCAGGCAAGACCGATGGAGCTTTGAAGCTCCTTGTTTTGAGCTCTGTAGAGGATGAACACAGTATCATCTAGGACGATGGCCGTGGGGTTGTACAGGAAGGCCTCTTCAAACTTGTGATCAGGCTCCGGTCTCAAAATGGGATTGCCCGAATACTTGTGGAACGGGGCAATGGGGAAAGTGGGGGGAATGTGATTAGGATCACCCGATCGTGTCGAAGGTGAAATCTCGAAGGGAAGCTTGCTAGCGGATTGACTCATGGCTCGGACGAGAGAGAGTAAAAGGAGTGACAGGACGAGCATGGTGAGAGGCGAAGCAGTGAGTATTATATGGCTTTACAGTGAGAGATCAGTTGGGTTCCAGGACATCGGATCTCGATATTTATAGTTGGCGCTACATACAACTGTGGATAATTATTTTAGCCTGATTATATTATCCACTCACTCTGCCGCCGGAGATGGTGACTCGAGATTTTCCATGCGCGAGAGAGAGAGAGAGAGCATGCAAGCCTCTCCATTGCCCGCCACCCGAGCAGACGAGGGATGACGGTTTGATCGTGCGCTCAGATGTAAGTGGATATGTGAGTGGCGCTTGACGTTTTGCTGATGGGTATACTGGTGTCATGCGGCTGGTTCCCCTGCCGCACGCGTAAAGGAGCACATTTCCCTTTACAGGACCGCTCATGCTATACAGGCTACGGCATAACCATCTCGCCGAATGTATAACGCTTCCAGTGAGTCACCTACTACATTAGCTGCTGTCTCGCTCTCTTGCATACTCACTGCCCTTAGCATCCTCTCGAATTGGTGAGCCCATACACGATCCCGTCTTGGTCGAATCCATAATGGGACAAAGTGAAGTAATCCTGCATCTGCCTTCCAAAACATACCAGTCTCTGGGTACATGCCGGGAGCTCTCCCATGAAAAAAATCATAGCCTTGATTTGCTCCACGGTATCACCGGGATTAACCAACAGCTGAATCGAATACCCTTTCATAGTCTTAACACAGATCCTCATCGCCTGACCCTCTTGGATCTTTAAGGTGATTGGTGGTGCAGGATTGGCTTCCCTTCCACGACGTTGTCAGTGACCGGGTGGCTCGCACCGTCCGCTGAACTCATGAGCTAATGCTAACAGTGGATACGCACTTTCCTTGTCTTACAAGACCCAGTTCAGCTGCTCTCCGGGCCAGAAGACACTGTATGCCCCCGTCGACGCGTCCAAGCCGACCCGCTCGGCCCCCCATCTCTAGCACCAGAAATCTGATGATGGATAAAACCTTTACCGCGTATGTCCCGACCCGCCTTAGCATAGCTTTCAGTATTGAGGATGTTCTGATGTCATAAGCATCCACGGCAGCTGGGGCGAGAGCTTGACAGGTGTCAAGTCTTTGAAGAAGACGTTCAAGACCTATGAACCGGCTGTCAACGTCAGCTTTCCAGAAGGGCTGCCTTGAAGGACTGTGGCCTTTGGCTGTTTGGCTACATACATGTCTTGGAATCTGAGTCTTTCCTTGGCAGCGATGCACCGCCTCGTATGGATACTCCAGACCCTTACGTATCTCTGAGAGATCCAGCTCATCTCGCTGACAACAGGGTTGGATTGCGGTTCCAAAATCTGACAAGACCATGATTCACTAGTCTTCGCTCTAGAGCATGAACTTCAGGATGAGTCTTTGCTGGTGCGACTATGTCGCTGTCTCTCTTCCGCTTGGTTGCCATACTTGAGCTGAAAGTGTGTCAAAGAAAGGAATTCGACGACGGTGACCTGCTTGAGGAGACTCCGACAAACTCGGGAAGACTCTGACGCGAGTTACGTAATGAGTAGCATCCTTGCCGTCCAAAGCTCCAGATAAAAACAAGTGGTGGAGATCGATTTTCTGGTACGACTGCCTATACATGCATACTACAACGACATTTGAATTGTCTCCTAGCTCTGACTGATCCATGAGAATTGACAGATCCCATGACCTGATTCACACACAGGATGCCATAATGGCTGGGATATCCTGCTTCTATGTAGCAGCCACTCTGCTCGACCACGAAAAGGACCATATCTCCATCTGCAGCGTGCAGAGTAGCGGGTCGTTACAGGATCGTTGGTGTGGTCTCCATCTAGGCGTCACGCTGTTTCACTCTGTCCAGATCCACGTCGGGGTTGAGGGTTGAACCTGATCTCTCTTGACGCTTTTCTTGATCTTGGAGTTCTTGAGCCGATGTTCTCAGATCGATCATTTCGACAGACCGGAGCTCGTAATCGTTCTCAGTCCCCACTCCCAAAAATGACCACTGCCTAAAGTACAGCATGCGCCCTTCATGTGAAAGCCAGTCGTTGCCCGTCTTGACTGCCCAAACGACGACGATGGTTGGACTTCAGAGTTACAGGTGTTGATTGGTTTTGCAAGGTAAGAAGACCAATGCGGCACAAAATCACCGTCGTACTTACTTACAGTCCTTCTTGGCCTGCGGAAGCTCGTGTAAGCCATAAAGTTCATTCAGTTCAGCCACGTCATCAGTCACACCCAACAGGTCAGCCTGTCAACCGCCCCCTCAGCTCTGCAACACCCTTTCACTGAGGTTTACAAGTTCCTGCTTAAGCTGGATGGAGTGGACCCATTGTCGTCTTCATATCTGCATGATCGAGTGAGATGTCTGTCTATGCAGACTTGATCGACCTGTTCGTCATGATATGCAACGAAGCGCGCGTCCGGGGAAATTGGTTCCGTTCAATGTTGACATGCCACGTGGGTCAGCATCTCGGGGGA